CCCAAAAGGTGAGTTGAACAAACTTAAAATATAAATAGTAGAACAATGCTAATTCTTTAAATTGGAGGACAATTAATAGATAGTCTAGTAAAGGATTGTATTGGCTTCATAGATGTAATATACTATGCGTCTGATATCATTGGATACAATCCTACTTAATATATGAATAAGTCAGAGTACTTGAAATCAGAATATATGATAAGTAATGCTTAATTGATAGATATTTTTTTTTTAAAGTGCTCATCCTATTGATTCTTAACAAGATAATAAATATACCTGGCCTGGTGAGGTTATCCTTTGATGGCAGGACGATCTGCCCCTTATGCTCCAAGTGTGGAGCAAAACTGACATTTTCAAACACTCCTGTTCAGCAAGTGTTGACCTTGCTATAAAAAGAGGCCGTCAACAATTACACATAATTCACATCCTATATTATGTAAAATATAGTTTTTAGTCTTTGCCTACTTATCAAATTACTTGTTAAAGTCAGTTGCAAGTTAATTATCAATAAAGTTCTTTTTTGATATTCATTTGTATCATGAGGTTTCAAATTGGTTGAACCTTCCAAAGCTATTTATTTATCTTAATCTTATATTTATTTTTTTAATTAAATATTATGTCGAAAAAGGGGAAAAAAAGTATAATTATGTATTATTAAGTTTTTAGAGTGCTGTTTCTAATCAACTTAGTTCGCTTTTTGGGATATATATTGAGTATGTATAAGACGTTGTGTCCTAGATTGTACAAAAGTATTTCTGTACTCAGAAGAATGACCTTAGTAAATTTTGGTGAGATGGTGAATTCAGTTCACAGTCAATGATGTTTGCACACATCAATAGTAATTATATTATCTTATTCTGTACTTAATGGATTTTCTACAGTCTACCTTTCATAAAATTGGAATTTTGATTTCTATTATATTGTAGAATACATATATCTATTGATTCTAAATGTTGAATTCAATAAAATAGAAAAAAAATTTCAAATTATTTCGCCAAATAATAAGAAGCCTTCAGAAAAACCGTCTTCATCAAGCCAACTTATAATTTTATTTCTACAATCAATTGTTACCTTACAAAATTTAATTGTAAACAATTCTGAGTATTTGAATATTATAAGACAATCGGTCAAGACCCTTGAGTCGCTTTTCATGTATCAACTTATTAATAGAGGCAATTCATGAATATTGGTTTAAAAGAAAAAACTAGAAGTTTCTTTGATTTCTACATACAACATCCTTGGGTTTATTAAAAGTTTTCCTTCAAGCGAAAGGTATATATACAAATTTAGTCTTAGTCATATAGTATTTCAAGTAGTTTTATCAGGGTAGTAAAATATTCCCTTCTTTCGGAATTCTTTTATTCTAATATGACTTTAAAAATTTGTAACTAGTATTTCTCTTTTCCACAAATGTCTTGAGTCCAAAGGATTTTCCTATGACTTCGAAGAAGATGATTTTTATAGAATTAAATCATTCCAGAGCCTCATTCTTTATGATATTGCTTTAAAGTAGAAATTTTAATAAATATTAACACTTTAATTTGCTAGATTTTTATTTTCATAAAATTTTATGATTGATTGATACACAAAAGAAGGATCACAATTTACATAATTCTTGCTTTTACTTAATAATCTTATTATAATGAGTTGATTTTTATTCAAAAGATTTGGCATATTCGGAAATATATTATACTATGGCTAAAACAACTTCTATCTAACATAATTATCCTAAATTTCAATCCAATCTATTTAGTTTTGGATAAGTATGGTGATAATGAAGGTGTAATTATTTAATAAATCAGTAAAAGAATTCCAATCAATGATGCTAAATGAAATATTTGTTTAAAAATAAATCAAGATGAAAATGATGATTATTTGTTTCCATATTTTTACCCATTCCCAAAAGAAATATAATTGCTTGATATATTATAAAAAATAAAAATATATTGAATACCAAGAGACTTTAGAATTGATACAGTTTTGAGATTAAATATAAGATAAAGAAACAACAAAGCAAGTAGTAAGTTGATGATTTTTATAATAAATAGGATTTTCAAAAAGTTAAAATCATAAATTCATTGTTCTTAATACCTTCTAATTTAAATTTCGAATGATCCATTTTTACCTCCATCCCAAGTTATTAAATACTTTGCATCATTACTTAAACACCCCTGGATTTAATAATCATTAAATTAGATTGACTATTTTAAAATAAAATCATCATTTTCCAATTTTGATAAAATATTCACAATTCTTCCATTCTTATTCACTAGTATATTTTTCTCTTTTATGTATTTTTATTAGAAAAATCCACAACATAATGTGGAATCCTTTTTTACTTAAATGCTTTTTATTTTTCTAAAAAGCTGAGAAGTATTATATTTCTAGAATAAAATCAATTATTCTTTGCAATATGGTTAAAAAGTAAAGAGTGAGTTGTTTATCCAGCATAACCTTATACCATCACCTTCCATTTTCTAAATCAAAACCCACTAAATATTTAGGCTAGAGTCCTTTTTCAATTTAAATATAAGTAATAATTTATCATACCCTGATGAAAGAAGTTAATTGCCATATTCATTTATACTTAATGCCCAAACAAAATCTTTATGTTCAGATATGGTCTATATGCAAGACCAACCATTCTGAAGCTTCCAAATTTAGATAATATTACTTCCAGAGATGAGTTGATCTTCTCGTTCATTCAAAACGACACACAAGATTTGACTATTTTTTCCTTTATATTTGTTTATATATTTATTTGAATTTCCATTAATCAAGGGCCAAAGAATAATCTATTTATCTTCACTTCCAGATACCATATTGCTCAAATTTTGAAAAAAGTTTAATGTATTTACATCTAGAGTATGTGAATAAAGGGTTTATAATAATTTCAGCATCTACTATTAAAATTAATAGATTCTTAATTTACTTTTACAACCAATAACCACTAAATTATTATCAGAGCTAATTGCAATTGCTCCACACCGCTAGTGCAATTTTATTTTAAATTGATCAATCAATTCATATCTATTTGGCATCTTAATTTATTAAGTTTAAGTTACCTCTGTTTCATTTTATTATTTTATCATCGTATTATCATAAAAAAAATAAAAAGAATATGAATACTACAAATACATGAAATTAAATATGAGTTTCAGTTATATTTGTTGTTTTTCCTACTTCTCTGATTGTATTAATATTATATTTTTGATTTGACAAGATTTCTTATACCTTAACTATCCTTTAAAATATTATAACACCTTTAAAACTTATTTGTTAAAATATTACTAAGATCGTTTTAAGCAGGGTTTAATTCATTTTGAGGGGCTTTTAACTTAGTAAGCAATTTTATATTTGTATTTTTACAATAATTATTTGGAAGTTTGTTGTTAATTATTATTTTATTTTTAACTAAATTATCTTATACTTCTTTAGAGTTTATTAATTAATTAATTTTAATAGTAATTAACAATTATTTGCATCATGATGCTGCCAAAAATAAAAATACAAGCAAATTTATTTTAGGAAGAGTAGACTAAAGAAATTGAATGCGCATTTTGGAATTAGAAATATCGTGGATTTTTGAAAACTAATTTTCTTATCACATTTACTAAATAATTTCAATTCATTTACAAAAAAATGAATGGTTAGCTAATTGGCATGTAAAATCAACTCATTTAATAATCAGTGATTAAAATTCAGATGCTTAATAGAATCTTGAAGTAAAGATTAATTACAAAAAAACCAAACATTTAAGATGGTTTGGAAAATAAGGTTCAAATGGTTAAAAATTTGGAAAATGGTAAGCAAAATGGAAAGATGAGATTTTAGAGAATGTTGGTGGAGAATANACCTTCCATTTTCTAAATCAAAACCCACTAAATATTTAGGCTAGAGTCCTTTTTCAATTTAAATATAAGTAATAATTTATCATACCCTGATGAAAGAAGTTAATTGCCATATTCATTTATACTTAATGCCCAAACAAAATCTTTATGTTCAGATATGGTCTATATGCAAGACCAACCATTCTGAAGCTTCCAAATTTAGATAATATTACTTCCAGAGATGAGTTGATCTTCTCGTTCATTCAAAACGACACACAAGATTTGACTATTTTTTCCTTTATATTTGTTTATATATTTATTTGAATTTCCATTAATCAAGGGCCAAAGAATAATCTATTTATCTTCACTTCCAGATACCATATTGCTCAAATTTTGAAAAAAGTTTAATGTATTTACATCTAGAGTATGTGAATAAAGGGTTTATAATAATTTCAGCATCTACTATTAAAATTAATAGATTCTTAATTTACTTTTACAACCAATAACCACTAAATTATTATCAGAGCTAATTGCAATTGCTCCACACCGCTAGTGCAATTTTATTTTAAATTGATCAATCAATTCATATCTATTTGGCATCTTAATTTATTAAGTTTAAGTTACCTCTGTTTCATTTTATTATTTTATCATCGTATTATCATAAAAAAAATAAAAAGAATATGAATACTACAAATACATGAAATTAAATATGAGTTTCAGTTATATTTGTTGTTTTTCCTACTTCTCTGATTGTATTAATATTATATTTTTGATTTGACAAGATTTCTTATACCTTAACTATCCTTTAAAATATTATAACACCTTTAAAACTTATTTGTTAAAATATTACTAAGATCGTTTTAAGCAGGGTTTAATTCATTTTGAGGGGCTTTTAACTTAGTAAGCAATTTTATATTTGTATTTTTACAATAATTATTTGGAAGTTTGTTGTTAATTATTATTTTATTTTTAACTAAATTATCTTATACTTCTTTAGAGTTTATTAATTAATTAATTTTAATAGTAATTAACAATTATTTGCATCATGATGCTGCCAAAAATAAAAATACAAGCAAATTTATTTTAGGAAGAGTAGACTAAAGAAATTGAATGCGCATTTTGGAATTAGAAATATCGTGGATTTTTGAAAACTAATTTTCTTATCACATTTACTAAATAATTTCAATTCATTTACAAAAAAATGAATGGTTAGCTAATTGGCATGTAAAATCAACTCATTTAATAATCAGTGATTAAAATTCAGATGCTTAATAGAATCTTGAAGTAAAGATTAATTACAAAAAAACCAAACATTTAAGATGGTTTGGAAAATAAGGTTCAAATGGTTAAAAATTTGGAAAATGGTAAGCAAAATGGAAAGATGAGATTTTAGAGAATGTTGGTGGAGAATACTCAAAATTAGGATAAAAATAAGGTTTATGGAAGGATATAATAGAGGATTATTGGACGTAATTGATATTATGAGAAAATCTAGTCACGCCCAAGTGTATGAAGTAGGAGAATATTTAAAAGATTAGAAAATAGGATTGTGGAAGATTATTTATGACAAGGAAGAAATGTATTTAATTTAAAAAATTAATATTAGAGGAGGTGGATAATTCAACAATGAATCCTGTAAAAGCGGAAATTGGATTGAGTTATGTGATAATTTTTGGGAGTATTAAATTTATGAAATGCTTAAAATTAGTTTAAAGTAAGTCACCTATTGTGGAGAATATATAAATGGTAATAAAATTGGTGGATGGGATATCCAATTCAAGAATAAAGTATAAAATTAAAATATAGAAAAAATGTAAATAAATTGAATAAGCTAATTAGTGGCGGTGGAAGCTATGATGTTAAAGGAAGTAATTTAAAAATAGGTAAGTGGATTGAACTTAGTGATGAATTTTATGAGTAGAAAATATATTATTGATTTTACTTTAGAGATAATTAAGTTTCTTACAATGGAGAATATCAAAAGGGTTTTAAATTTGGAAGATGGAATACTTATTTGAAGTTCGATGGAAATTATGAAGCTATGTAAAATCTAAAATATCATTATTATATTAGTGGTGGAGGTTTATATGATTGGGAAGGAAACGGTAAAAAAATCGGAATATGGATAGAGTTGAGTGAAGGGTTTAATGAGTAGAAATATATTATTATTCAATATTACTTTAGATCAAATTAATTCATTTTTTAGGGAGAATATCAAAATGGTATTAAAGTTGGTAGATGGAATTCTTATTTTAAGTTTAATGGAAAGAAGGAACAGATGTATAATATCTAATGCAATAATAATTATAGAGGAGGAGGATAGTATGATGAGGAAGAAAGAGGGCATAAAATTGGAAAGTGGATCGAATTGAATGATCTGTCTTGCAGGAGTAGGTAATTTACTTTTTTTTAATTTCCATATTAGATATGTTTAGGTTCTCTATTCTGGGGAGTATATCAATAATAAAAAAGTTGGCATATGGAATACATATTTTAGAGATAGAATATTAAGTAAAAATTTTGAAATCATGTAAAAAGATGAAAATATTAATAATTTATTTTTAGAGGAGGCGGATCATATGACGAAAAAACGCCAGGTATTAAAATTGGCAAATGGATTGAGCTGGGCCAAAATTTTGGAGATGGATTGGGATAATTATTACTGTTTAATATTGGTGAATATAAAAATGGTTAAAAGTGTGGTCCATGGGATGTTTTTTGGAAAGATGACATAAAGAGGAAAAAAAATGAGTGGCTGTAAAATCAGATTATTTAACTGTTTAGGGCTGGGGGATAATATGATTGGTTAGGTAGAAAAATAGGAAATTGGGTAGAATTATGTGATAACTTTCATGAGTATAATTTATTAGGTGATTTTTAGACTCAAATAAGTTAGATACCACGGCGAATATAAAGATGGCAAGAAAATTAAAGTATGGTCTAATTCTATAAGGTTATAAAAAGCAGATGTTTAATTTTAGTAGATGTAAAAACTATTTTAATTTTTTTAAAGAGAAGGTGGGTAGTATGATTAAAAGGGGGAAGGTCAAAAAATTGGAGTTTGGACAGAAGTTTACAAAGGCTTTTATTAAGGCTCATATAAAAATGGCCGAAAGGTTGGAATTTGGTAGTAACTTTTGTAAAATCGTAATTTTTTTACAGGAGTTTTTGAATTGCAAAAATCAAGGTTTGGATAAAAACTTGTTTATGAGTAGTGAACAAAGTGCAATAAAACTAAAAATATTCTTCTCTTTGTGTTTAAAAATATCTTAAAATATTCTTATAATTCTAATAGTTTGGTATGGAATATTTGTTTCTTCATTTTTATTTTGGACAATTTTTAATAATATTTCATTATATTTCAAACAACAAATAGTGTTTTTTTTAAATTGGAAGAAGAATACTTTTCATTTGAGAAAATTAATATCTTAAATAGGCTTTAAATTATTTGAACAGACAAATATTTGTTTACATAATTATAAGGTTAGCATATAAAAGATCAACTTTGTATTTCCTGAGCCGTTTGAAAAATAGCCTGTTATTGATAGTTAAAATGGATCTTTTTTGATTTAGGATCAAGATTGGGGACTAAATGTTTACCTTAACCATTACCCATTAAAAATAATAGGAATATTAACTAACCCCTTGAAATAGGATGTTTAAATCAGAAGTAGATTTTGATTTCGAGAAGCGTTTATTCCCCATTAATATTTCTAGAAGGCTGTCCCAACCCAAGCAAATAAGTTAAGAATAATTTTTACTATTTTTCACATTTATTGTCATCAGCTTAATTGATTTAGTCCTTGATAATCAGTTTATCCTTTTATTTGAAATTTAAACTTAAATTGGATTGGACATTAATCAAACAATAGCTAATTCTATCTCTAATTCTCCAAATGCCTGTATCAGTCTTTATTTTAGCCAAATTCTAAATATAAGATTTAAAATTGTATTTTCAATTAATATTTTAAGAGCATAACTCTTATTCTTTAAACTTGCTGAACTGAGAAATTTTTCAATAGTATAATCCTTATTGTCGTATTAGACTTTGGTTTCTTATGTTTAATATAAAGAGAATCATAAACCACTTGAAATTAAAGTTTATTATAGAATTGTATATATTTAATTTGATGATTATCTTATGCTTTAATTATTATTCTTTATAAGATATTTAGTCTTTCGATGTTTTTAATATTATCGATCGGAATCTAACAATTACCAAGGTAAGGGATCTGGAAGCCTTTTAAGGGCGAAATGGGATAACAAAAGTATCAGTCATCAAGTCCATAAATTTCAATCCATTGTCTTTTTGTTTAAAGAATTGAAATCCATTGAAATTTGATATTTATAAAGAATGATGCCCTTTTAAATTAATCAGTTCTTATTGGATAAATTTTATTTTGAATTAGAATATTAATATAATCGTAAAATGTCCTTTAGGTATTTATTCATTTAATTAATTATTTTCAAACTATTCGTATCAAATATAACGAAAAAACTCTTTCGATCAATAAACAACTAAGCATTTTAATAAAAAGAAAAACATTTTACAAATAAATAAATTTTTTGATTATGCATTATTTTTAGTTACTAATTTTGTAGAAGATAATAGTTAATTTCTTTTTAATTATTATATCTATCTAATAAATATTAGAGAAGAAGTCTTTAAATAGTATTTGTTTATAAATTGTTGCTTATATTAACAAATCCTCAAATGCTATATTTTTTTTTATTTTTGTAAAAAAACTAATCTTTTTTTGTATTGAGTAGCATTTGATAAGGATAATCCCTTTTTAAATTAAAAGCAATAATTTTATACAGAATTAATAATCTTGAACTTTTTTGGTTTATATAGATATATTTGATTTAAATTGGTTACAAAAATAATGAAAATGAATAATGTATATTTTTTATGATTCTTAATTGCTTTATAAGACACAATTCTCAACAATTTGCCAAATTTATAAGACCATTTATATGATTTTTTAAATTTCCTTTAAAGGCCTGTTAGTTAGATTATTATTACTTTTCCCTAGGTAAGTTTTGAATTTCCTATTAGAGTTTAGTAGGGTTATTTTTGCATGATTTACTTCTTCCTAGTGAATTTTGGGCTTATGATTACTTCTAAGTAACTGTTCTAGGAGAAGATGATTGTAATTGTTAGTTATAGGAAGCATCTAGTTTAATTTAGGTTAAATTTTGATATTGCCTAAAATAATACATTATTAATACTTTGCTTTCTCTAAGACATCATTAGATGAAGGAACTATGTAATGCTTCTATGATTATATTTGGCTAACTTTTTAATCAACTATGTGCATTGAAGAAAATATTTGAGATACAACTTTGTTATTAAAACTAGAATTCATTTTTTCAAGCTCTTAATGTGTGCTTTAAATGTTTTCAGTTAAGCTATTCTTGCCATACATTTGCAGGTATATTGAATTTTAAATATCAGGAGGTAAATGAGAAACTAGCTCTTTTACTTTTTATTTTTCTTACTTTATAAAATATCTATAATTTTAGTCTTTGTAAGTTTCTTAAATGTCATGATGAATTGCATTTGAAAGATTTAGTTAATTAATCACTTTATTTCTACATAAAATAACCATTTCATTATCTGGATCATCTTTGAAAAATTCATTTACAGTTTATAATGAATAGATGAGGTTTATCAAATTTTAATAGTCTTCAAAAATATAATACTATATTAAAGCTTAATCTTCTAGTTATTATTGTTATTGTTTGTAACATTATTTGGATTACAACGACATAGCTTAATTTCCAGAATTTTTTTTCTTTTCATAAATTTAGCTCTATTTTTAGGTTGCGTATTTATTGCTTTAAATTTTGGATATTTACTATTATTCTTTTTTTTGACTGTTCATGAATTATAAATAATATGATGATGAGATGTATTTAGTTTATAATATATCATACAAATTAATAGAATAAAAAAATTATTCTATTATGAGGCTCTTTATGTCTAAATTATTAACATAAAATCTGTTCTTCTAATTCAAAGTTTGTGTGCACCTTAAAGTAATACTTGATTCTTTAAGAATTAGTAAATTTAAATCTCAGAACAAATAATCAAGATAGATCTAAAGTGAGTACTATATTAGATGGCTTTATTAATTTATTATATTCTTTCTAGAATTTTGATTAATCTGTAATTTTATCTTCCACTTTTAATATTTATTATTTAATTAAAATATTTGAGTAATTAGTATTTTATTATGTAGATTAATTATTATAAATATATTAAATACTTTATGGTGTTTAATTTAAGAAAAGCTAAATCTTCAGATGGCAGTATTCTTCTCTACTTTATATTTCTAGTTTCTATAATTACTTTGATTTTCATAGTTTCAAATTCGTAGATTGTATAAAGACGAATACTTTTCAAAAATAATTAAAAAAGAATCTTTAAGATATAGATTTATAATTGTTAATTCATTATTTCATAACTAATAAAAAGCTTCAATTTTAATTATTTCCAGCTTCGAATGAACAGTATTTCCATTTCTATTATATAATTCTATTTATTGCACAAATTAATCTATAAATTTTATAGTAACCACACTTTGTGTTATTGACTTATAAATTAGTGTTTTTATACCCTCATAAATGAGATAAACCTCCATATTGTAGTATCTTGTTAATTATAAATCCCAAATTCTAAGCTTAATAGTATTCAATTAGTAAGGTTGAAAAAGATCTATAATAATTGACTTATATTGATTGCATGCATAATATCCTTTATTCCAATCAGTGTTATAGATAGAATCTCTCAAACATAATGAAGTTAAACAGCCTTCAAAAAAATAGTTCATTTTTCTTGAACTTATAATAGCTCCACCATTTAACTGCAGCACATTTCTATAATTTCCTCTAATTATTGATTTCTTTCTTTCTTCATTATTTTTACAACATTTTCTCATCATTATTAATGATAGTAGCAGGATTATGAACAATTTCATGAATAATTCTAATTAATTTTAAATATTAATGGAACCTCCCTCCTAGATCCAACTTTTGTATAGGATTTATTTCATGTTAAGAATAATTTACATTATCTTATGATAAAATTCCATTAAAACTATTCTGTTAGAATAGACTATAGTAAAAATCTACATTCATAAAAATAGGGCAAGTTGAATGCTAAAGAGCGAGATCAGNCTTTTCATAAATTTAGCTCTATTTTTAGGTTGCGTATTTATTGCTTTAAATTTTGGATATTTACTATTATTCTTTTTTTTGACTGTTCATGAATTATAAATAATATGATGATGAGATGTATTTAGTTTATAATATATCATACAAATTAATAGAATAAAAAAATTATTCTATTATGAGGCTCTTTATGTCTAAATTATTAACATAAAATCTGTTCTTCTAATTCAAAGTTTGTGTGCACCTTAAAGTAATACTTGATTCTTTAAGAATTAGTAAATTTAAATCTCAGAACAAATAATCAAGATAGATCTAAAGTGAGTACTATATTAGATGGCTTTATTAATTTATTATATTCTTTCTAGAATTTTGATTAATCTGTAATTTTATCTTCCACTTTTAATATTTATTATTTAATTAAAATATTTGAGTAATTAGTATTTTATTATGTAGATTAATTATTATAAATATATTAAATACTTTATGGTGTTTAATTTAAGAAAAGCTAAATCTTCAGATGGCAGTATTCTTCTCTACTTTATATTTCTAGTTTCTATAATTACTTTGATTTTCATAGTTTCAAATTCGTAGATTGTATAAAGACGAATACTTTTCAAAAATAATTAAAAAAGAATCTTTAAGATATAGATTTATAATTGTTAATTCATTATTTCATAACTAATAAAAAGCTTCAATTTTAATTATTTCCAGCTTCGAATGAACAGTATTTCCATTTCTATTATATAATTCTATTTATTGCACAAATTAATCTATAAATTTTATAGTAACCACACTTTGTGTTATTGACTTATAAATTAGTGTTTTTATACCCTCATAAATGAGATAAACCTCCATATTGTAGTATCTTGTTAATTATAAATCCCAAATTCTAAGCTTAATAGTATTCAATTAGTAAGGTTGAAAAAGATCTATAATAATTGACTTATATTGATTGCATGCATAATATCCTTTATTCCAATCAGTGTTATAGATAGAATCTCTCAAACATAATGAAGTTAAACAGCCTTCAAAAAAATAGTTCATTTTTCTTGAACTTATAATAGCTCCACCATTTAACTGCAGCACATTTCTATAATTTCCTCTAATTATTGATTTCTTTCTTTCTTCATTATTTTTACAACATTTTCTCATCATTATTAATGATAGTAGCAGGATTATGAACAATTTCATGAATAATTCTAATTAATTTTAAATATTAATGGAACCTCCCTCCTAGATCCAACTTTTGTATAGGATTTATTTCATGTTAAGAATAATTTACATTATCTTATGATAAAATTCCATTAAAACTATTCTGTTAGAATAGACTATAGTAAAAATCTACATTCATAAAAATAGGGCAAGTTGAATGCTAAAGAGCGAGATCAGTAAAGAAACAAGATTAAACACCATGCTATATATATCGTTTATTTCCTCTAAAATAAACTACCTTATTTTAATTTACATTTGACATGATCAGCCTAACTTAAGATAACTATATGATTGCTTTAATATTAAGCTCTATGTTAAATCACTAACCCTTGAATGTATGGTGCTTCTAATTTAGTTATGATAGTAAAATTTAATCTTTTACAGATTGAAAGTAAAAAATTGATTTTGTTCGTAGTTCATATGCAAATGTATTTTTATAGTATAAAATACAAATCAATAGAATTTTTCTATACAAATGACTAACACACTAAAATTAATTTTTATATACGTTTAAATCACAAATATTTCTAAAAAATCAAACATGTTTTATATTTTAAGAGCTCTTAGTCGGTCAATGCAATGTATAATAAATGCAGAAATATCTCATTTACTTCTTAATATTACAATTTCCTACAATGTTCTCTAGCATTAAAATTTTAGCTTATGATTTACTCTTTATTTTATTTTCAATAGTTTTGTAATTTAAAATAAATATTACTATAATTCATTAATTTTTTTAACTCTCAAGATAAAAGACCCTCTTATTTGATTCAGGAAACTACATTTATATCTACTATATTATGATTTATCATTATATTTCGGTAAGTAGTACAAATTTTACCGAGAACTGATTGATTATTGAGATTTAAAAAAAATCATTTCAAGTTAAAAATTGAATTTTGAGAGATTAGGAAACCTTTTCGAATTGAATGGCTTCTGGGTATATAGGATTAATTTTTTAAGATTTATTATTTTACGAGTAAATTGAAGATAACTATATTGCATCAACTTCTGGATCGAAAAATGATTATCAAAATTTACAATAAGAAATGAGCATACTCAATAAAAGCATTTAACTAAAAATACCAAATTATATTTATAAATTTTAAGGGTTTTTCGAGTTAATTAATGTGGAAATTTTTATCTTAAAGAAATCATACCGATAATAAATTTCTCATTAAATTGATATAAATTACTATTATGATGCTTTTAATATTTTCAAATAGAGGTTTAATTTTTTTTTAATTTAATTTCTATAATACTCAATGATAAAATTCATATAATTCTTCGACAACATGTATGCCATATTTTTCGATTACCTTAGTTTTTTCAAAAATCCATAATAAAACATCATTTTATGCATAAGTAAAAAATATCTAAAATTTTACTATTTAATCATTAACTCAAAGTATAAATAAGAATAAATACGATATATCATTAAAGAGTACAATTTAAGAATGATCAACAGCAGGTTCAATCCAAAAATAGTTGACAATGACTTCACTAATAATTTCTGGTTTATTAATATTATAATAATTTATGAGCCTCATTTTAGCATCTGAGCCCACTAATTGTAATTGAATTACAAGAGATGAGTTTATATTAAATCCATAAATATCCATAAAAATCTCAGATTCATTAAAATACTCATCGCTAGCCTAGTAGTAATTAAGTATGAATGATTACCAGTAATGGAGTATATTTAGGTTCAGGTAACCAATATTAACCATTATAATAATCTCTTAAATCAATAGTAAAAATACTTGATCCTGTTACACCATCATTACAATTTACCCAAATAGCAACTTAATATGGTTTAACCCAATTTGTGACGTTCATTATTGTGTATGAACATTTATGTTCTGTATGAACTATGTAGAAAGACTTATCCATTAAATGAGGCTTTATAAAAAGAATTTCAGATTTATAGTTATTATTGTCTTATCCAAAAACAGTTAAAGTTTCTTCATCTACTAACCAATGATAGAATTCAGTTTATTAAATACTATTAGGATAGTCATAATTGACAACAGGCTTTAAATTAAAATTTGTTGAAGGATCGTATTCAAGAGGTAAAACTCTTATTTTGAAATGACAGACATTATTATTTGAGTAATACTTTTCTAAATCTTAGGATATTAAATATTTAGTCTTTTTTTCTTTACAATCAAGAAAGAATAGCCTAAATTCAAAATATCTAATATTATATTACTATCGATAAATATTTCTCTAGTCTCTTCATCACTATTGATATCTATTTTTTCACTTGATCTAAAAGCAAAATTAGGGTTGACTTAATTAACTTTCAAGTCTAATATTTTTATTTACATATCTATGGGGTCATGAAATACCAAAACTCTATTAAATATTGTTTAGAATTACTTTGTGTAAATTTCAAGAAAAAACCTTATCTTCTCAGGAAGTTCTCCACTTAGAATTAATTCTTCTGTATTGATGTTAAATAATTCATAACATCCTCCTTCATAATAAATGAAAACTAAATAATTTTTTAAAGGGACTATTCTGTTGACCCATTTAGCCTTTTCAGAGGTTTTTACATTACATTCTTTATAGTCGAGCATTCCTTCTTAATATAGATCTGATTGTATCATTTTTAATTTTTAAATGAAAAAATATTATGGTGAACAAACATTATAAGATTACTTTTTATAATTTGTAATGCTCTATCGTACTTAAAATATTATATATAAATTTTTAGTAAATCCTCTGATAAAGAATTTTTAATTTTCTCCATTCTCTTAACTTTCAGAACTATCTTATATATGTATTGATAATCTCATCAAAGCAACAAACATTATTTTGAATAAATAATTATATTCTATAATTCTATTTACTAAATCTAAGAATTTTAATTTTTAATATGGATGCAGTTCTAATATCACTCATAATCTGATTGATGCCTTCATTCTTAATCTTCAAACATTAATGTTGAGAAGCAAACTGAGGTCAAGTATTTTTTTTCTGTTGCTTACAACATTCGCTAATTTCAAAAGATTTCTATATGCCAATAAAAGGTATTAATATTGAACTATTTATATTTATATCTTATTTATTTTTATTGAATTGTATTATTTTCATAAAAAAATATTGATCGCTGGGATAAGAATGATAAGGAGCTTTTGCCGAAAACATATTAGAATTATAAAATCTTAAGTAATTCATTCATTTATTTAAAATTTGAAATTTTTAAAAGAAGATGCATTTTTTCTAACTCCATTTTAATGACAGGTGACTTAATTTATCTGGAATCTGAAGAAAGATTAAGGGTAAAAATACATCATTTTTAGATAAATGGTTCTAGATTTTTTATTGATCATGATTAAAATAAGAAAGAGAAGGATAATTCGAAAGAACATCATGATATCAATTTCTATTATATTTCAGGAAAGTGAATTAATTTACTATTTTAAACCGAAATTAATAAAAATATTATGCTGCTAATTAAAAATCTCAGAAGAATCAATTAAAGGAAGAATTTAAAGAATGAATAAAAAACACAAAAAATAGATATTGAAAAAGTAAACTTGACTGAGAACATAAAATAAAGAAACTATTATTTAAGAGTAAAACAAAATTTAAAAAATAGAAAATGAAAATCTTCTCAATTAATAAAGATATCAAAACCTAAGAATATAAAATATATAATTTATAATTAGAAGGTGAAAATGTAGGAAATCAATTTAGATATTACATAATAGAAAATACTGAATTATTTATGTAATCAATGATTTTAAATCTATCAAAAATAATTTCGAAAATTAATTCATGTTGAAAAATGATATAATTCAAAGAATAGAGTAAAGTGTTTCTTGGAGGATCATTAATATTAAACTTTGTCTACCTAGTCAAATTAAGAGACTTTATTGCAAATTAACATGGAAGAAGGACATATATGAAAAGGGAGATATTAGCAGCTCTATTTTTAAGGCATTATTATTCATTTAGGAATTTGAATGAAAAAAAGAGAAAAAAAATTTATTAAAAAATATAATTTTCATTAAAATTGATAAATGCATTATATCTTAGCACCGTTACAATCAACCCTACGATTGAAGTAACAATAAAGGAGTAAAGGATATCAAAATCTTATCATATTATGATAGGTGTCATATATCTTTAAAATTACCTATTATTTGCTCGGATCATCTGAATCTTCAAATAAAAATGTATTTTGTTCATACATTCTAAATTAAGAAGCAAAAGAAAGATTATTGAAATTACTCTTCTACTAATTCAAATTAGAAACAATAAATATATGACTCATTAAAAGGTAGAAGAAATCAGTAGGATCAAGCATAGATGAAGATTGCTAAATGATGCTAAAAGATGATAACTTTAGGAAATTTATTTAAGATTTGAGAAAAATTATTATGGAAAATTAAATATCATTTGATTCTGTAATTAGGAATGAAACATATCTCTGGGGAAGACTTTGTAGTAGAGAAAGAATTCTAATTGTTATGAAAAATTCCAATTCTCTATCATATTAATTTTAATAAGCATTGTTCTTTTAGGGTAAATTATTTAATTTCAAATATTTGATGAAAAAATTATATGGTATTAACGTATATATTAATTTCGAATTTATCAATTAAATCCCTTTGTAAAATATCAAGCCTTAATTGATTTCAATCTGGATGAGTTTTTTATTATCATTGTTCACTATTATTTTCCTAACAGAGTTCCTTTTAGCTTTTTCCTAATTTTGAGAGAGAATAATATTCGAAAGGATGGCGAATTACTTAAACTCCTCATAAAAAAGTACTAAAATTAAATATTACACAAAATTAGATAAATTACTTTTCTATAAAATTATATAAAATAGCAAAAAATGGATTTGTTTGAAGGTCAAATCAAATTTATTAAAAAACAATGCTTTATAGTCTTATTATAAAATATAAATATGTAAGTTTACTCATGAATATATGACTTCATATGCTGGGTATGCTCTTCTTACATGCATTTAATATATAACGAATATGTTGCTACCATTTGTAAATCCAGTAACACAATCAAATCCATCGCTTGGTTTTCTAATATTAGTATTTTATTGTCTATCTTCAGCTTTACCAGTTGTAACTAAGCAACATAAAAATACAAGATTGCCAGCATATTTAGGATCATCCTGAGTTTATATTTTATAAGAATAATTTCTGGAGTATGAGGCATTTTCAGCAAAATAAATACCATCTCCCCATAATCCAACCTATTTTCATTAAATTTATTACTCTACTATATGAAACATCAAAAGCTTCTGCCAAACTCAAGTATATTACTTATGGGTGTTATGAAGATACTCCATGCCATAGATATCTCTCCCGTTCTTATGGAAGTAATAATTATTTTTATTTTTCATAAATATCAAATAACTTTTTCCTTTCTAAAATATAATTATCCCATAATGCTTTATTCTATATCCTAAAAATAGCTTTGATAGATCCCTTATCTGTTTTCTAAAAAAGATTTTTAATTTTATTATATTCCTAGGAATTTTAATCAAGGAGAACTTTGATGTAATTTTCTGTTTAGGCTTTCCAATTCTTAGGATATTCCTTTGCGTAAGTTTTGACTAATTCTAATTGTTGAAACAACTTTTTTTCTTTATTTTTAAAAATTTGAACATTAATTGTTTATCCTGACATCATTCTACCTTGAATACTTTAAGCTAAGCTTTCTATGTATCCAGTAAAATTTTTTAATTCGTTATTGCTTAATTAAGGTAAAACTAAGCGTTATGTAGTTAAAGATTGCGACAATTTTTCCTTAATCTCTTTTAAAATCATATCATTCAAATCAGAATCGAAAGATTAAATTACAATTTAATTTTAGCATTCTTAAATCTAATTAATATTCAATTCATAAGTTATTTTAGATTCCATTCTGCCTTGCTAATATGGAATTTTTTAAATTATTCTTTAATAATTTGTCTTTGTATTCAGTTAATACATGCCTTAGTTATTAAAAACTATTTACAAATTTTTCCAAAAGATGTCAAATAAATAACATTTTTTATTGTACATATTGATAAAATATTATGTTAGTTCCTATTCAAGTTCTTCATCGTTAATGAAATAACTTATTTTATTCTTTTATCTTTGGAATATAATTTTCTATTCAAAATTAGATGATAATTCTTTTATTTTTAAATTTTTTAAATCAACAGAATGAGTACTTGGTTTGCTTTCAATCTGAAATTTTAAATCAATAATTATTTCTTATTAGGATTTTTCAAATATTTCATAAGCATCATCTATTTATTTATTGATATCCTCATTATAATTTGCAAAATTAATTTTATCTCTCCATTGCCATTAATATTTTGGGTGACTATTTGGAGAAATTTTTGAAATATCTGAAAGTACAGAATCTACAATTTTAATTCTTGATTGATCTATTTCAGCTAAATATATTTAGTTGACTGGATGTTCATTATTGAATAATCTCTAAATTATAGCATTAAGATAAGTTTAAATATTTTAAGCATAAGTATTTCCACAAATATTAAATATCGGAATAGCTAATCTAGAGATTTAATATTTGTTTTAAATGTGATCGAACAGACGATCAAAAATTTATTATATTGTTTAAGGATTATTATTACCCAAGATGCTTTAAGAAGGAATAATTAAATTGATAATATAACGGATATTTCGAAATGAACCTAATTCAGAAATTGTGATTTCAATTAAATTTAATGAAGGAATATTGTTTGTTAAAAGTTCAAGAAAATATTGTTAATACAATGTACCTCCAAAATCTAAAATTTCTTGTGTTAAACTGCTAACCCCCAAATTGTATTTGTTTGAACAATGAAAATTTACTATAGCATCGCATTCTAATGAAATAATATTGGCCTAAATCAGATACAGTTTTTTATCTTGGAATAAGACTTTAGATATTATTGAAAATTAATTGGTCTAAAATTTTATTGCAACCGACTTCTCATTTTCTACATCTTTGTACTAAGATTCGAAATTCTTTTTGAAAAATTTCATCTGTTTTTCTTAAAATGTACAAACTTTACTTATTAATTAATTTTCAAGTATCTTCATATTAGAAACAATTGTCTCAGATGTTGTTTTTAATAACTCTTATTTCTAAACTTTGATTATGATTTTGTTATTTTAGGCAAAATTGATTTTAATTTCCTCATTTCCGTAAGTTGATTCATGTACATACTTTTTTCTTAATTCAACAAATACAAGGGTATTTAAGCACTCAATACATTTAGTTTTTATGTTTTCTTTTAGATCTTATTTTGTGAACTCAATTAGTTGTTTGACCTCATCCAAAAGTAGATTTAAGGAAATGAATATATACTCTTTATTACACTTATGTACTTCGACTTCATATTCAGCTTTGAACTATTATTTCTCCATTCCTAAATAAGCATATAAATCATCAATGTCAAGGTTCTTTTCTACATGGATACATAATTTATCAAAGAAATCTTTTTAAAGATCATTTTAAATATTATTTAATTTTGTTTTATCATTTACATAGACGTCAACTAAAATTTTATTACTACTAATCCCAACAATTTAAATTAGACATTGACCCTATTTTTTCGAAATTCTTTCTAAACTAGATTTAAATTGATTTTCAAAATTTTGTTCTTCTGCTAGAGCTTTCGCAATAGCTTCTTGAACATCAAAGGAAAATCTTTTAAACTAAAATTCTGTTAAATCTTTTGTAATTGATTTATATTTGCCTTCTATTTTGGTAGACTCTCCTTATATTTCTATTAATAACTATGTATTAATAATGTAAGATTCTTTTGGATTATTAGGATGAAATTGATATAAGAAATTTTACCATAATTTCATTTGCTTTTCATCATTTACAGTAATATTCAGGGTTGGAAAATAGATTTAATATATTAAATTTTTTATTCTTGTAAATATTTATTGAACTTCATCCATCGATTAAGTCTTAGTATCCATCCAGAATTAAATTACTGAATTAACAACAAACATTTTTTTATTTCCAACATTAAGTTCTGGTTAAGATACTGATATCTCAAACTATTCTTCATTCTACTCAAGTTACTTTATTTTTTGATCTATAGCATTTACATCAGGATTAAATGCAAGTTCTATATCAAATTAATCCTTTATTAATTATAAATATTAAGATTTTTAGACCAACCCTTGAAACTAATTCTAGAGTTACTAAAGGTTAAATGGATTTTTTAGCTTACAAATTACGATAATTGAGTTTGTATTTGATTTTAATTTTTAAGCCTATATTAATAAAGTAGGATAAATTGAAAAATCACTAAGATTGATTTCATATGATAACATTATATCTAAATCTTCTACATTCAGCTGTTTGCTAATATTTTTATAAATAATCTTTTATTTTAAAATGCTTAGAATTCTAACTGCTTCTACCTCGGATTAGCATTGATATGTTAATATTACAATATTATCCAAAGTATTTTTCAGATTCTGGAAGAAATCATTTATTTCATCTTGTTTTGATTTAGACCCTTTGACTTGATATTAGAATAGCTTTTCATCTAATTTTAAATTGATATCTTTTTAAACACTTTAGATAAGAAAGCCTTAAATTTATGCTCTTTAAAGATAGATCATTTTATCTAATTAAGATATATTATTCTCATTTTGAGGCGTTAATTAGTATGTAAACGCATTGTTTTTAGTAGTTTCATCTGAAATGTTGTTTATTTGAGATATTTTATTATTTTATATCTCCCCTTCATCTAGAATTTCTTAGAGAACATTTTAATAGTCTTAAAATAATGCTGAGCAAGTTGAATTAGGCTTTATATTCCTTATTATTATAGAGATATCTGCAAAACCGAAAAACTCTTAGATTAAATCGCGACAGAAAATTTAGTTCTCTATTGTATTTGTTTTTTTATTTTAATAACAAAACTCTGCTCTTAATTCTTATGTATTAGGGTCTTCCCTTTTGACTTCATTTAATATATTTGGAATATCAAATTAGGTAAAAGTTTTAACAAAATTTGAATTAGTTCCTAATTAACTATTCTAAAGTGATAATCTTGATTGATTGAGATCATTAGGCGCTCGATAGTTTTAACATAAATCTAAGTTTTATTCTAATAGATTTAAATATTCTTCTAAACGTAAGGTCATAGAATCTTTCGGCCCATAAAGCTTTCTACATTCTTAATAAGCAAATTGCGAATATTCTTTGCATTATGTTATTTGATTTAACCCAAGATGTCCTTTAGCTTAATTGTATAAGGCTACTACTTTATGTCTTCCTTCAAATGAATTGGAATATTTAGCATATTTTATGATGAGTTCATATTTTTAGAAACGTAGACACATCTTTTGAAAATTTATCAGAGTGTCAGAGATGTCAAAATGATTGTTAATACCGATTTTTAATGCGAATGTAAAATTTGTCAATTTCTCTTTTTCTTAATCTAAGGTACAACCTTATTATATATAAGTTGATACCTAAGATATTATACGCTCGAAATTTACATTCTGATGAAATTTGTTCCTTTCCAACTATCCAATTACAAGCCATCTCTCTTTATGATTAGTAAAACTCATTAATTTTACTTAGAAGAACTTTAGCTCCTTCATTCTCAATTTTTTGTCTTTCAAATTTTTTTATTGCTTAAGAAATGCTATTCTCTTTTAAAGCTGTTAAAGCTTCCTCCATTAGAATAATAATATTAAAAATTAAATTGGAATTTATTTCCCAGTGAAACATCCAATTCAGAAAAATAATTCTATTCAATTATTTTTTGTATAAATAAACAGGATCAGAAGATGAACTTTTGAGGATAAATTGAATTCATCTAATTTAAAGTATAATATAAGTTTTAAACCTTGATAATTACAACAAAATATAATAATGAATTTTTTTATTAAAAGGTAGATGTGCAATTAATGAAATCTCCAGTACATTAAAATATGTTGAGAATTATGAATGACTAGTATAATATTCCTTCATGGATTAATAAATGCTAATGAAATCATTTACTAAGATAAAATAGGCGTAAGAATTTAGATAATAATTAGATTTAATTGTTTTATTAAGCAAAACAATAAGAAAAGGAGACAATTTTTTAAAACCATTTGCTATAAAATGTAATCTTTCTCTTTAGAGTCATCTATTAATGCTGAAATTAGCATAAATAAAACACTATGGGGATAAAATTAAAAATTCTAGAGAAGTTTCGATCAAACAAGATGAGTAAAAGAACACCACCAACTTAGGTTCTCTATTAAATTGCTAAAGGTACATTATTGGATAGCATATAAAATGTACAAGAATAAATTTAATCTTAATGCTCTAATTTATGATGAAATATTTATATTTAATCCGTTATCAACATCAATTAAGGAGAATCTATACCCTTATTGATGCCCCTTGGATGGAAATTATTTATACTAACATATTCTTAAATAAGAAGTCCTTCTTTTCTTTATTATATAACTTACCTGAAAATGTAATACCTTAATAATTCAATTAAATTTTTGGCATAAATTCTCATACTTTATTTTTGATTGAAGATGTTTTCATTGTTGCAGGTCTGAATATTTATGGGAGTAGTAGACTATATTTACTTAGATTTGAGTTCAGTTTAGTTGTACTTTTGAAGTCAAAATTACTTTATTTGTTACTAAAGGTATTGTATAGAGTGGGTTTCAAGTTTGTAAAAATTTCAAAATAATACTGTAATTTAATTCTATTTCTAATTTGTTGAAATAATTAACTACTTATTTCTTTTATTTTCCTTCTAAATTTGATAAACATCTCCACTAAAAGCTCAGAATATTCTTATTTTTGAAAAACTACACTTTAAAAGGAATAGCAATCTATTCAAATATTGTAAATTTAACTACTTGATTTGGAAAATATGGGTTTTACTTATGTCTCCTATATTTTGAAACTGTATTTTTTATTAGATTACAATATTAAAATGCTGATTGAAGCCATCGTTTTCACTTTAATTTTAAAGAAAGTTTTGATCATTTAATGCTCTGGGTAGTATAGGGACCAATTATTTTGATAATTTTCTTACTTGCTATTTTCGCTCATTGTGTTTTCTTCCATAATAGTTTATGTTTTCAATTGATGATTTAGAGAATTAGACTTTCTGTTGCTGCCTTTGTTCTGGTGTTATTTTAATCCTCTTGTTCGTTTTAATGAAGTATTTAAGTTTTCTAATATTAGAAGTATATATTTATTAAGATTAATACCACACAGTTTTAGACTAGTATACAAGATCGAAACCATCCAACAACAATAAATTTTGATATATTAACCCTAAATATTAAATAAAGATGACATTATAGTCAATATTTTAATGAATTAATGAGGTGGTTGCAATGCCTATCTTTGATATGTTATTTTAAAAACAAAGTATTGATGTATTTATTAGTCTATAAATTCAAATTATCTACTTTATATTTTATTATTTAATTCATATATAAATTTTAAGTATGATGAATTTAGTTTCTATATTTAAATTATCTATTGTTGATTTCATTTCAAATTAAAGCATAAAATTAATTTTGCAAGCAAAGCTTCTAAAAACATCAATAAAGTTAACATCTGATTTGCAAAAATTATGTTGGGATGCCAAAAGAATATCACCATGGAAACATTAGATAAATAATGTCATCATAATCACAATTTTATTATCTCCTAAAATTAAATTTCAATGTTTTATATTTATCTTGCCTATTATCCCCACTTTAATTTAACAATTGAAGCATAAAATCATTTAAGTCGATATAAAATAATATTTTCCTTAAATTTAGAATTACAAGATTATCTCATTGTTTGTCGATTAATTATTGAAAATATTATATTATGATTATTTTATTTGTATTACTTTAAATTGCTTCTTCCTTATATTATTTAGAGATGAGAGAGTATGGTCAATTAATTCAAATTGCCTAGTAACTAAAGGCCTACATAGTCTTGTAAGGCATAGTCTCATAAATTTCAGATGAAAATGATTATTTATATTGCCCAAATTCCACTAATGGTTGTTTGGTTGGTACAAGTGATGAATTAAAATAACACCAATTAAAAATCAGTGAATTTCATATTTATGATTAAGAAAAGCATACAAATAATCCAGAAATTATTTCATTTGTCCATTATTTCATGGAATATTAAAAGAATGAAGATATCTAAAACTTTATCACGTTAAGTCCTCTGTCATAAATTTACAACTCTTTTGTATATTTTGGGTATACGTTATGCATTTCTAATGATGATGGTTATTTAAAAACAAATTAGAATGAAGCAATATTAAAAAATCAAAATAAAATGACTGGAATAAAGAGCAACATATAGGAAAATGATCAATTAAATATATTTTCAATTAGAATTGAATATTTAGAAGTTTACCAGTAAATTTTTGATATCTCAAATTATTCTATTATTTTAAATAATAAGATAGAATATTGTATTATCCCAAACGAACTTATGATGAAAATCTTTAATTAAACATTGTATTAGGATTTTCTTTAGGTTCAGTATGATTCTGAGTTCTAATTATTTGTTAGAGAAACGAACAAATAAAGAATTGAAAATTTAGGTTTAATCAAATTTTATAATTCTAAGGATCAGCCTTTGCTCATTTTGCCTGAGGACTACATATATTATAATTTCAATAATGGAGGGTTTGATATGTTGTAGTTTTTTGGTGATCGCTTTTTTCCTTAAATTGTATTAGGCCGTAGTTTTCTGAAAAACAAGATTATCCATTATTAATCCGAATCTAAACAAATATTTGTCGAATAATTATAAGGTGAGATATGCAACCCTAATAAATTCCAGAAAGAAACAATCTTTGAGTATCTAATATTTAAGATTATCTTCATATTAATTATATTGATAATTATGTATGCAATATTTAGAAAAATACGAGCTCAACACTTATTGAAAAAGAATTAACATATTTAATAATAATAATTGATTTCTAATAATGAAGTCGAAGTTCTGAAATGATAAATTATTTATTATTAATGATAATTTATATATTATTTTAATTAGTCTCAACCTTTGATCTTCCCAAAGATACATACCCACTTAGACAAAATGAATAAACTTTGAAATATTACATTATTATAAACAAGGAAGAATACACCATAGATTTAAATAATGAGTTTAGTGTTACTGATATTAATGGAATCAATCAAGAATGCAATGTTAATTATAAATGTCAATATTGCGATCAATTCTGTCGATATACATTTATAGATTGGTTGGACATGGAGTAAAATGGAACTCTTTAAGAATCAGTGATAGAGATTGAAAATATTAAAGGAGATAAATAACTCGAAGAATTTATAGCTCTACATTCCATTAAAACTAATTAAATTGGATTTGGAATGAGAAGACTATGTACCGATTTAATTATATAAGACAGAAAATCATTAGAATTTTACTTTTCCATAAAATACCTTAGTATCAAATGTAGTTTCATTGTGCTTCTCATCTCTAGGCTTCATTCATAAATCAAAATAGAATAATCAGTAAAACGCTATAACAATACCTTATTTCTAACATGAGAATGTTTATTCTTTTAAATTTAAACACCTGTAGATAGGCTTAAATGCAAATATCAATATTGAAAATGTGACCATTTAGGTTGATTCTCTAAATCCATTTACAGAATTACCCTAAGGTATCTTCAAGTATTAAAATCATTAATAATAGTGAATTAGCAAATTATTACAAGTAGTTTGGATTCAGCATTGTGAATCATGGATATTTAAGTCTACATGAGAAAAAATTTATACTATAAGAAATATCAGCAATTAGATTATATATAAATGAAACCTTTTATTTAGAGTATTAACCATATTAATTTTTGTACTATTCAGGAGATTACATATAACTCCCTTTTAAGCAATCGAAGTATGAAATTTAACTTATTTATAGGAAGAAATCTCTCATATTAGGTGTAACCTTTTTACATAATTTATACTTAACAATAAATTAAAATGAACAGAGTTTTTCATTTTCATAGATTGATTGTTAAAGCTATTTAGTACAAAATAACAGTATCTTCACTTTAAATTCCGTAATGATAACATTTGGTGCTCTGTTATTAATTGCAATTTTATTTAAATTATGCAAAAAGTCTAAACCATATAATATTATCAATCAAAACTAAGAAGTTGAATTGTAAAATTCTACAGTTGATAGAGAAAAAGAAGAAGAATAACAAATATGAATCAATATATTTATATTTATATTGTTATCTAAATAAGTTTCAACTTTTAGAGTAATTTATCGAATCATCATATTTTATCTATACAATTACAAATAAGGATCACATCTGACATAAGAATCACAATTGTGAAATAATTAATTATATTATTTTAATTATGTTCAGATTAAACAAGTTAATTAAAAGTTTTGGTAGTATTTAAAACTTCACAAATTGGGAGAATGATGTTGTAAAGGCTAGCAAGCCAGTCCTAGTTGACTTTTATGCAACGTAAGTTTATTTATTAATAATTTAGATGGTGTGGACCATGTAAGAGATTGACTCCAATATTAGAGCAAAAAGTTAAAGAGCATCCAAATGTAACACTTATAAAAATAGACATTGATCAACATGAATAATTAGCAAATTAAAATAATATTGAAGTAGTACCAACTGTTATGTTATTTTAAAATGGAAAGAAAGTAAATAATTTTACAGGAATGTTGCCTCCGGATTAATTAACTAAATTCTTTGAACAAATTCCAAAACAATGAATATTAATAAAATACAAATAATATAGATCATCTTTATTATAATATGAGTTAATTATTTTTGANTCTAGGCTTCATTCATAAATCAAAATAGAATAATCAGTAAAACGCTATAACAATACCTTATTTCTAACATGAGAATGTTTATTCTTTTAAATTTAAACACCTGTAGATAGGCTTAAATGCAAATATCAATATTGAAAATGTGACCATTTAGGTTGATTCTCTAAATCCATTTACAGAATTACCCTAAGGTATCTTCAAGTATTAAAATCATTAATAATAGTGAATTAGCAAATTATTACAAGTAGTTTGGATTCAGCATTGTGAATCATGGATATTTAAGTCTACATGAGAAAAAATTTATACTATAAGAAATATCAGCAATTAGATTATATATAAATGAAACCTTTTATTTAGAGTATTAACCATATTAATTTTTGTACTATTCAGGAGATTACATATAACTCCCTTTTAAGCAATCGAAGTATGAAATTTAACTTATTTATAGGAAGAAATCTCTCATATTAGGTGTAACCTTTTTACATAATTTATACTTAACAATAAATTAAAATGAACAGAGTTTTTCATTTTCATAGATTGATTGTTAAAGCTATTTAGTACAAAATAACAGTATCTTCACTTTAAATTCCGTAATGATAACATTTGGTGCTCTGTTATTAATTGCAATTTTATTTAAATTATGCAAAAAGTCTAAACCATATAATATTATCAATCAAAACTAAGAAGTTGAATTGTAAAATTCTACAGTTGATAGAGAAAAAGAAGAAGAATAACAAATATGAATCAATATATTTATATTTATATTGTTATCTAAATAAGTTTCAACTTTTAGAGTAATTTATCGAATCATCATATTTTATCTATACAATTACAAATAAGGATCACATCTGACATAAGAATCACAATTGTGAAATAATTAATTATATTATTTTAATTATGTTCAGATTAAACAAGTTAATTAAAAGTTTTGGTAGTATTTAAAACTTCACAAATTGGGAGAATGATGTTGTAAAGGCTAGCAAGCCAGTCCTAGTTGACTTTTATGCAACGTAAGTTTATTTATTAATAATTTAGATGGTGTGGACCATGTAAGAGATTGACTCCAATATTAGAGCAAAAAGTTAAAGAGCATCCAAATGTAACACTTATAAAAATAGACATTGATCAACATGAATAATTAGCAAATTAAAATAATATTGAAGTAGTACCAACTGTTATGTTATTTTAAAATGGAAAGAAAGTAAATAATTTTACAGGAATGTTGCCTCCGGATTAATTAACTAAATTCTTTGAACAAATTCCAAAACAATGAATATTAATAAAATACAAATAATATAGATCATCTTTATTATAATATGAGTTAATTATTTTTGATTTTTCTTCTTGATTACTGATGATAGTTCAAATTAGTATAGTGTTTTTTGTCGATTGTTTAATTTGATGTTATTATTAATTATGTCAATAGAAATAAAATGAATAAGAAAAGCTAGTAATTATAATATAATTAAGCATAAGTTTAATAAATAAAAAATGAATGATGAGTTAGAAAAGACAGCAAATTTTTTTTTCCCCGTTGATAATTAAGGCATGAAATAAAAATTTGTTCATTCAAGAAGATTGTTAAAACATCCTGTTTAGAGTAATGTCTCGAACCCTTCAACACAAATGTAAATTGAATATATAAATATCTAAGAACTACATCCAAGAGAAGTTCTGATAATTCTGGTATTGAAGGGTAGCATACTCCTCCGTAGATTAGTGGAATGAAAAAAAGATCTGAATTATAGATAGGTTCTGAGGATAGATAATCTAAAAATTATCGAATATTCAGTTCTAATGTAAATCAACGTTCTAGTTACCCATAACAAATTAGTTTTGGAAATTAATTTCAATTTATGAATGAATTCTTATAGATGAAGGATGAAAATTAAAGTCCTCCTTTCAAATAGTTGAAGAAACTCCCTGAAATCTTCTAATAAAGAAACTCTAGTTAAGGATTCAGATAAGCATTAAGAATTCATAGTGGATAAAGCAAAAGGGAGACAATGAGCAACTTTGTATAAGAAATTGAATGTCCAAAGAAATAGTGTATGTAGTAGTTGCAATTGAAACAAACAATTAATAAGTAACAATTAAGAGGAACTTAAATCAAGTTACCAAATATTGGTTAACCTGTATCATTTTTATAGACTAAACAATAATTGAAGATGATAAATAGAATATTTTCAGGCAAACGGGATTAATGATTATAGTATATCTCATTCCATTGATGATTTTGGTATTTTATATGAGCTTGCTTTTTTTAATCCTCCCATTTTTGGTGTCTAAGCATTCAATTTAGATATTGCATCTTCTAAATGAGCAGCTTCATCATTAACACAATCATCATCTTTGCTCAGTTGATTAATTTGTTATTAAAAAGAATTTTTTAATGCTGTCTTACGTAGATCCGATTACAAGTTCTTCTTCATTTAAGGTGAGTCTATATATTCTAATGACTTACTTGCATCTGATTAAGGCTACTGTTTATTTATATGTCCAAATTAACTAAATTTACTTTATTGTAATTGTGGTTTCTAATCTAATCTCGTAACTGATCCATTATTAGATACATTTGAAAAGGAACCCATAGTGTCAATTCTTCCATTCAATGCTGGTTATCTTTATTGCAATTGCATAGAACCAACTTAGCTTGGAGGTCTTTGATATTAATTACTGTTTTACCCTTATTATTTGCCTAGTCCATAGACAAAATCCTTATCGTAATCTCTAAGACTCTCTTAAACATTTATCAGATCTTATTCCTTAAAGATCTCCTTGAAATATGGATGTTTTAGGCATTCTTCTGAAGATACTCTTGTCTTTGGTTCTGGACATAACATTTTCTTTAATAAATCTACCAATTAAAGTGGTGCCTATATTAAAAATCATATGTTATTTACAGTTTGAATCTATTTGAGTTCATAATTAACTTCACAATTTTTATTTGCTCTTAAAATACCTTTGTAATCAGTTCCTTAAAATGGTTGTCTTCCTGTTAGCAGAACATAAAAAATAACACCTGCACTAAAGACATCACATTTTTCATCATAAAACGGATCACCTTCTTTGTATAATAATATTTCAGGAGCCACAAATCCTGGAGTTCCACATCTTTTAAATAAGATGTCTTCATTTAAGAAGCTAGCTAATCCAAAATCTGCTATAACAATGTCTGTGTCATTATCTTTTTCTTTTAATAATAAATTCTCAGGTTTCAAATCTCTATGCATACACTTTTTAGAATGCAAATGACATAATGCTTTCATCAAATTGTACATTAATTTTTATAAACTTGGAGCACTTAGGGGGGATTACTTGACTCGAGTTAAGAGTTCACCTCCTTTTAATATGTCTAATACAAAATAGATTGAATTCTGGGTTTCATAAGTTTCGTATAATCTTACTAGATTTTCTTAGTTTAAACGTCTCATGACTTTGATTTCATTTTCTAATGATTCCCTTCCTTTGAATTACTCTTACATGAATTCTTTATTGAATGCTTTGACCGCGTAATTACATCCTGTGGATTTCTTTGTAGCGAAATACACTTTTGCAAAACTTCCTTTTCCTATCATCTTTGTAACTCCAAATTCATCATGAAATGATGTTTATAAGCATCTTGATGACATCAGATTCTTAAATACAGCATAATCATCTAATTAAAAATCAACAAATTTTCCATTTCGAGAAATTCTAATGATATTGCCAAATTGGTCATGTTTGTAAGTTGTCATAACAGCTACCGTTATATTAAGCTAAGTTATATTTGAGTCTTTAATATGATAAATATGCTCATTTCCTAATTATATTGTTATCGATTTTGGTTGTTTCGATTTTTTACTGATTTTGTTGCAGTCATCCTAAAAAACTATGATGTCATTCTTGGAAGCGTTTATAAAATGAATATTACATTATATATTTCCAAATTGACAGGTTACCAGATTTTAGAGGATTTTCCTTGATTCTCTGGGATGTCAAAAAAAGAATTCACTTCTTATATCATTTTTATATTTATATAAATATTTTATATATTATCTACGTGCACAAAATAAGCAAATTGATATCATTCAGCAATCAAACATTGAATATTATATATAAAATCGAAAGTTTATAATTGACAAGTAATTCCATGCCCATCTCTACTATTTTTGTTAATCAATACTTGAAACCCTTAAAATAATGAGAATTATATTATGTAATTATGATAATAACATTCAATTTATAAAATTGCTAATTTATAAGTATCTAAAATAGTGAAACACAATAATATATGAAATAAAGAGTATTAAGAAGACTAGTTAAAATTCATAAGTTCGATCAAACACAATTATGAAGGTAGTCTTCTAAAAGGATTTTGTTATTTTTTATAATTTTGTTTCGATCGGTAATACATAGTTATAAAATAAAAATAATTTTTATTTATGTTGGAAGTATAATGACTTTTAAAAAGGATAGAAAAGGTGGATATTATAGCATAAACAAGACACCCAACAATAAGCATCTTTATTAAAGTTTTAGAGTCCTTAGAAAGAGGGTATTTAGAAATTCTATCGAATTTTGATCAAAAGTCAGTAGATTATTAATATTTAATAATTGGGAATCTATTTAAATTATATTATGGAATACTTCTCCAGTTGATAATTTAGCTGCCAATCTGCTTTGAAATTTGATTATATGTGAAATCGCTTAATATTTGTTTTATCATAGATATTAGTATGTAAAAGTGATTTAAATATAAAGAATGTTTTAACATTTTAGAATCAATAAATAAATTAAAATATAAAATAATCATCCTTTATAAATGAATTTCACTTTTATGATAGATAATTGTTTATCTTCTTGTTAAATAACATATAATGGACTTACTATATTAGATTATGCCAAAAGTGCTATTGAATATTTTGTTAAAAAGAGAACAAAAAACCCAGAATACAAGTATGATCAATACCATCTTTTTTCGTCTAAGTAATTTTTTGTTCTTTACATATTGTCTATAGTTCTTCAATCTCAACTTGGATACATGATGTTGGCCATTTTTTACAAAGAATTAAAACAGTGTAACCATAATTTGAGACCAATTTCAATTTAGAAGAGTGTTTCCACAATTTAAACAAATTTAGAACATTAAATGGTTATTTATATATATATTTAAATTGCAGGAACTGATAATCTATATGGGGGAAGAGATGTCTAAAAGATAGAGTCATCGATAGTGTTAGTTTTCACTAATCGTGAATACTCAGGCCTAGATTTCCATAAATTGATAAGATGGGATTATAAGCTTCTTGTATTCTTGATTTAACCACCAGGTATTGAAGAGCCTACACCAATATAAATATAAACTAATTGGCATAACATAGCGTAATAAATAGGATAAGGTGTCTGTTTTGAAATTTAAGATTACAATATTCTCTTCTAAATTTTAGATGATCCCAAATTGATCTCCCCTCAAATCTCTCTGTAATTGACAATGTTAGATCAAACAACTAGATATGAAGAAATCTAATCTGTTATTGAAAAAACTAAAATAGAAGTACATCCTTAATCAAATTCTTGGCTGGTTAGATCTATTTAGAAAATTAATCAATAATTTGCTTAAGCTAGATTAAGATGTGCTCCTCACGTTAATATATTCACCAAAGTCTATTTGCCTGAGTAATATCCTCTTGTAGATTTCAATGTAAATAAAATCAAGTAAGTAGAATTATCCATCGGTACCTGAATATTTTGTTGATTTCACTGTTACTTTTCAAGCAAGATTGCCTTAGTACATACCATTTTAAGAAATTGTTATAGAGAATGCAAATTTATTAAAGTATGTTTAAGGCATAACAACAAACAAAAGTAAATTACTACAATTTCCAATATTCTATCATGAATAAAAAGATGAATAATTAACCAAATACTTAGTTGGTTTATTTCTATTCTCATCAAGTCAAAACACAATGGAATTAAGATTGTAATAAAGATATATATAAATTTTAGCTATTTTCCAAATTTTTACATTTATTCAGAACTCTTGACTCAGTTAGTAAATACTAGAGATGATGCACGAAGATCTGTAGAGTCTAAATTTCTGTAATATTTATAAACTATTCCAAATTATTATGCTCCCTGTATTAAAAAGAATCTAGCAGAATAGAACATCTAAGTACAATATATATTGAATTTTATTAGATTTCCAGATATTTACTATTCTTAATAGAAGAAACAAATCATCAGTTGTATATGTAGAAAGTTAAAACATATCAAGCAAAAGTGCAGAAAATAAAAAAGATGGCTGATGAAGAAAACTATAAAAATAGATAATCGCATATTTCTAAAAAGAGTGTTTGTTGTGCTGCTTTCAGTGAAAACTATTAGGCAAGGTTTCAGGAATAAATTAAATGCGAATTTAGATAAGTTACTTAAATAAGAAAGGATATTAATTTTAATAAATTTTTACCTTAATTTGAGATTCAATCATGTTTACCCTAAATGCCAATAGTTCAACCAACATTAAGAAACATGAATTTGGATTTTGATGAAGCAGAGATCAGATTGGAACCATAATTTTGTGGGAATCCTTGGAAATTACAAAGGAAAACCTATAAAGATGGTATTGAAATAAAGGTAATTATGTTGAAACTAAGAGTGCTAGAATGAATAAGATGAATATCAATTTGAAGATATGATTTTAACAAGGGTTGATTCTGAAAACTAATCTCAGGTGAAAAATAGAAGAAAAGGATTCATGAAATTAAAGGATATCCAAGAAGGGAATCATAAAAAATCAACAATTGAATAACCTCAAATGGAAATTGAAGATTTTCAAACTGAATCCCAACCATCTACAAATAATAATAAATATGGATTTATCAAATATAATCCTTGCTATCAAGTAACTAATTTTCAATAAGTAGGCTAAATTTAAATTGATTGTATAAAACAAATTGAGCAATCAATTATCCACAAATTATTCTTAATCCACGAACAATTGAAGCACAAAAAGTAACAATAATTATTACAATTTTCTATTAGTAGTGTTAAATAAGAATTGTATACTTATTTTGTAAATAATTTTTTCTTCTTTTTACTTAAAAATTTAAATTAATAATGTTTGGAAACCCTCCAGGAAGCAATAATGCTCCAACATAACAATAAGGTAACCTAACTTCTTCAATTTTCAACAACCCTGCACCTACCAACAACTTATTTGGCCAAAATCAAAATCCCTTGGGATAATAGTAACAACCATAAGGAATTTTTGGATAATCACAATAGTTCAATACTTTTGGAAACAACAACCAATAATAAACTGGAATATTTGGATAGCCTTAATAACAATAACCACTTTTAGGATAATAGCAATAAACATTATTAACAGGATAATAGCCATAAACAACTTCATTATTAGGATAACCGCAATAATAAGTACCACAATTAGGATAAACCTAATAAAACAATTTACTTGGATAACCACAATAATAACAACCCTTAGGTTTAGGATAATAACCATAACAAACTCAACCAACTGCATAATAGCAACCTGCATAACCCAAAAACTATACATTAAATTAAATTAATTAACAAACTAAATTACATATTGAAAACTTGACTAAAGCAATAGCAAACAAAGAGAAGATAGATAAAAATTAAAAGAATTTATAACTAATTGAGAAAAACTCATTGAAAAATATCTAGCAATAATAATAGCCAGTTACTACACTTGGAATAAATTCCAATCCATAATAATAAGTGCAAAGAATTTTAGTGAAAGGGGATCGCAGAAATCATACATAGAAGGTTGAAAATTATTATAATGAATGGAATAAAGTATTTTTGAATATCAGCAAAAAATAAGATGAAACTCATGCCTAATTAATTGCCCTAGTCGATTAACTTACTTAATAAGATACATCTTTTGGTATTATTGCTATTACTATATAATTATAGATATAGATGAAGAATCACTCATTGACTCCATTAAATAATTGGGCAAGGATTTGGATGGCTTGGAACGTAAAATCAATTACGTAGTTAAGATATAAGAGAAAATCCTAGGGTTGGAAAAGGAGGAGTCTGAATGGGATCAGATTGTCAATAATTTAAGCGAATGTTTGTTGCACTTGGATTAATAAACTGTATATACCAATCTTATTCTTAGAAAGAAGTGGAGGATTTATTGCTATAAGCAGAAAAGCATCCTAAAGTGCAAAATAAATGAATTATCTATAATATAAATATTTAATATTTTTTAATTGATTTATTTTATATATTAAATTTTCATTAATTATTAAGATAATAAATAATTAAACTATTTATATGAAAGCTCAAGATAATTCTTTTAGATTACCAGCTTTAAAATTATAACCAAGAGAATATAAATTTAGCTTCAGTCAAGAATCTATAGAATAAAATCAGAGCAAAGAATCAATTTCATAGAATATTTTTAATCATTATAATCCTTCACCAAATAGACATAGGAATAAAATTATGTCTGTTTCTGTCTATAATAGTTAGGATAAGATAAAATAATCTAATTAGACCAAATATTATCAAAATAGTGAATTTATCACATGTCAAAACACCAATAATAGTATTTCAGTTGTTTAAGATGTTACAAGATATAGAAATAAACTCAAAAAACTTGTTTAACATAATTAAAATAGGAAAGAAATTAATTCTAGAGATCCTCGTTTTTTCTTTTTTAAAGAGCCTTATGCGTCTATTAAATTAAATAATCTCAAAGATGGCTAGAAACAAGTGGATAAGCTTTTGGAAGAAAGAATTAAGTAACTAATGACTAAAGTCTAAATCCTTATTTCTTCATAGTCTTTCTATCAACAAAAGAAATACGAGGCAAATCGCAATGTAAACCTTGTCAAATTGTAGGATGAATATAAAATATTATCTCAAGATTTCAATGAATTCTATTTCTCATCAAAAAGGATCGATTGTATTCATTTTATATTAAATTTAGCATAAATTAAGCATTTATTGAATCATATGTAGATTATTAAACAATTATTAAGCCCACTTCAAAAACCTTATGGTTAATGTTAAAAATCAAGTTAATCGTTGCATTAAAACATATTCGATTGGATTTAAGAGGAGACAAAAGACTCTGCAACCTAAAGAGTCGATAATTCGTAAATCTAAGGTAGTCTAGATACTTTTGATGAAGAAAGTGAAAATTAAGATTTCGACCAAGAAGAATCAGATTGCTTTGATGAAAATAATAAACAAAATGGACTATCTAAAAACAATTAAAAACAGTCATCAAATAAAAAAATAAAAAATGCTAAGTCAAGAAGTATTCTTAAAATAAATTAATATAGACTTTAAAATAAAACAATAGGATTCTCTGGATTTTGCTTAAGTGAGGTAGAATACAGATTAGGAAACTATAAAAATTGATGATTAAGGAATTCATCTTATCTCAAATAATGAAGGAAAAAGAAGAATATCTTATATAACAGATAATTCTAACAGTAACGGAAATTAAATCGAAGATGAACCAGAAGGATAAAATTCTGAGTTTACAGAAAATGGCAAAAACTAAAATAATCAATAGCTAAGGTTAGCCAGAAAAAGGGCTATTCTTAAAGGAGAAGGATCCAATTAATCAGATGAAGAACAAAATTCTAGAGATGATAATGAGATGGCAATTAAAGAGGAAATGAGTGAGAATGAATAAGAATCAGAGGTAAGAAAGTTAAAGAAAAATGATTAGAATATAAAGTAGGTCAAAATTTAAAATACTTTGAATAATTAGATTCTTATCTAGAATTAATAGGATGACTTTTAGGAGAGCGATGGTCCTTTATCTTTTCGTTAAGAAAGGTTTTTGATTTAGCATCCGAATCACGAACTTATTAGTGTCTCATTGCTTGATAGATTTCTACATTTAGATAATATCTATGATTATAAGTTTTTATAAAGTTGGAATTATCATATGACTAAAATCAGACAGGCTAAGTTTCTTGATGAATTTGACATTTGATGTGATAGTTTATTTAAAAATTGCTTAATATAAAACATATATCCTAATATTTTTAGTTTTTTCTTTAGTTCTTTATTTTTAATTATAAACTACCACTCTGATCATACTTGCTTATAATTATACCATCTATACTTCTACTATAGTTTACTATTTCAACAAACAATCTTTCTCCTAATTTTTGATCAGCACATAACTCCATTATATTTCATGCAATAATTCTAGATAATTCATATTTATATCACCAATTAATCTATCTTCTTTAAAAATTATACTACTGAATCCTATAAATATGTAAATAAAGTGTATCTTTACCTTCCTCTTTTTCGCTTCCTCCAAGTCTTAAGGATTTACCAGCACCTGTAGAACCATATCCATTAACAATCACCTTATAGCCTCGAATAGTTATTGAGTGAATGAAGCCACTATCTCGTTATAAATGGATTTAGAATCTTGCTATCACTTAGCTTCTGGAACTTCAAATTTAAATATGGTATAACAAAATCTTAATTCTACATAATTTCATCTGGTTTTAATAGAAAATCTTTGATTTAATTATTATTTTCCCAATATCTTATAAATTAGTTATTATATACATAATAAATAGTTTCTTATAAGAATTAATGATTTGTCCGAATATATATCTTCCCATTTATTGAAACAACTTTAAGGATCATTATAAAGATTATTTTAAGGTAATAAATGAGTTTTTTTGATTTTATAAATCTATAATAAATTATATAAATAAATATTATCTGTTAGCCAATATAATGGAATAATACGACAAATACCAACTGTTTTTAAGGTTAACCAATAAGAAAGAGACTATAAGCAATTACGAGGCTCTAAATTCATCATGCAAAAAACAGCATCCAACAGTATTGAGTGGGAAGAGAAATCCTAACAATGAGGCTTATAAGAAACTACATTAAAGTTCTGAAATTTTTAAAGAAAATACTACGCCAATTAAGAATGAAGTAACCAAACCAAAAAATTATGCCACAGAGAGAAAGTCACTTGAAGATTCGAATACCAAAAGAACATTGATTCCAAGTTTGGACAAATTTCAATCACCAGAAAGAAGATGTTCATCAAATATTAGATATAATGCCAATAACGAAAGTTCTTAAAAAGATTCGAAAAGAATTTTAAAGTATGTTAAATTGATCAATTTAGAACTTGTGAATAACGACAGCAAGATTTCTCTCATCGAATTAATTTACCAATCAGTGCTGTAAAATTATTTATTTACTATCTTAGATGCAAGTAAAAGATTATAAGGAAGATAATTATGGTCTAGGCAAATACAAATCACATGAGTCAACTTAAAAATTAAAAAGCTATCTTGACTTTTAAGGTCATATGAATAACTGTAAATTTATACATTTATTCAGAATCTTTTTAGAGTTAGACTGATAGATTATTTAAGACTCAGATTAAAAACTAAAAAAATCTTCTCTCATCATATTAAATATGTAAGACATAATCAGAGATAAAGAATGGAAAGAAGAGATTTATTCAGAGTGCCATGTCACAATAGTTGTCACCTCCTATAAATCCAATAAAACCAAAAGATATCAATAAAATATTTCTTAAGAGTTCTAAGGAAGTTTGGGATAATTAAGTAAATTATACATCTTAATGATTTAGCAATCGTAATCAAAAGCAATAGTGAAAATGAATCACGCTAATCAATAAAAAAGCTAAATCGATTTAAAATGAGATCAACTTCTATATAAATATATATAAAATTCTATTTTTATTTTTCAAGCCATTCATTTCACATATTGTTATTCAAGAAAACATGAAACCTCTTAGTTTAGTTAATTATTTTTTTATTTCTTAGATAAAAACATTATAAATTTGATGAAACCTCAAAAAAGTATTATAAAAGAACTCAAAACTTATGAACACAATCTTTTTAAATAAAACAAAGAACACAAAAAGCTTAACATAAATGACTTTCCCAATCTCTCTAGGAAGCCAATTGAATGGACAGATTGCGATTAATTTATTAAGCTCAGATTATTCAAATGTGATAAAAGATTAGCAATTAAATTATGCTAGCAGTACAAAATTCATAGATCAGATTAACAATTTTTTGATACCATATAAAATGTCAATATTGAAAATGAAGAATATAAGAAAATTAAAAATGTTACTACTTTATGTTATTAATTAGAGCACATCATTTTTATTGAGGCATATCAGATAAAATCAATTAAACAAGTAAAAACATAGACTTGAATTCTAAGAATCGTAGTTTGACAGTAAGATGTCTTCAATTCTAGACCACTCCTTTTCAAAATTCTAAAAATCTCTAGATAAACATATTGAAACTGATAATACATTTTAGCATACATATAATTTAAAACAATTAACAAAAGACTAATTGTTGAAAAAATTATAATCATTGTAACATTATTCTATTTGATATTAGAAATCAAACTCTCAAACAAAACGCATTGACTGAGAATGTGTAATCAAATGAATCCATTCAAAAAGTCAGTTTGCCTGTAACATTTACATCTGTAAACTATTGATTTTATTAACAAGATACATCGATCATAAACAGAGAGGAAGTATTCAAAAGGATATACTCCATCATCAGGTTTATAAACTTAAAGAGAGACAAAAGCCAATTTTACAAAGACCTTGTAAAGATGGCAATAAAATTCAAAAAGCCACAGATCCCTTTAACAAAGTAAAAAAATAAGAGAAGATGAGATAAAATTAAAGCCTTCATTCTCAAAAGATTTGCATAGTTTAAAAAATATCGGTACTTTTACAGAAATTGGATAAGCTAAAAATAAAAGCAAAAGACACATGACAAATTATAGTATAATTAAACATATTAGCGGTTTTGGGTGATGACTATTTGATTGATTTCTTACTTAAATCGTATAAAGTTAACACAATAATTAAGTTAAATTATTAAATGAAAACTCAAAGAAAGAGTTTGATTAAAGAAATTTAAGCTCACTGTCCTCTTACTCTCAAGTAAGCTAGCTAATTCTATCAAGCGAACCAGTTGGAATAGTGTAACCCCTATGTAACAAGTTGTATACAAAACCATTGAGTGATTGGAAAAATGTGGAAGCCTTTATTAAGTGGAGAAATATGAAATGCGAGAAAAGTTTAGCATTATTGTATAGTACAAAAAAGAATTGCAGAATTGATTTACCGATTCCTTAAGTTAAAAAGTAATCAGATAATAATTCTACTAAATCTATTGATGTAATCATTCCTTATTAATAATAAGAAAAAAAATAGAACAAGGGATATAATTTAACATTGTTAAATGAATAAAACAAAATAATATGAATACATTGATACATCTTTAAATAAAATGTATTAAATATAGGACAAATCTGCATAAGAGTATTAGAGTTATCTAAGTAAGCATTTAGAGGACTCAAGAGCAATGAGTAAAGCTATTTCATTTAACCTATAAAGCCAGTCTCGTTTTTAATTGTTTCATAAGCTTAGAAATATGTAATAATTTTCTGTTTACACAATAAAGGAACAAGAACGTTCTTAACCAATTAAGTTAACAACCTGAATAAATTTAAAGCAAGTAGGAGGACTCAAAAATGATAAAGATTGAGGTAATCAAAATAATCATCAAGTAGACTACTCTACGAAGCACAGATGAACAAAGCAATTTAGATACATCTCCAATTACTTAATGTGAGGATGGGTAGAACCATAGGATAAAAAACAAACTAAAATCATTGATTGGGCCTATCCAAAAACGGTCAACCACAAAAAATAGATAGTTAACTTTACCTTACTTTTCGAAAAATCAATTAAATATTAAACCGAGTCATTTTTTTGTGACAAATCAAGATTGTGAAATTAATCAATCTTTAGATAATAACAGTAACATCAACTCATTAATACGAAATAAATCATCTATGTTTAGTCGAGAAATGAAGAGAATTCGAATTTAAACTGAATGTTGACTAAATTGTATATAAATAATTTGTGTAATTTAATTTAATGAATTACGAATTCACAATCTAATAAGGTTGTTTAGCATTTCTAACTGGGTTTTTATTAATCAATATGTTAATTGCATCGTATAGAATTAGAAAGGACATTAATGATGTATTAGATAAAATAGAGAGGAATATTTTTTATTTATTTACATTCTAATGTAATAATTTTATTGACTTAGAACTGCTTTATTTGGCATTTATAATTAAATAATTAACAATATTTATGGGTGCACTTAGAATATCAAGGCTGTTATCAGTTGTTTTAATCTTAGAAAATTTTACTATTATGCAAAACAAAAATGATTCGTTTTACGAAAATGTATGTTTAATAGGAATACTAGTTATCAAAAAGAACTAAATTTGTTATTTTGTTAATACTTTTAATTGTATGGGCAATGATCTACATCATAGAAGGAGATTTCTATTATTGTGATTAATCATTTTGGATTTGTATATCATTTCTGATCTTTCTTGTTGCCATTATGAATCTCTATTCTGGATCTTTTATACTAGCCGACATCCATTATTATTTTAGTAGGTTAAGATATTAGTAACCAATTGGTAATTTTGCGTATCTCAAATAAGTAGATATGCAAAATAAACAATAATAAGTATTTATTATAATTTTGAGCGAACTTATCTCAGCTGCTACTCTTATTTATTAGGATTTTTATACTTATTATAAGAAAGGATCACTATTTTGCATAAAAACTGAAAATCATTTATAGCAATTAATAGTAATGTCTATGATGGTTACATCATATTAACTAACAAGTGTTGGGGTGTACTTTTTGTATTATAGAAAACACAGAAAATATTTTCTGAGCAAGCCATTTGGTAGGATAAGCTAATGAAAGTGTTGAATACTTGTTTATAAGAAATAATATTATTAATGTATCAACTTAAATCAAATCCTGAACCTGACTCTTTTAAAGACTTTAGCAATTTTTCTCTTAAAATATCCTTAGAAGAATACTCTGGCAAATCAATACGATTAAAGCTAGAAATAAATAACAATACATACCATGCATGAGCCTTAATGAAATGTTCTTTGTTGAAGTCTTTCGAAATAGAGAACTTTCTTGGACCATTTGGACCTCTTAGATTCTTAAATCCTCCAAAAGGAACTAGAGGACTTCCAGTTGCAAACATTAAGAAATCAGCTTTCTCAGAGTCACTTAAAGTTGTCAAAACTTCCCAAAACCATTAGACTGTTTAGTTATTTTTATCATAATTTATGTATTCAGTATTAGCTGATAAATCATCCACTAAAATGAATATTAAAATAAAGTACCATCTACTGAAGGAACTCCTATTATTAGTTTTTAAAGATCTCTCCAATCCATGTAAGAGAAATACTCTTTAGGCAAAATGTCAAAAAAGCCCTCTCTTAATGCTTAAATTTAAGTTTTGATCTCCTCCAACATAATCCTTTTACTAATAAATTCACATATTAATCTTTTGTGCTTTATTGATACAAGAGAGGTTTATTTATCAAATACTTCCTACAATTTAATGCATTTTACAACCTCATCATTCAACTATTTTTTTTTATTCTTTCTAATAAGTCTTTTCTTCTCCCTATTTTCCATATCTTCAGCTGTAATATCTTCAGATTCCTTCTTTATTTTATATTCTACTTTTTCGGTTTTCTATTTTTCCTCTTTGAAAGGTATCAAGGGTGGAACCACTTCCTCTTATTCAACCTAATTTTATTCTTGTTATTATTTTTATTGCTGTTCCAATCGTAATTATTCTTCTTCCATAAGTTATTAGGATTAAAGTTAATGTTCTTACTGCAATTATAGATATAATAATAATTATTATTATTCATTATATTCGAAATTGAGCTCTAACAATGATGCTTCTTGTTACTGTAAGTCCTCTTATTTTTATTATAATACATTCTGAGTAAAGAATTATAATTTTTGTGTTTCAGAAATCAAATATTAATCTAATAATTACTATTATTATTATTATATTAATAATTATTCCTTCTTTAATTCTTCCTCTATTTACAAATATTTTTAGTAGTGATATTGTTGTTGCAATTATTATTACAATAGTAGTTCTTATTCATATTCTTATTATTCCTATTCTAAGATTAATTGTTTTTCTTCTTATTTTTCTTATTCCTGTTTTTATTATTCTTATTGCCATTGTTCCTGTTATTATTATTCTTATTCTTATTATTACTATTTTTATTCCAATAACTATTATTATTCTAATTACTATTGCTATTATTGCTATTATTATTATTCTTCTTATTACTATTATTTTTATTATTCCTATTATTCCTATTATTCCTATGATTTTGATTATTATTTTGGTTAATCTTACTTCTAACTTAATAAGGGCTCCTATTTAGAATCTTATTCTGATTATTATTCTTATTTTACCTCAATAGGGTTCTTTTCTAGATAGTCTTAAAGTAGATCAGCAAAGATAAGTTTTTTGTTTTATTCTATTAAACTTGCATATTCTTCTGGAATCCAAAATTCAAATAAATCTTTATACTGAACTTATGTTTCATCATTTAAAAATTTGATAAAGGTGTCATAATATCCTTCATTATAATGCTCAAGATCATCAAAGCTAGGCTTTTTTTAAAGAATTTATTTAAAAATAGGAGAGATGAAATAAACAGGTAAAAGCAATCCATCGTAAATACTTTTGGCAACTATTTTACCCAATAGTTTATAATGATTCAAATCATCTTATGCTTTTTTATTTGGATTAATTTTGTAAAATCTTTTGGTTGTCAATTCGAATTTATCTGTTTAAAGGATATCTTTAACAAGATTAGTCATCCACTCCTTTCTAATACCTCCTTCATCCTAACCTTTTTCTCCTTGATATCTTATTTTAATATCGCATTTTCTAAACTTTGCCTTATCAATATTAATAACTTTTTCCAAGGATTGCTAAAGTCTTGTTTCTCTAACAACATTTATTTCAATAGTTTCATTTTATCTGCCTCTTGATCGAGTATTAGGTTTTTCACTTATTTTCAAAGCCTCTAAATCTAATTCAAATAAGTGTTTTTTATTCTCAAAAGAAATTATTTGACTCATTTTAAAGAAAACAAAAGCCAAAGGATCTGTCTCTTTGAATAACTTAATGAGATTTGCATTCTAATTCTACTTATGATCTATAGTAACCTACTGAAGTCTTTATGATATCAAATGATTAATGAGTCTTTTTCCATTAATACAAAGATAAGTGAATAGTTCATCTATTTTCATTTACATTTCGTTTTCATTTCGGACTGCAGAAAATGAACGCTTCAAATGAATGTTCTGAGTTTGTAATAAGCCAAATTACAATGAATTAGTGGCAGATCCACTTGTATTTCGCTCAAAAAAGTTAGAATCAGAAGACCCTGAAATAAGGGAATCTGAATTATTTGCGTCTTCATGTACATTTTAGTAAAGCCTTAGGAAACATTCTAAAAGAGGGTAAAGTTTTTTTTGTAATAACTCTAATGATCTCTGACCTTTACAATTGAAAATCAATAACAATGTTTCCACTACGTTAAGCCACAAATGATGTGTTTATCTTGTTTACAATATATTAATGAATTATTTTCTAATATCTTTCTTAGTTAAAACTTCGACCTCTTGTGTGTCATCCGCATTTTTACCTTGTTAATGCAATTTAAAGTTCTTTTTATCGAATTAAATTTGTTATCTAGTTTATGTTGAATTTGGTTTATTTGTACATTATTTTTATTAATCTATAGTACTCAAGCTAAGATTCAAAAACCCTGTTATTGCTATAAAACATCTTTAAATGATGCTAGGATCTGGCGTTTTTTAATTAAGTTCTTTGATAATTTCGTTTTCTTATTGAGACAACTACTATTATCTTTAAGGATCATACTCAGCCACCTTCTCTAGTTAGCTTGTGATTTCTCTAAGTTATTTTCTTTTTCTATCCAATTCATAATTGAATATCTTTGATTGCTATATTATATATTTGGTCAACTCATTTATAGAATGTTCTATTTTTAATCTATCATTTGCATATGTATTGAGTATATTAATAATTTCAGTAGAATTGCAATCTCTGAGTAATTGGTTACTTAGAATTTTGCATAACGCAGTAATTATATCTATTTCTACGTGTGATATCTTTGCACTCACTTTTCTCTCTCTTTTTTATTATTTTTAGTCTGATTCATCCAAATCCTCAAGTCTATTTTAAAATTTGTTTTACGTTTATTATGGCAGTTATTCCTGTATTATATTTTATAATTAATTCTGATTCTATTGTTATTCTTATTACTGTTGATTTTATTATTACTGTCTTGATTGTATAATATTATCGTAAAACTGTTTAAAGTATTATTAATATGATTATTATTAGTCTTATTAATTTTCATTCATTTTAAAGAACTTATCATAAAATTATCTAACTTGCTATGCTCCTGTTTATTGGAAACTTTAAGAATAATTTTGACGTTATTGTTAGAATTATTATAATTATTATTGTTATTATTAAAGTATTGATATGGAGGGTATCGGAGGTTGATTTAAAGGCAATGTTTGAGGTAATAATGGTTATGGAAGTTATGGCATAGAAAATATGGAAGTATTTTAGAGATTAGATCTTTACTATTACTATTATTACTGTTATTATTACTATTACTATTACTATTATTACTGTTATTATTATTATTATTATTATTATTATTATTATTATTATTATTATTATTATTATTATTGTAATAGTTCATTTTATCTAAATGAAAAAGGCTATTTACTAAAATATGATATTGGTTCCCATTAATCTTATTAGTTATCAGAATATCTATCTCCAAATGTTTTGAAGATCATTTCTTCAAAATTTATGTCTTACTCATGTTTATTGAGTTAAGAGACAAGATCAAATAATTTATGGTTTTATTCATCTTGGTTATTATTTGTAAAGATTGTAGCTTACCTTCTCTATATTTTTGATAGATAATCTTCATCATGCTTTCTATTCTTATCCTTGACATCTTCTGTAATCACTATTAATGAACCTCTGATAATTTGTAGCAAATAAGATAAATGCATTCCAGTTTAGTTTGCTAATAATGGAGTCAAGAGTATGTCTAAAATATAAATTAATTATACTTTTTTCTAAAGGAATATAAGATTCTGGATTATGAAATAGTTTCATAAATGAAATATTTTTCTCACAGTATGTGTTGAGTTAATTAATTAAGAAGACTAAAGGATTCTCAGGATCCTCATCCTGAGGTTATTCATCAACATTTTCTTCTTCCTCAATCACAAATTGTTCTTTAATTTCTTAGACCTTGGCAAGATTAGCTTTTTCTCTTCTATTCAAGATGGGACTCACCTATAATTATTCAGACAACAAATCTCTAAGAATAGTGGAAGGGATTTTTTGACTTACAAGATATAAGATTTTCAAAGTTAAATCTAAATTGTGTTTCTGTTCCTAAAATAATAATAATAGCTAAATTAATAATTTGAATCCAAGTCTAGAACATTTACAAATCTATCTAAACAAGTTAAAGGGAAACTAAGGGAAGCTATTTGCATCTAAGAGTAGATTTATGAATATTTCAAGAACCAAATTATCATAGATGAATAGTTGCTATGGATCTGGTTATGTAAATTATCTTTTTGGAATCTGCAAGATAATTGGCTGAATTATCAGATGTTCTTCAGGATGTAATAAACTTGATAGTTTGGCTTTCAGTAAGTTTTAATCTTGTAAATCAGTTGGCATTCCATTCAAAACTACTCTGCTTTGGAGAATATTACATGAAATTTAACATAAAACTCTGTGTTACTATTATTTTGATTCATTGATATTAATTGACAGTGAATTTGCTTAGTAATCTTGTTATAATTAATTAGGAGGTTAACCAAATTTAGAATAGAAACAAATACTTGCCTAGACTTACAGATTATTGAGAGTTCCATTCAAATAGTAAGAGAGATATTATTGCATAGAATCATTGGATCTATTTCTCTAATAATTTGAGGACAATAAAATCCTATTGATCTAATTAATATTTTCAACTGCGATTTTAAGTTAGTTTTCATAAGATTTAGAAATCAAAGACTTCTTATTTTCAAAGTATTCATTTGAACTATAGTACAATCCTACGATAGAGGTAATCCACTATTTATAATCGCTGGAATGATATTAGATGTTTGCCTGTGTGATTTATAAAGCAGGTAATTTAAAAGTAATAGTGTATGGATCAACTTTACAAAATAAGATATTAAGGTCCTTCTATGGGAATATGTTTTATTGATTTTCACGTTAAACTCTGTCATCGTCTCGATTCATGCTGTATTTAGACATGAAATCATTGTTGTCATAATAGTAATCAGAGCCCCAGGAATTAATATTCGAATAGTTAGCTTTGTATTTGATTTAGTTATTATCCACTTAAAGAATATCTTAATCTGAATCGGAATCACTCAAGTCTTCTTCTTATTGCTTCTGGTTATTCTATCTTTGATTATTATAATTTTTCTTGGATTAATAGAGTGGCCAAACCAATTCTTGTTAGTGTTCATCTTTCAAAGTTTATTGAGTTTATTAATGAGAAATAAAATGCTGTGCTGATCCTATAGTACTCTAAAAACTGGGATACAAAGAATAACAAATCAATTGATTTTTTAGACAATGCAAATAATGATATTTAAATGGATTGTCAGTTATGCTTTATTGTAATCTGAACACTTCACCATATCTTCCATATTGAATGTGATCATAGTATATTTATGATTACAAAAATGGTTCCAATGCTTTGGCTATGGTTTGTTGATATGTCTTAACAAATTGCTTATTTTCACAATTTTTAATTTGATTCAAAGTGTCAATCAATTAAGGAATTATGTTCAATTAGGATCTTTGATCTGTTAAGATCATGCAACAATTCTAGATGGTTAGTGTCTAGGTGAATAAGGTTAATAGTTGTAAGATATGATAATATTTCTGTATCATCTATTCCTAATTGATGTCTATTTACAATTCATTCAATAATAGTTGTAAAACTTCTTATGCAATAGTGACACCATATCCAATAGACAACAAATTGATGTCACTGAGGTAGTTGTGCATAAAGTTAGCGAACTTATCTCCTCCCACCCATGTCAAATATTTGATTACAAATTCTATGAAAGTGATCTTTTTCTAATCACTTTTTAAGTGAGATGGTAAAACAAATTAAAATTCTCTTAGATATAATACCAATTAAGGAATCTTAATTATGAGCATTTCAATAATCCTCAATAGTTGATCCCAACCATAAAGATAAACCCTATTATCGTCCTTTTACTGAATACATTAGACTTTGAATATCTGTTCTATCAAAATACAATTCTCTTCAAAAAATCTATCTATTGTTGTTTAAGCAATCATATTGACTAAATCAATGAAGTTTTCGTTCAATTATGGCTCAATCAATTATTCGATCTCATATCTGATAATAATGTCAGTCTAAGGTTGAGCCTATAATTCTTTTTCTTTTTCCTTCAATAATCTTTCTTGTTCTTTTGTTAATTTCCCTGTAGGTTAAGGCAATGATTATTTAGGAGCATGGATTCTTTTTAATTCTGAAAATTTGTCTGTAATTGATAAGCCTTATTGTTCCAATATCATATTATAGATTATTGGGTTATTGATTAATACAGGATGGTATTATAATAAATATTATAATGGACATTCAATAAATTTTTAAGGGAATTGTATCTAACTAAGATCTTCTGAATTTTTTAATTATTAAGCATGCCAATCGATATGTTCGTTAAGCATGACTTATTTCAAAATTTAGAAAACTAAATCATTTGTAGTTTTATTATCAATGGCAACTAGATAGATTAAGTTTTCAAGAAACACTGGTTGAGATTCCTCATATTCGATATGACTGCTATTAAATTTCAATTATAATAGAGCCTCCAATAACGAATTTTTTTCACTTGGTTATTTTTTGGTTAACATGCTGAACAATTTGCCTTGATTATGCAAACCAAAATTATTTAAGCATTGTAATAATTATGTGATCAATTATTTATCAGAATTGAATCTTCTTTAGATAAGTTATCTAAATTAAATTATGTTTTGAGATTAATCTCTTTATTATTTTAATTATTAATTATTGTTTATTTGTGTTTCTATTTCATCAAGGAAGTTAAAATTTAATTGAGTTTATTCCTATAATTCTCGATTGTTTGTGCAAACTTAAATTAAAAATTCTAGATATATAATTATTTAATTCCAATATCTCTCAATTAATTAATCATGCTTATTTTGCAAATTCAAGACAAACTTGGTAAGGTACTTTTGTGCTTCTAACAATTCTTTACAGAATAATTTTAATGTGGTTTACTTATTTTCAAATAACATATTAAGATTATTAGTTATTGTTTGAGCTTGTTGGCAGATTTCTGTATAGGTCATTTCTGAAATTTTAAGTTGTTTCAATTAATCCAACTCTAATTGTCCAATCTTTTTAAACTAATCGAAGATATCATGCGATAAAGCAAAACCGATTGTAATCATAGATTGAAATTGGAGCACATGCTTTGATTATGATTCTTGATCTATTAAAGCCAAATTAGAATAGAGTTTTTCATGTTCTTAAGGAGCGATCTATTATAATAAGTTGAGCCATTGTAATGCTTTTTAATATTGAATCATGGTAGCATTTAAATCTGAAGAAGAATTATCTTATTTTAAGGGATTTAAGATCATAAAAATATACTCTATAATTTTATTTACATGTTATGACTTCTTGGCTATTGTAAATAGATATTCTAATAAATTACCACTTGATTTTTGATTATGTAAATTTTAATCTAATAGTTTACTAAGATTGGAATCTAATTTTAATTAGAAATCATTAATGAATGCCAAAAACCTTTCTGATATATTTAATTAGGTATTTGCTAATGGGAAATGTTATATTAAAATTTTCATAAATTATTCTTAATCCAACGCTTCGATTTCCTTCTGTTCGTTTTATATTTCAGGCTCTACTTTTTATTATTATTGATCCTACGTGTCTTAATTCGTTTGAGCTTATTCTGTATTCTTCACTACTTCAAGAGGATCTTCTTGCTCTTCTTCATCATCAGATATTCTCTCATTGATCAACATATCAATGATCATTGTAGGTTCAGGAATTTCAATCCTTTGAAGTGCTTTCTTGATTAATTGTTATTTGAATCCCATATCACAAATATCATCGATCATGGCTTTGATTTCAGGTCGATCAAACAAAGACTTTTTCTATTCTTGTCTTCCATCACTTCCAGATTAAGTTATATCCTTATTTCCAATTATCTATTATTCTTTTGTCTCAGTTCCAGCGATCTTTCTCATGTCCTAAATTTATAGATCTTTGATAGAATAAAACCTCTATATTAGTTGTTCCAACAGTGTCTTTAAATTCCCTTCACAATTATTGTAAAGTAGAAGATCGATCATTTAATTTACTATTGATGCTTATGCTACAAAAATTTCATTGCATACTATATCCAATTATTAGGGATCCTAAATTATTTAATCTGACAATTATATCTTATCGATTGAAATCTTCTTAAAAATCAATAGTTTGATAATGTTATCTATATGTTAATGTATAGCTTCGATAAATCCAGGCAAAATCTTTCTAATAATTTCCTACTCTTTTGTTCCATTAAATTATTGTTGTTGTCTTTAGATTTTATCCAAGTGTTGTAGAATTTCAACCAATTACAAAAAGAAATTGCTATTCTGGAAACAGATTACAGCAAATTGTAATGGTTAATACTATTGTTCTAAACTCAAAAATAAATTCTAGAGGAATTTGAATGATTTCAACATATCCTATAAATAAGTTACAATTGAAATAATTTAAATTCCTTGTGCTTGCTTAAGTTATTGACACTTCTCTGAGAAATTCTGGAAGAACAACTAAGTTATTTCCCCGTATTTCTTAACCACAAAATCCTTTTATTCTGCATGCTATTACAATTTGCTTATCAAATCCAGACAGGATGATTGCAATGGAATCAAATTATCCTTGCTAATTCTTCTCCTTATTTAAGAGTCCTCATCATAACTAGTCTGATGTTTCTGGACCTATTATTTAGCTGTCATAAACATCATAATAGATTCATGGAAACCTGCATGTTATGAGGATAGAAAATAGATTTCTAACAATTATGAAATCATTAGATGGGCATCTTAATTTTGTCCCACACCCTAATTCACACACATCTTAATCAAATAATGTATCAAGTGGAAACGACTCAATATGTAGAATCCTCTGTAAGTTTAAGGAGAGATGTGTTTGATGATCTTTCTAAAAAAGTATTTGTCACTCATATGGATAGACAAGGCATCATAATCCACTAATTTTCCAATATCGATTATCTTCTAATCACCAATAACCATATAGTTTTAAGAGATTAGATCCAATTCCTTCCATAGAGAAGTATAAGGATTCAACTTGTTTTTCTTACACAAAATACCGACGTAGTGTTCAACATAGGTATCCTTATTCTTACTACCTATCAGAATTGGACTCATTATTATCTTCTCTAAGGCTTCAACGAATTTTTAATTCTTCAGAAGTGAGTTGAACAATATATCCTTTTATCTTTGGGCTTCTTCTAATTACAATTCTTCATACCCTTGGAATGATCGATATGAAGATTTCCTCTCTGGCTGTAATTGCATGAACAACTATAATAATGCCTACAAGCTTTTTGATGAACTATAAAAGGATTGCAGCTTATCTTAATTACTCACAATTTCCTCTATCTTGTCTTTACTCAAATCTACCAATTATGATATCTGAACAAATGTGTTCTCTATCACCTTCTCTATTTACTTTTTTGCCAACATGCTTTGACTATACAGCATGATAATCTTCTTTGCAAAATCATCACTCACTGTTGGATCATTTATTAACTCGACTGAAGGCAAATAACACTTGATAAAGATCCTCTTAATCAAATTATCTTTTTCTTATTTATCTCCACTATTATTTGATTATTATGTTAATGAAATTGCTTATTCATTTGTACTGATTGCAATTAGCAAATTTATAATTGTTACTATTAATGGGGATGCTCTTGAGCATATCTTCAATAATTCAAATATTCTGTTGATCAAATATTACAAACTATTATTTTCGCAAAATTATCTTACTCTGGCAGGATTCTCTCCCATTGTTATAGCTAATAATGTGATCAAATATGTGTATAATGTTTCATTGAGTTCAGCAGAAAGTAGAGTATCTTCTAAAATTTTGTTTGACCAGATTTCAGTTAATAGTTTGTGATATCGTTCAGGAACTGGTATCAAGAATTCGGACTATGCATTTTGAATCTACACTTAATCAAATTCTTGTTTATAGTATGTCACCAATTAATTTAATAATTGAATTGCTCTGATTTATTGTTGAATTTGAGAATTCTTATTACTATTCTTGAGGAACTCCACTACTCCCTGTATTATCTAACTTTCTAATTGGTAATCCAATTGTTGGTTTTGATTATTGGCAGGCAATTCAGTGATCAAATTGACCGAATAGGTTAAGATTGGATTTAAGATGTAATATGGCAATTTGGTTTCCTCATCTGATGCGAATGATTTTCTTATGATTTGAATAATTATGAAATTCCATTATGTATAGTTTGGTTATTTTTTAAACATCTAAGTAAACTGTTGATCACACAATTGTTAAAAGAACAATTATTGTAATTTAACATTTAAATTCATTCTATTATCATAGAAATTCCCTTCAGTGATTTAGAATACTTTCTTCCACCAAATTAATGTGTCTTGTATTCCTTATAATTCAAATAACCACAATTTATCCAAGAATGTGTTATGCTCATATAGTTATATTTGCTTTGATTTAATAAACTTGTAACTCTCCACCAAAGTATCTTCTAATGAGTCATCTTTTTTGCTAGCAATCATCCTTATTAATAAAAACAAGTAATCCTTTTGATCTATCAATCTATTGGTGATGTCTGTCATAAATTTGGGATTAATTAACTGCAATTCTGAGAAGATGCATTTGAAATGAAATATGTAATTTCTTATGAACATCTTTTACAGCAATTATTCATAGTTTGAATAATGACAAAGCAATCGGATGAAGATCTAATCAAATAGCATACTATCTTTTTAGACTTTGATTTCAGCTGCAATTTATAAACTTTATTCCAATGGACTTTTGGTACAATCAAAAGGAATGTCTAAGATTACTGGTGGAGACTTGAGTATTTTTCTGAAATTGCTCAGCTCCAAATACCTTTGATAAATATTCATGTCCTCATTTGGGATGGTGATTTTGAGATTGTAATTGTCAGTAGAATATTAAAATAATTCCTGATATTCCTAATCTGACAAATTGTAGATATTCTTTTACAGAAATGCATTAATATACATGAATCTTAGAAAGACTTTCTCAAATTATTCAACTATGATTAACAATTTAATGGTTACTTTTAAATTTACAGGCTTTAGATGCATTCATTGATTCAATCAAATATTGAAAACATTACACCAACTTATAGATTTTTTATATGTCATAATCTGGATTGTGAAATATTAGAGTCAAAATATGTTCATAACTAAAAAACATGTCGACTTTAAATTATTTAGATTGAAATACTTATTTTTGAATTTGCTGACTTGAGTATGTAATCGCAACATTATAAACACAAATCCCAAATTTAAATAGAATCAGATTCACCCAGCAATTAAATACAGAGGGTCTGGTCTTGGTCTTAAAATAAAGCAACTGCTGCTTCGAATATTGTGTCAATTGTTTCACAGATGATGCGTGTATACATGGGATCCTATAATTGTTTGCATTATGCAAAATCTTAAATTCTTTCTACAAGAGGCTTCTTGGTTGTTTCAATCCAAGAGTAATCAGTTTAATCGACATGCTTAGATTTCTTATATCTTCTAACCATGCTTTCATAGTAAGCTTAGGGAATTCGCATCTTTAATTTTAATTAATGAATAAATGCAATATTTTAAATATTTATATATAAATTAGGCATAAATAATTTATTTAAATAATTATGCTCAGATTAGTGAGCAGAGCGAGGTTCTGTGTAGCACAACGAAATTTCTTTGTTGTGCCTCCACTCTATCCAGAAAAGGAAGACTTGGCATACAGACCCAAGATTACCTCCTATGATGATTCACAGAAGCAATTGCATGCTGTCTATAAGAAGAAATTGGCAAAAATCAAAACCAGAGTCACACAGTATGTAAATTAGTTAAACTTAGACGAGTGAGAGATATGCAACCTAAATAGGATAACAAATTGGAATAGACTGAAAAGAATGGCTAAGATCTATTATAAAATGTATTGAAACATGTCTACATTGATGAAGAGACCAATTGTCCTTTAGGATTATTCTTTGATGATTTTGTTTATGATATCAAAATGAAAAGAGGACAATAATATGAAGCAGAGTATAATCGTAAAGTTCAAGGATTGTTATCTTAGATGGTACTTGTTAATCTTTAGTATATAGAGAGTTATGTCAGAAACTGAACTTCTACAAACATCTAAAGATTTGTTGGTTAAAAGTGAAACACCTGAATATATAGCCAAAGCTAGAAAAGTTGTTTTTGATAGATTTTTGGAAGGAATAAAAAAATTACCAGAGGATGAAAGAAAGAAAATCTTAGGTGATGATGCTTAAGATTTTGATAAGAAAATAAATGATGAAGCAATTCTAAATAAATACGTAGATTCCAACTCTGTGAATGCAGTAGCTGAAGAGATGGCAAGGGAAAATTTGTAAAAGGATTTAGAAGATTTTTAAATTTATGACCCAAAATATAATGATAAAAACCAATAACTCACTTTTGGAAAGGCATATCTAAAAGATCTTGATTTCTATGAATCTGGATGTACTGTTGAAGAAATTTCAGATGATGAGCGATTATTAAAAATGAGATACATTAGACCCTCGGATGGTCAAGAGGCTTTATAAACTGAATAGTCTATTATAGATAAAGTTAACTTAAATTTCGTTAAAAGAGCCTATTTGAAAAGATTAGCTAATAAATAATAGGAACCTAAAGAACCGAAAAAGGAAATAAATGCAAGAGATCAATAAATTTGGGAATAAAAATAAATACACAAATATCTCAAGAATCTAGATAGATAATCCTTGTAACTTCAAATGAAAGCCAAGAAAATTGATAAAAGGATCATTGATCCTGTCAAATTCTAGGATATTGTTGAAAATATCGACTTTTTGTTATTAGGTGCTCCTAAATTCATAAAGGATTTGTATAAGGATCCAAATAATAAGATAAAAGGATATGAATCTGTATTTTAAGATGTGGAGAAGATTAAAGGACAAAGTTTGTTTTGGAAAGATTTTAGGTCTTCATTTTAGACTATCTTCCCTAAGGTTAAGCTCCACAAATAACAAGATACTTTTGTGGACATTAAGAAGCAACCTTATAATAGACAGTAATTAAATATTATATGTTAGTGTTAAGGAATTCTTTGAGGAGAAGGTGGATGAAGTGAAAAAAGATGAGTATCAATTTTCAGTTGAATTATACAAAGAATTCCAACAACCAAGCAATTTGGAATTCTTCCATCATTACTTAACAAATATTTTCAAACTAAATAGAGAATAAATTAACGATGGATTATAAGCATTTAGTGACAATACAAATCCATATACTTATGAAGTACCAAGCACAGCGATGATGGCTGATGATGTAGATCCAGATTTTGAGGATGTAGTTGAAGAAGAAGTTAAGATTGAGGATTTCAAGGAGAAGAGTGCAATCCAAATTGATTAATTAATAGAAAAAGATTATAGTGAATCTTCTCTACTTTATTATGTGGGAAGAGGAAGAAGAAAGTCGTCAATTTGTTATGTGCAACTCAAGAAAGGAGTAGGAGAGGTGACTGTAAATGGTAAGAACTTAATCAATTACTTTACTCATCCCGTATACAGAAGAACAGCATTGAGAGTATTAGAATTGGCTCATCTTTCATGTTTAGTTGATGTGAATGTGTAATAATCTTATTGTAAACATTAGTGTAATAAGAGGAGGAAGTCAGTCAGCATAATCTCAATGCATATGCTCAGCCTTGAGTAGAGCCATTGTTAAAATGTGTCCAAGTATCAAGGGAATATTCAGAAAGTTACTGTTAACAAGAACTGATAGTAGATAAGTGGAAAGAAAGAAGCTCGGTTTATATAAAGCTAGAAAGAAGTATCCTTACAGCAGAAGATGAGATGTTATATTTTTATCTATATAATTGTATATTAACATTCAAATATCATCATCAACATCATCTCCATCTTCCATGCCGAACTCTTCAAATTTCTTTTAGACTACTACATCCATTTTGAATTCATCTTAAGCATGTTAATGTTACTGTTAATGTTAATGAATCTATTAACCAACTTGCTCTTCTTGTTCTTCTTCCTCATCATCATCTTCATAATCAAACTAAACTGAAACATATAAAATAGCTGCTATTCCAGTGTAGTTGTTCAATTGTTTTCCTGAAGGATGTAAACTAGAGAAGATAAACACTTCTCCACCCTTATTCTTAATTTCTTCAATCACTTTCAACCATTATCTCCTTACTTTTGGATCTTTGGCTCTTGCCACTTTATCACTTATTAGTAGAGTCTGAATTGCACCTAAACTATGAGCAAATTCAACATCTTTCTTTCCATAAGCCACTTTAGTTATGTCTAATCGAAGTTACTCAAAGAACTTCTCTAAGATCATCACTTCTTGCATTGCTCTAAATATTATTTGAGTATTTTACTTTGTATTTTCTAATCTTTGCTAAACCTATTGATCCTATAAAATTTCCATTAAACTGTTCAAATAGCCAGAACTTGATCTTACAAGAAAGATCTTTTCTAACATTTTCTATTTTCCTTTATACTTCTCCTCCTTTTAAAATGTATTTCTCAGAAACTAATAGAAATCATCCTTCACATATCTATGTTATATTCATTACTATTACCCTGGAGATGCCACAATCAAACACTTTACTTATTCAAATAATGAATCTTATTCTAAGGCTGCCAAACATGCTTTAAAAAACTCTTCCATTGCCTTTTCTCTTTACTCATTAGCGCTTCTCTTTTTGGTAATCTATTTCTCTACTTTTTACTTCAATCTAGTAGTAGCTGATCCTATCAAACATAAGTGACCTACTCCCTCCTCCATTATTAAAGCTGCCACTTCTGATAAAGTTTACTACTGTTTGATCTAATCCAAAATTGCATAATGAAATCTATCCCAGTTTTCTTTGTAGATTACGATTTTCTAATTCAATTCAACTTCGTAGGTATGAAACTAGCCCAAAGATAACCAATGAGATTCTTAGCAATTTCTACCCTTTATCGATAACAATAGGTATTAATCTGCCCAATAATTAATTTCATGAACCTTTAAAAATACATATATTCTTCTTTTCTCAGATACCTTAGTACCAGTTTAACCTAATCAATCTTATTATTTATAATTACTTTCTTTTACTATCTTTCTGTGTGTGCTTGTCTTTATTATGTCTCCTACAGACAATAAATTATACAAATGCCAAAAATCATCATCTTCTTCAGGCACTACTTTTATGAATCCAACTCCCTTTATTATTTTCTTGCTTAAAATTTTCATTAAAAATTAATTTCTTTATTAAATTCTGTAGAATTATTTAAAATATGAACTAAAATAATTAACTTCAAGATGAAATAACTAAGGAACTCTTAACAATTAAATAAGACATTGAGCTCAAAGTTCCTGAATTCATTAGATAAGGTTGTCTTGAATTGAAAGTTGATCAAATATCAACATAAAAAAAACAGGATATTATTAAGTGTCTTGGTGGTAATAAATATAAATAGGACAAACAATTCATCCCAAAATTAACTGAATGTTTACTTAGTCATCTACTCAGAATGAAGAAATGTAGTTTATAATCTACTAATATTAATCCGACAAGACCTATTTATTTAGGATAATTGATTACAATCACTATGTTTTATTATGAAGACAAGATCATCAAATCTTACTCAATTTTAGAAGAACTAACCAAATTCATTAATAAATAGATTCATATCTATTACGAGGGCATTCGCGACAAATTAAAATTCATCAAGGATAAAGAACAACAATTATTAAATTAAATGAGAAATTCTCAATCAAATAATGATAAATAAAATGAAACGCAATAAGATATTAATTTTCTAAAATGTTATTGTCACTCACAACCAGGTTTGTATGTTTAAATTAAAGCAAAATTAAATACTTCAAAAATTCTCTAATGTAAAATCTGCTCATAGAATTTTCATGGATTTTGTTTACAAATCAATCATGATATCCAAGACTTCATTTGTCCGTATTGTACCCTTGTAATGCTAAATCCTTAAAATAAAGTCATAGATTAAATAGTTTAATCTACATTTCAGTAGTTTCTTCAATTCAAAAATGAGAAACATTTTCTATTCCATTGTCCTGTTAAATACAAAGGATCTCAAATAGAGATTAGATGCTTAAGAATAGATGGGAAGGATGGATTAAATGAAATCACTTGGCCTGATTATGGAGAATTATAGATGAATGGTGTCAAACTTGCTGAGTTTAAACCTTTGAGTATCAATTATAGTGTTAAAAAACGTAAAGATGATTCGATTAATATAACTAATCATATCAAACATAATGAATAAAATCGAATTACTTTAATTGAGTATAAATCTAATGAGGAATTGAAAAAATAATTTAGAATATAACATTAATGTATTTATTTTATAGGTATATTTTCGATTAATTAATTGAATGCCAAAGAATTCTTATTAGATATTAAACAATATCATAAAAATTATTTAAGTATTGAAGATTCATTCAAATTATTCAAATAAGAATGCTCTACCAATAAGGATGTCAAAATAAAATCAATAAGAATTAGTCTATTATGTCCTATCACTTTATAATTAATTAATATTCCAGCTAGAGGCAGATTTTGTAATCATCTACAGTGTTTTGATTTGGAGAACTTTATCACTGCTATTGATGATTAAAAAGACAAAAAGATTTGGAAATGCCCTATTTGTAAATTGAAGAGTTTCAAATTCTTAATTGATGACTATTAGCAAGTGATTTTGGAATTGATTTCTGAGAATCGCTTATCAAATAAGGAAGTAGAATTCAATGAGAATGGAGAGATCACAGATTTGGTTCTAAGAGAATTGTGTAATCAACGTCTCAAGAATCAATATTAAATAAATGATAGAATAAAGAAACAAATTAAAACTGACTTATAATGAAATCAAATATCTTAATAATCGATAAGTTCATCATTAGTACCTTCTTCTTGTTACTCTTTTTTGAAACAGTTTTCTTACTCAATCTACAAAATTATTTGATTGATATTCTCAATAGCCTGTTCTTCTTTCAATAGTATAAGAGGCTGTTGTTTATGATTTTATAGAATGGATTCTATTTCGTTTTTGAATTCACTGATATCTCTCAACACTAAATATTTAAAAGTAATACTCAAATTGCTGTTGTTGTTGGGATTGATATCATCTTCAAATTCATGTGATTTTGAACTGTCTAGTATGGATTGGATTTCCCTTGATTCAAAAGTCGATTCTGTAGAACCAGGTATGTGATTTTGGAAATCCTACTACAATGTAATTTCATCGAAATTTTCTGAAAATCCATTGTCTTTCTGGTTGGGTTTAATAAACCATAGAGATCTAAACTCCAATTCATAGATTAAAGTCGAAGTTTTATTTAAAATGACCTTCCTACTGGTTTGGTTAAAGCACAAATGGTTTGTCACGTTGAATTGTGGTGAGAGTATCTTTTTTATAACTTATTCGATTGTAAAAGCTAAGGGTACAGCCTTTGTTATATAAGTAAACGAATCATTTTCATTTTAAATCAAGAACTCCATTTATGTCATGTCTACAGGTATTACAAGACCCTTTGGCAAATCTTAAATGTTATGTTATGACAGAAATGTAAAGTCATGAATAGTACTTTTTCTGATCTCATTTATTTCTATGGTGTATAGAGGTATACATGGCCCTATAAAAGAATAATAATAATAAAGACCTCCTTTAACATGTTTCATTAGGAAATTCCATAATTCTAAGCACACGAAATGAACCTAATAACGCTTATCAACTTTGAGAACTTGCTCTTACGAATTTAATTATATTATTTGAGGATCAATGTTGAACTCTATTTTGAAATTTGCAATCAAACCTTTTAATTGTATCGATTCTTCTTAACAAATGCTATAAAGGTTATTGATTGCTTTACCATAGAGAATAGTTATCGATTTAAGTGAAATTAGAATTGTGACAAAATAATTCCTCAGAAAATTACTCGAACCTATAAATTGTATTTTTATACTAGATACCCTTTAAGATTAACAGCAAATAATTGAGAACTCGAGAGATCATTCTAAATTTCAAAAAATTACTCCAATAAACTCATTGTATTTTATATTATTATTTTTACTATACTTTATCAATCGAATAAGCCACCCATATCAACATCTTCTTCAGGTTCCTCTGCTTTTGCTGGGGCTTATTAAGCAGGTTTAACCTCGACCTTGGCAGCAACAGGAGCTGAGGTTTGAGCTGGAGCATTGGATTGTTTGATTTGATCAAAAATAAATCCTGATTACAATCCAATGGCAGCCAATTCCTTGAAAGCATTAGCCAAAATATGTGGAGCTGATGATTCATTCACCCAACCTAAAATATGATATATCATAATACCATTAGCCAATGAGATTGCAGAAATGTTTGTCACATTCTTTTAGAATTTAGCAAGAACATCATTCAAATTAACGGATACTTATTATTTATTCAAAATAGATCCATTGTCATAACAGGACAGGACTTCCATACCATATAAAAATGGTTTCTTTCCCAATTTTTATAACAAAACAGCTTATGATTAACCAACTTTTTATCCTGTTTTCAAAACCACAAAGTCCTTGGTGATTTAGATTTGTCCTTTTTCAATTTTGGTTGGTATTTGTAACGCATGGAAGAATTGAATTGAAGCTGGGTCCATACCAGTTGGTCCAGGTGGTATAACAACATCAATTGGGGCAATAGCACCAACTCTTGCTGGTGTTTCAACCTTATTTTCTTCAATGACAGATTTAAGATCAAAGACAGGGGTATCGGTGAAAATGAATCCTACTTTACCAGCTACTTAATTCTTCAAGACATCTAATTCTTTAATTGCTGCTCCAAACTTCTTCAATTCTTCATAATATTCATGGCCTTCTGGTAAATCTTACACTCTTGTTGCCAAAACCTTCTTAAATAAGGTCTAATCATAGAATTGTTTGATTACATTCTTTCCTATCACGAGAAGAGCATTTCTTTTAGCCAAAATTCTTCTAATGTCTTACACTTATTTGGATCCAACATTAGCCAATCCAACGATAATCACTTAAGTGTATTTTGATAACAACTCATAGATCTTTCTAAAAGCAATTCACAAATTAAATACTTGAATTAAGCAGGCTTTTTATCCTTTGTTTCCTTCTTTCCCATTATTTATTTAAAAATAAGATTTCTTTTTTTTTTATAAACAATTCAAGTTTTATAAACTTTTATATTTCCCACTCTGTATCCCCAGTGCTATAATAAAATAAAGAGAATTTTAGCCTACTCTGAAAAATTTATCTTGATTTGATTAATTTTTAAAATTTTAAGAAATGAGATGAATCATTTAAATTGTTATCTATATTTTGTATAATTATCAATCTAAGTGTCCTGTCATTAAATCATAAGTATGCATCAACCCAAAAATTATAAACACAGTTCCTCCAACTAAATTAACGGTCTTTTCAGAGATTTAGTTAGCCAAAAGTTTCCCTCCAAGTATAGCTATTGTAGTACACATTAAATGGCCTAAGCTGCATCCTAGAAACACGATATCGGTATCTTAAACTGCAGATAAACTTATGGTAGTTATCTAACTTCTATCACCCCATTCTCCCAAAAAGGTCATGATAAAAGCTTACCATACAATTTATTGAATAGGCACCACAGCTGCCAAATCTAACTCTATCTACATGTATTTTACTTGTTTTTTGTCCTTCTGAGGGATTTTCAGGATCTATAATTTTGTGGCTACTCAGTAATTTTTTGTCTAATTCTTCAAGCTCCATTTCTACTTATTTCAATTCTTCTTTATCCCCGTCATTCTCCATATGATACCAATCGAAGAGTAATTTCGCTCCAAAGAAGTAAAATATAATCGTCACGACTATTGCAGTATAAAAGCGGGGCAAAAGAGTTGGAACTATTATACCAAAAGCACAACTGATTCCTGTCATTAAGACTAGAGCTGCTATTGCTCCAGCAAAAACAGCTAGTCTATTGAACTTCATCGACAAAATTGCTGCTAAGAAGAAAGTCTATTTTTATCTCAAAATATAGATATACTTTGTCTCCAATTTCAGAAACTAACATAGATCCTATTGACTATGTAAGAATTGTCAGATGTTTTTCACCTGATTCTTTACAATATCCTATATACAACAAGCATAACAATATAAATGTTCTCAAGGACATAATATATGATTAAATATGTTTAATTCATTTTTACTATTTTTCTAATAAATCATTATACGGCGAGAACATACGCTTTAATTCCTGACCAAGTTATTTTAATGATGCAATATTTGCTTTGATATTACAATATAATATCAAAATTGAATGAGTCCAAATTTCGAAATAGAGAATCCATTCACTAAGATTACAAACCATTTCTATACTCATAAACTAATGTAATTTGCTTAGTTTCAGAATCTGAGAGTTTTCTTAAATTTTCATTGCATTATTGAATAGCCACCACATACATCAATGATTATGCTCCTGTTTTCAACTTGCTATTTTCATTTTAGAATGCAGCTATAATTCTAAGTTTCTCTATATTGCTTACTCTATTCCTTCCTTATCCATTAAGACAATTCCTTCTATGAACGGGTTGTTCTATAGAAACTTTTATAGCACAGAATTATTTTACATTATATTAAAATATATATTATTAAATATTTTATGCATTAATATCCAAAAGACTCCAATTTATTACGTCTAAACAATCACAACACTGAGTTTGTCTTCAAATCCAAAGACAAAGATGAACCCTTTGTAACTTATTCACTTATTCAATTAAATAGAGTTATTCAGCTAGATGCAATGGAACCAATCAATAATTTGCTGCCTAAGCCAAATTTAAATACATCACTCCCAGATTCAGCTTAATCAATACTTTTGCTAATGATTCAACTTACAGCATTTTCACCACTTACAAACTTGATGAAACTATCAAACTATTTGTCAAATCTCCAAATGTTGTTGATATTCTCCAATAATTTAATGCAGGATTCAAACTAACTCTAGAGAAACAGTATTAATTTTATTGTGAGTACAACAAAACACAAAAGACATCTGATTTCAATTTCTTTGCGAGAAAAAAGTACTTATGGAATGATTGGAAGATGAAAACAATCCTTGAAATGTGTTTCAAAAATAAGTAATTATAATTCTCGTAATTCTGTCAATTTGCAGAAAGTGGAGATAGAAAAATCAAATTTTGCTAGTAATCTATTATTTGTCTAACAACTTAGTTAATAAAATGAATCAAGCATGATGATTTAATCACCTTTCAAAGAAAATACTTAATTGGCATTCAAAATCAATAGAACTTATAAATTAAACAAATATACTACTTCTTTAAATTTTGGTTTGAGACACAAGGTTGATGAAAATCTATTCTTGATTACCAAAGTACTATTTTCTCTCTTACATTTAGTTCAATCAAAATGGGTTCGGGATTATTGGAATAGCAGGAAAATATAATAGAATGAAATACTAAGTTTCAAACAAGTTGCAATTTTCATAAAACATTGATCAACTATTCCCACTGTAATTCAAATTTGAAGTAGAAGTTTGAGGATTTTTTTTACAAATATTTATAAATATTCTTATAATTGTTATCAATGAATAAATAGATCAAAGACTTTTTGATTCAATAAGAAATATTCGTAAACTAAAAGAGAGTCTATCATAATGCTTTCAACACAGAAAAAGGTATACTTTTCCAGAATTTATATTTACAGGTGAAATTAGATTGTGTTAAATAATTGCAAAGCCTCCAATAATACCAAATATTCTTTAGAATTTCAAGAAAATTTATTCGGTTTAAAGTAGAAATGTCATTCAATACCTTGATTTCGTTGAGTCAGAAAATAATTACTATATATTCATGGAATAACTAAATTAAGGAACTTTAGATGATATTATCAACACATAAAATATTAATGAAGATAAAGCGAAATGTTATTTTAGAGAAATCTTAAATGGATTAAAATGTAAGTTAAAAAAGCATATTTAGCCTTGCATGAAAATAAGATTACTTTTGTAGATCTTAGTCCAAAAAACATTTTTAAAAGCGACGACTCAATTAAAATAGGATAGATCAACATCTGTTCTGATTAACTAGCTAATATGTAAACTGAAGAAGATTTTAAAAAATTTGGTATTGTCAAAGAAATAATTCCACCTGAAATTCTACAAAATTAAACAATTTTTTCTATGGCCTCTGATTTATACACTGCAAGTGTTCTCTACTTTAAAATGATATTCAAGAGATTCCCTTTTAATGGTGAAACTAAAACAGAATTGATTGATAAAATCAAAGAAAACAATATAGTAAATAGAACTATCATAATAGGATTTCACTTGCCAAGATTAAGCTGTTAGCATGGAAACTATTGACTTTCTTAAATAAACTCTTAAGTATGAACCCAGTCAAAGATTAAATTGGTCATAAGTATACTCTCATCCTTTATTGAAATTACTCAACATTGTCAATGATTATATTGTCTAATCTACTTTATTATCGATTTCCATCAATAAATTAATCACAAGATCAGATCTCGTAACAAAAACCTTTGATTGCGAAAAGAATAGATAATTTTATTAAGAGATAGAATAAAATAATCAAGCTGTCAATAATAATAATAATATAGAACCTGCTCAAAACAATGATAATGGTAAAATTTGAAATCATTTAATTGTATTTTAGCTTTGAATGAGGAATCAGAGTAATTTAAAAAATAATTATCCATTGTAAAAGATCTTTTTAAATCTCAAAGAACAACTTTATTAAAGAAATAAGTAGACTATTACATTGAATAACGGTATTTTAGATTGTTTATTATAGAAACATGTATTCGAGTCTATCAGAAACACTAAGCTATGTAAGACTCTTTGATCAGGAATTTAAGTCATTTACCTTATAATTTGTAATCTTAAAGATTATTTATCTCATTTCACAATCGTTGATTTAACAGATTGAGGAGATCAAATATGCAACAAAACCTGAACAATGTTTCACTCAAAATTTACAAGAATAATATGATAATTTAAAGAAAAAAATAGATGAAGAACACAAAATTATAAATTCACAATTCAATAAGATGTTAGAGCAATCCTAATCAAATCTAGAAAGAGCAAGAATGAGAGGAAATGTTGATTAGAAAATATCAGATATCATCAATAAAACTTCATAATATACCTTATTTGAACTATTGAGAGATTAGACAAAACAATTTATTGAAAAAGTACCTACGTTTAATTAGATAATCCAAAATAAAAAAATTGATCCCAAAACTCAATACGAGATTATTATATAAGTCTTATTTAGTCTAGCTTTAATTGTCTCATACCTGTTGAAATGGAGCCCTACATAAATTCTGTAAAAATCTCCCATCGAATATCTAGAGGTAATTTGCTTTAATTGTAATTTTAGTATATTAGATAAGAATCCGTTGAAACTCTTATAACCGAATGTTAATAAAAATCTCAAAGTATTGATTAAGCATTTGACAAAATATCAAAAGCCTAAATCAGGCAATTTTGAGATTGTTAATTACTGAGAGAATTAGAATAAATTATTAAAATCACATTTCTATTTGATTAAAACAAAAAAAATTACTTAAATTACTATCGTAATCTTCCTCTTTCTCTTTCTCTATACTGTCATAATCACGATTGCTTAAAAACATACGATTAAATTATTAAACAGAGAAGAAGTTATTTATGTTAAAGATTGGTTTCATCGTTGATTCTGACGATCCAAAATTTGAGTAGTTGTGATTGGATATTTCTAATTAGTGATCATTAATTGGGTAATAGTTTATATCTGGTAAGGATAATGCTTTTTTGAATATATTCTTCATGAACTTTTCTAAAGCATATATCAATAAGTTACTGAATTGTTTATTTTTTATTGAAAAACAAAATTATAGCACAAATTTTTCAGCTTTCTTACCTGTTAGATACGAATCTAAAATACCTTGTATATATTTCTAATAATCAAGAATTTTGTTACTATCATTGTAATTTACATCCTTTATGTTAATTCCTGTTGAATGGAAAGGAGTTTTTTAATATTTTCCTCCATCTATTCTTAGCTTCTTTTCAACTAAGAAAGTTATAAAAATAGAATTTGATGATCAGATTCGATTTACTAGTAGTAATTCTAAAAATATGCAGTTTAACATCTTTTATGAATATCTGAATTGATTGAAATAATATTCTTATTGATGAATAACCTTTAACCATTTTATAATTTATAGACTTAAAATCCATAAGAGTTTAAAGATCTCGATTTTAGCGATAACAATACCTTCGGAAACTAGCATATTTTTTTGATTTATAATATTAGAATAGGATCTTTTCAACAAACTCTTTTTAATTTACAATAATGAATCCATTATTGTCTTCATTCTTTCTGATGATATTTTATAATGATTAATTCTTAATAGTTATTTAAAATACATCTAAAATTTGTATTAGAATTTTCATAAAGCTTCTATTTTCCTTTTTAGGTTAATTATTCATTGAATGTTATTATTATTTAAACTTCAATAATAAAATTTTATTATAAACAGAAAAAAAATATTAAGATAGAACCATCTTCATTCGAATGTAATGTATTCTAGCTTACAAAATAACAGCATATCTATTAAGGAAATAAACAAATGATTCTGTTTTTAAATTATCTTTATTTCTGAGTTATGTTTGGAACGCATATTTGATTATATAAGAAATTGTAATTAAAGGTAGAGATGAACATTGCCAAATAGATTGACTCATTAACTCTAAATGAACTGATAGATTTTTAAAAATTAAATAAATTCATCTCATTTATATTAATTTTGTATATAATTATATAACTATTTGATTTAAGTTGAGAATCCAGGTTAAATTTTTTCCTTAGAATTTATTTGTTAAGCATCAAACTGTGAATAATTGTTTATAGAATTTCTACTTAAAAATGTTCAATAAATACTGCTTATGCATAATTATTATTTTACTTAAGTCTACTCCGTCTGTCAAATTACCAAAGATTTCTTTCTTAATATTTGAGATTAATGAAAAGACGTTGTTTTAAAATGATATTTAAACATTTAATACATTTTATATACATTCATTTTTAGGCTTGCTTCTCTAAAACTTAAAAATATGTTTAGGTTAAGTTTAAACTTGTGTTTTAACCGCTTTTAATCTAATTAATTATTTTAATGCAATACTTCCTAAATTTAATTAGACATTCTTTAAATTAAAGTTTTTTCTTATTGATGCAAGCGAGCAGCATCTTGTTCTACTTACTCTTCACTTGCAACTGCTTTTTCTAATGTTCTTATTAATTCATCCTGCTCTGATGATATACCTTCTAACTCTTTTTCTTATTTTTTGAGTTCGATTATTAAATTCTAAGTGTAATTGGAAGTTTAATCAATTTGATTTCTGATATTTTATAATTTGAATAATTGATCAATTTGAGCATCAAGGATATCGACAATTTATTTTTGAGCCTGAATAGTTTATTGGGTTTTGTCAATATATTCTTTGATATCTGATTGAGTATTATTTATTGGAGTGCTAATCATTAATTAATAAAATTAATAAAAATATGTATTAATTTAAACAATTTAAAATCAACTAACAAAAACATAAATTTCTTAATAAGAATTATTATCTCTAATTTGATCATTTTAGTAAAGATTGACTATGTAAATGAGTTATCATTATCTTAGATAATGAAAAAGATATGATTAATCAAAATGATATTATTTATATATATCTATATAATAATAATATTATAATAAGTCAATCATCCCAGATAGTTTCAATATATTATTTTTATTATTCAGGTGTTAATTATAAAAAAGACTTTGGCTTATTATCTTCGTCGTAGAATAAATCTTGTAATTATCTTATAGAATTTTATTAGAAAATTGTAAGATTTCGTGGTGTCAAGTAAGGTGTTTGATATAATGACCTAGAATTCTAAAAGTCTAGACATTATTCTTCATCGTTGTCATCACATTAACAAATTAGATCATGATTCAAAATTAGAAATTTTTGACCTAATTTTCTGTAAATGTTAAATGAATACATATAACTGAAGATTTGAGATGTGTAAAAAAAGAATTCAAAAAATTATAAATTTTTCTTCTTCTCTTTAATCCATTCTCTTTACGATGATAAATACATTTTTTAATAATGCCCACTCTCATTTGAAGATGCTTATGGATTTCCAATTATGTTTTAATTTCATTTTAAAGAGTCACTTAATACTTGAACAATGCCATCAATTTTTATTTGAGCTATTCATGTTCTTGTTGCAGTTCACTTCTCTTCTTAGTGTCTTCCTTCTTTGACTTTTTAATGGTTCGTTTCTCTGCCATGATTTATGTAAGATTCAGCGAACTCTGAGTAAAATGTGGATTAATAAAGACAGTAAAGCCATTTTCATCTTTTGTACTCTTAAAATTGTAAAGATTCATCTATTTAGTAAAGCTCTTATAAGATGTTTATTTGAAAATGTTGGGTAGGATGTCTCGAATCAATTGGACTCGATTAATAATTTTGATAGCATCTTTATCGACAGTCCATTGAATAATGTTACTTGCTTCACCAGACTATTTACAATTGAATATACTTCTAATAAATCGAATAATTTTTCGAGGAATAATTTTGGTTTTTATTTTTCTTACATTTTAATTAATGAAAGTATTTGCAAAAGGCTTGAATTTTATGGGCTAATTGGGATAAGGCAATTTCAAAAGTCTAGAACATTTTGCACTTGTTCCTGATTTGCAAAATGTGGGAGTTAAATAATTGGAAACCAATATGACATAATCATTTGCATTATTGTAAGACGGACAATTATTACATTGGGGTTGGCAATTAGACACAATGACTGAGAATAGAACACTCTCATTTTACAAACGAAATCCCACTCTATGTTAATTATGGCAAGTATTATAATAAGAGTCAATATTAGAAATATTCTCCTCTTGGTACTATGTTATCAATGAGAGGTGGAGTTGTTCAACCAGTGTTATTAAATAAACCTATTATTGATGCTCCAATCAAATCATTTGCAGTTGGAGGCAGTTTTATTATAATACAGATGACTGATGGAGTCTGCTATGGGATGGGAGAAAACTATAAAGGCTAGTTGGGGAATGGTGAATTAAAGTATTAATTTTAGTTTAAATAATTGTAATTGCCAACTAAAGATAAGGTGATTTAAGTAGCATGTGGTTATTAACACAGTTTGTTATTGACTGAAGGAGGAGTTGTGTATGGATCTGGCAAAAGAAATCATTATCAATTTACTGAAACAAGAAGGAAGGACTAAGAATAGATTTATGGTATTGATTAAAAGTTAATAGTTGTTCTTAGTTGAATTTTCATAGCATAGATAATTGATGGATGTTGGGAATCAAACTATCTAGAGGATTAGTTCTGGTGCTCATCACACTCTTTTGTAGGTTTCTGATAATAGAATTTATGCTTGTGGTTAAAATATGTATGGATAATGCGGAATGAATAATGAAATCGATAGAATAAAAGAACCTACAGAAGTATTTCTAGATTTGCAACCAGATGAATCAATTTAATAGATTGTTTCAGGATAAGCTCACAATCTAATATTAACTAGCAATAATAGATTAATATTTTTTGGTTGTCTACTGCACAATTAGATGGGAGTGAAGTCTAAATTTGATTTTGAATTTAGTGGCTAAACTGAAATCAATTTACCACTTGAAGCAGATGAGAAGATCGTTAAGATATATGCTAAATTTGATAGATCTGCAGTTTTAACTAGTAAAGGAGATTGTATTATTTGGGGTGGGGAAGACTTGAGATACATGGATGTCCCATATTATGAAACATACACTAGATTGCTTCCTGAATTGGGGTTAGAAAATGTTAAGATTAAGGATATTGCTTTGGGTTTTAGTCATATTATGGTTTTAACTGATTGATTGAGTAAAATAATTTATTATTCATTTTTATCATTTAATTATCTATTCTGAATTGATTTGTTATGTTTATGTTTATGTTTATTGGATATTTGTGATCTTTTTAAGATTGGAGGTGGTTCTCCATTTGAATGCCCAATTTTTGATCATCATTATCGAACTCAATGAATAAGCATTATCTATATCTGTTTATGCGATCTCCATGTCTGTTTGCTCTTCTTTGTTTCTATATATTTTATGAGTGATTACATTTCATCCCATAGATTCATATTCTAAGCATTCAACCATGGATGTTTGGCTATCTCTGGTATCTTTGGTCTATCCTTCGGGTCTTTTTATAGGATAAATTGGAGAAACTCTTTGAGACCGTCACTGATATCATTTCTTTCTGGGAATGTGATTCTAATAATCTTTTGAGTTTTTACTGATTATGAGAAATGTTGTGAAGTATCTCAGGAATAGATGAGCCTGTAAATGGAACATCCAAATACACGAATGCAAAAAATGTAATTCCCAAGGCCCAGATATCAGCAGCCTTACCAGAATAGCCATCTTTAACCTTATCCTTATCACAAGCTTCTGGAGGCATGAAATAATAGGTCCCTTGAGTATTATCCAATACATCATTTTTACTGCCAACCATAGTGGAAACTCCAAAGTCAGCAATTTTGGCAGTTTTATTATCAGTCAAGAGAACATTCTATGGTTTTAGGTCTCTATGAACTACTCCATTCTTATGCACTATAGAAGATAATTGAAGGACTGTTACAATAATTGAGGCCCTTGATACAATCACGAAATATCTAATTGAGTAGTGGTTCATCAAGTACGACTGTCTCGTTGACCTAATAAAACTTGCATTCATCGTCATCCCACTCAATCACTTGTCCTCCTTCAGCAAACTCCAGGACTGATAATGAGACATGTTAATACCCATGAATAGTTTATCGTTGTTTGGATTGTCAATGACTTCAAACAATTGTATTAAGTTCTTGTGTCTGAGTTTCTTCATGATGGCGATTTCGCGTCTTACATCTTAGAGAGCATCCTTAATCACCATATCTAATTAAATAGGCAGTCCTACTTCCCTTAGCATCCTTAATATACTCTCTTTATCGTCGTAGTTTACTTTTCCTCATGATTTTAATAGCATATTTTTAGCCACTTGATCGTTTGAATGCCAACTTGACTTTGCCAAATGCTCCTTCTCCAAGGAATTCATCAAAGATGTAGTCGTTAATCATTTTCACTCCCTTCCATTTAATAATTAATTTACATCTTCATTAGTGCTCTTGACCAGTTTTTATGTTTCCCTTACTTTCTTCTTCTTCTACAAAAATCACATCAATAAGCTACTTAGGGTATTTTCAGCTTCTTAAGAGAGGTTTATTTCACAGGTTGAGATTGAGGTTGAGCTGTTTCGCAGGGATGAACTTCAATTTGAGTGGGTTCAGGTTGTACTCTTTTCGATTTCTCACATACACATCCCATTATTAATTTTATTAATCATGAAGGACAATCCTGATTTCTCGTTTGATTTGTTTGAATTCCAAGGGTTTTTGGGTTAAGGGTCCTTTGGGACTGTGTTGAAGGCCCTAAATAAGGAGACCCAACAATTGGTGGCAGTCAAAGTAATTGTCCATGTCCTAACTTATTCTAGGTAATGAAGAAGAAATCCCTATTGCAACTGGAGTAACTATTGTAAGAGGCCCATATTTTGTAAGAGTTGCAACATCCCAACATTGTGAAGTTTTTCGGAGTACATGAGACTGATTCCAGGATACTTATCGAAATGGAACTCATTTAGGGAGGTACATCTGATCAATCTATTCGTAGGCTCTTTAAGTTCCATCCCCAAATGTTCCGAGGAATAGATCAAATACATAATGTATTAAATATTCAATGCCTTACAATACATGCATAACAACAACATCGCCCATAGAGACCTCAAGCCAGAAAACATACTCGTCACTCATGATTTGAGCCTCGTCAAAGTAACTGATTTCGGCTTAAGCACAGGATACGCCTCCTTAATGACCAAACAATGTGGAACTCTCATTTATATGGCACCTGAATAATTAAATAATAAGATATACAACAAGGCCATCGATATATGGGCTGCTGGAGTGATTATGTATCAACTAATCGTTGGATAACACCCCTATTATTAAAAGGGTTGCGATTTAAGTTAATCACAACTGCAGATGCATGAACAATGCAAAACGTATCTTAATGAGTAATTTTGACATAATTAATCTAGAGTATGTAATATAGTCTATTTCGAAGGTTAACAGAAATCAACCCAACCAAAAGATACAGTGCCACTTAGGCATTGTTACATCCGTGGTTCAACTGCGGAAATGATGAACCATTGACCATGGAAGAGCAATTTCAAAAGTGGAAACAATCCCAAAAGTTACATAAGTTCATTCTGGCTCTAATGCTACTCAATAAAATGGGATACAAGAAATAGTTGAACGATAGGGAATTTTATATAGAAATGTCAAAGAAGATTAATCAAATCAAAAAGTAAGATTTCTTATTAGGCAATTATGACTAATTATTCGCAGACTATCAGAAATCCTTAACTGAAGATCAGAAAAGTAAAATCTCCTGTATTTCTAATAAAATGGATTAAAACACTCGCATTGATCAACACACTACCATAGATTCCACTAAGCAATCACATTCGACTATTCTTTAATCTTCCAAATTATTATTACCCTTTACTTCCAAATAGCCAATTAGAGTGGTCAATTTGAATCTGTAAAATCAAACGCCTATTGTGATTGAAGACATTGAGTAAGAGCAAATGATGAAATTATCAGTTCACAGGAATAAAGAAAAACAAGAAAAGCCAATTATCAGATAATAATTAATGATGTAATCAACAAAATTAAATCAACCTACTGAAGACAATTAATAATTAATTTAAGATATTAAAATATCACATTAATAAAGTAGTGAAAAACAACTTGAATAGTCAACCACTCCAAGTCCAACCAAATCCCCACAAACACTCAAAAAAAGAAGAGTCAAAAAATCATAGTTAAAATAGTATCTGAATGAAGACATCATGTAAACCAATTATCAATAGATGCACAATGTAATCCAAGTCTCATAATAAGAGTACAATAATAATAGCATAAGACAATAATCTCCGTTAACTAAAAATGCATTCAAAATACAATTAAAACCTTTAAACCATCTCCCTTCCATGGCTAGTTCTTAACATAATAATCCAAATCCCTCATTGCGTCCTCGAAATTAAAAGCATTCTGTCGATAGAGAATTCTATGCCCCTCCAATTTTGGATCTCAGCAACCTAGCCTTAGAATGCATGAGTCCCAAATAACGCCAAACTCGAGCAATCAGTTTGAGTAGTTAACGAAGAGTTTATGCCAATGAATTTCAGCCATACAGAGTATTAGGAGTTATTGGGAGAAACAACCAGGATTCTTTTAATATAAAATGAAAATATATATATACAATTTTTATGTTTATGAGAATTTTGCACATGATAACATTTCGCTCATTATTTAATAGACCTAAATGATAAGAAAATAGGATCATCAGTAGAAATGGAGATTTTTAACATATTTAAATTTAATTTAATTTTATCTTCAGAAATTATAGGATATCATTAAGAAGTTAATAGAATAATAATTAAATAATAGTATTTTATAAGTATTTAAAGAATTGCATTACAATCTATATATTTTGCTGTATTAGTTTATTGTTTATAATTTTTGATTTAATATAATTCAATAATTTTATTAATCTAACCTTATGCATCATTATGTTAGTATTGATCTTACTTAATATATCTATGGAAAGTAATTTAGTACTAAAAATGACAAAGCTGGACTTAGAATACCCAAATTTAAAAAATTGAACACAAACATCATCAAAAAAAACTAATTAATAGTTATCATTAAATACTATAAGAATACATTTTTGAAGAGAATTTTCAAATTTGTAATTGTGAAATCGAGAATCGTTCATATCCCATAAACCAAGTGTCAAATCAATGCTATTTTGAATGTGATAATCATTAAAATGATTTAAGAAGTATCTTCTAGTTGATAATGTTGCATCAACAATCATCCCACTCTTAGTTTATTTACCATATTTGATATAATCATTCTTCAGTGAATTAGTACCTGAATATAATTTACTTAATTGATTTCCTGAATTGATCCATATTCTCTTGTGTATTGATTCTAATGAATCTTCTAATCCAGCATCTTATATGATTTCCTCCAAAATGAATTTGCTTATTAAATATTACACCACATTTGTTCTATCAATGCAAGACATGCAATTCACTCTGAAAACTCCCTTTTATTCAGAAATAAGCTTAGTATTTTAATTAGCTATTTAATAATAACCATATTATTCCAAGACTGAACTAATTTCATCTACCAATTTATTGAGATTGGCTCTTTCTTAATGAAAATCAAACCAAAAATATTAAATTTCTCTTCTCTGGAAAGACTCCAAGATTTGTTAGAAATAATTTCCAAGTTTCTGTTGTTTCCCTTTGCGATCAATCAAATTCAATATAAACATCTCTCTGTAATATTAGATTTGGGTAAAGAGATGTGCATTGCATAGTTCAATATTATTATCTGAATTGCTATCAATTTACTAGGTATATTAAATGTAAAATTTACAATACTGGGCTTTGGATTCAAATATGGTACTTAAGACCACTTGAAAGGCAGTGATCCTCTCACCTAAACAAAAGAGTATGTGGATTTGTTAATTTAATATACATCCTCAATTTCAGTGTAATTAGTACAATTTCCCTGTTAATCACATCCTCTCTGGGTAAATCTTCGACCTTGTCTTAAACATTCTCTTCTGACAATTTAACAAAATGTGAGTGTGGCATTGTTGTAGATTTGCACACATCCATTGATTACATAAGTCTTATTTTCTATATCTTCCAAGTATTTATGATTAATAGCAAATCGATTCCTATTCTTCTTAAGTTGTAAACTATGCGTAAGATTATAAGTCAAACTGTAATAACAGGAGTCGTCACACACTATGGATTTGATCATCTCAATATAGACTTAATCGTTTTTGTGGATGACTTCGCTTTCTGATAAAGGATAGAAAACCAATTATTTAATCAAATAGATTTCATGTCCTAATAGTTAACCAACACATTATGAATTAGTAATAAGAATTAAGTATTTATTCACTTGCAATTACATTTTGCCAAAGATAGCAGCATTCGTATAATCAAGACTAAAATCTCCAATATAATTTTAAATTTCCTTTTGCATATAATATTAATAATAATGTTGTAGCAATTATACTAACAAATCCAATATAGATACAAATTATAATCACAATTTTGGACCTGCATTAATAATTTCTATTGTTGCTTTATCTTCATACTTTTTGAAATTGACCTAAAATTTTTAAGCCAATTCTTGTAATTGTTTATCAAACTCATCTGGATTTCTAAATAGATTAAATCAATATGTTACTTCCATGTATTCCTTGGATTAAGAATCTCTGAAGGAATATTCTTGGCGGCCTTAGGAATTCTGAAGTTAAAAATAGGGAAGTTTTCATATTCTGCATCCTTCAATTCTCCATTATGGATTAGATCTATTATGGCTCTAGTATATTTCAATGACATCCTTTATCCAACTCCATACTTTCCACCAGACCAACCTGTATTAATTAACCAAACCTTTGTATCATGCTTCTTGATTTTTTCAGCGAGCATATTAGCATAGAGAGTTGGATGTAATGCTAAGAAGGCTTCTCCAAAACAGGCAGAGAATGTGGCTTAGGGTTCTTTGACTCCAACTTCAGTTCCTGCAACTTTGGCAGTGTAGCCAGAGATGAAATGATACATAGCTTATTCAGGTGTCAACATAGAGACTGGAGGCAAGACACCATATGCATCACAAGTCAAAAAGAATATGTTCTTTGGATGTCCACCCTAAGCTGGAAACTTGGCTCCTGGTATGAATTCTAAGGGATAACTCACTCTGGTGTTTTCAGTAATTGAGATATTTGAGAAATCTACTTCTCTGGTTTCATTAGAAAAGTATTCGATATTTTCTAAAACTGCTCCAAACTTTACAGCATTGAAAATCTCAGGTTCTTTTTCTTTTGAAAGATCCACACACTTAGCATAACAACCACCTTCAATATTAAAAATTCCATGATCAGACCAAGCATGTTCATCATCTCCTATGAGTTTTCTCTTGGGATCAGCACTCAATGTAGTTTTGCCTGTTCCACTCAACCCAAACAATAAAGTAACATCTCCATTCTCTCCTTCATTGGCTGAACTGTGTAATGTGAGGACACCTTGTTTTGGAAACAGATAATGAGTAACTCCAAAGACTCCTTTCTTCATTTCCCCAGCATACTGAGTGCCCAATATAACCATCTTTCTTTCTGTCAGATTCACAGCTACGCATCCCTCAGATGTAACTCCTTCTATCGGCTTCTCTATTATTTAAGGTCCTGCATTGAAGATGTAAAAATCAACGTCTCCGTTAAAGTCCTTTTTCAGCTCCTCTTCAGTTGGTTTGATTAACATATTCTTCATGAATAATGCATGATATGGTCTTGTGCAAAACACTCTGATTCTTAATCTATGGTTAACATCCCACCCTGCATATCCATCTATAATGAACAACTAAAAATATTCAAAAGCATTCATTACTCTTTCCCTGCTTCCCAAATACTCCAAAGCAATCTTTTCCACTTCACCATAGGATTCTGGACTCAAAGCAATGTTCACATCTCCCCACCAGACATCTTTTTCTGTCCCTTAGTCTTTGATGATTCTTTTATCCTTAGGCACTCGTCTACATCATTATTATTAAGTATTTACCCACACTTCTTGCCTGAATAAGCCACCAATGACCCAGTGCTATTTATAGAATCTGGTCTGGTAGATGATCCGTCACCTTATAACATAGAGAGTTAGTAGATCAGTGGAACGCTAGGATTTCTGTATACAGTAGCGTTGTGAAGTCCCCATCTCTGTAACAGATTATGTGTTGCCAGGTTTTGATTCTGCATTATTTATGATTTTATTTATGACGACCCTTACTCTATATTTAGTACTCTTATATTACGCATTATATTATAACCCTTTTATTACGTAATTAAAGATACTATTAGAACCCATATTAAACACACATTCTTTTTATTAATTATTATATTCATCAATCAATCATCAAACCCATATTTTAATTATCTCTTTGTTATTCTCTTAATTGCATTTTTCCTTACTTTCTAATTCTCACGCTCTTTCGCTTCATCATCCTATTTAAGCTATGTTCATTCATAATTTGACTAATATCAAATGAGTAAAAGTAAAAAGTGAACATTCGTTAAATCATTAGATCGTTAAGTTTATAGTGATCAAGATACTTCCAAGAAAAGTCGATAAAGTATTTTCGAATGTGACTATATACATTAGACGAATCACCTGGAGAATTCAAGTCACACATTCTCATTTTGATTAACTCAATTAACATTATTAATTATTCAATTTTGATATATTATAAAATACTAGAACTATTCTTTAAAGACCCCTTGATTTGTCATCTTTCTATTCAATTGCATGTTATTTAAAGCAGTAAATAATTTTTATTTATAAACTTATTTAAAAATAAAAATATAAAGAAATATTACATGTTTAATTTATACTGATAATTATTTGAATCTCATTTTTTTAAATTTCTAATAGAATTACTATATATTATATAAGAATATGAATGATCATTGATATATGCTCTAAAATTCATTAACCACCTCATAAATTTCATCTGTCTCTGGCAGATAAGCCTTTGAAGATAAAAATATCCTTATTATTTCAACTACAAAATTATAAACTAACTAGTTAGTTTAAGGATCTTTTATAAAATCTTCAAATTCATTTCTTACTGTTTGAATATTAGGTTTATTTGTTTTTTCATCCAGCCTAGTTTGAAGTTGTTTCTGAATAAAACAATTTTAAACTATATGTGAATATTCTGAAGGATTATCTTTACTTTCTAATAGCAGATCAACTGCAGAGGCAATATTATTTTGTGAATTCAAAATGTTAATAAGATCTTCAATGAATTTTTTGGACAATAGGGGCGAAATCAAATGTAGATGCAATATGAAATCTTGATTTTGGAAAAATTCCTAAAAGTCGTAAATCACCTAGTCTTAATCAACACTCCTAAAGAAAAAGACGAAACATCGTTTGGATTCACATTAGATATCAAACATATTCTCTACTATTTCCTAGGCGTATTCATAACGTAACTTTGTATCTAGATCATTTTCTAATCTCCTATTGTTGTCAACTCTATTTGAATGTTTACCTGCTTGATGTAAATAATTATGTCTTCCCATGTCACATAAGAATTTGACTAGACGAACACAAGTTGGTGAGTTCGTCCATATATCAGGAGGCTCTAATTATACATTTTTTAATTATGATGGTTTTCCTCTGTTTTCAATTTTGGGTTAACTGCACCTCTCTATTTTGTGTACCTTTTTAGTATTGTTCTTCATTTTATTGACAAAAATGATAAAAATGAAGATGAATTCACTAGTAATTCTATTAGAAATTCATTCTATAACAATTATATTTAATGAATATTTTCTATATTGCTCTTAATTAAACTGGAAACCGTAATGAATTCATTATATAGTAAAATAAGGCATTGTGGTATTTTCACGATTCGAAAAACAAAATTCAAATATGATATTTTATAGAAAAAATTCCACCTTAGAATAAACTGAGTTGGATAGAATTAATAAATTGCTATATAGAATAAATAATCCCAACATATTTTAGATTTTAATAGAATAAATAATAATATAGGTAGCTAAGATAAACAATAATCAAAATTATCAAGGGAGTGAATAGTGATTATATTCTCTTTGCATTTCCATATCTTCCATCATATAATGTAAATTACCATGACGTTCTTCATCTAAATTATCAAGCTCTCCAGTTTCCAACTCTTAAGGTAGATATTGATCATTATCTCTATTAAAAATGAGTTTGATTTCTCTGATAAATTTTTCTAGTTCCTCTTTGGCAACAGGAGATTCAACAAAGTTATAAAAGGTTCTTTCCAATTCGTCTCTGGTTTTCATTTCAAAGTCATGCATCGAATTTTTCTCTTTCATAGTTTCAATCATGTATTTTATAAATAAATTTTGGATAATAGGAGAAAATGATGCTGGTGTGCCCCTATTTGAAATGAAAGCACTAATTAGGTGTTGAATATTGTTAGATGAATTCAAGATCTCGATTAGATCCATAAAGAATTTGTGAGTAAATAAGGCTGATAGCTTAAATAGAACATCTTTACAATCCTATGGACAAGCTGTTATATTATCATAATTATTGTTTTTATCATCTATATTTGATCTGAAGAAGAACACTATACATCTTTTGGTTTCGCACTTATGGCCAAACAATTATTCGGAAAAGTCTTCGCATTTTTCGAAGTACTTTCTTGTGTTTTCGATCTCTTTTTTTTTTAAGCTTTATTTATTATCACCTTCTGGCTTTTCTTGTTTATTTTTTTCATCTTTTTTTCCACTTTGTTTGCCTGCTTAATGCAAACAATTGTGTCTTCCGATGTCTGATAAATATTTAATAAGTCTCAAGCAAGTCTAATCATTCGTCCAGATATTAGGAATATTTAAAGTTGTATTTTAAATATCACAGGGCTTTCCTCTATTAGTTTCTTTCTAGTTTTCCTTATCAGAAGCCTTCTGATGTTTTTTTTACTTTTTGTTATACATTATATATTATATTATTTTAATTGAGAAACATGGCTATAAACTTTGCTCCAAATTCTATTAATTTATTTTGATAATTATCGATTAATTAATATTATTATTAACCGAAAAATAGGGAGAATATCAACCATGACGAGAAAACCTGAAGATTGAACTTTCTAAAGTTGAAATGTTAAGATTATATAAACTGATTCAATCAATTTTAAGAATTCTTAAAGAATAATGATAATAGAAAAAGCATAAAAAAATAAATTAATCTATTTAAATTTAAATGTTATTAAGAATATCCATAAACCAGTCATTTATATTAATAATTTGTTTCTAAATAAGTCTTTGGTGAGTTCGCTCATTTTGGTAGATGTTATCAAATGATATGGTAAGAGTTACATTCTAAATGCAAAGCAAAAGGACCAAAATAAAGGATAACTTGCATAATTCTATTTCAAATAATGGAAATATTAGATGGTTGAATTGTAGGAGGGAAGAATGATTGTTAAAATATGGAATTAAGTTTCATAATTTCTTTTTGTCATCATTAAGATCTCTAGTTAAGATTTTAATGAATTGATCTTCTGAAACTTCTATCTTGTATTCATCTTCAGGTTGTTTCTTCTCCTTCTTCCCATCTTTATCCATCTCCTTTAATTCATTTGTATTCGATTGGGCTCCCTTTAACAACTGCACGATTTGTTAATCAGTCATATCTTCATCCAAATCTTAGATGACTTTCCTTAATGAATCAAAAGTGATTATTTTCTAATTGTATATTCATAGATGTACTTTGGGGTTGTTGCTATCTTTGAAAAGATTGAATGCTTTTTTAATATCATCTAGAGAATCTTTTTGACTCATTTTAACCATCATAATTTCTAGAAATTCCTAAAAGTCTATTCTTTACGCATCATATTTAACATCTCCTTTACCAAGATCTTTGATGAGTTTTCCAATTTCTTCTTAAGTTGGATCAAAGCCTAGGGCTCTCAAGACTACCTTTAAATTTGTTGCCTCTATGGTGCCTGATCCTGCTGTATCAAAATAATCAAATGCTTTTTTGATTTCATTCTTTTAGCTTTCTGATAAAACTTATTAGTTATTAAGCAGCTTCTTTCTTATTTAAGCAGCATTAGTATTGCCAGATTATTATTGTTATTGATTTTTCATTGTAAGTTTTAATTTTTTAATTAATATTTCAAATGGACACACCTAAAATTACAGTTGTAATTCGTAAAAGACCTTTGGGAAAGAAGGAATTAATTAGAGGAGATCAGGATATTGTGTCAGTGCAAGATTAGCAAACAGTCATTTTGAGTGAAATCAAGTAAAACAATCTCGAAAACTTAGACAAAAAGTTGATTTGACCAAATATATTGAGCAACATCACTTCAACTTTGATCTAGCATTCGATGAAACCATTGATAACCAAGGTGTTTACCACTCAGCAGTAAGACCAATAATCTAGGCAGCATTCAATAAAGCGAAATGCACATGCTTTGCTTATGGATAAACGGGGAGTGGCAAAACATACACAATGCTTGGAGATCCAGATTAGGGAGTGCCTGGATTATACGTAATGGCCAGTTATGATATATTTGCTATGGTCTAAAAGGTATCCATTGAATTATGTTCTAATTAGGTAGAGTATCAACACTTAGTAATTTCAATTTCATTTTATGAGATCTATTGTGGCAAATTATTTGATTTACTAAATGATAGATCTCAATTGGCTGCTCAAGAAGATGCCAAAGGAAATGTACAAATTAAGGGGCTAAGCGAAAAAAAGATCAACAATGTCCAGTAATTGATGCAAATCATATAATATGGATAAAGTTCAAGAATCACATCCTCCAATTCTGCTAATTCAGAATCATCGAGGTCTCATGCTATACTATAGATTACTCTAAGAAATAATAAACAAATTCATGGGAAACTATCCTTCATCGACTTAGCAGGCAGTGAAAGAGGTGCTGATGTTAGAGATCAAGACAAGACCACCAGAGTTGATGGAGCAGAAATAAATAAATCATTATTAGCACTCAAAGAATGCATAAGAGCATTGGATCTAAATAAAAATCATACTCCTTTCAGAGGCAGCAAATTAACTCTGGTTTTAAAGGACAGTCTTGTAGGAAATTGCAGAACAGTAATGATTGGGAACATCTCTCCTAGCAGTGCCAACAGTGAACACACTCTCAATACACTCAGATATGCAGATAGAGTTAAAGAACTGAAAAAGCCCTAAGATTAAAAGAATATTGACAATCCTAATAGGGAATTATTCCTAGCTCGAGGAGGTACACAAATATTGGATTAAATTAGACAATAATGTAATTAGAAGAGAATATAAAAATCCTGATTCAGATGACGAAGAAGATTGTTCAACTAATTTTGGTTAATAGGGTAGTTAGGGTGTTTATAAGGTAAATAATTCTAAAAATGTTCTATTGCCTCCAGTCATTTAAGTTAGTCGAACATAATCTGCTCATAACAAGTTATCATTAAATGAAACTCCTTCTAATAAATACTAAAATCCACTAAATAAACTGTCTAATGTAAGACAGTCAAACAATACTCTACAATAATTGCCTCCTAAACCATAGCCATTGCCATAACACTTATCATCTATAAATAAGGCTCCTCTTTTCCCTTCATATCATAATCATATACCTGACTCTTTGTTTCCTACTGACAAGACTCAATCACTCTCTTCATAGAATTTGAATCAGCCCTATCCTCCTACTTATAATTTTTTTTAGAATCCCATTCCCCCAACCGAGATCAATAATGGATATATTGGAGATGATGACTTTTAAGACAATTTACTACTTGAAGACGCTGACCCTGAAGCTGAGTAGAAGAATAAAGAACTTACAAATTAATTCTTAGAATTGGATTCAAGAGTCTTGTAGGAAGAGGATGAGATAATCATTTCGCATCGTAATCATATTGATGATATGGTTGAGACTTGTAAATCAGTAATATTTAATGGTTATTAAGGATATGTGTTTGCTGAACTCTTTGGATCAAAAGTTTGTCAATTCCAAGGACTATTTTCAACAATTGAAAGAGAATTTGATGATCAAGTAAAACAAGATTGAGGAATTCATCAACAAATTGAATATATATGATTAACTCTTTGAATAAGTAATTATTGTTGTTTATTAATATATATAGCGATCATAAATTGAATGCGAATTGCAAAATGCGCAAAAATATAATTAAAGGAATGAAAATTTTAATTAATTAATATAATGACTGATTAGACTCCGAATGATTTCCATTCTGAAATGGAATCGTCTCCTCTGAACCTTCGTTAATCCAATATGATTCTATTTCAACCTTACAGTCCCATTTTATTTCGTGCTCACCTCAGTCCGAACAATATGGTCTTGCAAGATTATTACATTGCATAACCCATACAGCATGCAGACGATATTTTCCCTTTTGATCAATAACCTCTATAAAAAATGTTTGATCTGTAAACATCAAATAATCAATCTCCCCAATTAAAACAAGTTGTGATCAAATAGTCACAAAACAAGTAATAGGGATTTTAAATTGTTTAAATTAATACTACTTAAATGACGCCACAGAAACGCAGAAATGAATAAACCAGGAGATATTATTCTGAGAAGATCGAAAAAAAATCAATTAATTTAGCATTCTATCAAGATTAGACTCCTCAACGAAGTTAGAAAGGTATCTAGTGATTATTATTAAAAGGACTACGCAATTTGAGTGTAAAAGTTAGAGATATAGTATTGGAATTGAAATCCACATCTTATAAGGATGTTGCATAAAGATTGATATAAGATTTAGGTTCTGATGGATAAATAGTGGAATTAGATAATGTATGAATTAAAATTGAGTTACAAGCCTAAAGATGAATAAAATATCAAAAGAAGAGTTTATGATGCTTTAAATGTAATGATCGCTTCAAAGGTGTTAAGGAAGGAAGGTAAACGAGTCATTTCTGATGTGTATTGCAAACATAGGATGAGAAGGAATGAAACTGATATGTTCAAAGAGTAACTAGTATAATATTGATATAATTGCCTATAGATCAGTTAGAAGAATGTTATTAGGGACAAAAAGAAGAGACTGCAAGAGTTATTCATCAAAGTTGCTGCTCTGAAGAATCTAGTGCAAAGAAACTAGAACAATCAGAGTGAGAACAAAATGATGTTTCCGATTCTGGCATTTTAAGCTTAATAATCACAAATTAAACTTAAAATGGAATCGAAAGTATTAAAGATTATGAGTTAATCAAAACTAAAATTATCTGCTGATTTAGATATATTGGTTTAGCTGAAGATGTTCAAATTGTATAAAAATATGGATGAATTGTACTTATGATTAACATAGATTAGCATGCCCAAAAGTCTAGTAGAAATAGTGTAAATCAATGATCTCTGCTCCTGAATTGATTTAATTTGTTTTTGCAAATAATTAATTAATAAATAACATTTTATGACAGATTTATTAGAAAGAAGCATCCACTTGATCAACAATTTCGTAAGTCAATGGACAAAGAAGTACTTATATTACACAAGCTATATTGAAGAGACTTCCTCGGGACACACGTAAGTTATTAAATTTATATATAGTTTCATGACAGTTTTCTCATTACCTACTCCATCAAACCCCATTCCTGTTGCAACAGTGAAAGTGTATTTCTACATTCCAGATCTGACAGATCCATCTGAAAAAACAATGTCATTCAGATTTGAAAACGATTCACTTATTCATTTGGTCAATCGAACTATTCGAATTTCATAAATGGAAGTAAGCAAATCCTATAATTTTCAAGAAATGGATTGAAACCATTTTGGCACGCAAAGATAGAACTTGTAGAATCATGTTTCTAGGAACAGAATTTGAACAAACTAGAATTACTAATAAGAGAATGGATGAAGTATTATATGAAAAATAACCAGAATAAGAAAAGGAGAATTTAGTCATTTAGCCAGAATTATTGGAACACGATTAAGAATTAGTAAATTAATTCACAATCACAGAAGAAGAAAAAATTAGAGAAATCAAAATGCTAACTGAACTTCTTTATTAATGTTTCAGATAAATTGATAAAGATGATATGGGAGTAATCTCCTATGAAGAAGGAGGCTAATTATTTTAGTTGATGGGTCTACATCTAGGCAAACATTAATTGGAGGATACACTCAATAGACTGGATGTGTCAAGAACAGGAATTCTGTAATTCAAAGACATTTCCTCTTTTGGAATTGAAACTTTGCATTCAATCTATTGTCAGAATTAGGCACTTAAGGAATTGAGAGAGAAGGAAGAGGAAAGCAGATTTGAAGCATAATGGATGCTCTCCACTGATCTTAGAAATGTATATAAAAAAATAGTGGAATAATGCAAACTCAAGGATGAGGATGAGATTCATTCTATTCCTTCCAATGTCTTCCAATAAATTCTAGAAGAGGTATATATTTATTCTATAATCTAGTAATAATTCTTTACTGAAGATGAAATCAAATAAATCATGGAAATTATTGGCGATAAAGTTGTGGAATATGAGATTAGTGATAAAGTGTTAGAAGAAACTATCTTTGAAAATTTAGTCAAAGGGTTATTAGAAGCTTAAAAGAGTAAAATGGAAGTGTTTCTACTTGAACATTTTAGAAGATAAGACAAAGAAAATTCTGGATTTATTAAGATCAATGAGTTAATGATTGCTTTGAAAAGTTGTGACAAAATTAAATTATCAAAAGTTCAAGTATTACTATTCATCTTAGTATTAGTTGTACTCATTACAAAGCTACATCAAAAGAAATGACAAGGATCTTGTAAATTACAAATAGGAAGCTAGAAAGATCGGAGCCATTATTAAAAAGTTCTTCAATGTTGATTTAATGGAGTAGAGGGTATTCTTTTGATATCATATTTACAGTCACGCTTGCCTCAACATACAAAAATTGATGCGTTCATTCCATTAAAAACACCTGAGTAAATACAAGAGCAAATTAAAAAGGTTGGATCATGATTTATTATTAAATAATTATGTTTAATTATTATAACTAAAAAGAAAAAAATGCAGTAGAAACATTATTGAATTTAGATTTTACTCAAGATTCACTGCATGAAATTGATTATGACAAAGAAACTAAAAAATTATTAAGAAGAACTCAATCTAATTCATTGGCTGATGCAAGAAAAATCATTCTACACCTAACTCAATCTAACTTATCTGCTCCATAGAATACTTCAAGCAAATTAAATAGTCCAGGAAATGATTCTAGATGTAGAACTGATCTGAGAACCATGTCACTTTACAGGCCTTAAGATAAAATCCTTACTCCTTTAGTTTAGTAACATAAATTTGTAATTACATAAGTCAAAACCAACAGAATTAGACACTCATCTGAATATAAGACTGTCTAAGTTTAAACAGTGTAAGTGGCTTCAACTTTGCAAGAATTTAACTTCAATTTTTTTGGAAAAAACTATAATAGCTACTCTAAAAAATCTACAAAATCATTGCCCAGATGTTTTTTGAGATTTAAGAAAAGATAAAATTGATTGATTATAAGTATGATGATATATATTTGAAAGTAAAATAATAGTTGTTTATTCACCAAGAGCTCTTGCACCTTTAAATAATTATTGCATTTAATCTTTAGTTGTCTTAGCTTAAATGATTCACTTTTCTTTCCAACTCTGATACATAATTAACCAATTATTCAGTCTATATTTTCTTTGAGGATAAAAATTCTATTTGATCACTCTTTTATATAATAATGCTCTTTAGCTTCTCAATCTCCACACAAAAGTTACGAATTTACTATTCTAAAATCAATATTTGCTTTGAATTATTCTAATTTTCAATTAATTATTCTCTTAATTAATCATTTTCAATATTTAATTAACTGATTTTAGTAACATATAATTCAATAGAATTTTATATGCCATCCAATTATTCTTAGACAGCCCATAATTGATTTTCTAATTATACTTTTTCAGCTGCGTATTTCAATGCCATTTAACTCTCAATTTGTATTCTTAATTAATCATAAGTTTAATTTTATTAAACTTCGACTTAACTTGATAAATGTTATATTTGACTCACCAATTTGGATTTTTCTAAATTCCATTAATTCTATTAATCCATCAATGACTTTGAGTTAAACTATTGTTAATAAATAATAAATTTACATCATTTATTTTGCTTTCATGAAGAGATTTATAATTTTCAAATTCAGATTTTATTTTTTATAATTATTATTTTGTTTCAATCAACTCTTCATTATTATTGCTTTGCATCTCTAATTGTCTCTTTAGCTATTCTATCTATTGTTGTTGATATTTGGCTATTTTCTAATTTTCAAACTACATTTCTTCCAGAGCAAATTAAGATTTCTCTAATTAATCCTATAAGATGTTATTATTCTCATTCCAATTTTATTATCTTTATAATTATTTTTCTAATTTCTTAATAAGTTCTTATTTTTCATTCAACAACTATTAAAATTATGAAGTATTTTCATAAGATAACCTCAACTTGCCTTCAAGCTCTTAGATTCTATCATTCTATTATAATTGCCTCTCTACATTCTTAGGGTTTGATTATTGCAACTGTGATTTCATTTATTCGTTCTAGGTCTTATATACATCCAATTAAGAAACTAAGATTTCATTCTTGGATTCCAATTCATATGCCTTTTCTTCTATTTTTGAATATGATAGTTATAATTATGAAAATGAATGACTAAGGGTGTTTAATTCTTAGGTAAGTTCCATATTGGATAATTATTATTATTTCAGCTGTAACTCAAGTTCTTAAAATTAAGATTAATATTGATATTTCTCCTTTCTTAATAAATCAATTTATGTTTTGATGGCAGATTTTTCTGATTCTGCATCAAGTTAGATATTGGATTATTGGAGTTCTAAGGCTTGTTTGGCTTATCTTTCGAATTCCAAGGTATTTTGAGTTTCTTGGAGTAGATTGGATATGGTTTCTAATTGATTTTAATAAGAATTGCATTTATTTTGCAGAGTTTTAATCATAGATTCATAGTGATTAACCTAATTTCTCAATTGATGATTCTCTGTTTAAATGGCATCCACCTTGATTTCCATTAATCGAGAATGGGCAGGTGGATTACATTGTTGTAATTAAGCTATTTCTTACTCTTTTTCTTAGAGTTATCTCTACAACTAATTCACCCTTGAATTAACCAAGGTTTCTAGTTCACGATTACTAACTTTAACTGTCCTAAAGGCTTGGCAAACATTTTCTTTATTCATTCCGTTAAATTAATTTTAATGCAAATAAAAATATATATATAAAATTAAGTTTTGTTAAGCAATAATTAATAATTTATATACATTCATGAAATTCTAATGAAGACAATGGCAAAGATAAACAAAAATATGGATGTACTAAGCATTAAAAATAGTGAGGAACAACTTAAACTTTTGGATTTCATAAGATTACTAAGTTTGCCTTCTTCAAATTTCAACTTGGTCTAATTTGTATTTTGTTTATGCAATATTTTATCAATGACTTTGTTATCAAATTTCAATTATTCTGAAAGACCAACAGCCATTCCTTTCATTCTCTTTGTAATGTTAAAGATCTCCTCTTGTAATTCATCATCTAGATTTTCACTACTTAACTACGTGTCAAATAATTTAGCTTTATTTCGTGTTTATTATTAAATTGGATTTGGTGCAATGACCTAAGAATTTGTCATTACCACTTTTTATTACTCTTCCTACTAAGCCAATCGTTTTTTTAGAGAAGCAAAAGCACTTGTTATTTTTCTATGTCCTTAAACCACAGCATCTGAATCTAAAATATTCTGAACAAATCTGTCTAATGCTAATTTCGTTGTCTAAAATCTCTATCTGACAATGTTACATCTATGTGATCAATCAAATCAAATTCATATTGTGTACCCTCTAATATCAACCCATGTTCAAATAGCTCCTACAAATTGGCTGATCTGTTATACAATTCCATTACATTTTTGTAATTTTAAGAACCCTATAATTCATTGCATATCAATTGAAAACCATCCAATATTTCTTAATATTCCATAATATTATTATGAATTAATAATAATCAGATATCCCACCCTCAAAGAAAACACAATTCACTGGATCCATAGATAGTCTGATTTATTAAACAATCTCTAAAAAACCAAATATGTCTGAGTTTCTGATATAGGAAATTTTGGAAGCCAGCGGATTTTAGACAAATGATTAAAATTGCTATAAATTAATAGGTTTGAGTGCTCTTAAATTAAAGCTCATCTAACTGATAAATGGATGATCGAAATGACAGATTCCATGGTTTAAAAATTAATCTAAGATAAGATGAGAAAAAAGGAGAAGGATCCAGATGAAAAGCTACAATTAACTACAAATGACATAGTTAATGAATTAGATCAAAGAGGATTGAAACTCCATAATCCCTTTCAATATCCTGAAATTGATGCTAATAACTTATAAAAAGTTAAAAATGAAGTCTAACAATGAGTTGCTGAAATATATATATTTCATTATAAATTCATCTTAAATTGCTCAATAAATACTACATGAATGAGAAATTGTAGATAGAAACATCTCTTTTTAATAATAGCCAATTAAAGGTCTTTTTTACAAATAATTTTGAGATTATAAATTTAAATTATTACAATTTATATAAAAGAGTGAGAAATTTAATGAGATGATTCGATTGAAATGGATAGTGTCCACTTACTGCTTTTTATTGGATTTAGGTATAGGTAAACAAGAATTTTATATCTACAGAATGTGATAATTTGAATCATTAATTTTTTTATATATTTTAAAGTAATTTATGTTTTAAGCAGAAGAAAAAACCTTATCAGAGCAAGTATGTTTTAAATATTAATTAGCAATTAATTCTACATCTAATCCATTAAAATGATTATGATACTCTCAAAGAATTGGGCATAAATAAAGGTATTTGTCATTGAGTTTCAAATAGCAAATATCAATTTCTTGGAGTCCTTTAATGAGATTGAAGTAGATTAGAAAATATCACCTTTGATTTGTGCATGTTACTTGGGAAGACTTGAGATAGTGAAACTGTTGCTTTCTAATACATAAGTTGATGTTGATTTAGCAAGTATGGATTCAGGATAAACTCCATTATCAATTGCAGCCATGACAGGAAATTATGAAATTCTAAAAATCCTCCTTGACGCTGGAGCTGAAGTTAACAAGCCCAATACCTTTAATTAGACTGCGTTTATAATGTGTTTTGCACGATTAGAAGAAGTACTTTAACATACAATTATATATTTCAAAAGGAAAAAAATGTATTTGAAAATCGAAAAATTTGTTTCAAAATGGCTGAATTGTTACTTCATTACGGAGCTGACATCAATTGGATTGTCGACAAAACTCACGGGTTCAATCTCCTGATGTAATTGTGTTCAATAAGGATGGAACTGAATTAGAAAGAAGCCGACATCAACTATTAGATAATTAAATTCCTAATTGAAAATGGAGTACCTTTATATAGCTTATAAATTAGGCCTAAAAGGATTTGTAATCCTTAAAAGGAAAAAAAGCATCAGACCTACTAAAAAAGCATTCAAATAGAGATAAATTGATGGAATTGCTTTAATGCACATAATAGTTATACTTTTATGGAAAGCAGAAAAACAGTAGCAGACATTCCAATTAGCAATAACAACTTCTTATCAGGAATGTTCCAAGACAATAAAAAGTCTGATATTAATTTATTTATAATATAATTTCTTGATTTTAAGAATGAAAATCAGCACTCATTCAATCCTCAATTCTTCGAATGCTATTCTTAGAGTGATTGTAATGGATAAATAATTTAAATAATTATTAATAATATTATGGATCAATCGTATCCTTTAATTAAACCAAATCAAGAAATTCTTAATTATGAACCAACTGCTGATGAGAAAAAGACCAAAATTGGAAAATACACCATTCGAAGGCTATTTGAAGGAGAACTAGACGAATAGGATAATGCTGCCATTAATAAATTTCTTGACGAAGCAGGCCCTTTCCAAAATCCCATTTGGACAAGGCCATAAATTTTGAGATTCTTATAAGCTAACAATTTCAAAAAAGATTAGACTGTTTCAACCATGTAACAATATGAAGAATGGGTAAAAACCTTACCAATCAATTACGATGAACAGGTTGAATAATTTCTAGTAATTTTCCCATAATAATCATTAGAAAGCTGGAATTATTTACATCTAAGGTAGAGATCATTCTTATAGACCTATAATTGTTTTGAATGCATATAAGGTTAATTTTAATTCGATGAGTCTTGAATAATATCTAAGAGGGTTAACTTACTTCTTGTAAGTAGTTGTCAATGATATGATGGTATCAGGCAAAGTTGAAAATTGGGTCATCTTGATTGATCTCGATTATAAAGGAATGATTGGACTTTAGATTAATGTAAATCTAGTTATTATTATTCCAAGGCTTTAAAGTAAGTGATGTCCTATTTATAAAATAACTACAGATCCAGATTGTATAAAATGTTCATTTTTAATACAACTATGATGTTAAATGTGACTTGGAATATGGCTAAATTATTCTTGGAGGAGATTACTTAATAAAAAATAATATTCGTCAAAGGAGATGTATTGATAATACTTATATTTTAGGTCAAATAATTGTTTTAATTAGTGAACAAAGAGTAAATTGAAGAGAAGTTTGGAGGAACATAAACAAATAGAGTTGAATTCTGGCCTCCATCAATTGTTAGTGCTAACTTCAGAAAGAATACTTGATTCTTGTGTTTTATATTGAGATTTAATGAAGAATTAAAAAAATTTAAATCTTTTTTAATGCCTCCCAAAGTCGACCCAAATGAAGTTAGATTGATCAACATTAAAGTCTTCGGAGGAGAAGGAGGTCCTGCTTCCACTCTTGCTCCCAAGTTGGGACCCCTCGGTCTTGTAATTATTATTGCTTATCAAACAGAATCCAAAATAAGTTGGTGATAAGATTATTGCTGAAAGTGGTAAATGGAAGGGTATCAGAGTTATGGTTAATTTGAGATGTTAAAACAGAAATGCTGATGTCACAGTCATTCCAACATCAAGTGCATTACTTATTAAGGAAATCGGAGTAAATCATCCAATTTATCTATTATAGGGATACGAAAGAGATAGAAAGAAGACCAAGAATGTTAAACACAATGGAAATTTGACACTTGAATAAGTCATCAAAGTTGCCAGAGCTGTTGAAGAAAAATCTTTGGCCAAAACCTTCACTGGAACTGTTAAATAAGTCTTAGGAACTGCATAATCCTTGGGAGCTACAGTTGATGGCTAACCAGTTAAGGCAATCATAGGAAAAATCAATTCTGGAGAGCTTAAAGTTGAAAAATGAAAAATACAAATATTATACACATAAGTACATTAACTTTTAATTATGATCAATCTTATAGAACAATAAATCGACAAACAACCACTTCTCTAACATGTTTATAAAATGAAGGGCTTTCTCCTGAACCTCTTGACCTAAAAATAGTATTTATTCCAAAAGGAGGAACCCTCAGTTCCTTTTGGGTAAACAACCATTAGATCTTTCTAAATTTCTCATTTGGATTGAGAGTTGCATCTGCTGAATATTATTAGGGAAAGCTGAATTGTCATTTACAATTACAGAGAAAATTGGTTAAGAATATTTGCTCGATATTTAAATGATTAAGAGCTAATCAATGATGATCAGTATTTGTACAATCTTTCACTATTTAAAACAGGAATTTGATAAACATAAGAAACATTAACAAATTAATAGAAAAAAGCTTTGTGAAATACCCTATGTTTCTAAAATGGAATATTTATGTTATGTTGTCAAAGTAATTGAAATCTTCAAAGAATTGAAATTTCATTTAATATAGTCAAACAGTAATATTATTTACTAATAGTTTATTTAGCAAATTCAACCTGTGATTATGATATTCCTATGCAAATCGTGGTCTAGCATAAGATCTAAACTTAAAATAATTTAGAATTAGAGTTAATGCCAGTTCCAAGATTGTAGGGTTCATCCAAGAGATCTTTAGGAAGGAGACAGTAGTCTCTCTTAATTTTGAAACTGATAATGAGATTCTCTATAAGAAACAATAGGAGTTTTTGAAAAAATACAATTTAGAAAATGTATTACTTTTTGTTAATTTATTAGTGTGCAGGGAATTTATTGCAAAATAGAAGGGATCATATAGTTAAATATAATAAGGGGGGATTCACCGAATTGCATAGAAATCAGGATGAAATAGTGGAGTCAATTATTGAATATTTATAATAAAACATCAAATGAAATTTGGTCAATTGTAATCATTTTTTGGTACTATTTATATTGTGTAAAAATTTATTTAATAATGTACATCTTTTAAATTAATTTATCGCCTATGGAATTAAAAAGTTTAAATAGATGATTAGCGAAATTTAATACAGAAATGAACACCATTTTTTAGTGTAAAGAGCATTTGATATATAAAATGGAATTATAAATAATATTACTTAGAATAGGAGATTATTTTACAATAATTATAGATTTTAATTCTGAATAAAATTTAAAATCATTTTAAATTATCAGAATGAGATTTTCCTAGATATTCCTACACTTATAACTCAAAAACTCGTTTGAGATCAGTTAATTGATGATCTTATTTAAACCAAGTCTTTTAAGGTGTTAGTAAGACGGCTTTTTTAGAAGGTTAGTCTTCTTTATTTTTTAATAAATTTGAAATTTTGGACACGTTAACCCGAGTATTGGCATCTAGTTAGAAAGAAGTATTTGAGGATATATTGATAAAATCATCTTCTTTTTTACCATTTGTTAACATTCTTTATAAGGCTTAGTCAAAATTCCTTTTTGATTGAAAACTGTTCAAATTGTTTCTTACTTCATTAGCTGACTTCTATAAGGTTTCATTGAGTATATCAATTTAGGATTCACAAAATTTATCATGACTTCTTAAAATTACTTCTTGTTTCATGTGTTATTTGGAAATAAACTTCAAAGATCTTGTTCTAAATAATAATGAATATCATAAGTACTAGTCATCCACAATAAAAACTGCTACATTTTTTTAGATATGGACCTCCCGATCCCTTTTTTCTTTTTTATTTATTCTTCCTTCATTTCTATATATTCGAAAAATAGCTTTTATTGTAGAGAGGTTATGCCCTGTGATTTAAGCAATCTATATTATATTGATTATAATTGTACCTGAGAGGCTGATAGTGAACCTTCAATAAAATAATTTATTATTTTCGATCTTTCCTCTGAATTCACAGATTTATACTTCTGTTTCTTTTCTGGCTTGATATTCACGTCAATCATCTAGAGATGGGGTTGTAAAAAAAAGATTTAATGATAATGTATTTAATGAAATTTCTTTTGTTAAATAAAAGAGTCCTGATGTAATATTTTGATACTAAATTTCACAATTATCGGCATCCCAGATAGACTTCCACACGAATTTGACATTCACTGCAGTCAGTGAATTTCAGTGAATTTTTAAATTCATTCTGTATTATTAATCCTGAATTTATTAAAAGAATTAGTCATCTTTGAATCAATTAAAGAGATCAAAAATTTCATGATTGTATTATATTACAAAAGAGAACAAAACCAATGTTTAAATTTCAATCTTTATAATTTATTCATGCTTATACCACCAAAAAAAAAAGAATTTTGTTAATTAATTAATTAACTAGTGGGAAATCAAAAATAGGTAAAATATCAAATTTGTTCCTATTGTTTCTCCATTGATAAATCACTCTAAACTATAATTTTAGAGTTTATTACTCGCTTCTTAATAAAATACTGATGTCAATGGAAATCTCAGCTCGGCTTTTATGAAAAACAGACTGAAAATTTTTAATTTAATTGCTGAAGACTTTAAGAAAATTCATAATTTTTTGAAATGTTTGCTAAAACCAATAGGTAACAGAGTTCACTCTTAATCAAATTATCTTCTTTCAATTTCTCGTTGCTATAATTACAACTTTTATAATCATTTCAAATCTATAAGAAGTTCTGCAATATTATAGAGGTTTAAATTAATCGTAAGCACCCCTTTTCTAAAACTGACTTTTTAATAATTAAATAAGTGATAACCATGTTCTTTTTGGAATATTTAAATGCTCATTTAATTAAATAATTTTTAGTTTAATTTGAATTTATTTATAAGAATAAAAAATAATTAATTCTTAATTTCTGAATATTAATGCATCCTATTCAGTTTCAATATTAATCATCTTAATTATACATTAATGTTCGATATAGTTACTGATAAATTAATTTAATTTAAAAGTGCGAACCATTATTCAAGTAATTTATTAATGTGAGTCTAAACCCTTATTCATGTTTTTTCATTTAATATAGATGAAATCCATTCACCATTCATAATCACCTTCTCGAATTTGAGTAACTTAGGAGATAGAAATATTAATTTATGAGCAAGTGTGATAAAAATAGCAATAATTTTTAATGTGAATATCGTAATCGTATATAAAGCTTATTGATTTAATTGATTAAAATTAGAATACCTATATTTAGAAGTCTTGATGACCTTATCTATAATAAGAGATTTCAAGAAAACAAATTAATTAGCAGAAAGGTCTATTCTTGTAATCTTAAAGTTAAACAATTTAAATTGAGTTTGGAATTATAAAGTTCCTAATGAGTAAGTTTCAATAGCTTGAATAGATTTTTATTCTAACATACCTTATGTAAAGGAAAACAAATTCTTTTGATTAGATGCCTAATAAAAAATACCTTCAGTGAATAATTGTTTGTGGAAAAAAAATAGTAATGAAATAAAAATTATAGAAATTTCGAAGAAGTGCATTTGAGCATTAAGATCTAGATGTTCCAATAATTAATAGTTTCTTAAATGAAGAGAGATATGGAATTAAGTATGTCAATTGTATAAAAAAGAGAATGTAAGAGACTCTTTTAATTAAATATTGAAAGTGTGAATATACATAGAATGAAGAATTCGTTAATAATACTTAATTTAAGGGATGAAGAATATAGTAGATAGTGAATAGAAGTAATACTATTATTACATAATCATTTGAAATTTGTACTCAATTTCTTGTTCTGTTCTATTTAAATTATTTAAGAATTATGAGAAAATAAGCTCATATTTATTAAATGGAATATAAATCCACCCATAAATACAGTTTTGAAAAATGGTAAGTAGGATCTTTGAATGGAATAGAATACCCAACTATTGTAATGTAATGAAGGCCATCAAATAAATATAAATATATGAATTATAAGTTAATTTTTTAAGATGTGCTCGATTGAATTGGGCTAATAATAAACAATAAGTTTATCAATTGATTAAGAATTGGTTTAAACTCTTGAGAAAATTTAGAAACATTTTTCTTTAAATAAAAGGCAATTCATTGTAAAGATGATTATTATTATAAAATTAATTAGAAAGTTTATTAATAACAATCTAGAAATTTATAATCGCTTTTTACAGATAAGGATTCAGCTTAGAATCAAAATAATTAAAAGAGTAGATATAAATTAAACACCATCGCGATAGACATCTTGGAACAGAATCCCTCTATAAATAAAAAAAAGCATAGAATTAATTAAATGAGAAGACTTGAAAGTTTTTAGATAAATAACAGAAATTATCAGAAATGATTCGGTGTTTATTCCAAATGATATTTTTTATACTAGAATTAGGAATTTTATGTTTATTCCATTTAATCAATTAATAATTAATCAAAAGAATTGTATTATAAAATTGATTTTATTTATTAATATGATGTATAAATTTGTCATTGGAGTTTTATTAATGAATGTTTTGGTGAATGCATACAACCCTACAATCTATGAATTATCATTGAGACCCTGGTTATATGAATTAACTAATAAATATGGAAGAAATATTTCGAAATTAAATGATATTCCCATGGAAGAATTTCAACATCTGAAAGACATTGGAGTTGATTATGTTTGGCTAATGGGTGAGTTCTATTGTTAATTTAGGTATTTGGTAACTTGGATAATACGGTTTGGACTTTGATAGAGCACATGCTAATGACTATAAGTCCAACTTGCCTGACTTTACGATTGATGATGTCATTGGGTCACCTTACGCAATTACAGAATTTGTCTGTAATTCAGAACTCGGTACAGACTAGGATATTATAAATCTGAGATAAAAACTTAATGCTATGGGTTTAAAACTCATGCTCGATTTTGTTCCTAATCATTCTGCAATTGATAGTCCATATAGAACATCAAATATCGACTATTATATTAGAGCTCCACCCAATACGCCAACACCCTATGACTCTGAATATTACTTGCCTGATGGAGTTAGCTATGGTGGTGATCAATGGGATGGATTTTGGAAAGACACCGCTCAATGGAATTACTGGAACAATGATACTAGGAACTACCTCAAGTCTGTAGTGAAGAAGATAGCTTCAATGTCAGATGGTATGAGATGTGATATGGCAATGGTGATATTGAATGATCTCTTCTACAATAAGTGGAAACCTTAATTAGATGCTTGGGGTTACAAGAGACCATCAACTGAATTTTGGTCTGAAGCCATAGCAGAAACTAAATAACAATATCCAAATGTTATCTTTTTGGCTGAAGTGTATTGGAGCAAAGAGTAGGATCTAATAAATCTAGGATTTGATTACGTGTATGAGAAATGGTTATTGGATCAATAGGCTACGTTGGATGTTGGAAAGGTTCGACCGATCTTATCTAATTTGGATTTCAATGTATTTATTTTGATTTTAATGATCAGTATGCATCTCATTCAAATCATTTTGTTGAAAATCATGATGAACCAAGAGCGATCATAAAATTCAGTGGCAAGGATTATATTTCCTGTGTTGCTGCATTAATGAGTTACTCTATCCCAGGAGCCCGATTTGTTAATCATGGATAATTAGAGGGATTGTCCAATAAATTGGATGTCCACCTTAGAAGAAGTTATAGAGAGAATGGATCAACCTATGTTAAATCATTTTATGGAAAGATCATGGATATCTTAAAAAGAGATGTATTCAAATCAGGAAATTGGACTCAATTGAATGTCACTGGAGATTAGTATTGGAAATTCTTTGCTTTTAGAGTAATTATATTGAAAATGTTGAATAGTGGACTAATTCATCAGAGAAAATAGTTGTCGTTATTAATTTCTCTGAGGGATCAGGATATGGACTTGTAAAATTAAGTGATGCTTCAAGTGGATAACAAACTATAACCGAATTGATTAGTGGATAAACATATGTAAGAAGTGGAGATGATATGAGAAACAATGGATTGGGTGTCATTGTTGATGGATGGAATGCTTAAATTTTCAGCTATTTCTGAAAAATATTAATAATAATGTTTGGAAAATTATGTATAGTGTGATTATTTAATTATAAACTCACTACTTTTTTTTTATTTTAGGTAGTTATTGATGTTCTTCAATTATCTTCATTAACACAGTAGGTCTTTCTGCGCTAGGTTGCATAGAGAGATCCTTCTTCAATGATTCATGTTTCGATCTCTTGATATGGTTACTTGGATTTCTTTCATTGGAGGAATTCTTTCTTAGGATATACTATTCATCATCCTATCTTTAAGTTCCAGAGATGATGGGTAACTTCTATGAATAGTGTTATTTATTGAGGGATTAGATAACATCCTTAGCATAATAATTAGAATTTATTTGAATTTGATGTTCTATTCGATCCTTCGAGATGCATTTACTTTTAATAATAAAACAATTATTACGGTTAGACTGATTCATACTTCTCATGTTTTTCGTGAGTAGAATTTGACACTCTCAATCTTCTATCTGGAGGCAAGATATTATCTTAAATGGTCTATTTTGAAGTAGATTTGTTTAGGTTCTATTTGATATTAGGACTCTTCTCAATATCCTTCTATTCAAGTTAAGTGATTTGCTTCATTAATTGATGCAAAGCTTCGTTAGGTTGATTTAGAGAGATCGAATCATTAGTATCTTAAGACTTGATTCTATTGGATTGTTGATTTCTCCTTAAATGATTTGAATTATGTTGATTCAAGTAGTTGCTCCCAGGCAATTGGAAATTTAGATTGATGAGTTCTGACTTGTTGGCTTACAATCCCTTCCTGGTGATTGGCCACTTGATTGTCTTTAGTAAATCGTCCTCGATGTCCTCTGAGATCAAGGGTATCCCATATTGTTTGGCCTTCTTCTACACATACTAATATTGGAGTAACTTATCTAAGGTTTAAGTCTTAAATCTGTACCACAATCCGGTCTATTTTGAGGATGCACTTGCATCATAGTTTTAATTAACTGGACCAACTCTTGGGAGTAGATCACTGGGATGGGTTAGTATTAGCCTCTTAGAACAGATTTATACAGTCCATCCATATCTTTGGCTCTGAATGGTCTAATCTAATAGTAGGATCATATGTACGGTTTCAGAGCGCAGGCCTCGTAAATCACACACCCCAAGGACCAAATATCAGCCTTGTGATCATATGGTTTGTCTTACCAAACCTCTGGGCTTGCGTAATAGGGGGTGCCAGTTTGAGTGTAAACTAAACCATTTTTGGCTAGTTTGGAAACATTGAAGTCCCCAAGCTTGACCTAGTCATTTTCATATAGGAATATATTTGCACATTTCAAATCTCGGTGCAGTATTTTTTTATGATGTAGTGCTCTTAATCCCTATAAAACTTAAATTGCAACTTGCCATATTTCTTATTCAGGAATCATTTACTATTTTTTTACAAACCTCTAAATCTTTTACAACAAATCTCCTCCTTCTGCGTACTCCATGATAATACTTAGATTACAACGATTAATCATACCATAAATTATTGTCCTCAATAAAACATTCCTTATAAGAAACAACATTCTCATGATGAATAGATGCAATAAACCGGACCTCATTAAGAGCATTCTATTTCTCTCTATCCCCGATATCTACTAATTTAACCTTTATTATATTTGATAACATCCATTTACTTTCTTTAAAGCATAAATATTTCCATCAGACTTTCTCTACACTTTGTAAACAGAAGAATAAGCTCCAGAACCTAAAACAGTTTAGTAAGTTCAGTGATACCTAATTTGTTCAGAATCTCAAAATTTTATAGTTTGCTTTCCATTTTAATTATAATTAATAAAGTAATATTAGTTATGATTGCAAAACAAGTCTAATCTTGACAAACTTGAGCAATTCATCAAAAAGTTCCTTTGCTTATAGAAGTTCCTTTACAAATTGAAATACATTAAGGTCTGATTTTTGAGTGGCTGCATAAGATTTCTTAAAATAGCAAAAACCACTTTAAGGTGAGAGTAGCAATATTCAATGATTCAGAATCTATAATTATTCTTGGATTTGTCTTATCAATAATAATAGATAGAAGGGAAATCTTGGAAAAAGTAAGAAAATCCATGCTCTCACAGTATAAATTTAGATGCAGTTTTTGGATTCTTCGAGTATCACTGAGATTGATTGAAAATGCAATCCTTGGATTTAACTACTTCAAAGAAGATTTGGAAAGTTTTTAGATAGTATACTCCAATCGTTACAAATCCTTTATTAGAGAATTTACCAAATATCCATACTAAAAAGCTGATTCCATATATAACTTGCGTTCTAATTTATAGGAATATAGAATGAGATTAGAATTATGTACTACTTTGTCATAATGTTGAATTGAATTGATTCTAAAGAAATTATCCAATACAATATTAGGGCAGAGAAATAGTTATTATGCTTAGAACCAAAATTTGATAAAATTATATTAATAAAATGAAAATGAATTAATTAATAGTTGAGAGAGAAAGTGACAATATTCGAAGGATGAGTCGTCTGGCTATCTTCAATCAACGAAGGTTTTGGCTGAAGGAAGAAGAAAAATAATAAACAGAGGAAATAGAGATAGAATTCAATAAACTAAAGCTTGAAGAACCCACCTTAAAACTAGAATAATAAAACCTGCGAAAATTTTGCAAAAACTTTTAAAGTTTTGAATATTATAATGGGGAACCCATTTGTGTAAATGATTACTTTATTCGCATCCTACCAGTTGGATTGCGATGCATAGTTAGTAGTCATCAAGGAGTTACTGTGCTAAAAACTATAAATGGTTTAAAATATAAATTTTCATCTTCGCTTCCAGGAGGTATTTGTTAAAATTATAAATTTAATAGGGAGTATAAAAACCATGATTGGTAGATGTATTTTGGATTGTATCTTATGTGCCAACACAGTGTATATTTATGATATTATGCAATGGGGTAAAATGGATATGAGCGAGTAAGTTGCAGAACTAAGATATTTTTGGATAAAAGGACACATTCTAAGTCAATTGCGTTAGGATTAAGAATCAGAGGATTACATCTTTGAATGGATTCCAGTCATCCCCTCAATTCATGAATTGCAAAAGACTATCTTTCCTTACACGAAGAATGGGTTGCTTTTCATTCGCAAGGATTCCTATTACTTTGCTGGAGTCAATCCTGAGTGCTTTATATATCAAGATGAATTTACGGATGAAAACTTCAAAGAGGAATGTCTCAAATACAAGTTTGACAATTCAATTACGTTGACTCTTTGTCATTTCCAAAATCAATTAGAAACTAGAGACGGTTACAAGATAGCTCAATATTAGAGCAGCAAAAACACTAAGGAGATTGTTGATGCAAAGGTTACAATAACTAATAATGAGTTGGTTTTGGTTGATATTAAGGATCCATCCAAATTTTTGGAAGATCCTTATTCTAAAATAATGTTCTGGAAGTAGTTACCTCGCTTAAAGATACAATGATTTAAATAAATAATTGATACTAAATCAAACAAAGAATCGTTTTCTGAGTCCATTAGTTGAGAATTCTTTCAGAATTATCTATTTATTTGAGAAGTTCTGGGCAAATGTAAAATCTAATCCCCTATATTAGCATTCTGATGTCTCCACTCTAGGTTTAATTTTTTTCTCATTCCTAGGGTTTTATTAAGAGAGAAGTTGTTTCTTAGCATCCTTAACTACTTGCAACACTCTTTGCGGTCGTATTTTTATCGAATCGCTTTCAACTCTGTGTAATTCAATTAATGATGACTTTCGTCCTATGCGATTCGGTGGTTTATTCAATGGAGACTGATCTGGACTATATGAATTTTGTTGAACTATCAACGGTGTCAGTATATTTTTAATATGCTACTGAGAACATGTTTACTATGATTTTCGCATATTTATTAATTAAATAATGATTAAAATAATCTTATTTATCACAACTCTCCAGTCATTAATTTCCTGCCAAGTAGAATATTCTCATTTCGATGATCCTTCCCAATAAGAGACATCGCACTAATCCAATGAGNGTGTAAATGATTACTTTATTCGCATCCTACCAGTTGGATTGCGATGCATAGTTAGTAGTCATCAAGGAGTTACTGTGCTAAAAACTATAAATGGTTTAAAATATAAATTTTCATCTTCGCTTCCAGGAGGTATTTGTTAAAATTATAAATTTAATAGGGAGTATAAAAACCATGATTGGTAGATGTATTTTGGATTGTATCTTATGTGCCAACACAGTGTATATTTATGATATTATGCAATGGGGTAAAATGGATATGAGCGAGTAAGTTGCAGAACTAAGATATTTTTGGATAAAAGGACACATTCTAAGTCAATTGCGTTAGGATTAAGAATCAGAGGATTACATCTTTGAATGGATTCCAGTCATCCCCTCAATTCATGAATTGCAAAAGACTATCTTTCCTTACACGAAGAATGGGTTGCTTTTCATTCGCAAGGATTCCTATTACTTTGCTGGAGTCAATCCTGAGTGCTTTATATATCAAGATGAATTTACGGATGAAAACTTCAAAGAGGAATGTCTCAAATACAAGTTTGACAATTCAATTACGTTGACTCTTTGTCATTTCCAAAATCAATTAGAAACTAGAGACGGTTACAAGATAGCTCAATATTAGAGCAGCAAAAACACTAAGGAGATTGTTGATGCAAAGGTTACAATAACTAATAATGAGTTGGTTTTGGTTGATATTAAGGATCCATCCAAATTTTTGGAAGATCCTTATTCTAAAATAATGTTCTGGAAGTAGTTACCTCGCTTAAAGATACAATGATTTAAATAAATAATTGATACTAAATCAAACAAAGAATCGTTTTCTGAGTCCATTAGTTGAGAATTCTTTCAGAATTATCTATTTATTTGAGAAGTTCTGGGCAAATGTAAAATCTAATCCCCTATATTAGCATTCTGATGTCTCCACTCTAGGTTTAATTTTTTTCTCATTCCTAGGGTTTTATTAAGAGAGAAGTTGTTTCTTAGCATCCTTAACTACTTGCAACACTCTTTGCGGTCGTATTTTTATCGAATCGCTTTCAACTCTGTGTAATTCAATTAATGATGACTTTCGTCCTATGCGATTCGGTGGTTTATTCAATGGAGACTGATCTGGACTATATGAATTTTGTTGAACTATCAACGGTGTCAGTATATTTTTAATATGCTACTGAGAACATGTTTACTATGATTTTCGCATATTTATTAATTAAATAATGATTAAAATAATCTTATTTATCACAACTCTCCAGTCATTAATTTCCTGCCAAGTAGAATATTCTCATTTCGATGATCCTTCCCAATAAGAGACATCGCACTAATCCAATGAGGAACTTCAAGAGAGGATTAAATCTAAAATTGAAAATTAAGAAATTTAATCTTCAAACTAGGAAATTCATGATGGAGAATCCGAAGAAGATTATGAAACACTCTTTGTAAATTATGAAATCGGAGAAGAACAAGTTCTTGATGCTCAATAAACTTTCCATGATGACGATACTGTTGGAGCAGATCTCTTAGAAATACTTCGAGATGATGAACTCTTGTATTCTGATACTCATGATGACAAACCTGAAAATATGGTGATTGATGCCTCATAAAACTAATAGGATGAGACACCTCAAGAAATAAACTATGAACAAAATGAATTGAAATTATGTTCTTTTGAGACTCAAACGAATTGTTAATAATAAGTTGATGAGCAACAACAGTCATGAATATTGTAAAGTATAATATCAATAAATCATTCAGGCTAATCTCTACTTTTCCTTCTTCTTCTTAATCATCTTCAATTATCTAACCAACTATCCCAACTTCTCCTTCTCTTTTATGAGTATCATAATCGATCTAAATTGTTTGTATGTGTCTTGATAGTAGGTCTATTTCAACCACATCATAGCCATCCTCGAAAAAATGAGTTCAGATTTATCTAAAACATTCATTTGGTGTTCCAATTGATTTGTCTATTGCAACTTGCCTTAGTAAAATTCCAAAAGTTAATTCCTTCTCTAATCTGTGTATTTGCTGAAATCAAGAAATATTAAATAATTTTTCAACTGCATCAACTCTTCTGGAATTATTTTGAATAGTTCAATTCCCTCACATTCTGCCACTTGCATCACTAACAAAGGTGTGTAAGTTGGCATCTGATTAACTCCCTTGTAATTCATCTTAATTATTTCTTAAGTATAATTTTTGGATTGCTTTATCAATGCTTCTAAGATCTCGTTATATAATATTGGAAGCTTCTCTTTCTCTTCTTAAATGTCAACTTCCAATTGTTAAATTGCCTTCTTTTACTCTAACCGATAATATAACAAATAATTGGTTATTATTTCCTTCATCTTGCTGTTCATCAATCTCAATTTCAAAATATCATGCAAATAAAGATACGGAAGAAGATTCAAAAACACCGAATACGAAAACCTGTCTTCAAAACTTTGCTTCGAGGGGTTATTTCTTTATTACTAAATGAATTAATATAGAATTACAAATGTGCACTGCATCTCATATAATTATTGCCATAATAGATTCAATTCAAGATTCTGTTTCTTATTTTACTTCTCCAATTTAATCATAGCATCCATCTGATTAGCAATATTAAATAATAAAAATATTATGTATAAAGTTTATTAAAATATAATTTATTGTGCAAGCAACCCATTGAGTATTTAATACCTATACCAAATATGGATACCCTAAAGTAGTCAACTTACTTCAATTAAATTGATTTGAAATATATTCTAAATATAAAACCCATGCCTCTATTGATTTCAATATATTATTGTATCTAAATATATTACATCATGGTTATGATATGAAGTGAAGCATATATATTATTCTATATTAATCAATACAATATCTAATGGTGAAATTTATAAAATTCAATGGAAAAATAGTCTAGATTCTGTATTTGTATATTTTTGATTTCCAAATACAGTTGCTATATCTATCATCTGCTTATTATCAAATTTTGATAAAATTGCAGGATTCTAATATAATATTATTGGGATTTAGAATTAAGAATTTCTCCTTTAATTATAAGCTAAAATTTAAAGTAAAAACTTTTAATAAAATTTGATGAAGCACTAATAATATAAAATTAATAATTTATACTGTTAACAATTTTTTATGAATTCCCCTGGCGATTCAATTGATGACATAATAAGTCTCTTAAATAAGCACTATCATCCAAACTGTAATTAAGAATAATAATGTAAAGTTATAGAATAAATAGGAAATCAGCTTCATAATATTAGAGACAAAAACCAAGTATTGGAAGCGCCATGCTTCCTCAAATAAAAGTAAAGATTCAATAAACTAATTTAAGTAATAATTAAATGTGTTGAGTACCATCCCGAACTCTTAATATAATAATTAGGATAAATTTAAAAGAAAGGCTACGAGTTTAAATCGACAGCAACAACAGAAAACGTAAACCAAAGATACTGGTTCCTTTGCGACTCCTATGACCAGATGCTTAACTTTTAAGCCATATTCAGGGAGCGTTGATATAATAATTAATGTATGAATGTTAATAAAAAGGATGTTGGTTATTATTACAAATTTGGAAGTAGCCCAATAAAATTAGTAAAAGGACTATTGGAAGAGAATGGATTCAAAGAAAGCAATGATAAAAACTGGACTTTGTATTGGTCATCATGTGCAATAAAATCAGAAGTCTATACTAATTTGTTTGCTTATCAAAAAGTATGTCACTTTCCAAAATCATATGAAATGACTCGTAAGGATTTGATGCACCGTAACATTTCGAAAATGTAAATAAATCATGGATTTATCAATTTTAATTTTATCCCAAAAACATACATATTGCCAACAGAGATGAGCTACTTCTTAGAAGAACATGAGAAGATTAAAAATAATACTCCTGTCTACATATGTAAACCACATGCGAGTTCTCAAGGGAAAGGCATATTCATTACTGATAAGATTCAAGATGTAAATACATATTATGAACTATTTTTAGATATTAAATAAATAGAATTCCAATAATTCTTACGTTGTTTCGCATTATATTGATAAACCACTCCTGATAAATAATCTGAAATTCGATTTGAGGATATATGTAGCCATAAGTTGCATAAATCCATTGAGGATCTATGTGTATTAGGATGGATTAGCAAGGTTTGCTACTGAGGCCTATAATCCTGATTCCATAAAGTAGAATAGATTTGTGCACTTGACTAACTACTCAGTGAATAAGGACTCGCCTAATTTTGTAGCAAATTAGGACCCGACTTTAGATTATGTTGGTAGTAAATGGAGCTTATTGGCTTTAAGAGAGTACTTAAAACTAAACAAAATAAATGAAGTATTTGATAAAATAATTTAGTAATAAATATTTGATAGGATTGAAGATTTAATAATCAAGACAATCATTAGTGTTGAAAGCACCATATTTCAGACGTGTGAAATGAATGTACCATTTAGATCGAATTGTTTTTCCTTATTTGGATTTGATGTATTAGTGGATTAACTCTTGAAACCTTGGTTATTGGAAGTGAATTTCTCACCTTCACTTAATATTGATGCTCCATTGGATCTCAAAATAAAAGGAGAAATGTTGGCTGACCTATTTACATTAATAGGAATAGTACCATTAGTAATCTTCATTATGATTAAAGGACTAAAGATTTTCATAAGATTTATCCTATGTCAGAAATCAAAACAATAATGATTTCAAGAAACATTAATAGGAATTCGAAAAATACATAATCAAAGAGACAGAGGAGGAATTGAAAAGAAGCAGAGGCTGGAAAAGGCTATATCCATCAGATCAAAGCTATCGATATACTAAGTATTTTGAATCTGATAGACCTTTGAATGCGTTACTGAGAAATTATTATAAATGAAATATTAACAATGTTATTATCTGTTTGAAATAATTAATAATAAATTTTTATTAAATGAGTGACGAGGAAGAAGAAGTTGAAGAAGAAGAAGAAGAAGAAGATTAAGAAGAGTAAGAAGAATAAGAACCATAGAAACAGGAGAATGACGAACTAAATGAGTTTCGCAAATATAACTCTCATTCTTCATATGCTAATATGCACAAGTACCCTAAACATAATAATGATCATAATCCACTAGCATATTATTATCAAAGATAAATACCAATTCCTTATTAACCTTCCCAATACTGGGTGGATAGAGTTCAATATCATTAACAAGAAATAGATCGAGCCAAATAAGTTTTATTAAATGTGTAAAAGCCTCAACCTAACATGTACAACTATGGCAGATCTTTGAACTATTAACCCAACAATTCACCACTTCCACAAAGAGTGTAAATAGAATCACAAAGGTCTCAAAATTACAATCCATCAATTCCTCCAAATCAACCACAATATCATTTTGAATCAAGAGATTTCAATCGATCACCACAACCTTATAATCCTAATCCATCTGTTTCCAAATACAATCCTTATCCAGCCCCCGCGTAAAAGAGTTATCCACCCCCATCATAATAAAATTACTATCCTCCTCCGTAAAATGAACTCCTGAACTAATAGTTTTCTGGCAATCCAACAATGAACCCCTATTATTAGCCGTATTCTCCTCCTTATCCAAATTATTACCCTCCTCCTCCATTTGCTTATGTCCCACCTCCTTATGACTTTTAATAAGATCTTATGAAAGAGTATCCCAAAGTCAATCCCTTAAAAAGTAAGCAAGTGCAGACAGAAGCGATACCAGATACTCCTTAATTACCGACTGGTGTCTCCTAATATCAACAAGAGAAACCATAGGCCTTTTCCTAATAGAATATAGCTCCAACTCAAGCTCTAACTGAAACAGAGCTAGAATATATAGAATTTTTGAGATTCAAAGAATTTAATTAAAAGCAGCAATAATAGATTGATGACTAAGATTTTTAAGATTTCTAAGAATTTAGAAAACTCAAGCAACTATAATTATTTAAGTAAACAGTTGACAGAGAGGAAGAAAAGCGATCTTTGACTGATCTCTATAAGAGAAAAAATAGATAAGGTATTTGATTTATAATAATCAAATAGTCTATTCAGAATAAGAATTTAAATCTTAATTGGATAAAAAGAGAGATTATCAATAGTTTCAACAGGCTTACAAAAAACCGCTGTAATAGGAAACAAATCTAGAGATAGATAGAGCAATCAATGCTTTGATGAGATCATAGACAGGCACAAACAAGGAATTTTTTAAATGAATTATTATATCATCTTTATATATAATAATCATATAGAACTCGATTGGAGGTCGGTTTCTTTACTTAAATTTATAATACTCTTTTCACTTTACAAGTATAGAATTTTGATAAATTTCTCAAATCAATTCATATAAAAATCTAATTATTCTATATGTGAAAGATCCTCTATAAAATGTTTAAAAGACTATTTTTTTTATTTCACAAATGATGAAATTGATAAAGATAAGTAATAATAATTATTTAGATTATTATTATTGAATATTTATTGTAACTTTTTTTTAATTAGTCTTAATTATTTCATAATAAATTGAAGAAATGATGATTTCAACAAATAAGTCTTTCAATTTATTATTTTGAGGCCAAAAATAATTTAGAGTTTTAAATTTTAATATAATTATTATGATATTTACTTTTCTATTAGATTATGATTACATGGAATAATAATATTAAGATTAAATGAAAAATTAAATACTTTAGGAAAACATCCTAATATAGATAGAATTTTAAATACAAAAAAAATTCATAAGTACTACAACAATTGTTTTTGCTTTTGTTTTTATTTTTTGTTTTCTGCTTCCAGTAATTGTTTTATAAATTCAGGAACTCTTTATTTTTCTTTATCTAAACTCCTAAGCTTTAAATTAGAATAAAAACCTCTTAAATTCAATTATCTACTTCTACCCTTTCAATATTTCTTTAAGTGCCTCTGTTCTTTCCTTATTGCCTATTTTTTTCATAAGATCCTCAGGTAGATTATGATCAAATGGATTATATTGTACATACATATTATGCATATTTTTATAAAAGTGCAATTCATCTAATAATTGATAGCATTTGACTATACCTTCATATTTCTATTGCATGAAATCTGGCTTTTATACATACCTCTGATCATAAGGTATGTACCATTTATTATAAAATTCCTTCTATTTCTTAGGTAAATAAGGTAATGAAGGTTGCTTAGTTTTTTTTATTTTATATATTTCTTCCTTCTGTTTAGATATATTTTCTTAATTTTTATGAATGATATACTATGTGTCTCTCTGTAGGTGGGTTCAGTTTTTTGTGCATCATTTGATTTCATTCTCCTCATTACTGAGATTTGGGCAAGTTAATCAAGATACTCAAGGTTGGGTGATTTGGTATAATGAATTGATCCAAGTACTGGAGGAGAGACTTATCTCAAAATTAAGAACTTTTGTTGTATTTTAGATTCAGTTTCCATAAATATTAATATGATAAAAAGTTATGTGAAAGAAAAAATTAAGTATTTTGAGGATAATAGTTTGAGGAGATTGAACAGTAAGTTGCCAAAGTTATTTAAGTTAGTCAATAATAAATAAAATATAATTAAAAGGAGTAATAGTAATCATAATTTAAATATAGTATTATTATATACATACTGGATGTAATAGATAATGATACATAATCATTCTCAAATACTGAAACTAAACTACTTATATTTAGATAAAAGTTTTGATTTCTATCGATTAACCGAGAATATAGAATAGAATACTAATTATATATAAGTTGTGTGTTACAATGAAATAATCCCAAATTAAACACTCAACAATAAAAAATGAATGCTGATATTCTGAAGTAAATTTTGGTTGTAGTAGTTCATTGATATTAAAATAAATCGTTCTGGAGAATTGATTTTGAAAGGGTACTTTTGAAAGTTAGGAATCAAAATATATTGATTTCAGAATTAACTTCAAATCAATATAATTAATTAATTGAATACATTCCTCTGCCATTTTTCATTATATTAATGATTATCAAAGACACCAATTATTTTGCTATGCACTTTATTAATTGATTAATCAAGAAGGAAAAGTATTCATAAGGATAAATGATTTCACAAGAATTCATATTCTAGGTCTTTAACCTTAATTCTAATATTTAATTCTTTATCAAAATAATTATATTATAAATAATGTATTTTAATTCGAAATTAAATTATAGGTTTTGCAATAATAAATAGTAATATGAGATTCCAGAGGGTCTCAAAAAGTAGATTCAGACTAGAGCTAGACATATGATTGTTTCATTCACTTTAGTAGTTTTTGGAGGAGTTCTTTTGGCAGGCAAACACACATATTAAAAATTTTATCCTAAGGACACTTAAAAACCCAAAGAGACTGAGAAAATTAATGAGGAAAATTAAATTTAATAAGAGAAGCCAAAGTAATGAATTTAGATAATTCAAATGAAGCTTTATGATAAAAATATATAATCAAATTTAATATTCAAGAAAATAATACAAAAAAAGGGTTTTATAGTACAGTAATTGCAGAACACTAATGTTATTTAAAAATGCAGAAAATATCTAAACGATAATTGTCTGAAGGAAGCAAAATTATAAAATAAGGAAAACAGCCAAGAAATACTTAATCTATTTTTGAGAAATTTATTCAAGTCTATTGATATAGAAAAAATTAAGATTATGAATAACTAGTAGGAGGAATGAATTTGAAAGCAAGAATAATTGATTAGTATGAAGAGAATAATAATCATGATTCAATTTACTTCTTTGCCATATTTTCATATAGTTTATAAAAAGTTTTGATATAATTATGAAAGGTAGAGCATCCTAAATTTAGTGATACATAATTTTATCATTCCATCATTCCTTAATAATAATTAGGTAGGTTGTAAAATAATAATGTAACTGAGAAACTCAATATAGTTGAGGAAGACTAAAATAATAATATTGATATTGTATATTTCTTTATAAATATCAATTAATTCAATTTTATTATATCTAATTATTAAGGAATTGCTATTTTTTTTTAAATAATTTTTCAGCCATTTATCTACGAAATATCTTTTAAAACTGTTTAGCTGGACAATTCTGATCTTCCTTTTGAATATAGTCATGCATTTCTGTTGATATAAATTATCCTTCAAAAGTAGGTATCTTTTCGTAAACCTAAGTTAATCAACTCTTAAATTACATGCTATCTATCAATCTATGACTTATGAGAGGTTGTATACGGGAGGAAACTCATTTTATGTGTTGTTTGTCCTTCAAATTACCCAGTAGGAATTGGTGTTCTATATTATTGAGGTATAGCTTACAAACAGGTTTTGAAATAATTTGCATTGTTAATGCTCCACCTATTTGGTGAGACATAAGAGTCCTTGTACTGGGAGGAGCCAATAAATTTGATGTCTGGACTTGTGCTTATGTGAGGATAGGGGGTAAACTTATGATAATTGGTTCCCCATTCATTGTAATTGGACTAGATAAGAATTGAAAGAGTACTCTGTAACTTGTTAGATTAGACACCGATCCGATTTGATGGGTAGTCGGTTTTTTTTGGTTAGGTTAAATTTCAAGAGGCTGTTATTGAAAATCTTATTGATAGAGAGATTTCAAATTTATAGATTTTTGATCCATGAAATTTGTTTCATATGTTTTTTAATTAAGGGGATTTGTTACACTTTTTTTTGATTTGTGATTGGTGACAAAATCCTTTTCATAATTTGTTAAGAATATTCCATTGAGTTTGAGTTTGACTTGGTTGCTAGCATCACATTTGCATCTTCCACAAGTGCATTTGAAACAGGCACACAACTTTAAGTTATGATAAAAATAATCTGTATTTTCATCAAGTAATTGAATGAGTTATTTTTCATCTAAGTTGAGATTTTCAGGAAGAATTCGTTTCCAGATTGGATCATCCATACTTATTTCCGATAATAGCTAAGGAGTGATTTCATAACAATTATGATCTTCCTTCTATTAGTGCTGAAATTGAGTTTGAGACTATCTACTCTTCATCAGATTGTTCTTTTTATGAATAAATTACTTGTGTTTAACAGCTCCACTAACAGTTTAGAGTTGCGATGATGGGGGGCGTTATAGAGATTATTGTTGATTGTAATATTTTTATTAGCTCTTAGGTCTATAGGATCCTAATTAGTTATTGTGTTAAAGAAGGTTCTGAGGTTTTTGTTTTAATAAATCTGAAAGACCTTCTTGATTCATCTTTTAATTAAATATATTTAATGTTTCAATTACATAATTATTAGAAATGTGTGTTTACAATTATTGTTTCTTAAATATGTATGATTTTATTATATTTTCAAGCTCTTCCTCTGCCTCTGCCTCTTCCTCTTCCTCTGCCCCTACCTCTTGCTGCTCCTCTTGCAGCTGAACTAGCAGGTAATTTGGATTGTAGGGTGTTGGTTTTAGAACTCTCAGCCTTCTTTTACTTTGCACTCTTCTTCAAATCTAATGATATTGATTAAATAAATACATATGAAGGTGCCTGTTCCAGCCTTATAAATTCTGAATGCTCTGCCATTGATTACTGCCTAATTGGTTGAAGCCAAGGCCAATGATCTATTCAAACTGTTTGGATCAGCAAACTCAACGAAATTGAAATGATTGGGTTGCACCTTACGATTCTCATACTTCTATCCTTTTCTGAATCTTGCATCTAGGATGACTCCCACTTCAAATTTATTGAAGAAGGCAATAATGTCTGGGATGCCGAAGGGAGGTTGAATCCAAGCAGTTCTTTCAAGTCTACCCTCTTCGACTTAAATCAACTTGGAGAACAAATCAATTCTGACATTTGATTTCAATTCATCATATCCTTTCTTTAAACAGTACAAACCATAATCAGTAATGGAATTATTTTTGATGAAGATCTCTTGTAAATTAGTCTTCTTAATCAAATTCAAAATGCCATCCTCGGACAAGAAATTGAATCTTAATCCAAGTGTAGATATTTTGGATTCCTTGTTCTCACTCAAACCATCCGTAATTGCCAATAATCCCTTGTTTCTGATTCTATTGTTTCCTAGATCTACAAATTCTAATGTTTTATTGACTTTGAATGTTGCTCCGAATTCTTTGGCACCATCGAATCCAATAAGATTGAAAAAGAGATTCAATTATTTAAGTGTCGAGTTCTTTCTTAAGGCTAAAGCAATACTCTTTCCACCTGAGACACCAACCTTATTGCCTGACAAATCCAAGAATTCCAAAGTAGTGTTTGATTCCAAGAAAGTGCTTAATACTTTTGCTCCTTCTTTATTCAAACTATTTCTACTGAGATCTAAGACTTTCAATTTAATTTATTTTTGATGTACCATTTCAGACAATAAGTCCATATCCTTCTTTGTAAATTATTTCATAGCAAAGTTTAGATCTAAGAGATTGGGATTCTTCTCGAAAATGTTTTACAACTCATTCTTAGCCTTATATTGACTCTTGTAATGATTGATATCAAAATTGGAATTGAATGCCCCTACTTTAACATCAAGAGACTAGAGATTGCATCTAAACACTTTTTTGTAATCATCTCCTGTCATTTTACTCGCTTTGTTTGCATCTCCATACCAAACCTCATGATCGTGATTAGAAATTGCCATGCTTTCCACTAACTTCTTCAACTTTTGATAGTTAATTCCATCGTAATTTAAATTGACAATACTTAATTATCCTCCCTTTTAAGCATTAAAGGCTATTGCCTTACCTAACTATTCTAATTTTTGATCATTGAACTCTCCTATGGTATTAAGATTCAATGTTTTTAAAGTTCTGCTTTCTCCCAATGCTACAAAGAATTCCTTAGTTAGATTCAAACAAGCCAATCTCTCCAAATTTAAATGTTCTAAACTAGCAGTAATTCTCAATAGTTTGTACAAGCTTTCCACCAACTCAACTGATGTGATTGATCCGCATCCTGAGATGTCTAAGAATGTCAACTTTGGTGAGAAACTCAAATTATAGACAATTGATGCCAATCCCTTTTCAGTTGCTAAGTTGTTTGCAGACAAATCTACTGTTACCAATTGCTTTGCTCTCATCAAACCATCTGTGATTTCTTTGGCTATGTTAGCATTACGGATTGATCCTTTCAAATTCAAAAATTCGAGGTGTCTAAATGAAGTGATTATTGCTCCGACTGTCTTTGCAGCATTACTTAAAGTCAACAAATCAGTATTCTCAATTGTAAGTGATCTGATTTGATTCTAAAATTGATATAACACTCCAAATATTGACTCTGTGATTTCGAGTTAATTTCCTGAAAAACCTAACTTATTGAGCTCAATAATTGATAAACTGTTCTATTATTTGCTTAGATTATTCAATCCTTTGTAAATTGATTTAGCAGCTTTCTTTGGGAATATAATGCTACCCAACTAATCTTATCCAGTCAAGGTCAATCTCATCAATTTAGTGAATTAATCTAAAGCAGCAGTGATGTAATAGTATCCTGATGAAACAGTTTTAATGTGAATCACTACAAGAACCAAGTCTACTAAATGTTCTTTGATGATTTAGACCTTTTCATAGAAGCTTTGGAAATCAGGACAAGAATCGAATTGAAGTAAGAATTACTCAAAATCTAACTTCATGTACAGTTATTGCCAAGTATGCTTAGGGAAATCATCCTAATATTTGATAGTATGATGTTGGTTTCTAAGGGTTTCGATCTTATTATAAAGTCTATCCTCAGGCTTGAGACCAAATCCATTCAACACTCTATAGTTGGACTGTTGAGCCAATTCAGTAGCATTTAACTCTGAATTCCACTTCAATTACTCATCAATCCAATCCCATCTCTTACACAATTCTTATTTCCAATCTATATTCTAATTAGCTTAAATGTCATATTTAATTTATTTTTTATCTTCTTCCTTTTTAGTAATTACATAGAAATCTTATATTCTTGAGTATTTTTTTTAGTATTGTTTAACTTAATCAATTGCAGGGGGCAATTAGTTCATCTCCTCAACTGTGCCATGATACTTCTTGTCTTTAGAGTTCTTTACAGCTTGCTTTAACAATTGATTCAATTCTTCAACTGACTTCTTTTCTTATCCGATGAAATCATAGAAGCCATCGTAGTTGACTACTCGTTTGAAAGCTTCAAACACTTTTTCTTGAATTCCATTTTCAATGCCAGTAGTCAACAAACAATAGTTTTTGTCGAATCTTTCCAAGATCTCCTTCTAAGTCTTCAATGGCTAAACTACATAAGTTAAATAAATGTATTAGAAACAACCCATTTAAAATGAAGTTGATTATTATTTAAATGTGATTTCAACTCTCTTAGTAGCACTGATTGCACCTTCCAATTTCTCATCGGCCAATTCTGGGATTTCCTTCAATAACCAAAACACTTATCTATCTAATTATTCTCCTGTATAGGATTGAACCAAATCTCCAAAGGTGTATTTTTTAGATACATAGAGCAAATTAAATAAGATACCAAGATTGGGAGTATGTTCTTTAGTTCTACTCTTCTCATCAGTAATGAATTTGTGAATAATTGCATCCACCTACTAATAGAGTTAAGGCCATTCTTCCATACACAATAACCATAAGGCATGAACTTAAGCCAACACTCTTAGACATCTAATTGATGCATGAGTCTTTTCGGCCATCATTCCATGAACTATACTTTGTGTGATCTTTGGAAATACTTCCAAAACGAATTCAGGCTTGAACCTTTTAGTGTTGTTGGTCATTATCATGGACAATGATCTTTGGAGGAGATGCAACACTCTCTCTTTATTGTCAGTCTTACCAAAATAAAGAGGCAACCAATGAGTGTAGGATAGATTCAACGAATCCCACTTCAATCCCTCATTTAAAAAGGCTTTGATTGAGACATAATCTAAAGATGGAACTGCTTATTTGATTGAGCCAGTCCTTGGCACCTTAGATACATTCAATAGAATTCCTAGACAACTTTCTTGTTTGATCTTGGTTTCATCTTCGAATTGTGGGGCTAATGGTTTTCTGTAACTTAATTTAGTGTGGAAACAAAGGAATTACTATTCCAACAATTCTTACTCTGAGGCTTTATTAATAAACTACTATTCATCAGTTTCCTTAGTGTTGAATTAAGGCCACAAGGAGAGCTTACCTCCATGTTTACAATTCTTGGTTGTACATTTAAAATTATTAGCAGCCTAAACTGCCTTCTTAATTTGTGCCAATTGCTTCTCCTTCTTCTCAGTTATCTGTTCTTCAAACAGGAAGGCTGACAACTATAACAATATTGACTAGATCGTGTAGGCACTTGACCAACCTGATTGCTTATCTTTATCTTCTGGCTTTCGTGCTTGAAGTAAGTCAAGACAAATAGAATTGCCAAACACATTTGGATGGGGCAGTTCTGTGAATAGATTGATTTTGGGTGGTTAATGGGGATAAGATTCAGGTATCAAGAGTTCAAAATGAAAGATTCCACCTTCATATGGAGTTCCAACTGGACCTCGGATGTTGGCATGCCAAACAAAGAGGTCGTGTTCAAGGGGTCTAGCAGTAACTCCCACTGTGGGAATGGACTCCTTCTCAATGATATTGAGATCCTTCAACAATCTCTTAGTAGCAAAATTTTATGCTTGAGTGTTGATGAGCGTCCTTAAAACTGCAGTATCCTTACATTTACCTTATTTAATCATAATATTTTTACAAAAATTATTAAATCTTTTTATTCCCTGACGTAAATATTTCAATATAAAATTTTAATTTATTTGCAATTTATATGGATTAAAAATCAAATGAAATGGAAATGGCCATGGTGCATCTTGCCAAACCAGAAATCAATGACTAAACTGAAGAATACAAAGTATACAAAAGAAGATATATAATGGCATCATTTTTCGCATTCTCAACTGTATTTCAATTTCTAAATTTCAAGATCTGTTCATCAATGATGTTTTCAACTTGCAATCCAATCGCATCCGTTCTGTCAGCCATTTATGAAATACCCACCTTTATCATTTCATTAGCTGCCAACGGATTTCTACTTATGCATCCTCTCCTGACTTTCGTATGTAAATCAATCAATCTTAAAAACAGAAACATTTATTGTCAATCAAACAGATATTTCAGTAAGTCTCAAAATTGGCTGTGCTTTAACATTGCTAGGCGCATTGATTAGAACTGCTACCGTTATCACAGAGAGGTTGCATACTTTCACTAAAATATAGATTCTATACTGTTATTTTGGGGTCTCTTGTCGCAGGCATGGGAAGACCCTTCATTATCAATATTCAAGCCAACGTTGCCAAAGAATGGTTCAAACCAGAAGATAAAACTACTGTTATGATTGCCTTCTCATTCATTATTACATGTTCAAGTGTATTTGGGTACACCTAATAATCATACTTAGTGTCATAATACCTGGGCAAATATTCAAAGGTTATAAGTATGAAACAGATCCCGATGATGGTAAATTGTTAACTGGATAATTGATGGTGATTGAATTAGAAATCTTTAGTGCTATTTTAATTCCTGCCATTCTTTTCTTCAGACCAAGTCCTCCTACTCCACCTGGTCCTATCAATAAATCTAGAGATGAATTTACTTATCTGTAGTCGTTGAAAATGACTGCAAAGAATAAAAACTTTGTAACTCTTAAATTTATCATCTTATTAGATCCTACTGTTCGTCTGCTACAGTCTATTGATGGGTGGTTTCCATGCTCTGGCTGTTGTCATTTCATACCTTTTTAATCCTTTTGGCTTCACTCCCTCATAAACCAGCTTCATATGTATAGTATTTAGATTGTAACAGCTCAGAAAGTTCTCCCATTGTTTGCGGATTCGTCAGTTCTGTTATGTATTCGATCTTAATCAGAAAATATCACTTGAATCATAAGAAAATAGTGTTGTTCAATTTGATCCCAGTTTTAGCTAGTCTGGGTTTGAGCTACTTTGCATTGATGACTGAAAGCTTGCCTCTAGTTCTATTATGCTATTCAGTATTCTTTTTTAGTTTTATAGGTTCTTGGCTTTTTTGTGATTCCTTGCATACCTTTGCAACTTGAATTAGCATGCAAGGTCTTGCACCCTATTAATCAAACTATAGCAGTTGGATTTTTATTAGCTGGTGTTCACATTTGGAGTTTCGTTTTTGGCGAGATTCTCTCATTAATAACCCATGATCAAAATAAGTAATGAGCCAATATTATAATTAGAACCTAAGCTTTCTACGGATGTTTATTGCTATTTTTATCGTTTTTAGCAGCTGCTATTTGTTTTTCTAGAGTTAAACTACCTAAAGAAGAGGAAGAAGAAGAAAACACATAAGTGAATCAATCAACTCAAGAAGGAATATGAGAAAAATAGAAGATTTTGAGAAATTAATAATTCAATCAATTAATTATATTTATTTGATTAAATTAATATTTTATGAATAAGGACTCCATACTGGATATCAATAACTAAGTTGACTTTAATGCAAACTTGTTGATCTACGATATATATGATGAGATCATGAATTCTGAGGAGGATGATAGTTCTTTTAATGAAAAAACTAATCTAAATAAAAATTAGAAATCACAAAGTGTAAATAATCCGCAATACGGTGAAGAAAAAAAAGAAATTGAGGAAAAGGATGAATAGTATGAAAAAATTCAAAAACTAGAATACTATGAGAGGAGGAAAAAAGTAAAGATTGAGTAAAAGTGAAAAACATTAATTATATATGATATTTCTCTCTTAAATCAATCTATATTATTTATTTATATTTATAAAACATCATCTTAAAACCCATTAACTTTTGTTCTTAAATTGCTTGCTTGAGAGGGACTGGATCCTTAGATAATAAAAATTCATTATAGATAATTTTGAAATTTATGAGAATGTTTAAAAAAAATTCATGAAAAAAATGCATTGCACTCTTACTCTAGTTGTATTTCTTAATATCCTTTATCAGTTAGGATTTGTGATTATAATAAATTTGCTTTTTTATAAGATTTAGCAGATATTTTGGTTTTTTCCCTGATAGTTATGTCTGGTATTTCAGAAACATCTTTTTTAATAATCTCTTCGCAATAACACTAACTTTAAGTTTGTTTGTGAGCATTTTCTTATTTCAGCTCAGAGATGTTAAAGTAAAACTGATTTATGCGGAAAGTATCTGAGTTTTTTAATTAAAACTATTTATTTTTGATCTTTTTCCAAGTTCCTATTATAATACTGTTTTTACCATATTTGCTCTTTAATATCTCGAGGTTTGGGTAGTTGTATTTCCCATCGTATATTCTCCATTAGTCTTATTGATAAATTACATAAAATTGATAACTACATAGGGTTAAAAGGTACTCACTTGTCAACTTATTCACTAATAATCCTGTTTATGATTGGTAAATTATAAGTGCATCCAAATTGATAGTATTCTCCTTCGTGTCCATAAATGGCTATAAACTTAACATTTTATATTTCTAAAATCAGCAACGGATAACTAATGATGGCATAATACTAAAATTAATTATATTGTTAATACAATTTCCTCATATTATTACACTTCTTAAACCTCAAAAGCATCCATAAGTTTTCTCAAAATCTGTTGGACTGAATAAGATATACCAATAATATCTATTTTTTTAAATCCTTTCAGAAATTTCTAAACATTCTATAAGTTAACTTCCTTTTTCATATCTATCAGTTCCTCCTTTATACATCTCACAGAATGAACAATCATTTTTAAGTCCTTGCCTAATAGTATTTCATCATTTTTGTAACAGAGATTCCTCTCATCATTGCTGTTCATCCATATCTAAAACTCCATGATAAAATGTACATAAACCATCTTCTGTCTTCCTATATCAACTATACAATTAGGCTTTTCAGATGCGAATTATTTGATCAATTTAATAGCTGTGATTGGTATTACTATATCTAGTTGTTTCAGAATACTTAAGAACATAATAAATGAGTAAGACAAACGCTTTTGCTAAGGAGACTAAGCAAGTTATTACTTGTTTTGTAATGAGACATTAAATGATTTCACAGTCTGGTAGAACGTAATCATTTGGAATGATGGTTTAATCTTAAAATACCAATTTCTCCAAAGAGCCAAAAGTTAGTTTGTCATCTATTAAAACATTCTTTCTTTTTTTCTCATCTCGATTTTCTACCCTCTTTACTTATATTTAATACGTAATGATTCATTCTTGAAAAAACTTAAAAGACAGAATAGCTACTGATTGTCTATTTATGGCTAGCATTTATATGTACTCTTACATACTAAAAAACAATATATTGTTTGAGCTCCTTTTTAAATTGCATTTGCGAAGTCTTCAGAAACTCATCATTTGTTGTATTAGAACCTTGTCTATTTATTAAACTAAAAAACCTGAGTGTGTTGTAACTGAATTAAAATGATATTCACTTGAATCAATATTCTCAATGATTTATTATTCCTTTAGAATCATACAGAACAGTCTTGGATTTTAAAAAAAATATATATAATAACATAGATGCCATTTTTGATAAAATATATGAAAATTAATTATTAATATCCCAACTTTATTAATTCATTATATTATGATCATTTGTAAATATTAATTTCTTATGAAACAAAAGGTGTTATCAGCTAATTGAAATAAGACTCTTGTATTAAGTTGAGCCAGCCAGCCTATTTAGTCCAATTGTACTTTTCTACTCATCCTCTAGTTATTATCGATTCCTAATGATAAATTTATTGCAAAAATTGGAGTATTTATAATCAATAATTAATTAAATATTTAATACTCAAAATGTAGCAATTATATCAACTCCTCCTTACATAATAAGAAACTCTCCCTGAATTAACTTATTCTGTTGTATATAGACATTCAAATGGATTAGATGGATTGGATAACACATTCACTAACTCAACTTAAATTTCCAATCATGCATCCATTAAATGTATGGCCGTCTCAAAATATAGTATTGTGGTATTTCATCTATTAAAATGTAGTTTGGAGGAGATTTCGGCATTGAACACTGGGGTAACAGCAAGTTTAATATTCAAATGAAAGTTTAGGCAATATAATTCTCTCCAGACTATGAATACATTATATTATAAGCCAAGGAAACCATGTTATTTTCAACAAAAACATAGAATTTTGTTAAGGCATTTCCTCATGATGTTAAATTTGATTCAACAGGATCACTTTGCTTTTGTAAAGGATTAGTTTATGAAACAGCAACTTTCTAATAGCTGAAATAATTTAAATGCCCAGAGTATGGCGATTTTACGATTTCAACTTAAAGGGATTCATTATACTTATCATCTGTTACATTAATAAAACATTTAGAAGACTTAAAAGATTGCCAACTTATTATTGATAACTATGATACGAATAAGCATTTCGAACATTCGATTCCCCCCTCGAATGAAGTTAAATAGTTGTGGTCAGACGATGGAAAAATCCTACTAATTTGGTCATAGACCCTAGATGATCACACCAATCAGAGTTATTTTGGTACTCACCACTTAAATCATTGGACTGAAGATAAATTATAAAATATAGAATTATTTGAAGGACCTATCCATGATGTTCAATGGGTTTAGAATGGATTTATAGTCATTTCCGGTTATATGCCAGCAGGTGCAATCCTATTTAATAAGCAAGGAGAAAAAGAATATCTAATACTTCAAGCTCATATAAATTCAATTTTTCCTAAGAATAATTTGGTTGCCCTGTGTGGTTTTGGAAATCTGACTGGAGACATATATATTTATGAGATGGACAGCCTCAAGAAGGTTGGTCAAACGAGATAAGACAAAGTAGTGTAGTTTGAATGGAGTCCAAATGGAGAACACTTTTTATTAGCTACAACTTTTCCAAGATTACGAGTTGATAACTAATTTATTATATGTTCTAAATATGGTGAATTATTACGTAAGGAAAAGTTTGAAGAATTGTATGAGATTAAATGGGTCAATGATAATAATTTGAATATCTAAATCAACATTATAGAGGAAGTCAAGTAATCAAAGCAGATTAATCTAACGACTGGAGTTGGTATTGTATTTCATATAACATCTAGACTTTATCAAATAAATGAAGGAAGCCAAGGTAAATGATCAGCCAAGGAAGTTGCAGAAAGATGAAAAATTATCAACTTTAAGATCTCCACCCTAAAATTAATAAAATGTTTAGTTGATCTAAACTGCAGCACCTCCTAAACCAGCACCTCAGAAACAAATCTTTATGAGAAGACAAGATCCTATTATTTAATAGCCTACTGCAGAAGAAATAGAATAATAACATTAGCAACACCTATAATAATAGCAATAGATGAAATTAGAAAAAAAATAAAAATAAAAGTAAAACAAATAGATGAATCATCAAAATTATAAATAAAAATAAAAGCATTTACATCAAAATGACTTTTAAAATGAGCCAAATCAAGACTTGGGATAGAATTGCTATCCTATGTGGCATGAATGATTAAATATATCAAAATACAAATAACAATTGATCAAAATATATCAACTACTTTATATCCATTAATTCTCTTTAAATACTTACCCTTTAGATTCTTTTTCAAAGTCTTCTTTTATATTAAATAAATTAGGTTCATGAACTTCTTTCTTTACTCAATTATTCACAAAGCTCTTACTAAACTTTTTCTAGAACTTTAATATCTGATCTCAAATGTTAATCAGCTTAATTACCTATTGGCTATGTGAATTAATTGAAATTACAAGTAATTATCTTAGAATAACAGTCTCAATCTAATTAAAACTTTTATAAACAAAATTGACAGACATAATATTGAAATCCTTCCTTCTCGTACTCTACTAAATTAACATTATCCCAAAAGTTAGAATTAACATTAAATTTTGACCAAGAGAGGACAGTTTTGTAATTAATTCACACTTAAATTTGGAGCAATTATGCAAAAGGGTATTCAATATCTCATCAAATTCTGCAAATGTGTCAATTAAGCCTAAAATTTCCTTTAAATTTGTTCCTGTCTGTATCACAATTTAATACAAATCATCCTCTAATGTAAAACATCCCAGATATCCTCAAACTTATTCAACCTTCAACAGAATATTCTTTTTCTTCACAGTAAGTCTAAATATTATCACATAAAGTATAAAATAACTAGGTTACTCGAGCTAAAAAATATTGGTCCACAAATAATCTTCCATTAATAAATTAATTATGTTAAAACTCATACTCTGAAAATAATCAAATACCCCAATTTATGATCACAATTATTTAGTAATCAAAAATGATATTTAGTTTTTAGAATCTATAAGTTTTTTTCTACTAACTTATATTATACCAATACGATTAATTATATCATTATCTTATTATACGCAAATAATTACAATAATATAACTTCAATTTTAATGCTTAATTTGCCTTTCGATAAGTGGAGTTTAAAGTTTTTCGATCCAGAATTCGAATCTCAGTACGAGGAGCACTTAAATAAAATTAGATTGATATCCTTCCGCATACTAAACCTTACTATAAGTATTGCTGCATTTATTTGCCTTTTAACATTTATCATCCAATAATAATCTCAACTCTTGTCTATACTGATGAGTTTTGTATCAGGGGGATGCGTCTTCTTATTAATAATAAGCAGAAGGATCTTACCTTATCTAAAATTGGTATTCTCATTTTATTATGTTTGGGCAGTAACAACCAACATTTTGATTGCCTTCGCTGGCTTTTCAATGTAATTCACCTCTATAATTTAGACCTAATTTTATATTTGGCTTCAATACCTGTGCTTTGGCAATCGGTACAATGTAATATAGTGATAATAGGCTTAAAGTAGCTTATACTATAATCACTCCATTTGTATTATTAGGCGTATTCGATGTGTATAAGGCTGAGAATTTAGCCTTTGTATTTCAGACTGTCTCATGTACTACTTTTATAGGAATTTGGGGATATATGAATGAGTATACATCTAGACTTGCTTTTTCTCTTAACCTGATTTCAAACAAGCAGAAGTATGTGTTGATTGTAATTTAGAGATTTGATCAATGAATTTGTAAATGATGCAATGTTTGCATTAAGTTTAGATGAAAGAAGTAGATAATTTATTTTAGAATTTCAGAATAACAGCTTCGTAGAATTAATGAACATAAAAGAAACAGAACAAATTAAAGGATTTTTGAGGTCCACCTTTGTTATGATGAAATCAAGTGAAAGCTAAACCAAATTAAGAGATAAAAGCTCAACAAAACTCATAAATTTAGAAGAAGTTTTTTTCTAAAGGATCCAAAGTTTTGAAAAGTTTTCAAGTTAAAGAGAGCAATAAAATGGTATTTTGGAAATTTATTAGCATGATTTGATAAAAAATGAAACCAAAAAAATGTGTTTACAAATTAGATTTCTCAATTTTGGTAAACCAATTATTTTTGCCATAATCAAATCAGAAAAAGTTCCTAATTTGATCAATAAATATGAAAGCTAAATTAAAGAATATCAATAGCTTATCATAAAGATGTCTTCGAAAATAGTTAGAAAGCAAACTCTTCTTTATGACGAGATGAAAAAAGTCAAGTTAGAAAACTCGATCGAATAATAAAAATTAATTTCAATAGAGTGTCTTAATTTGTCTATCATTAATTACATTCGAAACTATATGTTGTTTTTTTAAAAAAATAAAATTGTTGGGATGAAATCAATACATCAACCTTTCAAATTTGAAAGTTATATAGCAACAATTAATCAATACTTTTAAGCCATATCTACTCATTATTCTATTAAATTTAAACTTTAAAATTATATTGAAAGGAACTGTTCTTTTAATATCAATATTAAATATCTAACTTAGATCTTAATTAATATATTTGATGAGTTGATAAAGAACATGAATGAAAACAGCATGATCAGTTTGAGAATAATTGAAGAATTCCAATAGAATCGTAATGAAAAAAAACTAAAAACCCAAGGATGTAAAAATAACTAAATTAATGATGGATCTGCAACACAATAATTCAAGTTAGTTCAATTCACATTCATTTTTTCAAGCAATGAGTACATTAATTTAAATAATCTTACTTTTCACAAGAATTTTACTAACAATGATTAAAAATCTCATTTCTTTGAAGATGGCTCCATTATTTCAGAAATAACTTGCTTGCTTTTAGACAATATAGGTCCTAATAATAACATCTAGATTAATTAATATCAGACATCCCAAATGTCCGCATTCTAGAATACTATTTCGTTCTTAATATTTTCGGATTAATCCTAATTAGAGCCGTCTTACTTAAAGGTTCGAGAAATACCTTTATTAATATGAAATAATTTAAACATTTAACTTAGACTCTGATATTAGTATATTAATCTTTGTTAAATTATACATAATGTAGTTCATTGTTGATTATACAGAATGGTTCGAATCTTAGCATCAATATATATAAGCAATTGAGTCAATGATAAACTGTGGATCACTTCAAAGTACGGCTACTTCTGAAATCTTGCTTCCTCTTAAATTATATATTTTCTAAAGAATTCCTCTATTTTTAAAGCATCTATGACATTGTTTAGGTGACAGGCGAGTATAAATTTTAATTGTTATTCCTACACTTCTTAATCTATGTATTGCCGCAATTCATCAATGTAATTTATCACAGTATTTTATTCAAATTACTATATTTTTACTAAGCCTTCTATTAGACTTTGATTGAATTAACTGCCTAAGTCTTGAGCCTAACTGTAATAAATTTTCTTTATTTTTTCTTATTCGCTTGGCATTACTTTACTATAATTATATGCTAATCTAGTGAAAACCAGACCTGTCAATCGACAATTAGTTGAAATGTTTAAATCCAACAAAGCTGAAACAACATTCATTAGAAATATGTATTTGTTTCGTTCCTATTACATTTCATTATTAAAGTACATTATAAAAATATTAATGAATACTTATTATTAAAAATTTCAATATCTCTTAAGTAATGAACTTGGTAAAGATGAAAATTTGAAACTTTGAATCATTTCCTACCCATTCTTTAAATTTGAAAACACTTCACTTAACGATCTTGATAAATCTATACTACTACTTGACCCTCCTAATTTTTCAAAAGGACTAGTAAACAAATTCAATATTTCCTGCCCTAAATACTTTACTTAAGCAAAAGCATCTAAGCTTTGCAAAGCTTTCCCAGCAATCTAATACTTTGAACCAAAACTCTCTTAAATGCTTTCTATAATTTTCTATTTAACATGTTATATATCTCCTTTACTTTCAATTTCTGTATTCTTTAGAGTTATCTATAAATTGCAAAATGAACTAATTCTTAACAACCCTTTCAATAAACCATCTACTTTTAATCCAGATGAATCATATGTAATATTCAATCTAGTTTAACAAATTTATAAGCTTTTCAACCATATAATTGGCAATGCGTCTTGTAGTATTTCTATTTCATCCAAATCAATCCTTTCCTCATTTTTGATCTTATTGGACATGAAATTAATGATAAACTAGAGTAGAGGTCCAGATATATAAATTTTCATAGGGACTATTGAAATAAATCCTGTGTATGCTTGGTTTTCAATAATCAAACCAAATTTAAATGGAGAATTATCTTATAACTCAAACTCCTCTGAATCGGGGCACAAAACTAGTTTATGATATAACTTGTCAATTTTATCTTATATTTCGAAATTAGATCTATACCCAATTCCAATCTAACCTTCTTTATACATTTCAACCTTAATCAGACATCTTGAAAAGTTAAAGCAAATTTTATTTGAGTCTTAGGTCTAATCAAACTCCTCATCCTATTCAGTATCATCATAAATAAAATCAACATCATAATATGTAGCTCCTTATTCTAATTCTATAGCTATTTAGCTTACATCAAATTGATAAACTTTCTCAACAATCTTCTCGTTAATGAGCTATTAATTGAAATCCTAGGAAATATTATATTACTCTTCTGAAGCCTATCTACCTGCTTATGGTGTTAATTTTATTAAATCTTTAATAATTTCTATGATTGTTTGTATTGTATCATATTTAAATTTTCCTACAATTTAATCTATACTAATTAACTTATCTTAATATTTTACATCTTTAAATTTCAATTAGGATCCAAATTATAAAATATGAGATTTATTATCGAAAAACCCATTTAAAATTAATGGAAACAAGTTATTCACTTCATTTTATCCTATAATGTACATTTCTATGCTACTTATTTCTATAATAGAACTAATCATTGCATTATTAACTCTGAGTAAAATTCTACTATTTGAATACGCAAGTAAACGTTCAATTTCATTTTGATTAGAGAATGTTTCTACTGAAACTAAGGGCAAAAAATCAATAAAACAATCCTCTTCTAAATTTAATTGGATTTATTTTTCTTCATTCACATCATCCAAAATTATTTATGCTTTACATAACCAATCTTCTTAAATTTAACTATCAACTTCCATATAATAATTAATAAGCTTTTTCATTTTTAGAAAAGATTTAAATTAAAAATCTGAAAGTCTAAAACATATATTTTTCATCTTTATAACAATTTTTTCTTTAAAATATGCTTAAATTATGTATTTTCCATAATCTATTGACAATGGGTTATTTGATATTTCAAATTGATCTATTGAATTCACTTCATTTTTCATTCTATATAAAAACATTTGCGTAGACTTAAAATTCTTAAATTTTTAATCTGTATTTTAGGGAGTTTAACTTTAAGAATCAATAGCAATAATATCTTGAATTAAAATTAAAATTTATTTAGCCTTTACTATATTTACTGTTCGAAGTTCTAAATAAAATAAATTACTTAAAGAATTATCTTCTATTCCAATGCAGGCAAAGTTTATTTTCAGTTAGTAAAAGTACATCTATGATATTTTCTTCACATTCTACTTTTTTACTTTTATGAATTATTATTAATATTGTTTTAATGATATCAACCATTACAGAAAATTGTCTGAAAGTTGCAATTTCAGATTTGGAATTAATCCGCTAATTATTAAGTCACATTTTTATTTTTGGTAATTAAATACACTTTCTAATTCATCTATTCTTTCCTTTTTCATTTATTTGATTTCTTAAAAGGCAAAATAAATTGTTGGATATGTGTGTATTTTATTAACATTATCTTAATCTATAATCAATATATTTTATCCTTCCAATTCTAATTCAATTTAATGAAAACTAACACTAATGAGTTGAATAGGATTTTAGAAATATTTGGCTTCTTCAAATGACTCTAAAAACCCAGTTTTTAATTCGACTGTTTTCGTTGGCTTTTATTTTACTGTTATTCCTTTTGTTTTAAGAGAGACAGTTTTTTCATTTATTAAGTAACTTAACCTAATATGAGGTATTTATATATCAAATCCATACAAAACATCTTTCTTTGTTTAGGGCAATTGTTGTATCTATGCTTTAGGCACATAAGTCAATAAATTCATAATTGAATCATGCCTGAATGAAGCTATGATTTATGAGAATTCTCCTTTTATTGAATAGAATACATTTTTATCTTTGCACTTTAATAATTAGATATTTACATCAATTGCCTTCTTACCATCTGATTATTATTGTAAATTCTGGAAATTGTATTTAGATTAATTGTATTCTATATTTTACAGTAGATGCTATCCTATTAAAACAACCGGAGTGACAAGAAATTCTTATTTTCCAATGGATTGACAGCTGAAAAACCTATCAGAATTATAGGTCGATTTATTTGTTTATCTTAAATTCTAGTTAAAAAAAGGACTGTTAAGTTTGATTCTGTAAGCAGCCATTCTTTCGATATTTAATTTAAAGCATTTTTCATTATACTCTGTAACAATATCTGCAATCTCAATAAAAAAATGAGATTCAAGATCTTGAAAGAATCGTTCTCTTAATAAAGGAAAGTATTTAGCATCTTCGCATACAGCAAGTTTAATTCCTTAAAAATAGCATTTAAATTATTCTTATTAATTTTTTATGTTTGAATCAACATGATAATTTGTTTCTCCAACATTTAATTACAAGCTTTGAAAGACTTCTTATGATTACGAGTTACTAAATGAATTTAATTCAGTAGATTTCTACAGTTCAGAATTTAAAGCTTCAATGTTTTTCATTTCGAACTGTTTAATATTTTTCTTATCATTTTAAATTAATACTAAACCAGGAGATTGATTTTAAAGTAAAATTATTGCCTTATTTGTTTAGTCTACTTTCAATTGATATTTAGAGTATGACTTTAAAATAGTTTTTATCTATTTTTTATTTAACAAAAAATCAAGAGAAGAAACGCTACCATTTAATTTTAATTAAACTTAATTCTCTTCTTTTGTTTCTAGAATGATATTAAATTTCATGGCCTTCTCCATAAGTGCTATTTGTTCATTTCTTAACTTTAATTCTATCAAATCAATAATGGTAGTTATATAAAGTATATTGCTAATAATAAAATAAAATAATTTACTTGGATTCAGCTTTATGTAATTCCAGATTTATACCACTAATTGAGATTTCATATTGAACTGCCTGTTCAAGTTTAAATATTATTTATATATTTTTAATAGAAATCGAAAGATTACTAAGCAAAGTATCAGCCAGGGTTAAAAAGTTAAAAAATCCTGATTCAACACTATAATTCTAACTCTAACCTTATTCTAAATTATTTCTTTAATACACTTCTTTCCTTAATTTGTAAAGATAATTGATTTTAGCACTTTCACGCTACCTAAATTCTTCTAAATTCTGTAAATACTATTTTATTTCATCATCAGACCTATCTTTTAAAACAATAACGAATGTTATTTTTTCAGCTTCAAATTTAAGATTTGATATTTTTAATGATTCTTAAATATAGAATGAATTCGTTACTAATAAATGCGTCTTCAAAATTAAAAGGACTGCTACCCAACAGTTGATTAATATAATTTGTATTTAATTACAATTTATCTATGCCTTTAATTAGGGCGATTATATTTAATTATTTAGGGTCTTCCAAATAGTCTCCCAAAAGATATGAAAGAAATAGTTGAGATGTCTCTGAAAAACTATTCAAAAAGTAATCCTACATTGGCTTAAGCCATTCTTTAAATCTTTACATTTTTTTTATTTATTAAATAATTAATTAACAAACAATGATTCCAACTATTTTTGATAGAAAATTCGCATCGTTAGAATTAGATATACCTATTCTATAATCAACTTCGTAATCTTTAATCTATCTTTGAGAAATTATTATATATATGTTACTAATGAATTTAAAGATCCTAATGAAAAGTTTTATAATATCGTGTTAGCTCAAACATGTTAAATTTAATTAAGTTAAGTATAAGAATTTAATTTCATAAAATTTAAATGTTTTGATAAAACAAATTACTTACTTTTATTAAAAGAAACATAAATTTAAATCAAAAATCTTGTTTCAATATCTTAAAGTATAGCAGGTTGTTGTCTAAACTTCAAGAGCTATCTACATTTATTATTAGAGCTATAAAAGGATTATATAATGATGCAATAGATATCCTGTTAGGCTAAAATTAAATTAATTCAGCAGATGATATAACTGAATTTCTCAGTTGATGAAATTTTCTTTATAAAATTTCTACAAAGAAGACAGTGATGCATAGTCTTAATAGCATAATTTTAATTTATTGATTAGGATAAAAGAACCTAATTTCATAGATGCAAAATAATATTTTCTTGATATTCGAGATAAAGTCTTGTATGGGATTGTATGACTAAAGATAAAATAAATTGACTTTTAGTTGAGTTGATTTTATAGATAATTAGTATAGTTTAATTGATGTTATTCTATTATGAAAAAATCATTGAGTAAAGGATGTTGTATTCATAAAGAATTTAAAGGGAATTATGAATTAATTTATTATGATATATTTGGTACTAATTCTAAAGAGAAAATAAGACGTGCTCTCTAGAATGAAGTACAATAAATTAAAAACCAATATTACTTTTAATATTTATAATTTATGTTCATATTGACTGTGCTAGAGGGGATAGTCTTACTGTTTTATGTAGGATATTTGGTTCGAGAGTACTCATAATAACAAGTACCATTCTATGTGAAGTTGTTAACATACATTTCATGGATCCTTTCATTTGGAATTGTATTTATCATACCTCATGATATCTATTATACTATGAATGATTATGGTGATGGCTATGATTACACTGTGTTATTATGGAAATGGATATATTGGGGCAATTTCATATTGTGCTGGTGACATTTATTCATTTATTCGTTTTAGGTTAATATTGCCAATTTGTTAGGAATATGAGGATGCAGGGGAATTCAGCTTCAAAGACAAATTGATACGATCTTTTAAGAACAATTTAATCATCTATGCTTATTTTTTATTGTTTGGTTTAATCTTTATTGCCTACCTGGCTATTTTCAACAAACTGGACTTTAATTCAATTTTAAAAGTATTAGTTGCTTTAGCTTATGCATTGTAAATATATATATTAATCAAAGTGGCATTTTGTTAGTAGTTATATTGTTAGGACATGGTTTAGTAGCAATCCCAAGGGAATATTGGAGGAAGGCACAATATTAAAAATGTTTAAAAGCACTCTATTTAGAGGCTGCCCAAATTAATCATACTATTTAAGAACTTAATATCTAACTATTCAATATGACTATTGAATTGATATAAAATAAATAGCTCAATCCGAACTAACAATGTATAGATCATATATTGAATGAAGTAAAATTAATATCTATATTTTAGATCCCTTATGAAATCATTGAGGATGCTTCTCATAAATTATTGGATATCATTGAAGTTAAACAACTATCATCCTTTTGTGAGATTAATAAGAAGGCTAAAAAGAGAGCAGCAGAATACAAGAGAGCAAAAACTAAATGGGATCACATTTGCACTGAATGTTTTCTCTTAGAAGACATGATTGATAACGAATTCAGTGTGCATTACAAAATTAGATCGACATTACGATATCCAAAGTCTGGGTAATTTGGCCATTATGTTGATATATTGGAATGGCTTTGGTATACTAAAATAAAGAAGGCTTATTTGTTATCTTTGTGCGTGATTTTCTCAATATTATCAAGCATTGTGATTTTGTCAGAAATATCATGCTTTACTGAATTCGACTTTAATATCCTTAGTAGAATAATCAACGTGAATGGATTTATGCATACTTAAATATCAATCTTAATACCTCTGATGTATATATCTTTTTGTGCTTTTTATGGACTATTTCACATTAACTTTGCTGGAATGTATGGGTTTTACAATCACTAGTAAACTGATGCTCCTAGCTTGATGTTTGGATCAATGTAAGTGTTAAGCCATTAATATTATTAGTAATTTTTCTAGAGTATCTTTTCCGTTGACTTTCAATTTCCTACAGATGATCCACATTTAGGGTACGCCTTTTGAGGATGTGGTTGGCAATATGGATACTAGTTCAGTTTTAGGGATGTCTTTTTCTTATTCATTACCTATCCTGTTGATAATGGCATCGATTTTCAACTTCTTTGAAGTTTATGATAAGATTCTTTAAGTTGTTGGATTACCTTAATTCAAGTTTTCGTAAACTTAATTCAATAGTGAAGAGGGAGAGCGCTTGATTTGCAAGGCGAGAGTAAAGAGAGAGAGGGATGTATTGAATAAAGTTGGCATAAAATTTTTGGATTAATGTGAAATGCGGGAATTGGATAGCAGAATGATTTAATTTGTATGATAATTATTTAATGTCTCAATAATTTGTGGGAATAAATGGAGAATAGACAGGTCTTGGATTTACCAATAGGGATCAAGGAGCCAAGGTTGAAGAAGATCAAGGTTTGATTGACTTCAAAATTATAACAAATAATGGTAATCACGAGAGAATGAAGATGTTAATTGACTTAAAAAATATATTCGCTCGCCAACTTCCTAAAATGCCGAAGGAATATATTGTTAGACTCGTATTTGATAGAAATCATGAATCTATGTGCATTGTTAAAGTATGTGATTATTAACCATATAGGATGATACAAAGGTGATAGGAGGAATCTGTTACAGAAAATATCCCACTTAAAGATTTGCTGAAATAGCATTTTTGGCAATTACCGCTAACTTGTAAGTCAAAGGATATGGAACAAGATTGATGAACAAATTCAAAGAACATATACAAAAATAGGATGTTGAATATTTGCTTACTTATGCAGACAATTACGCTATTGGATATTTCAGAAAACAGGGATTCTATTAGGAAATAAAGATGCACCCAGACAGATGGAAAGGATTCATCAAGGATTATGATGGAGGAACTTTGATGGAATGTTATGTGCATCCGAGTATTGATTATGGAAACATTAGTGATCTGATTAGAGAATAAAAGTAGGTATTGCATATCTTAATATTAAGCTCATGATAGACATCATCAAGAAATTAACATTGAATGATCGAGTATATCCTGGCATTGAGAAGCAGAACTATAAGGTTGAAACTTCCAATGGAGATAAACCTGCAGTCAAACCAGAAAGTGTCTAAGGTATTATGGAGAGTGGCTGGACAATTGAGGATTATAATGAATTGAAAAAGCAAAAGGAAAAGACTTTTATGATCTCATGCTAGTAGATAATAGACACAATGCGAAAGCATAAATCTGCTTGGCCTTTCCTTGAACCTGTCAATAAGGATGACGTCCCTGATTATTATGATGTGATTACTGATCCAATTGACATAAAGACTATTGAAAAGAAATTGCAGAACAATTAGTATACTTCCAAAGACCTCTTCATCAAGGATGTTAAGAGGATCTTCATTAATTGCAGAAATTACAATCAACCTGATACAATATACTATAAATGTGCAAATGAATTGGAGAGAACCATTGATGATTACCTTAAAAAGTTGAAGGATGAATCCCAAATACCAGGAGTCAGTAAAAAGATAAAGAAGACAAATAATAAATGAATATTATTAGTTATTTATTTATCTTATTTTTGGAAACACATAATCAAATTTAATTGAAGTGTTAATTTAGCAAAGCTATGACTTTATTGCAAAAATCCATGAAAACGACAGGATGACCTCTGCATAATTGAAAGTCGATCATGTGATCGTTATTATTAGTTGGCATCTATAATTATATATATTATTGAATACCTTATAAATTTAGATGTTAAATATAATCTCTTTGGCTGAATATTTATTCTCTTTGACTTTAGGCTTCTTGCCATCGTCCTTAAAAGTCAGAGAAGCCAAATCATTTTTCGATCCTGTTTCTTCTACTTCTTTTTGGAATTCATTAAATAACTCCATACTCGAATTATATTTTGTCATTTTTATGAGATTCTTATGATAACATTTCAACTTGTAATCAGGACTCTTTATCTTAATAACAGTATTAAATTTCTCTAGACAAGTGTAAATAGCATTTACAATTTATCTAGCTTGATAAGGGTAAACAATTGCCATAATGTCTTTTGGTAATTCCTTACCATAATCATAAGGCTAAGGCTTCTGAATTTCATTCAATAGACAATTATTAAATGATTGACCTTCAATTTGTGGAATTTGAGGATTGAAGATGAGATCATGCATAGTTAGATTGTGTAGAGTCATGGGAGTAGAAGATTCAACTCCTAATTATCCCAAAAGCAAATCATAAATGACCACGAATGATTTGTCTTCTCTTTTTCTGATACTCTTCTGAATTTGGGTTTGCGTCATACCTCTGAAATTTACTGTTTACAATTGCATTAATTTCTCAAAGACATCTTCATTGATTTATCTACGACCCTCATCTAATTTGAATGGTATTTGGAGATAAAAGGGAACTTAAGTACTTCTCATATATGGATGAAGGTGAATCTCATGGAATTTGATTCTCTTCAATGGATCTGGAGTAAGCATTCTATTAATGAGATCTCTCACTTGAGGACTAAAACTACTTGGGATAGTATAATCAGCACTTTTGATTTTTTTAAAGAGAGCTTGAGTAGTTTCTTCATCAAATGGTAAGAAACCTGCAAGTAATGCATACAAAATAACTCCACAACTCCACACATCAGCATCGGAACCACAATACGTCTTTCCTGATATGACTTCAGGCGCAGCATAATTTGGAGAACCACATGAGGTTTTTAAATATTTCCCATCTTTCATCAGATTACTTAATCCGAAGTCTGCAATTTTGACAACATAATTATGAGTGATCAATATGTTTTCTGGTTTGAGATCACGATGGGCTACTAAATTGTTATGGCAATATTCGACTCCACTTAATATTTAAAGGAAAAAATTGCGAGCCTCACTCTCTGGCAATTTGCCTCTTTATGCGATCAAATCAAATAATTCTCCTCTTTCGGCATATTCCATTACTACAAATATATCTCCTGGGGTGTCCAATACTTCGTATAGTTTAATTACATTTGGATGATTAAAATATCTAAGCAACCTTATTTCACGTCTTATTTTAGCACCCATTCTTGAATTTTTCATCTTTCTTTTATTGATGATCTTGATGGCCACTTATGTATTAGTAATATTGTGTTTAGCCACTAATCTATTCATTAATTCTTACGTTTGACTTTTCCGAATGCACCCACACCCAATGTTTTACCTATTATGTAATGTTCTATTTATAATGGAGCCTATCCTTATTATTACATTTTATTATTATTATATTAATTTAAATGAAATTAGATATTAATTGTTGTGAAGATGATGATATTATGAATCAATTGTATGTTTATCTCATTATTTATCATCAGCTCCGAAAATGGATCACTGATCTTCCAGGGTTTTAGATTAAACGAAAAGGGAATCAAATATCATAAGCAATGCAAAAAAGATTAAAAATAACAAAACATAACTCTTAACGATTTTCAACTCGTCACCAAATTGGGATAAGGAGGTTTCGGCAGCGTTGAAAAGGTCTAACTCAAAGGTACTCAAGAAATGTATGCATTGAAAGTAATTGTATTAATTGCTATCAGAAAATTAAATTTCTATCTGATACTAATCAAGAAAAGTTATTGACCAGAGAATTGGATGCTTTAATCTCCTGTGAATCCGATTTCATAGTGCAATGTTATGGTGCATTCTATTCTCAAGGATATATTTGCATTTGGCTTGAATACATGGATTTAGGATCCTTGGATAGATTACTACAAAAGGATGGACTTATCAAGGAACCTATGATGATGATGATCACTTATAAAATATTATAAGGGTTGGATTACTTGCATTATAAACACAAAATTATTCATAGGGACATCAAACCACATAATATATTGATTAATTCTGAAGGAAATGTAAAAATTGCTGATTTTGGTATTTGCTAAACAGTATCAACTGGATAATATTTGAATACTTATATTGGCACTGCCATTTATATGTCACCTGAGAGATTGCAATCTATGAATTATGGAATGGATGCCGATATTTGGAGTTTAGGTATCATGCTCATAGAATGTTTGAGTGGACAACATCCCTTTAAGTATTGCTAATTAATTAAACAGGAAAAAGGATTACTCGTAGATTTAATAAATGAAACAGATCATGGAGTTTGACGTCGAATAATATCTTTAAGAATACAATTGGTTACCTGAAACCAAGGAGATTATTTAGAAATGCTTGCATAAAGATCCTAAATAAAGACCAACCGTGAAGGAATTATTACAAAGCAAACCAATGCAAATGGCCAAAAATATTAATGAATAAGTATTTCATTAATGGTTAAAGTTAAAATTCAAGTAATGATTGATTAAATTTACAATATTAATAAAGCTATATATATATTTTATTATTTAGCAAAAGTTGAAAGAATTCTATTTCTTTTTGTATTGTCATTAATTAATATTCCACAGCATATCATATAATAATATTAAATAAAATAATACTACATAAAATTTTGATTTCCTTATTAAATAAAGTCAGAATAATTATGATTACCAATCTCACATGAAGAGTTCCTCAATAATTAACTTGAATCTAAAAATAAAATTACTTGTTACGCTTCATTAATTTGAGAGAATGGTCTAAAGCAAGAAGCAATTGAAAATATTCTATTTGCTAATTCATATAGCATATAAAGGAGAACTTAAAGAATTTTATTTAGTCCTTATCTATTTCTTATCAATGGGACGGGCCATCGAGTATCAATCATAATAGAGCTGTAAATAAGGAAGATAAAGAAAATACATTTACAAACAAAATTGATAAAAATTAAGTTTATATTGCTATAATATAGCTACATTTAATAGTTTAGAGATTGATATGTCATCAAAAAGTCGTTTATAATGTCATTCATAGAAATTTATCCAAAATACAATCAAATTAATTGAGAAATATTTATAAAATCTATTCTTAATGGAAAAATATTGGGACTGTGAAAAATTATAAAAGGATGACCCAAATAAATTTCAAAGTATAGGAAATTAGTTTGTTAATAGACTCAAATCAAATATTAAGGAAATAATTAGTTTATATTCTAAACATGAGTTTTGCTAAACTTATGCTATTCTTATTGAAGTTAGCTGTTAAAGCAAGTATATTTTTGCAATAATGAAAAAGGATAGTGTATGCGGAATAATTGGATTCAAGTGTGGTATAATTGAAAAATTACCTAAATTAATATCTGGATGAGATAGAAGGGATTTAGCGCATAAGGCAGAACTTTTAATCAGAAGAAGAGAAATAAGCAGTAATATTATTCTTGGATGTGATTCAAATAGCAACATCAACTATTAATGATTGGTATTAATTTAATAATTTGCCTTAATAAAATGATGTTTTTCAATCAGAAAGTAAATTAAATCCTAAAATTAGTTGATTCAATAGCAGAAATTTATAAAATTTATCAAACTTAATAGAATACTAATGAGTGTGAGTGCTAATTAATTTGATTGACGAAACAGCATTAATTGATTTATTTAATAAATTTCTTATAATTTACATAATCCAAAGAATGTCTATGATGTATCTTATATTATATATATATTTCAAGTTATTTTGAATGATTTGTGGATTGTTAATGCTTTTGCAAAGTCAGTTCCATCCAATTCAGCTATTTTTTATTTGATTTGCTCTTATTTCAATCTTTATTTGAAAATAGCATTATAATTGGTTTTATATGCACTTTATATATGAAACAATTTACTTTATATCTGTTCCTGCTTTATCAACTCGTATAGGGTTAGATAGTTTCCAATCAGGCTTATATTCATATTTTACCCTAATAAATAGTTAGAGTCTAATATACTTCATTTCTGTTTTAGGTACTAATTATGCTTTAAATCTGCTGAATAAGGCTCTAAGACAATTAAGAACTAATTCTTGGAACTCCAATTCATCATTCATTTCAATCCAATTATCCAAGAATAATTTAGCTAAATCATTGAGAGGTTATGCGAATTCTAATTCAGAACACTTCTTAAATTTGAACACATTATTCTGTGGTTTTAGTAATTTTTAGAGGTATCCAAATTCAGTACCATAAGTAGTAGATGTTTAATTTTTTCTATGCATCTCCTCAGCCTTTTTAAAACTATTCAAAATTGACTGTAATAAGATTACTCTAATTCTTATTGATCTGTTAACTCTTGTAATTGAACTGTTGGAGGCTTTGCTCTATGATTATTTCTCTAAATATTACCTAAATAATTTCCTTCCTTTATGTTTATAGATGGCTCCAATCAATTGGAGACCCCTGGCTTCTTTTTCGCTTGCAATATGAATCCAATCCTTGTAATATTTGAGATATTCTGGTTTAATAATATTTGTCAGAATATTAAGCGGTTCCATCCTTATTTTGTTAATAATATTAATATATTTTATTTTCTCAAGCAGACCTTCTATTAAAATGATCTAAGGAATTTTTGGAGATTTGATTTTAACTAATCTTTCAATAGCTGATCTCAGGAAGAAACAATAAAATAGTGCCAACCAACCTATAAAATAACAATGTAGATAATCATAAATATTTACGCAAAATACTTTTCAAGTTTAAATTAAAAGACCTAATTTTGATTCGATACAACTCAATCATCCATTGCTATCAATGGATTTAAATGATATTCTAAATTCAAAATAGTACTTTTATATATTTAAATGAGTTTCGAGAGCAACGCCAAAAAGTTTGGTGAAATGATCAAGAAAAATCAATATTATTTGGAAGAATATCAAATAAAATAAAACTATTAAATCCCTACAGAAAATAGAGTGGATCAAAAATAAATAGCATAAATGAATGCTCCAATTAAAAATAATAGACAAAATATGGAAAGTCAATATGATTAGGTGAGAAAGACCACTATTACCAATTTTAACCAAGATAAACTCTTATCAGAATATTAAAAATAAAATAGTTCCTGTTATCCATTCATAAACCCTTACTAAGTCTAAGAGATTTAGAAGTAAAACTATTTAGAAATTAATTAGACCTAGTTAAGAAAAAACTTTGAATGAAATAATCAACTTTTTCAAGCAACACAATTATGATGTCCAAACATAGGAATTGCAGTTCTATATCGATGCTTATAACACTAAAGACCCTAATAAACTATTAGAAATGTATAAAGCGAATAAGACTAGATGAGAAGTATATTTTACAACAATTTGAATTTACAATAGATAATAAAAAATATCATAAATTGTTTTTACATAGATCTTTTCTTTCAATGAATATTACAGTTTAAAGTATTTGATTTACTAATTTATTAATTTTTGATACAATACACTTTTATTATTAATTTATTGAAATTTCAAGTTTGATGAATGACTTTATTTAAATAATAGAAAAGGAAGTAAAATCGGTTACAGATTTAATAGAAATGGAGTCATTCATAAGAAAATTTATTTATAACTATTATCAAACAAACTAATTAGCTGATCAATTAGCAAGAGATTGTTAATATGAAAAAATCAAATAGGATGACTAAATAATCTTATAAGAAGGAATATACTTTGTTGTTGATGGTTAATATTAATTGGCTAAAAGATTTATCAAATTGCCGAACTTCTTAGTAATTCCTTTGCATGAAAAAGCTATTGTTTTTGCTCTTTCTGATGTTCATCTTTTATCAATAAGAACAAATTTTAGTTCCTATTTAAGTCAACTAAAGGAATTGAGAACCGACATCATTATAGAATTCTTAAGGAAAACTCTCTTTCCAAATTTTCCCAGAAATAGTGTTGCCAGAATTTCGAAATATTTTTGTTTGACATCCCTTCCATTTAATCACGTTATTTATAAGGAAAATGAAGAAAGCAGATTTGTGTATTTGATTAGGGAAGGAGAAATTAAAGTACATATTCCATTAAGCCCAATAGTTACAAAGAGAAAAGAAATAGTTAAAATTATTGGTTGAAAATTAAATCTTCGGAGAATATGAAGTGTTTTTTAATAGAGCGAGATTTACAAAAGCTGTAACAAATTCCTCTGTTTCTCTCTTAACTATTAAATCAGAAATAGTAAATATTCATATAATATAAAGAGTTTTTAACTTTACTGAAAGAATATCCTATTTTAAAATAACGTTTACTATGCTAAAGTGTTTTGAGGTATGAATTTATGTATCAACCAAAATCAATTGAAAACCATTAGGACAATAGACAAAATAATAGTTTGCTAAGGAGACAGAAAAAAACATTAAGAAGTTTGTCCCCACAATAAGATTGTATTTAGATGTTTGAAATGTCCTAATAAATTTAAAAAGAACGAGTAAGAACTGGATACAAAATCATGCCTTTATTCTTTAATTATAGAGTGTCTTTAGTAGAAAAGTGTGCTACCACGGTTTAATCTCCTCAATCTTCAACAGTATCAATTTTATTTATTCCCATAGAGGAGAAAATTAGAAACTACAAATAGTGAAGTATAATTTCGATCTCAAAGTCCAGTCACTAACTAAAAAGTCTCCAAAATAATCTCAAGCAAACATAATATGTTCAGACAACAACCAAGTAGAGAATTCTTATTACAAAATTTTGTGAATTAATCTAAACCATAATTTTGAATTTTATATAACAGTTAATAAATTATTCTATATTTAATATAAATTCTTATTTTAAAGAATTTTACGTTTATTTTATGGAGGATTTAAAAATTTATATTAAAAGAGATTTAGAGATTGTGAAAAATAAAATAAAAATCAGATTTATAAGTCTAGTTTAAGTTGATTGTAGAGATTTGACCCTTTCTTATCGACTATGTATTCAATTTCTTTCTCTTGAAGAGTCATTCCTTCTAAATTCATGAGCTTTATGCTCAATTTATTTAAAAGGAGTATAAAATTAATGAATGGTGAGATTCTTCCTTCTTCAACTACTTTTGGGAATATGTTAAATCTATTCATAGTGAGCTTTTCCAGTGAATAGAAAGTCTACGAATTCCACCATTCGTTTCCATTGTACTTGATGCTTTTCATAGCCAAGTAGAGTTGGATAATGAATTTAAGATTTAAGTTTTAAAAGTAATAAAGATTTTCGCTTTTGATGTTAGAAACTACAATTCTGTAATAGTTGTTGTAATAGTTTTAGAGATAGCTGTTTAGAATACTTAATTCTTCTGTTTATCTTGAGTAGAAATCATACTCAGTTTAACTGATATTTCGACTGATAATCTTGTTATTTATCAAATTTTCAAACACTACTTAAGTCTGACCAATCAAAGTTTTATAAATTTCATTGACTTAAGACTCCTAAGTAAGACTTTCTAAGACGAAACAAACTTCTCTTTCTCCAATTTATCTCTATGATTTCTTTTGTGATTATGCACAAACCCCCATAATTTAATTATTAAATTTTGTTCTAATGAGTTCATTTAATTTATGAAAAAAACATTTTATTCGAAATATATATTATAAAAATTAAACATTATTCTAAATTACTACTCTTCACTTGAAAGCTCTAATTAATAGACTAAATATTATAAATTCCTTGTTTAATGAATTAATCATCATTTCTACACTATAGAGTCTAACAAGACTAAAAAACCCTTTTTAGTTCTAAATATTATTGTATGTTATTATTACAATATAGTAAAAGAAAGAGTATATGTACTCCTTTTTGAAAGGAATTTGACCAAAGAAAGTTTCTTTTTTAACAGAATAATGATGTCATTCAAAGATAATGTATATTCTTTTTTTGTTTAATAATCCTTAAAATAACTTAAGAATTATGAAAATGTGCTATTGTATATGAATCTTTTTCATATTTTTTAAATTCCATTCCTATTTTGTTTCATCATTTATCAAATTTAATAAGAATAAATAAATTTAATCATTAATTTTAATATTAATATATAAATCAACTTATTATAAATTAGCAATATTAATATACTTCTAGAGTATTCAAATACAAATTCTATAATATAAATTAGTTGAATAAATTTTGTTAAATTTTTAAATGCTATTATCTATAACTTTTAAAAGATATTGCTCTCTAATTATATTTGTTTTTATATTGTTAATTAGAAATTGTATTATTTTTAAGTTGCCATGCAATTTTAATGAATATCTGCATTAAACTTAAACATTTTTTTAATAAACATAATAAAATTAGGAGATAGAAAAATAATTGAATTTGTATTTAGTTTTATTTAAAATAAAAAAGAGTTAATTAAAAATGGTTTTAGGGCAAGTCTTTTCCTTTTTTTCGCAACAAGTAATGTTTATTTGGCTTTTGGTGTTTATTACACCCCTTTATGTGTTCTTGGCTAGCGTAATGGCTAAAGGGCTATAAATACTTTATCAGATGTCAATTAATAGATAATCCTTAATCTATAAATACTTAGGAGATGTCAGTTGGTTATTCCCATTTAGAGTAAGAAATGAATTTAGTATTGTAGCAAAATGAATAAGAATTTAAACTAGTACACATTATATTATTGGCAGTGCTAATTGGTTTAGTTTCTCTTATTATCATTGGTGGAGTAATGTTATAAAATTAGTTCGAAAAACAAAGAGTAATTTAGAAGAGTGATAGCAAAGAGCGAAAAACAAAGAAAAAGGAGGTTGATCAATGAAAGAAAATTGTATATTCATTTTGTATAGATATAAGTAATTTTAATATAAATGGAATATAATATAAAATTAAATGAATAATCAAACTTAGTTGTAAATATTTAGCAATTCATTTTAGTACAAATCCAGTTTATCAGCCTGTATAGACACCTTTGATGACGTAATTATCTCCTTAAATGTTAGCATGTATTCGAACATATTTTCATCTTAAACTCCATTTGCATCATCCAAAGGAATCAACTAAGAACCTATAGTTACAGCTATGGATCAAATAATTGAAGATAGAACTAGCGCAGAGTTCGGATAACATAGTCGACACATTTCTCTAAATTATCAAATTGTTGAAAATGATTTAAGAAAAGTAGTTGAAAAGAAAAATTATGTGGCCTGCTAAATATTTTGATTATAATGATATGCATATATATTATTCGATTGCCTTAAGTTAATTCATCATTTATCTATATTTTAAATCATTCCTATTCTTTCTAATTTAATTTCTACTATTCTTTTAGAAAATTCCCGTCGAGCTGAAGAAATGTCATCTTCACCTCATAAATCCCTTGATTATTAGTTCAATTCCACAGTATTGGCTCCAAGCAAGCTGAATAAAGCCTTCAAGTCCATTCATTATGCACAGTACATTAAAGAATATTTTACTAACAGCTACAATTACTTGACCAAATTCAAGTTTTGAAATTATTATCTCATTCTATACAGCAGGAAAATTAGAATACTCCTACCCTTGTAATTTGTATCTATCATAGCATACATAATTGAATATATAAATATAAAGATCTTCAAGATTCACTTTAAGGGTATTTAAATCTACCTGTTTAATCATCTAAATTCACAAAAGCTGTTGGGTTGACGTAATTTGATCATAACTTACTTTTTGGAGATTAACTACAAATTTTAAATGCCTATTAGATTTTAATTTTTGTTGTCTTTACATTTTAATAAATTATATCATAATTTTCAGTGCTTTTAAGATGCAATTTGATTTAATTCTTAATTTGTTGAGATTAAATCAATCCATGATTATTTTTTGATTTTCACGACACAACTTATTGATTATAGATTAAATGGAGTAATCTATAATATATCTTTAAAAAGAATCAAACAGATATTACAATAATTACAATTTAATATAATATCATGATATTCTAGAAGCCAACATTCTTTTTCTCTTCACTTAGATGTTCTAATTTTTTTGTGAGTGTTATAGTCTTTATCATAATAAGTTTAAACAAGATAAAAATTTCTTATTCTCATCTTATTTTTATTTATCTTAAATATCTTTCTTTTCCTCTTCCTCTATCTTTTGTTATATATATACATTATAGACTATTCTATTTATTGTATCTAATACTCCTTTTAAGAAAAATAAATTAATTAATTTAAATAATTATAATAATCAATTTATTTGTCTTCCTACTAATCTTATTTTAATTGGTGTAAATTTTACAATAAAAGCATCCCAATTTTTACTATTGAAAGTGATTTATTTTTTTTTAATTGTTTTATCTGGAATATTTTACTTTTGCATTTTTCTCACTTCTATTTTTACTTGTTCAGAAACCTTATTACTTTTTAGATTATCAATATTATGAGTGTATATAGGAATATCTTATAATAAATCCATTCCTAATTCTTAGGGTTACAACATTACAATCCCATCAACTATGATTACTGCAATTGACACTGTTGTATTGATTGGTTTCTCTTATAATTATTTAGCATTTAAATATGGCTGGCTTATCCTCATAAATACAGCATTTTCAGCTTTGAATTAACTATCATACTAATGATACATCCTTTTAATTCCTGAATCATTTGGGTATTCTTAAACAATTATTTCCAAACAAGAATTTATAAATTTATCAATTTCAATCCAATCAGGTTTCTCAATAAATAAACCATATTTGGATTGATGATCCTTTTCAATCTAAAATTTAACACTTTTTCTTAAAATTATGTATGTCCTTTCTTCAATAGTTGTAATGAGTTTCTTCGATTCTTCTTTTAGATGGTTATCATTCATGTTTGTTAGAGCATCTTTATATTAAGAAAGACTTTCAATTAGTTAATCATTTTATGATTTAAGTGCTGCTTAAAAATCTTATTCAACTATTTCGCTATATAGATAATTTTTTTCTTTATTAGCATTTATGAAATGAAAATTTATTTTATAATCCGTTTGAATATTATTTAGTTTCTCATTTTAAAACTCCTTCAGCTAATTGATAATCTCTTTCACAGAATTCTTATTATCCAAAACAGAGAGTAAACAATGCATTATAAAGTTGAAGGAAAATGGAAAACTACATTACCACTCTTTAATCTCGTAAGTAGATTAGCATTTAGGTAAGAGAGCAATAGTCTTGATGTTAAATGGCAATGATTTTATCTATTTATTGAATTACTCTAATTCTTTTGGAGTGCATATTTTCTCAATAAAATAAAGCTAATTCTTCTCATTAATTTGATCTACTAACTTAATTCTTTGCACTCTTTAACAAGTCTTCTAAATAAAAGAGCATAACTTTTCATATCCCATACCTAAAATTCCTATTGGAATAACAACAATAATAGCAGATTGCATACACTAAGAAAGTGGAATCAAGCCATCTTATTTTTTTAATAAATAATCTAACTCTTCTCTAATGCTATTGAAAGCTTAAGTAGTAAATTTCGAAAATTAAATAGTATTATTAATGTCTTCTGAATTATCTAAAATCATTTCAGTGTATTTTTTATAGAATTCTAAATCCTAATCATCTAAATTGAATTTAGAAAGATATTAGAAGGGTTCCTTCTTATTAATTCCCTTCTCTTTATTCAAGATAATTGATTATAATTCGTTCAAAATGTTATATTAATTAAATGGAATGAAACAACTACCAAGAAAGAGGTCTCCTTTCCAAAAATACAAGGTTTTGCCTTTATAAAAATCGTTGAATGAATCAATTAATTGGTTGTAAACTTAAGAGATGTGTTTCTGTAATTAAAATTAAGTGCACTACGTTTGATAAACTTAAATAGGTTCCAAATTGTAATGATGTAAAAAACTCTTAACTGTATTTGGATCAATCATTCTTTACTCTGCGTAATGCTCAAGAATTGCAAACCATTCTATTTATTTTTTATGGTTGTAACAACCTATCAAACTTCGATTAGTCAAATCTTCAATAAAATTATTTTATTATTAACGAGGCATTTTATTAAAGAGATGAAAAAATGAAGTGGCTACTTATCGTAATTGATCATGTTTAGGCTACTTATTTAATTCAATATCTTTTTCATTATAACAAATAATTGTTTGCGTTCCATATGAAATACAAAAAGAATCCAGCTCTTCACAAAAGCTAATGCTTATTGTAATTGAATTGTGTTGTATTTCAACAATTGTAAAGGAATCTTTGAGATTTTTAGTAATATTTTTATATACCTGATCTTAATTTTTAAAATCAATTTCGTTTAATTCTGGAGCAAAAGGAACTCCCATGGTTGCTAAATAAATTTCAAAGTATACCAATCTCAGTCTTTATAGATGATTTTTAGATTAACTAAATGAAGGAATTGCAAGTGCATAAATGCTTCTATAAGAATTTGTTATTAAGAACATCATTTTGATTAAAATTGGATTATACAGGATCAACCTCAACAATATTTACACCCTTCAAAAAATTCACTCTGTATGATTGCACTTCAACCTCATTCTATTTTGCAAATCCTTCAAGACTTATTATGATAAATATTTTTACAGATTATAAGCACTTAATTATGACATTTAATTATGTGTTAAAAATATTATTAATAAATTAAAATTTATAGTATTAAAAATTTAATTATCTCATTCCTAATAAATTTTAATCTTTATCAATTTATTCTGTTACCGCATATTTAGATGTTAATATCCCCTTCCTCTTTGATATTTCAAAACAATTCTAAATTCCCAAGAATTAAACAACTCATAATTAAGTATGTAAAAATTAAATCACTCTTAAACTCAAATGAATCGGTTTAACGGGTATTTCAAAAATGATCTCTATAATCTGCATTATAATTTAAATGTAAAAATAAGGGTTTATTTAATTCAATAAGATGAGCTAATAACCATCATCAATTTTCATCATCTGAGCATCCAGAAACTGGTATTCGGTCCTTACAATTCTTAGCACCATACCATTCACTTATACATTATGAAGGTCGACAACAATTTTACCACGCTTGTCCACAGCTGATCCCATCCTAAGCTTAGCATTTCGCAGTGCATTATAAATCACCATTCCAATATCCTGTGTGTTTGGTATTTGTACCCTTGAAGGTGTGATTGGTCTTTAATTTAAGTAGAGTTTAATCTAAAGCAATAGTTTGGAAATAATACCATTCTGCAACGTCATATAGAAAGTGCTTATTGATATAAGACAGATGATTGTAAATAAGAGAACAATTTTTAATTTCATTTATGTTATTAATATAATTTTTATATAAAAAGTAATTTAAACTAAATTTAGATTCAATATTCGAAATACATTATATATGTATGTCTAGAATAACTGAAATAAGTGATTTAGGAATGCCTTTTTGCATATCTCTAAATTAGTTATTTTAAAAAAAATTTGATATTTAATAATGCATCATTTGAATAATAAAAAAGATTTCAGAGAAGCAGAATTATTTCTACTAAATATTCCAAAAGAATTGAAATTTCTAATTCATAATTACCTAGACTAGTGAAAATCCTTTAGAATGTTCTTTCTTAGATTAATTTTATACTTTCCATATGATGAACTTATTGGATATTTTTTTGTTATTGAATTTTAAAGTTATTGGATCTTGTAGCTAAAATTTTAGGTTGATTTAGTTAGATTCAAACAGATTTTTAGATCTTGTACTTCTTTAATAATATTGGTATAACTTTCTTAATAATTATCTATATTAATTAAATGAGCAAAGCTGATGATGACTATGACTATTTATTTAAAATAGTACTTTCAGGTAATGACTAATTAAATCGATAATAAAGGGGACTCTGGAGTTGGAAAATCCAATCTACTACTGCGATTTACAAAAAACTAATTTAATGCAGATTCCAAAACTACGATTGGGGTTGAATTTGCAACTCGATCCATTATAACCAACGGGAAGGTTATCAAAGCATAAATTTGGGATACTGCAGGACAAGTAAAATGCTTAAATAGGGTTTAGGAACGCTACAGAGCCATTACTGCTGCATATTATAGAGGAGCCATTGGGGCAGTACTAGTATATGATATAACAAACAAACAAAGTTTCGAAGCTGTAGAACAATGGATTTAAGAAGTGAGGGAGAACGCAGATAAAGATATTGTGATCATGATTATAGGGAACAAATCAGATTTGAAGCATTTGAGAGCAATCAGAACAGAGTCTGGACAAGATTTGGCTCAAATGTACAAGGTAGCATTTATGGAGGCAAGTGCTTAAGATGGTACTAATGTAGATTAAGCCTTTATATAAATCATTCAATGTTTTAAATTCAATATAAATTAGAAATTTATCAGAATCTAACAAAACAGATATAAAAATATGATTAGATGTCTCATTTATAAAGTGAAAAATTGGATTTAGAAACTACAAACTCTAGTAATAAAAAGTAAGGATGCTGTTGAAATATAATACATTTTTTTTGTTTTAATATTATGATTTATATATTCAAGATGATGAACTGTCTTGGTTTTAGATATTCCAAATGGATGACCTAAGGAATTAAGTCTCCAATCACTGTATTCTTAATAAAGAGTGTAGAATAATAAGAATAAGGAAGTTAATTCCAAATCACAATGAGTCTAGAATAAACCAATAGTAATTAATATAGTTATTTAAATTCTAAATAAAAAAGTAAATAAAAGGTTTAACGTCAATTTTATAATTGTTAAAAATATAATCATACTTTTTTTTATGATATTTATTATGTATGCTAAAATTTGATAATCATCACCATCCTAAATATTTACTTAATTATTAAATATGGACAATAACGAAGAGCACTATGAAGTAGAATATGTCTTCGGAAAGAGATTGGATAAAGGAAACGAGGTGGATTATGCAGTCAAGTGGCTTGGGTATGATAAAAAGCATCATACTTGGGAACCCATTTCTAGTTTCAGCGCTGCTTCCTTACTTCTGATAGGGTAAACATTTCTTTATATACTTCAATAGTCGATTCGAAAGATATTTGGCATATAAAAATTATTACAAATTGATAGCAAAAAAAGTAGAAAAAGCAAAATAACCTAAGAAACCAGATGAACCCATAAGAGTACATATTAGAAATAGATTCACACAAGTGCTAATAAAAGAAGCAGAAATTATAAACATTGAGTTAGACACTGATGAGATTGTTTAGAAAAAGGAAACTTTCTAGATCAATGACGATGATCCTGATGTTTAAATTGTAAGTGTGAGTTTCAAGCCTATTAAATAAACTGAATCCAAGGATCTTAATAAGTTTAAAGTACAGAAAGTGTCACAAACTCTTGACTTCAATAGAATGATGCATATTAGATAATAACAGTTTAATCCAATCAAAATTAACACCTATAAAAGCAAATATAAAGTAGAAAAGGACTATTTAAATGAAATCATTTTTGAATAAAGATAAAAAGAGAAAGAAGTCAATATGCTTAAATTCACAGAAGTGAATGATAAATAAGAGCTATCCCAACCTATTAAATTGATATCTGATTATACATAAACTGAAGGGTTTTCAACATAGTAGAATGTCTATCGTAATCAATAATTCAAACACAGAGTTTTCAATTAGAAAGTTCCTTTTGAATTTATCCTTTCTCACCATCAGATTTAAAATGAATTATGGTTCAAATGCCAAAGCGATGAATAAGAAATCTTATTTGCAGATCTTCAAACACTTCAACAAAATTATTCAACTTTGTTATTAGATTATTTGGCTGCATTTAGTATGATGATTCAATGAATTCATTTATTTAATATCAAAACTAAATATATTATCATAACAGATAATTCATAGATTATTTATCTCCTAATCTGTATATGGATATATTAATTAAATACATAATAATATAAATTATGGATACAAATAATATTGTCCACTTAAGGTTCTACTAAGTCTAATTAATCTCTTAAAACATTTATGTTTAACTAAGATATTCATGTGAGTAATAAATGGTTGCTATTTTATCAAGTGGATATAGCTTCTTCTAAATTCTAGTAGGTGGAGATTTTTTAATGATAGAATTCTTTTTATTGCTTTTATATTTTAGAATTATTTACATCAGAGAGAAATAATTAATTAAGAATACACCTTCAATAAATTATGTCTCATACTTTGGTAACATTACTTAAAATTTCATTTAATTGATTTTCTAATTTCTATCTAATTTTTCTATTTAATTAAATACAAAATTAATATTTGATAATAAATAGACTTAATAAAATTATTTTAAATAATTTCAATTATTTAGTTCAATTGGAGTTGTACTATTTGATGTATTACTGTATTAATGTATGAAATATTAATAAATTTGGATATATTTTGGGATATTCTTATCATTCAATTATAAGAATTTATAAACAAAAATTCTTGTTAACAATTTATAATCAGTATTGAGCTTCTTCATCCCAAACCAAGCCAAAGAGCTCTAATTGAAATTCCTCTTCTTGATAAGAATCCTCAATCATCTCGATTATGCATTATTGCATATCTGTTGAGTGGATTTCTTAACTAATAGGGTATTAAGGCTCTTTAGTAACTATATCTCTTGATTCTATTTCAAATTTAACCTCCTTCCAATTTTAATCCATTTCAAATTTTAATTTAGATAAGTTCTACTCCAAAATCAGAAGAGCTATATTACTATTGAAGTGCTCTGCTATTTTATTGCCCATGTACTTCAAACCGTCAGGATAGTGAAATACATTCATTTTAAATCTCTAAGTATAGTTAATAAATATACTGAAAATGTTAAGTTGTTCAACTTATCAAAGGCTATTTGGGTTTCTTTAAAGTCTTTTAAGATTAAACAAACAACATTATTCTATAATTGTATTCTTTCATCAAGTGGTTCAAATTGAATACCCAAATGCATGTTCAGAAATTCTACCAAGTATTTGACATTAGAAAATTTTGATAAATTATTTACATAAAGTAGTTTTTTATGGTCTGCATCGTCAATCCTTAATTATAAGTCGTTAAATTTAATGCCAAATATTCTCAAGTCTTAATAAAGGGCATTTAATTTAGATTCTTTGTTTTTGAAGTTGATCACTGCATACGATTTATATAATTTTTTATTCTTATTTACTTTTACTCTCTCCAATAGTTTCTTTGTGGAACTCAATTGATCCAAGCTTTAATAGAGATCCTTGTTCTCATTTTGCTTATTACCTGTAGTTATTTGATCAATTTGCTTTTTGAAGTTAGAATACTCAAAATATTCGATAGATTCTATTTCACCAAATCTTTACTCAAAGTATTCTCTGCACCCCTATTTAAATTTCTCATCCAATATGTATGGTAAATTATAAAAGCAAACTTAATTGGTTTCCTTAATTTCTTCAAGACTTTCAACCTGTCTTAATTACAAAGGAGTTCTGAGTTCACTCTCATCTTTCTACTTAATATGTTTGTTCATCAATCTAGAATTTCTGGCCACTACCAATTGATTCTTAAAATCCTCTTTGCTATTTGTATCATACGACTCCAATTCTTATTTTGGCAATAAAGTGTTTATCAAACCATCATCCATTAGTTATGTGAAAGCAGGCACTCTCTCATCTTCTTCGATTCTCAATCTATGGTATTTACGTTTATATTGAATAAAGTCAGTTAGGCTTTTATTCTATGGTTAAAATAGACTCGCTCTATTCTGAACAAAACAATTATATTCACTTTTGATCTCTGTTTCAATTCTGTCAAAATCATCATAAAAATGCTCCGGTTGCAATTCTTACAAGTCGATTCTCAAAGCCAGAGGTACAAGATCTAATACTTGATCTGCAATAACATTATAATAATACATTGATTAAAAAGTCTGAAAATACTAGATTTCAATTGTAGAGTGTTAGTATGCACCTAGCAACAATTAAAATACATTAATACTTTCTCTTTTATTAACTCAACATCTCTAACAAACTCCATCAATTAACTGTCATGTAATCGATCCTATAGATAGCAAGTAAGAGTTCTTATATTTTTGTATCGTTCCTCTGACACTTTTGGGATGTCAAACTTCATTGCTTCCAACACTATATCATTTGATCAAATAAATACATTTTATCGGAACTCCATGTATTTATGTAGTAAATTTCTATGCACACAATCTAGATAGCATAAATAAATTTTTAATAAGCTTAACAAAAGTTAAAGCATTAACAATACAAAAGAAATGCAAACAAACTCCAGCAAATATATCATATTTTTCAAATTATCAACTCAGATCACAAAGAACGAATATAAATATATAAATTCAAAAATATACTTTGAAAATACTATTATTCTTAATCTTTAAATGATTCTCATATCTAATCAATTTCATTATTTAATTCAAACAGTGATTTATTTTGTACATTTTTTGTTATCAATAAGACTTTATACATTTTATATTATTATTATAAGTATATGAATTCAGAATAATAAGACAGTAATTAATTAGCAAAGGCCAATTTGGAATAATTTCTTAGAAACTGGTGGCATTAATTATTATTTGGAACTAAACTTGTAATTGGAATTTCTTGGTTATTTGGTTTTATTGATCTCTTGAGCAATTCAGCCTTTTATATATTCAACAACTCTCCAGAATAAACAATACCCTTTTAAATTTAGAGACTATTCTTCTCACAATTCGTTCATTGTATATATATACCCATTTAAGTTTGCAATAGATTATACAATCGATTTATTACTTGTTATTATATGCGTGTATAGCAAATTTGAAGAATTAGAATCTAAGTATTCTACAGTCATTTTCATTATGTTGATTTTTGCAATTGGAAGTCTCACTCAAGTTAGTATTTATTTAATTTGCTTAGCTCATTTGTGTTTTGCTTCAATGGGGATTATCGTTTATTTACTCTCCATTTTATGAAATTAAAGCGTACGGATTATGGAATTATTATATTTTTTGCGTTATCTAAGAGTATAACTACTTTCAATAATTTTTAGATGCTTGACTGCACCAAATGGATAAAGCTTATTTTTAATTTTTCCAATGTAATTAAAAAATCAATACTACCCAATTGTTTTAATTATCTTTTTTACACTTATTCAGTAATCATTGACTTTTGTCTCAACAGGATTTGTATCATTTGCTTTTTATCTATTTCAGAATCATCTGAATCAAATTCATCATTCTGTATAATCCTTATATATATACTTTTGTAGAGCATTGAGAGAATTGAAAAAAGCTTTCCTTTGAAGTACTTTACAGAGAGGAATGATTTTAAAAAAATATAAAATTATTAAGATTAATTAGAACCAAGCGTCGATGCAAGAGAACTATAATCGGTTGAAACACCACCTGCAAAGTTTTATATATTATTAATTTTAGATTAACTTCTTAAGGCAATCCATAATAATTCAGGTCATCAATGGTGCTATCTGAACTATAAAAAGAAATGAATTCTAAGGAGAATGAGTGTGAATAACCTAACTAAGATGAAGATGAGGAGAAAAAATAAAATGAATCAAATCCCTCAGCAGAATTTGTGTGACTCCCATCATTTTAATTGTTTTATATAATCATCATTGTTATTGATAATATTTTTGATATAATTATTAATTAATAGATCAAATAAGCTTATCTATCAAAATCTAAGTTTTTCAAGGCATTATTCGAATTGATCAGCAATACTCTCATTTTTTATATCATCTAAAATATCAACCATACTAAGTTCTTTGTTTGTTATTAAATTATTTTTGAATAGATGATCTTTAATTTATTCCTAAAATTTACAATTACTTTTTACAAAATATTTATCTGAATATTGAATTATTAAGATGTTTATTCTCAACTATTTTATTTATAAAGAATTGTCAGATGTGATATACTCAGGCTTCTAAAGTATTGTCAAAAATTCTTTAATTCCCCTTTCTAAATTTTATTGAAAATTTTCAGATTATTCATTGAAAAGTTCTTCATTTAGATGATTATAATGTTTTATGAAGTAGTCATTGCATAATTTAAGTTTTAATTCTCTAAACCATAATTATCATTCTTACTTATTTTCATTTAATGATATGTATCTTTCTTTTTCTAAATCAATTATCAATTTGTTTAATTTTGTTCTTAATGAATGATTTTGCAATATTTTCAATTCCAAAATATTGACTTCAAAATCATATTCCATTATTTTTAATTATTGTTCTAATTCAATTTTCTATTTCTCAAATTCTAATTTCGTCGATTCAAAATCAAAAATCAACTTTTTAATTAATAATAGCTCCAAGTTTTCAGATGGAAAATCTTTTATTTCCTTTCTAATTTTTTTTAAATCTTAAAGTAGTTTTTTTAAAGTAAAATATTTCTCCTTCAAACTCTCATCTAATTAATATTTTTAATGACATCCAATATTCTATGTATTTTTAATTGCATCCAAGAATTATCCAATTTATTGCCAAGAAATTCTATTTGCAGCCTGTTCTTAAATCATCATATCAATAAGAGTTGTTGTTTATTCACTAACATTTTATTCTTGGGGATAAGTAAATTCTGTCTTAGAATGGAAATTCTACAAGCCATAAAGGATTTCATAATACACAACACCTAAAGAGTATATATCTGATTTTTCAGGCTCGTAAACCCCAAATTTTACTTCAGGAGCTTCATATCCAAATGTTCCACATCTTGTGTGTTGCTTAAGATTATCAACACCTATAATTTGTTTACAAAAACCAAAATCAATTATTTTGATCTCACTGTCCTTAATCATAATATTTGAGGGTTTAATATCTCGATGATAATATTTTTAATTTTATAAACTAATTATTATAAATTTAATACTAAGAAAGTCCTCTATAGATTTAACCAAAAATATCTAAAGCTTCTTCTTCTTTAAGATGGGATTTTTATTGTAGATATTCCATTAAAGATTCTATTCTAAATAATTGTTTACATTCACATAATTCTAATACTAACACATACTCGTTGCAATTCTCAAAATGAGAAAAAAGACGAACAATATTTTTGCTGTTCAATTAGTTGCATAATTATAAGGCTTAGACTTCCTATTAATAGATTTTCGATATCATCTCTTTTGAAATATTATTATCATGAGTTTATTTCCTCAATAATTTCAGTGCTACATATTTATTTGTGTCCACATGCTTTGCTTTAAAAACCTTTTTGAATTAATTATTTACAGTTGAATTTAGTCCTGATCCGATTGGGTTATTTTTGTTAATAACATAATCATTTAAAACCTACGCATTGGATTCTTACTCCATGTTAATTTTAATAAAATATGTTATCTCTATTTATTTAAATCATTTTATATTTAACTCTATTTATTGAAATCACATAGTAGACTTGATTCTTAATGGAAAGCCATTCGTTGATCTAACTCTGATCTTGATTCTATCATTCATTTGATGTCAATTTAATTTAGCAATAAAATCTTAAAGTTTTCTTTGAGATTTCTCTAAAATATCTAATACCCTGTGTATCTACTTACGCCAACAATTATTATATACACACCCCCTTGGATGACTTTTAGATATTTGAATGTCATCTATATGATATAGTATTATTAATTCATATTTATAAAAATCTGATCTGATGAAAAATGTATAAATTTAACAATTATTATAAATTAATATCCTTTTGAATTAAATATATTATTAATGTAAATGAAACATATGAGTTATGATAATTATACGAAAACCAACAATTATAGGAATATAAATAATTTAAATAAAAAATGGAATGCCCAATGTGTTTTGATTTGTATTCCCAAAATAAAGTGGCAAGAAATCTCCTTTGTGGTCATACTTACTGTTCTATGTGTCTTGAATAAATCTTCAATATCAATAAGAGAATAGAATGTCCACTTTGTAGAACAAAGCATGAACCACATGTGAAACCACATCTATTAAGTAAAAATTATGTGGCTATGGATTTGGCTTCCAAACATTTGGAAGTATAGTAAATTAATAGCATAATAATTAGAAAAAAATTCGATTTATGTCCAATACATACAAAACTTCCATTATAATTTTTTTGTGAAGATGATTAATCAAATATGTGCACTGAATGTATAGCAGAGCATTATGGTCATAAGTTTTTCAAATACGAACATTCCGGTATCGAAATAATATATAGCCTAGTATCTTTATAATAAAATCGATTGGGAAAGATCTAATCAAAACTAAAATTCCAATTTGACATTTTGGAAAAGTAAGTAAAAGGATTTGATAATAGCAAAGAATAATTGTAATTAGAAAATGTGAAATTGGTATTTTATTTATCAAAAACTTTCAGATGCAACAACTTGATGAACAATTTGATCGACTAATAAAAAAGATCGAACTTAGAAAATAAGAATTGTTGGATTAACTATTGAAAATATTTACTACTGAATGCGAATAGATTGATCAGGAACTAGCTTTTAATTAATCTTTGCTGACCAATATGGCAAGTTTAACAGCAAAATTAGACTAGAAATAAATAGAACTAAGTATACATAGTCAAATAATGTAATAGAAGGAATTAAGGCCCTGAAAAACAATGATCTTATAAAGGAAATTGATGATTTAGAGGAATAAGTAGATAGAGATGTGGCATAACAAAAGCAATTAAAGATTAGTGAGATTAAGAAATTACCAAAGTTAGTTTTTGATTTGAAGCTAATTAACGACATCTCAAAATTTGGTTAATTCAAAAAGGATATATCTAATCCATAAATATGCTTCTTTGGTGATAAGCATAAAATATTAATTTATAACATTGAAAATAATGAGTGGACATACAAACAAATGCCAAATGTATACTAAATTTATATAATAGAATACTTTAGAATATAATTATTATGCTGCCGCTGTCAGTTTGCCAAGTGGTGATATCATAATTACTGGAGGAGGAGTCAGCAGAAACACCATGTCAATATCGCCATCTAAAGGATTTCAATCATAAGCCTTAAAAAGTATGTACTTTCCAAGGAAAGAGCATGCCTGCGTCTATCTTGATGGATTTGTATATGCAATTGGAGGGTAATCTAATAATTAAGTTAAAATATAGATATGATGGATCAGCTAAGCAAATGTTGTCATGCTGTGAAAAGTATAGTTTAGTTTCAGATGAATGGAAAATAATCGATCCATTACAGAAATAAAAATGTGCCTTTGCAGCAGCAGCAGCCATAAATAAATTTATCTATGTGTTCGGAGGCTTTGATGGAAGAGAGAGATTGAACACAATTGAAAGGTATTCTGTGAAAGACAACCAATGGAAGGTCTTGGATGTTAAATTCAAATAAGGGTTTAGTAATGCTGCTGCGATATCCTAAGATGATAATAAGATCTTTATCTTGGGAGGAGGGTAAGTATTACATATTTTAATCATTTAAGATCAAATCAAGGTTTTTCATATGATTTATAAGTATATGATGTGAAAGAATAGATAGTTAAAACTTTGAGCAAAATGAATGAAGGAAGGGATTTGAGAAACAAATTGGTTATTCATGATAATCACTTATTTGCTTGTGGTGGCAACAATTATTCAGTAGAAAAATACTCATTAAGCCAGCAAACATGGATGAATTTAAGGTAAATCATAAATTAATTATAATTAGGAGTTATGATTCACTGGTTCAAGATAATTTGGATTCATGGTGCAGTGCTTTAACATTTGAAATCAATAGTTCAAATACTATTTCAAATTTATTAAAGCATAATTAATAAAAAGTAATGTTTATTTTACATTGTAGTAACAATAATACCAAAAATATAAATTTGAAGAATAAGCACCATTTGGGAATGATTCATTTAATTAAGATGCTCAAAGTGAAGAATTCGAAGACTTAGAAGATTATGCATATAACGAATAAGATGAAGGATTATTTTAATTTTGAATTTATAATTAATAGTTAAAAACCATAAAATCAAATAGTCAATTATCTCAATAGTTAACAATAGTATCTCATTAGAACCAGTTATATTTTATGCTTAATAGGTATTTGTATTTTTTTATGGTGAATTTTATTTGCTTATTATTCGCTTTAAGGCAATGAATCGTATTGCATTTATCTTCTGAAACAAACTTTTATCATCTGCAATGATAATATAAACATTATTCCAAAAGGAAGTATATAAGGAGCAAAATCCATTAAATTTTATTAAGTCACTTAAGACTAAATTATGCCATTCGTGTAGTTTCTTATCGAAGTAATGATGCTTTCACATTAGACCCTAGATAGAACTAACATGAATATAACTTATTTCACTTACATCTATTTAATTAATTATTTATAAGAAACAGAATTTATATTCTAATTTTGTAAGAAAAAGAATTTGTATAGTTACTAAATAAGTGAAATACGGGACATTAAATAATCATATCATTCCTTTTGATGCTTCACTTTTTATTCTATGTCTGTTTCAAGAATAAAGTCATTTATTCTCTAGTTTGGAAATATTTAGGAAGCATTCTCAATCAAGAATTAAATAAATTAATTTACTATTTTTATTCTAAATATTGTTTTATAATGATACTTCTAATATTATTCTTAAATATTCTCTTATTGGTATTCTTTTGGTCTACACAAGGTAATACCAAAAACAATTGCCAAATTGCTAGCATTCATCTTATTAACATCAGAATGTGATGCCACTTACTAAAGGATTAATATTATTAAGGTGAATAAATTCCTATTCAAAATTGGGAATTGTTAAATTAATTTCTACCCTTCTTCTATGGAATAGTGATGTATTGTATTTAGTTAATCATAATATTAATATGGAACGACTGAATACCTTAATTTATCTAGAACTCTTTTAATAAAATTGGCTATTACTATTATATTCTCGTAATCAAGTAATTCTTCATACTATTTATATATTAAATAATTTTCAAACTCTTTATCGTGAGTTTAAGCAGAACATAATCTAAATATCCCTTCTAGTTTAATGTTTTATGGGTTTTATAATAATTTAGTGATGCAGAGATCAAGAATGAATGGTATTCCCTTGCTCGTAAGTTCATACTATCCCAATTCAAGATTGTAAAGTTAAATTTGATCTACTTGAACAAGCATTTATTGATTTACAGTAAAAGCTTATTAAAGTTATTAATACGAGGAATCTTTGCAATATGAAGGTAGTTTTTCAAATTAACTCTTATTGAAATACTGATAATTAAGCAATTAAGCAACTCTAAAATTAAAGGATTAAAATACTTTTCAAGTTAAATGGTCTTTTATTTCAAAATTTAGATTTAAATGCTGTTTTGAAATAAAAACCATGATTTAATCAAAAAGTTCCCATGTATTATAATAATTTTTTGCAGGTTTTCAAAACAGATACAAGGTAATTCTTTAAGGACAGAGTAAAATTTTGATAGATTCAAGTAAGTTTTCAACTCTGTATTGAGATAAATGACGAAAAATTCTCTAAATGATATTATGGAATGATTACTAATTTTTTTTATTTTATAGTTAGGAGATCATATAGTAAGTAATTGACCTTATATTATTGTCATTCTACAATTTTCCTTAAATGATGAAGACAGATTATTTTGATTAAGTGAGACCTTAGGATATAATTTAATTATGAAACCTGCTTAAATTAATAATGGATCGTCTTTGTTTTATGAATCATATTTGGCAACCTGCATTTAAACTATAAAATCATTTTGAATCTTTTTTTCATTTTGGACATACTTTTAATCATTGGCAAACAGTTCTCTTATCTATTTCTTCTCGTTGTCAATAATCATAAATTAATTAAAACTATACTATAAAATTAGAAGATTTAGCATGATTCACAACTCCTATTTTTTCTATTTTCTTTACTTCTAAAGATTCGATTTAATTAGTATCTTCTTCTTCTGTAAATATTTCCAATAACGCTCCACATTCTGAAGCCAAGAAAATATATGAATTTTCAGGATTATCATTTAAAATTACTTTTATATGTTACAACATAATTTTATATATAATTAAATTGATAATCTTAACATTGAATCTACCTTTCTTCAATTTGAGAGGTAGTTGCTTAATTATAAAATTCTTCTTTATATTTTCTAATTATTCAATTTCTATTTACCACGTCGATCTTGTATCAGAATTTCTATTTAGTTTAAGCATTAGAATTATCTTTTTTGATTTGTTGTTCAGAAACTTAATGAACTATTATTAATTTTACACTTTTCTTTTTTTCCAAAATATAGTTACTTTGTCAATTTTAGTAATTTTAGATTCTAAATTCTTCTCTTTTTTCTTTAGCTAATAATAATAACATTTGTATGCTTTAATTTGGCTTCCAAAATTTCCATTTTCTAATCTATCTATTTTTTGTACTTTTATGTAATAGAATGATTTTCCCTAACCAAATAAAAATTCAGATTCTAATTTCTAAATTAGATCATTAAATTCCTTATTCTTTTGCTCTTTCTATGTATTATTTTCTTTTTATTATATAATGAGTGCTGGATGTCGACTTTTCATTTCATCAATAAATTTTGCATATGTTTGCAATTCAACAGATAATCTGGTTCTCCTATTTCTGGGAGTAGAATATTATAAGGGTGTTGTCACATAGCATCTTGAATTTTAATCAACAATATTTTTTAATTTTTTATTCAATTAAAGAGTAGGAATTTCAATATTATTTGTAAATAATTCAATCAAATTTTTATTGTTCTTTTTCTTAAAGTAGAACTTCCAATTGATAAATATTGTCTTACATATTGTTATTCCTATTGTAATAGAGTCTTAGAATTGGGAGATAATGAAGGAGATGGAGGTTAGAGATCAAAAATCATATAATTTAATTAATATGTACATTTATTTTACTGTATGTGTATTTTACTTTTTCATAATCTTCTTCCTCTTCTACCTCCAGGTCTTCTTGTTGAGTCAGTGGGAATTGGAGTGACATCTTCAATTCTACCAATTTTAAGTCCAAGACGAGCCAATGCTCTCAAAGCAGCTTAAGCACCTGGTCCTGGTTATCTTGTGTCAACACCTAAATGTATATAAGTACAATTTAATACCTCCTCTTGCTCTTAATTTAATATGCAAAGCATTAATTTTGAGTGTTTTCAACTTCTCATAAACATCTTTGGCTGCTTGCATGGCTGCATATGGTGATGATTCTTCTCTGTCTGATTTAACTTTCATTCCACCAGTTACTCTGGCTAATGTTTCTCTGCCTGTCAAATCAGTGATGTGAATAAAGGTGTCATTCCATGTGGATAAGATGTGAGCCACTCCAAATACTAATTCATTTCCAGCCACATTTGGTCCCAAAGTAGCTACAACTTATTAAGTAGTTTCTTCTCCAGTTTTCTTTCCCTTTTTGCCTTTTGGTTATTGAACAGGTTATTGTTTTGCGTCAGCCTTTATTTAATTGTTATAGTTACCATTGTCTAAAAATTAATTTAAATCTTTTTTTAATATACAAAATAGGAATCATGGCATAATTTAATTAAAGACTACATTATATATATACACTTGAGCATATTTGATGTCTAGAACACCATAGAATCTATTATATAATTATGATAACAATTATTGATTATTGTACTAAATATGTAAATATCATTCAGCAGCAAATTTGTTTTAGGTTTTCTTGGTTCTTTGAGCCTTATTCTTTTCTCTTCTGTCATTTTATTCCTTCTCGATTTTATCAACTCTAACTTTTTCTTATTTAGTTTCATGAATTGCCTCGATAAGAACTTTTTTGTTTTTGTATTGATTACCTTTTGAAGCCAAATAAAATTCGTGATATCTAAATTATTAATGATGTTTTACTATTATCTGTCAATTTTCTTTGCAGCTCTATATTTTCTGAGCAATCTTCTTAAAACTCTTTGTCTTCTGATCCAAAGAACTTTGGTTGGCATTCTTGCCTCTCTTGTACCTCTTCTCTTACCAGTACCGGTGTGTCTGCCTCTTCTCTTTGCTTCAAGGAATCTTCTTGCTCTAGCTCTTGAGTGAATTGTTCTCAATCTCCTCATAATCAAACCATCTTTAATTAATTTTCTAATTGACATTCTTGAATTTGCAAGACTGATTTCACTTGCTTCATTTGGGTCTAACCAAACTCTGTTGATACCAACCTTTAATTATGTGGAAGCCAATCTTTTTTAGAGGCGGAGATTAACCATTAAAAAATAATATCTAAATTTTTAAATTTTTTTTCATTTAATCTAAGCATTTGCAATATTAGATTACAAATAAAAAGAATTTCAAATTTAAGTTTTTATATAAATTTGTTAAAAGAACAAATGAAACTCAATATATTTTGATGAATAAATATTCATATATTAAAATTATTAACTAAAATATAAATAAATAGACAGTTATTTCTGTTAATACTTCAATAAATTTTATTCAAATTTATATCAGTTAATCAATTATTCCTTCATAGAAGTGACCCCACTTATAAGTAATGAGAGCTGAGTCTCTTGATTTTTATGGCTTTTGAGCAAAATTTGAATCAAAAAGTGAATATAATTAAATTTAAAATCAAATAAAATGTAGCAGAATCAGAGTTATACAAAAATAAAATGCCTATTCAAAGGATATGCAGGCAAAGTATACCTGATTGAAAGAAGGTCAGAAAATGACCCTCCCAATAAGAAACACACTCCTTTGGTGTTGAAAAGATATTACAGAAAAGTATTAATAAATTGCAATCGTATATAGCCATCCGACCCTCAGGATCACACTTAGTTAAATGAATACAAGTTTCTGAGCACTTTACATCATCCCAACATCATCAGTTTTATAGATGCCTTCACCGAAAAATTTGAATACAAAAAATGCTTGTGTTTAACCATGGAATACATGGCACCACTTCATGAACTCTTACACTCAATAAACGATAAACAACTCTACATCTTTAAAGAGCTCTGTTAGGCTTTGAACTATCTCCATAATTAAAATATCCTCCATAGAGATATTAAGCCTAGCAACATCTTTGTTACAGCAGAAGGACAAGTTAAATTAGGGGATTTTGGCATCTCCACTTAGATGAGGGATTTTATGACTCCCCAGACTTGTACCAAGAATTACAGAGCCCCAGAATTGTTCTTTGGACTGAAAGAATACGATGCTTCAATTGATATTTGGTCACTCGGTTGTACGCTGGTAGAATTATTTACAGGCAAAATTTTATTTGATGGAAGATCAGAAATTGAGATCATGTCTTAGATAGCTGAACTTTTGGGAAGCTTCAATGTAAATTGTACCTATATCCTAGGAATCAAATTGGGAAGGAGTCTCATCTTTGCCTATGTATTTGGAATTCGTTAATGAAAAGCAACCAAAACTACCAAAAGTCTTATCTTAGTTGCCTAAAAATATCCAGCCTTTAGTTGACCATATGTTGAGGATGAATCCTAAAGAAAGACCAAATATTAAATAGGTTTTAGAACATTTGAATGAAATGGATATTTAAGATTGCTCTACATAATTAGCAAGTATTGCTCAGAATGCAATGAGTGCGAGTAATAAAATTAAATTTCAATAAGTGATATGATTTTATAAAAATAATTAAATATGAATTTCGATTTCCCTTTTGCTGGTTTCAAAACTCCCTAAAAGCCCTATTATGTTAGATCAAATCATAAACATCACTCAAGTCAACCCCAACTATCCAACTACTTTACAGATCCTTATGAAAATAAATAAAGTCTCTCCAAGGTGGGCAAAGAAACGCTAAAAAAATGGGATTTCTTCTCTGACCCATTTAGTTTACCTGATAAATATACCATAAAATCTCAATAAAAAATAAAAACTGAATCAACCGACTTTGCCTTCGATAGCATAGATTTGATTTTAGGAAAGTAAACAGATCGACACAGTACAACCTCATAAGTGATACCTTTGAAAACTCAATCAGAGAAACTAATAGGCAAAAAAGTATAATTTTCAGAATTGGTACAAGTGAAGAATGATGACGGAAGTGAATCTGAAGAACCTATTTAATTGTTGTCGAGGAAGGAAACAAGAAAGAGTAAGTTTTCAACATCAAATCAGCGACCATTAGATTCAGTTTAGAAATAATGTTGATATAATTTACTGTGTATATATTGAATTTTTGATCGACGTCAATGTAAATTATATTGTACAGGCGATGTTGGGTTTACTAACTCGAATGTATATTATGAATTATTAAATTTATAAGTATTTTATTTATTAAATTATATTATAATGCATAAGCATGGGAAGAGGTTACATATGGGATCGTAGAATCAATAATCTCTAACATCTCTAAATTCAAAGAATGCTAATTAGGACACTGAAAAACAATAGGATCAATTTGAAATAGTGCAACAAAGCTTTGAGACTTCGATGCAAATGAATGTGAAGGATCACATTGACAAGTTGTTTGTAAGGAGTGTTAAAATAAAAATAGAACATATTAAATAAAATCAAGGATGATTTGAAGGTGAGCAGAGATGACATGAATGTCATACGAGAAGAATTACATAAGATGAAATCTAATTAATATCGAGAAGAGGATCAAATAACTAAGGCATTACTTTCAGATGTACTATAAATCAATATCTAGATAAACAAACAAAATAGTGAGTTAAACAAATAAAAGATTGACACCCAAACGGTTTATGGAAGTCTGAATATGCAAATCTCAAGTTTATATTGCGACAAGGATTTTCTTAATGGGAATACTACCAAGGTTGAGTTGGATACAAATATGGTGGAAACTCATGTAGGTTTTAGAAGAGTGTATGATTGAATTTTATGTTTAATATACATAGGAACTAAAAAATTAATTAATATTATTTAACAGATATTAAGTTATGGATTTGACAATGTCTCTCGAACAACTATAATGCATAGAAGACGATCGACAGTACTACCAATCGATTAGTAAATCGACTCAATAGCAATCGTATTAGTCAATAGCCACATTATAATCTGATCAGTCGATTGAATCATTGGAAAAATTGGTATCGCAAGAGATTGTTAAGGATTCGAACTTGAAGCTTGAATTGGATCAGTTCATAGGGCTATTATAAAAAGTGAAGCCATCGAATTTGAAAAATGAGCTCTCAGTTGTGATGAGCACGGAACAAGAGGAATATTATAGTTTTCAGTAGAAACAACCTTTGGATAGAAAGGAGATTATGTTTGAAGGGTTTTAGAAATGCTATGTCGAGGCAATAAAAATAATTAGCAATTTAATAAGGGATTCAAAGGAATAAAATTATATAATCTCATATTTGGAGAAGATGCAAATGATTTATGTATACTTAAAATTGCAATAATTAGATTATGCATATCTAGAGCTATTAAGGCATGGAAAAGTCCATGAATCTTCTGAATAGTTTAAAGCAAACTCTAATTGATGCTGATCAGGAAATCACTCTATTGCACAACCAAACAGCAGAGTAGTAGCAGATCCTGTAGAAGATGTAATTGCAGCTCAAGCAAAGCATGAGTGAACTCAATTAAGAAAGGTTAAATTCATTGGATTTATAATAAAAAAATTAGCAATTGAAGCATTTGATTTTGGTGGCTAATAAATAGTTTGAATCTTTATAAGAGAAGCTGCTGCAAACTGAACAGGAATTGAATGAGATTGTATCGACTTAGAGTTAGCAGATCAAATAATTAGTTTAAACAAATAAAAATTTGAGAGAAGCCATTGTATTTAATGATAAGAAATAAGAAAATCCTAAGAAAGTCAATTGTTCTCCATTGAGCTCGCAAAGGAATACAGTTAGCAGTAATTAGGAGAATCAGTATAATCAACTGAATAATCAGTTGACTCTTAATTCCCAAAGAGCAAACAATATAGATAAAGGGATCACGAATACATCTCCTTAGCAATCCCAGAGATGCACATCTAATAAAAGAGAATGGAATAAATGTACGAAAATATTCAAATGAATTATCATAATTTATACATTACTTAATATAAAAATAGAATTTCATTACACAAAATGATTAAAGTTCCAAATTCCTTAGATTACTTTCCCTCCAATTGAAATGTATCTTCCTTAGCCTTAGGCTTGATCATCTTAAAAGCATCCCTCGAAGCGATCACCATTCAGAAAATAGAGTGTTCCTTAACCATTTTTGTTGTCGTCATAAAACTATCCTACATATTTGGTCCAAGCACTACAATAATGAAAGAATATCATTACAATCCGATGTCTTCTAGATTTCTGTAATTAATATCTTCGATTTTGGGAGTATCATTATACAAGATACCTAGACCTTGAAATTTATCATCGATCCATTCTCCATCATATGCAGGTCTTCCACTGGCATAATATAATACACCTTGATATTAGATATCAATTTCATACCTTATCCATTAATTCTGTCATTCTTCCAATTTCCATCATAATAGCCTCCCTCTTTATAATACAATCTTCCTCTGCCTTCTTTTTTGCCATTGATCTTTTCTCCAACGTACCTCTGTCCATTGGGATATGTTTCATTCACATAGGTTGATAGATTCTATTTTTGGAGGTAAGTGGATACTGTTTAAACAGGTATGTAATTCGATTATTTGATAGGTTATTGTTGTTATTAGACAGACATGAACCTACTTTATGGTTAGACAGGGTAGTATTAATATGACTCTCTATTGGGTTGGTTGAAATCAGTCTAGTTGTTTTGTTCAAGTAGTTTAATGTCATTGGGTGATGTGAAGTGAAATTTATCTAGATAATCATTGACTTGGAGAGACTCTCTTGGAGGTGGTTGATAGGCTGTTACATAGGATTGTAAATGAATATTGGATTTTTGCTAATTGTTATTGTTTAAGAATTGACTTGATTGAGTGTAAGCATCTTATTTCATGTGATTGGTATAATCTTTGTAGGGATTAGTATACGAATCATGTTTGATATTTTATTTTTACTGATCAGGGACTTTGTAAATGTCTTAATTAAGAATGTTATTGCTTTATGCAAATGAGATAGGCTGAACTTAAAATTCTTAGATTAAGGATCTAGGAATTTATCCAATAGAGTTGTTTTACTTCATTGGAGCTAAATAATATATTATTATTCTTCTTACAGATGGAATTTCTGGTGATGTCAGCATTGTGAATCAGAACATCATGTTCGCTATAATTGGCTGGTTATGGTTCTTTGTAAGGTCTGTGTAATTCATCATAATTGTCATCATGCAATGGTAATGGTCCTTCATCCAAATAGGAGGGCTAGAGCGATTGATAGACTTCAGATTAATGATCGGCATTCTTGTAGTACATCATTTAGTATTCATCCTCCTATTGATGAGAGTTCTTGTCTGGGAATTGAGGTGGATATTAGGGAATGATTTGTCTCCTTTTATTCCTTAGCTAAATAAAATCAGGTCTGTCTTTTTCAACTTATTCAAGCATTTCTTCTATAACTTCAACTAGTTCAGAAGTGTAGATAGTCCTTGCTTATTCAATATTTGTGACCAATTATTACATGTTTATTTTCCCTTCAAAGTAATCATAACAATTATCCTAAGGCTAGAGTAAACAAACTTAAAGGAATATCATTCCGAGAGTGTACACATCTGATTTGAATAAATTATGTTATGGCATATGATTGCTCTCATAGACAGCCTTAGTCAATATAGGAGAGAGATAATTGCCTTCTGATGCATTTCCATAATCTTGCAAGACTGCTGCAAATGATGTGATATTGGCTAACAAAGGAATGTCGCTTACTTTGATAGTTCCATTTTGATAGGACAGTGTTTGCACTCTCAAATTCTGATGAGCAATCTTCAATTCTTGCATTTTGGCCAATCCCTCTATTGATCCATTCAACATTTGTAGCACCTCTTATTCTCCGTAATAGGCACCTGCTTACTTCCTTTAGGCTATGGCATCTTGTAAGGTTTGAGGGAGATATTCGAATACGAGATTAATCTTATAAAAAGTACTACAAACTTGTTCTTGTTCTGCTTAAATTGATTCTAATTGATACTATGCGTTTTGCTTACCTTTCAATTCAATGATGTTGGGATGCTTGAGAGACTGTCTCAACTATAATTTATTCTTCCATGCTTAAAAACTAGGCTCATCTGGAATGCTGATGTTCTTCAATACAATCATTTAAGACTTGTCATTTCTCTTGCCAAATAGTTTGCCATCTCCGTATCCTACTTTATAATTATGATGATTCACTTGCATCATTCAGGTGCTTTATGAATTCATATTAGGTGTCGATCTTCCTCAAAAAATCTTACTCCTATTTACTATCTGTCTAACCCATTAATTTATAACTGAATCAAATATATATCCCTTTTTATTCTTTTATAATTATAAATCAATCATTCTTAAAAGCATATGCACAACAAGACCACTCTGCTGAGTGAAGGATCTTCGTCTAATGTGTTCCTAACCGAGGATCCCAATTACGTAATCAAAGAATATAAATCATTCTACTCTATACAGTCCAGAATGAAGGAAGTTCAAATTTTAGAACTCCTCAAAAGTAATCACATCGTCAAACTCATCACCTACACAGATAACTACTTGGTTTTGGAAAGACTTTAGACACACGATTTGTTTGAAGTACTCCAATCTCAAAAACTAAACACACAAATTATAAAGGAGATTTGCAAGACCTTGATCAAAATTATAAACTATGTTCATCAAAACCAAGTCGTACACAGAGACATCAAATTAGAGAATATTTTGATTGACAAAGAGGGAGGGTTAGTTTTATGTGATTTCGGCTTTGCAGAACTGTTAAGTAATTGTACAGCCAAAAGAACTGTTGGTACACTCCATTACATGCCTCCTGAATTGCACTAAGAAACACTCTTGGGAGGACACAATAGTGAGAACATAAATACTCAAGTACTAATAAAGAGTGATGTGTTTTCATTAGGAGTTACTCTATTTTAGTTAATTCTGGGTTTTATGCCCTTCAAATCCACCAAACCTAGTGCCAGTTGCAAGTTGTGGAAATTGATTCAATAAAAAAAATGGTAATAGTATTGGGCACTCGTTTAAAAATTGTCAAAATAATAAATAGATCTAATCACACAGGACTTTCTGGAGCAATTACTTTAGCCAGATTCAACTACCAGAACTACTCTAGATATTATTTATAATCATCCTTATCTTTCAGAGATCAAGGATGATGCCCATTTAATTTGATAAATTAATATTTATATATAAAATTAGTACAATCATATTATGATCTCAGAAATTATAGTAGATAGCATTGTCAAACAATTAATACATCAGGCCAGGAAATTGATACGCGAACATTAAATAGATGCTAAGATTCCTGCCTTTTTGAAATGCGAATCTATGCATCAGATCAAGTAATAGTGACATCAATGACAAGATCGGCCATCAATCTATACTAAATTGATTGCTAGAGTTCTTCCATCTTGTTGGATGATCAGGAATACAATTTAAGACCAACCATAGATTCATTTTAGGCATTGACACTCAAATTAATAGATAGACCAATAATAGATTTAGGAGAACTAAATTAAAATAATAACTTGTCTGATTATTCCTCTACCAATAAATCTATCCCCAGAAGACACTCCCTTAAAAAGAAGGTCGATGTTCAAGTCACTAATCTTAAACAACAAAAACCAACCACTGAAATAACATAGTAAGATCACTAAGAAATTTATAAGCAATAGATGAACACTAATAATCGACATTCATTGATTATCAAACAATAAATCAGAGATCAGGCAAATAAAGTAACTTAACTCAAAATAGAACACATGGTTGTTGATAATTTGGATCCAAATGAATTCAGAAAAAAAATATAATAATAAGCAGAAAATTTGGTTAAAGAAATCAAATAATAAGATAGATCATTTCAAATCAAAAAAGTCTCTGATAAATCAATCGACACTAGCAATTACCTTAATCAAACTGAAAAACCAACAACTGCTCCTCATGGACAAAGAAGACCCTAATATATCATAAATAACAAAGTAACAGACCTAAATGCCACTCTATCCTAATTCAAAAGGCAATTAACTCCAGTAGAACATAAACGACTTTCCAAAGTTCGAAATGTCTCTATGGTTTGATTAAACAATATCTAATTATTGATTTTTATTATAAATATATAATTCAATTAAATGAGTGAAGCTGATAATAAGATTATAGGTAATTATATTTAAAACACCAAAAGAAAATTGGGACAAGGCTTAGTATGCTCGGTATTCAAAATAGTTATGATTAGGTTTATGAAGCAAAATTTTTAGAAACAAATAAGTATGTCGCTTTAAAAAAAATATCAAGAAACAGTTTAGATTCCAGAATCATCTCAGATTAAAGATTATAAAAATCATATGCCTTAGAGATAGAAATTTTACAATAATGTAAGCATCGAAATGTAATTTCCCTTGTGGATCACTTTGAAACACAAGATCATTTTTACATCATACTTGAGTTATGCGATTGTAATATTTAAATTGAATAATAAGCAAATCTGAAGGAATATTTAGAAAATAAGGATGGCCAAAGATTGGAGGAAGATGAAGCAATGGATATTTTTTCATAAATTGTTGAAGGTGAGAAATGGTAAAATTAAATTAATTTTTAAGCCTTCATAATTAAAAATACTCTCATAGGGATATAAAACTAGAAAATATATTGCTCAAGGACGGTTGCGTAAAAATAACAGATGTCAACTTGGCAAAAAATATAGAGGATATGTATAAAGCAGCAGCTCACTCTCGTGTGGGGTCTCCTATTTATTCAGCCCCTGAAGTGAACTCTAATACAAATTTCTGTCCTTATAAAGCAGATATTTTTTCTTTAGGAATTGTGTTATCTGAAATGTTGCATGGCTTGATTGATAGATAATTAGATATCACAAACTATGAAAAAAGAAATAAAAATAATTTAAATAAAATTAGATATGAATTATAGGAACTTCTTAATAGAATGTTAGAAAAAGATCCGTAAAATCGAGCTGATTGGTCAGATGTATCTGCTTTTATATGGTACTATAAGAAAAAAAATTTATTAAATAAAATAATAAGTAGCTTTTCTGAATTAAGACAATCCATAACAGATGAAAATACCAAAGATTTTATGTTTCCAACTGGTCTTTTGATTATAAAATAATATAATAAACTGATACAAGAAAAACAATTAGAACTTTAAGCTAGAAATAAATACAATTATGCAAATGAGTTGAAGTAGCATGAAGAGTTAAAATTTTATTTGTAAAACGCAAAGTATAAAAATAATTATCCCATTTAGAAAGTGGTATGAAAATCAAAAAAGAAATTAAGCCTAAATACTTTGTGAATCTAATGATCTAACTGATGAGTTAAGATACTTAGAAAGAAACAAAAATAATTTTAATACCCATTATTAATGTTATTTAGCTGCATTTTACAAAAAGTTAAATAATATAGCATTCAATTCAATAGAGTTGAATTTCAAAATTAAATATTTTTAACTTAAATTATTGCTTGCCTGCGATTTAATATATGACCTCGTAAAATTATAATATCTTATATTAGTAAAATGTACAAACATTATTATTAAGCAAAAACTTATAGATAGAAAATATTTTAACCTTTAATAATTGCTTAGAGGACATTGAGTAGATAGAAAAGTATACATAAGCTCTTTTACCCATATTTAATGAAATCCTTACATGATTTATTATAATGACAAAATTTCAAAAATATCTTTAATATAAATATAGTGCTAATATGCTCAGCATGTAAACTCCAAAACACAGGTATTTTAATCTGAAGCAACTCAACCTTAGACATCCAAAGATGCAAGTGGAATTCCAAGCACTAATAAATATATTAGTGTAAGAGTATCTTCTTTTCCAGTTAATCACTGTGGTTGATAAACTTCCTAAGATGGTTGATGCAACAATTTGAGTCAACAAATCATTTGATTGAGTTTATGTAGATTCTTTTTATTCTCTGCTATTTTAAACTGAAGAATAATTGTTGGATTAATCAGAATATTATCTATAGATTTGAAGTAATAATTAATTTTCTGAATTGATATCCGTATCTTAATTCGAGCTGTAAGCTAATTTCATATATTTTTCGCTTTTCTTTTCATTGCCCTCTTATTTGTAAATTAATCCTAAATACAGGAGAGCTTATGGATGCTAGGGATAACTCTTTAAAATCTAGTGAAATTCAAAGAATTCACTACCTCAAAACAATAATGCTTGCTCTCGGAGAGTTTATTCAAAGTTAAAGCACACTTTGCTAATCCTAAAAGAACATCTTCTGTTGTAGGTTCTATAACTTCCGGCCTTGAATTTTAATATATTAAGGGAAGTGCCTAGCTGTAAACTTCATAAGCTTCTTCAAAGTGCGAACTTTTGACTAATTCATCTCCATTCTTCACTATGTTAAGTATCGGACCTTGTTCATACACATAAGGCACAATTGATTCTGCCATAGACATGGGCTCAGAAGACGATTATAAAACACTCATAGCCTTAATTAATAATTATAATGGCAGATTAACTACTAAAAAAAGAAAAAAGTAAACAAATTAGTACTAATTGCCAATTAAGGTAAAAACAAACTAAATAGCCTATAAATTTGAGATTTCACATAGAAAAAAAGTATTTCAATCCTTATTGAATCAATGTAGCAATCTCATATTACATTATTCAAAGGGGTATATCAAACATGAAAATAATGGCAGCAACTTTCATAATTCGTGTTGATCATTAACTTAGAGTCTACAAATTATTATTATTGTAAAGCAATGTATAAAGAAGCAAATTTAGTAAGTTTTAATCGAAACTATCCATTAAAATGAGAATTACTAAAACATAATTCTACTATTATTATACAGTTTGTAAAAACAATTTAGCTTAGGGTTTGTTCAGATTATTAAGAGTTATTAAACTTTCATCAAATAATTTTNAACCTTTAATAATTGCTTAGAGGACATTGAGTAGATAGAAAAGTATACATAAGCTCTTTTACCCATATTTAATGAAATCCTTACATGATTTATTATAATGACAAAATTTCAAAAATATCTTTAATATAAATATAGTGCTAATATGCTCAGCATGTAAACTCCAAAACACAGGTATTTTAATCTGAAGCAACTCAACCTTAGACATCCAAAGATGCAAGTGGAATTCCAAGCACTAATAAATATATTAGTGTAAGAGTATCTTCTTTTCCAGTTAATCACTGTGGTTGATAAACTTCCTAAGATGGTTGATGCAACAATTTGAGTCAACAAATCATTTGATTGAGTTTATGTAGATTCTTTTTATTCTCTGCTATTTTAAACTGAAGAATAATTGTTGGATTAATCAGAATATTATCTATAGATTTGAAGTAATAATTAATTTTCTGAATTGATATCCGTATCTTAATTCGAGCTGTAAGCTAATTTCATATATTTTTCGCTTTTCTTTTCATTGCCCTCTTATTTGTAAATTAATCCTAAATACAGGAGAGCTTATGGATGCTAGGGATAACTCTTTAAAATCTAGTGAAATTCAAAGAATTCACTACCTCAAAACAATAATGCTTGCTCTCGGAGAGTTTATTCAAAGTTAAAGCACACTTTGCTAATCCTAAAAGAACATCTTCTGTTGTAGGTTCTATAACTTCCGGCCTTGAATTTTAATATATTAAGGGAAGTGCCTAGCTGTAAACTTCATAAGCTTCTTCAAAGTGCGAACTTTTGACTAATTCATCTCCATTCTTCACTATGTTAAGTATCGGACCTTGTTCATACACATAAGGCACAATTGATTCTGCCATAGACATGGGCTCAGAAGACGATTATAAAACACTCATAGCCTTAATTAATAATTATAATGGCAGATTAACTACTAAAAAAAGAAAAAAGTAAACAAATTAGTACTAATTGCCAATTAAGGTAAAAACAAACTAAATAGCCTATAAATTTGAGATTTCACATAGAAAAAAAGTATTTCAATCCTTATTGAATCAATGTAGCAATCTCATATTACATTATTCAAAGGGGTATATCAAACATGAAAATAATGGCAGCAACTTTCATAATTCGTGTTGATCATTAACTTAGAGTCTACAAATTATTATTATTGTAAAGCAATGTATAAAGAAGCAAATTTAGTAAGTTTTAATCGAAACTATCCATTAAAATGAGAATTACTAAAACATAATTCTACTATTATTATACAGTTTGTAAAAACAATTTAGCTTAGGGTTTGTTCAGATTATTAAGAGTTATTAAACTTTCATCAAATAATTTTATAATCCAATTAAGCATTCTAGTTAATTGATAAAAATAACTATACTTGTAGTTACTCACTCCTGAAAAAATGATGATAAGAATAAGAAATTATTAATCAGGTTATACATAAAAATGATATACAATTCGATAAAGAACCTAATAGTTATTCTATATATTTATAATATGATTGATAAATTTCTTGAATAAGCGTATTAAGGGGAATTACTTAATGAAAATGCAATCAAGTTTATATGCTTATCATCAAAGGAGATAATTACTTATATAGGAATGGTAATCTTGCTTCTATTCTTGAAATTGATGAATAAGATAATCGACATTTTAACATTTTTAGTGAAAGTCCTGAAAACATGAAGAAAGATTTGGGAACTAAAAGCATGATGCTTGGAGCTGATAAAAATTATTTTATATGACTAATTAATTTATTTAACCTCAAAAAATCATCTAAAAGAGATTCTGATTTATGTATTCTCTTAACTATTGAATGTTCTTGTGAATTTAGACATTTTTACTTTTATTAAGAAAACAATTCATAAAAGAAAGAGTGTAATATAATTGCTTATAATGTAAGATGGAATAGTTTCAGTATTCAGGTAACATAAAATGGAATGAGCATCTTAAAATAGGCAAATAGTTAATTAGTAAAGAATTATAAGAAGAATAAGATGAGCATTAAATATTAAATCTTTTTAATTATTTTTTTAAATGGCAAGAGCACAAAAAGACACTCGACCAATTGCTGATTAAGCTACTTCAGAAGCAGCTTGCACCTATGCTGCTCTCATCTTATATGAAGACAATTAAGAAGTAAATTAATAAATAATACTCAGATTGTTGCTTCCAAATTAGCTTAAGTCATCAAAGCTGCTAATTTGAGAGTTGAACCAATCTGGACTAAAGTATTTGAAAAGGCACTCAAAGGAAAGAAAGTCGGAGATCTTTTGCATGGAAATACAGGCAATGCACCTGCTGCTTAAACTGCTGCTTAAACATCAGCTCCTGCCACTCAATAAGCTAAAGCTCCTGAGCCAGCTAAAGAAGTTAAGAAAGCTGAAGAACCAGAAGAAGATGTTGATATGGGAGGCTTGTTTGATTGATTAAACACCTTTGTTCGTACATTAATATTCATCATCGCTTGAACATGCCTCTTCTCGTAGTTGAATCTCTTAATTAGGCTTTCATTGGCAAACTCTCAATCGTTGTATTGTTCAAACTCTCAACTGCCTTTTTTGCATCTGATACATAAAAAAACTCTATATAGCCTTATTCCTTTGGATTATATTTAATTATACAAGAGATCTGCCCATTTTATCCCACTCCACTTAGGCTCTCTTCACCTTCCCAAATTGTGATGCCAACTCTTTCAATTCATCATTTGTAACACTATAATGCAGGTTTGTAATGTCAACAAATGTTCCAGGATTGCGATTATCATTTCTATGTCTATCATTAGTGAATGCTTATAATTTCTATCTCTTTTCTTAGTACCCTTTTCTCACATTTTGCTTATTTCTTTTCTCTTATTGAATCTTTTCTTCAAGGTTTATTTCTATTATCTCCTCCTTTTTGCTCATTCTTTTAAAAATTAAATTATTATTTATAATTCATATTTCATAACCAAAACAAAGTTTATCTATCAGATTTAATGGTGAATTTCAACAAAATTTCATTGCTAAATCAATTAGAATAGGAGAGATATCATTTTTAAACTTCTATAAATCAGTGTAAAAATCATTTTTCTAAGGAATATATAATGTAACAAACTCTCATTTATTTTTCATAAAAGACTGTTTTATACTTGTATAACATATTTTGAATAAACTAAGTATAATTTATATATAATTGAAAATGAAAAATTTTGATATTCAATTAAAATGATCTCTAGAGTTTGCTAAACTGCTCAGATTGATCATCCCATTAAATAGTTCATTCAATTTTAAGGTCTCTTAATATCTTACTGACATAAGATCTTATCTCACCTTAAATTTTAATGCAATATATGTACTCTATCTATTTCTGATTTAATTTTAATTTCACTCTCCTCCTTTTCATACAGAGATTTAATTTCTAATTTTAATTCATTGTTTTCTTTAATTGCTTCAATGTATTACTATTCAAAATCTTGAACTTGTATTTTTAACGTTTAATATTATTCTTTGTATTCTTGTAATCTTTAAATCTCATTTTTTAAGTCCTTAACATATCCTTATTTAAATTCCTCTATTTGCTTATTAATTTCTTGTTTTCCTGATTTCAATTCAGAGGATAATCTGTGCTTTTCATGCTTATAGTACTTTAGTTTCTCATTCAATTTTTCATTTTCCTATTTTAAGGGTTCATATGTAAAGAGAAGTTCGTCCAACTTAGCTATTTCTTATTTTAATCTTGAATTTTCATCTGCCATCACAACCAATTATTCTTATAACTATCTTAACTAATCATCATTTTTAAATTATAACGACTATGAAATAATATCATTTTGAATACATTTAAAGTTTCATTTTCATTTCGTAAATGTTAAATTACATCCTTTAATTCTTCGTTGTCTTTCATTAGATTGTCTTTCTCCACTTATAATTAATTCAATCTATAAAATTCATTTTCTTGATTCTGCACATGTTCTTAATAAATTTCTCTGACTTATTCACATTCTTCTTATAATTATTCCAAATGCCCTTACAACTCTAATATTACATGGTCCTTCTTTAGAAATTCAATTTTTAATAATTCCATCTATCATTAAAATGGGTTCTTACTTTTTCCCTTTAATCCTTTAACTAGCTGATATAATATTATTCCTGCTCAATCAATTTCATATCATTCATTCTTAGCTTGTCATTGTTCGATAACACTTCCATAAATTTTTACGAAGCCATACAATTATAAAATAATATAATCAATTTAACATATTCTTATTCATTAGTACAATTCTACCATTTTGTCATTTCAAAATTTATTTATTTGATAAAGAGTATAAGAAGATATAAACTTTTTGATACTTAAAATAAATCAATTTCATTGACTTTCATTCATTTTCCCCAATTTAAAAGATCAAGTCAATACTAAAACTTATGGAAATAACTTATGAAAAATTCATTTAGTTTTAAATATAAACTCGAAACATACAAAAGTCCTTAATTTTATTCCTCTTTATTGTTAAACTCAAACACAAAAACCGCAATCTATTTCTAGACATTTTTTTATGAATAATCATAAAAATAATTTGATCTCAAAATATAAAGATATTTTCCAATCAATTTCAACCTGCAAGATAATCAGAACTATAAAAGCTGTTGAATGTTTGAAACTGCTTATAATAATTCAAATATTAATTTATAGCAATTTATTTGTAATCTAATAAAGGTTTTTCTAAATTAATATCCTTAAATTTCATACATGGAATTAAACCATATTAAAATTTTATAATATAATCATGAGAAAAGAGTTGAAATTTAATGATTGCTCAAAGTATTGTTTTATAGTATTTAGATAGAATTCATAAATAACATTTTCCTGAAAGAAAGTATATTTGAGAAATAAAATATTAAAATATTTTAATGCAAAATTTTTGATTTCTACACAATATATTACTATTATAGAAAGTCCATTAAAGTGAATCATTCTAAAATGGGAGAAGAATGTATATTAAAAATATAAAATTATGGTCTAATTTTATGAGAAACTATATCACAGAATTATATGTATTATTTCAGATAGATTAACTTAGCAAGACTATGAATTTAGATGATTATTTTGAGTTTTTGATAATGTGTTTACAGAATATTGATTGCTATATTGAAAATAATTCTTCATATTTGATAAAAATTAAATCCTTTTATTTAAATAATGTCCTAAAAGTTCAAGGTTAGAAAGCTCAGAGAATAAAAGCCAGAAGATCTTCTCAAGGACTTAGAAAAGCTTAAGGGTGAATTAATTTAATTGAGAACAGTGAAAGTATCAGCAGGTAATGCCTAAAAACTCGGCAGAATTGGAGTAACATAATATATGAATAATCAAGCTTGTTAGAAAGCGAATTGCTAAATATTTGACAGTCATAAATGAATAAAGAAGAAATTAAGTCAAAACTGCTACCAAATCAAGTGGCAAACTTCCTGTTGATCTTAGAGGCAAGAAAACTAGAGCAATTAGATAAAGACTCACAAGAAGCGAAAGAGGTATATATATTTAATTATGTGTAAAGCTTAAAAAACATAGAGATAATGGAAGAGAATCAACAATTTCCCATTAAGAAAGTTTGCTTTGAAGGAATGATTCTATTATATTAAAATCAGTACAATATTGACATGGCAATATGTAAATAATCTCGAAAACTCTTTCAATATATTTTTACACTTTTTGTAAGAGTTAGAATGGATATAATCCATTTTAAGACTATTAATTTGAATTCTAATCGATATTAAAATCAATTGTTTTTTGTGGCAATTATTAACAAAAGTCTCCAATTCGAAAAGTATCTATATTATAGAATAATAAATAAGAATTTACAATGTTCTGGTTTAATCACATTATCTTCATTTTCATTATAATATAATAATTTATTTTTCTGTTAAATTTTCAAAAAAAAGCTCATATTTTAATTGAATATTACATAACTCTATACATTACATTATGGCATATATAAAGAGTATTAATATTGATTAGTCACTCAAGTTAACAAATGTATATATCAAGATTATTTGCCTATTAGAGAGCTAATAAAAATGGTTTATTAACAATCATTTTGATAATTCAGTTTATATTAAATAAAATGTTAATTTTTTTTGAATGTATGAGAAACCTAATTATTAAAATGAGATTTAATTTTTGAAAATAACAGAATTTATAATCATAATTTAAATTTTAATGTTTAACACACTAATATAAGATATCCTAATATAAATAAAATTAATATCACTACTGATCATTTAATTTAACAAGTTTTCCTTTAGAAATGACAACCACTTCTTCATAGTCATCATAGTTATTGAAGTCAAATAAATGAATTTGGCAATTTTTTTTGACTTAATATTCTTCACCTTGTTCTAATTTGGGTTAATGATTGATAGATGTTTCTAATTGATGAATGACTGAATCGACCAATATTTTATTTTTCAATTCTTTTGTTATCCTTCCAAATTTCATTTTTGCTTCTGCTTATTTTAAAAGATTGTAATATCTGTTTTTGATAGTGTTTTCTGTCCTCTTCAATTAAAACACTTAAAGGGAAATTTCAGCCCATTTCTTTCCTCTTTGTTCAATCTCCTTAAACAATAAAAGCTCCTCTTCTCTCGTCCAAGGTATACTAATTGAATTATATATATATAAACTACTTGACAATATTTGGATCTAGTTTATTTATCCACCTATCACGACATTATTTTCCTTACCTAACATACGGAGTTTTACAAATCCTCATCAAATCCAAAGCTATCTCGCACCATTTATTTGGTTTAAATTACTGTAATTCTTTTAAGACTCTGTCTTCTTAGGGTGTCCAACTTGCTTTCTTGTGACACTCTTCTAACCACCTATTTCTGCATGATTTCCAATTATGAAATCGAAACAACCTCGAAATCTATTCCCAATATTATGGAGACTAGAACAATAGGAAATATAAATACCAGTTCAACCGGTTTAACATGATATCTCAGACATATCCCCAAAACGGCAAGATTAAGAAACTTATCTTGACAAGGGGTCCAAGCCCCTCGTTTGCTATTGTAAGCTTTTTCAACTGAGCATAAAATTAATTATATTTCTTCTTGCTCAGGTAATTTCGAGAATGTGAATTAATAATTTCTCAGAAGAGCATTAGCAAATACTTCATCTGGCTATTCAAACCATTCCAAAACCACCTACCTATTTAATGGCGTTTTTTTTTGCATTATCAAATGATGTTTATTATAATAATAGATTATACAATATATAACATATTACAGAGACTAAAAAACATAAATTAATGTAGAATGGACTTTGACCTTGTACTATATGCACTTCTAAATAGCATACTTAAATTTGGAGAAAGAACAATATAAACATTTCTGGAATTTATATTTTATAAACATTGTTGATGTAATTAAAACGTAGTTTTTTAAAATTATCCTTCATTTTTGATTCTAGATAAAAACCATATAAACCAAGTTTACATTTGATTTTAGTTCAGTTTTAAAAATATCAAGTATCCTTATGAACGGTAAACATCAATTTGAAAATTCTAGTTGCATTGAAATTAGTTCTACTATTACTTTGAATACTCATTTTCCATCTTATTATTCCATAGATTAAAAAATTACTTCATTAATTTAATGAGTAATTGATAATTACAAGGATTAAGCTGCTTTTGTCATAAATTTTTATAATTAATGTTAAATTAATTAAGAAAAGCATAATTTAGTACCATCACATAATATCAAATCAGGTATGTTGAAGTTATCAAATATTAGTCAGAGGTGTATTTAAACAGTAATTGAAAGAAGGTGAAACTTATAATAACTTTAAAGTCGATGAATTCTACAGATCAAGAGATTTTTAGACATTGTGTTATAAAATGCATCACACAACTACTAATACAAATTATATTCATTTTGCAACTAATTCTATTGTGAATCAAGGAGCTTTGATATTTAAAACTCCAGCTATCGATAATAGTGGAATTCCACATATTGTATAATAAATCTTAACATGTGGTTCATAAAGATATCCAGTCAGAGATGCATGGTCTCATATGAGAGGACGCTCTCTACAACCTCCAGATTTAGTGCCTTATGTTGGCACAGATCATACGGTGTTTTAGGTGTAATCTGCTTTATTTGAAGACTTGAAACAACTTTTCAATCTCACCTTTGAATAAGTTTTTAGACCAATGTTCAGGGAAGTTGATTTCCTCTAGTAAATTAGAGTTCAAGTACTTGGAGGGAATGAACTCATACTCAGAGGCATTGTTTACGATTAAATGATAAAACAATTAGAATAACCAGATTTCATACATGCAGAAGCAGTCCGCAAACATCTTCTAGAAGGAACTGCTTATCAGTACACAACAGGGGGAATTCCAAAAGAGATGACTAATGCAAGTTATGAAAGATGCTAGCAATATTATAAGGACTATATTCACTTGTCAAATGCTTACCTTGTAACTGTAGGAGACATAGATGTTTTGTAATATTGTTAATATTTTAATGATTTAATTGAATAACATTAAAATACCATCAAGCCGATTAAATAATTGGATTACCAACCTGCTAAATTGTTTGAACCTAGACTAGCATTGAAAGGATAGCCTTCATTTTCATTTGCCTATAGAGGTGCTAATTTAACCGAAACACCTGAAGATTATTTCAAGTTAGGAATTCTATCATTTTTATTGCATGACATTTAAGATTATGGATTAAGACCCACTCTTGAGAAGTATGGGTAGTATTGTCTCAATTTCGGAGCAGATATGACTTTGCACAATTAAATTATATAATTTGGATTTAATAACAAGGAATGCGAATAAGAGTTGTATACATTTATGAAATAACTAACGGATAATATCTATCAGGTTATACCTTAAAACATCATAAATATTGCTTTGGATAGAATCAGATTAAGAAGATCAATAAATGTATCCGATATAATTCCATACATTATAAATAATGTCAAACCATCCATATACTTAAACTAAGAATGCAAAAGTGAAGATTTCTAATCCTTAATCGAAAAGTACTTTACTAAAGACAAATGCACTGTGAATATGGAAGCTGATCAATATTATATTGAGGATATGAATACAGAAATTAAATAGCATTTGAAGTAATTGTAGGTGAACTATCAATAACTATCTGAATAATAAAAAATCATAGAGGAAGACACAGATGTTTTGAGTTTAGAATCATTACCTAAGTTAAATGCAGCCAATATCATACCATTGTTGAAATAAAAGAATTCCATCAAATTAGATCTAAATTGTATTATATATTTACTAATGAATAGTTAACATCCCTTGTAGTATTTTTGCAGCTAAACACCCTCAACAAACTAACATCAAATGGATTATAGATGTAAGTTAATTCAGTCAAAAGGATTACGAAACCATTTGCATTTTAAAAGACTTATTACCTGAGTTTTTCAATAAACAAGTAAGCTAACATGATGTGGAATGTTCTGTGGTTGAAGATAAATTAATTATCGAATTGATCTGTTTGGATAAGAATATTGAAGAGGCCTTTTAATAATTTCAATTAGTAACTGATCCAGCTTTGGATAATTTAGAATTGATAAGTTAATCCTTGTCTATCATCAGTGCTAATTATTTAAGCAATGAAGACATCCCTCAGATTGCTGTATCATATTCTTAATAAGAGAAATACCCCATCATTTAATAAGCAAGGAAAATTTGCTAACTAGAAGTTGATATCTTGAAAAATTATAGCGCAAAACAAATATTGGAATAATTGAGTCAACAATTAATTGCTGTTTTCTACAAAATTATGAATAAGAACATCTAATCTTTCGAAGTATATTCTAATCCCCTTTTGAAAGATAAAATTAATTCTTAACTAAACTTACTATTGACAAATATCAAGTTATAATTTGACGGTATTACTATTTAAATGTATCTTTAGATTACTTGATGAATAAAATAGACTTTGAAGAAAAGTATGAAGTAGTTCCATTCAAATAAGAATTTCAATACTTAAAATTGTATGTTGCCTTAAACACTCACACAAATTGTGTTACTGAAACAATCCAAATAGCCCATAAACCAGCTAATTACATTTTATCTAATCTCTTAACACATATATTCATTCCTTAATATTGTAACGATTCACAATTAGGATACTGTCAATATAACATTGGGAAATTGACATTTTATACTGTCAACGATATTCATACTCTCAGAACTTACAGAATATTTGAAAACGCTGTTCATTTATTATTAGAATGTTTAGATTAGGATAATTTGAATTCAGCAAAATTAGGTAGTTTTAGCATTGAAGATCCTGAGAAAATGTAATAGATTTTGGTAGTTTCCGAAGAAGATGTAAAGGAGCAAGCTCAGTATGTGTTAAAGCAAATGGCTGAAGGTTAGACATCATAAGTGATATTTGGAAAACAAGTTTAATAATTAGATGAATATGTGAAAAGAGGGTGGACCATCGAAAGATATATTAGTGAAGTTGCTGTTTGACTTTAAATATATTATATATATATAAGATATCATTTGGATTCATGTATATATTAAATGCATTTATTTATTATTATAAACAGGATGGTTTAAGTTCCAAATCTGTATTTCATCATCAAATAAAATACAATATTTGAAAATTAATTTATTTTTATAAAATTAAATATAATTAATAACAATGAACTAATTGATTTAATAAGAGCAGATTCAGTAAGAGTAAAAAGACGATAATCAAAATATAGAATAGTTATAATAATAAAATGAAGATGAAGAATAAAAATAAACACAAAATGAAAATGCTTAGTAAAATGAAAACGAAGGTTTAGATTAAGCTGAAGATCATTAAGATCAATAGAAAATAGAGGAGCAGGAAGAACAACACGATTAAAAAAAGGGAGGAAATGTTGAAACTAAAAGGATGGCAACCTAAGGAGAGATGGAAACTACAACCTAGAGAAAAGATTAGAATAGACGATTAGAAACTGAAAAGTAATAACGAGTTAAAACAACAACTGAAAGGACATTTAAAACACTTGAATAGATTTATAATAAAAGAAATTCAAGCTCATTTCTACATCTAAGAACAGCAGAATAATTTGATACCAGAATAATTCATGATTAAATAAATAGATCTCATGCAAAATAACAATACACCTTTTCCAAAGCTCAGAGGTTTTCCAAGCCTAAAGAGAGTTATTGTTCAATGTAGTTCTATGATTCATAGTAAACCCTTATATTAATTCTAGAATTTAAACACAATTAAGTAAGAGGTCAGCAGCCCTAGGATTTGGGATTAAATCTGATTTCACAAAACGGGACAAATATATTCCTGGCCCCACAGATTACAATGTCAAGTTATAACCAAAACCAGGAGTCAAATTTGCCTATGGAAGAGATGAAACCCTTTCCAAAGGTCTTCATGGCAGACCTAATACTAATCCTGCTCCCAATTTATATTAAGTTAAAGACATCGTCACTACTTATAAATATTCCATGGGAGAAAGAACATCAGCCAAACGTACATTTTAATCTGTTATTCCTTAGACATTTACCTTGAATCCACAACCCCTGCTCCAGGTAGATATAATGTAGGTGGTTTCAGTTAAAAAGGAAATTACTTTATTGGGAAATATAAAAGTAGTGGAGCTCCTGTTATTTCTCCATCTACTGCTTAATCTCAAAGAGTTAAAAAGATTCCTGGCCCTGGGACCTATGACCCTCCTGGAGACATAGGAGACCCAAGGAACTATTTGCCTTCATAATATTCTACTAGAAGTGGTTTTAGATTTGGCTATTAAGAAAGATAGACTTAGGAGATTAAAAATAAATAATGTAATTACATCAATCATCTTAAGTTCCTGGTCCTGGCACATATTAAATTCCATCTGAATTTGGTGATTTTGAATTCCCACCAGCATTTTGATTTAAAATTAAATACAATCTTAACATCTAAAATAATCTATATAATAGTTATTATAAGTTTTTAAACAACTGTGAAATCCAAAGTGATTCTAATCATGCTCTTTCATATTTAATATTTTAATAACTCTAAGTTTCATAATATCATCAAAAATTTATCATATAAGTATTTTGATTATCTTTTATCATATCAAATTGCTCCAAGTTATGGTATTAACTTAATATTTGGTTTAAAATTATAATCTTAATAGGCAAATAACAATAAGTTAAATTTTTAATTATTTAAAAAGTAAGACTTTCAATTTTCTTTAATTTATGAACTTGAAATAAAGGAATAATAAATCTTAATTAAAATACCCTCATATTTTTTTATTTTAATGAGTAATTATTCTTTTTGAAATAATTAGTTTTAATTTGTTTTTATTATAATTTAATAATCACAATTCAATCATAGAATTGAAAATCTATGTTTATTAATGAGAAATTAATCATTATGCAACCATAGGTCTAGTCCTTGATTTCAAAATTGACTTATAAAATACTAATTTTAGAGTGTTTTATCTCAATTTTGAGCAATAATTGTATAAAAAACTTACATTATTTTTAAGATTAAAGAAAATATGGGGCATATTAAAATAATGAAGATAATATATTGAATTGATATTATTATTTATTATTGTAATTCATTATTCTTCAGCAATCAACTTTTATTATTCCTCAACATCTTAAATCTAGGGAGGGTCTTATTCTTTTTCAATTGGTATTGCTTTGTCATTTATTAAATGAATCCATGGCAAAGGTAAAATAAAGAAGATACTGGAAAGAGCAATGAAAATATAGAGCTTAGAATAATCTTATTAATTGATTCCCATTTCATATAAGATAAAATTGCCTAATTATCCTCCAGCAAATGTTCCAAAGTTCATTGTAGCCATTAGCATAGCATACATGGTAGCTTCAATATTTTTAGGACAAATTTTGCATGCATACACCAATATAGGTAACAAATTCAATTCTCCAATAAATTATAAGATAACTGAATCACCAAGACAGAAAAATCTATCATCTATTCCCCATTATACATTCATTCTTGTAACCAAAGGTATTGTTGAGAGATAACAAAAGAAAAATGATATTGTCGTTGTGATGAATATCTTTTAAAATGCAACATCCTTTAAGAAATTTCTATACAATAAAATTGCCAGAAGAGTTCCTAAACAACTAATAAATTTCAAATATCCCATGAATTTTGGAGTAAAATGTAAGACTTCTGTATAAAAATAGAACATTATTGAACTACTTGAAGGTACCATCATGAATGCTAAAATTAATAATACAGGCCTCTTGAATTAGATTAAATATTTACTAATAAATTTTGGGGTTTGAAAAAAATGTCCAGAATGTGCTCAAGACTTCCTTTATATTTTATGATTATTGAGTTTATTGAGTTTCTTTTAATTTCAAAGAAAGCAATGCCATCGTTAATGGGAATATGCTATTAATAAGGAATACTAATTATTATGTTAATAAGGATTACTTTGTTTTTTTGTTAGGTACATAAGCAACATCCCTGAAAAGTAAGCACTAATTAATCCACCTGCAGCTTTGAATCCAAAGAACACTGATACATTATTTGCTGCATGATCATTTGCACATTATTCAACCATTAACGCCTCTACAATTTAACTTATTTTTACCTCCAACTACATTGCAGATACAGACAGAGGATGATATCATAATTAGTAAAGCAACAGCCACATAAGCATTGTCAACTCCTGTATATGCCATCAATTGCCATCCAATGAAACTTAAAAAACCACAGAACACAATATAGGCTTTTCTCCTGGAACCTAAAATAGGAAAGGAATCGCAAATAATTCCCCAAACAGGTTTAATAATCCTATGAATAAGCTAAATATTTATTATACCATGGTAATTAAGATAGTCCAATATACACTCCCATTCTACTTGGTGATACATGAAAATCATCCTTATATAAGTATTGAATTGATAAATCTGCCAAATGCTGAACTCCTTGAGAAAAAGCAACAATCCCTACTATTATCTGGGTTAAATTGAATAATGGAATATTATTTTTTGGACTCATAAAAATTAATTGTAAAAAACGAATGTAATTTTATTTTTTATTTAATATTAGGATTAATATAAGAGCTCTAGATTTTACGCAATATTATAGGATCACTATTATTATGATATAAACTTATGATCAATCAAATATTAGTTTAATTCTTAGAGCTACTTTGTCAATTAATCAATGATTGCACTTTTATCGTCATTATATTTTTTGAGATCTTTGTTCTATTAAATTTAAGTGTGCAGTTAATTTTATAAGTAACTTAATTCATTTACTAATTAACTACATTCTAGATCCTTTTGATTAGATTATTCTTATTGATAAATGCATTGAGTTTTTATTTATGTATTTTAATTTTTCAACAGCCATAATTCCTAGTCTTGCCTGTCTTTCTCTTGTTTAAGTAATTGGAAGTCTTTGTTCAAGATTTCAAAATTTGACTAGATTTGATTATGATCTTACATAAGTTTTTAAAACTTCTATTACAATTCAATGTTGTCTCTCTAATTAATTTATTCTTATAACTTATCATTGTGTTCCAAGATGATCTGAATCTTCATTTCCAATTGGTCTATTTATAATTGAAATGAGTGTTGCTCCTCTTTGACTTTGGTTACGTATTCTTGGTTTCTCAATTAGTGTTGGAGTATTATCTCTTCATAGTATTCCATTTACTATGTATTCTCTTATTCTAAGAGTTTTATTTTTTCTTTTAGATAATTATTTTCATCATTTAATGGAGCTGCCACCAAATAACTGATTTCTTTCTTTTACTATTGTATGATCTACTCCAGATTTTCCACTTAGGTCATTAATTCATTCACTCGATTATTTAGAAATGTAAATTAATCTCCATTAGATGTTTTTTTATAATGCATAAATAAAAATAACCAAAATTGATCAGATCAATCCATTTGCTTTGGCTTTCTCCATCTCAACATTCAAATCCAATTAGAGTTTCAAATTTAATCTATTTTATTACAAATTATTTCCTACTTCTCAATATTTTAGATACACTAATATATTTTGGAATCGGGAAGTTGTTTGAGTTGCTGAGCAAGTTCATTGATCTGTTAAGGAGTTATTTCTAAGATCTATTATAACTCTTCTACTGTTCCTTAAGGAGGCTTGGAGCTCGATATTTATTCATTTAATTCATTAAGGACTGAGCCCATCTCCAAGCAAGTGTCACTTTATTCATTGATGAACCTTGAATAAGAATTCACAAAATTCACAAAACAATGAGATGACTCAGACTCTGATTCAGATTCATCCTCCTCTTCTTCCTTTTAGTTCTATTTCACAATAATTACTGATTTTTTGTTATTCTCTGACATTATTATTTATTATTATTTTATAAAGTGGATCAAAAACTCATTTGCCTTAATAATTTTAATGACCCCACAAATATAAGAGTAGAATCATATCACTCAAAATTAAATTAGAACTTTGCTCCAATACCATAAAAAAAATATAATTAAGAGGAACATTCGTTAAAAGAAAACTAGAAATTAAGAAAATTAAACAAGCAGTTAAAATTATATTAGCTAATAATTTATACTCCATTATTATGTTGGATGCAAATACTTTACTAAGTTAGAAAAGTGGATTAATTTTGAGAATAAATAAAAGGAGACTATACAGAAATTTCATATTAATCAAAAAAAATAATTGATAGCATAGAATTATCAACTAAATATTTGACTATTCATCTAGAATTTATAAATAATATTGAAAGATAATCAAAAATCTATTATAATTAATCCATTATTTATTTTTAAACCTTACTTACTTCAAATTTAATCGATTACAATATCACTTGAGCATATTATATAAGCATTTTATGAAGGAACTAATTGAATTTAATGAGAAAATGGCTCTTATCAGATGAAAAAATGCTTGTGCTTCTGAATCTGTATAAATAATTAGACTTTGATTTATGGCTAACAAATTTAAATACATTTTCTAACAAAATTATAATCGAGTGATAAAGAGAATAGATGATACAGATGCAATTTATTTTTGGCTAATTTGTGATATCCTGAAACTAAAATATCCAAATCCATTAAAATATTTTTATTCGTTTGATGATACACTTATTTTGATTATTAGAATTATCATCTAGCATATGAGGTTTAATTGAATAATGATACATTATGGATAGTTCCTGTGAACAACTTTAAAATCGATATCCTTAATTTTTAATGAGCTTGATAATTGTTATTATTTATAAATCGTTGCTTATATTATTTTGTTATTGAACACGAATTTCATATAATCTTTTAAAAAAATGTTTTAATTTAATCATTTAATTATAACTTGAAGGCTACTTATTCTTATAGTTGTTTTCTCATGATTGGCTGAATTGTTATTTTAATTGCGCCAGTATATAAAGTATAAAATTTCAATACTTTGTTTTAAATATATTAGAATTGATTTAAGGTATTTTCAGATTTTAATTTATTGTATTTAAGATAAAACTAATTTAATAGAGAATGTAATAAGACTATAATTGATGATTAGATTAAAGGCTTACTTCTTAACTAATTTATTAGTCAAGAAATTTTTAATTTTCAGGAAACCAAAAGAATTATTAAAAACTTCTTAATGAATATTAGAATCTTTAGATTTTAAAATATAAATATTTTAGCATAAGCTTTAACAAATAAGATTCATGAATTAGAATTTTAATCTAAAAAAGGAATAAAATATCCATTTGGAAATAATGAGGAATTCGTTGTGATTGGATAAATGATTTTAGAGTTTTATTTCTCTGATTATTTGATTTAGAGAGGGTATTTGATTACATTATGCAGATACCCCACCAAAGATTCCTCAATTAAAAAGCCCAGTGACATTGTTTAACTTAGATAAAGATTACTTAATGAGAAAAACTTGGCAGAAATTGCATTATAATATAATTTACCTAACATTGTCCAAATAGGTAATCAAATCGGTTTAAAGTATAAACATGATTAATTTATGTAGAAGAAACCCTAAGATTCTGGCTGAAACATTGAAAGCCATAGTGGCAGCATAATATTACGATTCTGGATTTGATTTAGAACATGTTAGAGAGATAACTTAGCCTATATTTAAGGAACTCTTAGACAAGTAATGTAGTAATATCCAAAATAGAGGTCAGAACATTCCAATTGCAGAACTAAAATAGAATGCTAAGTCATCATTTCTTGAATTCATTAACAACTTTACAGATTTGAAACCAAAAGTATCAGTTGAATGGAAAAAAGATGCAAATTCAGCTAATGTTTTCAAGGTCTAATTAGAATTAGATTCGCTGTTAAATATCACCAAGACTGGTATCAATAAGAGATAAACAGAATAACTTGTATATCATGATGCTTTGATGCAATTAAAATAGAAAACGACAAATTAATACAATTTACCTTTGAAAAACGAAATTCAAAAAAATGTCTCAGACTAACGATCCTCAGAATAAAGCACAATTATTTATGAATTAGAGAGATCAATTCTTAATGATAGTCAAACTTTTCATTTTTCAGAAGTGTATGAATTCAGCAATACAGATTGTTAAGAATCATTGAGTGATAAAGTAGAGCAATTGCTTGAAAAATTAGCATTTTGAAATATATTTAAATACATAATTACTTAATAAATTAAATACTCAATTTAAAAAGGGGTGATTTAAGCAGTGTTATAAATTAAATCTCTTTGTGTAATCTAATTGTAACATACCCTTTAATAAATCTATTACCGATTAATCATAATTAGTTTAAGGGAATTCTATTTCTTTCTATGAGATCATTTATGCTATCATGATCTAATTCAGATTAGCACCAGATTCTTTAGTAATGTAGGGATGCGTTTCATATACTATTTCATAGAGAATGACTCCAAGACTCCATACATCTATTTTCTCTAATTCTGGTATATAATCTCCGAGCAATTGCTCATAGGACATATATTTCTATCCTCATCAATAAATTCATACTAAACTGCCCTTTCCTAAGTAAAAGTGATGAGTTTGACTTAATTCTTCACTCGTGAAATTAGTTTCTGAAAGTACCTCAATGTTCATCTAGATCGACGTTCCAAAATCAGTTATTTTAGGTATATCACCAATCATGAGTATGTTTTATGGTTTCAAGTCTAAATGACAGATTCCACGATACTCCTTATTGTTTTACAATGGATTAGTCAATTTAAAATTAACCATGTGATATAAAGCCTACAACAATTATTTCATTATTTTCTTAACTTCTTCATTAGTTAACTTATCTTAAATGCTTAAATGATATGTACGTTATTATTGGTAATCCTAGAGTGTGCAATCTCCTAATTCCATGAACATATAAATATTATTGTCGGATTCTTTTGCTTCATACATCTAAATTATATTGTTATGATTGAGGGACTTTTAGATGACAATTTCTCTTTAAATGCTCTTTTTTAATCCAGCTCTGATTCAAACAAATATAATACTTTTCAAATTTTTGCTTTCCTTCAAGATATTATTTCTTTATAATTTTGACAGCCACTAGTTTATTGTCAGTAATTCTTTAACCAACAATAACTTCTCCCAAAGCTCCTTTGCCAAGCACCTTATTACAAAATAACTAATAGTTTCCCACTTTTTTTTAATCCATTAATATTTAATAAATTATAATTCATCTTTAAATTACCTTCACTAATGAAAAAAATGGAAATTTTATTTAGGATTATATATATTAATTTAAATGTAATAATATTAAACTTCGAAGGAGAAATCTTAAATGACTATATTAAAGAAGATTAAGGTTAAATTTTTATTATTAAATTTCTATTTTTAGTTATTTAACATCAATACTAACATTATTTCTTAGCAATAATTAAATTAAAATATAAAATAATAAAATGTCAATAGATCTTATAAATCAAGCCAAAAAAAGAATAATAAAAAAATATTCATATTCATTTTTTAGTAACAAAGCTTAAATTTAGATTACCCATAGTTTTTTACTATTTCTTATGTCCTTTTTAAGAAGTGTCATCTGATCTTTTGAGCATGTCTATTGATTACTTTTTATTCTTATGACTATGAAAGGACATACTATGTGGAGTTTTATTTTCATTATGTGTTTCTTCAGTACTAAGTTAAAAGTATTTAAAAATCACAAGTTTCTTGATTAATTTTTCAATTTATTGATTGTTATTATCAATTTCTTAAATAACAATTTTACATACTTTAGCTGTCATTCTGTTATTAGGATCATTTTCTAACATATAAGGTAATAAAATAAATAACTAATCCATTTTGATAGAGTTGACTTCAGGATGCAAATAATTCTTTCTTAATTCATAGATTCCCTCTTTATTTTCTTAGAAGATGTTTTTTTGTTTATGAAAGAGATTCTCTCCAGTTAGCCTAAGAAATAAAGAGTGTAATTACAATTTGTAAAGCACACATCCCAAACTATAAACATCTGCTCTGTCATCGTAGAGTTTGTCCTTGTTAAAGTTAATGATTTCAGGTGCAATATAGCCAGGAGTGCCTGAAGTTGGAAATATCAACTGGTTTTTGATTTTTCTAGCTAATCCGAAATCGATCAATTTGATGGGGTCTGACTTCATAATGTTATGGGGATTGATGTCTCTGTGCATAATTCCTCGTTCTGATATGTATATGAGGGCATCGAGAATTTAGAGCATTATCTTGATGGTTTCAGCCACACTCAACCCATAGGGTCGAGACTGTAACTCAGTGCTTAATGCTCTGCCTTCGATAAATTCGGTCACAATGTAATAATATGATTCATCAGTATAGACTTCCTTCAATTTGAGGATGTTGGGATGTTAGAGAGATTGCAGAAGCGATAGTTCATGTACTAATTGAGGCTAGAGTAATGGAAGATATAATTACAATTCCCCCTTCGTGTGATGCTAATTTCATCTTTTCACATTTTTTAACTGCAAAATATTCCCCAGCGTTGGAGACACATCTGTAAACCTAAAACAAAATATTGGATTAATATACTTCGCCTGACATTCCGTTACCTACAACCATTTATATTTGGTAAAACTCATTGATTGAAGTATAAAATACTCTGCCTGCAATCATTTCTTTCAAAAGTTGTAACTTTGGAGCATAAAAAGGTTTGATAGTATTTTTATATGTAAATGAGAATGCTAGTATTTTGTTGTCCTACACAATCCAATTGATTGTCGTAGTCAAATTTAATTTAATCGTGTATTTTGGTTAGCGCAAAGTATTCTAGAGTTATCAAATGGAGCATACATCAGTCATTACGATTTCATCCTGAAATAAGTAAAGTTAGTAAATCTTATCGGAGAAGAAATGCTTCCTTGCGACTTAAACCGTAAAGAGAGCATTGTCATATTAATAACTATTCATTATTTTATTTATAAAACGTATATGAAATATATAATATAATTACATATCCTTCCCAAATTCCATAATGTCATTTAAGATGCTCTTATAACATTTTGTTATATGAAAACCCAACGAATAGATAACCATCAGCCTTATAGAATTTACTCTAAAATTCAACCCTTTATAAAATGAAACCAATTCATACCAATGTAATCTTAAAGCATGCAAAAAACATTCCATCACATCCATCATCATCAGCACTCCAAAAGTCAACAAGGCAAACACAATATAAAAGTACCCACTCATCAATCCACCTATTATTCCACCCGCATCCAGATTCCCTGCAATACACATATCGTAAAATACTTCTGCCAATTATCCATGAGCCAAAGATAATGCCCACAAACGAAGATATGATGCTGTATTACTGATACCTCCCAACACGAACTCAATTGTTTCGATCATCTAATGCACCCATATTTCCCCAGAATCATGATCCTACTCAGGATGATCTACACTCCGACTAGAAGCAGCATTCTATAAATCCTTTCTAAATTATTAAGGATCAATCTCAAGTTCAGATCCTTGTTTATCAGAGATCAGCTTTTCGTATTGCTATTCTTTGGCCTAGACTTTATGTTTCTTCTGACTTGAACCCAAAATTAAAGGCTTTGGAAACAGCATCCATGGTATACTAACTATTGCAATCACTGTCAATAACTGGGTAACAGATAATTATAAAGATGCATTATTTGGGAATACTGGAGATTCCGCTTCATCAGTAGGTTTTAATATTTAGTTAATCATCGTCTCAATGATACTTGGATCTTTTCCATTTGGATACACATTCAACCATTTCATTATGATAAGGAAATCCATCCAACCAAATGTGCACACCATAAATAGCAATTGGGGGATGAATTCACAGAAAAAATCCAAATAGTTTCTGAAATATAAGGTATTGGCTCCTTTCATTAAAATTCCAAATAACATGTGTGTTACTCCTAAAATTACAGATAATTTCATTTTGTAGGAATTCATGAAGTTTAGACTTGATCCTGATGCCAACCAAACTGGATCAATACCAAATGGGTATACACAATTCTATTCCCTTTCCCATTCTTCATGCTTAGGATAATAACAACTGCCAAATAGATCAAGAGATATGGAGAGATAATCATTATAGATTAATCCATTGTAGAATGCAAACAAACCCATTAGAGCTAATAGATATCTAAAAGGGATCATCGCATTGAACATTGAATCTGTCTCTTTCTTTAATTGATTTTTCCAGAATATCACGTACAATCCACACAATAGCAATAAGAAACCATGAGCTATATCTGCAAACATCACTCCAAACAGAAATGGGAAGGTAATCACTGTGAATAAACCAGGATTTACTTCTTGATATCTTGGTACTCCATAGGTATTTACAATTTCCTAAAAAGGTATAGTTACTTCATTCATATTAAAATAAGTAGGAGCCAGATCTCCTGGTTTGGGTCTCAACTCTTGAATTTATCCAGTTGGAAATCTGTCGATACTGTTCTACATAGCATTTCTTAATTTATCTTCAACTTAAACTTCAAGTCCTTCAGGTAACCAGAAATATCCAGTAAAAATTGAACCTTACATCATTAAGTAATTTAAATTAACATAGAGATATTTCTCTTTTAAAACATATAATCTTAACTATTCAAAGTAAGAGCAATTGCATCCATTTTACTCCTTAACCAACTCATCTAAAGTAAGATCTAATTATTTTTTGGTCATTTGAATTAAACTTTATGCCTCGTTTATCTGGATTGATAATTCCCTTAATTTGTTGTCCATAGCTTCCTAAGAATTCGGATATTCTATTCTGTTTTTAGAAAATGAATCACACACTTTGAGCAATTTCTATTTCAAAGTACTTTAATCATTCATTCCAGGATAAACAACCACATACAAACATCTAGGTTATGATGCCTTTTTTAAAGAAGAACAAATACTCTATTCAGATCTATTGATGTTTTTATTTAATGGTGTTATTTTTCGGGCAGAAGATCCACAATATTAACCCATGCATTACCTTTTGTAATTCTAAACATTATTCTTTTAAATCTGGTTTCATCCTCTTTATCAATGACACCAATTAATTGTCCAAATTTCAATTATTAATAATCACTCAGATTATGAGGAGTTGATCTAAGTTATAAATCTCAATTTACTATGAAAACATTTATTTTCCCAAGATTTCTTTTGCTTTCTCTAATACTAATTTTTATTCTGTAATTGAATCAACTCTGTCTAATAAATTCTACAAATTATTTGACATTTCTTGAATATTATTTTTCTTCTTATCAATTTCCTATTCTAATTCATCAAAATAAGTATGTCCAGGTTTTTACCTTGAATTCTATATATCTCTGAAGTGATCAAGTAATTTTTGAGTATCTTCACAATATATAAGTTTTTTTTTGAATTGCTTGAGGAGTGCATCAAGTCCATTCAATTTGAATAATGATTCGTCACATCTATAATAATCTGGATTTTGAGTACCTCTTTACATAATTGGCAAATGGTCTATTCATCATCGGCAATAAAGGATCATAATCTATAATATGTAACTATCCCAATCTTCCCAATTGATCCATAACCACCCATGCACTCTCTCTTGGGATGACTAAACTATAATATTTCATCTGTTTAGACCTAAAGAAACTCATATTAATATTAAATTTATGGAATGTATAATTTCATTAATATACTTTATCAATCATCATCGTCGTCATCTTTTTTAATTTGTAACTTTGAAATTTATTCTTACAATTTCATTTCATCCTCCTCTGATGCAGGTACTTCCTTCTAAATTACAATTTCTGCAGTTTTCATAGATTCGACAGCCTTCAAAATTTCCTCTGTATATCCCCCTGGAATATCAATATTAATAGGTGGCCTAACGATATGCATTAGAAAAGTAACCAGAATTTCGATAGGTTTGGAGATGTACCTCCAAATTATTCTTCCAATTAATTAACTGCAATTCTCTCCTAAATTTTTGCATATTCATTAGGCTTAAGCATTTACACTTTCTCCATAGTATCCGCATCAGCCACAGCTATCCTAAATTTTCAATGCCATACCAGAAACCATCTTCCACGAAAAACTCAATGAACTAGACGGATTCAATAAGTAAAGTTTATCTAAACAACCACAGAAATTCACCTGCATGGTTTTAGTAGCTATTTGGATGGCCTAAGAAATTAAATTCAATAGCCTACTTTGAAGGGGAACTTAGAAAGTCCAAGCTTCTTGGTATCCATAATGAAAACCCAATTCTCAATTTTTCCAGGAACAAAACAGTGTTTCTTAATGATACCAAAGTAATAGCTCAAAGCATTTATGTAGACTTCTTCACTGAACTATAGATTGATTCAATTTTGGTACTTGTTTCAGATTCACCAATTCAAGATTCATAATTATAATGGGTCTTTGTTGTTTGTCCCTACCGAAAGTGTAAACTATTCCTTTCTATAAAAAAGCTATGTTGATATCAGTAGGCTGGAAATTATTAGGAATAGCCCTCCAAGCCAAATGTGATTGCAAAACTTTTAAGTAATTCTTGTCCTTAAATTTACCACAATACACCATCTTCAACGTATCACTATCACTCCAACTAACAGATTAATCTAAAATAGGTACTTCTAAGGTAAGACAACCTTATTTTTAGTCACAACTTTCATAAAATCAGCCATCTTTTCCTTTTCATAAGCATCATATGGCACATTCTCCCAAATTCTCCTTTGACTCTTAGATCGCTCCTTTCTTTTAATGTATTATGCTTTATAGTTGCAAACCCCAAATACCATCATGAACAATAGCATCAACCAAATTTTGGTTTGGTCTCAGATATTCGAAATTCAACAGCACCTACTATTATAGCATGGAATTAATTTTATTTTAATGGACTATTTTTTAATTCCATCAGATATATTCATAAATAATTTTCTTAGTTTACATTTAAGTATTGGACTTCAGTTATAATATTTCATTCTTAATGGTCTGTACATCATCTTCAATGCACACAGAACCATAAACACTTTAGTGGAATTCAATTACAAAATTTGATTAATGATAATACATATTATACAATACACATTAATATTATGAATGTTGTACAAATATTGATAATATTATTTAAAACAAATAATAATATTATTATATAAATCATAAATTAAATATTTAAATTTAATGGAAAATCCTTTGTTAGATTCAAATATAATTGATAAAAATAACAGAGATTATGTACTCCTTGCTAAGGTCTCATAAAATGATGAGACTCTTAAGATCTTGATTGATCAGATGCAGCTAAAGCTTAAATTTGCTTCAGAGAATAAAACATACTTGAATTGTTCAGCTTGTGAACTATTATATGTTTTATAAAACCAAGATAATCTCTAAATGTCAATATTCTACAAAAAGCAACAACAAAAATAAAAAGAAAATAGCTCTAATAAATGCTAATAATGTTAATAATTCATAAACGGAGTGTGTTTCAAAAAATGTTACAAATGCAATTCCAAATAAATAATATGTTTTTAAAATGAGGAATAAAGATTAAATTGTCAGATTTGTTTTTCAGAACTGTGCAAAAGTTGTGATTCAAACTTAGAAATTTTTTAATAATTTCCAGACAAATGTACTCAGAAGAATGTAACTAACTGTCAAAGATACTTTTATGTTATAACAATGATAATAATATCATTCATCTTTCTGCCAATATTCATAGTCCTAAATTTCAAGAAATACAAATTCTAATGTTAATTGCTGGAATTTCATTAGTACATACTCACGAAATACAAACCAGTCATCATTTTGTTCTTTTACTAAGTATTTCTTATCGTATACTTGGTAAAAGTCTTTATGATATTAATAAATTTTGTAGTTGATAAAAATAAGGAGAGAATTCATTATTACTTTGGTTGAACTTATCATTTATATATAAATAATTATTATAATAAATAAGATATATTTAATTTTTTTTCAAGATAGATATTTTATCTAAAGAATCGATCATACTTTTTCAAAAGAGGATTTTGCATTCTTCAAATATATATATCTAAATCTCTAGAAATTTTGAAATGCGACTATAAATGTATTCTAAATTATTATATCTTTTAATTTGAAGACATCTAAATAGGAAAAAAACTTAACTCTAATTGCACTTGTCATATCTTATCCGTAAACAGTTATACTTATTTCTTTATATTAATTATTTGTACAAATATATCAATTATTTATACAATATTTATTGTGCGTAATAGATGTAAATAATCATAATCCACCTTTGAACTTATTGATTGGGTATTGATCTTTATATTTAGTTAAATGTTCTCTTAATTCAGTATATTATTCCTATAGATGAGGCAATACTTCATCATAAACATCAGTGAATAAATCTTGAATTGATGGTGATTGTTCTATTATAAATTAATTTAAAATACATTCAGATCCATGTTTCAAAGCAGCAATGACTCTATTTCTAACATCTTTTCTAATTTGATTATCATGATCATCATTAAATTATCTAAGCCCTTACTTTTTCAAAAATAGTCCTAATCTATTAATTGGATTATTTCCGGATTTCCATGAATCAATTTCTTCTTATGATCTATACAATACAGAGTGATCTGATGTTGAATGATCTCCAATCTAATGAATAGATATTAAAAATTACTCTATAAGTAATGAATTCAATAAAGAATGGTTCTTTATTTTTAATAATTTCTTCTCTTGCATATTTGACTCCATTATAAACAGCCAATAGATCATTACCATCAATTTTCAATGTTCTCATTCCATAAGCAGGTGCTTTTCCAGCTATAGTATCACCTCTGAATTGATCATCTGTAGGTGTACTGATGGCATAGTGATTGTTTCTGCATAAAAATAGTGTTTAGCATTTCAAAGTCTAAGCAAAATTCATAGCTGAATGAAAATCTCCTTCAGAAGCTGCTCCTTCACCAAACCAAGTGGCTGCAATCTTATTTTCCCCATTAACTCTAAATCCATATCCAGCTCCACTTGCTTATGGCACTTACGTAGCTATAGTACGTCAATTAATTATATTTTACTTAAAGGTGATGACACAGTGACTATGTTCAAATCCTTGCTTCCATAATGAACAGGCATTTATCTACCCTTTCCACCATCTAAATGGTTTCCAATGCATTGATTTACAATTTATTCAATTGTGAATCCTCTCCACATAAAACTACCTTGTTCTCTATATTATGGGAAGATGAAATCTTAGGGTTAGAGTGCAGCTGTAGTGCCAACTGTAGTTGCTGTCTCACCAAATGATGTCATGTAAAATGAAATTTTTCCTTATCTTTAAGACATGTAAAGGAGGTTGTCCATCTCTTCAATCTAAAAACTTCAAAACAAACATCTTTACACTTATCATTAACTCAAAGATTTGATTGAGTATTTCCTTTGGAATGTTATTGTATTCCTTAGCAACAAGATTACCTTCCAAATCAATTACTCTGAACTATTTTATGGGTTCAAAGTTTTTGATTGGATTGATCTGATAAACATATTAGGAGGGCACTTCTTTGAAGGCTTTGCTTATTTTAGAGAATCTCATAAAGTGCTTCATTAAACACAGATATTAATATAAAATCAATTATTTATATTTCCATATAAAAGATTCCTCTCTATCAATTCTGTTTCATCAATAAATTACAATTTAAGAATTTACTTTTTCCTTCATTGAGTAATTTTTAGGATTTTAAGATATAGCCATTCTATTTTAGAGCATAAAATAGAATATAATATATTGACTAGTTGAAATATGGGAGATTAAATAACAATGAATTATCTTCAACCCTTGGATACCTTCTTCAAAGCCATTTTTTTACTGATTCTTAAATATTTTAATTTATTTAATCCATTTCTCATACTTTCATCTTGAATCTGATACATGTTCAAGTATAATCATTAAAACTAGAGTTTTAGGTAATAGCGATTAGACCATTTTTGACAAATTAAAATGAATTAAAGATTGGAACTTGTATTGTAATTTTTTATTCTTAATTAATTTTATCCAATTTATAGGTTGAATATTTATTAATGTGGTTAAAATTATCATTAATAAAAATCTAGAATTATACAAGCAATGAATTAAATTATAATTTCTACTTTAAAATAATTAGCTTATAATTTAAATGATCATAATAAATTGCTTTATCTAACATCATCACCATTCAAGTATTTTGGTTATATTTTATTTATTTCTTATAAATAATTTATCAAAAGTTAGAATTAGTTTTTTATTTAAGCTTATTAGTTAATGTTTGAATTAAATGTAGAATTAAATTACATTCATAAACAAAAATTAGTTCAAGCCAATTTATATTAGTTATATACTTAACTTCTATAATCTAAAAATACTATCATTGTAAAAGGTTGATTATTTATTAATTATTAAAATATAATTCATAATAATATCATATTCTATCATAATTTGGAAAATAATGTAGATATTTAAATTAATTTTATACTCTATAAATTCATTAAACATTTGAAGCGTACTAGACATCCTTTTACAATTTTAAGTTTTGTAATGTTTTAGCATACTCCTAGTACTCTTCTGCCTTATATTTATTAGTGCATAAATTTATTATCTATTATTTGACTCTATTCTTTGAATCAAAGATCTCCTTGTTTTGAGAAATCTTGGAAAAGTATACTAATAATTATTGATTAGCAATAATATTAGTAAATATTTCATCCCATTCCAACAAATCTAAAGAATAAAAATGCAATTTTACTCATTGTTAATTCTAACATCGTTTTTTCTACTTCCCCAAAAGGAGTATTCAATTATTTTATCAGATATACTGTTGCTTCACTAACCTGATCATTTGAGTGGAATTGACTTAACGTTTTGGAAATATTTCCAAACAATGAATACACCCAAAGTACCTTACCAGGGGGCTTAGGTGTTGTTGAATCTATAACAAAGAAGCTAACATAACTATTAAGAGCTTTGAGTTTAATGACTTCTTTTGTTGAATACAAATATTGAACTATGATAAAGATCAAACAAATTACAAAATAATGTTAAAAAGTCAGTATTCTTTATAATAGTATTGAATCCTTCAGTAAATATAACGAAGCTTGATATAATCTCTAAGGCTCCCTCTATTTATTCACTTGAATTGGTTGATAGCCATACTGTTAATAATTTAATTAGGTTTTTTTCAAGGATGGGAGTAAATTTAATGACTCTTTAGCTAAGCATTCTGGCTACTAATAAGACTTCATATTTTTAAGTGTAGAAATCGTCATTGTTGGTGAATGCAGAATTAAGAATATTCTTGAAGAATGGTTGGCTTACCATCAGTTCTGAGTTCCATTTTGAATTACCCATTCCAGCGATCAATTCAATCATATTTAATTTAACCAAAATGTCGTCAGTATTGTAAAGTTTAAATACTATTTTAAATAGATTGTTGTAAGGTAGTTGGACTGCTTGATCTAAGTTAGTTATATAAATCAATATTTCAACAAATCTCAATTGGATGACTTCATTCTTATTATTCAATCCTTAGGTGATATAAGTAACAAAGAGTTCACTACTTAATAAGGTTTTTAAAGATTCATCTACAAATTTGAACAACTTTTTAATTACTCTCAAAGCTTTTAAGCCAACTTCTGATTCTGGATCAGAAAGTTGGAAAAAAATGACTTAAAGTACTAGATTGAGTAAGGGTGACTTTTCTTAGACTAATTTAGAAATCAATTGTCCAAACTCAAAATCATTATTTTCTATACATTCTGAAAGTAATTATCTTACTTTCTTGTTTTAATGAGTAAGTAAAGTTTGAACAAATTCAAAGGAGTTCTCTCTTAATAAAAGTTCTTTATAGATATCGGAATCTTAGAAGAGAGCATCCAGATAGGCAATAGTCTTATTGAATTAATCTTTGTTCTATTGTGTGAATTTTAGGAGTTCCAATAAATCTGAGATTTGATGGGTTTAATAAAGTTCTCTAAGTTTTTAGGAAGGAAATCCAACTTTACTTAATTCTTCAATCTGGGAGTATAATTGATCCATTTAATTGTAAAAAATTTAAATAAATTAATACTAATGTAAAAATATAATAAGAATAAGAAAAAAATATATATATATTTTAATAATATTATTTAGAATATGATATAGATAGTGTAATTTAAGGACTGGAAAGATATTTTAATTTTTAAATATATTTTTATTTTTTAAATATTAATGGATTAAGGTTTAGACCCTGCAATGTTATAAACAGAATTAAAGAAACAAGATGAAGTATCAAACTTGAGATGTAATTTTAGTGGGCGAAAGCCATTATATTTGATGAGGATCTGAATGTGATAACTCAAAAGAACTGTGCAGCCACAAAGGAGGAATTGGCACCATATTTGAAAGCCTATGATGTGAGAGACAACACAATTGGAGCAGGCTTTGTATTATTAGGAGAACATTATGAAGTTCACAGATGGCATCCTCCTCTGATTTATGGAAGAAGAGGAGATGCAGATGTAGGAGAAGGAATCTCATTGGCAAGAGTAAGAGAATTAAATTTAGTATTGAATAGGGAATTTGCAAAAAGCTCAATGGGAAGAGGGTTTTATTATTGATAACCTATGAATTGCCGATAGTGAGTGCAAGAGCTGTGCCTTAACAAATAAACTTTTATAATCAATTCATTGGTGAATTAGAGAAATTCGATATTAAGTAACAATGAGAATGAATATTAAATAAATTTAATAATCTGCATTCACTACATCTTAAATGTTCTAAGAGAATAGATAAGCAATAAAGACTTGCTTTTAATTTTCAAATGAACAATAGTTTTAACGACAATAATAATGTAATGATGATTAATAATATACTCTCACACTAACTTAATTGTGCATCCAATAGCTTCCAATTTTTTCTTCAATTCTTCTGCATCAGCTTTCTTCATCTATTTACCTAAAGTGGCAGGTAACTTTTCAACCATATCTTTGGCTTCCTTCAAACCCAAATTGAAAATTGCTCTAACATCCTTAATAATTTTGATCTTTTATGCAGCATCAATGGAATCAAGAATAACATCATAATTGGCTTTCTAAATAATTTCGACTATAGTTTACAGCTGCCTCCTTGGGTGCTTCTTTTGGAGCTTCATCCTTTTTTTCCTCCTTTGCCTAAGCCTAAGTGGTAGCTGCTGTCTAAGCTCCTCCTGTTCCTACTCCACCTCCAAATCCAACCACTTCAGAGAATAATGCTGCAACTCCTTATTATCCTAAAGGCCATAATTTGGCTATTATTTCTTATTGCTATAACCATTGGGGATGAGCTGATGGCCAGACTCCAGGACCTGTGATTCAATTCATGAAATTACCAACTTGAGCATCATCTTTGGAGATACCTAAAGAAAACTCAGCATAGTCAGGTTTATTGAGAACTTATTTCTACAAAATGTAATTCAGATATTGAAATTCATTCTCGCTTAGATATTCGATATGTTTTGCTAATAGGTTGATCTTTTTCTATTGATTGGCATCTAATTTATCATTGAAGACTCTGGGAGGCCTAAAGACAAGATTGATAAGTTCAAATTAATACATCTCTTTTGCTCTATTTTTGAATTCATTCCATTCTCTTTGAAATGATAGGTATCTTTCTTTGAAAGAGATCTTTTCAATTTTGTTCAATTCACTTTCTAATTTATTAATAGTGCTGCAACCAAACCTTACTGCTCTTTGCATCTCTAATAAATTATTAATATATATAAAATTATTTTATTTTAATGCCTATAATACTATACTTAATAATGTTCATCATTTCTTAGCCACTTTCTTAGCACCTTTTTTTTAATAGAAAGTGTCATCTCTTCTGAATTCAAACTCCAAATCCCTAGTTGTCAATACTTTGTAAACATCCTTAATAGAATCAAGTCTTGATTCCAACTCCTTCTAATCGCTTTCATCCAGGAAACTAATTAATCAATGATTTCATTCTACATTCTATAGAATTTGGTGCCATCAACTCTGACTCTTGTTCTTCTACCCAAAATTACAGATGGGGAAATCAAATCCTCAAGCAATTCATTATAAACAGATGTAAGAGTTCTTGAATTAGGTCTTGTCTAAGATCTGTGATTCTTGACCCACTTACTCTCAATTGTTCTTTTAGCAGCCACTAAGATAGTTGCCTTAACTCTCTTCTCCAATTCAGGTAATAGCTTTTAGCTAAAATCACCTCATACCAAAATTATACCTTATCTTATTGTATATTGTCAAGCATGGATATGGGATAAATACCAAATACACCTATTTCTTAGCATTAATCTTTGCTGTGAAATCAACAACTGATGTTAATTTCAAATTCTTAACTTCCGTTATTGTTGCTTCAATTTATGTTAATGCTGCTCCAACTTATTATTCCAAACTTGATAACTCAATATTTTTAAGTCATTTTTACTTCTTTCTTTTTCCAAAATTTATTGGCTGCCATCTTATTCAATAAATTTGATTTTTTATTTAAATCTTTTTTTTATAATTATTGCAATGCAAGTAGAAGAATTACTAGAATACGTTCCTGAATCTATAAATCTCATCCTAGAGCCAACTCAAAATAAAGGGGCCCTTTATCTTGGAAATATTGCCTCCTTATTTAAATCTATTAAAAAAAATCAAATAAGAGTATAAATCAGAATGTATTAGTAAGGCTGCAATCTCAATATGCGAACCACTAGACACGAAAGGTATTCAACTTGAATAGCATCTTTAAATTGCTCTGGATGATTATGAAGACTCTAACATCAAATAATATTTTACTTAGACAAACTTGTTCATCTAAGAAAATTTAAATGTAATTTATTATTACCAATTATCTAGAAAGGAAACCTATTGGTTCATTGTATGGCTGGCGTTTCTAGAAGTGCTGCTATTGTCATTGCATATGTCATGTGGAGCTAGAAAATGACATTTTAAAATGCGCTTCTTTTTGTTACTCAAAGACGTGAATAAGTCTATCCTAATAAAGGTTTTAGACAATAATTAATGCAATACGAAGAAGAATTGAAAACTCTACAATGATTATAATCAATAAAAATAACTATTTTAAAAATGATGAAAATATTGATGTTATTGGCATAATTCCTTGAGTTCTTGTTTTCAGTTTCATTATGCACTTTTATGAAAATTGGGAGAGAAGAAACTAAAATGAGTGGCAGAATCCTTAAGTTTGCATATCGAGTCGAAAAGAATTTACTCTACAATTACGAATTCGGACCCAATACTAAAGTAGGTAATCACTAATCTTTAGGATATAAGGCTTTGCTTGATTCCATTCTTACTACCAACCATCTGCAAGAAAATACTTAATATCAAATCTCCCTTAAGCTTTTACGAATTATTGCTTGCGTTTATTGATGTTTTATCACTCATTGACTGCATCAATACAACTGAATCTTACCAAAGATATTGTCTCGTTTATACCATTAGAGTCCTCAGAACCATGATGATGCTGTTTGAATTAGTTCAAGAAATCACCAAAATGACAATTCTTCATTATGAACAAATATTGCAAAAAAGACTATTACAAATGCAATAAAAAAAATAAATCATACAAAGCAGCAATAATCAATAACAAGACCCACTATAAATCTAATAATAATAAATATTTTACGATTATTCTGACTCGGATGAACAAACTAAATTACTCAATACTCAAAAATAACAATAAACAATAATAAAACGACTAATATTTCCATAAATGAAGATCCCTTGCATTCATCTAAATTTAATAATCAATCAATAACAATATTACATCTATATTATAGATCCATGGAGCTTTGACAAATCATTCCAATCAATTAATATTAGAGAATAACTTTTAATAATGATTAAACTTAACTATTGCTGTTAAATATATTAGACATTGAAAAAGACTAAATGCAATTAATAAGCTTTAAATAAATACAGAGAGTTAATAGCAGAATATTTATCCTAATTAATTTCGATGAATTGATTACACAATTGTATATATTATTCATAGATAACTTTATTAAAAAATATTACTTCTTATATATTTATTCATAGATGATTTCCAATTCTGTTTCTTAATTTTTTAACATATATTTAAATATTTAATTGATTTGTGATGAGTCTGATAGTGAAATGGGAATCTAGATCTTTTTCTTCATTTTTTAATTAATATTATAAAATAAAGTACTATTAACTTTAGTTATAAAATTAGATGAATATTTACCCATCCTATCATAAAGGATATTAAATTAAAATTATGAATAAAAGTTGTAGATATACATACACTATTAAAAACATTTAAATAATGTTAAAGAATTAATTAATTTTCAACTATTGTTTTAAACATAAATATTATTGTCGTCATATTTTCTTTTCAAAAATACTCTTTTTCAAGTTATTAACAATGAAATCCATATGTCATAAAATAATAAATAAACTTAATAGAGTATTTTAAAATGAATGAAAAATTTAATTTCTATCAGACAAAACATTATAATTAATATTATTATATTTAATTCTTTCAATACATTACCTACTATTTTATTTTTAATTACCCTAATCTTGATATAAGACACAAGTTAATTCATTATTAATTAGGTCTTCTCTCTATTGACTTAATATATCTTTGTTTAATGTAGGGATTTGCAACATTAAACATAGATTTTTGTATTCATGAATTAAAAGTTACACAATAAAATCATGGATTATCTTAATAAAACTTTCTATATATTTAGAGTTAAAGGAGAATGTGATCAGACAATGTGAATGTTTGGCTATAATCTTTGCTTTTAACTTCTGTCATGACAATTAGTTTTAAACATTTATGAATATATGATAAATTAATTAAAATTTATATGATTAAGATTCTTGTAAAGTTTGAGATTAATTTAAACTAAAATAACTAATTTCATTAATGATGGAATGAGTTTGATCTGACTCTTTAGTTGTTTTAGGCCATTTCGCTTTCATTACTTGAACTCATAAACCTAAATCTCTTTTAAGGTTTGTTTTAATAGGATTTAATTGTTGTTGGAGTGTTGGATGGGTTACTTAATCGAATAATTGGACAAATAGTTTCTTCAGCATCTAAGTCTCTGGGGGAAGCCTAATCAGAACAAAATTTAAAGATCTATACAATTCAAAATGTCAAGTAGCTTTTCTTCTAATTGTTCTAATTTTTTACAATTACAAATAGCAGAGTATAAATTGTAATCTCTTCTGATTAATAAATCTTCTATAAAGTACATATTTACCTTTGATACATCCTTTTTATTCCATTGAGATTTAATTTTGTTGATATAAAGCCCATAGCGCAAATAATACTTAACTTTCTAAGGAACTCGACATATTTTATATTTTAATATTTTTATTAATTAAATCTATTTTGATATAAACAGAACTATAATATGGATTTCTGTTGAACGAGTTAAGAGTCTGATCAATTTTAGAAGAATTAAATAATGTAATTTCCATTTAACTGAGAATGAACTTCTTATTTTAATTCATAATATCAAGAAGCAATTTCTTAAGAATTCTGGAGAAAAAATACCATATTATCAGTATATTCGAACTCAAAAAATATTTGACTACTCTCTTTATCTCAAAATAATTTAAAAATATGATATAAATAGAAATCTTTTGATTAACATCAAGATATTCTAATCTTGATATGATATTGGTTAGATTTATTTATTTTTTATTATTAAAAATTTTTAGAATAAATTAACTGAACTCAAGAAAGGAAAAGCATTTAATTAAATTTTATTTAATATTAACAATTATTTCTATTGTTTCTATAATCCAAAACAAGTTAATAGCAGAATGTTTTATAATTTTTATCTTTTTAATAAAATATGTCTGTAAAATTAAGAAAATAAAATTTTATCCGCTTCTACAAATTATATTCATGAAAATGATTTTCTTTTTGCAATTCACAGTTTTAAGTTTTTACTGAAATCATAAACTACAGAATTATCAGCTTATAAATTTTTACAGGAATTGTTATGAAGAAATTATGGAGTTAAAATTGATAATAGTATTCAAGAAATATCAATTTCTAATATTTTATTAAATAAAATAAAATTAGATAATCATAACTCATTTAATTGTGTATTTTTTTTATGTTTCGAATTAGAGATTTTTATTACTATCAATATGAGTTTAATAAATTAAAGATTGCTGAGAAAGTTAGATGGTTTTATTGCTTGATTCATTTCATGAATAAGCATTTTGAGACGAATGAAGAGTAATGAAATCTAAATTGACTCTATTAAAATTTAACTACTTTCTAAAAATAACATATCTATATTAATTTAAGTTAATGTTGTGAGAGTAAGCAAAATCAATATTCACTGTAAAAGATTGGCTCGAAATGAGAAGAATTTGAAATATTCTCATTTGAATTGCATGAAGTGATTTCATCTTAAAATATGGAATTAGCATCACTTTCTTAATCGGAATCCTAAAAGAATCACAAAATAACTTACCGAGTCATCGTCTGAATCATACAGCTTATCCTACAGTTGTAATGAAACCTTTCTTATTCGGCCTACATTTTATTTAATTTATATTACCTTATGCGATTGTTGGCAGATCATTGTCTGAAATAATCCTTTTTATACTGTAGATAAAGATGGACGGCATGTTATAAGTCAAAATAACCACCATTTTCTATCCTTATATCTAGAGAAAACGATTTTCACCACATTCCCAAAACGAATTACATCCATCGGTGATAATTAGTTTGAATTCGACGAGTTAATCTAGAAATAGAGCAATATTTCTACCTAGTTCAACATCCAAAGCGAAATCACTATACCAAATAGGATACATTTCATTATTGGTCATTAATTTAAATCCTTGTTATGGATTCCAATTTCCCAATTATGAAGAGTTTCCAACGATCCTCACCATTTAACTAAATTCAGTGGAGCATTTCACACGAAACAACACTTAAGCACTCATTTAACAATATTTAATATTTTAGATAAACTTAAATCATCCGCTATTAGTTTTGTATTATATCATAATAAAACGTGAATCTCAAGGATGTGCGTCATTTACAAAAAAGAAATTATTATTCAGAATTTATATACTTAATTTACTCGTATTAAAAGACTTTTATATAAAAATAAGTATTCACATCGTTGAGTAACTATTAAATTTAACTCATTTCATGTTACAAATCATATTCTGGTTATTATAAGCTAATTTAATTTTCAAATTGTTCAATTTAACCATAACTTATTTAATTTTCTGTTTTTATTTATAAAACATTATTTTATACTGATCAACTTTTCTAATTTAACTATGAATGCCTATCCACCATGTACTTTTATCGATTAAGATTATTCGATGATAAAAAGGCAACTCAAATTTTGCAAAACTGTGGATTATTGATGCAAAATATAGAAGTTTTAAATAATCCAAATATTTTCTAGATAAAAACCTATGTAGACATTAAAAAAACAATTTAAATATATTCTTAACTTTTAAACATTTGCATCATGTTGCAAATTATTGATATAACTATATCAAACAAAATTTTTCTTAATTCTCTGAGGAGGAAATTTAATTCTTACTCTTTCTGTCTTTTCCCCCTAACCTAAGGTAGGTAACTTGAATTCAGACTTGGGTTAGACTCTTTTTTTTTTATGAACGGTCAACACCTTATAATCTAATTGCAAATATTACTATTTATTCCCTCCTCTCATTTATATGTTAAGCATGTATTCTAGATGAAGCAATATTTGCAAATGCCTTTCGAAATAAATTAATTTCCACTTATTACTGCTTCTTCATCAATTCAATGTAAGGATCGAAATTTTTCCTTTGTTAAAATAAGTACACTCCTTAATCAACAGTTTACTGTCTTTTTGACTTTGGAGGAATTAACATATTAATTTAATAATAAATATTTGTTTTTCAATCTTCAATTCGTTTGTCTGATTCATGTTCATTATGATTGAATTATATCCATCATTTAATTTCTCTGCTAATTAAAATGCTAAATTTGTGCAACTAAGGATTCTATTTATTTTTATTAAAATATGAAAAAACTTTAGTAGTGATATTTTAGGTTTTTTAGTATAGCATTAATTCATTTCAAGAGAACTACAAACTTCTATCATTAAAAGAATAGAAATAGAATGCGAGAATCAAATGAGAGAGATTTCTGGCATTATTATTGAAAAAGTTTGTGAAAAATTAATTTGAAAGAAAAAAGACTTTCTATTTTAAACAAAATTATGATAGAATTTTTGATAAATCTTGAAATAACTAAGTATTGATCCACTATGGTACTTTATTTATCCAAGTTATTTGAACTTTATTACTAGAGAAATATCTCTAGTTACAGAGAGGAATCACAAAAAATTAATGGGTCACATACTATTTATGCAATTATGAGACTACCCAAAATAGCTGGATAATTCTTGACTTAAAGTCTAAGCAATTTAACCATAATTACTTTACTAATTATGTATAGCCTATTGTGTATTAATAATTGAATTGAAGTAAAATCATTCTTTAAACGGTTAGCAAAGAGCAAGAAATGCTACTATATTTTGAGAATAAATTATTTGATATTATTAAATTATCAAATGTCATCTGATGATTTAGATGCTTAAAAGCAGAAATTAAGGGAGTAAATTATACATACTGAAACTCTCAATATGATGGCAAAGTATTAGTTGGTATTCTTAAAAATGGAGATATCAATAAGAAAGCTAGGCTTGATAATAAAATTAAAGTAATTCTAACTGATTATTGTAGAGAAAACTAATAGAAATTTTATGGTTTTAGGAAACTTAAGCAATCTAATAAATACAGTGCTAATCATTTTAAAGTTCTTTTTACATAGATTGCATTAAAATATTAGTAAGTTGGAGAGATTATTCAAAAAAAATAAAAAAGAAATTTGCACTTTGCATTCATTAAGGTTCGATTTCAATTCTCAAGAAACAAAAATAATAAAATCAGGAAATCCTTCTTATAGGTAATAGCTTCTAAAGAGTCTGAGATAAAGAATCTGTAAATTAAGGAATAAGAGATCATGGAAAATATAAACAATTAAAAATTAAAGGAGCAAGAATTCCTATAAAAAATAAAATAGAAGGATGTGATTCTGTCATCTTTGGAGAATGAATTGAAAAAAAATTCAACTAATAAAACTTTTGATTCAAAAGTAAATCTATCTTATATTGAAGTTAAGAAATATCGAAATCGAGAATCAGGAGATGCAAGAACGTATTGTGGGAACTGAAGATTCTGTTAATCTATTTATCAGAGAAATGAATGATATACTCGATAGTCATGAAATCAGTACTAATTTAGGTAAATATCAAATGGACTTCATTAGGTATTGATTCTGATGAAAACTAATCTTATGAATAACCTGGTTAGGTTATTGAATATTAGAGCTAAAGATTGAATCAAAATTCAAGATAATAAAAATCTAAGAACTCTTACTCGAATTAATTGACTCGTACTAAAATTAATTGAATATATGAAAAATATTAAATCAAGAATCAAAACAACTATGATTTAATCTTCTTATCCTGTTAATAAATTTTATTATATTGCTAATTCAACAAGATTGAATAATTATTAACTTAAGCCTTCTGTTTTGATTTGCTACTATTCATCGCGTCATAAAGTTCTTTTTCTTATTTCTTAGTTCTTCCTTAGACAGCCATTTTTATAGCTTATTGGTTCTATAATTTAAGCATTTCATTCTCTTGTTCCAACTATTATAATTTGAAATTTATTGAATCGTTTGGATTGAGAGTAATCATGTGTTTAAGTTCTTGAACTTCATTTTCCAAAGCCAAGATGGTATTTTCTTGTTGATGTATTTTCAATTCATATGTTTGTTTGACATTTAAGACCTGTAATCATGATAAAATAGTGATACTTCTGCATCTTTCAATCTTAAGGTTTGTAAACTCTCTTAAATGCATTCATCAATTGCTCTAATAATTGATTAGCAATCATCAATTGATAGATGTTATCCTTGAATGATTTTGGATAGCATTTTTTGAAGTTCATTCTATAATGCTAATTCAAATGGTCTTTTTTGAATTGCCACATTAATTTAATTTGGATATTATTCTTCTTCTAAATCATCCAAGAAATTTGCCTATTGACTGTAGCTTTTGAGTCTGCTTTGATTGCTGAAGGTGGGTGCGTAATTCTTGCTGTAGGATGCATCAAAGGATTGATTATGCTCAGATCTAGATTTGTGTGTAACATCTTTGATAAATTTGGGACCTTTTATAATAGAATTGCTAGAGGGGATACCTGATGACTGATTGGGTGTTTTTTTCATCGACATTATTAAATGTAAAACTGCAATATAATAATAATAATAATATTTAAAATAATTAATCACTAATCATTTCTTCCAAATGCTCTATTATTAATGGCATAAATACCATAATAGTGTTAACACATGCTTGAAATCCCTTAGGTCTATTTTCAGAATCGATTTATAAATGTTGGACTTCATTCACTTCAGTTTCTATGCATTCCGTACATTTTCGCGATAGAAAGTTAAATGCCTCTTGCACTCCATCTCCAGTCTTTGCACTTCCTTAATTATTAAATGAAACCTGACTTCAAAATAAGGCAATTTGTATTTCTATGAGAACTCCTAGACTTCAAGGAATTTGACTTATCGTTTCTAATTATGTGGCATATTGTACTTCGCACAAATCGCTTTTATTGCCAACCAGAATAGTTTACGAATTTGCTTTCGAACATTCTTAGACTTGTTTAATCCAATAATCACTAATACGATTGAAACTGTCTTTATCTGCAATGTCAAATACCATAATGACTCCGTCAGCTCTTTAAAAATAACCTTCATGTTTACAACATAAACCTACTTTTTGTGAGACTAAAATATTTATCCTATCCAGCTGTATCCCATATGCATAATTTGATTTGTTGTCCTTGATGGTCGAATTCCTTCTTGACTAGATTTAAGCCAAGTGTTGGAAGATAATTATGCTAAAATGGAGCATCCTCTGAATTATAGGATAATTCTTACAGTCAATGAATCTTTGTATTAAACTTGTCTTACCAGACCCTAATCATCTTGTATATATCAAATACCTAGATTACCAATAACAATTAAATCAATTTTTATCATATATTTATAAAATCAATACAAACATTCATTTTTAACTCAATGCTTAATATTACTCATAATATTTCTGGTCCATCTGACTAATAAAACCAGTAAGCTCATTCGTCCTATAAAATGCATGTGCAATAGATGGAGCACCGACTGCTACAACATAGAACATCATTCTATTTGGAATCATAAATTTATATTTTCCTAATTCGTAAAATCTTGCCCATAAAAATGAAAATAATCCTACAGTGATCGAAGTTGAGAAGAATGTCTTTTGGATCGCACTATACTATTCATCATCAACAGGGTCTATCATCTTTTTAGCTTACAGAAATATGAAACACCCTGATGGATTAACAATTTAATTGTCCTACTTAGACATTAATATTATTATATTTATTTTAATAATACATTATCATAAATTGGCATTATTTCTCATTTCTATTGGTACAAATTATTTCTTAGCAGGTCCAGTGTAATCTGAAACAGGTCTCATCAATTTGTTATTGCTTCTTTACTCTATGATATGTCCTCCCCAGCCTGTCATTCTAGAAATCACAAAGATTGCTGTGAACATGGGAGTTGGCACTCTAAATTTTCAAATTATATCATACCCGCATTGTTTATAAGCACTGGCACTGTAAAAGTCAAGATTAGGATAAATCTTCTTCTCCTCAATCATTCTCTTCTCAATGTGTTATGAAACAGCCAATAAGGTTGGATCTCCACTAGCTGTCTTACTTAATTATAATGAAAAATCTTTAATGATTGGAGATCTTGGATCCTCCTTCTTATATACTCGATGTCCAAAACCCATAATCAATTATTTACTTTGATATCTGCTATTCAAGAATTGATCTGCCTATGGTATGCTTCTTAGAGGTTCCAAGTATTGCATAGCGGCTTCATTGGCTCCTCCATGAAGAGGTCCTCTCAAAGTTCCAATAGCAGTTGTGATTCCAGAATAGAAATCAGATAGTGTACTTACAGTAACANATTTGCTTTCGAACATTCTTAGACTTGTTTAATCCAATAATCACTAATACGATTGAAACTGTCTTTATCTGCAATGTCAAATACCATAATGACTCCGTCAGCTCTTTAAAAATAACCTTCATGTTTACAACATAAACCTACTTTTTGTGAGACTAAAATATTTATCCTATCCAGCTGTATCCCATATGCATAATTTGATTTGTTGTCCTTGATGGTCGAATTCCTTCTTGACTAGATTTAAGCCAAGTGTTGGAAGATAATTATGCTAAAATGGAGCATCCTCTGAATTATAGGATAATTCTTACAGTCAATGAATCTTTGTATTAAACTTGTCTTACCAGACCCTAATCATCTTGTATATATCAAATACCTAGATTACCAATAACAATTAAATCAATTTTTATCATATATTTATAAAATCAATACAAACATTCATTTTTAACTCAATGCTTAATATTACTCATAATATTTCTGGTCCATCTGACTAATAAAACCAGTAAGCTCATTCGTCCTATAAAATGCATGTGCAATAGATGGAGCACCGACTGCTACAACATAGAACATCATTCTATTTGGAATCATAAATTTATATTTTCCTAATTCGTAAAATCTTGCCCATAAAAATGAAAATAATCCTACAGTGATCGAAGTTGAGAAGAATGTCTTTTGGATCGCACTATACTATTCATCATCAACAGGGTCTATCATCTTTTTAGCTTACAGAAATATGAAACACCCTGATGGATTAACAATTTAATTGTCCTACTTAGACATTAATATTATTATATTTATTTTAATAATACATTATCATAAATTGGCATTATTTCTCATTTCTATTGGTACAAATTATTTCTTAGCAGGTCCAGTGTAATCTGAAACAGGTCTCATCAATTTGTTATTGCTTCTTTACTCTATGATATGTCCTCCCCAGCCTGTCATTCTAGAAATCACAAAGATTGCTGTGAACATGGGAGTTGGCACTCTAAATTTTCAAATTATATCATACCCGCATTGTTTATAAGCACTGGCACTGTAAAAGTCAAGATTAGGATAAATCTTCTTCTCCTCAATCATTCTCTTCTCAATGTGTTATGAAACAGCCAATAAGGTTGGATCTCCACTAGCTGTCTTACTTAATTATAATGAAAAATCTTTAATGATTGGAGATCTTGGATCCTCCTTCTTATATACTCGATGTCCAAAACCCATAATCAATTATTTACTTTGATATCTGCTATTCAAGAATTGATCTGCCTATGGTATGCTTCTTAGAGGTTCCAAGTATTGCATAGCGGCTTCATTGGCTCCTCCATGAAGAGGTCCTCTCAAAGTTCCAATAGCAGTTGTGATTCCAGAATAGAAATCAGATAGTGTACTTACAGTAACACGAGCAGCAAAAGTAGACGCAGCAAAATCATGTTCTGCATATAATATTAATGAAACATCAAAAGTCTTGACAACCAAAGGGTCTATCTCACTCTTCAAATGGTATAATTTAAGGAAGTTTTCAGCAATTGAATCCTTTCCTGTATTCTCATTTATTTTGATTCCGGAATTGCTGTAATGATGCCAATACAATAAGGCGGGGCCAAATAAGGAAATCAACCTGATGCTTATTTCGTATTCCTGACCAGGTTTTGTTTCTGGTTCCAAAATACCTACAATAGATGCCACTGTTCTCATAATATCCATGGGATGAGACTCTTTGGGTAAGGTCTCCAAAATCTATTTCAATTTGCATGGGATTTATCTCTTCTGCCAAATAAGAGTTTTCAACTCATTCAGTTATTGCTGATTAGGCAAATGACCCTTCAATAACAAATAAGTGACTTCTTCGAAACTACATTTGTATGCAAGATCCTAAAAAGTTCTAAACTCATAACTTACATTAATATCATAACCTCTGTAATTTAACCCAATGCCACCTACTCCTACTGTGGAAATAGCAGATTATCCAGCAACTACTCCTTGGAGTCCTCCTCCTGCTTTCTTTTCACTCATTTATATTAATGAGTCATTTTTTGAGTTAGTGCGTAACTATAAATACTGAATAAATTTATAATATAAATCGAACATGTATCCGGAATTCATTAAAATAATTATTATAAAAAACAACCAATTCTGGAGGAGGAATGTATTAAATACATAAATCCACTAGTTCTGATTGTTCATTCAAAAAGGATAGTAAAAATTTAAATTAAATCAATTAACCCTGGCTTTTAAACGCTGAAACAGTTTATTAAACATTTCATTCTATGGTTTTTTCTCCCTGGGTATTTGCTTATGAAACAAGATTGTTCTGATTTTCTTATTTAATTTGACATCATAATCTAACAAGGATGTTATAGGCAAGTGCTCCTTTTAATAAGATGACTTCCCAAAATCAACAGCTGTAGACCTTCTAGATTTTATGTAATTGAAACTCTTCTAAATCTCATAATCGGGCATAGCATCCTTCTCCACCAATGGTTTCCTTGCTGAATAGGATTCAAAAGAATGAGCATTGTTTGTTTTTGCTAAATCCATTGGCTAATAAAATTTATCAACTGTATCCCTTTACACATCCTTTCTTCCTTCTTATTTTTCAAATGGAATCATCATCTTTACTTTTGGAGGAGGAATCTAAACATTCGATATATCCTATTAATTGCTCGATAGACTCATAGATCTCCTCTTTGTTTGCTTTTCAAAACTTATTGTTGGAATATGTTTCTCTATAATATCAAAATGAGGTTTGTAATCTCTTTCTGCTTAGGTTGCTTATTACTGTTATGAATAGATGGATCCTTGCGATCTATCTATTCTTCTGAATAGCCAATCTCCTTTTTGAGTTTATTTCTTTTCCAATTTAATAGGAGGAATCGTAACGACATTTTAAGGATAAAATCTAGTTCCAGTAGTCTTTCTCTAATCCAACCTACGACCAAACCTGGAGAACGAAAACGAAGATGTTTTTGGTCTGTCATCATCCATTTTAATTAAATTATGTTAATCAATTTTAAGGGATAAGAAATTAAAGTTGGCTATATTGATTTCAATAGTTTGATTGAAATAATCGAAGCCACATTTCCTTATGAATTACACACAATGTACCAACTCATCTATAAGGATGATGATGATAGTAATCCTGTCTTCATTGTGGATGAAGACTCATTGCAGAGTGCTAGTAATATATATTATCCATTACTATAGAAAATCTCTGTCAAACCAAAAACATCGAACTTGTCTTAGAAGTTCAGAATGCAAACATTGATGCTTCCGTTTATATTCTCAAAAGACAAATCGTATATTGTATCCACTTAAAAATAGAGTAGCGACAAATCAAACATCTATTAGGAGAGTCTTCATCAGATCAAGGAAAAACTGAGGGGATACAAAGAAGAACAAGAAATTTAGCAGTCTATTTTCGAAGTTAAGGATGAGGATCTCACAATTCCACATATAATGCAATATTACTAGAATTAATTGGCAAAGTTTGTAGCCAATTATCAAAAGCAATCTAACGAGCACAAGGCTAAAAATTACTAGTTGTATTAAGAATGCTTTGAGATGATGTTGGAACGGATGAACAAAAAATTATAGAATTAATTTGAGCTTATTATTTAGAAATCAAAAGGTATTTAATAGAATGTAGAGAAAATAAATGATTTCTAACAATTCTAATGAATATCAAAAATTATAGATTGTAAGATTTCTAATTTTATTTAATAAATTATATGAATCATTGAAGCTGGATTTTCTTTACTAATAGAAGGTGATTATCTTTATTCTTCTACAATTCTTACAATAACATAATCAACTCTTTGGTCTAATGCAGTTAAGCGTCTTTCAATTATGAATCATGGTAATAGAATTCGAAAGTATTGTCAGCATTTCTGCTTTTTCGAATACAAACCCAATGTCTGGGTTCCCACTAACATAATCTCTCAATAAATGATATTTCTTTGATTTTATTAATTAAAAGTCCATCAACCGATTCGTCAGCAATTAGTTCTTCATTAATTATTTGGTTCTATCTAATCCATTATAACTCATACGATTCTTTGAGTAAAACCCGCTCGATAACATTTAAATCATAATTTCCTAAAAAGTATGTGTAGTGCGAATTGTTAGTTTCTCTTTTCATCTCTTCTGCCACCCTATCGAATTCATTACAAGTGTAATTTTTTGTTTAAAGGAAATTGTTTACTGCGTGAAGTCCACATCTTCGTAGTGATTGAGTCTGATGTTGATGTTTAGATTACTACATAATTAATAAGTATAACAAATTAAATTTATTTAAATAAAATGATATCGTTTGAGTTATCAAACATCTTAATTCTAGTATCAACAGGTATTGGATTACTGTGGGCAGTCTATAACGCATACAAGCTTAACCGAATAAAGATTGGCACTCCCAATTAATATAATAATTTCCAGGATGATTATTAAGATCACCATTCTTAACTCCTGTTAGAAATAGCATCTCACATTGAAAGTGGAGCAGCTGCATTTTTGGCTGCAGAATATAGATACATTGGAGTTGTAATTATATTATTAGCATTGTTAATATTCTTCATCGTTGAGCCAGTCCTCGGATAAGCTTGGACTACTGTGGCCTTTTTAGTAGGAGCACTCACTTCGATCATATCAGGTTCAGATATTAACATAAACAATAGGATTTATTGGAATGAGAGTAGCTACTTTCTCTAACTATCGTTGTGCCTACTGCGCATAGACAAAGATGACAGATGCATTTGCAGTGGCATATAGGGCAGGATGTGTAATGGGTTTTGCATTGGTAAGTTTTGCATTACTCAGTTTAACAATTCTGTTGGGAATCTACATAAATTGGTTTATAAAGGATTATAGAGACTTTTAACAATTGTTTGAAGCAATAGCAGGATATGGATTAGGAGGATCAGTCATAGCGTTATTTGGTAGAGTTGGAGGAGGAATCTATACAAAAGCAGCAGATGTAGGAGCAGATCTAGTTGGAAAAGTGGAAAATGATTTCAAAGAAGACAGTCCAAATAATCCTGCAACCATAGCAGATAATGTAGGAGACAATGTTGGAGATATTGCAGGTATGGGTGCAGACTTATTTGGATCCTTTGCAGAGGCTACTTGTGCTGCTCTGGTAGTATGTAGTGTATCCCCATCTTTTTATTATCATCCAACTACATTTTATTACCCATTATTGGTTTCAGCAGCAGGAATTATTGTGTAATTAATTCAACCATATTTATAGTTGTTTTATAGTTTCAATCTTTGCATTTGTTGGTGAAAAGGAAAGTTTTGATTAAGTTTCAAACGCCTTGAAATTTTAGTTGATTCTATCCACTCTTTTAATGCTACCTGCTCTTTATTATGTTGCATATCTAACTTTACCAGAGAGAATCTTTGGATTGGCACCAGTAGATAGACAACCCATTCATGCATGGCTTTGTACTGTTGTTGGGCTCATTAGTGGTTGCATCATCGGATTTGTCACTGAATATTACACCTCACATTCCTATAGACCAGTGCAAGAAGTAGCTTAAGCATGTGGTACTGGAGCAGCTACCAATATTATTTATGGAATTGCCTTGGGAAATCTCTCTACTATTATTCCAGTATTCTTGCTAGCATTTACTGCCTTCATTTCATATTCTCTTTTGTCAATGTTTGGAGTTGCCTTAAGTGCTTTAGGAATGCTCTCTACTTTAACTATTGGATTGGCAATTGATGCATATGGTCCTGTCTCTGATAATGCTGGAGGTATTGCAGAAATGGTTGGATATCCATAGGATGTTAGACACAGAACAGATCAACTTGATGCTGCTGGTAATTGCACTGCTGCCATTGGAAAGGGATTTGCTATTGGATCAGCTGCATTGGTGGCTTTCTCTTTGTATGGAGCTTTTATCACAAGAGCGTCTAACTCTCTCAATAAACATCCATTAACAGATTTAGGAGTCAATTCTCCATTAGTATTTTTAGGACTCTTAATTGGAGCTATGATTCCCTATTGGTTTTCTGCCTTTACACTGAAATCTGTTGGAAGGGCTGCATTCGAAATGGTTGAAGAAGTACGAAAGCAATTAGCAGAAAGACCAGGAATAAGAGATGGAAGAGAGAAACCAGATTATGACAGATGCATAGCAATATCAACCAAATCTTCTCTTTAAGAGATGTTTGCCCCAGGATTACTTGTAATTTTAGTACCTTTGGCTTTGGGATTATTCCTTGGTCCCACTGCTGTAGCTGGATTATTACCAGGTATTTTGGTTTCTGGAGTATGCATGGCCACATCATCAGCCAATTCAGGAGGAGCCTGGGATAATGCCAAGAAGTACATAGAGGCTGATCTTTGTGAAATTGGTAATTTTTAGTATAGACTTTAGATGATATTATCAAAGGCAAAGGAACTGATGAACACAAAGCAGCAGTTATAGGTGACACTGTTGGAGATCCTTTAAAAGATACTTCAGGCCCATCTTTAAATATTCTCATTAAACTAAGTGCAATTTTTTCGTTAGTGTTTGCCGGCGTTTACGATAAGTCAGCATGGTTACTATGTGCGATGACAACTAGTAGCAGTGGGTGTCCAGCTTGAAATACAAGAACATGAGAAAATATCAAATAAATCAAATTATGTTATTATTTCATTTCTGTCTAACACGCATGTTTCCTTTTTAGTATCAGATTTAACTTGTGATTCAAATAAATAAGCTCATATGTAATAGATAATTCGTTAGTCTATTTTTATGAGAAGGAATTTTTGAATATTAAAAAATAGGTAAATTCTTGCAAAACTAATATAATCTTGTAATTCACCATATATTCGATTTTAAAAGATGGCTAAATTTGAATGATACAAATGATAAAAAACAACAAATATAATCATTAGGCATGTGATGTATCAAGCTATATGTGTTATTAGCGATCGGAGTGTCCTGTCAATGCCAATGATCTGAGTCTTGTTTTTAGGAAAACTATTGGAATTTAAAAGAAAAGCAGAATTAATTTAAATTGTATCCCATAAACTATAATGGTGATTATCAGTAAAGTAAGTAAAAAGGAAATGCATCTATTAGTTTAGAAAGGATAATTACAGTAAGAGGAGATGGAGGGGAATTATTTATTTAGAGTACCCCAGGATGTGAATTTCAAGTATGTTTAAAATGAGATAAGTAAATATCTATGATATTTAATACATTACTATACAGTTATAGAGAAGAACCATGAATGCACCCAATATTCCTACATAATGCAAAGTATCCAATTTATAGTAAATTCTAGGATTGTTAAAATTTCAATTCTTTTTAAAATAACCTTTTGATTTACATTCTACATTTATCTAGTGTTCATTTTTATTGTTATAATTAATATTTCTCATATTAGTTTTATTTTCAAATTAACAATTAATTTAATTTTTAGATGTTCACTCAACCCTCAGGTGCTAAGTCTTCAGCCCAAAGCACTCCCTACAAAACCAAATACCATCATCCAGAACAAGAGGAAACAATCTCTGAGGATGAATCGCAAATAAACAATATTCTCAAAGCCTTGAAGCAATAGTAATTATATATATAATTTGAATTTTTTCATTTTTAGATATCTGATCCTGGATAATACGCTCAATGAGAAGGAGGAAGAAAAAGCCTAGATTTTGGAGGACTTGTAAATCTTGAATCAGAGATTGCAACAACTAAATAGATCGGTTGCGGTCAAGAGACAAAAGTATGAAAAATGTGACAGGACCCTGAAAGAAGCAGAGTCGGCATTTGCAACAATTGCTGATTCTACTAAATCTCTGCTCCAGATTGTCAAAAGTAATATTGGAGATATGAGCAAAAAATAAAAAAATTGATTGACTAACTTATTATTCCTCTCTCGTAATTGAGAATAAAAATATTAACATTTTTAAAAATTTATCAATGGTCTTGAGAAGATTCACGCAATAGTATAAGGGCGTCTATTCATTTTGCAAAGTTGAATCTTACACAATAAAACCTTAGAATACTGTGATAGACTACAAGTTTTTATAAAAGATTATATTTAGTTAGAACATTAACTTATAATCCATAATAGAAAATCAAATTTGATTCATCGAACAAATCATTACTCTACTATTACAAGCCTCTGGTATTCATAATCTCTCTATATCATTCAGCTTTGGACTTATCAATTATAATATTGGGCGTATTTATTCCCCATGGTATTGGTTGGAAATGTGATCAAGCATAATCCTTGTAAGACTTAATATTTAGATCTTAGTCTATTCAACATTTCCTGCAGCATTGCCAATGATGTTTACAGTCGAGTTTTGGCGTAAGCTAATTTCAAGAAACTATAATAGTCTTTTTGAGATGGTTCAAGAAATTCAAATACTTGAGATATGTCGTATCTGAAGTCTATTTACATAAGGATGGTCAAACTGTGGAAGTAGTATTTGAGAAGAAATTTTGGGTAAGCAATTAAATCTCAATGTATAAACTAGAGAAAAGTAAAAGAACAAAATGTGACTCAAATATTTTATGTTACAAATCTGAAGACTTTGGGGGGGGATGACAAGAGACCTTTGAAGGGGAATCTGTTTCCAGAGCAATGGCCTCAGAAAAAGGAAATGTCCAAAAAATGGAGATGGTCTTTCGTTAAATATTACCTAAATCAAAACAACTTCCTAGTATTCCCATCAAATCCTAATTACGTTAATGCAGAAGTAACAATAATTTAGTAGCTATTTTCAATAGATTTTGATTGCCGTGATGAATGGGAAGATCATAAATACATCAAAATAATATGTAGAAGATATTCAAGGAGACATGGCAGAGATGGTTTTGGAGGGAAAGATCAAATCAGATACATTAATATGATTAATATTTAGCATAAAAATGCATTTAAGATCTATTATTTTTATATGAGGAAAATGTAATAATCAGAATTAAATTAATATTATATTATCATTCCTATTAATTTAAACTACTGTTAATCAAGCTCCGTTGCTTTAGCTATGATCATCTTCTCCTTCCGAGTAATAATACTCAAATTGAACAGAATTTTCTATTTATTATAACTTATACTTTTCAATTTGGATGGGTCTTTTGAGAGATTTGGAGGTTAATCTAAATCTTCAAATTCATCTTCTTGATCTTCCACAATATTTTCCTCGAGTACAGAATAAGTCAAGTAGTTAGAAACATAATAAAAGCTTTACAGATATTCAGGTAGGATCTAATGATATGTTTAATCCACTTACTCTAGGCACTTTTCTGTCATTGTTTATTAATTCAACATCTCTGTCTTTTGTAATAACTTAGATCAACATTTTATCATAGTAATTGGAATATTCAGTGAAAACGAGATAGAGTTTAGAAAATTGAGCATCAATTAATAGAAACTGTTTTGCTGCCTTGATCACTTCTTCAGGGACTTCCGTTTGTTCTGCATCCACTTAAATATATATTATTTGGAAATGTCTTACATCTAGTATTTGAAAACGATCTGTGTATTTTATGAGTCCTACTAAAATCAAATAAATCTTTTTAGGATTCAAATTGATCAATATTATCTAAATTCTATAATGAATCAAGATTCATCTAAGAAAGTGCAACTTTGATGATTTCTGACAATGGGTCTGATTGATTTTTGCTTTTCTCTTTAATTAAAAGCTCCTCTAAATCTAAATTGCTGTTTTCCAAACACAAATTAAAGAATTTTTAAGCATCATTTAAATTAGAATCACCTTGAGTTTCAAGATGTTCATTATTTTAAGAGGATGTATTTGAATTCCGCTCTTATTTAGGAGACTTAGGCTTAGAATTTTGGTAAATCAACATGATTTGATCCTTGTTGGTCTACACAAATTTCTAAAGATAAGAAACTTCTAAAAAGTAATACAAGGAAGTATAGATATGTTCTCTCTGAAGATTCTCTATTTTGAATATTAGAGGTTCAGGCAAAATTTACTATAAGAATCTAGATTTACATAATTATGAATTTACTCCTTATCAAATTTGATAAACTCCATAAATGAAATAATATTTGATCCAAATACTTATCTGCTCTCATCATAATAAAAACTGGATTCATATTATACCTTCTCACTCAACTATTCATAAAATTCCTCATAACAACAGTCTTTGTGACCTACCCAATGTACGGATACCTAAGTTAATCATTATGATTGACCTCACTAATAGATATGTCCTAGACACATCGACAAAAGCTTCTTAATAAATCTACAACTTCAGTATAAACTTAATGAGTAGTATCAATTTAAAATTGATCTTTGCAACTATTCTTTTATTTAAGTAGGAAATTATCATATATTTCGTAAGTAATTTAAAAAGATTGAGCATTTTCTAGATCGTCATTAACTCCTTATTCAAATTCTTTTTTGAACATTTGTTGTCTTTAAGCAGAGAGCAGACGAATAAAACATTCTAGTAATATAGTTTAGAATTATTGATTTCGAATTATCTTTTGATTAATTTGAAGTTTACATGTTTTATCCACAATTTCGTCATTACTCTCCAAACTGAAAATTTTGGATATTAGGGGTACTTTGGGAATAAGTTTTGATGTAACTCATTAATGATGTTCTCGAAGGGATAGATTAATGTTGACAAATCCATGATGGCGTTGCTATAAGCTTGCCAATACATTACATATTCACAAAGCAAATCAATACTGTTGATAGTATTAACATTTATAAATACACTAAAATACTTCTATAACCCTTCCAAATAACACTCCACAGAAGTATAAAATTCTTTCATTAAATTAAAGATGCAAATCTATTCTTCTCCGATTGGTTCCACCTTTCCTTCATGATCTTATTCGACTATGTCTATCTTTTGGAAGTTGAATTGTTTAAATTCACACTATTCATCCTACAAACTCCATCGATACTCTAAAAATTAACTTTTAAGTTTTTCATTGTGTTATAACTTAGCCTGCATTTGTGTCAAAATTTAGCATTTATTTTGCTTTAGTTCATTCATCAACTACAGGTTTCGATAAGATTATAAAATTACTTCATTCTAAATAAATTAATAGTCAAATAGCTTGTCAAACCCTTTTTGTTCCAGTTCTAAGCGTTACGCTAACATGATTTGAAACTCGGATTCGCAATGGATTCCTATTGTTTCTCTCGTTAAGATGGGCTTGGGAAACACAACATCGCATAGGATAAATGGAAATTTCAAAGTTTATCTATTATAATTTTAAGTCTAACTTACTTTGTTAAAATCATTTTTGACAGTTAACTCTTCCAATTGATGCAAGAATTGTCAAAGTTCGATAACCTAATCTATTATCTACACTGTATATCTGGGTAGTTTAAATCCAAAGCCATTTCAAGTTATTCATTAAGAAATAATTTATAATAGATCTCTCCAAAGAATTCTTAATGTTTCTACGTATAAATTATTCATATTAAACCTCAACGATTTCATTTAAAATACGACAAGTTTATCCAAGATTTAACACATCCTTTAAACTTAAAAACCTTGATATTCTTTTAAAAAATTCTTAATAATAAAGAATATTGGTAAGTGCCTCAACACTCAACTCAATTTAGGTGAGTGATGCATTGTAATTTTCATCCTTTAGATCCATTTATATTATATTATTTATATATTAATATTTGTAGTGAAAATGCTATTGAAGATAAATACTACTAAAACGAAAACACCAACACATCCATCACTTCCAGCCTTAAATTCAAATTATCAATCAGCAATTACATAGGTAGAGAGGAAATTAAATACATGGAACTTATTAATCAATTAAATGATATTTCATCCCCCTTTTTTGCATAGTATTCTTCTTAATGTATTAGAATGTGAGAACAGGCATGAGCAAATGCACTGTATTACGATCAGTTATTCATTTTGAATCAAATAGTCACAATTTTGAAAATTATGAACTTTCTAATCCCACATAGAATAGTATATTGAGTGAGATTTATCATTTCGAAGAGAAGTTATTTGATCCTTAGTACAGTTTTAGTTTCTGTTCTTATTTCAAAATCAACTGTCATTCTAGTCACAAACTTCAATACAGTTTTTAGATAGTTGTCATTTTTTATTATTTTTAATAATATTTTTATATTCAATGACTTGCCCTTTAATATCTTCTGTAAGGGCTATTTCTATTTCGTCATTATAGTCTAGTAGGCGTCTCTTACATAATTGTAGCTTCTCTTTAATTGATTTAATTTATATCTGAATACTTTGATCATCCTTCTTAATTTCGTCTAAGTTCTCCAGATGAGCCATGGTTACTGTTTTGAAAAAGTTGTGAATTTTTCTCTTAGCTAATCTTGTTTAAGGTCGATTCTTAAAGGTCGAAACACTGTAAACCAAATTAAGTCTTTCAGTAAGACAATCCACTAAATACTCATCTTGATAATCGTAGGCTTTTCTGGATGCACCTGATGCTGAGGTAGTACATCTTTAACTTGATTAAATGGGTTCTGGCTTTTCATTCTCTTTCAACTATTAAGTAATTGCTTCTAGTTATTTGTGAACTTTTGAGGATATTTCTTTGCTTTTAGAAACCTTGAGAGCTCTGTTGCTGAGTTTTTCGATTTGGAGTTCTCGTTTAGCTTGTACACTCAGCAATCCTAAGCGATGAAGAATTTCATTATTCATCATTTATTATTTAGTGCTTCTTTTTATAGATGTAGGTAATTCATTATGTCTTTCAGTCGGTTCTATCTTGGTAATTGTATTTTCAGTTAGAAACACTGGATGCTTCAAGACTTTAAATTTCTTAATTATTGGTTTATGAGGAATTTCTTCTATTGGAATCATGGGTTCCACTAGGGTTCCCACTCTACTCACTTTTAGATTCAGATTTTCAAGGGAAAAATCAATTAGACTGGGTTCTGCCACTGTTTAATAAAATTTCTACTATGGAAATTAAGAATGAGCATATCTAGGTCTTGCTAACTCAGCATCTTGTTTGAGATGACTGAAATATTTTACAACTTAATAACATTCAAATTACAAGGGTACCTTTTTATTATTGTTCCTCCTTGATATTGGACATAACTATCCGAATGTTGCGTTAAACTCTCGATTCAGGTTTATTAAGTTTATTCATAAATCTTATTCTTTTTATTGAAAATGTACTTATAAGCAATATTTAACTTATTATTACCAAATTTAATGTTAATAATTTGGAGATCAATGGCCAAAAATAGACCACTGAGTTTAATATGATTTAAATCTTACGATTCCCCAGTTATCAGCATTAGAAAATTCTTGCTTAATTTAAATTTAATCAATTTAATATAAGAGAATTGGTTAGTAACAATTAAGCAATATTTAACTAAATGAAATAAAATTTTAATAAATTATATTAACTGCTAATAAATAATCAGAATGTAGGAAATAAGCAATGCCATAATTGAGTTTTTTGATTTGGTCATAGAGAAATACATAACCCACTTTGCAAATCCGAAACGAGAATGGACATATTTTAAATCATTAATATAATCCTCCAACATTGATTTAAATAGGATCCAAACCTATCTCAAAGTTTTGAAAAATAGCACCGAAAAACCAACATACACCAAACCACTAGAGCTGATGAAAAGAGAAACAGTCACCAAATACGTATCCCCATTGCGAGATGAAAACTATGCCCTCGACAGCAAATTAAATCATAGATTTGACAATGGATAAGCCAACTTATATTTCAGTCCCCGATCAGATAATGGAACAATCAACCAATATCTCAGTCAACCCAGGTAGGACAACACTGTTAATTATTAATCCTTTAAGAGTATCACTTAGAAGGTTGTAAATTTGATGGATTCAAATAATATTTAATTTGCGATTACTTAAGGAAGACAGCAGAACTTTGAAAGCAGGAGAACCAGTTTAAACTATTTGACATTGCTCGATAAATTTCCTATAATTGAGAATTGAACCCGTTTGCTAATATTTGCTTACAATTTATACTACTTTTATTATTATTTTATTATTTTCAAATTAATTCTCGATGTGAGTAGTTTATTGTAAATATAAGCCAGGATAATATAAATATTTCAAAAATTTAGTGAGTTCAATTATGAAGTAGTCCTTTTGAACGTGGGATCTCTTGGTTAGAGCAATAATAAATTGCTTTATTTTTGAATAATTAGAGAGAGCAAACGATCATTAATAATCAAAAACTGAATAATAATAGTTTTATTTTAATTAACTTGAGAATGGGAGCATAATGTTGCAACAATTCGTCATATTTAGATGATGTAGAACCATGTGATGATATAGAAGTGAGTCGTTTGGATACTCGTAAAATCAATATAAAATATAATTACAAAAAGAAGTAGAAAGAATTGAATTCAAGTCAAACTACTAAGACTCAGGAAAGAACCAAACATTTGGCAGTCACTCTGAAAAGTGGAGGCGTATATTAAGGGGATTGGGTCGGCAATAAAAGAGAAGGTTATGGAATTCTAAGATGGCCAGATGGTTCAGAATATGAAGGAGAATGGAAGAATAACAAGGCTCATGGGTAGGGAAAGTTTGTCTATCCAGATGGAGACTATTATGATGGACAATGGGAGAATGACAAGTAAAATGGCAGAGGGACATTCCAATCGATGAGTGGATGTAAATTTGAAGGATAGTGGAAGGATGATTTATAATAGGGTTATGGGATAGAGACTTGGGAGGATGGGAGCAAATATGAGGGATACTTTTATGAGGGAATAAAATAGGGACAGGGGACTTATGTTTGGAATGATGGTTCGACATATACAGGTTTGTGGATTAATAATAAGAGACATGGATAGGGATCTCAAGTATGGAAGAATGGCAAAGAATATAAAGGGGAGTGGTTCGAGGATTTTATGTGCGGTTAAGGTTAAATTAGATGGCCCAATGGTTGTACATATGTTGGATAGTTTAATAAGGATGCTCCTAATGGTTATGGCATTTTTAAATGGTCGAGTATTTAATATTCATAATTTAGATGGTAGGAGTTATGAAGGCAGTTTTAAACAATCAAAGCCAAACGGGAAAGGTAAAGTTATTTTGGATAATGGTCGGACAAGGTTTGGAGAATGGAACGAGGGATAATTGATAAAATGGTTTGACAATAACCAAGATGGATAAAAAGAAAACTTTGATGTACTCAATCTAGAAGATATATGAAAAATCAAATATATATACTAATAATCAGACACAACATTGGAAATAGTACCAAAGATTTCATCTATTCACCTGGAAGAAAATTATTATCGATATCATTATCATCATCATCATCATTACTTTTGTTATTATATACTGTTCCGCACTTTAAACAAACAGAATTGGCAGAGTCCCAAGTGTATGTGTAAGCTGTACCTGAAAAACAATTTGATGCTCCAAGAGAAGAAAGTTTTTCTGAAAAACACTGGCCATTAGAAATAGTACATATCTCGTAATATTTACCAGAAAAATCTATGATTGGTTAACAATATGAAGATTGTTATTTTTTTGATGAACATGTATGTTATGCACAAGTGCTTTTGGATAAAGTTTAAGTCCATTGGCAAGTCTACGCTTTTGATTAACAGGCCTCTATGCTAGATGAAGCATCTAGACATGAAGCCATGATTTTACACTTTCCTTTTCCATTATCTAAATACCAGATGCAATATCCATCAGAGCCCCCATATTTGCATGCTTTCTCAGTTTGATACTTATCGCATGTTGAATAATCCACGCATCCCAGACCACTATCTATGCATTTACTTATTTGAGAGCAATTTTCTAACAATTCTTAACATTGAATCAATCTGCATTTCTATTCTTTCAAATCATAACTGCAATTACCATCCAAACTAGGAGTAAGATTGCAATAGTGTTATTGATATGTTTCGCATTTATCTATTTTAATACATTTAATGTTGTCAGATGTACAAGTTTCTAATTCCCTATTGCATTCTTAATGAGTAGTAAATTATAGATGAGAACATTACAAATCAACACACTTTTTTGCTTAAGTGTCATAATAGCATTTTTGATGATTTCTATTTAAATAGCAGCTTTTCTCTTAAGTATAAGATGAACACTCGCTTAATTCAATACATTTAGTTCCATTTGTTGTACAATTGTTACTTAGACTATAGCAAATTTGATGTTCTTCGTATTGGAGAGAGTTACAACCTGTATAGAGCTAGCATTTATTATTACTGGTTATGAACACACATTTTCCATCTGTTCCCTAAAAACAACTGGTAGCATTTAAATTGGCACATCTGTCTAATGGAATGCAATTATTTCCATCAGTAGTACATTCATTACTGACTTCATAACATTATTAATGAGTTTAGAAATTCAGAGATGTGCAGGATGAATATTGATAACAAGTATTTTTAATCCATAAACATGGTCCATCTGAACCCATAAAGCAACCACTTTGGATCTTTTTATTGCAATTAGATTGAGGAATGCAAGTGATTCCATTGGAAGTGCAAGATGGTTTAAATTTAGCACACTCATAATGATTTGTGTATGGCATATCTGAACATGATATATCCCTGCATACGTTTTTCGAGAATATACATTGATTTCCATCTTTGTCAGTTGTGCAAGCTTCTTAAACTTTAGCATCTTCGCAACGACCTTTTTTAATGCATCCTCCATATTATTTTGTAGTGCATCCTGGTTGATGCATATGACACTCAAGCTCAGTAACATAATTGACAGGAGCAGTTGAACAAGTATAATCAAGACATTTATTGTTAATCCATGAACACTTGCTACCCTTGGAATCAGTAACACAGGCTTATTAAATATAAGCTTATGAACACTATGTTCTCAAAACACAACCATTCCCATTAGTGGTGCATTCTGATTTATATGTTCTACACTATTCATCTGTGGAATAAGAGTAAGGAGCATCACTACATTAAAGTATGTTGCAACTAGGTTAGTATGCACACAATTGATTATTCTCATCAATAACACATCCTGATCTAGTGGTATATTTAGAACATTAATCAAGTAGAATGCATCCCTTTCCATTTGTAGTGCAATCCTTGTTAAACTGTTGGCATTCTTGATGAGAAGTGTATGTCTTATCAGCCTTATCACAAGTTTTATCTGTGCATGCATTGTTTAACCAGATGCATTAGCTTCCTGATTTAGTTTTTCTGCAATTTAATTCCTATAGATATAAGTTGCAACTTTCTTTGCGTTATATACATTAAGTTTGGTCAGCATTGACTGTGCAAGTACTCAAGAAAGTATTGCATGCTTCATCACTTGTAGTTTGATCTGAATTCTAACATGATCTCTATTCACAAGCATAAGGTAGAACTTTCTTGTTCCATATGCATAGGCCTTCAATCAAACTATCGATGCACATATATTCATTAGTATAAGAACTGCACTTATCTGATTTGGCTATGCATCCGCGATATTAAGTACCATCGTGATTCACCGTACAAGTAGGTAAAAATTACTAACAAGCTTGGAATGAATTTGAGGTTCCTTAAGTACATTATCTAATCACACATTATGATGATGACTGATTCCAAAAACACAAGGTACCCTGACTGGTTATAGAACATTGATGTTGCAATAGTTCTAGACAAGTTGCTTTGCGATTTACACAACCACTTTTTTTATCACTAATCATACACACTCTTGAGTAACTTAAACACTCCTCATCATTATCTATATCAAGACTAGCATACGAACAATTCTTTTTAACACATGATCTATTTATCCATAAACACTAAAATTTTGGAGTGCCTGCAAACCGACATTAATCTTCTATTTTATAAGCCTCACAGGAATCTGCTAAGTTTTAACATCCCTTAAGATCCTATTTTATGGTGCAACCTTCCAACCATTGTTAACAGTCAGAGTGAGTGCTCAAGTCATCACTTGCATTTTCACATGTCCTTTTTGTACAATGACCACTCCAATTACATTTATTGTTCTAATAGTCTTTACTACATAGACTTTCAGTTAAATATGTGTTACAAGTTCTATGAATACATTAGTTGTTCCCAGCAGTGCATTATGGCATGTATCTGCTGCAAGAACCGTCATTATATTTGGAAAGAATAGCATTACCACAAGTTTTATCAACGCATTGAGTTCCATTCCAAAAACATTTTTATGAATCATCCAACACACTAATACATTATTGTTATTTTTAGTATTGGGAACATGATTCCAACCTCTTAATACAACCATTATCGGTATTATTGACTGTACATTCGTTTTTAAATTATCTGCATAAACTATCGGTATTATAAGTGGATGAAGCATTCTCACACAACCAAAGTTTGCATGCTTATTTTGATTCGCAATTAGTATCTCCATCCTTACAAATTGTTTCTGACCACACACACAAACCTTCAGAGGCATAAGTACATTATGACTTATTTTGATATGCATCACAATTAGATGCAATTTCCATACATCCTTTCTGCTCATTATTTACAGTGCATGTACTTTAAAAACTTTAACATTCTTTATGGGTAGTATTAGAAGCAGGGGCATTTGAACAGATGTAGTCTTAACACGAAGATCCGTTCCAAAAACAAGAGTTCCCATTTTATTTGATTACACACCCTACTTCCTGTAAATTCTTGCAATCCTCTGTTATTTCAGTACAACCTCCCCCCTATTTGGCAGTGCATTTTAAATTATTCTTTTACCCTGCCTAAAAGCAGGCTTAATGAGTTTTGTATGATTATGGGATTTCGTTGCATTTTAATATCTAGTAGCATAGGTTGCTTTCTTTATTCCAAATGCATGGATATCCATCCAAATCTATCTCACAAGCAAATTGACTTTTATAGTTATCACATATCCATTCCATCTAAATACAATGTTCACCATTTGCTGTGCATATACGAGATATCTTCTGACACTCAGCATGTGTCTTTGCTTGATATACAGAGCAACCACTGAAAGGTATACAAATACCTTTGTATAAAGCACAACCATCTGCTGGGCAATTAGTAGAATTTATTGAGCAATAAGAATCCGAATCTGTATATATGCGATCTTCACAAAATCCAGTTTCATTGTTCCAATCGCAATTACTTAATTGATTACAATCAAACGAACTCAGAATTTATTTACAAGTGCATTAATCCTCCTTTAATAATAACTCTTAGTGACTCACCAAAATTAGACTCATAAGAATAAACATCATGTATATATAATTATAATACCAATAAATTAATATAACCAAATTTCAATTTTCATTATGACTTCTTTGTCTATGTAACTTAAGGGTTTGCTTATGAGCAAATCGCTTATTACACGTTTCACAAGCAAAGGCTCTTACATGTTTATGTCTGATCAAGTTATGTTTCTTCAAAGACCTCAATCTTTAAAATACTCTGCTGCATTTCAAACACTGAAATAACTCCTTTTGTTGCTATTGCTTTTTATGATGATCTTGTTAATGCTTTTTTAATTGTCGTTTCTTTGTAAACTTTTACTCACACTCATGACATTCATATGAGATCATCTCATGAATTAATTGCATATGTCTTTTCAAATGATGCTTGCAAGTAAACTTCTATGGACAACCTCAATCTCAAATCTATTATGTACTTTCACATTCAAATGGCCTATTCCCACTATGAGTTAATTGATGTCTTTTCAAATGCTAAGAACGCTTAAACTCCTTCCCACATTGATCACATCTAAACTGCTTCAGGTTTTAGTGTGTCTCTCGTATGTGTCTTTATAGTTTAGAATTGTTGGTAAAAACCTTTTTGCATTCTTCACAAGTAGGTTATGGTTGTGGTTCCTCCTATGGAACATTCATTTCCTCCTCTGGACAGGACTTTAACTTGTTCAATTTCAAAAATATTGGTAAAGTGAACACTTCCATAAATTATTTCTTATTTATAATTTTAATCAAGAGTCCAAATTATCATATATACTTCAAAAATAGGAGTAATAAAAATCATCCAAGCAATCAGGTTGTATTAAGAATGGATGCTTCTGAGTTCCAACTCCAATTGGTTTAATTTCAATCCAGACTTCCTTCCATTTATCCTAACCAACAATCTATGGAAATGCCACACTATCTCTCCCTTTCACTCTGACCCATCTATTCAAGCATTGATCAAATACGCCATTGCCTCCTTTCTTGAGTCCTGATATCGTCCACTTACAATCGCGAAACAACAATTCTCTTACCAAAACAGATGGATTGATGCCTAATGCTCTATAAGGGCACATATCGCATTTAACATCTCTCATTATTCGTTGAAAGCTGAAGGTTCCAAACCCTATGGGAAATACTATTTCTCTTTGAAAATTAATGCATTTGGCATTAATGCAAACAGCCTATGTAATGAGATGGACTTCTTACTTCCAATGTCAAGCCCTCAACTTCGAATGGTTAGATTTGACCAGGATGGAATGGAACCAGATCTAGATCAGTCACCCTAAATCGCTCAATTGGTTTTTGGAAGGTTTTAGCCAAAGTAACTCTCCCAATGGTCTTGGTTTGTATTGTCTCTACATTGGCAAATAATTGCTGATTATCAGTTGTGATGCCCAATTGTTTCAGAGTCTTTGATTCATCTAACTTCATAGTCTTGTAAGTCTCTTAAAAACTGATTCTTGTTCTGAATACATCCAAAGCTATGTTTGTAAAAGACTCAGTACTTAATTCCTCTGCAAGAAGATTAGCAATTTCCTTTAAAGTAGTATGAATGCCTACGGAGAGTTTGATCTTTTGCTTTGTTGCGTTGAGAACAAGGGTCAAATCAATCTAACGATTGGGCTCTTTTTTAAGCATTATTTAAATTAAAATGGATAGCATATACAAGACTGCTAATATTAAGGATTTCTATAAATTAGATAAAATATTGGGAGAGGGTAGTTATGCAATAGTGAGAAAGGCCATTAGAAAAAGCGATAACATGGAAGTTGCTGTGAAAATAATAGACAAGTACATTCATTTATAAGATTGCTTTAATTAGAGCATCTTTAGAAAGCGACGATCATTTGGCTATCCAGAGTGAAGTGGAAATAATGAGTTAGATTGATCATCCAAATATTGTGAAAGTCTTGGAAGTTTTTGATGATAAATAGAAACTTTACATCGTACTTGAATTAATGACAGGAGGTGAGCTTTTTGATCGTATAGTTGAAAAGGAATTATATAATGAAAAAGAAGCAGCTGATGTCATTCGACCAGTCGTGGATGCTATCAGATGTAATTCATACAAAATAATTCCTTTAGATTGTCACTCTATGGGTGTAGTACATAGAGATCTTAAACCTGAGAATATTCTTTATACGACCCCAGATCCAGATGCGACAGTTAAGATCTCGGATTTTGGAGTGGCCAAGGTTATATCTGATGAATTGATGCTCACTGCTTGCGGAACTCCTGGTTATGTCGCCCCAGAGATTCTAACAGGCGTGGGATATGACATGGCAGTTGACTATTGGAGCATCGGTGTAATCCTTTATGTGCTGTATATATTCTGAATTTATGGACCTAACTTAGATTGTGTGGCTATCCTCCATTTTACGAAGAGTCTAATGAGAAGTTATTCGAGTAGATCAAATCAGGCAAGATAGACTTCTCAGGGGAGTAATGGGAGAAAATATCTAAGGAAGCTAAAGATCTAGTTGAGAAACTTCTGAAGGTTGATCCCAAGCAAAGATATAAGGCTGATTAGATTTGCAAGCATCCTTGGATCACTGGGGAGAAGGCCTTGACCAAGGATTTGTCTGATGTGACTGAAAAACTAAGAGAATTGAATGCTCGTAGGAAATTGAGAGTAAACAACAGTATGATTATTCTTAGCGTGCCCAATTGATGGTGTTGGCTACAACCAAACTTTAGAGACGCATTCAATAGCATTAACAAAAAAATTGATTTGTTAATTCATTAATGAACATATATACATTGCTGTATTTCATCTATTTTCTGTCATCCGAATGAACCTAGGCGTAGATAATAATAATTTATACTATTCTTAATATTTTGATTTTCTTATTAATAATTTAACGAATATGAACCATTTACGTTTATTAAAAGAGCATAGTGCCAATCCTCTTGATAACTATGTCATAGGTGTCAATTTTTAATTTATATAGAATAGTCCATTGGTAAGGGAGCCTTTGGGAAAGTGTACAGGGGTCTTCATCGACCTACTCAATAGCGAGTGGCTATCAAAATACTTGAGAAAAGTAGAATAGAATAACCAGCAGATTTCACACGTATCTAACGTGAGATCCACATACTCCGCAAATTACGTCACCCAAATATAGTTCAATTGTATGAGATTCTGGAATCGGAGTCCAAAATTTATTTGATTATGGAATATGTAAGTGGAGGAGAACTTTTTTAACATATAGTTAAAAATAAGAAATTGTCAGAACAGGATGCAGCAGCCTTCTTCTCTCAGATTATCGAAGCCATTGAATACTTGCATTCTATTAAGGTGGCTCATCGCGATCTCAAGCCTGAAAATCTACTCCTTGAAAAAGACATTCTTAAAGTGGTCGATTTTGGTTTGAGCAACATCTACACTGATCTTCTGAACACTCCTTGTGGATCACCTTGTTATGCAGCTCCAGAAATGGTTTCTGGTCAACAATACTAAGGAATCAAAACTGACATATGGGCCAGTGGAGTCATCCTGTATGCAATGATTTGTGGTTGCGTGCCTTTTGAAGATCCCAACACAAGAAAATTGTATGAAAAAATCAAATATTCTGACTTTGAACGTCCTTCCCATTTGAGTGCCAAAGTCATAGATCTTCTCAATGGATTACTCAACAAGAACCCCCAAAATAGATTGTCCATCGCCAAGATAAAGATGCATCCATTCATAAGGTATATATAATTGTGGATCTATTTTTTAGTAACTATTCATATTCAATACCTCTGTTCAAGACTTTGGCCATAAACATTGAAATTGTGAAGTAATTGGAAACTGTCGGCATTGATAGTCAAAAATGCAGAGAGATGATCCTCAATAATAAACACAACGCAATAACAACAACATATCATCTTCTAAACAAAAATTAGAAACCTTAATTATAATAAATTTAAAGAGTTCGAACCCATTAAAGCATTAAATCAGTTGTTGATAGACCACATTAATCGACAGAACATCGTCCTAATTCTAGTACTCACCATAAAAAAACTAAATCCCAAGAAAACAATTACCAAACTGCCATATAGATTAATAGAGGGTTTGAGAATAGAATATCAGAAAGACCTAAGTCTACCGAGAGAAGGATATGCACAGAGAGTGATCGAAGAGAGAAGAATAAAACTCATCATGAATTGAAGGAGAACAATGTCGCACGTAAGTCCTACGCTTCAAAAGCAAGCAAATCACCTGTTATGTATTTGGAATATAAATTAAAAACAACCAGAATGATGTGATCAAGCTTTTATTATATTATAATCCACTAAAATAATAATTAATATTTCAATAGAGTACATTATGCTTTAAGAATAAACAAAGTCCTTGAGTTCATTTCCCAATCTTTAAGCACTTTGCAAGAAGGATGAAAAGTAAAAGCAATCCTTAGAGAAATTGCTATAACATAAGCCTCATGTAGTAAAGAGTTTGGACATCTATGCCTAAAACATAGAGGAATACTTGAAGGATCAAAGGAAGAGGATTGCTTACTTAAAAAAAAGAGAAGAACCCTACTATGAGCAAAAACCTATACAAGCCTATGATGAGGCACTCATTATGCAATACAATAGAGTTAAAGCTAAATAATATTATTTGCAACAATCGCAAAAAAAGATATCATAACAACCATCTCCTGAACAACCACGCAATAGAACACCCTCCAAATACTTCGATAAGAATTACAACCCATTAAAAAGAAATGAAAAATTTGATATTCCATCTCTTTAACCTGTCAATGTTTCACCTCCCAAGGAACTCAAACCCATTCAATTCAGAGTAAATCATACCCATATTAAGATAGTATAACTATGCCATGCAAGTAAATGACCCTCTTCTTAGACAAGTTCTGAGTACTCGTTAGTAATGGTTTGAAGTTCCAAATAATTCATTTGCTCATTTATAGTGGCTAACTTAACTCTTAGATTTTAGTAATCTCTCAAAACAAGACGTTGTTTCAAAAAGATAAATGGTGAATTTAATGGAATTTCAACATGAATGGTCAGCTAAATCATCATTATACAATAATCTATGCTCTATTTCCCCAGAACAAGCATTAAAAGTATTACCACCAGGATTTGTATTGAATTTTAAGATTTCCTAATGGGTTGAAGATCTGGATTTTATTTAGGATTATTTGATAACCCATCATCCTCAAAAAGAAACACAATCAAAGTTTCCATTTTCTGTATATGTTCCTAACAAAGGAGGCCAAACTTATAATAAATAAATTTCAAAATTAATGCAAGAAGTCCCCAAAATTTGGATTTGCAAATCAGCTATTGGATCTAGTGCTACCGTACTAAATAGTCTCGATTAATTACAATCATTTTTAATTCAACAATACAAAGATTAAAAGGAGTTTGTGATTTAGAAGTATATAACAAATCCTCTGTTGTATGATGGAAAGAAGTTTGACATCCAAATCAATGTTTTGGTTAATTAGGAAAATTAAATTTTTGTATCAGCAGAACCAACTGGGAGATGTTGTACAGTCAATTATGATCTTAATTCGGTATTCCATTTTATTTAAACTACTTAGGAAGATCCTTTTGCCCATACTAAACCAAAATAAGGCATTTCTCACAAAAGCTTGGTAGAATTCTTAGAATCCCAAGGGATCTCTCTATAAGATCTACTGACTCAAATTAAGGCTACGATTTCTTTGATTCCCTGCAAATTAAATAGAAGATAAAGGAAATACTGCATGTAAATCTTTGGTTTTGATTATTTGCTTGATGATACCAAGAAAATTCATTTGATAGGAATAAATGCAAATCCGATTTATACATATGCTGAATTAGACGGAGCATTCAAACTGACTCTGGATAAAATTTTCCCTATAAATAACAATAATAAAAGCGATGAAAAATCAATTTGGACCTGCCTATTTTGATATTAATTTATATGAACAATATAATTTTTTAGATATAAATTTAATTCTTAAAATATGCAATAAAGCAAATTAATTTCATTTAGCACCTAGAGGCTAAAATTTATTCCATACACAGCTGAAGTAGTTGAGACATATCATACGTGGATGTAGGATCCAGAAATACTCTATTTAACAGGGAGTGAACCTTTGAGTTTAGAGGAGGAATATAAAAATCAAGAAAGTTGGTTGAATGATCCCTTAAAACATACATTTATCATAAAAAACGATAAAGAGATGATTGGTGATGTCAATCTATTTTTCCATCAATACTTAGATGATGATGAGGCTGAAATCAATGTTATGATTGGGAATAAAAATGCCAGAAGACAAGGGTTTGCAGAAGAAGCTATAAAATTGATGATGAGTTTTGGATTGCAACAATACAAGAAAACTAAGTATGTAGCAAAAATTAAGGATTCAAATGAGGGTTCAATTAAATTATTCTTAAAAATTGGTTATAAGGAAATTAAAAAGCTACCTCAATTTGAAGAAGTTCATTTGTAAATGATAATTAATGCTCCTTTAATTGAATATATTAAAATATGAATATTGATTGATATCATATCATGGTTTATTGAATCTTGTTTTTAAATTCTCCCAAATACCTCCTGCTTTTTCTTTTACAGTACCAAATGTTTCCATTGTTTTTTCAGTTGCAAAATTAAACATATTCTTCAATTAATCCATTTCTACAATACGGAATAAATTTACTTTATGACGAATCTTCAGACTCCTCTTCTTTTTCTCCAAAAAATTACTTACTCGAAATAGCTGTTTGTCCATTGAATTTATAAATATTCTATTTATTTTATTCACTAAAAGATAATTGATACTTAATTACCTATCTTAAGATTAGAATAAAGTTTCAGATGATATTGATTTGACATTCTTGTCTTTCAATTTTTCTAAAGTTTCATTGGTTTGTGGGCTAGGCTAAGTGGCTTATTGAGTTTGTTTCATAATCACTTTGGGCTCTTCTTATTATGGTAATTCTGATTTATTGGACTCAAATTTTAAAGGGTCCTAACTGAATGGATTTGAAAATGGATCGTCAAATTCTAATGAGTCAAAGTCCACGTGAGCTAATTTCTTGCCTTAGACGGCTTTGCCAGATGCAGCTTAAGGTTTCGCGTTATCAGCAAATACAATTTTATTGCTTTTCTTAGTCACAGTTGCTTCTTCTTATAACAAATTGTTTTAAAACACTTGCTTTGGTTACTCTTTTACTGGAGATTCTTCTTCTTTGTTTTAAGTAGGCTTTTCAGAGGTTTGAGCTATTTTCACAGGACTTGGTATGAGTGATGGACGAGTTATGTTCAGCTTTTCTTCGCACAAGGCTAATACAACTAATTAAAGTACTTGTTTAAGAAGTTCTTATTTGTATTTTTCAACTAGAGGACTTTTGTAATCGATTTGACTGCATCCTGGACCAATCAATCCAACGCTTTAGAAATACTCCAAGGCCTTTTCATTACCTCCTACTTGAAGGAATGTAATTTATTTTCTTGACCAGGAATCCAAAGTAAGAGATCTAAACTTAAGTTAATTTCCAACCTTGCAAATGTATAACGCACTCCGTATTCTCTATGTTTACCAGAACAATCAATACACAAGAATAAACCCAAAGTGACAGATGCCCATTTGGTATTTTTTTTTCCACAATCGATACATTTCTATTAGAAGATTAAAATGAATTATTTACATCGTTTCCTTAAACTAGTTTCAATTGCTTGATAATTTAATCTCTCTCCGCATCATCGATCTACATAATTACACATACTAATTTACAATCTAATTCTCCATATTTTATTGGACTTCCAAACTATTTTATAACAATATTTATAAAAATAGCCCTAGCTATTAATGAACTTCAAAACTACAAAAAACTGAAATACAATTTATTTATTTTTAAATAAATATCCAACTTCGATACTAAACTAGCCTTCATTATTCTAATAGAAGTGAAATACAATAACATTTTCAATAAAACATAAACTTTATAAAAAAGTGTCAAATAATATATGGATTTTAAAGATATTCATATACGATCTTATATGATTTTATTGCAATTCAAAAACTACTTGAATAATATCCTTCTTCCATTCATAATACTAATAAATTTTTTAAATATAATAATATTGAATATCTCTTAAGAATGATGCAAATGGATATAGATTAATTCTTTTTGCTTCAACTGATTAGCAAAGGAACTTATGCAAAAGTATATTTGGTTAAAAAGAAGGATACTAATAAATTGTATGCTCTCAAAAAATTAAAGAAAAAAGTAGTTGATTAAAAGAAACAAGCCGTATAATAATTGAATTACAGTATTAGTAATATGTTACGATGGAAAAAGCTATTCTTAATTAAGAAAAGCATCAATTTATCGTTTACCCATAATATTCATTTTAATAGGAAAACTATTTTTACTTTGCTTCAGAATACTGTGAAGGAGGGGATCTATTTAGTTTATCTAGAGCAAAAGGGAAATTCAAAGAGAAAGCCATATAATTTTATGCAATCCTGATAATTCATGCATTATAATTTCTACATATTTAAAAGATAATTTATAGGGAGTATAAATAATAATGATGCATAGTCTAAAGCCTGAAAACATACTCATCGATGAAAAAGGTTATATAAAATTAACAGATTTTGGTCTTTCCAAAATATTGCTATAAGATAGAACTGAATAGGTAGAAGGAACATTTGAATATTTGGCTCCAGAGATTCTTAATCAAAATGGAGATGACTATGATTATAAAGTAGATTGTTGGTCCTTAGGTTGCTTATTATACGAATTAATTGCAGAGCATCCTCCTTTTATGTCTGAATATAGGGATCAATTGCCCAATTTAATTAAGACAACGCAACCGAAATTCAACTTTCCATTATCCGATGAACTTAAAGATTTGATAACCAGTTTATTGCAAAAGGATCCAAAGAAAAGACCCTCTTTAGCGGAAATCAAAGGATTTTCATTCTTTAAAAATGTTAAAGATTGGGAATCGTATTTATCCTACAGGGTTGTTCCTCCCTTTTTACCAATTTTTCATCAATGTGAAGATTTCTGGCGTTTCGATCCTGTAAGTGATTTTATCTTAACAAATAGGGGTTTACCTAATATAAAGAATCTGGAGATGCAAATTATGATTCAGATAAAGATAATAAATTTCCTGACATTTTCGGTAAAAATTCTTAATAATGAATTTAAAACATATATATTTTATAAACAAACAATGCAAAAATATGAGTATTTATTATTCAAATAATCATTGTCTCAATTATTCTAGCAATTTCTTAAATCCAGTTGGCTTATTGCTAAATTGAAAAATTAAAATGTGAAGTATTCCTAGTTACATTTGTTAACAAATAAAATTACATTTCAGTCAAAGATTACATAGATTAGAAGCCAAATGATTTTAAATGATGGGAAACACGTTTAATTTTGTTATATAATAAGGAGAATTATCTAGTGAATAAAATATAGTGATAACTTAAAAGCAAAATAATATGAATAGTTAATGCATAGATTGCTGGAATTATGAGATTATATATTAACTAAAGTACATTTATTAAAGCAATATGGAGTGATGACAACGATATTCTCTGTAATGATTATTACGATTAAAGAATATTATTATTAAGAATTTTATTTTTCCTTTGAGCTCAGAGAGTTATCGCTTTGAATGCATAATTTATCATTTTTTATATAAAATTTTATAAAATGGAAAATGATCTGCAAAAAGAAAATCAGCTGCTTGTAGAATAGATTAAGGCGCTCTAGGCTTAATTAAATAATAGAGAAACTTTAAGAAATGAATGCTCTAGAATAAATGATTAAAGCAGCTTTTTCAACACATTCAAATAATCAACACCAAGAGGTAATATCAGTAGAGACCAAAGCAAAAGAGATCTTTAGGATTTGACTGCTTAAGTGAAGAAACTTAACGAGTACAATTTCAATTTATTTCCAAAGAGAGAAAGAACAATTAAGGAAAACCTTAAAACATCAAATTGATGCTTATGATCAAAAAATTCAATAAAAAGAAATGGAATTAAGCCAAAAAGAAAAAATGTATAGACAATTATAGACTGACTACAAAGAATTGCAATAGACTCTTATATAAGAATAAAGTAAACCCGCTCCCTAACCAGCGGCACCAACGCCTGTTCAGACTAAACCTGCTGGAGATCAAATACAATAATTCCGAGTTTAAAAAGTTGGTCTAATGAATCTTCCATGTTTAGTATCTAATTTTAAGCTTATCAATAGATTCTAATTAGAAGGAATATATTCGAACAATTCGTGATCGAGATCGAAAACACCAAGGATAGAGTATGCATAAATGTGTAGGACATCACAGATTTAGTACCTGATAGAACTAAGGAGGATCATTTTTAGTTAACATATAAATTATCAAATCAAAAGATTACGGAAATGTATTAATCTACAGAATACAAATCAATATTAAGAGCAATTAAGTAATATGATTATGGATAATTTTCATAGGTATCTTCATTCTTAATAATAACAAACTAGGAAATAGGAAAACTAACCAGCTTAATTATAATAAGAACAACAAAGTGGTTTAATCAAAAGTTTGAGTTCCTTTTTTATGAAAAAATGACATTTTAATAATAATAATAAATTAGATATAATAGAATCAAAATGCGTTGTTCTCATAATTTATAATTTCCTCCAATAAATTTACCAAAATTTTATTATACTCTTTATTTTCAACCCCTGAAACATTTAACCCAGCCTTTAGTAATTGAATCAGCCACTTGCTTACAACTTTTTATTTCAAATTCTGCTTTAACAAAGGGAATACAGTTTCCATAAACAATTATTGTAATCTACTGATGACAATCTAAGATTCAAGATGTCTTAATTGTTCTAGATTGCCATTCAAAGTGTCCTAACGATGTTATGGTTATGATAACCCATTATAGGCATCAAGAAACCTTGAGACCAATTATTCTACAAAAGAGAAAGGGTCATTACTAAAAGTGACAATGACCCTAGCTGCTAATAACTCAATATTTATAAAACTCAATTGTTTTTTTTGAGTAGTGTAAGTATTCTCCAAATCATCAAATTCTTATGAACTTCTCTATACGGAATTCCAATCAACTGCCCATTGTTCCAAGAAATATCTCATATATAAATTGGTGTTAAATCTTTTACATTTTTAATATGATTCCTGAAATAATTACAAAATCTATTATTTATTTTGTTAAGTAATATGATTTTAAAATTGTGTCACCTATACTTCTAAAATCTCCAAACATCTTTCTTAGATAGATTATTTAGATAAACATTCTGTGGCATTTATCTTAAGACTTAACTTTTTGGGTCTAATCTCTTCCTTTAATAATTGATCCAAAGGTTTCTAAAAATCTTCATCCAAATTAAATGCCTCTAACAATTCAGTTGGAGAGCATTATTACAATAAATGTTGTATCTATTCAATTAACACATTCCAATTATCTTCTGTTAATGATTGTCCCACATTTTAGATTATTTTCTTAAGCGATTGAAGACATAAAATAGAGATATACTAAATTTATAATAGAATATATTTACATCTTGGGTTTATAAGACAAGTTATACGAATATGTCTATTAAATCATTAATGCAAGGCTAAATCTATTGAATTTGTGAAATCACTAAGTCAGTAAACAATTAAAAAGTCATTTTGCAAGTTGATGCTATAGATTTCTTGGATTACTATTATTTGATGGTTTGCGATTTCTAAAATTGGATTTCGTCAAATAATGGTCTTATTACTCCCCTCAATATCATCTTCCAGAATTCATTTGTTTAATAAACTCCATGTTTTTAAAGCAACTCAAAGAGTGTTTGAACACTTAATTATTGAACATCTACTCTCTCATCGCTGTATAAAATAGATAAAGATGACAATACAGGAATCCACAAGGAATCCAAAAATTTATTGTCATTGTTTTTTATCAATGCAATGTGATCAATTAATGACTTCAATTATTTGATAGCATTCTCAACAATATTAATTTCCTTGTTCTTGGTCAATTTTATTAATGCTTAAATTAGTTCCATATATATTTCTTGATTAACCTATTGATTATTTACATCCTCCATTATTTTATCAGTAATCTGCACACACAATCTTACTAGCTACTATTAATCTTCTTGAAGTGCCTAATTAACTATATTCATTATGATTTTCCAACCACTTTTAAGCGAATTAAAACACACATTAGTTATCATACACATACAAGATAATAAGTATTCTCTTAGCTAAATTTTATATTGAGATTGCGCTTGACTGTGACTAAAAATCTATTCAAAAGGCATTAGAAACTCTTTCTAGAAATGATAGTTAGCTAATTCAGGTTGTTGTAAAAATTTGCAACTTAACTACTTTAATTAATCTAGAGCATAAATTGCTAAATCAACATTCTTATGACATCCTACTTCCAGAAAATGTTCCCTCATTATCTCCCACATTCGAGACCATACAATCTTGATTCTATTCATGTTAAAATCCGCAACCTCAATCATTCTGCTCAACAAGAATGTTCTATTTTATTTGATTTCCTCCTTTGATAACTCACATAAGGCTCTTATGAATTCCAAAATGGAATTTGAATCTAAATTAATCGACATATTGAATATCTTATCAATTTAATCGTAGGATATAATTTAAAACAATCCCTCGATGTTTTGAATATCCTCTTGATTATAGCTTTCCTTCTAAGGAGAATCAACCTTTATTTTCTTCACAGCTTAATGCAGGATTTCTAATCTTGAAACTAATTACAAGGCTACTTTCCAACTCTTCCTTAAATATTAACCAGATTAGATTGTTGCTTTTATTAATGTCTTAATTCCCACCATTTATCTATAAGTATTTGGAATACCAGTACAATATCTCTATAAAAAACTGATAAAGGTATCCTTTTCTTCATCTAAGTCAAATCTACCCATCAAATAGATACAGAATTGAATAGTCTCAAAACATAAGGCGATCTATACTTTATCTTCTGTTTATTCTAGAAATACACTAATCGAAGCGAAAATAGCACTCCAAGTTTATTATAAGAGGGATTTGACATGATCAATAGAATTAGCATAGAAATAAGCATCTTAATTAGGGTGTTCCTTAAACCACTTTTTTAGAGACTCCTCAGCCTCTTTGGCCAACAATGCATGTTTCCTTCTTTAATCCACTTAGTTAGCTTACTCAAGTGCTTTTTTAGCTTATTCTTTAGCATGTAATGCAAGTGGAGTCTTTTAGATTCTTTGGTAAAACCCAAGCAATAAATCTTATGGAAGATTTTCACCGTCATTAATACCTTTGGCTAGATTAAAGAATTAAGGAACTGTCATTTTCTCTAGGTTTTTCTCATTGTGTAAATCCGTTTGCAACATCATTAATAGATAAGACAGTGTGTAGGCAGCTTGAGCTGATTAATAGATTCCAGGATTATCAATGCAGTATTTAGATGCAAATTTTTCCATAATTCTATCTATTTATTAAGATTCTCCTGGCAATGTGAAGAATTCAAGCATATATCTTAAACCTTCATCTACTTACAAATCCTTAAAATTCATAAAATCTATGTATTATTAGAAGACTTATTAATTGAATTCGGTTGAACAACCAAATAATTCTCCTAATTTGTCCTTGTTTAAATCTCGATTTTCCCATAGAAATTAGGCAAACAATTTAGGGTCTCTTGTCTCCATAAACTAACAAGCAATCAAGTGTTTTATGCAGTGTTCAGGCTTGAAATTGAATTTCTATACTGCTTTATTCATTTCCAATTTCATCTATTTTTATTTCTCAATTGGGTCCTGCGATAATTGTTAGGATTGAATAGTAGTGTCTTCCTACTCATCAAGTTATTAGACTTATATGAGATTTTATGCGTCCTCATTCTATTCACAAAAGTCTTTAAGGCATTTAATATATCCATAATAGTTGTCTTGACATAAGGATTTTAGATAGATCTCTTAATTTTGAGTAATGGAAGCTTGAAACTCTTATTTACTGAATCTGCCTTAGATGATCCTGCACTACATGTCTAAGATCTTTTTTAGTAGATTATTTTATCCTAAAGAACAATCATAATTAACAAAGATTTCAATTACAACTCTTGGTTTGGTCATTATTTTATTAAATACTTTAAGCGTGTATTATTTGTGATCAAAGGAACTATTGCTGCTGTCTAAGAACTTAAAATAAATATTTTCGATTAAAGCTTCTAACTCCTTCTTGAGATGACTTCTGACCTTCCAAATCAATTAAATAAAGATATTAAGAGATGATATTAGTAATTATTTCTCTGCTGAAAGAGAATTCTTCAAAAGAGATTCCAATAATTGTTCTTTTATCATTTAAATGAATTTTGGTTTATTTTGTAATATGATATTGCTTTGAGCCAAGGCTTCATAGATTAATTCGAGAGAAAGGGTCTTGCATTTACTAGCCATTTAATTTAATTGAGAATTAGCATTATCTTTTTAACTCAATTAACATAGCATTTCCAATATGTCAAGGGCATCTTTGCAATATAATTCACTGTAGTTAGAATGTTGATAGCATTATGAGAAATTGTTCATCTAATTAAGATGCACAAATTTGCACTCTTTGCTACAAACAGGTACTTTAGTTTCCTTACAATATTGTGATGCTTACTTTCTGCATACAATACACCATCCAAATTTTCCATTTTTAATGTTCTGTTCATTGGTAACATAAACTTAGATCGAGTTTCTTTCAACTATTACATTACGTAAGTTAGGTTCACAGAGATTTAAATCAATTACTTTCATCTAATTTAGATCTTCTATTTGTCTATCATATACTTATCTTCTCTCACTGTAGATCTAGACCTCGTCAATTAATGAAGTCATCAATGATCTCATATATTACTCAGCATTCACCATAGCCCTACATTTACCCAAAATCAATTATCCTTGATTTTCCTACTTTTAAATAGCTTGTTGAAACTCAGATTCTGTTAAAATACCAAAGTCTTCCAATCTTTAAAAATAAGTACTAACTATTTTCTGACTTGCCTCCTTACTAGCGTTGACAATTGCAACAATTTTAGAGACTATAATATTGAATATGTTGACAACCTGAATGCAAATTGATGAGTAATTAAAATACCTGAGTGGTTAATTCTCCATAAATATGATGCTTCCTATTAGTCATAATAGTTTGAATGGCTTTGATCATATGAATTTACAATGTTTCCTCCTTTTCTTATTAGCAAGATAAGACAATTTCCAAAATCACATTAATGGCTCTTTTATCTCCAATCTTTTATTCTCCTGCAAAAAAACCTTGTTCAACTAGATTCTATCAATAAGATATTTGATACTTTTATGTCAAACAAGGCTAGCTCTATCAGCTTAACTTGTTTTGATTCTATGCACTATTAATACACTTTTATTAAGTGATTAGCATCAAAGTAATCTTTGAGTTCTTGTAATAGAAATAATATGTTACATTAAGTTTCTTCTATTGTTTGTTTCAATTCAAACTATTTTTTAGTAATTGTCTTTTTGATCTTGTCTAATGATTGATTGGTCAAATCACTTAAACTTAATGACATTAGTATATATAAATAATTTTTTAAATTAGTCAATTCTATATGTTAATCATACTTGATCAGGAAGTTTCAGAATGACTAATTTAAAGTGTGCCACGTAGGACAAGCGAATAAGATGTAATTTGCAATCTTTAAAATTAATGTTTTAATAACTATCAAAAATTGTTAAACAATGTGTTTTGCTTCTCACTAAAATTATCCATCTCATATCCAGAAAATTAGGCTTAAATTAATAAATCCATAATTTACATTAAATAGAATTTCTTCTCAACATTATTGAATGCTATTGTATTAATTCATTGTTTTCTTCGTCTTCCATAGATATCTAACGAGCATCAAAATTATCTTCATTTTGCTAAGTTATATTTTTTGGATTTATACATTAGGAATGTAAGGTGATTTTAACTCTTTATTCATTAATTTCGACCATGGAAAATTCTTGAACCAAGAATGCTATCTTAATTCATGAGGCCCATTAAAACCCAATCGATTAGCTGGTTTCCTTTGTATCAACTAAACTTGATGTGATAAAGTACTCTATTTATAAAATCCGCTGATTCTAGAGACCAATTATCTGGTATTTCTGATCTTTTAATCTGAACTTGTTTGGCTAGAATTTAATCTCTAATTTCTTTTCTTGATCTCCCAGTATATGGTCGCTAATTATTCCAATTGAAAGATTACCTTCCCCAACATAAATTCATATCCAATAACTCCTAAAGCAAAATAATCCACTGCGAAAGAATGATTTTATCTACACATCACTTCTGGAGCTACGAATTTAATGTTATGAACATACCCATATAACCTGGAGTACCTGAAGTATCCTATGAATTCTCAGGCCTTAGATTTCGAGCTATTCCCAAATCCGTTATTCTGACGTAACCTAACCAAGATAGTTTATTAGTTCTACCATGTTTATCAAGTACTAAATTCTCTGGTTTGATATCTCTATGTAAACTGTTTTTGGAATGCATGTATTCTAACCCCAAGAAGATGCAAGCCATGAAGAATCCTGCATATTGTTATGAAATACTTGTCTGATCTTCAGTAAATCTTCTCATTTTTCCGATATGGTATCTTAGGTCACCTCCTTACATGTAGTCTAGAACTAGGAATAAGTTCTCTCTGTCTTAAAATGCATAGTAGATATTCACTAGAAATCTATGTTTAATGCACTATTTACGGATGCTTGAGATTGCTCAAGATGTTTCTTTCATTCATCACGGAATTCACACTTTTTTTGGCTATTATGCTTAAACATAATGATGAAATCAATACAGTGCTTTTGACATCTCTTTCATTGCATAAATCTATCCATTCTTCTTGTACTCCACTTTCCAAACTTTTCCAAATCCTCCTATTCCAATCACAAATTGAAAATTAAACATATTCTTCTATACTACAGGTTCGTTTATATCTAATTTCAAATGTTATATTCAACTTTCTTTCTCTTCGTCTTAAGCGATTTACGATTGATCCTTCAAGATCAAGTAGTTAAGAAATGATATCTGCTTCGGCTATTGCTATTTAGAGATTGATGATTTCTTTGAATGATTGGCTGATGATTGCTAACTTGAAGGTACTGCCAATTTATGCAAACCGTGTACCATCGGTGCTGGTGATCTATCAATATTTTAATCATTCTGTCGGCTTAACATTCACATCACTTTCTTACTTATTTAGTACATTCGTCACTTACTGGGCCTATCCCAATTGAGATCGCGTTAAGTTCATTTAACCAGAATCTTATCTTGAATGAGGAAATCGATAATTTAAACTTTTCATAACAGTAATTATATATATAAATTTTAGAATTCCCTTAATATTATTTTTAAAAACTTGCCTTAATAAATATCATTCTAATTTAAACTACCCTTTTAGAAAAACTAGAATGCTACACTCAAATTTAAATTGACATTCCTAGCTACACTACATATCTGGCCAATGTTGTAGCAATCAATAGTTAATTCAAAAACTTTACCAAAATAAATTAACTAATCTGTTAATAGCAGTTAATCGTCAAAATAATAATAAAAAAGAGAAGGATAGAAACAGATGTTATTTAATTAACTTAAAGAGTTTTAATCTAAATAATCGGGTTTGTAGAATAAATTAATTAAACCAATGATTGAAGTAAAGAATTCAATGCGAATAGTGCTAAATCAAAATGCATCAATAAATTATAAAGAGAATTAATAAAAGAATGCCTGGGGCAGGAAATTTATATAATAATTACCAAACAATGGCTTGGAGAAAATTCTCATTGTCTAATAGAATTGATTTTTAATTGCCAATTTATTAGTGTTTATGATCAAGTTGGTTTAATAAATTAGTAAAGCATCCCAAAGGTTAATATAACAAAAATTATTAATATAATTCATCAAATCATGTTAATTTTTCAATGCAAAGTTTGCTAAAATAATGAAAACTAAACTCTGTCACTGCAAACACGCCCTCCAGACCATCGCGTTTTCACTCGTAAAGTTGTGTTAGAAATTATATTTAATTAACGAAAAGTAGTCTTTTAATCAAATACTATTTATCTTCCATCTTTTTCAAATTGAAAATTCGCTATTTCTCTTTTGATAAATTGGATATTACTAAGGGTAGGATGAAAATTAATATAATGTAGTTATTGCATCGGAAAATAGAGTACTTGGCTCGCACTAAAATTCTAATGAGGCCTTAATAGCATTTGATCCATCCAACAGGAGAAAATTTACACAGAATGAGCTATCATAGTCAGTTTCTAATAATTATGATGCTATAATACAAAGAATTTCCAATTCGCTATCTTTAGGAACTTTAGCTGGCTCTGTATATATTGAAATTTGACCATTTAGCATACTCCCAAATATATTTGATATTGTTTATTCACCTTAATATGCAAATTTTCCTATTCCGTTAATTTTTGATATCCACTGTGTATAATCTTTATTTTAAACCCTAACTTAAGGATGTCAAATAAACTTTTTTGCATCATATGTATTTAAAAGAAATTCATATAACTCTTTGATCGAGGTATTTCCTACTAAGTTGACTGGAAAGCCCAAAATTTCTAATTCTTCTGGATGTATAGTAATCCAAAGCTTGTATTCCATCTTAAAGTAAAATAATAGAAATATAAATTAATTTTAATTAAGATCTGAAGAAACAAAAACTTATATTTAATTATGCTAAAGTTTTTAATACTTTGTTTCATTGGATTATCAGTGTTCGGATACACATTCCCATATGATGGAGATGTATTAGTACTTAATGATAATACAATAAATGCTGCAATAAAGCAGTATGATTACTTATTAGTCGAGTTTTACGCTTCATGGTTTAAATTGATATTTTACCTCTCATTATAGGTGTGGCCATTGCAAACAATTTGCCCCCGAGTATTCTCAATTTGCTACACAAGTGAAAGAAGCTGGTCAGCCTTTCATTGTTGCCAAACTAAATGGTGGAGATCAAGAAAAATAAGCTATGAACAGGTTTAATAATTGAATTTGAAAATAGATACAAAGTATCGAGTTTCCCAACGATAATATTGCTAATTAAAGGACATGCAGTACCTTATAATGGAGATAGAAGTGCTAATGGATTGATGAATTTTGTAACTCAAGCCCTTGAGGATAAATTAGCGAGAGTTGATGAAATTGATGATGTTTACAAGGTATTAATAATCTCTAACTTTTAATTTAGTTTTTAAGTGATAATAGCTTGAGTGTATTGTATTTCGTTAAGGATTCTCAACAACCTGAGTTGCAGATTTATTCATTGGCAGCCAAAATATTCCCTAATTTGAAATTTGGTTATACTACTTCAGCATATGCCAGAGTAAGAGAGTTAAATATTGTTATAGAAATTATATGATGTCGATGAAGGACAAATAGTTCTATTTAGAACATTCGAGGAGAGAAGAAAAGAATTCACTGATTAAATAACCTTAGAGAAATTAACAAACTTCTTGTATGAGAATTCAACACCATCATTTGAGGAATTGGACAACAAAAGCTATGCATCCATATTTAATAAAAATACACCAGCTTTGATTCTCTTTTGGAGTCAATCAAGTTAAGAAACTAAGGAGGTTCTAAAATTGATAGCTCCAAATATCAAAAAAAGAATCACTGTAGTTTCTGTTTACTCTGATAATTATATGTTGAATCAAGTCACAGGTCAATTGTTCATTAATACTCCCACATTCCCTTCATTGTATTATTACAAGACAACCAACGAAGTATATAAGTTCGAAGGATAAATCACTGTTGAGAATGTTATGAGATTTGTTCATGGAGCCAACAATGGAAAAATTGCAAGAAAACAAAAATCTCAACCTATTCCAACTCAAACATCCACTGTTCTCAAAGTTGTTGGTGATACTTTTGATGAATTGGTTTTGAATTCAAATAAGAATACTTTAGTTTAGTTTTGTCAATCATCTAGTAGCAAATGGTAACAAATTAATCTAATAATAATAGTTACGAACCAGAATTTGAAGATTTGGCTAAGGAATTGAAGGATAATTAGAATTTAGTATTGGCTCAAATAGATTTGTCATACAATGATTTGGAGAGTGTTAAGATTGAAAATTACCCAGGATTTAAATTGTATATTCCAATGGTGACATCTAATCCAGTTAATTTTGATTAAGAATTTAGCAAGGAGAATCTTTATGCCTTTGTTAAACAAAATGTTTAGCTTACACATACAGAATCAAACAAAAGCAAATCTGATTTGTGAATTATTTTATGTAAAACCAGAATATGTATATTTATTTAGTAATTTATTATGTTAATAATATTTATATGCACACACATTTATTACATCTCAACTCTATTGTTAATCATCATTTTAAATTAATAACTTTAATTACTCGTATGTTTGTGTTAAATTTTACTATAGATAATTACTTTAATAATTACTAATGTTAATGGGATCAATTAAGGTTGTGAAGTTGTGTCATTAGGTAGAATCAAAAATTATACTAATAATGGTATTTATTTTTATTAAATCAATTATTGTTATGAAAAGCCAAGAATTTATTAATTGTTTTAGATTGTAGCAGTTGATTCAACATTTACATTTGCAATTGTTTATACTTTTTCATTAAATTATGGATTTTAGATTTCCTTAGATGCCGACTCTTAAGATTGAGGACCATTAATTTATTGCGTTGGTTGCTCTTATTTATCATTGGAAACATGAGTTGGGGGTTTAATGTCATTCAATTGTTGATTGTGATTGGATTGTCCACCAATTTAGATTTGATTCTGGAATTGGGCATCTTGATTGGTCTATTGGAATAATTCTTTATTGGTTTGTTGAGAGTTTTTATCGGTTTCAGATTGTTTGAATGGCTTTTGATTTTAGGATACGGGATCAGGCTATGATTGATAGTAGTAGTCTCTCTGTTTTTGAGGATATTTGTAATTGTTTTGTCTATAGTTGTTATAATTGTGAGAGTAGTTGATATTGCCTTGTCTATCGTGATGCTGGTTTTTACTAAGGAAGATGAGAAAATAATAGTACTAATAAGTCTGTTTAAAATTTTGGGGTTATTTGTTATAGGAATTATCATAGTCAGAGGATCTCTGATTGTAGTACTTTTGCTGTTGAGTTCGGTTTTTCTCTTGATATTGGGCAGGCTGTTCACTCATTTAATAAAATATCGATATTTTTAATATTATTATGTCTTTTTATATTTATAAATCACTAATACTTCAACTATACTTGTCGAAATGGCCTCTGTAGTTGAAGAAATCAAATTATAAAGCTTCTTTTTATTTGTCTGTTGAAAGCTATTTGTATTATATGATGTTACAGCCAAGAAATCCTGATATTTTTCCTAATTCATTTGGCAATCAACGAATTATTGTGATTCTTTCTTGCAATTGAAGATATTGCCATCAGCCTTAAATACACATTCTCTGACATCATTGAACGGAGCCAAACACAATGGATGCATACGTTCTCTAATGATCATAACCTCATATTAATTACGCCTCCTTATAGCATCCAACCAATTCTCTCGCTGTGTTTCTACAGAGACGTGGATCCTTGGGAATTGGGGAGGTCGTCTGTCTACAATCTTCGTACTTGTGCACTTCACTTCTGCATCTATGGAAGGCATATTGTGAATGTATCAAAACTTCAAATGACTTTGTATTCATTTTATATAAAATTAATTATATTGTATATAAATAAATTAATGAATTTGAAGAAAATGCCATAGGTTAAAGTTACTCTCAAGAAAGTTGCAAATGGATTCATAGTTCATGATGCAGATACAACAGTTCGTATTCCAAAAAGTATTGTTCAATTACCTCCTCCTCAATCCACCAATTAGATCAAAAATAAGTCTTAAGGAACAACATTACCTAGTTAATCATAAATTGCCTAATAACAATTATAAATGGGCTCAGCAATGCTTTCTCCTAAGCAAGCATTATTATATCCATAAATGAATCCAGGAATCCCTTAGAATATTTAAGTCTAATAATCCAAACAATCTATCATTTCTACATCTCCTCCATCCACCTATAAACCAATTATGCAGCAACCTTTGATTAATCAACCTATGCCTCCTCAGAATTTTTAGATTTTTCCTCCAGATCCCTTTGTTACTAGAAAGAGATCTTTTGAAATCATTGTACCTTCTTGTACTTCTTGGTTCAGAATTGATAAAATACATTCAATTGAGAAGGAGAATTTTAAGGAGTATTTCAATCAAGAGAACAAACACAAAACCCCTCAACTTTATAAAAAACATAGGAACTTTATTATTAATTTATATTATAACACTCCAAATGTTTATTTGACTACTACTGCATGTCGGAGACAATTAGCTGCTGATGCATGCACCATAGTTAGAATTCATGGATTTTTGAATCACTGGGGAATCATCAATTCTCAAGTGGATTCAGACTAATACTAAGGCAAAATTATCCCTTAGCCTGCTATTCCTGATAATTTATTTAATGAGTTATTTTAATCCAAAAATAGTTTGGAACAATATTAATTAAGTGAATAATAAATTATTGATTCAATAAGAGCTTTGTCACTTAAATTAAGGTTACAAGATAAAATAATATTAGGCCTATTTGCGATTCATGTTAAATGAAATGTAATTTAGTATGGTACCAATAAAAACCTATTAAAGATATCAAAGAAATTATTCTATGTATAAGATGCTACGGGAATAATCATTTCCCAAACATACTCTGTGCAGAGGACTTCTTTAAAACTGATATTGAAGAAAGATTGAAAAGCACAAACATCTCAATCGATCAAGCAGAGCACTCAGACCATCTATTAAATGATAAGGAATTATCGGACATGTTGAATTACATCCAGGAAAACCCAGAAGTTGGTTGGGATAAAATTGCAGAATTTGTAAATTAGAATCGAAAAGTCAAATTGGATGTTGTTTAGATCCTAATCTATTTTCTCATCTATCCCTTTAAAAAGTAATCCTCAATTATTCGTTCTTTGGATGGAATGGAACAATTCTAAAAATTGACCATTTATGACTTGGCCATTAGGATTGCAAGTGAAGAAGTATTATTTATATCAATATTAATAGCCCTAAATATTCTCAGATTCCTCCAATCTATATGCTTATCATATCTCCATTTTCCAAAAGCACCTTAATTAGGTTGAAGAATCGAAGTAACACAATGGGGAAAAATTATGCAATGGAACTTCTAATAAGGAGTTAACAAATTTACAAAATAACTTAGTATGTGTTAGTAATATTTATAGAATGTCCTTGATCAAACTTAGATTGTTAATTTCAAAGAGGATTCAATCAAAAAGGCTTTTGTTGAAATCAGCAAGGAAGAAAATAAATTAAATTAATGTATCAATGCTATCATCAATGTTTAAATGGAAAAAATATAGTAGAAAATCGCTTTTCTTGAGGAATACGAAAAAATTGTTTTGAACGAGAAAAACAATTTAGAATTGCAATAAGTATATTATTGTAATAAGAGATTTATAGAAGTAAACGCTTGCTGAGAGATTAATAGTTGTATAATAAAAGTTATAAATGTATAATGAAGAAAACAATTAATGATATTTATTAAATTAAATAATGTAATAATAGTAGCATCCAAATAACGAGAAGAGAGCAAATAAAATTGGTAAGCCTAAGGGAATGAACACTTAGAAGCCTTTGGAGAAAACAAATGCGTGGAGCTCAGACTAACAGAGTACTTAAGCAATTTAGGCACTTTCTCGTTTGGGGCGATTTATTTGTTTTTAGCAGACTGGCATAAAAAGGGTAGCAATTGAACAACAGGACTAAAATGGAGCAACAGTCGATTAGAATAGTAGAGTGGAGCTGAATGAGCAGTCTAAGGCAAAACAAAAGTAAAAAGGAGATGCTTCTGGGATATTTCTAAATTCTGCTTAAATAAAGATTCCAAAACTTGTAGGAGAATATTGCAAAATTATTGAGAAATCCAAAAAAAATTGTATTGTCTTCTTCTTCAGATCATCAAATCCTGAATTTCAAATTATAGAAGGTGTTCCAAAACTTATGAATAATAATTTTGAAGATTATAAAGAATATCCTTCACTAAAGAAATTGGCTCCTATGTTAAATTAAAAGTTTCTCAATGAGTATTTTACATATTTGAAGTTCTAACATTAGTTATTGTAATACTAAGATTTACAACAAATGTATCGAGAACAACATAACAAAGTATTAAGCAGTGCTGAAACCATTTTATAATGCCTTTTTACAAAATATTTAATTAAATCTTATAATGATGTAGATTTAATTTCCAAAAAAGATTTTGAAGAAAGGGTGCAAAGCCGATATGAAAAATTCTACGAATTAGAATAAACCCAATAGGATTACGAATTGTATATTAAGGAATTACTTGCCTGCATGTAAGTGGAGGAGGATTATGATTAATAATACGTATCTGATTGATGTGATAAACATAAATATCGGTTATAAGTTTAAAAATATTATATATTAATCATAAATTCTATTATTAATTTTCAATTGAGATGGAGAAATAATATTGCAGTAATAGAAATCGGACTATTCAAATGTGAAAAAAGTTGATTAAGTGCATTTTAACATATTATAATGTTAACGAAGAATATCAGAAAGCTGAAGAATCATGAAGTACAAATGAAAAAGGGAGCGGGCAAGCCTGCCGGAATCTAAGTAATAAAATTGGAAAGTCCATAAATTTGGAGTGCCTTAAATGAAGAAAGACAATTAATTGAATATTTTATTCAAATCGGAAGGCATGTCTATTTGAGCTTGGCAGGCACAAAAAAGAGCATACACAAAGATGGGCTCTCCGATAAGGCCTAGGCTAAATAAGAAAAATTAAAGGCTATTTTTTAAAACCAAAGTACTTACTCCTATTTAGAGCATGTTGCTCGAAGTTTGTTTAATTGGAAATGTAAGAAACTTGCGGTCGTTTATTTTTTCAGAAATAATCGATTAGATAAGGTTAAATATGAAAAAATACCCCTTAAAAATGAGAAATGGAATTTAATTGTTAAGAATATCAAATTCCTTTTGAATGAATCGTTTTATTTTGAACTAATTTCACTTCTAAATATGTTTGAGTTGAATTACACTACAGAACAAATCGCTGAAAAGTTGATTGAAAAGTCTAAAAATTTGGATTAAGTGCCTCAGATTGTTTAAAATTTCTTCATACTTTTGAATAAGGAAAAACGTATTGACCAAATGATAGAAGGAACTAGCTGTACACAACTTGAAATACTAAAAAGAATATATTTGAATTCCTTACAAGAGCACAAAGATTATCTTTATGAAATAATAGAAAAAATCAGATAGATAATGTGTGCGAGTTGGATGCCCCAATATACACAGCAATACGAAAGTGTTAACCATGAGGTTTAGAGATCCTTCCTCAACGATGAAAGCAACCTCTTTTACTAAATTGATTAGGAATGAGAAATATTTCCACATGAATCTTGTGACTATTCTTATATATTTTAAAAAGTTATTAATAGACAATATATTTATTATTAAATTGCAAATGAATATACGAGTATCAGTGAAGTATTGTGGAAGGAGTTTGACTGCTTAAATCAATCCCAAGACAACTCTCAATGACATAATTTAACACACTATAGATGGAGGATATGCGTAAAAAATGTGTGATTAAATATAGTAAAAAGTAGATGCTACAGAATCCAGGAGTGTATTTGTCTGATAGAGCAATATTGTGCAAAGGAGATGAGCTCAAAAAGGCTTTGGAAGTTTACTTTCCAATGATTTCACTTTAAGGTCCACCTGTGGAATTACTAATTCTAAGGGAGGAGGAGTTCATTGAATATGATATTGCAATAAAATCATAGCCTAAATTGGTCGATAGCGAGCCTCCTGATTTGGGGGATTCTCAACCAATTTAAAAATAACCAGATGTTAGTGATTTATTTCCACAATCAAATTTGATGATTTCATAACAAGGTGCAATGAATTAAGGACAGTTTATTTTGAAGTTTAAAACAACAGCTAATTTAAGCAAACAAGGATTCGAATTAAAAAATCTATCAGATAATAATACGATCAATGATATCAAGGATCAACTATTTAAATACTTTGGCTTCCATGATAGGTAATAACTCAAAATAAAAATAGATCGATTGTTGATTTGGATCTTTATTATAATGATATCCCACTCTAAGGGGTAAAATGCAATAGAACTTTAGCTTAGCTATCTATACCCAATGGGGAGACAATAGAAATTAAGGCAAGATGGACAGGAGGCAGTTTGGCATGATATAAGATTATTCAATAGAATATAAAATAAAAATAAATACAATGATATTAAAAAATTAAAAAAAAGTGCCTTCTTAAAATTTAATTATTTAACTAAAACTTTTTATTATAATATGGCTTAACAATCAGTTGATTTGAAGTCAAAAGTAGACGAATCTGTAAAAGGAGATGAAGTCAACGAACCATAACAAGAGAAGGAATCCAATTAAAATTAGGACAATAAATAGGAGAACAAAGAGACAGAATCTAATGAAAAGAAAAATGGAGGAGGATAATTCTAATCTTTATTTAAAAACCATGAAAATAATTTATTTGCCAATTTGGGAGCATCAATAAATTCAAGTGGAGGTTTATTTGGTTCAACTAAACCAAGCACAGGATTGTTTGCAGTTCTAAATCAATAAGAGCCAAATAATAATGGGATTGATTTGACTAAACCAGGGCCGTCTTTATTTGGCATTGATTATAAAATTCCTAAGTCAGATGAAAGTGATGGTGGGGAGGATGCAGGTATTTTCATTTAGCATAATAATTTAGGAGCAGAAGATGAATAAAAACCAGATGATGAAGAACCAAAATAAATCGAAATGAAATATGACTATTCAGCATTGACTGAGCAATTACTTGTGGCTGAAATCGAGAAGTTTCGAAAAAATGCCAATGATGTTATAGAAAAAGGGACTGTTGCCTTGGAAAAGGCTAAGGAGAAGGAAACATTTTACTTTATCTATAGGTATTCATTATCAATATAAACAGGAATCAAATTCAATAGATATTATATACAGGATAATTATTTAAAGGAATTTCAGAAGTGAAACCCTTGGGATCCAAATAGGAAAACATTATTATAAGGGCAATCAGTACAAAGCAGGTTTAATCCTAAAATGAAAAAGATTCTATATAAGTCGACACTCTTAAGGTCATGTTTAAAGATAAAGAGAAAGTAGATTTATTTAAGGAAAAAATGTAAAATATGTTTAATTGATTTACACATATTAAAAAGTCAAAAATGAACATCTCTAACAAAGTTCTTCTTAAGAACCTTGTAATCTCCATCATAAGCCCCTGGACCTATTTCTTAGAATTGTTATTATTAGATTCTTTAACCCTTTCCAAAAATATCATTTCCTTTATTAAAAGTTGTTTTGGTAAATTGATCATGTACTGTATAACTTCCTGGGCCCAATTCTTCTGTGATCTTTTTATCCTTAAATCTTTGGACATTAGAAGAAAACATAGAGGATTATTACTAAAGATTTATATTATTTATACTGGTTTTTGTAAGGATTTGCTTCGTTCTTTTGTGGTATTGACAGACACTAATTCCTTAGCCACTGATAAACCAAAGGATTCAGGATACTTTTCAATAGTAGGTCGTTTCTCTTTCTTTCTAAACACGTATTTAAATTGCTTCTTTTTTTAAATCAAATTATCATAACTACCAGGACCAGGAACTTCGTTAGTTATGACTACTTCTTTCATTCTCTTAGATCCAGATCCAAAGCTCGATGGGAAAAGTCCATCTTTTCTTTGAGGTCTTGATAAATCTTATACAACATAATTCCCAACAGGAACAATCATATTATCTTTCGGAGGTTATCTAGGCAGTTTGGACATATATCCACCAGATTCATTAAATTGATTATCAGCTTTATATTAGCCAGGTCCTGGATTTTCATCTGAAATGTATTTAAATCTCGGTTCTCTACTATCAAAGCATTAATTTTGATAGTTCAATTCTGTAATTTTTCCAAATTGGGATTCGATTTCATAATGACCAGGTGGGGGAGCAGTTTGTCTTTCCTTCTTCTTCTTTTCTTTTTCAAATAATTTTTCTAAGTTATATTCATCCCCTTGAACAAATTTGATTTTCTTTTGCTTCTACTTTTGTGATATATTAGATTCAGATTCGTTTTATCCATTATTAGTTAATTGCTTTCCGTAGATCACATCGGCTGTCAAGAATGGCTCTTAGAAGGTTGTTCTTTTGCTATCCTCTTTGATGATAGCTCCTCTGACTCTGGGCTTAATTAAGGTTTCATTAGAATTGTAATGTCCAGGACCGGGAGGCTATTGTTTTAGTTGATTTATGTTACTTGTAATGGGGCAATGGTTTATAACTTTTGCAACAGTTTAGATTTATCCAAAACGCATTGTCCTGATGGTGTTATTTCGAGTTATTAGTTCAAACAGTTTTCCATTTGTTTGATTAGTAAGTTCTTCATTTTCTTATCAACATCTTGAGTCTTCTTCAATTGTTGCTAAGACTATAATAATTAATAAAACTTACATACTTATGCTTAATATACGTAGTTGTGATCTTTTAATTTTTGATTTTAAAAGGAATGCTTGAGAGAAGCTTAATAAGCAATTTTGTCGAATCCTTCCACAGTTTTACTCTGAGGAAGAATGTTTGTTTGGATATCTCCAAATCGATCAGATCTCGAGAATTGTTATTGGGGTGGTTTAGTCTTGATGGTATTCAGCATATCATTTAAATCATTCCCAATATAATAGCCTGGAGGGGGATTGAAATTTTCGGTTAAAGTGGATTTTGGGGTTTGACTAAATTTCATTATATTTAATAAATTAATAATAGTAATTATAGTAATTAAGGCATTAGGATCAATACTGGAAAATACAATTTGGGTTAATTGAGGGAGTGATGTTTGGTTATGTCAAGGACTTGGGATGATGCATTTATGAATCCATGATATTTTAATAAAAATATATAATAAATTAAATGACTGAAGAAGAATTTATCAATATAACAGCTATCATATAGAAAACAAATAATTAAAAAATCATTTAAACTCTAAATCAATTCAAAAGTACTATAGAGAAAGTCAATTCCTCAGATGGAAACAAAATATTCGTTAAGCGATGTTTGAATATTGTTTATAATGATGTGCTTTCAAAAATTGATGAATTGTCAGATATGGAAGACAACAGAGGTAACTAAATAAAATTGGCTTTTGAACTTGAAAAAATAAAGAAAGTTACCGAGATGCTGCCTTATATCAATAAAAAACCAAAAAATACTATTTTTAATGACGAAGAATATATGAATATTCCGAATATCGAGGTAATCAAATTGGATGAACCTGAGAATGTCAAATAGCAATTAAAAAATTTTTATCAAAAAGTATCTTTGGGACACGCATACATAAATTCTGGGAAATAATATCAATCTCAATTCATGTAATGTGTAGTTAGAAATTTGAAGGCTCTTTATTATTTGTCAAATCAAGAGGAAACTAATTTGGCTGCCACAGAAGTAATCACTAATCCAACACTCGAACATGCTTTGCAATTGTGGAGAATTATAGACGAATCCAAAATAGTAAAAGCTGGATATAAATTACAATTGGAATAAGTGAAACTGAAGAAAATAATCTATATTCCAAGACTATTCAATCAAATTACCTTAGATACTTTACATCATTATAATACAAATTCAACTGATATTCCTAAAAATTTACTCTATTAGGTGGCATTCAGAACAATCAGAAAGAAACAGAATGACTATGACATTAGAGTTAGAGTTATGTGTCATAAGTAAATCTTTAAGCAAAAATTATCTAATTAAGATTTTGTGTAGGTCGTAAGAAATTTGACAAAAAGTGAATTTCAAATACAAAGGACATAACATATACAATAACTGTAGTAGTCGTCAAACTTTTTTGGGGGGTGTTGTATTTCATCAAGAAATGAGGTCGGAGAATTGGGAGTACATACAATGTAGAATATCATCATCCATATCCATGGCGGAGGATTCATCTCTATGTCTTCCTTTTCTCATTAATCATACACCAGGAAATGGGTTAATCAATTGGCCAATACAGTCGTCTTCTCTATTGATTATCGTTTGGCCCCGGAGAACCCATTTCCATTGGCTCTTGATGACTGTTGGCAATATTACATGTGGATTGTTCATTTTAGTTCTGCCTATTTCAATATCTCACCTAAAAATATCATCTTGATTGGAGACTCTGCTGGTGGTAATTTGGCTTTGGGAATAGTGATTAGAGCAATAGAGACAAATCAAAGAGTCCCAGATAAGATTGTCTTGCAATACCCTGCTGTTAATTTGAATCTTTGTGATGTAGTGCCTTCTAATCTCAAAAGTATGAATGATTAAATGATACCAATGGGACTCTTGATGCTGTGTAGATAAAGTTATCTTAGGAATCAATCAGATCTACCAAATGATTATTATGCATCTCCTATTCTAGCTCCCCAGGAAGTCATAAAACAATTTCCCAAGGATTTTGTTATCTTTGTGGGATCTGATGATGTATTGTTGGATAACTCTGTAGAATTCGTTCATTATTGTAAAGATAATGGATTAGAGAATATCAAACTAAAAGTATTTGAAAGTCTTCCTCATGGATTCTAGAACATGGGCATGAGAAACAATGGAGTGAATGCTGCTGAATCTGCAAATAGATAAATCGTAGAATAAATTAGAGAATTCCTTGTTTGATACATCATATTATTCAAATTAATTCATCCTATTTATGTAAAGTTGATAGTTTAATTTAAACAGAATTTTTTATAATTAATTATTCTTAAAAATCCTAAGCGAAACTCATTAATTAATATAATATATCTTCATTATAAATATTTTATCTAGTTCTAATCGATTATTATTTGTTTTATTAAATGGGGAGCTCATAGTGTTGTACTGTTAATACAATCGAGCAGGCGTCAGAGTTAGCAACAGGAATGAAAGAAACATCTCATTCTTCAAAGGATCCCAATAATCAAAGTGAGGGGAACAAGAATAGGAACAAAAATTTGTATTTATTGTAATTGACTATTGAGAAGATCTCCGATTCAAAAATAAAAAGGGGTGCATGGTCAATTTCGAATAGATGATCCATCAACCCCTGCATTTGCTGATAACAAATCTATACATAGCAAACAAGAATCAGAATAGTTATCAAATAAGGATATTTAATTGGTAGCAGAGATTGTTATGCAATTCGATGATATGCCTTAAAAAATTGAAGAAGCCAATGAAGACATAATGGTTTCTCAAAGTTCGTTGAAAAAGAAAACAAAGAACGATTCTCCTTTGGGTGATTTCCAACCAAAAAACTCATTGAGGTCGTTTGATTCGAAAAGACTTGATAAGTTAAAATCCATTAACGAACATCAAGTGAACAAGGAAGAAATGATTAAAGAAGAAATGGAAAGCCAAAGAAGTCAAAGTGCTGACGATAAATCTGTGAAAAGCATTTTGAAGTAGGAAATGAAGTACAGCCAATTTAAAAAAGGATAGCCAAGCAATGATAAGCATTCTCAAAAAAAAGTGCATTTTAAAGTGAATAAATGACCTTTACTTCTTATTTAACGCTCTTTGATCTTTGATCAATCGTATAATATCTATATAAAATATAATTGCTTTATAAATATAATAATTTAATAATTTAGATGTCCGAAAGATAAGTATATAGCTGTATTCAAATTAATAGAAAGCAATTCGAGCCCAATCAGCCAAAAATCCTAGTTAAAAAGTGCCTTCTAATTAACCTTATGGAAATTCTGTTAAAGGATTTAAAATGTAACTTAATTTATTGTAATTAGTGTGAAAAAGGTTAAAGTGAATAACTTGATGGAGGAGAGACCACAAAGTGGTTAGAATGAAATCAGGGCGAGATAGATTTAACAAGAAACTGATTTTTTTAGAAATAATATGGAAGTGTTTGATAAAGAAAGACTTTTTGAGCATTTATCCTAGGCTAAAACATAAATCAACCACTTGAAGACGGATAATTATTAATTGAGGACTACCATTTTATAACAGGAAGTATTGCTCACAAATTAATCATAGAAAACCATACAAAAATATGAGAGAATCATAGAGGATTTTCAAAATAATGGTAATTTGAAAAATGTGCAAATGAAATTGGGAGTTGAGGTAGGAATTCCTTATTGATATTCTTAGACATCACTCTTTCTTTAAATGAAGAGGCAAATCAAGGACTAACAAAATGACTTGAGAGAAAAGGAAATAACAATATAAAACTTTAAGAAAAATGCTAAAGTGAGTAAATTCTAAGAGCTCGATGTAAGCAATACCTCATAATCAAGGCTGAAATCAGAGAAGTCTATGAAGAACTCTAGAGATTGAGAGAACTACTAAAAGAAAGAGACGAAATGCTTCAATAATAATAGAAGTATACTTATTTATATCATAGTCATGCTCAGGAGTCTACTCAAAATAATGAATTTGTCAAAGATTTGCAACAATAGAATGAAACCTATCTGAAGGACAATTAGGAATTAGTTCAGATTGTCAAGTAAAACCCTTATTGATTATGATCATAGACTTTATGAAGAGAGGAATACCCAATTAGAACATCAAGTTCAGCAATAGTAGAAATCATTGAACAAGCAAGGCAGAGATCTTTAGTTATTAAATCAAAAACTACAAGCATTCAAGAAGAGGGGAGCTAATGGCTAATATATAATTAGTTAGGAGGAGATTGACAAGGATATAGAGGAGAGGACCAAATTGAATTACTTAGTTGAAGAATACAAGGAGAAAATACAAAAGTTGGAGTAACAATTGAAGAAGTTTTAATCAGACAATAGAAAACAATTGGAATAGAAGCAAGGCAGGAACTTATAATAATAGCAATCATATAGTCCTAAGGAATAAAATAATCCTCATTCTTAATAATAACAAATGGCATAGTTTCAATAGTAATAAGAACAATTAAGGTAAAATAATAGTACAGATTCTATTCTACTAGATTAAGAATTAGCGCAATGTTATGCTGATGAAATACGCTGTCAATTGTATTTGGATAACATACCCTTTGCTAAATTTAAGGAAGTATTAAATTCGAATCATTTTAGAAATTGTCTACTTTGAATAAGGGCAGATTAAATGAGAATGGAGTTATTGAGTTTTTAAAGAACTAATTAGATATGGATGCAGTCAAGGCTTAAAAATTCGCAAAGGCATTGCTCAAAACTGATGGATATGATTAACCAATTCAAAAAATGATAAGTGCCAATAGATTCAAAAATATGATATTGTCTCTTATTCAAGAATACATCACTTATGATGGATCATCTATTTATTAAGAAGTTCGAAAAGTAAATACAGTATTTATCCTATTCATAGACTTTACTAAAAAATAAGGAAGAATTGACAAGGAAATTTAAGTAGAAATTTTAAACTTAAGAATACATCAATATAAGATAATTTGAATAATTAATTATAGAGTCACAAATATCAATTACTGAGTTGTAAAAGGATTAATTATTCATACACATCTATTAAGTATATAGGGACTTAGTTTAATTATAATGGGAGCAGTTCTTTAGAGATGACTATAAGGTGAATCGCTAAATGCAATTGGAAAAATAATAAAAATAAAATTCTCCTCCAAATACTTAAAAATAAGACAGTCCTAATGATTATATTAAGATATAAACCTAGAATTCAGATACTTCCAAGCAGGCTAAAATGAGAAGTCATGCCAGAAATTCATCTTAAATTATTGACAATGATCCTAATCAATAACCTGCAAAAGAAAATAAAAAGCTCAATGAAGAAGAGGAAAATTATGATGATTACTTTGAGAGAGATGAAGATAAGAATTCAGATGAAGTAGAACAATAGGATAAAAAGGAGGATGCTGAAGTAGAGTATTAGGAATAATTTGATGATTATTAAGTAAAGCCATAAGAAGACCTCGAAGATTAGGAGGATGCTGCCATGAAGATATAGCTTGCTTATAAAAAGAAAAAGTAAAAGGAGGAAGGTAAAAAGATTCTAGAGTAGTAGAAAGAAAAGAAGAGATAATACATGGAAGAAAAAGAAAAGAAGAAGAAGTAGGAATTGTAATTGAAGAAATAATAAGAGGAGAAAAAACGACAGGAGGAAGAGTAAAAGAGAATTTTGGAAGAATAAAAAAAGAAATAGGATGAATTAAGACGATAGGAAGAGGAAAGGAAAAGGTAAGAGGAGGAATAAAAATAAAAATAGAAAGAAGAGGAATAAAGGATATATGAAGAATAATTAAGAAAAGAGGAAGAAGAGAAGGCATTACTTATATAAAATGCATATAAACAGAAGAAGTAGAAAGAAGAGGGTAAGAAAATATTGGAATAGAAAAAAAAAGAAAAGGAATAATATTTAGCTGAATTGTAGGCCAAAAAGGAATAAGAAGAATTAGAAAGGTAAAGATTATTAAAGGAATAAGAAGAGAAAGAAAAACTATTAAAAGAGGAAGAGGATGCTGCTTTGAAGATATAACTAGCATATTAAAAAAAGAAACAAATTGCAGAGGCTAAAGCATTGTTAGAATAAAAAAAGAGAGAAAAGTTCGTTAATGATTAAAAGCAAAAAGAAGAGGATAGAATAAGAAGGTAGAAGGAGAGGGAAGAGAAATAAAAGAAAGAGGAGGAGGAAAATGCTTTGAAAAATTAGTCTAAAGATAAAAAGCAGCCTGATGAAACTAAATAGTTGTTGGAAAGCAAAAGGAATGAAAGAGATTCAATCTCTAAAAATAATAAAAAAGGGTCTAAGGATAAAAAAGATAAAAAAAATAATGAGGATGATTATGACTTTGAATTTGAATAAGAGCTAGATGATTAATTAGAAGTTAAAAAAGAAATTAAAGCTAAGGAAGAAGAAATTAATATGGCAGCATCAAGAATATAAGGTGCTTACAGACACAAAAAAAATAAATCAGAAGGGAAGAAATTATTAGAAGAACTCAAAGAAGAAAAGAGAATTGAGGACTTGAAAAAGAAGGAGGAAGATTTGAAATTAAAAGAGTAACAAGAGCTTGATGATGTAGCAGTTAAAATTCAAAAAGCATACAAAAAGAAATAACAGAAAGAGGAAGGTAGAAAGATTCTAGAAGATAAGAGAAAAGAAAGAGAACTAGAGAATTAATAAAAAAATGAGAAGCAATAACTAAAATAACAAGTGTCATAAGATGTATAAAGAGAGAATGAAGCATAAGTTGTTAGATCAATGAATGGGGATGAATTGGATGGATATGGTGATGAAAAGTTTGAGGATGGTACTGATCATGACAAATTTACTAATCCTGCCTTAGTCTAAAGTAAACCTTTGTAAATTTAAGCTGAGGAGGATGAAAAACTGCCTGATGATCCAGTGGCAGAACAAATGGAAGATAAGTTATTTAACAGCGTTGGAATATTTGTAAAAAATTCATAAATTTAATTTAGTAGTAATCTATTAATAAGGAAGAAGTATCTGATGCAGATCAACCTTTATGACAACAATTTACATCAATAATTTTTATAAATTAAATTTAATTTTCCTCATTTTTTTCATATTTTAAGAGTGTCATCATACATAATATAAAAAGTAAAGGTTTCATAATTCTAGGATTCAGTTTAGATTTGTGTATAAAATGAATTATCTACTTTATTTATGTTATGCTTTCTAATAATAATTATGGAATACAATTATAGCAGACTTTCTAAAATACTTAGATGATATAATAACTTTTAATTAGCTTGGGGATTATCCTAGAATCTAATTTTATCTTAATTTACATATGACTTTGTCTAATAAAAATAATCAACCAAACAGTGATTATTATTTAATTCTCATAAATATTTTAAGCTTGATTAAGATATATTAAAAGTTTATATTGTTGAGAATCATTGAATTTGAATGAAAATTTAGATTTCATTAATTCAACACGCTAGGTTGATTGTTTCAATCACAGAAAAAGAAGCATGTTTTAGATAAAAAGGAGTTGATAAATATTTAGAATATTTTTAAATGTTATTAATTAATAATAACTATTGTTAATTGATATTCATATTTTTATATGAAATATTACTTTCCAGTCAACTATTAAGTTAAGTTTTATGGAAATTGGTATTTCAATCTTTTCCCTTTTAATTATATTATATGTATTCCAATTCGTTCAAAATTTCTTTATGGGTTTAATTAGATAAAAAATGAATTTGATATCGATATAAAATAGGCTAAATGTATATATCCATCGAGGTTAGCTTTTTTGATCAAGCAACAACTTAGGTAAAATAATTGATCATTAAGAATTTGATAAAAAAAACTGTTTATCAATATTTGGTGAATAATGGAGGAGTAGGATCACAAAATATCAAGAGTTATAATAAGTTGAAATTCAGTGAATATATGAGTATATTAAATAAAGTAAGAATAAAGAGAAGATAAAAATTATATAATTTTTAATGAGTCTCATATATAAAAATCACCTAGTGCTTCCAACATTCAAACATTCAGAAACCATCACTGCTCATAAATCCTCTTCTTTGAGACCAATATAAAGATTTTAATCGGTGTCTCGTATAAGAGAAGGAAATTCAAGTAAAATTCCTCCTCTCAATATTACTGCTTTGCCTGGAAATGAGAGTAGCATTAACGCAGAAAGTTCATTAACTTCTAGATAAAAACTGTTACCTATGCTTACTCCTAGAATATAGAGAAGTGATGAATAAAATTTGCATGATTACTTAGATCATCTTCATTCGATTAGGAAATCTAAATAGCCAACAAAATAGGCTGTAATGAAAAAAATTCGTACTGAAACAGAAATAATGAAACTAGAAAGCCAAACTTTAATATAAAGATTTAAGAAAGTCAAAGAATAGTAGGAATAAAAAAAATAATATTCGATTTTGCAAACCATAAAGAATCCTTATGCTTAGCAATACATTAATTTTAGTAAATAAATATTTAATTTAATACATAATTTACATTAATTAAAAGTACAGAGATTAAATTATATTTTAGGAATATTTAAATAATTCAAGAAAGATGTTTTAAGTAGTAAAAAATTTAATCGGTATGAAAAAGAATTTAAAAAAGATCTTATTAAAATAATCAGCTGATGATTTAGTAGATTTTTAGGACATAGCCAAAATGTGTTGTATTCGAGAGATACAATACATCAATGGAGAATAAAGAATGATAGACAAATTTGATCTGTCCTTATTGGATGATATCACATATATGATTGAAGCAATTGAGAATCTGTTACTATAAAATAAGTTAAACGCAATCAAAAGAATGAGCGATAATGTATATATATATAGGGATTGATCTTAGATTTTGATAGAGGAAAGTGAAATTTCAAAGTTAAGAGAATAATTGGGAATGAGAGAGGAGGAACAAAAACTATCAGTATCTACTTTGGCTATGCAAAGATTCAAACCTCATGAAGAATTGGATAATATAGAACAAAGATTAGGATAATTATCCTAAATACCAAAACAATTCAGATAAACCTCATAAGTATTATGTGAAATAGTTGATAAATTAAACGAATGATCTTAATCATGTTTTCAATGCGTACTATCATCTTCTAATACTTTTTCTATGTCATAAGGTAGTTAAATCTATGGCCTATTTTAAGCGTTTTCTTAATTTTATTGGTTAGAGTCGGAATTAGTAATTTTTAGGCTTTCCTCTATGGCTTTTCTTAAATCTTCATCATCCTCAAAATCATTCATAGCTCCCTAAACTTAGAATGCATTTCCAACAGGGTTATGATAACTATTTAGAAAGTTAGCCTCATCATTTTAGAAGTCGTTGTCTATTTTCTCTACAACTGGCTATTTATAATACTAATATAAAAATACTTTATATTCAGGAACTAAATGCTTCACTTATAGAGTGTTATAAAAGAAAATTGCTATTGAGTTCATCACATAGGATGGCCTCTTGGAATTATGATCACCAGGAACTATAGACTATTTAAAATAAAATAAAAAGCAAGTACAATATTTTTATCTCCTGCATAAGCTTCATGTAATTTCTTAGTGTGATGAGGCAACACAAAAGTATCTTCATCGGCAGCAATAAAAAATGCAGGAATAAAGGCCTTAGAAACATGATTCTTGAGTGGATTGATATTTTCAACATCAAAATTTGCCTTCGATTAAATTGTTTTCCTTATCATTGACAATCCAGCTGAGATAGCAAAAGAGGGCACTTTTTGAGCATATTGCTTTGCCAATTCTTCTGCCAAAGTCTTTAAATTTGAAAATGCACTATCCAAAACTAAACCAGCAATACTCGGGTCTCTATCTGCATGCATTAAAGCAGTAACTGCTCCCATAGATCGTCCCCATAATCCTATAGTAGAGACTTTGTTGCTTTAACGTAACCAGTCCACTACTATTTCAACATCATCTCTCTCATACCAACCTAGGGATATATATTCACCTTCCGATTTACCACAACCAGCAAAATCAAAACTAAACACTTAGATAAATTGCTTGTTATATTTATCTATCAGATTACTTATAGAAGTCCATCCAAAGAGGATAAGCATTCTAATCTACTACTGCTATTACCATGCAAGTATATTACACAAGGCAATTACTCACATGGTTTTTTAATTGGCTCAAAAAATGAACATTCCAATTTTAGTCCTCTTTTATTTTTGATTTGGAAGTCAGTTCTCTTAATCAATACTCCTTATATTTTAAATTGACTTGGGCCTATGTAAAGACACGGATCTTACCTAAATCCTACTGAGTATACTCGTTATCTCTTGGAGGTCGAATTATGGCCTTCCATAAATCATCATAACCAGCAGATAGTGATGAAAACATATATATTAATTTTAATTCATCATTCCTTTATAATATCCATCTGTATTCGAATTGACCCATTCGAAGCAAAATTTTATTGAAATGCCTTGCCATTTGGTGATCCATCATCATCAATATCCTCTTGTAATTCTAACAGCATTTCAGATTCTTTATTCAATAATAAATTAGCAATCAAAAGAGGCTTGACTTTCTTTTCAACTCCGGGTTAAGTCAAATGTTCCTTCAAATCCAGTATCTTTCTCTCTAAAGTTTCGATTATCGCTCTCCAAGAATCTATTTTCTCTGTTTCCAGTAATGTCACCTATTCAAATCTTTATTCTATTGTCTTTCTCTATCCTGCCCATCCATCAATTAATTTTTAAAACTATCAATACTATTAACAATTATTGTACTTATATCATAATTTCAGTTTTTGTCCCTTTTATCTATAAAAATGAATTTTGTGCCTCCTCTGAAAATAATCCATACTCAACACATACGACAGCAAACTTTTCAAATGAAAAATTCTACTCTCCCTTAATTAATAAATCAGCGTTAGTAAAGAATATTTCAGAAATCTCATCATTGGTCAATCTATCAGGTTCTATATGTCTAAGCAATAAATACCATTCTTCAAAATTACACATCCCATTGCCATCTAAGTTAATATATGTTATTTTTGTTACCTAAATCACATGCAGCAAATGCATTAATAACATACTCTTTAGCTCTACTTACTAATATTTTATATTTGACAAACATTTGAATCATAAATTAATCAAAATCTATTATTGGCTACCTATTTGATGTTTTTGTATCTACTTCTTTTAATAAGTCTAACTCCTTTTTTAATTCCTCTTTTTCTTCTATTGTCATTCTTGAATCTGCAAACATACCTATGTATTATTATGCTCTGACATAAGGTACAAAGTATCTGACCTCTGAATCTTGGTCTGGAATTTAAACACCAAGAGTTGAAATATTAGTAACATAATCAAAGGACTCCAAATATTTTTTCATCTCATCTATTGAGTAATTAACACAATCATCAAATAATCCTAAGAACTTTGCAAAATTGTTTATTCTAACTATTTATTTATAATGTTTAACTGAAACTATTAGAATTAAGAACTTTTACTCTGCTATTCTTTTTATACCAAATTATTGTAAAAAGTAACTGTATACAAATGATGCCATATCCTAATCTTTAAATGCTTGATTATCCTTTTGCTGCTGTATTCTATCCTAATAAATAACAGTGATTTGTTTCAGGAGTAACTTTAAAGGCATAAAATGTTTAATTTTAGGCAATTACTTTAATTTAATTTTTTCAACTAATTATGGTCCAGCATTCACTTTCTAAAATTCATATACTATATTAACTTTCTGACCTAACTAGGGACCTTTAAAAATTAACTTTGCCTAATTCAACTTTTTGTTATCTTTTTAACGCTTAATCATTTTTTAGGATGAATTAAATTTGGCGTACTATTCAGGAGAAGATTCTCCATCAATATATTACGATGTCAATTATTATTATTATTATTATTGCTCTTTTAAAATTTTAAATGTACCAATTGATACTGCTCGACTTCTTGCATCTTCCAATTCTTGCATATGTTTATTGCATTTCTCATTCATTTAATCTATAATATATTACAGTTCCTTGTTTTTATTTTCTAAAATTTGCATCATCAAAACAAGAGTCTTAACTTTTTCAAAGTCTACATATCTATCAGAATTGATATCCATACTCTAATCATTACTTGTAGCTTATTCATTTGATTAATTTACACCTTTTTTAGATCTAAACGAATCTTGTCTTATTTAATTTAATTTATTAACTCCGGGAGATGGCTATTCTTTATTAAGAAACTTAGATTCAATTATTTAATTCAATTATCTTCCTGAAAACGCTTTATTTGTTTTATCTTCGCATAATTTCAGTGTCTCTTCAACTTGACTTCTTTATTTAAATTACTCCACCACATTCTAGATTTTTACTTAAGAGTCTGTTATCAAATTGAAATCTTTAGCCATCATGGTAATATTTGTTTGTATCTCTTAGGTCTTCTAATATAAATGAAGTATGTCTGACTCAACTTAGGTCTCCACACAAGCCACTTTAATAATCTTATCCATATTCATAACCATGTTGTCCATTTCTATGATATTTTTATCATCTAGTAATCCATCCATCAAATCATCTTCATCTGACGAACTTGATTTCTCCTGTTAAGATTTTTGTACTTAGGAATTACCCAAATAGGACACTCTTTTTCCTGTTTAAACTTAACTAGAATTGATGATATGTTGCAACACCTTTTGTTGTTGGGATTGTTATATTTAATTTAAAGAAGGAGGTTATAATTATTACGATTATTTTAATGAGAACATACTCTCTTAATTTATCAATATCCTCTAACTATGAACCTATTAGAGAGTGCCATTGATGTCTCTATGTGTTTATTATTATGATTCTAATTGTTTTTAAGTAATCGTTTATAGCTTTCTATTGAGTATTTCTATTTCTTGATGAGATTATTTCAACTTCTTCTATAGAAAAGATGCAATTTTTCTTAGATCATTTAATTATGATCTATTTTTTTTAAAGTTGATCTCCAACTCCTTATATTCCTATTTACAAACATTATGTTGAGTAACTTCTTAGGTGTATTTGAGAGTGACTTCTTAGATCTAACTCTACAAATTTGACATTTTTTCTTAATAAATATAAAATACTTTAGCCTATTCATCCATTANAGGGACCTTTAAAAATTAACTTTGCCTAATTCAACTTTTTGTTATCTTTTTAACGCTTAATCATTTTTTAGGATGAATTAAATTTGGCGTACTATTCAGGAGAAGATTCTCCATCAATATATTACGATGTCAATTATTATTATTATTATTATTGCTCTTTTAAAATTTTAAATGTACCAATTGATACTGCTCGACTTCTTGCATCTTCCAATTCTTGCATATGTTTATTGCATTTCTCATTCATTTAATCTATAATATATTACAGTTCCTTGTTTTTATTTTCTAAAATTTGCATCATCAAAACAAGAGTCTTAACTTTTTCAAAGTCTACATATCTATCAGAATTGATATCCATACTCTAATCATTACTTGTAGCTTATTCATTTGATTAATTTACACCTTTTTTAGATCTAAACGAATCTTGTCTTATTTAATTTAATTTATTAACTCCGGGAGATGGCTATTCTTTATTAAGAAACTTAGATTCAATTATTTAATTCAATTATCTTCCTGAAAACGCTTTATTTGTTTTATCTTCGCATAATTTCAGTGTCTCTTCAACTTGACTTCTTTATTTAAATTACTCCACCACATTCTAGATTTTTACTTAAGAGTCTGTTATCAAATTGAAATCTTTAGCCATCATGGTAATATTTGTTTGTATCTCTTAGGTCTTCTAATATAAATGAAGTATGTCTGACTCAACTTAGGTCTCCACACAAGCCACTTTAATAATCTTATCCATATTCATAACCATGTTGTCCATTTCTATGATATTTTTATCATCTAGTAATCCATCCATCAAATCATCTTCATCTGACGAACTTGATTTCTCCTGTTAAGATTTTTGTACTTAGGAATTACCCAAATAGGACACTCTTTTTCCTGTTTAAACTTAACTAGAATTGATGATATGTTGCAACACCTTTTGTTGTTGGGATTGTTATATTTAATTTAAAGAAGGAGGTTATAATTATTACGATTATTTTAATGAGAACATACTCTCTTAATTTATCAATATCCTCTAACTATGAACCTATTAGAGAGTGCCATTGATGTCTCTATGTGTTTATTATTATGATTCTAATTGTTTTTAAGTAATCGTTTATAGCTTTCTATTGAGTATTTCTATTTCTTGATGAGATTATTTCAACTTCTTCTATAGAAAAGATGCAATTTTTCTTAGATCATTTAATTATGATCTATTTTTTTTAAAGTTGATCTCCAACTCCTTATATTCCTATTTACAAACATTATGTTGAGTAACTTCTTAGGTGTATTTGAGAGTGACTTCTTAGATCTAACTCTACAAATTTGACATTTTTTCTTAATAAATATAAAATACTTTAGCCTATTCATCCATTACTAAGACATCGTTTTTTTTAACTAAAATTTCAGAATCAAATTTAATCTTATTAACCATTTAAATAACTTTCTACCAAATTTATTCAACCAACTCTCCTCTTTCTAAACATTCTTTTTTCAGTGATTTAACTAATTCGTTCATAGTAACTGTCAATAGGGGAATTAAATCATCGCTTTATTATTTTTAAAACCAATCTCTTAACTATATACTCTAAACTCTGCCTCCTGGATCTTCTGTATGTAAAGATGATATTTCTTTATTCAAGCCATCTTCTAATTTTTAATATTCTTTCATGTCTATCAAATGAATTTGTTAACCGCTCCGTGATTTTTTATGGAAGGTAGCTCTTTAACGTCTGGGCTAAAAGCTGCGTTACTCCCCTATTTATGAAAATTGACTTACTTGTTGTATTCGGTGATTTAATTTAATCATAAAAATGACTCACATCATCCCTTACCTTTGAGATTGCTAGTTGTGAGAACTTTTTCTCCGTCAACAGTTTCTATTGTGTCATTTATTAGATTTTAGTTTGCTTAATAAATTCTGAAAGATCCAATGAGGTTTTAGGCGAATGTTAGGTTGACTTACGACTTGTGTGCAAACTTACAGCCTCTTTCTTGGCCTTTCTGATTTAATCACTTATATGCTGATTATTAATAGTAACAGTTTGATTCATAAATGAGGGAACTGATTGAGAATCGTTTCTTTCTTCAGCCTCCTTCAGCTTAGCCAATAAGAATTTGTTAGTAATCTACTTCTGTGCAAGCATACAATAATTAATTTATTATGGTTATATATATATTCACTTTTTTAAAACTCTACTTGAATCTAAACATTCTTTTTTAATGTATCCATTGAATTATCCTTCCCCAATATACGCCAACTCAGCTAAGTTGCTTTTGGATAATTAATATTCAGGTTCAAATCTATCCTTCATCAATTGCAGGAACTCCTCTTTGAACTTCTCTTGTTACTGTTAAAATTGCCTAGCCTAAATGGCAGGCAACAATTTATTATACATAAAATCTCTAACTCTTTTAAATCTGCTTCTAACTAATTACATTTAGATTTCCAACATGTCAGGAATCAGCTTCCCAAATTTCTCTTTTCTTCCCTCTGTCACAGCCAAGAAATTCGGATTACGGTTGCATTCAAAAATCCAAAGATTCAAATCATCGTCAAGAATGAAATCAACTCCAAAGAATTCTCCAACTCTACTATCTTTCAAGAGGTATTTTTCTACTGAAAAAAATAGATGGGTTATCTTTCTCATAATCTAAGGGTATAGTTCTTCATTCAACCAATTACGAGACTTTATCTTACCCTACTCTAACAAAATATCTTGCAACTCCTCTAAATTCCAATCAATATATAGGTCATCATCCTGTTCTTATCCAGTTGTTTGCTTGTGTGTTTTTGTTACTGCTGTATTACATACATGTGCCTCCTTAGTGAAATCCAGTAAATCGAATTTTAATGCACATTGCTTTATCAATGCCTTCTTATAGCCATACAAGATTGGTGGATTAGTAGATGCTATCTAAAAATACGATCTAAACTCCATCTTATGTCCTTTGAATAAGTAAGGATTCTTTAGGTACTCTTAAATTATCACTTAAGACAGATTGCGTCCACAACCTTGGCTATCTTTATACCATGATCTTATTGTCTTTTCATTTTAATAATCCAAAAGTAATATTCCATTGCCTAGATGTCTGTTTGTTTTGTAAATATATTGGATTCCCTCATTTTCCAATTTATCTTTGTATTATTGTGTATTAATAATCTAAAAGAAATTGTCACATTCCTCTTTCAACCACATTCTGAATGTAGGTTTTTCATAACTAGCATCTTTGATGCACTCAGCACTTTTATTTTCTAATTTCAAATTATCAATGTAATTATGAAAGTGTGTAGATTGATTTGATTTTAATGCAATTTCCTCTTGACCTGGAACGTGGAAATACTTCTAGAAAATACAACCAGCTTATTTTCCAAATGTATGGGTTCGAAAATAATTTTTAGCATATGGATATACAATTGATGTTTCCAATGGAGTTAAATGATATCCAATATCAATTTGTCTGGTTTATACAAAACTCGGTAAAGCATCATACATATTTTGCTAGATGATTTTTCTTGCCAAATCTTGACCACCATAATCTCTCAATACCATTTGATCCTATACTATTACTTCTGGATGCAACAACTTAAAGAGGTCGCTTCTAAGACAATATGAATTATCATGCACTAAGGCAATCTCATATCCACAATTTCTATGAATATTATAATCCAATACTTGCATGGCTAAAAATGAGATTAGGTTAAATCAACCGTCTATTCCAGCCACCTTGACATTCCTTTTACAGCTTCATTATAATATCTGTAATTAGCTGATCCTTCCGATAAGTTTGCCCTGTGATACATATAAACAATGAATAAGACAATTCCAGAAGCCAAACTAAGCAAAAATGATTATAACATAATTATTATTAAAAATTATATATATAGTCATCTGAATTTTAGAATATTGCTTATCTTTACTTCAACTCCTAGATCTTCAATCTAAGGATCGTAGCAGACACTCTTTAACATACCTATGATATTTTTAGATAATTTGATAAATACTAAAAAATAGGTTGGTTATATTTATTTTTGAGTGCTTTTCTTAAAAATAGATGATTGGAACATAACACAAGCTAGGTAGGGTTGACCAAAAATAAAGAATTAAGAAGAATGATTATTGAGTTTAATTTGCAATAATTTTTAATTTTTTATAAAATGGACATAATTGAGTGGATTGGAATAATTGTTTTGTGTTACTTCGGATACTTATTCATAAAGGAGTGCAAAGTAATTATTTTTGGGAATCCAAATGTACAATAAAAATATGGAAAAGGATGTTGGGCTTTAGTCACTGGAGCCACAGACGGTATAGGTAAAGGATTTTGTTAAGTAATGAATATTGTTTTTATTTCAAGGAATTTGCAAGATAAGGTGTCAATGTTTGCATTGTTGCTAGAAATAAATCGAAAGCAGAGAATTTAATAGAAGAGCTAAAGAAGATTAATGGTAAACCATAATATAAAATTGTGATTGCGGATTTTTAGAATTGTCTTTAAGAATCCTTTTTCCAAAAAATATATCAAGAAGTGAAAGATTTAGATATCGGTCTTTTAGTCAACAATGTTGGAGTCTTAACTGTTGGAGAATTTCATAAGACGTCTGACGTTGATCAATAAAATTAAATTATCATCAATTGCATTCCTGTGGTGTTTATGACAAAATATATATTGCCTATTCTCAAGAAAAGGGAAAGATCAGGAGTCATAAATCTTTCCTCATTAACAGGAAGATTTGCCTATCCTTATTATCAAGTATATTGTGCAACTAAAGTAAAAATTGATATCAACTCCAAAGGCATTTAATGATTATTTTACCAGATCCCTACAAATTGAAGTCGAAAATGTTGATTTCCTATCATTACGACCTGGATTTGTTTAAACAGCTATGGTCAAAAATTAGACTGATCCTCTTACAGTTTCTACATAGCAATGTGTCAAATCAGCATTGTAGATTATATTTTAATAATATTAGATTTTAATTGGGAAATAAGGAAGCTACTGCAGGACATATTATTCATAGAATATAAACATTTATTTTTAGTCTAGCCGAAGGAAAGCTTACGGATATCATATCACCAATTGTTGCAAAATAATTATATAAATAAAAACATTGAATACTTCTAATGCATCATATTCTCTTGTCACTTTATTAGGCCTCCGTGTTGAATTAAGAACCTAAATATACACCAGCTTTATGAGCTGCTCTTAAAAATGTTTCATTGCTTTATAAATGATTTTCTATATGCTCCTTTTTAGTTTTTGAATTAATGATCTTCATTGTTCCATTCACTTGACCATTTTCAAAAACACCCTTCATTTCGTATTCGTTGAAGTATAGAGCTCCATCTATTGATTTAAGCAATCCATTCTAAAATAATCCACAGCTTCTTAAAGATCGATCCTAGTAATACTATTTAGCGAGAGTAGTTTAGCTGTGTAACCTACCACATTCAAATATTCCTTCTTCCTCTAAAGTATTCTCTTCATTATCATAATATCTTTTTCCAGTTCCATTTAGTTATCCTTCTGAAAACTTCCCAATTTCCTTTCTAAATGATAATTCTTTTTTTTATACTTTTTTCCACTAGGGTATCTTCTTTCTCCTTCTCCATCAAGTTACCCATTTTTGAAATATCCAACTTCAATAATGGTCCCATTTTCATTTGCTCTCCCAGATTTATCATCCTAAGAATGTAATTTCCCATCCAAAAATATACCATATTCATTTCTATGAAATAATTAAATTAAACTACATATAACCATTGGAATGCCTTCTTTCTCCCTCATTTATTAGTCCCTACTCATTAAATTCACCTTTCTCCATTCTTAAATTTATATTTTAGAATTTACATTTTACCATTTTAATAGAACTTTGTACCTTTGATCAAAATTCCATGATTAAAATGTCCCATCTCCTTTATTTAATTTTGCTAAAAGTCTCTTATATTTATTACCTATTCATTAATTTTGTAGTATCTAATACCTTCCCCATTTAATTATCCATTCTCAAATATACCTTCTTCTTCTCTATTCTTTTTTATAAATTTTTTACGTAAAATCTGCGTTATCAAAATATCGCTTTCCCTTTCCAGACAATTATATTCTTATATTGAATTATCCCTCCTCTTATCTAATGTATAAATTAAGAACTTACAATATGTTAGATTTTAAGTGATATTTCTTACCATGGATCATAATACTATTTGAAAACTCTCCCTCCAACAATCTATATATTGTTTAATTTTATACAAGTTATTATTTATATCAATTAATCTTCCAAATCCAAATAGTGCGCTGTTTTCAAACTTTCCAATTAACTAAATGTTGTTGGGCTCTTGAATCTAACCAAATCCGTAAAATAATTTTCCATCCCTATATTCTCTCTGTAATTACTCATTTTGATATAGAGTAAAAGAACTTTGCCTATTTTATCCTAATAGAAATTCGGAGGCCTTGTATTGTATATTATCAGGCTTTTTAAACTCAAGATTGCTGAGAGAGATATTTTTCCTTAATTATTCTCTGTCATCAAGTCTGATATTATCGCCATTTATATTTAACTATGCTTAAACTCTATAATAATTCATATGTAATACTGAATTTCGGATCCTTTAAGATACTTTATTTAGATTTATCCTGATACGATTTTTCCTTTTTCAAACATTCCATTAATTTGATATTGATTTTTAACAATAATAGTTCCATTTCCTTCTAATTTATTTTTACAAAAAGTTCCAATCAATCTTGTATTCTTTTAATCGATTTCAATAATTCCTTATCCATTTAAAATTCCAAATTCGATTTTTCCATAGATTGTATACCCGTAAGGAAATTTTATCATACCAACTCCACTCATCCAGGGTTTAAAATTCCCCACTAAAAGCATTCCTTCAGTTTCTATAATTTCAATAGTACTAATAAGATTTTAGAGTGTTTGTGAAATATGTTAAATCTGTTATGTGTCTTAATTCATATTTTTAGATTCATTTATCTGATTCTGACATTCATTATATTTTCTCACCCATTCGCATAATATATCATGATCAATATTATTAAAATATCCAATTCTTTACTATGCCTTTAATAAAAGCTCATGTATTTCACCTAAATATGCTTATTAATCAGCAGCACAAAAGGTTGAGTCTGTGTTTGACATATATTTATAAATAAAATATTATTAAGATGAATAAAGCATAAGGACTTTACTCAATTTATTTTTTATGTGAACCAAAATTACAAGCTATTAAATATGTATATAACATGTTGCCTAAACTTATAAAACTTAGATAAACTTAGATAGACTAAATTATTTTCTAGAACTATCTAGTGGTGAATCTTAGAACTTGGTTTTTTTATAGACTTGAAGGAATGGTTTATTAAGAAATGAAAGAGAAAGACGACCTACTATTTTAAAGCAATATTTTTATAAGATGCATTAACCAAGCAATTCATGATTAAAAATAAATTTAGCTACAACAATGTAAAAATAAAACTCTTTCAATATATTCTAAAAATAATTCTAAATTCAATTGCAAGTTATGTAAGAAATTCTCCCTATATAATATGCAAGTCAAGTAATGCAAGACGAAAAAAGAGTAGCATTATAATCAGATATAAATGAGTAATTTTTTTTTTGTAAAATCGCAATGTTAATAAATATTTAAGAGTTTTGCTATCTTCAACAAACTCTGTAAAATCCATTTTGAAAAAAATTTATGTTTCCTTATTTGTTACTTTTAATAATCTTAGATTACTATTACTGCTTTAATTTCCTTATTTTTAAGTTTAACTCTTATCTTTCAATTGTCATCATATATCTTGAAATAAACTCATCAATTTTTATTAGTTCTGGATATTTCTCCAAATTGCTAAATGATCTAATCACGGTTTTTTTGTGATATTTAATTTTTATTATCCATTAAAATTATCTCTTAATCCTTGATTTTTATAGAAGAAACCACATCAGTCTATATTCCATTTTATATATTTTTATTTTCAATCCATATAAACCTGAATAAATTTTGTGCAATTTCAAATTAATACCCATAATTAATAATAATTAATTAAAATTAATAAATGTAGTATTAACCAGCATACTAATCACCTTAACAACATTATATTAATCCTGGATAGATTGATGTAAGAATATATCAAATATAGACTTCATTTAACTCTGGATTAGAGGCAATCTCAAGATGCCCAAGTATTTATATTAAATAACGTCCTGATTATTTAGAATCTTTAGGATTCTGTGAAAAAAAAAATGTTTATTATGTTTATTAATCTGATACAATGGGAAATAAGCCAGACTTTAAGCATTAAGCTCCGATTTTTAAATGTAAAGAGGATAGTAGCTGTTGGTAAAGAAATTTTCTTCCTGGGGCTTGCAGAGCGTTTGATTTGAAAGTCAAATAATATGATTAAAAATAAGAAACCAACACAGTTTTTAGATTAAGCAGAGAGTTCAAATGTACATTTCTTTGTCTAGCTAGGTATTTAATTTAATTTATTTCAGACCTATTATGGAAGTTTAATTATAAAATGGAGGAAAACTAGGTTATATATGTTATCCCTTTATGTGCTGCGATAAGGGAGTTGAAATAAGAGATGAAAATAATTCTTTGTTATACTCTGTTAAAGGAAGCTGCTGTCAATGGCCATTTTTAGTAAAATTACCTTGCGAAGCATGTTAAAGAGCAAGATTTGATATTATTGATTCACAAGGATAGGTATTGTTTAATCAAAATATCTAAAGAAAATTTCAGAATTATGGAAAGAGTCAGCTGGATTTTGTAATGCACTGTGTAATGTGGATGCAACCAATTTTAGATTAATGTTTCCTTAGTAATCTACCAGTAGATAAAAAGCTTTGTTATTGGCAGCTGCATTATTCATAGACTTTAATTATTTTGAAGAATCCCCATAAGATTAAAATAACGATTCCTTATGATTTTTTCATATATTTAGATTATTATTAATAGTCATGTTAAAAAGCTTGCATTGACAAGAAATTTGATGAACTTTAGTTAACTATGTTTATTATTTATTCAAATAATATTTATTTAGATAAAAATTATATCTTTTATTACTAATATAATAAGAAAGATAGAAAATGTCGATATCGTGATGGTTTTAATCAAGAAAAACTTCTAATTTAAAACAAAAAAATAAGAATAAACTGAAAGAAAAAATTATAATTTCAGCTCTAAATCTGATTATTGGTATTATATTCAATTTTATTCGAACGCTACATCAAAAAATAATCAAGATTGTTATCAAATTTCCAGATTTGTTTATTTTTTTTTTAGGATCTAAGTTATATAATATTTAAGAACTAAAAATAAAGAAGTCTAATAATAAATGCGTCACTTTATGATAAATAATAAATCATTTTATTTAATTTTTAAAACTATATTGCACTATCTCTTGCCCTTTGGATGAGGCTCCTTATTAAAAATATTTTAGTTATCCTGCATTTGTCCAATGAATAGAAAGGCAACTAAAGGTTTCTTTAATTCTTTATTAGTCTCAGAAAATAAGAATTTTGAATGTCAAGAAGAAGTTTGAGAATGGTCTTCAAAAAAATTGCCTATAAGTAATTCAAGAAATAGAAAATACTAATTATTCTGAATTTTATTAATTTAGGCACACTAGATATAAAAATCTGATTGATTGACAGAAAGGAAGTATTGCAATAAAATACATTAATTTTATTGAGTGTTTTTAGAGAATGGATTTAATATATTAAGGTTGTTAAGAATTCTTGAGACAAAAATATAAGTTAAAATAGTGATATTTGACAAATAAACACAAAAAGTTTTTATAAATGACTGATTTGAATAATTTCTGATTGAATATTCAAAATTTAACGTAAGTTCAATTGATTGTCTCTTTATTCTTGACATCAAGGCTATCAATATATTTTTATTAAATGATTAATTAATTATATCCTCACAACAAAAATAAATCTGACATTTAAATTTAAACTTCATCATTTTTTTGTTGTCTAAATAACATTAATATATTATAGAGTAACTCTCTTAATCTGATTCATTTTAAATATTTCTGTAGTCTTGTTTATCTGTGGATAGAAGAAAAATAAAAAAGATAATTTATTTTTGAATTAAAATGATTCCTCCTACTTGGAATGAATTTCTGAAATTTATTAGTGATATTTAAGATAATGAACTTGATAAACCTCTACTTAGTCAATATATAAGGATACCTAATAAATGCATGACGTCGTTTTAAATAATATAATATTTCAGCTCAGATTTTCAAAAGTATAAAAACTATTATAGCAGTTTAGATCAAAGATTAAAAGAAGATGCAAATGGGGAGACACAGAAAAATATTTCTTGGTATGGTGCGTCTCAAAATTGATAGCTAAGCTTTAGATAAAATTTCATGAAGTTGTAATACTTAATCTTTAAATATGGTGTAGTGCTAGTTTAAAGTTTTTGAGAAGCTCTCAATTATCTTGGGTATCCCGGAAGAATTTTTGTTGAAAAAATGGTTGGGTTTGCTGAAATATAAACTTAAAGAATAGCCTTGGTTACCAGAAGAAGATGACCTACTTATTAAATTAAGATAGTATTAATCATTTTTAAAGCAGGTAATACTCCAAATCAAAGGACTGGTTAAGAATTGCAATGGAATTTATTAAGAGAAGTTAAACTGTAAGATATCCAAAATAGATTCGCGAGAGATTTAATAATGTTATCAATCCAAACATAAATAAGTAACTATATGCCTCAATATAGAAATGAATTCAATTAAGATGACATACTATTTATCTTTCAATAAACTTAGAATAAGAAAAAAAATTGGGCAGGAATTTCAAAAAATATGCCTGGCCGAACTGATAATTAGATCAAAAATGTTTATAACTCTATAATTAGGAAAATATCAAATGAAATTAGAATGGTATATATGAAACTAATTTAGAACAACAATGAAAAGAAGGTTGATGAATAAGTTATTGTAAATCTAATCATCCAAAAAAAAAACTATGATCCAAAGCTTATATCATAGCTTTACGGGGAAGGAAGAAGAAAGAAACCTTGTGTAAAAATTGAGCCAAACTCAGATAATTCTTATACTTCTGGACCTTAAATTCAAGGAATTCCAATCTAAATGGTCTGTCCATATATTAATTATTAACCATACCAATTCCAAAATATCTATTGTTGCTTTCCCTAATTATATCTTTTACCCCATTAGAAGCCTATAAGCAACTTGAATCTTTAATGAAACCTGATTTTTATTTTTAAATTGTATCTAAAATTTCACCAGTATTTAACTATTATAAAAAAAAATACATAGATTTATTTTAATAAAGACTTCCTTTTGTAGATATTTTAGGCACTTCAGCCTCTACAAGATTAGAAATTTAATTACAAAACAGAATGAAGGATGTACTACCCTTAAGAATATAGTAGAAAAAAATATTAAAACATTTATCCATCATTATTTCTATTAATTTTAAACATTTGTGAATTCCTTTGAAACTACTGTGGTTGAGTTAATGAGAAAAGTTTGGTCTTATAAATACTTATTTTTATTTAATATTTTCTGATCCATTTCGTTATTTACAATTTGTATTTTTTGTTATTATGTTCAAAATTTTTTGCCACTATTTTTTTTTCCAATTTAATCCTAAGCCCTTTTTATTAATTTAATGGTTTTCCTTTGACCAAAGGTAATACGCATTGTCTTAAGCAATCTAACATAAAATGATTTTCAACTCAAAAATCTCTTTTTCAAGAATCGAAATTATTTAAAAATTTCTAATTAATACAAGTTAAAAGACCTTTATTCTGACCGAAAAAAGATAGAAAAATATTTAAATACTATTGGAATAAAAAATATTGATTCTTTATAACTAAAATTAGGAAAATCATGAGGTTATATATCCGTTATTTAATGTTATTATTTAATGAATTAAAAAATCATTATTAAATTCAGGAGTTTTTGGTAATTTAACCAATAGGCTAATTCTTAAGTCAAAAGTTTTGGATGAAGTATATTATAGTTTTTCTTTTACCAGACTTGCCTCAGTTGAATCCAAAAATATTACCAGATAAATTTCTTAATGAACAATAATAAATCTTGCATTAATAATCCGTAACGCTTAAACCAATTAGAAAAATAACTCCTAGAAAAAATTTTGTCTTTCAATATTTCAAATCTTAGAATTGTTGTAAAGACCTTTTATTATTAGATATTATATTAAATTATATTATCTGATATGCCTTTAGATATCTATCAAGGAGGTTTCAGGAAAATTAATCTATTTTATTTTATAATAACTATCCTATTCTATAAATTACCTTTAAATTATAAATTTTTTCAAACAATTAATTTAATTTTAATTATTTATTTAAGTTCAATTCTTGAGCTGGTATTATTCTTTCAATATTTGATAATTAAATCACAAAAATATTTAAAAATTTTTGTCTGATAGCAATTTATATCAACAATTAATCATGATATTTTAATCAATATTGATCAATTCAATTTTTTACATAAAAATTACTAAAAAATTGTAAAATCCTTCTAAAATTTGCTTTCACTTCTTTATAGATTGATATATAAGGTTTTACAATTTATTAAATGGTTAGATGATTCGAAATTCTAGATACTTTCGTTTAAATCACTTTAATGTCTTATTGTAAGAGTTATTTAATTAGAATCATTGTATTAAACTAATTCACCTTCATAGTTTAAGCCAAATTCATAAATTGTTACTTTGATCGATTTCAGTTTTGTAATAAATCTATTTAAAATATGGTTTAAATTTGTAATTTCATTACACTCAACGATTTAACGTACAGATTAATTGTTGATATATGACATCATTAATTATTTCAAGACGAGAATGATAAATGTGATTGTTGATTTGTTTCTTATATAAAAATAAGAAACAATTTTCTAAGATAAATAATTCACAAATATAAATTTAACTCTATTAGGAGAATTTTTTATTATGTTAAAAAAAAACTAAGCTTGAATGTTTATGCTTAGGATACAGTTCTTAATCAAACAGATGTTTGAACAACAGAAAGGATCATTATCACAAACGATATCCACAAATTTCAAATAGAATCTTAAGTTAGAAAGGTTTGTTGATTCCTCAACTTAGCTAAAAGTTATCAAATTTGATTTCCTTTTTTTTTTAGTTTGATTTTCAACTAATATGAGATGTTTTGATTGAAAATCCTCAAAATAAAATACTAATCTTAACTAGGTTTAACAAAATATTAGTTTGTATTATCAAAAATAAATTTGAAACAATTAGAAATTGAATTACTAAGCTAACTAAGTATGCAAAATATTTAAAATATTATCGAGATTTGGTTGATTTGGAATATGCTTTTCAATAATTTTAAACCATCATATAATATTTTTTGCTTCTTTCCGTAGTTTTTAGATCTTTTTGAGAAAAAGCTTCTATAGTGTCTTTCATTATTAACAATCTATTCTAAATATCTAAATAATTTATCTAACTTAGTGAATTGAGTATTTTGTATTACTTAGGTAAGTAAATTGGAATATAGTTAAATGACAGAAAGATAATTCTCAGAGTAACATATCTCGCTCGAATTAAACCAAGTTTAAAATATCAAGACTCATATTGATGATTTTTGACTTTCAATTTGAAATCCTGATTAATTTTATCTGACACAGCCAAAATCAAAAGTTCACAATACTTTTTTAGGGCTAATCTGAAAATCAAACAAAATACAGCTTTAATAATAATCAAAGCTTATAAGAAACTTATAATATTAATAAAATCAAATAATATAAATCGTAACGATCTATTTTTTCACTTCCAACTATAATCTTAAATTAAATTAAGAGGGCTCTTTAAGGTGCAATCTCTGCCTTTTCTAATTCTGATTTTATATGTATTATACTAATTAGCTTGCATATATTTTAATAACGTTTATTAGATTATTATTAAAATAAATTTGAATTTGAAATGAGAGGATAAAACCAACCATACTATTAAATTTGCTCTCCTTAAAGAGCACCTTAAAGACTTTAAGTTGTATCTTAGTAACCTAGCCAAAATGATAAAATGATAAACTTAAAATGCGAAAAAGTTTTGATGGGATTTGAAATTCAAAGGCAAAATTAAATAATAAAGGAGCTTGAAGAAAACAAAAATTAGTTAGAGCAGCAGATGTAAATTTAAATTATAATATAGAAAAACATATAAAGATGAATAAAAGATCTTGCTTCTAGAAATCTCTACATTAAACCAAGAAATCAATAAAGCATAGGAGTAAGAGAAAAAATATAGAGAGCAATTAAATTCTTACATCAGAAATTAACCATAAATGGATAATTAAATGTAAATAGATTTATCTGGAGAATATGAAAAGTTAAAGGAAGAAAATTAATATTTAGAGTCAAAAATATCTTATTTATTAAGCATTAATTAGTTAGAAAATAAATAAGATATTTCATCCATTAAAAAATTAAATCTCGATCAAAGTGAAGCCTAAAATCATACTCCTTCCAACATTCATAAGCTTTTAGAATAACTTCAAAATAATATCTAAAATTATAAACAAGGAAATTCCATCTAAACTAAATACCTTAATTCAATAACAATTTTAAAGGAATTGATTAAGTCCTAAATATCATTCCTTGCCAAACAAGATAACTTGAATAAAGAAATTGATTATTAGTAAATAGAAATATATTTGACAAAAATTAATTAAGATATAGAAGAATTAAAAGCATATGAAACTCCAAAAGCAGTAAGACGAATTTTAAATAATCAAAGTCCATAGTTAGGAAGATCATGTTCTTAAGGATTATCCTCCGAGGAAGTCTTTTCAAAAATTATTGGACATATTGAGTATTTGTAATAAGGAGGATTAAGCATTCCAACTATTTTAAAATAAATTTCATTGCTTAATTCTTTAGTTAGATTAAAAAACGATGATCTAAAACTAATAAGCAATAATAATAAATTAAAATAGTCACCTACTAGATTTTCAATAGCGCTCACACCAGTTAAATATTTGAGTCCAATTAGAATTTCTCCTTTGAAGATACATCCATTTGTTATGAACATGAGCGCTCCTTAAAAAGTTTCTATAATTTAGTCAAATATTCATGATTCGCATTAAACAAACTAAAGATAGAATGTTATTGATTCATTTCCAATATAATAAAGAGATGAATTTTAGAATGTACTTAATTCTTTTAGAGATAATTAAGATAAAATAAACTAATTGGAATTTGAAAAAATATAATTATAGGAACAAGCTAAATTGTTAAGGTAAAAATATGACTAGTTGATTGAAAACTAAATTTATTAACCATAAGACTAAAACCTTAGTTAATTGGAAAGTCTGGATGCAGAAAATTTGATCCTTAAAAGATAAAATATAGATTTAAAGTAATAAGTAAAGGAATTAGTTGAAGAAAGAATAAAATTACAGCAATAATATGATATAAGTAAAAAGTAATATTAAGAAATTTTGAATGAGTTATATCAAGAGAAATAGCCAGAAGACTATAAGAAATAAATTGTCCAATAAAAGGAGTTAATACATAATTTGGAAAATGAAAAATTGATTAAGAATGATGAACTTATTACCCTGGTGGAAGAAAATGACACACTAAAAAAAAATTAAATTTCACTTTAAGATTAAATTATAGAGTTATTAAAACAATTGAATTAGTAAAATTTAGGATAGTTTGAAGAAAAAGACATCGAGAGTGCGGATGAATTATAAGAAGATAAATTAAAGTAAATGAATATTTTACAAACAGAAAATATTATATTAAAAGATTAAATATAAGAGGTGGAATAATAAAGATAAGAGGATCTTAAATCTTTCAAGTAAATTATTGGTGAGGGAGCAGATTAATAATGTATTGCAGATTTAGTAACTTAAAAATAGAAATTACAAACTGATTAAAGATAGCAATTAATTTAGATAAATAAATTATAATAAGAGCTAATTTTATAATAAAATGAAAATAATGATTTGAAAGAAATGATGAATCAATTAAAAAGACAAAAATAAGATAAAAATTTGAAAGAAGAAAATGAAGTATTTAGTAAAAGAGAAAATGAAATAGATGAATTGAGAAAGGAATAAATCAAATTAAAGGATGAATTAATTTAAACCAAGTAATAGCTGAATGAGTAAATGTAATAATAAATCTAAAAACCGTAAGGTAGCGAGAAACAGATATAATTCTAAACAGATCCTGAAAAAGTCCTTTAAATCAGCTCACTCTAAGCAGAATGTGTGAATCTCAAGAAACAAATTTAGGATGTTGAATAGTAGAGAAAGGATGATCTAAAATCTTTTGAAAATATGCTTGGTGAAGGAGTCAATGAATCCTAAATTATTGGCTTGACTTCTGATAAATAGTAACTTTAATCTGAATTAAGAATATTACAAAATAAATGTGATCAATTGTAGTAAGAACAAATTGCATTGTAGAATTAATTACTTTAGAAGAACAAATAAATTGTGGATTTACAAGATGATACCAAATTGAGCGAGAAAGAATAGCAAATTCGAGAAAAGGATAACGAGATAAAACTATTAGAACAACAAATATAAACAGCTAAAGATCAATATTAAGAGCTATTAGACTTGCAATAATAAAACTTAACTCCTGGAGGATAAAAGGAAAAGATATTACAATAAACAAAAGAAATTCATGATCAACAAGAAGTGATTAATGAACTTCAACATAAGGTGGAAACTGAAGTACCGCAACTTTAATAACTCTTATGTGAAGCAGAAGAAAAATTTAAAGAAGCTTAAAGTCAAGCAGATTTATGGAATAAAAACTACAAAGATCTTTAAGAAGCAAAACAATAATAAGTTGATGATTTTGTGAAACCAGAATAAATAGAAAATTATAGTTTAGATTAAGCTAAAGATGCTTTAAAAAAATTGAATGATGAGTTGAAGAAATAATAATAAATAAATAATGAGTAACTTCAAGTAAACGAAAATTTATAAAAATAAATGAAAGATCCATAAGAAATGGCTTCTTAAAATCAGAATGAAATAGATGAATTGAAAAAGGAATAAATCAAATTAAAGGATGAATTAATTTAAACCAAGCAATAACTAAATGAGTAATTGCAATAATAAATCTAAAAACCTTAAGGTAGCGAGAAACAGATATAATTCTAAACAGATCCTGAAAAAGTCCTTTAAATCAGCCAACTCTAAGCAGAATGTGTGAATCTCAAGAAACAAATTTAGGATGTTGAATAGTAGAGAAAGGATGATCTAAAATCTTTTGAAAAAATGCTTGGTGAAGGAGTCAATGAATCCTAAATTATTGGCTTGACTTCTGATAAATAGTAACTTTAATCTGATTTAAGAATATTACAAAACAAATGTGATCAATTGTAGTAAGAACAAATTGCATTGTAGAATTAATTACTTTAGAAGAACAAATAAATTGTAGATTTACAAGATGATACCAAATAGAGCCAGAAAGAAGAGCAAATTCGAGAAAAGGATAACGAGATAAAACTATTGGAACAACAAATACAAACAGCTAAAGATCAATATTAAGAGTTATTAGACTTGCAATAGTAAAACTTAACTCCTGGAGGATAAAAGGAAAAGATATTACAATAAACAAAAGAAATTCATGATTAACAAGAAGTGATTAATGAACTTGAACAGAAGGTGGAAACAGAAGTACCGCAACTTTAATAACTCTTATGTGAAGCAGAAGAAAAATTTAAAGAAGCTTAAAGTCAAGCAGATTTATGGAATAAAAACTACAAAGATCTTTAAGAAGCAAAACAATAATAAGTTGATGATTTTGTGAAACCAGAATAAATAGAAAATTATAGTTTAGATTAAGCTAAAGATGCTTTAAAAAAATTGAATGATGAGTTGAAGAAATAATAATAAATAAATAATGAGTAACTTCAAGTAAACGAAAATTTATAAAAATAAATGAAAGATCCATAAGAAATGGCTTCTTAAAATCAGAATGAAATAGATGAATTGAAAAAGGAATAAATCAAATTAAAGGATGAATTAATTTAAACCAAGCAATAACTAAATGAGTAATTGCAATAATAAATCTAAAAACCTTAAGGTAGCGAGAAACAGATATAATTCTAAACAGATCCTGAAAAAGTCCTTTAAATCAGCCAACTCTAAGCAGAATGTGTGAATCTCAAGAAATAAATTTAGGATGTTGAATAGTAGAGAAAGGATGATCTAAAATCTTTTGAAAAAATGCTTGGAGAAGGGGTCAATGAATCCTAAATTATTAGCTTGACTACTGATAAATAGTAACTCTAATCTGATTTAAGACAATTACAAAATAAATGTGATCAATTGTAGTAAGAACAAATTGCATTGTAGAATTAATTACTTTAGAAGAACAAATAAATTGTGGATTTACAAGATGATACCAAATAGAGCCAGAAAGAAGAGCAAATTCGAGAAAAGGATAACGAGATAAAACTATTGGAACAACAAATACAAACAGCTAAAGATCAATATTAAGAGTTATTAGACTTGCAATAGTAAAACTTAACTCCTGGAGGATAAAAGGAAAAGATATTACAATAAACAAAAGAAATTCATGATTAACAAGAAGTGATTAATGAACTTCAACATAAGGTGGAAACAGAAATACCGCAACTTTAATAACTCTTATGTGAAGCAGAAGAAAAATTTAAAGAAGCTTAAAGTTAAGCAGATTTATGGAATAAAAACTACAAAGATCTTTAAGAAGCAAAACAATAATAAGTTGATGATTTTGTGAAACCAGAATAAATAGAAAATTATAGTTTAGATTAAGCTAAAGATGCTTTAAAAAAATTGAATGATGAGTTGAAGAAATAATAATAAATAAATAATGAGTAACTTCAAGTAAACGAAAATTTATAAAATTAAATGAAAGATCCATAAGAAATGGCTTCTTAAAACCAGAATGAAATAGATGAATTGAAAAAGGAATAAATCAAATTAAAAGATGAATTAATTTAAACCAAGTAATATCTAAATGAGTAATTGCAATAATAAATCTAAAAACCTTAAGGTAGTGAGAAACAGATATAATTCTAAACAGATCCTGAAAAAGTCCTTTAAATCAGCCAACTCTAAGCAGAATGTGTGAATCTCAAGAAATAAATTTAGGATGTTGAATAGTAGAGAAAGGATGATCTAAAATCTTTTGAAAAAATGATTGGAGAAGGGGTCAATGAATCCTAAATTATTAGCTTGACTACTGATAAATAGTAACTCTAATCTGATTTAAGACTACTACAAAATTAATGTGATAAGTTGTAGTAAGAACAAATAGCTTTATAAGATTAATTACTTTAAAAGAACAAATAAATTGTGGATTTACAAGATGATACCAAATACAGCGAGAAAGAAGAGCAAATTCGAGAAAAGGATAACGAGATAAAACTATTGGAACAACAAATACAAACAGCTAAAGATCAATATTAAGAGTTATTAGACTTGCAATAGTAAAACTTAACTCCTGGAGGATAAAAGGAAAAGATATTACAATAAACAAAAGAAATTCATGATTAACAAGAAGTGATTAATGAACTTCAACATAAGGTGGAAACAGAAATACCGCAACTTTAATAACTCTTATGTGAAGCAGAAGAAAAATTTAAAGAAGCTTAAAGTTAAGCAGATTTATGGAATAAAAACTACAAAGATCTTTAAGAAGCAAAATAATAATAAGTTGATGATTTTGTGAAACCAGAATAAATAGAAAATTATAGTTTAGATTAAGCTAAAGATGCTTTAAAAAAATTGAATGATGAGTTGAAGAAATAATAATAAATAAATAATGAGTAACTTCAAGTAAACGAAAATTTATAAAATTAAATGAAAGATCCATAAGAAATGGCTTCTTAAAACCAGAATGAAATAGATGAATTGAAAAAGGAATAAATCAAATTAAAAGATGAATTAATTTAAACCAAGTAATATCTAAATGAGTAATTGCAATAATAAATCTAAAAACCTTAAGGTAGTGAGAAACAGATATAATTCTAAACAGATCCTGAAAAAGTCCTTTAAATCAGCCAACTCTAAGCAGAATGTGTGAATCTCAAGAAATAAATTTAGGATGTTGAATAGTAGAGAAAGGATGATCTAAAATCTTTTGAAAAAATGATTGGAGAAGGGGTCAATGAATCCTAAATTATTAGCTTGACTACTGATAAATAGTAACTCTAATCTGATTTAAGACTACTACAAAATTAATGTGATAAGTTGTAGTAAGAACAAATAGCTTTATAAGATTAATTACTTTAAAAGAACAAATAAATTGTGGATTTACAAGATGATACCAAATACAGCGAGAAAGAAGAGCAAATTCGAGAAAAGGATAACGAGATAAAACTATTGGAACAACAAATACAAACAGCTAAAGATCAATATTAAGAGTTATTAGACTTGCAATAGTAAAACTTAACTCCTGGAGGATAAAAGGAAAAGATATTACAATAAACAAAAGAAATTCATGATCAACAAGAAGTGATTAATGAACTTGAACAGAAGGTGGAAACTGAAGTGCCATAACTTTAGGGACAATTAAGTGAAGCTTAGGAAAAATTGAAGGATGCACAAAAGGATGCAGAACTATGGAATAAAAAGTATCATGAATTGTTAGAGAGCAAATAAACTTAAGTTCAGAACATTCTTGCTCCAGAAGAAATCGAAAAATTGAGCTCTGAAGAAGCCAAAAATGCTCTTACATAATTGAACAAGTAGTATTCAGATAAAGCTCAAGAAAATAGAGAATTAGAGATGGTGGTTTAGCACCTTAGATAAGATCTAGATACTTCATAGGAGAAAGTATAACAACAAGCTAAGGAAGCACAATAAGAGAAAGCTGTACATGAATAACAAACTTAAATCCTTAATAGTTAACTCAAAGATTTAGTGGTCAAGGATGAAGCTCAAAGGAAAGAAATTTTAGATTTGAAAAATAAAGTTGATTAAGAAAATGCAGACTTTTGGAAGTAATAATATTAGTAATTGGCTAAAAAGTAACCTGAAATTAGCTCAACATAGGTAGGAGATTAACAGGAACAGCAAGTAGCCTAACAAGAAGGAGAAGTGAAGCCTAAAGAAGTTTTAAATGAAGAAGTTGAATTACTTAAAATTAAATTAGAGAAATTAAATGATCTTCAAAAAGAAAATGAAGAATTAAAAGCATAACAGATAATAATCTAAGATGAATTACTCTAAACCAAGTAATAGCTTAATGAGTAATTGCAATAATAAATCTAAAAACCTTAAGGTAGCGAGAAACAGATATAATTCTAAACAGATCCTGAAAAAGTCCTTTAAATCAGCCAACTCTAAGCAGAATGTGTGAATCTCAAGAAATAAATTTAGGATGTTGAATAGTAGAGAAAGGATGATCTAAAATCTTTTGAAAAAATGCTTGGAGAAGGGGTCAATGAATCCTAAATTATTAGCTTGACTTCTGATAAATAATAACTCTAATCTGATTTAAGACAATTACAAAATAAATGTGATCAATTGTAGTAAGAACAAATTGCATTGTAGAATTAATTACTTTAGAAGAACAAATAAATTGTGGATTTACAAGATGATACCAAATAGAGCGAGAAAGAAGAGCAAATTCGAGAAAAGGATAACGAGATAAAACTATTGGAACAACAAATACAAACAGCTAAAGATCAATATTAAGAGTTATTAGACTTGCAATAGTAAAACTTAACTCCTGGAGGATAAAAGGAAAAGATATTACAATAAACAAAAGAAATTCATGATCAACAAGAAGTGATTAATGAACTTGAACAGAAGGTGGAAACTGAAGTGCCATAACTTTAGGGACAATTAAGTGAAGCTTAGGAAAAATTGAAGGATGCACAAAAAGATGCAGAACTATGGAATAAAAAGTATCATGAATTGTTAGAGAGCAAATAAACTTAAGTTCAGAACATTCTTGCTCCAGAAGAAATCGAAAAACTGAGCTCTGAAGAAGCCAAAAATGCTCTTACATAATTGAACAAGTAGTATTCAGATAAAGCTCAAGAAAACAAGGAATTAGAATAGTTATCTAAAGAGCAACAATCCTATTTGTTTTAAAAATAATAAGAATTAGATTAATTATAACTTAAACTTGATTAAGTTACCCAAATTTCCAATATTTAAAAATTGTAGCTATAAAGTACGGCAGATGATTACACTAATTAAATAGATTAATTAAAATAATATATTTCTGATCTTAAATCTTAAATCGATTAGCAAAACCCTGCCTTTTGGAAATAATCCTACTAGAAGTTATTAGAAGATACAAAATAGTTAAATTAAAATATTCCATAAGATGTTTTTCAACAAGAAACTGTAATTTTGCCCAATCAGCCTGCTTAAACTCCATTATCAGAGTATTAATTGTTAAAATAGTAATACGAAGAATTATACCAAGTTAAGCTTTAACTTCAACAAGAGTTATTACTTGCCTAAAATCGTATCACATAGCTTATTAATGAATAAATAATTAAGCCTGCAGGTTAAGAAGAGGCAATTTAATTTTCTACTGATCCTTAAAAAGCCTTGGTTGTGTCGCAATTAGAGTAGACAATCTAATTATTAACCCAATAAATTTCTGAAATTGAAAAATAAAGAAATGATGATTTACAGAAGTTTAAAGATATGATTGGGAATGGTGTGAATGAAAGTACTGTTGCAACTCTCATGCAAGAAAAATAATCATTACAATCTCAATTAATAAAATTCAAAACCTAGATCGATTAGAATTAATAAGAATAAATTTCAATTTAAAACTAATTAATTTCAAAAACAAATTAATTAATTGAATTGTAAGAAAGCCTCAAACAGGATTTCTCTTAATAAAACATAAAATAATTGCAGGATGAAAATAATTTACTTCAACTAGAATTATAAAAAGCCAAAAAATCATACCAAGAATTACTTGAGTTATAATCAGAAAATCTAACGCCAAATGGTTTAAAAGAAAAGATTTTAAATTAATAAAAACAGATTCATGATTTAGAAGAATAACATTTAATATCTTAATAAAAATATGAGAATGAGCTATCATCATTAGTAGGATAACTAAGTGAAGCAAAATAAAAATTAAAAGATTCCCTAGCTGATAGTGAGTTATGGAACAACAAATACCATGAATTACTTGAATGTCGTTAAAATCTTCCAACATTAGAGATTGAAGATTTACAAAAAAAATTATTAGTATCCCAATAAAACACAGAAAAGGAGAGGGAAAAATACAATAATTTATTATAAGAATAATATTCCTAACTTTCACCTACTTCCTCTTAAGCTAAACTTTTGTAAGCATAAGATTAAATTAATTAATTAAAACTGTAGTTGGAAAACAATAAATCTTAAGAAATTTATTCAGAGCCTTAATAATAGATTGATAGTTTGCAAGAGGAAATTGAAAATTTGAGAAAAAATATTGAAAATTTAGAAAAAATAAATTAAATAAGCAATGAATAAATTGAATATTTAAAAGGATAACTATAAAAAAATGAAATAAATTAGCCCACTTAACAAATTGTAACTGATAGTTAGGAATTGTTATAAATGTAAGAATAAAATATCGTTTATTAGTCTCAAATTAATGACTAACAAAAAGAATTACAAAAAGCATAAAACCTAATTCAATAGCAATAAGATAAAATTTTGGATGCCTTAAAAGATCAATAAAAAGTAGAATTTTGGAAAAAATAATATACAGATTTATTATCTGAAAAGTATCCTTAAGAATAATCAAATTAAATATAAGAATTAAAAGAACAATAAGTTAGTGAATTGCCTCTAATATAAGAAAATAAATAAATATAATAACTTGAGAATTAGATAAATTAATTGTAATAGGACAAGGTCAATCTCTCTTAGTAACTTATAGATATTTAAAATAAGTTCAATGCTGCTATGCAACCAAAATAATAATAAGAATCTATAAGTACACGTCAAAATGATCATATTCAAAGTTTAGAAAATTAAATTAAAGAATTATAGAAGGAAAATAAAGAGTAAGCTTATTTAAATTATTTTTAGTGTTATTGTATAAATGAGAGAAGCCTTAAATGGAAACGATTAGTAAAAATAAATAGCTGATCTTCTAGAAATTAATAGCAGTCTAAAGTTAAATAATTCAAAATTGTTGATTGACTTATAGATGAATTAAAGCGAATTAATAAGGTAGTAATAGTAAGTTTAGATTTTAAACAATACTGTTAATGATCTCTAAGATCCCACAGTGGCTGAAAATACAAAATTACGTGTTTCAGATTTAGAGAAGTAAATTGATTTAATTGGATAATAAGTCGATTTCTGGAAACAAAAATATCAATAAGTTTTAAATGAATATAGTCAATAATTATCTCCTACAAGTGTTTAAAATAAGATGTTAGAGTAAACAAAATTAATTCATGATCAGGAAGAAGCATTGATGCTTTTATAAAAAACAAAAGATTAATCAAAATTAGAAAGTGATTTGGAAATTAATAATCTAAAATTGTAAATTAAAGATATTTAAGAGGAAAATTTAGTTCTGAAAAAGAAACTATAAGATTATTAAAATTAAACTTAATAATTATCAATCTAAAGAGTTATATCGCAAGGAGAAAATGAGTTATAGGTATAATATTGGAAGGATAAATATTAAGAAGCCTTAGAAGCTTTATATAAAGATCCTGAGCATGTACAAGAAATACTAAAACAAAAAGAAGAAGTTGCTTAAACTTTATATTTTGATAAGGATTCACAGTCTATTCATGATTTTGAATCTGATTTGATCGAAAAATTGAGAAGTGAAAATTAAACATTTTAAGGAGAGGTCACATTTTATAAAAAAAGAGTTTATGAATTAGAATAATAATAAAAAATTGAGCCTAGCTAATAAGATACTGTGTAATCTAGATAATATCAAATTTCCTAACTTGAAAAAGACCTATAGAAAGCTATTTCAAATTGTGCATATTGGGAATAAAAGTATAATGAAATAGCCTAACAGAGCATCAAAATCGAAACTTAAAAATATGGAGGTGATCCAACCTAAACAGCAACTTTCTGGAGATAAAAATATGATTAAGTTGAGCTAAATAGATAATAGCTGATTCAAGTAATTGCTGAAAAAGAAGAATAGTTAGAATTGAATATGTAATCATTTTAGCAAATTCTTAAAGATGAATTAAAGGAAGAACTTACTAAAATAAGAACTTAAGAAAGAGAAAAAATGGAACAATAATTTTAATAAAATTATCCTTAGAGTGAGTCAGTTTTAATATAAAAACTAAAGGATTCTCATGAGGTGGAAAAAGAATAACTTATTTAAGAATTTCTAAGAAGAATTGATTAACTTTTATAGAGCAATGTATAAAAGTATCCTGAAGGAGAAAATTGGAAAGAATTGATTTTAAGATATGAAAAATAAAGGTAAAATGAGCTCTATGAACTAAGATAGCACTTGGAAATTTTATAAAGATCATAAATATCCACTAAAGATATAGAATTTTATGCAGAAAGAAGAGCATATGAAAATACAATTAATGAATTAAGAGCTAGGATATCTTAAGAAGATCCTTAAGAGCTGTATGACACCATTGAGTATTAAAGAAAAGTGATTTTAGATTATGAAAATCAAATCTCCTTTTTATAAAATGAACGAACAAATCTAGAAATGCATATTATGTAACTAAATTAGTAAATTGATCAATTAAGGGACAATATTTCAAAATTCTAAATATAATAAGATCATAGAAAAAGGCAAAGAGCTGAAGTACTGGAGGCTATAGAAGAAATGAAACGAGAAAGAGCGGCTGATAGAGATTCTTTTAAATCTCCTTATAGACAAATGAGACAAAGTTAAAGAAGAACATCTTGGGACAGATATCCAAAAGACTTTTTAAGGCCTTCGAATATTTAACAACCTTCTCCTTATTAACACTAAAGTTCACCTATGCAAAAAATTCCATTCCAATAATCCTAATTTATATCTCCTAAATAGGAAAATAGAGAAATAAGTTTAAAGTTACAGGAATTAGACGAAGTTAAATATAAGTACTAGTCCGCTTTGAATAATATTTTATAACTCGAAACCTAAGTAATAGAGAAACTTCAGCAAGATGATTTGTAAATTGAATGAAATTTTTATTAAATAATTATTTTTATTATAAAATTTAACTATTATGTAAAATATTTGAGTTTCCATCAACAATATATATTGTTTTAAAATTAAAATTGAATTTATTTATAAATTCAATAGAGAACAGATAGGCGATTATGTAGATTAATTATTTTTGAAAACAACTTAAGGAATATTAAATAAGAATTAAGATACAAAGGCTCATTTGGTATATTTTAAATTATAACTTTAACGAAAAAATTCTCTTGATGTATAGAGATAATTTCAAAGAAAAATAACAATTGAAACAATTCAGATAAAAAGACGCTTCACATATTTTTTAGACTTAAAGATCTTATTATAATAAATTCAACTCATTCTTCTAACTTTGAAATATAAAATTAAACAACCTCCATCTATATTACATAACTTAAATTCCTTTATTAGTTTCTCTTTAATTATATAATTGAGTTTTTCAAAAAACAACATAAATAATTAGAATAATCAAATGTCATTACTGAAAATAGATATTTAGCATATTTAAAGGACCTATTAAAAGAATTCTGAAGTAAAATAATGTTCATTATATTAGAAAAACAAAGCAGCACCAAGATTTTAAACTTGAATTCATATAAATTAATGACCCATAAAACAACCTTATTAATATTTTTTACAAAAAATATGAACTATTTAAAGATTAAGCCATTAGATAGTATCAAAATGAAATTTTAATTATAATAAATAGAATTTTTTATCAATTTAGACACTAATTCATATATGAAGTAGCAAAAATTGTTAGTTATCTAATTTTGTGGTGTTAAATATTGTAGTCCTTTAAATGGGCATGAAAAAAAAAATGTGTAAGAAGGATAATCTTAAAGTAGACTAGAATATAAAAAATTTTAAATGAAGGTTTTTATATGAATCATTACGAGTTGACATTTCAATTACTTTATTTTGATTTATTTATTGGTATATTTAATAACAATATCACATCACAACTTTTACAATTTTTCGTTGATAAATGCTTAACCCTAAGCAAAATTGCCAATGTATTGAAATAATTAAGCTTCTTCAACTTGACTAAAAACAATCTCTGACTCATTTCTTATCAAATCTATTTGGTTCAAAGTAGATAAGAGTTTTCTACCGAATTCTTAATCGCCAGGCTCATTTCCAGCCTAAAATAATATAATTTCATACAATAATTTTTTCCAAATAAGTAAGTATTTTTTCAATATTTTTTATATTTTCTTATACTAATAATGATGGGTTTGATGTATTTACGATTTTGAAATCTTTCTACTATAAGTTAGGGGCTAAGAATGGCCAAGCTTATAATAAATTTTCATCTGAAAATGAAATCTTAATTGGCATAGTATTAAAGGATGCCACTGCTGCATAGTGCTTTAAAGATTGATTCAGTTTAAAAGCCTAGCTATTTTAGTGAAAGTACTTTCATTTCTATCTTGTTAGTATTTAAAGTTGGATTCACTTTAAGAATTATAGGTTAACCTAATACTGCAGTAGCATTGAATCCATTCTCTTTTTTACTGAATTCAGTTGAAAGATAAGCAACACCTATATCTAATGATAAATTTTTAGTTGTAACAAATCCTCCTAATAAGACTTCTTATGGGTTTGCTTATAGATGGCTTAAGTATAAGTCTTTTGCATCACTAAAATCAAATGTATACTCCTAAAAGATTTATGCAAAAAATACATTAGTTTCATCACCTGGGTCAACTAATAGTGCAAAACATTCAGTTATATGAACTTTATTAGTATAGACTGTTCCTAATAATGCACCACCCACTATTGTCTCCTCTTATCTTGAAGCACCAAATTTTCTATAATGCAAGTCTAATATTTAGACTATCACAAGGGGATGTATATCAATTTCAAAGTTTATGTTGCAACATAAATCAACTGTTTCTTGTGCCATAAATTAAATTATTTTATGAAATTAGGGTAATAAATATAATAGTAGAACAGAAACATTTAGGTGGCAATTTGAATATAAGAAAGGAGAAGCTGTTTTCAATAATATGATGGTGGATTCCAATTTTGTTTTTGTATAATCTCTCCTTGTCTTTTATAAGGTAGCTTGGAAAAAGAGAAATCTGCCAACTTATAAAAAAAACTTGCTTTGAATAATTACAATAATATTGCTTTTCAGAAATGACTGTAACCTCTTGCAAGATATTTTGAATAAATTATCTTTAAAATAATGAAGATTAATTATTGGATTTTTAATGTCTAATGTATTTTTATTTTGCTTACTACTTTAAAACGAAGGATGATTTAAATTATGTATCTAAAGTTATATGCGTATTGGATTTATTTTGAAAAACATTTTGTTTGGTAATTTGAAAATATCATGCTAAGAAAATAATAGAATACTTTATTCTATAATTTAGAATTTTATATATTCGGAAAAGGAGATCTAAATATTTGATAAAAATTAATAGTGTAATCTCTTGAGAAATCATTCTTCATCACAAAAGTTAATAACATCATAATTTTTTTTGTCTAAAAATTAGATTATCATACAAAATATTGAATTTTTAATAAATTAAGACCTACAGGAAGAGGTATTGTAATAACTAATATTAATAAAGAATCTCTAGAAGTATTTAACTTATTATGTATGATGGAAAGAGAATATTTTTCTAATCAATTAAATGGGATATGAATTTCTTTTATCTATTCAGGCACATAAAATAAAAAAAAGTGCCATTAAACTGAGGAAAATACAATTATTTATATTTCATTCTATTAGAATCCACTTTCTTAAATTAATATTGCCCAAAATTTTGAAAAATATGCGTAACTTTAATACAAATTCAAGTTTTGTGACTTATTGTAATTAACTTATTTAATGAAGATTTTTAAATATTGTTTAATCAATAAAAAAATTTTTCCGATACCGGGGATTGAACCCGGGTCCCCAGGGTGAAAACCTGATATCCTAACCACTAGACTATACCGGAAATGTTAATGATTTTATAAAAACCTTTTAATATTAAGCAGAGCAATTATATGTCTCTCTTCGATCTGAATGTATTAGTAAAAATTAATTAATAACTTTATTTCCTAAAATCAAATCAGACACAAGATCCATAAATTATCATTATTGTTAATGATATATGTTAACTAAAAAAATGTTATGAATTAAGAGTAAAATAATTAAATATTTTGAAAAATAAGCCTGTTTATTTAGGATTTAGCTTAGCTTAATTAATTATTATACTCCTTAAACTTGAAATTCTTATTAGTTGGCTAAGTTAAGTAGTGATTGATTCATTATATTGATTATTATATTTGAAACAACTTCAATTTCTTTTAATCCCTGAAAACTGAATAAATTAAAAGCATGATCTAAATCCTAATTTGAGTTAGGACCAAACCAATTAAATATCTTCTAGCTTAAAATTCTTTTTTATAATATAGAATATTACTGAAAGAAATAATCTCGAAGTATTTTTGCTTTTTTTCAACATTTTATATCTTCAATCAGAAAAAGTAAATGGTTTGAGCAATAACTATAGCATTTCTCTCTAAACTAAGTTTTTTTAAATAGAAGTTTAACTATTTTGGTAAATATATAATGTATAAATCTGATAATTAAAAGACACAACTTTCCTTCACTTAATTGCACTAAAATTATAGTAACTGAATATAAGGATTTATCATTACTGAAAAAAGGGTAACTAATTCACCAATTTTTATAAGTATTTATGAAAAATAGGTTTTCAGGATTCAACAATCAGTTGTAAGAAAAAATTTCAGAAATAATAATTTGAACAAGTGGTCTAAATACCTTTTTTAAAATGTGTTAAATTCACTTATCAAATTTAAAATGTATTTCTGATGCTAAATTTATTGTAATTTATTTGGAGCAATAGAAAAAATGAATAGATCATAGAACTACTAAGAAGTAATTCTAAATACAAGCCCTCACAGTTTATTCTATTTTTCTTGAAAATCTGTATAAAATCAGAATTTTAAGTGCTATTTTGTGATGAAAGATTTATAATAGTAATCAAAATACAATAGGTGTCGAATTCGTAGTGCAAATATATTCTTATATTAGTATTAATATCATTATATTTATCATAAATGTCTTTCGAAATTACAGAAAAAATGATTGTGAACACAGTTGCAGGATTTGGATAAGTGATTAAACTTCCTGAAGGGCCTGCTCCAGAATAATTAATAGCGGAAGAAGAACTTTAATTAAATCATTAGCAATCAGCAGAGAAGCCAATTATTTCTTGCCCAAGCTCTCCAGCACCACCAGAGGTAAAGGAATAGGCAAATGAAAATGCTTAATAAGCTGATGAGCTTCTAGAAAAGAAAAATGAAAAATAAATCGAGAAATAATAGGATAATCAACAGGAAAAATAAAATCAAGTTTAGGCTTAGCCTGCTAAGAATATTGCTCCCCAAAAAGATGTACCTGATAATTTACCTAATTTGCCACCTCCATTAAATTACAGTCGATAATCTTCTTAACAACCATCTTAAGAAAAATAAATACTAATAGCTGAGGACCCTTTACCTTTTTCAAATTCCCTTCCTTTTTAATAGTAAAGTTCGGTTGAAAGCTAGCCGTAGAATAAAAAAGCCCCAATTTTGAAGAGATTAACCTGTGATTTAAAAGAATCTTTAGCCTTAGCTAAGAAATTAGAAATTAAATATAAATACCCTTACTCTAATGATGAAAGATTAATTACTGTTGATTTTTAATTAGGCCAGATTACAACTATGGTAAAGCATATCAGTAATGTGATATTTCTATTAGTCAAAACTTTTTTTGGCTAGAGGAATTACTACCTTGCGATTGTCCCTGTTAATTACACAGTGGAATAATTAAGGTCTTTTATAATTGATGGTATTGGTTAGAATTAAAAAATGTTTCACAATATTAAGCTAATCCATCCAATGATATAACTAAAAGAATTAAAGGACTCCTAAATTAAATTATCAGAAGTAGGTTTAAAAGATTTTTCCTAACTCATATTTTTAGCAGAAATGACCTTCACATGGGATCCTATTAAAAAAGGAAAAAGCGTGATATTATCTAATAACAATCTAACAGCAAACAAAAAAGGATAATCAGATTATCAAACTGTTCTAGGAACATTGGCTTTAAATTCTGGGAGACATTATTGGGAAATTAAAATTGAAAAGTATGTAGACGAAGAAGACATTTTTATTGGAATAGCGAGGTAAAATATTAATCATATATTTAGAAAGGAGATCGACTTGTATACTTAACCTACTACAACTGGACACTTTTATGGGTATATTTGCTTATGTGCAAGAAAATTTGGAGCTGATGGATAAATATCTGACTATGGATATTCAGCTGTATAGAATGATACCATAGGTGTGCTACTTGAATTCAGAAGTGGTATTGGAACTTTATCGTTTTATCGTAATGGTGTAAAATGTGGAGAAGCATTTAATAATTTGACAGGTACATTTTACCCCGCTTTGAGTATGTTTTATGGAGAAGTTTAAGTTACATTAGATTCAAAAGCTCCGCTACCAGCAAGTTGAATGAAATGATTTAAGACGTTATTATTATGAATTAATATTATTTTGGGCTAACAAGGGTTATTATTCTGATTTCACAATTTCTTTCCTAATTTTATACATTATCATTTTTATATAGCTCCAAAATTAGGCTGAATAGATCATAAATATTTGGGTTTATCAATATATGAAAAATTTGATTCTTCTTGTAAAACTTCTTAAATATTAATCAAAAGAAGTCTTCTTAATTTCATTTTAAATGTTCAAACCATTTTTTTAATTTTAAATTTTATCTGAAATAGAATTTTTTTTAGCAAATTAAAAATGTGTAATGTAAGTAAAGAAAATATATAGGTTCTAAAAATGGAAATGAGATTCATTATAGCTTCTATTATTGAATTTTTCTAAAAAGCCGCGAAGCAACCATGAAGGTTTAATTGATTCTCAATCTTTAAATGGTTGATATTCGCTAATACTCAAATACTAAAGTCAAAAAAATAAACTTCATATCATAATTTATATGTTCAAACTATACTAAAATTTTAATATATCCATCTAATTTTTAGATTACTTAATTTAAACAGGAATTTTTGACTTTTAAAAATATAAATATATGGATCATTAATTTAAAATAATGGCAAAATATGCTTCAAATCATAAGTAAATATTAGTACTCAAAATTAAAATAATGCCATTTATATCAAGAATTATATGAATAAATAATTAAAACTTTAAAAAGATTGAATAGAATTGATTTACAATTTTATTTAACTTACCCGATTAATGTTATATAATTAATGTACATAAGATATATCTATCATTTTTTCCCTTTTTATTTACCTGCAGTTTTAGCAGCTGCCTTTTAAGCTGCTTTAGTTTCAGCTTTTTGTGCAACTTTTTATGTGCTTGTTACTCCTTTTCTTTATGATTTTTAGGCATCAATTTATTTCTATTTTCTATCTTTGATCTCTCTAGCTGCTTATTCAGCCTAAGCCTTTCTAGTTTCTAAGTTTAATAATAGAATTTACTTTCATCTTCTTTTCTTCTTCTACGAATTTCTTCTAATGATATACCAACAATAGCTCTTTAAACTTTAAGATTTCTAATTCTTCTCTTTTTGGCACCTTCATCAGTTTTAATTTTCTTATTTAATCTTCTCCAAGCGACAGTCCATTAGATTTCTTGACTTTTGATCTTTATAATTAATGCATATTATTACTTTTCTAGCAGAGAATGCTCTACTCTTTTGGTTTAAATAATAAAATAATCTGCCATCCTTAGCCACAAATCTTCTACCATGTCCAGGGTAAATACGCCATTCACTAAATGAGCACAAATCAGTCTTAATAACCATTTTAAATAAAAATAAAAATCTTTTTAATAAAATTATTTGTTTAGAATATTTCTCAAAGAATATCTAGAGTAAGTTAATCATAATCAAGAAATATTAAAAATATGAAAATCTCCCCCAATACCTAATTGTTTCATAGTAATTAATGAGTTGAATAACTTATATTTTAAACCAATACTTTATATTTCAAGAATTTGAGAAAATAAATAGTTGTTTATTAGAATTTAAGCAGATCAATAATATAATTTAAATAGAAGAAAACTAATAACCAGAAATTAATAGATATTGATTTTAATGAGTTAGACGAGTTGAATGAAAAATCAAGAGAGCTTTTACTTATAATCATTTCATAATTATGTTAGCGTTAAAGCCTTTAACCTCAGCACAAAATGATCTAGTTATTTTATTTATAAATTAAATGATCATAAATCAGCGCTTCAATATGGAGTATGTAAAATAGTGCTAATACATATTTCTTTGGATTCAAAGAATGACTAAATAGTTCATATTCATTAATTTAGTAATAGTTTTTCTGTTCTTTGTACTACTAATTTCTTTTAAGCAAATATTTAAAGAGTCTTTGCCATATAATCCAAGTATATACCTGACATTTTGATTTTAAACAAATACTTCCAAATTATATTATATTCAAAAGTTCTTCTCACTTAATTGATATTATATTTTATTTATTTAATAGACATTTTCGATTACATTTTTATTAATAAATTAATATGATTTATATATTTATTTACTTGATCAAAAACTTAACAAATATTCTGTATCAACACCCCAAATTGGTTATCTCTACTTTTAACAACTATTAGTATTGCTTAAAGAGAGTTCAGTTGAGGCTTTGCTAATTGGAGAATCACTTGAAATTTTTTATTCTAAAATGTTTAAAGTATTTACAATTTCTTATTGCACTTGATGCTCTTTTATACATTTATTTTAGAATTTTGCTGCATTTCGGGTTTTAAGATTCTTGGAGAATATCCTGTACTCTAACAAACGAAGTTAAGTCTCTAGATTTATAACTTATTAATAAATCGGCATTGAGAAGGTTCTTCCTATACCAATTATCCATTTCTACACAAGAAAATGGTCCTTTAGTTTTATAATATAATTTCATACCTTAAATATTATTGCCATTGTCTAAATAGTACCAATTTCGTATAATTAAAGATTGAAAATGAGAATATCTTGAAAAAGAAAAAGGACTCATGTTAGTTTTAGCTACAGGCCATTCTTGAGAGATATTAAATTGTAATTACTTTAAGGGAAAAAAGTTCTAATTTTTCCTTTCGAATTCTTTGATTAAGCAGACCTGAATAATTAAGCAGAAAGTTATGGAGTAGTATTTTGACTAAGAGCAGACATAAAAATCAGCCCATTTTCAGTTACTATTATCGAAATACCACTAATTTACTTTCAGATAAGTTTGTGGCTAAAGGAGGCTATTGTTCATCAGTAAAATAATCTGGAAAGTCATTTAGTAAGTTTTTTGGTATTAAACAGTCGACCTACTCATATCCAAGTAGCTCTAAAGCTTCTTTCTTGTAATTCATTTTATTATATATATAATTATATTTATGTATTTTATTTGTATAATTTTTATGAATATAATGTAATTTTCCTTATATTTAGAAACGCTTTGGCAAAATTCTATTTCTTAAGACCATTTGTTGTCTAAAATTCAACTATTTTTTTTGTAAATTTTTTATCTTCATATTTGAATTTGCATTATATTTGATATCATAAATTGATGACGAACATTGCTCAAAACTAGTCTTTTGATTCTTATTTGTACTGAAGAGTTTTATTACTGATCCCTTTTAAAGAAATTATAAATGAAGAATAGGTAGATTATAGGAAAAAAATTAATGCAAATGTAAAAATTCAAATAACAACAGAATGATTAGCATTGATTATTAAATATGTTTTTTTGTATTATAAGAATGTAAATTTTTTCTGAATTGAAATTACTAAATTCATTTAGATTTCTTTATGTTTTATATAGCTTAATCTATAACGCGTAGGAGTTCATCGAATTTATTAGTCTTAGCAATTTCAAGTGCTTAGGAGAGATTGATTTGAGATTAAAATAATTATCCTAAATGCTCCCACTCAACTCCATAATTATAGTACATTATACAAATCAGTTTGAGGAGTGGCTTTTAATCTTGAATTTGATTAATGAAGTGCTATATGGAATTTAATTCATTGAGAGCTTATGTGTGTTGTTCAGAGGTGGACAATATAGTCACTAAACTCATTCTACTAGAGACAATACTAATAGGATCTCTGGGTTCTAATTTGTATTCTAATTCTAAAACGTATTTAATAGTTTTAACAGCCACATGATAGTTTTGTTTAACCTTATATTGTTATGCAATATATTTCAGCAACTGTATTTCGTATTTAATGTATGTATTTCTATCTAATATGATTGACATGGTTTTATGCGTCAATAAATCGAAAGCCTTAGATAATAAGAAGGGATCATCTGATTTCAAGTTCTTGATGTAATCATAAAGCAGTTCATCAAAATGAAATGGTAACTACTCAAGAAGTACTTTGACTGGGTATTCTGATTTATTTTCAGTGACATAAACCAAACAAAGCGTGATTATTTTTTCTCGAAAAAGAGGATTCTTCAGATTATATATATTCTAAATGGTCTGCAATAACTTATTTTATTACATTTTATATGTAAAAGATAAATAATAAGCTCAATCTTTTAAGAGAGTTGATGGCTCAAAAGTCCATCCAGGCTTATCTAGTGCCTCACAGCGATGCTCATGACGTAAAGCTAAGTATTAAAATAATAGTCTGAATATACATCTGACTCAGATGAACGATTAGCTTTTATTTCAGGATTTGATGGAAGTGCAGGAGTAGGACTGATCACTAATTCAATAGCCTACTTGTGGACAGATTCAAGATACTATTTGTAGGCTGCAAAATAATTGGAGCACGGATGGGAATTATAGAAAATGGAACCTGGTGTGCCAACATGGGTGGAACATGCAAAGGCAAATTTGAAAGGACAAGCAATAGGCTATGATCCCCTATTGATTAGTCATTGTATTATTACCTTATTAAATTTAAGAGCTCAGAAAATCAAGAGGAAAATCATTGGAAGATGTAGAATTCAAAGCAATCAATGAAAATTTGATTGATTTGATTTGGACAAACAAACCTCAAGATTCATTATCTGAGGTCATTATCCATGAATTGGAATATCACCAATACCCGACAACAAAAAAGATTTCTTAAATATTTGAAAATCTAAAAGCAAAAAATGCAAAATCTCTTCTTATTTCCAAGTTAGATTAAATAGCATGGGTTTTAAATTTAAGAGGAAAGGATATTAAATTCAATCCATTATTTAAGAGTTATTTATATCTCAAGGACGATAATTCTGGAACATTGTTTATTAATCCAATCAAGGTCAATTAGTAAGTCAAATAATACTTAACTGATAACAACATTTAAATCAAATCAATCTAAGATGTATTTGAAGAGAAATTCGTTAATGCTGCTATAACTCCATCTGAAATCAATGATAGACTAATCTAATAGGTAGAAGATCCAATAATTTTGAATGCATGTCCAATTGAACTCCTAAAAGCTATTAAAAATGAAAGAGAAATCTAAGGATTTAAGGAATCCCATATTAGAGATGGGGCTGCCTTGGTACATTACATAGGATGGCTTGAAAAACAACTCCTTGATGGTGCAATGTTGGATGAATTTTAAGCAGCTGAAGTGTTGGCTCAATATCGTTATAAATAAAGTCGCAATATGGGATTGTCATTTGATTCTATTTCCAGCAGTGGAGCCAATGCTGCTATAGTTCATTATCATCCAACTGAGAACAACAAATCTGTCATAAATCCTAATCATATCTATTTGATTGATTCTGGTGGCTAATACTTAGATGGAACCACTGATGTCACCAGAACTTATCATTTCACATAACCAACCATAGAAGAAAAGAATGCCTATACCAGAGTGCTTTTAGGCAATTTGGATATAGAAAGATTGAAATGGCCAAAGAAGAGTAAGATTCACGGAGGAGACATGGATGTATTAGCAAGGAGATGGTTATGGGAAGCAAATTTAGATTATGGACATGGTACTGGTCATGGAGTTGGATATTTCTTGAATGTTCATGAAGGACCTCATGGAATTAGCAAATACAGAACTGAAGTATTTCAACCTGGTATGATTGTGTCTAATGGTAAAATGCATTTATTATTCATCTTTAGAGCCTGGATACTATGAAGAAGGGAAGTTTGGCATAAGAATTGAGAATTTGATTCTCTGTGTTTAAGCCAATGATCAATTCTTGGGATTTGAAAACTTAACCTATTGTCCATATGACAGAAATCTAATCAACTTAGATTTATTGAGTCCCAAAGACAGACAATATATCGATTAATATCATGCTTTGGTCAGAAAAATATTGTTACCATTGATGGAAGAATAGACGGCTAAAGATTGGCTATTGAAAATGACAGAGCCCTTATGAGAAACATTAAATAATATAAATTTATTCGACTTTATTTCATAATGTCTTATCTTCTCTGAGTTATTGAGTTCAAATAGAGAATCTCCCTTTGAAATATTAGAATGTCTTACAACATAACATTTTGAAGAAATTTATTCAAATTGTCTTCTCTAAATCCCTCTATTTCATTTCATTCCTCCAATAATACTTGATTTGATAGAAAGTATGAATTTACTTAATTAATTAATTTATTTTTAATTAACGATCAAATAAATGGAAAACGAAAGTTATTTCAAGACTGTTACTTCTATTAAATCTAATCGTTCAGAATATGAACTTAGCAAGCCTATTAAATCTCATGATAGACCTTTGAAGGAATCTGACCTTGCTTTGTACTAAGCAGCAAGGGAGAAATGCGCTAACAAATAAAATGAAAAATTATCTACCCCTCTCTTTTAAGTTACTACACTACTTACAAATGCAGCTCCTCTTCATAAACCTACAGTAAAGACTACTCAATTTAGCAATTAACCTACTAGTGTTTTTGATGTATCCAATTATAATACTTTAGTTTACTGATAATCGTAAAGAATAAAATTTTAAGCCTCACTGTATCAAGGTTACTGAGCCTGGAAACAACTCAGATTTAGTTTACAAGTAATAATTAAAGACTTCCAATCTCCCAAATAGAGAAAATCTATATCGTAATCCTATTACTAATGGAGATCCTAAGAGTGAATATAATAGAAGCACCAAAACTCCCTTTCCAAAAAACCAAATTAATTTTGTTGGTTGAATTATATATATTCTAAATTATATAAGAATTTACACAGAATACTATTAAAATTAATTTTCCTTAATTTAAAAAGATCTATTTATAATCATAAACTTTCCTATATCTACCTAATTTTATGTAGGTTAATTCTAAAATTAAAGTATTTCATCTAATAATTTATTCAGCATGTATACTTAGGGAAAGATAGATTTCATATATATTTCAATATATATTAATGATTTCATGTTTTATATTTTATTGTTTTTCCTCATTTACTATTCACTAAGCTTTGATAAAAAATCAATTAATAAAATAAAAATTTCATATTTCTATAGTATCTTTACATCATAATCAAATTGTATATAATTTTTCCCTCAATCTCATCATACTAATTTTAAATAAAAAAGCTGACATAAATTGGTAGACTAGTGATATTTTACTTTTAGTAGCCCTTCTTAGTTCTATAAATGTTTAATAGAAAAAGTCTTAATACATTTTATTATGTATATAATATAATGAGTGAGTACTAATGCACAGCTATCATATTTTTTGAATATTAACTCCAAACATGTCTAAATATTGAGCAATTATTAATTTAAATTATTTGCTAGATGTAAATGAGTACCTGTAAATGTCTAGCATAGAATAGGTTTGAAATCTTGTATTTTGAATTTAAAATATAAAAGATACAAGATTTTTGTTCAATTAATAATAAATATTTTCATTCCTTTATGGGCTGTACAGCAACTAAATAATCTAAAAATGAGAGCAAACTAAACTCCCCATTAAGTGGGAGTTCAAATAAAGCTAATATTAGTGAAAATTTAGGACCAGCAATCATAATTTAAGAGACTGAAAATATAGAATCTGATTATATTTTTCATCCTCTAGACCCTTTAATTAGTAAAAATGATGATATAACCATGCTAGCCTAGAGAAATTATATATAAAAAATTGTTTCTAAGAGCAACAATTCTTTAAGAATAGTAAAAGTTTTTAATTTAAAAATGCTTACTCCTATTGAAAGGTAGGAACTGATGAGAATTGTCAACCAATTAATATAAATTGTAAGAACTATTATGTTATAGAGAGAAACACTTGAATTTAGTTAGCACTCTGCCATATTATTATAATGAGAATCACTTGTATTTAGTGTAGGAATTTTGTGATACTGGAAACTTGCTGTGTTAGCTAGATAAATTTGGTTAATTATAGTAACATACAATGATAGACATATTCTGTTAGATTATGGCAGGAGTGCAATATTTACATAATTAAGGGATAGTCCATGGGTATGATTGAAATTCTAAATTTAGGAATGTTTAGTTAGACAGCATAGTATTCACAAGTAAATTAATGGAGAACATTAAACTAATAGATTTTGGCATTCCAAATTCAATAAAATCTATATGTATGTCTTGGAAACCAAGTGGTGGTATTTAGGATATATCGGTTAAACCTCCAGAGTTTTTTAAATAAAAATTAAATAACTCAGCATAAACATAAAAGGCAGATATTTGGTCATGTGGATGTTTGCTTTACTTTTTCCTTACATCACACATGCCGTTTCAAGGTCGAGATACTTAGGCTATCAAGGCAGCTATATAAAGAGGAGTAGTCAACTTTGATGGATAAGAATGGGCTAGTATTAACATTGAAATGAAACAGTTAGTTTCTAAAATGCTTAATTCAAATCCTTAATAAAGGCCAACTGCTACTGAAGTCATAAATAATCCAGTATTTTTAAATAGAACTAGAATAGTAACAAAGCCTAATAAACAATTATCAAAACATATGAGAGATTTCAAAGTATATCAATATCTTAGATAATTTAGTAATAATCTCAATTGTAAAATGCAATGTTAAATTACATTGCTGAAAATATGCTGTCAGATCAAGATAAGAAAAAATTGATGGAAGAATTTCAAAAATTTGATTTAAATAAAGATGGACAGGTAACCAAAGAGGAACTACTTAAAGTTTATAAAACAATGTTCTCGTCTTAAAAAGCAGTTTAAGAGGTTGATACAATATTTGCCAAAATCGATTAGAATTGCAGTGGTAGAATTGATTATTAGGGTAAAAGTTGTAACCTATCAAAATAGAATTCATTCTAGCGACTATAGATTAAAAAAAATATTTTAATCGAGAAAAATTATTAATGTTATTCTAACAAATAGATAGAGATCATAGTGGATAATTAAGTAATTAAGAAGTAAAGAAACTTTTGAGAGATATGCATATACCAAAAGAAAAATTAGACAATTTATCAAAACAATTTGATTAAAATGGAGATGGCTAAATTACTTAAGAAGAATTTTTATAGATAATGTTGCAGTTATCCTGAATTTGCAGTTGAACTTTTGACATTTATTGTTAGTTTTTAGATTTATAAGTTTTATAAATAATCTTAATAGAATAGCATAATTATTGAAATCATTGGTTATTTATGATTATGAATTACATAATATATTTATGAATTGATTTAGCATTAACAAAATGTAAAACATGGCAAAAGTCATTATTCATTTATTCTGAATTATATTTAAGTATCACTTTATATTATGCTTGCAGCCAAAATATTTGAAAATTTACATTATAATTTAAAATAAGTTATACATAATAAATGGCAAAATAAGGTTGGGGATTTTCAGGAAACACTGTCAAATTAAATACTAATAAGTAAGGTTAATAAGAGATTTAGTCGTGTGGAAAAGAAGCTAAATATTTGGGAAACAGCTGGAAAAGCTGATGACATCTAGTATATTCCTGATGCTGAGGAGGAAAAGAAACCTTAAAATCAAATTTCAGATGCTGGAGTGGTTTTAGGTTAAAAGTTATAGAATATTAATGAATTGCAGAACTTAGCTAAAATATCATCCTTGCCTTAACCAGTACTTACAATAAAGAATTTAAATTTAGGCTGATGATATTGATTTTAGTATTTTGACTCAAGTATTGAGGCCGGCAGAAGAAGTATAAGAGACTGATGAATAGTGGGAATTTTCAAAATTGAAAACTGAGATGCAGGAAATTGTTAATAAGCTCTACAGCAATAAAACAAATTCTTGAATTAAATGAATTAATATTATATAAAATGCCAAGAGAATTAATATTTGTTTAGGTGGGCTAATGTGGAAATCAAATAGGTATGAGATTCTGGGATTTGGCCTTGAAAGAACATGCCAAAGCAAAGCAATCCCTTCTATATGATGAATCCTTGTCCTCCTTTTTCAGGAATGTGAATTCAAAAAATTAGGAATTGAGAATAGGAGATCCCATTCAAAATTTAAAAGCCAGAGCTTTGATTGTCGACATGGAGGAGGGCGTGATAAATTAAATAATGAAAAGTCCTTTGGGAGAATTATTTGATGAAAAACAATGTATTAATGATGTATCAGGAGCAGGAAATAATTGGGCTCATGGATTCTATCATTATGGCAATTAATATGAAAAGCATATAGAGGAGAGATTGAGAAAAACTGTAGAACAGTGTGATTCATTGCAATGTTTCTTTATGACCCATTCGATTGGTGGAGGCACAGGTTCTGGCTTGGGATCTAGAATTGTGGGATGTATTGAACAATTTAAATCTTATGATAGTATTGGAAGATAATTACCCCGAAGTTTTTCGATTTACAGCATCTGTGTTCCCATCAGGTGATGACGATGTTGTTACATCTCCCTACAATAGTTTGTTTAGTTTATACGAATTAGCCAAACATGCTGATTGTGTGTTTCCAATCGATAATTAAGCATTGATTAACATTGTGGATTAAATAGATAAGCCAAACAAAGCAAGATTAGTAAAAGAAAATGCTCATGAGGGAAGTGTAGGCATAAAGATTACGTAATTTGGGGAGGAGGAGAAGAGATAAAAGCCTTTTGATAAAATGAACAGTTTGATTGCTCATCTATTAAGTCATATAACATGTTCGATGAGATTCGAAGGTGCCTTAAATGTAGATCTCAATGAAATCACTATGAATCTGGTACCATATCCAGACTTGCACTTTCTTATCTCTTCAATGGCACCATTGTATAGTCTTCTAGATTCCAAATTATAACCAAGAAGATTGGACTAAATGTTTAATGATATTTATCATCCTGATTTTCAAATGATCACAGGGCAACCATCTCTTCATAAATACTTAGCTGTTGGGCTTTTAGTTAGAGGAGATGTTGCATTTTCAGATGTGAATAGAAACATTAAGAAGTTAAAAGATTAATTGAGAATGATTTATTGGAATCAGGAAGGTTTCAAATACGGAATCTGTAATCAACCTCCAATTGGATAACAATACTCAATGTTATGTTTGGCTAATAACACTTGTATTAAAGACACTTTCTAAGAGATGACAGACCGATTCTAGAAACTTTACAAGAGAAAGGTTTATGTTCATCATTACAAGTAATATATGGAGCAATCCCATTTTGATGAGACCTTAAATGGAATATAAAATTTAATGGTTAAATATTAAGATTTAGAAATGGCCTAACCAAAGAAGTACTAAAGAATTTAACCTATTTTTTGAAACATTGTGATATTAATTAATTTTAATAAATTATAATTAAAGGTTTATTCATTAATATAGATATAACAAATTTATAGTGCTTTCCTGCATTATGCTATCAGCGTGTTGCTTGTTGAAGCATAGAAAAATACAAACTTTAATATATTAAATATTAATATCCAGCTGCATTTGAGATATTTTTAATCAATCCTTTTTAAATCATTTAAACGTATATCTTACCCATTGTTTATTTTCAATTGCAAATAGGGAAAAAAATAAATACATGAAACATAGTTTTAGCTAGAACTATAAAAAATTGAGAACTTTCAAATATAGAAATGAATTATGAATAAACAGGTTAAAATCTAATTTGAGATAGTTTGAATATTCATACCTGAAAAGGGAATTCTATAGAATGTACATTCTTATGATCTTGAGATAAAATAATGAGAAGCGACTCAAGGGGGAATCAGTCTTTGTAATTTTATTGCATTTAGATAAACAAATAGTGACATTCTCAAAACTAGAATTCACAATTATATCTATTCTTTTACAATATTTGTATTAAATATTTATAAAATAAAGTGTGAAATCTAAAATTCAACAACTTAACATAAAGGAGAAGATGTGAAAATCAATTAATAACATAAAGTAATAATTAAGATACAAAAATACATACAAGAAATAAAAATTTGATTAAATTAAACTTTAATTGAACAGTTGTTTGAAGCGAAATAAATTAAATATAAAATAGATTCTTTGGAAATTTATTAATATATTAATGTGAGACATATTGTTTAAAATTAAGTATTAAAATGATTTAATATTATTGTAAATAATAAAATGGATTCTCAAAAGAGGAAGCGTCTAATAATTTAATATTCTTTAAAATTAAAAGAACTCAAAGAAGGAAGAGATAGTTCTGAATAGAAGGCATAACGAGCCCATTAAAAATCTCGAGTGCTCAAAACTGAGTCCTCCATCTCTTTGGTTAAATTACCGCAATAAATTCAAATGCCTCCCGTAGATGATATCATTTCTAAGGGGGAATGCAAATTGATTTTCTTACAAACTCAATCTGACGATACAGGTTTTCGTACATTTAATGAAATGATGAGGACCAACTCAAGTTGGCTTACTTAAGCAGATAAATTGGCTAATACTCTTAGTAGTCCAATGCAATTAAAGAACAGACTTCAATTTAATCATACTCAAGCATTGAAGTTCAAGAACCGAATTGAATAAAAATGGAATATGACAGTCAAAGAAGTGGCTGATACCATAATACAAAAATAAGAATAAAAGGATCAATAAAAAATTAAATTAGTTCATTTAAAGATTAATCATTTTGATACTGATGACATAGGACAATAGCAGGAGGAATGTTCCACGCCGTCTCTCTCATAAGAAGTGATAACTACAAATTTAAAGTTTTTTTGGTTTCACATTTCAATATCAGATTGGAAACCACCAATTCGTGAAGGCTGCACAGTGACTTACATTCAAAATTTGAATAAATGCATAATGTATGGTGGAATAGGAAATGATTTATTTAAGACTTTTGTAACTCTGAATACTCAGACATGGGTATGGAAGGATATTGGACCTGGAGTAGGAGATGTCCCATTGGAGGGTAGATTTGGACACACAACGACACTTTATAAGCAATAATTGATAATTTATGGAGGAGAGAAAAAATACAATAATGCAATGAAGATGAGAGAGTGCTATGGGGATGTTCGTATATTTACTCCGAGTGATAAAACTTGGATCTTAGTGAAACCTTATGGAGATGTAGTGGAAGGGAGACGCAATCATTGTGCAGAAGTAGTTGGTAAATATTTCATTGTTTATGGTGGGATTAATTCATATGGTAAAATCTTAACAGATGTGGCAGGGCTGAATTTGGAAACATGTAAATGGTATTTATCAAACAATATTGCTAAGGACTTCATTTCAAATCGAGAATTCAGCTGGATTGGAAGGAGTTTCTGATGCAACCTCTTTGGCCATGTTCAAAAGTGAAATAAAAATGGAAAACCCTTATTTCAGTTATGAGTGGGTCAAAAAAAAGGGAAGATCTTTCTTGCCTATTACAACTGAAGGCATTTATGTTTTTGGAGGCAGATTATAAAATGGAGAAGCTATAAATGACCTCAGAATTATTTAATTTGGATTCAAACCGATTAAAATTACTAAAGTGAAGACAAAAGTATTCCAATTATGTAATTAGGGATAACCGCCATTAGCTCGATATTCTCATTCAATGAACTACTTTAGATAAACCAATGTCATCATTATTTATGGAGGCAGGAATGACTCAAAATAAGGAAATATCCTTAATGATATATTTGTATTGCAAATCCAATAATTCTCATGGTCTTAAGTTTAGTAGATCTAATAATTGTACTTTTTTATATTTATTATTAGAAAAAATGGCAAATGCAGACATTCAAGTGTCTCTATTGATTCGAAAATACTTATTTTTGGAGGCTATGCTTAACATGTTTTTGCCAATGCAGATATCCAATTATTAGAATTAGATTAGAATAAAGTAGCTAAAATGATTAAAGATAATAAAAGCAATAAAAATAGAGATGTTGTTATTCACAGTGATGAATTAGTTAATAACAACACTCTCAAAGTTTTTAAAACTGAATACTATAATGAGGCTGAAGACCCAGATCTTAAACAAAAAAAAATCTAAGAAAATGAATTCCAAAGATTGTGTTATAGTAATTTCAAAAGTTTTATGCCTCTGCCTCAACAAAATCATTCATCTTTGGTTACTGAATACAAAAATAAGAGAGAATAAGCAAAATTAGAAATTCTCAAAAGCTAATTTAATGATCTAAGCAGAAGAAACAGTCGTAGAACTACTAGTGACTTCAAAATTAATGAGAAATGATTAGAAAAAAATAATGAAATTTTATATTTTGTTTTAATTTAATTTATGATCACCGTTCCCCAAGGTGAAAGATTAGAATGTTTCAGAATGGATGGATAATTCGTAGGGACTCTAACATTAAATAACACTAAACCAAACAAGTACTTAATTAATTAAATCTAAGCTGTTGCGCCTTTAAAATAAGAACAAATAACACATAAGATATTCAAGTAATGCCACATATAGGATCTTTTATAGGGTAACATTTTAAAATTGTCGTTAAATGTTTAAAGTTCTAATGTATATATAGATCATTTAATGTTAGCTAATGCAAAATTACAGGTATTGATTGTGGATTTAACTGATTAAAATTTCAATAAATCTGACCCTAAGTCTCTAGCGTCTTACTTTGATACTTATTCTAACAGCTCATTTGTTCAAAAAATAAAAATTGAAATAATTACTATCGATCAAAATTAAATGACCAAATAATCTAATATCTTTAATTAATCGATCTTATTAAGTAAGAATATAGAAGAAAGTATCTACCATTAACAAGAATTCACTTATGAGCAAAATGCTCTACTAAAAAAAAATGAATAAATGAAGCAATAGCAAATTAAAAATTCGACAACAAATTCTGACCCATTTTAAAGTGTTAGTAGAGTGTCTGCTTCTGAATAGAAATATCTTACATCTACTACATTTCAATAAATTAAATAAACTCCATCTAAGTAATCATCAAACTCATAAAATAACCTGCCCCTTGATTATCTTCCACCAAAACCCTAATCTTATCCACATCAACCTCAACAACCGAAATTGCATAATTAATAAGTATAAGAATTTGAGGAAGACCCGTAAATCTAAAGGTTAAATCTCAGAATAAATTAATTATAAATAGAATTAAATAAACAATAGGAAGAACTACAAAACACTGAAAAAGAAAAAACATTACTGTTATCCTAAGAAATGGATTAAAATTAAGGATAAATATTTGTGAGTGTCCAGCATATATTTTTTTCAGCATTATTTTGTTTTTTAATAGGTTATGTAGCCACAAATTGATTTTTATTTTTTTATAAACTATGAAATTCCATCATTTCCTCATAAATACATAAAAAGAATTAATATTAAAATTTATACATAATCAAAAAACAATTTTACATATTAATAGTTCAACAACCAATAATTTAGGCCTGATTAACTAATTATTTATTTATTAGTTATATTTGATATTCTATTTGAGGTATTAAAAGTATAATCCTGATATATATGCTAATTAAATAATAATCTATATATGCTGAGATAATTTAATTAAAGATTATTCATTAGAGAATCTTTTTATCATCAAAAATCATAGCATTTATATATTTTTTTTTTGCAATAGTTTAGAAGGAACTTAAAGCAAATGCAATAATCTACATTTTTGAAATAACTTAATTTATCCTTTATAATGATCAAATTGATTTGAAAACAATATGACAAATGATTTTTTCTCAATTTCCATTAGAGCATTAAAAATATTAAATTTAATTATTCTTAAAGTTATAGATATTAATAGCAAGAAACAAGTAGAAATAATGACCAAAGAATTGTAACAAAAGATAATATAATATTGACATTTCAAAATTTGTATTAAAACAAAGGAATCTAATGCTAATATCTCTTTTGCTATTTACTTTTTTTTAATTTCAAACTTTTATTAAACGCCTTTCAATTTTTTATATTGTTAAAGCTACTTATTATTACAACATTTATTAAGGTTGAAATTGCGTAATAAAATCATTATTATTTTGAATGTTGAAATACAAAGACAAGCAATTTACAATGAATAATTTCTTTAAAAAGTTTTAATTAGAGTTATTATCTTTAAGTTTTCACGATAAACATTTATATTCATTGGATATAAACGTAGATGAATAAATTTTATCTGAATTGATTAAATTTAATATTTAATAATGACAAATGTATATATATCTTCAATTTGATTTTTAATATTCCAACCAGGTTTATAATTCTTTCTTTGTATCTATATACTCTTGGGAGTTAACATCAACTGCTCCCAAAATATTGGCTAATAGATTGTCCTCAGATGGAGAAGCAGCTTCTAATTTCTCTTTTAAGGCGTTTTATTTAAACAACTCTGGTTCATGCTTATAAATTGCAGCTATATTACAATCCAAAGCATCATCAGCATTAGGATTTTAAAGCATTACTGAAACTGCATCAAGTACTTTTGTAGTTGTGAGTGCAGGACTCCAGGAATTATTTAAAACATCTAAACAAAGTGATCCACCTCTGCTGACATTTGGATGATATAATTTAGTGATAAACTACACTTTTGGAGGTCTGAAAGGGTAATTTTGAGGAAAAACGTAGCTTAAAATGTATAATCCACCTTCATAAACGGTGCCTTTAGGACCATATATTAAGATCTTCCATGTTTTGATATCATCAGCGGTGGGATAACATTTAAAATTCAATTTATCGCCCTATGCTGTAACTTCTTGGAGTTCTTTTAATATTCTTGCTGTGTTATTTAAACCCTAATTGGTTGTGCTAGAATTTTAAGGTGCGTTTTGCATTTGTGATATTTTCTTTAAAATTTCTTCTTTTTTCATAACTGCAGTTTTTTAGACATCCATAGATACAACTTTCATTCCATCAGTATCAAAAGGTTTATTTTTCAATGAATTTAAATCTTGAAGTTCTTTTGGATACTCCTTTTATTCTCTATGGCTTATGCTTAATATGCTTTCTATTTCAAATAAAGACATGCCTTCAGCCAATGTTTAAGGACAATAGCATCTACCATTGGTTGCGTGAGTCAAAGTTTTTAAACCAACACAATCATTACTTACAACGAAGGAATCTATTATAATCTAATTTTCAAATATTCTGGTAACTAAACTTTAAGGATTTTCTTTTGATTAATTATCCTCTCCATCAGTTAATGCAATTATTCTTAAGATAATATTTGGATATTTTTTTTTGATTTCTTTCAACTATTCAATTGCATAGGCTATTGCATCATAACATTTAGTTCCGCCTCCTGGGGATGCATCATCGACTAATTTAATGAAATTATTAAAATCGTTTGTGAAGTCACATTTATCTGCTATAAAAGATTCAAACCATACAAGTTTTACAATATGATTGAATTCGAAAGCCAAAGTTTTATCTGCAAAGGCTGAGAAAAACGCATTAACAGCTCCAATTCTAGATAGTTCACTTTCATTAAAGTACTTTGAGCCCATTGATCCAGAAGTATCAAATAATACAACAATAGCCTCAACAGGGTCATTATTTTAATTGAAATCTTACTATAATTATTCTTATTAGTCATCTTAAGCTACTATTTGTTGCTGTTGTTACTGATTTACTATATTTTATTTTGATTCCTATTACACTACCTTTACTATATCATTTGTCTTCAGTAAATTTCCAATTGTTTCGCTTTCATTTAAAATATATCCTTCTTCATCTTAAAGCAACACTTAATTCTAATCAATATTAATTCCATTCTCTAAAAAGTTCTTACATATTTAATTTTTTAAGTCATTGATCAGTTTTTAAGGATCATCAATACTTAATTTTTGTTTTACCTCTCCAAAGGTAACTCTTAAGATCAAATTTTAATTTGAGTTCATTCTTAGTTAGTTTATATATTAGTAATTCTCATTCCCTTAAAAGTTTAATGAAAAAATTCCAATGGGATCTGATTAATTCTGATATTAATATTGGGAAATAAAAAAAATATTAAAATTTTATTATTGAATTTTGCACTTTAATTAGCATTAGATTAATTCGCTAAGTTTAATTTAAATAATCATTATTTCATTTATTTGTTATCCATCATCTTTTGGAATCAATCTTAATTACTTTCTATAAACCTAATGAGGAAGTCAATTTTGTTAGTTATAATAACTTTATATTTTAAATTACTTAATTGATTGAGCAAACATACTTTATCTTTTTTATGTTAATCTACTTTTAAATTAAAGTGTTAAATAATTGAGAAGCTTCATGTTAATTTTAATGTTAAATTATAAAATTTATAGTTTAAATTAAATAATTTAAAAAAAAGATTATATGTATAATTTTATAGATTATTCTTCATTTCAAATAATATTCATCATTTTAAGTAAATATATCTTTGTGTTTTGATATGTATTCCAAAGTCAACTCTTTGCAATAAAAGGCAGCTTGCTTAGATGTACAAAATGTATTTTTTGGAACATAACCATTTTCTTTAGGTGAAAATTCAACTTCAAAAAACAATTAAAAGTTCAATCTTTCGGAATTACTTAATCCATGATCTATTATTCCATATGTATGAGATACAATGCTTTATATTTCATCTAATCCAACTTAACCTTAATCAACTTAAGAATTTGAAATTGTAATCATGCTAACATGATCAAATTTTTTGACTGAGTTAATAAAATCTTATGCTAATACAGGTTGAAATTCTGGAGGTATTCCAGGTTTACTTTTTGATTTGAGTTTGCTTAATTTTTTTAATCTTCTTAACTTCAATTTTTGAATAGGTAATTTTATTTTAGGTTTTTTATTTTCTTTTGAAATTTTTTGCTTTTCTGTGAAATTACACTTGGATTCTTCCTTTTTTACATTTGATATTTTTTTCTAAGGCTGTTAATTAGGGTCCTTATTTTGGAGACTATTAGTAGAAATGATTACAGGATTCTCTCTTACAATAGGTTACTTTTCTTCTTATGAAGTCAAACTAATTTTTAAAGATTCGGAATCAGTAATTACTATACTTGGTACTTGCTTTGGTGGAGGAGAGATAGTTATTTATTTCAATTTTTTATTTTATGGAGGCTTTTGATTTTTGCTAATTTGATGGTTTTTTAGCTATTTTTATTTAGTTGTCTTTTTTTGTTATTTTTGTGAAATCGGCTTTTCGTTGTGGTTAGGGGATGAACTTAATTGAATTACAAAGTCATCTAATCTTGTTTATTTCTAATTTAGATAAAAAAGAATTACTTTTGGTTTATTAGATAAAATATTCCATTCAGAGGACAATTTATTTCTAATCTATCGAAATGTTAACTTGGGATGAATTGATTTGCAAATATGCTTATTTCTCTCTATATAGTCTTCCTCAGATTAGTATGAAGGTTGAGCTGAGACTGATCTTCTAGTTTTCATTTTGTTGTTTAATTATTCTACTTATTTTTGAGTTCAAAATTGTTTTGAATAAGTAATATATATGTAGGTATAAATATATTGGAGGAAGCAATTAAAATAATGTAAATTATTAATACTGTGTTTAGAATTAAGTAAATTGTTCGCCTAATGGATCTGTATCTAGCAAATCTTTATACCCATGGTTATCATTTATTTTGATCTTCTTTTCCTATTTTAAAAAAATAGAAATACTGCATACAATCTTATCAAAATAATATAGAACCAAAATCTATTTTCACTGATTTCTATAATGCTTGTTGAATATATATAAGAAGTTTTTATAAAGTGATCTTTGTTGGAAGTAGCGATACTATTTGATTTAAAAAATGCTTCAAGGCTTGGATATCATTGAGTAGGGTTACATAAACTAATAATTTTAAATTTAATTTTTTGATTCAAGTTTAGAGTCCACAGAATCTAGTTTAGATGAATATTACTAATATTAATTATTAATAATAATATTTAATAATAAATTCATGTTGTTTGATCCTAAACAAGAGAATTTGCCATATACATTTGCCTTGATCAAACCTGATACAACTCTTAAACCAAATGTAGTGTAGGAGGTTGTAAATAAAATTGAAGCAGCCGGGTTAACTATAAAAAACTTTGTTTAAGTATAGTGTTTAACAATTATCTATTGAGAGAACTCTACAGAGAAGAAGTACTTAATCTGTTTTTCAAATAATAAAAGTATATGGATGAAATTATGACATATATGTTATCAGGAGAATGTGTAATGTTTCTTTTATGCCATGAAACTGAAAATCCTATAATGGTATGGAAAAAGATGATTGGAAACAAAGATCCAGCCGAGGCTAAAAAAGCAGATCCACAATCCTTAAGAGCAACGTATGGAACATCTATAATTAAAAATGAATTTCATGGAAGTGATGATCCATTTTCTGCTAACAAAGAAAGAGATATTTTTAAGTTCCCAATTCCTCAAAAAATACCTGATTTCAAGTTTGACAAAATGTTAGTGTCTTTGGAGACATTATTTAAATTTTTGTATCCTCCTAATTTAGAACATTCAAATGCATTAGAAAGACTAGATATATTTGCAATTTACGGTCCATGTGTCAATTATCACAGTGTCGATCAATGTCTTTGTAGGGAATGTGCAATAATTGGAAAAGAGCATCTAGAAGGTGTAAGGGAATCACTTATTGCCACTGAATAAACAAAATTAGGAATTAAAATCAGACCTCAACCAACAACAGCAACTAAAACTTAACTACCATAAAGAGTTCAATTACCACCTATACGATTATTGAAGGAGGAAGACATCAAATAAGTTTATTAGCAATTGTGTGAAAAGTGCCAATTTCATTGTAATGGCTACACACATTTGCAAGGGGGAAGGAATATGCAGCATATTACGACTGATTAAGAATTAAACACATTAGCTAAAGAGATGAACAAATAGGAAATCTTAGAATTACTTTATAGTGAAAAGGGTAATGCAGCTAATGTTATGATTGAAACTATTGATCTTAATGAACCTAATCATTACACTAAGGAAATGATTGAATTATTGTTTCAAGAATTAGAAACCGACTATTACAATAGATTTAAATTTTATCATCTTTAGAATGTCATTTTAGAAGACAGAAGAATTAGAATGAACGCTTGGATGAGCATTTTAATCAATAAACCAATTCATAGATTCAAAAATCCTAAACTGGTATGTAAGGTACCACCTGAAATGAGAAAGAATCCTGAAAGCATTCACTACACCATCAATAGAATCTTACCACTTAATCAAACATATAAGAAGAAAGACATTACTAAAATGCCTTTGGATTTCCCACCAAATATTGCAGATAAGGAAAAACTAAATCCAAACGAAGAGAAGCTGGCGTTGTTGAAGAAACTTCACAGAGACACACATCATATGGTTGAAATATAGGATGCTAAGAAGGTTTGCATATTTCTCATTGTTTTAGGTTGTCTCTAATGGCGTATACTTATTGCGTAAATATAATGACGGAAGAAATGGTGATTGGGATAACTACTCCTCACTCAAGGGAATGAATAGAGGTTCATATGTAAATTACGAAGAAAAAAAGAAAAAAGAAAAACTTTGAATTATTCAGTATGCATTATTATCAATTAAATTTATTATCATTTTAATTCTTCCAAGCATCCAGAAACCAATATATGATATTAAGAGAATTACTAGTCAATATTAAAGTCATGATTATAATATTTTTAAATTGCGCTATATTTTTGGACATGCTTAAGTTTATATTATTTATAATATTTTTTAATGGAATTAACAATAGAATTACAAGGCCAATATTAGGTAGAGTCATTTGAAACTATTTTAAATGAGAGGACTACACTTTTAAATATTGCGGAATTGATTTAAGAGGCTTAGTATTATGAGTAAGTATTTTATCAAGATCTAGATAGTTTAATTTGAGTGAGTTATTCTGTTTAGAGGTTAAGGGTTAGAATAAATTTATTAGTGGAAGATAAACATCCATTAAAACATGTCTAATTTAAAATAGGATTGATGCAAAAACGCTAATCTTCTATAGAGGACTGGACGGCTCGAAAAAAAGTTTAAATTAATTCATTTATAATAGTGAGTAAAGGAGAGGTGATCGATTAAAATATCAGAGTTGAACCCAGTACCAATTAAATCTACCAACAACAAGTTGCTAATCCAGCTGAAGATATTTCGATATTTTAGAGAAATAAATAAACAGGAGGAGTAGTTATTGGAGGAGGGAATATTTCTGCATCACAGCATTTGAATAATGTAGAGAGGAATATCTAACAACAAAATTACAAAGGCAATATTGATCCTGCAAATTAATTAGAAACAATCTAAAATTATTCAAACTAAACTATAGTGCAATAAAATTCAATCATAAATTCTCTACCAAATTAAATCGGATAAGCGTAAGTTAACTTACAATAAGGTACATAATTTGGAAGGAACTATTAATAATAATCAGCCTAAGCTGTCAATTTGTTGAGCACTTCAGAATAATAAATTAGATAATCCTCAAATTAATAATAACCAACTAATGTAATATCAAACTAAGGAGGGTATGAAATAGGTGGAAATGTGACATAAAGTCAATATTACCGTTAACTACAACAAAATAGCTAATCCAATTTTATCGAAAAATAACCTGAATAACAAAATGATTCCTTGTTTACAAGGTAATCAGCTCAATCACAACAATCAAGTACTATAAAAATAAATGATATTGGAGTATAATTTTAGAATAAAACAAGTCAAATAAATGAATCGCTTGTTGGAAGGTAATAGGTTCAATAACCTTAATAAAACAATACACAACCAGTTGATAATCCTTCATTAAGACAACAATAATAATAATAATAATAATAATAGTAATAATAATAATAATAATAATAATAATAATAATAACAACAATATAATAACCAAACATATGATATTTTTTAAAGATAATAGGTATAATCAACATAATAAATTAATAACCAATCAACTGATCCCCATTTATAAATATATTAGCCATATTTAACATAACAAATTAATAATCAGACAAATGATCCAATTTTTTAAAGGTAATATCAATAATCAATATAATATACATAATCAATTAATAATCAATCAGGTGATTCTCTATATTTAAGATAATAGGCATAATAAACATAATCAACATATTAAAACAGTAATCAACAATAGGCTCAATAGCCTTAATAAAACAGTACCTAAATGGATGGTTCTCTTTTTAATAGATAAAAAACAGCACAATAATCATAATAATTAAATAACCAATATGTTGATACTATTCAAATAAAGTAGCCGATTCAATAAAATAATATCCAACAAGATGAATCTCTTTTTGCAAGATAATCAGCACCATAAATTTCATAGACTAGTACCTCAAATGTCAATAAAACAAGTGTAAGCCAATAGCAGTAAATACAACCTGACCCATTAATTCAGAAAACATTTTAACTTGTCCTACATATGAATTCTAATCAAGAGAAGAGTTTAATAAAGTTTTTGAAGGATGAAAATATACTCTTTACATTTAATTGAAATGGATAAAACTGAATTATTTTAATATAAAATTTTAATGTAATATTTTAACATAATATTTAATATAAAATTTAAGAAAGAATTTAATGCCATTTAAATTTAGTTTTTTCTCCTTAAGGAATTATAAATATAATGTAAATACAAAGAAAAGATCATAGCAAATTGGCAATAATTGGAAATGTTGATTCTGGTAAATCAACATTAGTTGGTGTATTGACAAAAGGTATTTTGGATGATGGAAGAGGAGGTGCAAGAGAAGTACAAAATAGCTTTAATTTTAGCGTGTCTTCAATTATAAACATGAGAAGGAGAATGGAAGGACTTCATCTGTGGCCTAGGAAATTATGGGCTTCGATGAGAATTTAAAATAGGTATTACCTGAGAGATTCAATCAAAATAAAAACAAATACTGGAGTTAAGTTGTAGAGAAGAGTGAAAAGATTGTCACCTTCTTAGATCTATGCGGTCATGAGAAATATTTGAAAACCACTATATTTGGTTTAGTAGCAATGATACCTGATTACTCTTTGATCATTGTAGGTGCAAATATGGGTGTATCAAAGATGACAAGAGAACATTTAGGTGTAAGTCTCTTCTTAAAAATACCATTCGCCATCGTCCTAACAAAAGTGGACATTGCACCTTAAAATATTTACAACGAAACTCTTGAACATATCAAATCTCTGATAAAGAGTCCTGCAATTAAAAGAACTCCAATATAATTTGATGAGAAATCTGATATGAATGAAATAGATAAATGGGCAGGATTAATGCATGGAAATAATGTTGTGCCCATCTTCCAAGTCTCCAGCGTATCAGGAAATGGGTTATAGCAATTGACTCGTTTCATAAGCAAAGTGCCAAATAGAGATCAACTCAACAAAGCATATCAAACAGTCAACGATCCATTACAATTTGACATCTAAGAGAACTTTAATGTCCCAGGAGTCGGAATTGTAGTTAGTGGAATAGTAAGAGGTGGAAAAGCAGTTATTAACCAGCATGTGCTATTGGGTCCAGATAAAGCTAAATGTAAATTTGAAATTCTATAGTAGAATTTAAGCCTGTAACCATTAAATCAATTCACATCAACAGAGTCTTGACTGATTCTGCATAAGTAGGAGAATTTGCTTGCTTTTCTCTGAAACCCTCCAAAGCTGGTGATAAATTAGATAGAGCAGATTTTAGAAAAGGGATGATTATCATTGACCCAGCTTTAAAATAGGAACCTGTGACTGAATTCGAAGTATAATATTATTCTAATTCAGGCCAACATCCATATCCTTCATCATCCTACTACAATGAGCAAAGGATATCAAGCAGTTATGCATTGTGGAGTAGTTAGATAGGCAGTCGAAATTAAGAAGATACTCCAACATGAAGTATTGAGAACTGGTGATGTTGATACTGTTCGGTATATTTCAATTTTAATTGTTAGATTAAAATTCTTATATGCAGCTGAATTTTTATAGACGGATTAAATTTTAGTAATAAGAGAGGGAAGAACTAAAATTTTTGGATATATCTCAAAATTAATTACAGATAAATAAATTGATGATGAGAAGAAAGCTTTAGTTGACCCAAATCTTTAAGTAAAACAATAATTATGATTTGTTATTCTATTTTAATAAGTCTCTTTTATATTATTTTAAACATAAATTTATTGAATAATAGTATAATTATTTAGTTCAATGCTTTCTAAATTAGTATAATTCATTAAGCTAATTTATTTTCTCTTGTTTGGCTTTTCTTTCTAAATTTAAACGATTTTATATTTCTCTTGCTCTTGATTTTTCAGTTGACAATTATCCATTTTTATGTTGCTTTGAATCACTATCTATAAACGACCTTCTCTTTTCATTTTCATCTTAAATTCTTCTGCTAATTTCCTCATCTATTTTTTTTTTTGTGTCTTCTTTTTAGGTTGATTCTAATACACTTACTCTCCCTCCCTGAACAAAACTGCTTTATAAAGGCGCCTTAATTTTGTTAATGATTTCCTCATACATTTCATCCAACTACCTTTAACATTGCAATTACAATCTTTGAGACTCCTATTTAATTTAGATATCGATATCTTTAAAACTAGGTTCAACTAATTAATGAATCAATGAATTAATTCTTTCATCTTGATGAGTAGCTTAAGAATGATTATAAATAGAGTACCCATTTGATTTATTTCTCTCTAAAAGATGAGAAGGGTTTTTTCAAAGCGTTCAATTTTGTAAGTTAAACCTTCATCATTTCTACAACGATCCAAATTCAAACCTTGAAATTGGTGAATGACATGATCTAATTATTTATTTAATTCATTTATTCGCTTGTCTTATAATTGGGTGAGATTCTCAATAAATCCCAATCGATCTTCAACAATTTTGAGTCTCATACTCATGTTTTCATTTTCTAAAAACATTGATAGTATAATAATTATAATAAAATGTGAAGTATAAAATGAGGGTTGCTTAATATATTATGTAAGAAATAATTGTTATCATGCTGATGATCTCTCTTAAAGATAAACTTTGACATTGGATAGTTTGGTAGCCAGGATCTCCTCAACTTATCTGATGATAGAGATTTCTTATTATCTGTGTTCGGATTCTTCAGCATATTGAGTTCTCCATGCGTTGCATTCAGCTTCCTTTTATTCCTTTCCTGATGAGGCAGCATTCAATTCGTCAGTGGCATCTTCCTTTCTCTTCTTCTATAAGTCCAAAGCCTATTGATTATCTTGGAGTTATCTTTGAGAATCTTCTCTGGCAGCACTCAAGGATTCTCTTTATGAGGCAATCTCAATAACCAACGCTTCGAAGTCTAATTAAGCTTAGATTTCTGTTTATCTGGCAGATTCAAGAGCTTCAGTCAATTAAGTACTGACTTCACCTAACTTGTTGATGACATTGTTTAATTATTCGGCTGAGAAGGTTGAAGCGACTTACATAAGTGCAAGGATTGGGTTGGTTGCACCAATCTTATTCAATTGTGTCAAAGCAGCCAAGACTTCTTGATCTGGTTGAATTGAGCTCAACCTTTAGATAATGACTTCAACAGCTTCAATGACATTTTCTGTTTCGTTTTCGAACTTCTTGAAATTTTCAGAATCTTCAGCTCTTTATTCTCTGATTTATGTTTCTTATTCGTTTAAGATATCTAATTAGACTGTCTTATCTTCGACATCTTGAGTCAATTGTTCGACTTTGGCACTGAGGGATTAGATTTCTTGGGTTGATTCAGTGATTTCGTTGGAAGCGAAGTCAATTCTTCTGTTATATTAATAGATTTCTGTTTCGCAATCCACTTCATCTTAAGCATGCTTTTAGTCAGCTTCTTATTAGTTGAGGATAAGATTTTCTCTCAATTATTGCAACATTTTAGCGATGTCTCCCAATGGGGCCTTGTTGTTCAATTAGAGTGCAATTGTGTCTAATAATTTTCTTCCCAATTCATGTTCTTCCATTGCTTCTAATTATGTGAAAACTGCCTTGCTTGGGTCATTGGATCTTTTAACAAAAACAGCTTGTGTGAGTGTTAATCCCAAAAGAGCGATAAGAATCAATTTCATAATTAAATAATTGACATAGACTTAAAAGGAAGATTCACTTTTCATATTACACTATTCGTTTTTGTTCCTTCAAAAGCATTTATTTTAAATAAAATTTAAAAAACGATTACTCGATTAAAAAATAAATAGAATTATATAATTTCAATCTAAATCCATCAATATATTATAATTCATATATATTCATTTATTCAATAGATATGATGGCACATCTGCAAAAGTTGGCTTGAGAGTGTAGTTCCCTGGTCCTGGCACACTCTAATCTGTTTAATTTAGATTCGGTCTTAATGCTGTTCCGAATCCCCACTTGGGCCCATCAGAGGATCCTCTCAAATTATAATTTCCAGGCCCTACAAATTTGAATAAGCAATCTTACCTGGAGCATCCTTCCCAAAACCAGCATTCAATTCGGCTCTTTGACCTGTACCAATTTTTGCTGAAGCAGGACGCTGTTTACTTGGTCCATCGTTGGGATTATATGCACCTGGACCAGGCTGATTCAAAGTAGTAGTAGGTTCGTACTTACTTCCCAAAATCTAATGTTTGGGACCCTCTCCTATTTTAGTGTTCAAATCATAAGTTCCTGGTCCTGGGATATCTCTTGTGTCACTCAATGGCCTACGAGTAGCACTACCAATACGAACTTATGCTGATTTTGGCCTTGCAAATTCATATCTAGATTCATAAGTTCCTGGTCCTGGAGTTCTGAGCAATTCTCGATTCAAGCCATCTCTAGTCTCATTTCCTATTTTATAGGAAGGAGGTCGCAACTTTTGTTTCTTATCCCAATTGTATGTTCCAGGTCCTGGCACATATTCCTACTGAGTTTAATTTCTTCTAGAAAGCATCGAAAACCCTTTTTGTGAAACATTAAACTCGCTTCTTGCTTCATATTCTCCTGGACCAGGATTCTTTATTTCTGAAAACGCTCCTCTTGATGCTGTCCCAAATTTATATTATGGACCAGCACTATTTGGTCTCTTTAGATATGATCCAGGTCCTGGTGTACGAGTCAAGTCATAAAATCCATCGCGCTTAGAGTTGGGAAATCTTAAACTGAAACTACGATTACTTCATGCAAGGAACTCCTACTACGGTGGACGGATTTTCGTAAGCTCCAGGTCCTGGTTATAATGTAGAATAGGTTGAGGATAGTTTGGCTCCCATTGAATAATTAGGAAGAGCCTTCACCATTGTTCGGTAATTAGGATTGTAAGCACCTGAGAAAAATGAATGCTTTATATTTACCTGGTCCTGGTCCCTATTTTCCTAAAATTGTTGGTTTTTTAAGACCAAAGGAATACTTTGGTCCTTCTTTGGTTACTCTTGAAGGATGCTCGTAAGCTCCAGGTCCTGGTGCAAATACTCTTAGAAGGCCACTTCTATTGCCAGATCCAAATCTACTTTAACAGGCAAAAATTACTTGAAAGATGGAGGTGTCATCTTCTGTTTCTTCATTGGTTAGTAAGCCCCTGGGCCAGGTGTTTCACTTCTGGGTTGAGTGGCTGAATTAGTTAAAACTGATAATTACATCGTTACGCTTTGCCAATTGAAAAAGCACTTACCATTTTGATTAATTTTATTTATAAGTATTATATATATTTCACTAAGAGTTTGTTTAAAAAAATACAGTTCAAGAGAGTGTGGTAGATTGATGATTATCGATGGTTTCTGAATAGTAGGTTTAATTTTTAAAAGTGAATTTTATATTATGCAACAGTTATAGACATTGAGATTATTGAGTTTAATAAATTGATAATTACAAAAATCCTCTTTAGTATGAATTTGTAATACTTTTTTCAAGTACAAAATGGGTTGCACTCAAGGGGATTTTAAGAATTATATCTTTTTTTGTATCGAAATGGTAGGAAATAAATGAAGAATTATATATATCATATATTATTATGGCATAGTTACAGAAAGAGTTAAAGCGCAAAAGTAATTTTATTAATTATAAATATGTAATATTAATTGGCGCCCATTTTATCAAATTCCCACGATTTGTGATCAAAAATAAAAATAAATGGCAAAACAAAATAACAAGCGACAATTTCTTGTGCCTGAATATGCCTCTGAGTTAAGCAGTCTCAGTGAATTTCTTGCAGAGTTTCGTGATAATTCAATAGTAGAAATTGATAATACTTATGGGTAACGCAAATACATGATTGAGTTGGTATGATATAATTGAGAGTAAAATAGCAAAAAATAGCAAACAGATAAACTAATCGCATTGATATCTATGTGGAGGATCTTGAATATTACTTCAATGATAGAATAGATTTTGTTAATAAAATAAAGACAAATACATTGTCATATCAAAGATTACTTTATGAAGCTTGTGATACCTTAATGCCTCAACAAACTAGAGATTTTGAATAGAACTTTGATTTGTTTGATGAGGAAATTAATGTTCAAAGACAATAGAATTTGGAGTAAGATGGAACCAATAACCGATAGAAGAGACTCCCCCCAGAACTCATTCGCAGATAGTAAATTAAATAAATAAGTGTAGTCAACTATTCATAATTCGAGGAACATAAACAAAGTAGCAAGTCATGGCCATAAGAAATCTAAAGGCACAACTAATCGGCTCTTTAATTACAATAAAAGCTATGGTGGTTAGGACATCCGAAGTCAGACCATAAATAATAGTAGCATGTTTCTCATGTGATGCATGTGGATATGAAAATTATTAGACAGTTCACGGTAAGACCTTTACTCCAATGCTCGATTGTGCAAGTGATAAATGTAGAGATAATAAAGTGAGAGGGAGGTTGATATTCAATCATGGCAGTTCAAAATTCATATCCAATCAAGAAATCAAGATCTAAGAACTCAAAGAACAATTGCCTAAAGGATCAATCCCAAGATCATTTACAGTTATGGCCAGAGGAGATAGCAACATTAGAATTTGTTCTCCAGGCGATATGGTTACTATTTAAGGTGTCTTTTTACCAGTCGAAAAAGAGGGATTCTTTGCCAATAAAGCATCCTTCTACAGCACTTACATTGAAGCATTCCATATCAAAAGAGATAAAAAGAAATTCAAAGAAATTGATATTGAAAGTGTCAGTGGTCATAAGATCTTTGAAGACATCAAAAAATATCCATTCAGTGATTTGTATATGAAATTAGCTAAGTCTATTGCTCCTGAAATCTTTGGAATGGAAGATGTTAAAAAAGCATTGTTATTAATGATTGTAGGAGGAGTAAGCAAAGAGATGCATGATGGATTAAAAATTAGAGGAGATATTAATGTAGCATTGATTGGAGATCCAGGAGTAGCCAAATCTTAATTACTAAGATATATATCTCAAGTATCACCCAGAGGTGTGTATACTACAGGTAAGGGATCATCTAGTGTCGGTCTAACTGCAGCTGTCATTAGAGATCCTATCACTGGAGAAATGGCTTTAGAGGGTGGTGCTTTGGTTATGGCTGATAGAGGAGTATGTTGCATAGATGAATTTGATAAAATGAATGAAAGTGATAGAACTGCCATTCACGAGGTTATGGAATAACAGACTGTCAGTATTGCTAAGGCAGGTATCACCACTACTTTAAATGCTCGAACATCCATTTTAGCAGCTGCCAATCCTCTATATGGAAGATACAATAAAAAATAGACTCCACATCAAAATATCAATCTTCCTGCTGCCTTATTATCAAGATTTGATCTTATTTTCATCTTATTAGATGAAATCAATCATGAGGCTGATACTAAATTAGCATCTCATATTGGTAGAGTTCATCAGAATAAATACAAGGAAGATGAGACTCAGGATTTGTATTCAGTCGAAGAAATCACCACATTTGTTGCCTTATCCAAATAATATGAACCAATCCTTACTTCTGATATTCATTAATACATAGCTGATCAATATGTTGAAAGAAGAAAATAAACATTTGATAAGACACTTGATGGATACTCCTACACTACTCCAAGAACTTTATTAGCCATCATTAGATTATCATAATCTATTGTATATTACTTTATTATTATTTTAGGCTAAATTATAATTGGCTGACAGAGTTACTTAGAGAGATGTCGAAGAAGCTATTAGATTGATGGACATTTCCCAAGAAAGTGTTAGGAGAGCATAACAAATAGATGGTATTGATTTACATTTATGTTATTTTAGACACTGTCTAAAGAAAGGATAAAACTGCTAAATTATATGAACTGTTGTCATCTTTATGTAACAAAAATAAAGGAACCATAACTAAAGATTCATTTGTTAGATAAGCTATTAGCAAAGGATCATAAATGTAAGAAATCGAAGAGTTTTTAAATACATACTCATCACTTAACCAAATTCAAATTCATGGAGATCAAAACGATAGAATTACTCTAGTATCATGACATTATTGTATTTTATATCAATCTTTATTTTATTATCTTAAATTCCTCTCCTGAAATCACTGATTTTAAATTCAGATTGAAATCTATAATGTTTATTTCCAATTCTCCTTTCTACATTCTTAAAAACAATTTAACGCTTAATTGAAGGTTAAATTTTTATAATTCAAAATATAAAACATAAATCTAAGACTTTTATATGATTCTAATAAATGCTCATGAATGTTTTGAACTTAATAGAAAATAAGTAATTTATTCTATGAATTTGATTTTCTTGAAACTGAATACTTGTATTGAAACCAGTATTATCAAAATGTAATTACAAAATATTTATCTAATTCAAGTAGTTGTATAGAAGAGTCATTCATTTGATCAAGATTTGTGAATTACAAATATTCAACTTCCTTATCTATCAAGTTATTCTAAGCAGAGTAATTCTAGCATACGAGAAACATAATTTCATTAAGATGTTTATTATAAGAAGTGCGATACTTCTAATTCATTAACATTAGTCAATTAAAGTGTTCTTACTTTGTTTCTAAAATAGATACCATCTCTAGGGTTGTTGATTAGACTGTTCCTACATTTATCCTTCTAGCTGGCTTTTTATTGTTTATATTGTCCTTAGATGCATATTTAATTAAATTAATGAATGAATCATCCACTATTTCTACTTATCTTCGAACAGAGACAGATGAAGTCAAAGAATTTAGTAGTAATATAACGACTCAAAGAAAGAAAATTCCTTAATTGAAAAACTTGATTTCGCCTAGAAAATCGAAGCAGGTTAAATTCAATCCAATAATTGATTCAGTTCGTAGCAGTTAAAGTTAAAGATCCTCAAAGGGAAATTTAGGTCTGTAGATACAAAATAACAATATGATATTTAAAGATTCCTTTGAATTGTTCTTAGATGGTAAAATAACGAGTGTTGAATTACTGCAATTATCCAACTATCCCAGATTGCGATAATAATTGATGGAAGACCATGCTGATTCAAAAGGAATAAGTATTTTGGGACCACTAGTAAGGTTTAAAAATAAATTCAAACACAAATAAGTTAGAAACACTCAAGATGATAGAAGTGTCTATTTAAAATCCAAACTCCAAGGATTAAACAATCTAATTCACACAAGAATGATGTAAAAGAAGGAAGACAATGAAACTCAAAGAAGATAAAATCTATAAAATGTTGGGTTGTTTAAAACCATCGTAGATGCTTCTGAAGGAATAGAAGACAAATTGGCTTAAACCAAAGATCCTTTTGCTAAGAAGATTCCTTCAATTAAATCTTTAAAGACTATGACAGTCAGCTATGACGATTTGAAGCCAAGTATAATTCATATCTATTCAAAGTTATCAAAAATGCAAAAGAATCACCAGCAATTTCAAAAATCTTTTTAAAAAACAATCTAACTGAATCAACCAAAAAATATATGGATGAGGCTTCAAGACAACATTATCTCAAGTAACAAGAGTTAAATAAGCTAACCAAAATGTAAATTACCAAATAATCCAACTCCAAGTTTTCATTGTACAACAAGGACGTATTGACATCCAAAGATCTAGAACTCTATGATTATCTTCACAACAAGCCCAAACCAATTGTTCTTAGAAATCATTTCACTGAAATGGATGAGGAAACCATTCCAACTCATGAAATTATTGCTTCTAAGATAGGAAACCAAAGACTCAAAAAGAGATATCATAAAACTGAATAAAAACTTCATGAAGATTTAGACAATGAATCTCATACTTCTTCATTATAATCTACTTATGAAATTCATCTAGATAATTTATATTCTTAAACTGTTGACTTAAAAAAACAACTCACAAAAAAGACTACTCTTCCAAAGAAAGTTAAATAAATGATTAAACTTGATGAGCTTAATTAGCAATCTCTTCAGGCGAATACATTCAAATTGACACATTGAAAAAATTATATTTATATATATTATCAGATTTTTCTTATATTTTATAGTCGTATTAAATGTCGTTCCTCAACATCTTTTATAGTATTTAATTTGGCCGATGAAACCTAAGTTTTTAGTTTGTTTATAGCAAATTAATCGACTTGTTATTGTTCTTACAAAATTTTAATTTGTTTTTTTAAATGTTAATTTGATTCTGTAACATCCTCATATTGCTTTCTAAACATCTTTTCATCAGCCTTTTGGGTTTAGTATAATATTGCTTATTTACTTACGTAATCTTCATATTGATTTGCTTTACGAGAATACTTTTCGTTTTATTCCCTCAAAGCTTTAATCTATTCTTCCTATTCCATTAATAAATTCAATTAGTCTTTTGCTTGATTTGATAGTTCTTATAGTTATTTTTATTATTCAGTCAATATTTCTACCTTCTCTTATAAATTTAATTAATTTTCTTAAGATTCCACTTATTTTAACTAAATTTCTCTTTCTAAATCCTTTTATACATTTTCAAGACCCTATATTTAGGCCTTTAAAGTCTTAATGATTAATTCATACTCATTCTTCATTTGAATTTCTTTAGATTCAAATTCTTAAATTTGTTTTTCTAAAGTGTTTTTAAAATGAGATTGCATTGAGTATCGGATTTATTCCATTTTATCAGAGAATTCTCTTTAGGCTAAATCATTATCTAATTTCAATTATTTAGCCACAATTTAGCAAGTTTATGTTGAAACCATTTGTAACTCTTTTAAGATTTATAATCTAAATGTTTCCATATCCAATTTTAGACTTGAAAATATCTTTTGCAAATTTGATTTAATTTTATTCCTAATTTCCTCCACCTTTAGTTTATAATTTCTCAATTTCCTCTTGTAGATTTTCTCTTGATCATTTTGTTATGTTTTAATATTAGCTTATTCTTACTAATACTTTTTCTTATACCTTTCTAACTCTTCAGTTATGTCTATTACCTTAGTTTCTAATGACTTTATTTATTTATATTGTGCTTCATTTTATTATTTCTATTGCTTTGACCTATTCTCCAAACATTGCTTATCAATGTTTAAAGTTTCATTTGTTTTTTTCATGCTTTGTAATTATTATCTTAATTATGTTACTGTCTCTTATTCGGTTTTCAGTGATGCTTTTAATTACTTAAAATCCTTCACAGCATGCTACTACAACTCTCTTTCCTTTGTTAAAGCAGCTTACTAATCGCTAACTACATATTCCAATTCTGCCAGTTTTTATTATAAATTTTAAAATTACTCTTATTCTTTTTATTTATAACTATCTTATATTTAATTCAAATTTTGTTCAAATTCCTCAGCCAATTCTTATTTTTATTACAACACATTTTCTTGCATAATATTTAATTTCTATTCTATCTCTTCCAAGGCTTCTTACAATTCATTTATTTGTTAATTTTGATCTTAAATTATTTTTTACTTCTCTGTTCTATCCTCATCCATTTCTCTTAAATCATGCCTTAATGAAAGACACTCTTATATAGAGCATTCCAATTATGATTTCGTATGAGCATGTTCCTTCTTCCAATATAATTCCGTATGATCATCAAGCGCCTATTCAAAAATCGATTATAATCTATCACAACTCAATAAATTTCATACTTCATTAAAATATCTTAAGAATCACTTCTATGAGCTAAAAGTTTCTTCAATTCTTAGTCTAATTTAATTTGTTGCATAGTTTATTACAGGAGAGCTTTCATATTTAATTAAAATAATATAAATCATTCACCATGCTTTCAGAACCCAATAAATTTATCTCTAAAATTAGGACTCTATTATTATCCATACGGTTAGGTTTATCGATTTCGATATGGATCTACTGTAATTTATTGCATTTAAGTATTTTTCTATTTTAATTTTTAGTTAAATCCAAAAAACTTTTGCTAAAGTTTCTAACTTTTACGCTTTAACTTTGAAGTCTGAATTATAATAAAAAGTACTATATTGCATCATTTGTTATCACTCTTTTATCATCATTATTAACAAAATTTGTATTTATCCAATTTTATTATTAGAATTTGATCCTCTATTTTAACTTCATTATGAGGTCCATTTAAGACATATATGTTTATAGGTAATTCATCCGTTTCCAATTTAAATTCAGATACAGTTAGATTTCACTTTTTATTATTTTCGAAAAGAACTTCATATATTAATAGCTCCTTTACTCACATCTTTATTTCTTAAATTCAGCCTTTCAACTTTTTAATTTTTTTTTCCTTCCATTCTTAAAATAAGTAGAATACAGCAATGATTTTCACCTTTTAATTAGATTTGGTCTGTTTCAGCATTGGCGCATTTATAATGATTTACTTTCAAATCACAAGTCCTTGTCTTTTTTGAACCGTTTGAAGATTTAAAGTTAAACCATTTCTTTTTTAATATACAGTCTATGTAGATTGGAAATTGAGATGAGCTTAATTATTTTATATTTTGCTTTCTTTGCATCTCATGTTATTATATCTTATAAAATTCTTCATTTTGATGCTGCTCCTCTATCTTTTCTCATTAATTAAGTAAATTATTCCAAACTAACATCCGAAATATTATTAAAAATTATAAACTATATTCAATAACATATTAAAAATACTCAAATTTAATATACCTTAAACAATAATATAACTTAAATATATATTTATTCTAATCACAAAATCTTTAATTAATGTTCTTTAAAACTAATAGAATTAATGGTATTTTGTTTCACCGATGAAATATAATCACAGAATAAAAATGAAATTCAACTAGAATAATCAAATTATAATCCCTCTGAAAATTTAAACCTACTTACTCTTACAGTAGTAATTGAGAATATACATACTCATTCGAATAGTTAGTGATTATGGAACAATGTGAAATTATTAGTTTTTCTATAAATAATGAAATGCTATTTAATACTATTAACGTTAATTGAAAAAAATATTGTATTGAAAGAGGTATTTATATTTCATATGGTTAACAAAGACTTACATCAATACTGGGGAATGTTTGACTAGGTTTAGTTGGATTTTATAGCCATATAAAGATTAATTAGTTATAAAAGTTAGAAACGGATGGAAATTACTACGTATGATTTTATGAAAGTTACCTTTAGATTTGATGTGGAATTCACATTAAAAAAAATGGTATTCAAATCTTTTAAAAGGCTGAATAAAAATAATAATAAAGGCCAATTTTAAACTTCAATTGTAAAATATCAACAATTTCATGATTTTTGGAAGAACTTGGAAAGTTGATTCCAAGTTATATTTGTGTATTCTCCATAATAAAGTTAATTAGAGATTGAATAAGGCCTGGTAATTATATAAATTTTTAAAGTTTGTTCATTTATAGTATAAATTACAAAGAATCAGATAAGGATTATGGATGCTTGAGCAAATGAGCAGAAAGCATCAAAAAATATGATCAAGATTAGAATTGAAATACATAAATTTTATTAAAAATGGGTTGCGGTTCATCTGATTCTTCTTCTGCAAATGACCCCAGAAAAGTAGAACGTCAAAAGGAGTTTACTGGAGAAAAGATTTCATCAGAGATCTTTGTTGACTTAAAGGACGGCAACATCTACGAGGAATATGAGGTCAGGTCAACTTTGGGGGAAGGAGCATTCGGTTGTGTAAAATTAGTATTTCATCGCAAAACTAGTATGAATTAATATCAGCTATTTAGAAATGCCATATGCTATGAAACAAATAAAGAAAATGGGATTAATTAAGGAGGACCAAAAGATCCTATTTAGTGAGATGGACATTTTGAAGTTAATTGACCATCCCAATATTGTTAAGTTACACAAACTCTATTAAGACAATATCCACTATTATCTGATCACTGAACTATGTTAGGGTGGAGAACTATTCGATAAACTTACATCTGAAAAGAACTTCACTGAGAAAAAGGCAGCTGAAATTATGAAATAAGTATTATCTGCCGTGACATATTGTCATGAGAGAAAAATCATACATAGAGATCTCAAATTGGAGAACATACTATTGGAGACAAAAAGCTCGAATTCGAATATTAAGGTGATTGATTTTGGCACATCTCGCAAGGTCTAGGAAGATGAAAAATTAAAGTTAAAAATAGGAACTGTACATCTTTATTGAAATATAAGTTATATTACATGGCTCCTGAAGTTTTTCAAGGTCATTATGATTTAAAAGTGGATGTCTGGAGTGTTGGTGTGATCTTATATATTTTGCTCTGTGGATATCCTCCTTTCAATGGTGATGATACAACAATCAAATAGAAAATTTAAAAGGGCACTTTTGAATTCAACGGTATTGATATCCTATAATTTCCTCATAAATAGATCCTGAATGGAGATCTATTTCGAAGGAAGCAAAGGAGTTAATTTGTAAAATGCTTTAGTACGATCCTTTACAAAGAATAACAGCTCAATAGGCTTTGTAAGATCCGTGGATTCAATCAAAAGCTCCAAATACTCCAGTATAAGCTAATGCGCTCAATAATTTAAAAGATTTTTATGTATATCAACATTTTAAATTTAATTAGAGTACATCAAAACTAAAGAATGCCATATAATTATTCATAGTCACTCAAGTTACGACTTATTAGGAGAAGGAAGAACAATTAAAATAATTTAAAGCAATGGATATTGATGGGAATGGAACAATAAGTCCAGAAGAATTAAAGAAACATTACTCTAAAATCTATGGATAAGAGGCAGCTGAGAAATTAGTAACAGACATAATGAAATAAGTTGACATAAATTAATCAGGATAGATCGATTTTAATGGTATTTTCATTTTTATTACGAATATTATTAGAATTCTTAGTGGCTGCTGCAAATAAAGAAAAATTACTTTCTTAAGAAAAACTGAAATAAGTATTTTAGATGTTTGATAAAGTAATGAGCTTTATAATTTTAGAATGGGGATGGTAAAATTTAAAGAGCTGAACTTTAATATATTATGTCTGGTATTCGGATTGATGATGCTTAATGGAAAAACATTTTAGAAGAATGCGATAAGGATAACGATGGAGAGATTTCTTTAGATGAATTGATCATGCTAATGCAAAAACTAAAGTGATTGAAGCGAATTTGATTAATATTTTTAAAAATAAATTATTAAATGAAATCACTACTCTTTGGAACTTTATTGATTTGTATAGCGTTAAGTTAAATCACATACGAGGAATGCAAAAGGGATTGTACAATGGATTGGTTAGATTGCACCAGTGGGTGTGATAGTATTGGTAATCCATCTTATTGCCATAAAAATTGTTAGAAGTAATTATAACCCAATATGTAGTGTGGTTCATGGATGTTTAGATGAATGTCCAAAAATAATTTGTATTGATGAGTGTCGAAACATATTGGAACAGTGCCGTAAAAATGGAACAGGGATTTGCGAAGTGCATTTCAATCAGTGCAAATTGATCTGCGAAGATACTTATAATGAAAATTAAGATATATGAATATATTAATTAATATATAGATAGGCTACGAATGCATCAAGATTATATAATTAATAATAATATATAATCAACATTAAAACGATGAATTTATATTCCGTTTTTGGTATTATTAAAATAAATATGAAAACATTCGTTGTGATTTGCCTCGTAGCAGCTGTGTTTGCACTTGACACAAACAAATTCGCCGTGCTTCTCCAAGCAGGCACAAGAGGAAATGATGCCGTCGAATCAGTTTACAATCTCTTGAGAGATTTGAAGACAGAAAATGTTAATGTGTAAGCTGCTGCCGACAAAAAGAACAATACAGACGAAGGTACTTCATTCATTCATTCTTTCTAGAAATCTTTTCCCAAGTCATTGGCGATTTGACCAATGTTGCCTCACTCAACAAACAATAATGGGAAGCACTCGGAGCTGTCAGAACAGATGTTGAAGCCTAAGTCAGAGTAAGCAAACTAATTAATTCATCAAGGATGGATATTAATGGTTGGCCTGGGCTGAAGCCAGACTTGCTGAAATCGAAAGAAGAAATGCTTAACTCCAAGACCAAAGATGTTGGGCCAATGGACTCTTCGTCAAATCCCTCGCTGATCACGGTGATGCCGTCGCAGTCGTCTAACTCTTATAATAAGATGTTGCTGGTTTCCTCACTAACAACGCTGGAGTCGAACTCGTTGAAAAAGCCCAAACTATCGCCGATAAATTGTCAGCATATAGCCATCTTTTCTAATAAGATGCCCTCCAAAAATTCTAATCACTTGCCGAAGTCAAGAGAGAAGGCACAACCGGAGAATAAGTCCTCCAAATCTTATTCGACTTACAAGCTGAATTGGAATCCACTCTTGCCACCCTCTAAGAATAAGAAATTCACGCTGCCTTTGCTCTTGCCAAATACGTCTCAGACACCAACGCCGAAGTTGCCTGGTTGAATTCCGAACACGAAAGAAGAACCGGTCTTGTTGAGAAATTAGAAACTGTACCATTATGAGTCATTCATTTTATAGCAACTCCCAGCCGTCCTTGCCTAATAAGCCAAAGCACTCAAATTATGGAAAGATTCCTTGAACGCTGTTGCTGGAGCCACTGCTGATTTGGAAGAGAAAAGAGAATTCTATGCCTCCGAAACTGCCAGAAGAGCCGGTACCAATTATCACAATAATCTATAGAGGAAAATGCCATTATCGATGTTGTCATCTAATTGTTCAAAGATTAAGTTAGATCCTTAGCTTCATAGACCAGTCTTGGAAGAAAGTGATTTCCATAATACAAATATAATCAATTTAAAAAATGAATCATTAACATCATTTCAATCCTATTCTCCTTACTTTTGAAGATTTTCCAATATTTCTTATTTATTTAAGAATTTCTTTATAAATGCCTGTCAAGATAATTAATCTTGAATTTCAAACCATAATTAAATTCTTGGGTTATCATGATATCACATTTAGAAATGCCCTCTCCTTTTCATTTAACTGAAGAGAAACCCTTGTCAAATATTTTGCATTTTTATTCATCTTGAAGCAGATTATCAATTTGGCAAATCTTGTAAGTTCCTAAAGGGTCAATAATGACTTTTGGCTCAAGTATCTTTGTAGAGTTAAATCAATTCAAAAAATTTCATTTAGATCAAAGTTCCTCATGTAATTTCGATTTTGTAGAATTAATGAGTTATTTTCCTTTTTTTCCTTATGTATTTTGTGTGCATCATTTAATTATCTTCTATATTATTTCTAATTAGATATTTCAAGGATAGTAATTTCCTTAATTCATTCAAGACTATTGACATTCTAAAAAATAATTTATTTTTCTTCTTTAATGCATTAAACTGAATTACCAATCTAAACTCAAATCTTTTTATTGGACATAATAATTACACAGGAATTATCAATATTATCTAATAAAATACAAATATAGAATGAAAGTATCCAGATGTTTAACAAAAAACTATAGTACAAATATACTAATATTCAAATATATAATTAACCAAATAGTTTAGCTTTATTTTTGATATTATCTAATTTATTGATATTTACTATAAATCTTAACCTATGAATTTCAATATCTTCTTAGATGTATTTAAAATGAACACAAAATTTTGAAATATATATATTAAAACCTCATACCAGTAAAATAATAACTAAGACTTTCATGTGAGATATAGGGTATTTGATAAAAATCCTTAATAATAACATGTCGATCCTATTTGCTAGGAAGTGATAGTCAAAAAAAGTTAGAATCACTGAAGAATTATAAATATAAAATTTGGATAAATATATTTTATTTGTATATAAAAGGGGGGTCGGGAGGGAAATATAAATTTTATTATACATAAATAAAAATTATGTTAACTTCGTCTATTGTGAGTGTCGATTCTAGCAAAGTATATAAACCAAAAGCCAGTCAAGTTGGGTTACTCTCTACTGCCATTAGCAAACTTGGCGATTCAAGCTTTGTATCAAAAAGCAGAGAGTCCACAAACATGTCTCCTGTTAGAATGAGATTATTTAGGGATTCCTCACCTAAATAAACCAAGGGATTACAAGGAGTAGTTGTTGGAGAATATCAGTAAGATTATTAAATAAATATTTTAGTGCTTTGACACCAACTCATATTGTGTTTAGTAGCATACATAAAAGTACCTCCCCTCTGAGATCTGGTAGAAATTATAACGAGTCGCCACAAAGAGCAAAGGTAAGATTAGATAGATTCAAAAATTGGGACTCAAAGTTAGGATTAGAACTCCAAATATAAAATACCAAATTCACACGTCTCAATAATGAATTAACCTATTTAAGCCATTAACCCCATCATCAGACCACAAAATCAGCTATTTTCTTAGGCAGCAATTTAAGTAGATTAGGTGTTGGTGGAAACTAAAGTGATATTAGAGTTTTGACAGCCAAATTGAATGCCATTCCACCCTCATAAATTGGAACTTTCACTGCAGGGTAAGGATTATTATATTATATTTTATAGTCATTCTCATGAGTTGTCTTCATTGCAATAATCGCTAAGCAGAATAATGAAATCGAGCCGACAGTATTGAACAAAATTGATTATTATATTATATTAAAATAATATAATATGGATATTAAATTAATAACTTTTAGTGATACATTCATCATCTATAAGGAGATCTAAACGATATCAGACTTAAAGAAGGAAATTAAAAGAATTGGGATATAAACAAGGGATATCATTATTTAGTACCAAAGCTATTTCTACTTAAGCTTAGCTTTTATGATAATGATTCTGATAAAGTTGTGATAACACAGGATGAAGATCTTTAATATGCCTACCAGTAAAGCAAAGTTCTTAATAGGCAGACAATCAAATTTTATGTTTATTACAAACTCAGTTAGCCTTAATATTAGCAAATGGGAACCCAGATCAAAATCTCAATATAATAGCCCTAAGTAGATTGGATAAATTAATCCTTCTAAAAGGAAAGCAGCTAATCAATCATTTATCATAATATATATAATAATAATTCCCCTTTACTTAGCAGAACCTCTACAATTTTAATTCCAAAGTAATCAAGAGAAGAAAAGTTGAAATCGGCAATTGATTCTTTCATCGATCAAATATTGAAGGATGAATATCATATATGATAATATCTATATATATATATATTAATATAAATAAAGTGTTATTATAGATATATAAATGAAAAATTACCTTATTTATTATATAATGTACTTATGTATTGTTATATCAATCATTTTCTGGCTGCTAAGGCAACTTGAGTTGCAATTCTATTTAAGTCTTATTAACCCTCTTTGGTAACAATTCTGGATCCCTTTTTCAAGAGAGATTTGTTATCCTTCTTTAAAACTTTAATGGCTTCCAATTATTGAAGCAAGTATCTAATGACTTTTCCAGATCCTGATTCGTGTTTGCCATTGTCATTGACTGAACCAAACATATGAGTGAGATTTCCAACTCCCTGTTGTGTAAATTAAATATTAATACCCAGTGACCTCTGACATAAATTTTACGAGCAAGTGCTGCAGCTCTAACATACATCCAATCTTAGTCGATTGGTGAGATTTCTTTTCCGAGTCCAGTCTTGACAATTGAACCCCATTCTGGAATCTTGATCTTGTTATTTTTTTTCAAATATTCAGCATAAGCACGAATGAAATCTTATGCAGGTACGTCCTTTTAAAGTTACATAGTTATTCATACTTTCACTGTGAAGAATGGTGCTGACATAATAAAAAATTAAATTATTTTTTGAATATTTGCAAGATTTTAATTCATAAATAAAAGTATTTAATCAATCATGCATAACATACATTCTATTTAGTGAAGACACCAGTCATATCAACAATGAGAAATTCATAATCACAGAATTCTGATTATGTGACGTAACACTTCAATCACCAACTTCCTTCTAATTAATTAAAATCATGTAACTCAACATTTAAATCAATAAAAAGCTTACAATTTGATTACACTACAAATTTCTAAAATAATAATAATTATAATACCATTAAGGATAGAAGATTAATTTGAAATGAATATCTTTGTTCTTGGAATAGACAATAATTTACATTTTACCAAAAGTATCAATGAGTTTCAGTTATCTCAAGACAGGGGGATTATGGAAGCTTATAGTAAGGAGAAGGGTATAAAATGAGAATGGATTATAAGAACTGATTAATTTGAAGAGAGTGAAGCAAGGAGGGAAGAATGATATAATAATTTAATTATAAAAATCTTCGATTATTGGGGAGTGGATTGTTAGGAGAGATAATGGATGGAAGAAATGGGAACATAAAATTGGTGAGATGCTGTTAGTAATATTATAAGAAAATGGGGATAAATATTTATAAATTAATTACATACATAAGCATTTTTCGATCCGTTTTTAAAAACATTAATAAATAAATGCAAAAACTAGCTATCTTGACATTGGTTCTTGCTCTTGCAGCTGCCAAGTTTGTAGATACTCATGCAAGCTTGGCTTAAATTGATGCCAATCCATTCGGAAATGTTGTATTGTCAGCCATCAAAGCCCATTTGTAAGCCTAAACACCAGCCAACGAAGTTAATATGTTATTGAACGGTGTTGCTGCTGGATTGTAATAAGACTAAAATGACCACGACCACGCTTTCGAACTTGATACAACCACAAACAACAGAGTAAGAATATTAAACTATATAACAGATCGTTGAAGACTTGGAAAAGGAAATCTTGTATCACTAAAATCAAATCTCATCCAACACTTAATTGAGAGATGACACAATTGAAGCTTTGGCTGTTTCTGAAGAAGACATCAGAGTTACAATTTCAGACATTGCAACAAATGAATAAACTTATGCTAGAGAAGAAGCCACAAGAAACCAATAACACGAAACCTTTGTTGCCAAGGTTGCTGCCATCGATGATGTTATTGATGCTATTGATGATGCTGCCAAACTCATCCAACATTTGAGCTTAGGTGCTTCATTCGTCTAAGTCAAATCAAAGTATGAAACAGTTCACAAGAGACTTACCGATAACACCTCACACAGCCAACTCTTATAAGTATATCCTTTCTTTCTATCATCCCTCTTTAGCCAGTCGTTGTTGCTCTTACCGAATTAGCCACTCACGGAGTCAACCAAAAGGCCTTGACCAAGATTGCTTAATTATTGAGCGAAATCAGATAATAATTAGTCTAAGAAAAGGCTACCAAGACAGTATTTAATTAATCTAATTATCAAGGACGTTGAAGATAGATAAGCTGCACACTGGGCTGAATTCAGCGTTCATTTGAGCAATGAACACACCAGATTGGTTGAAAGAAAAGCTTAATTGGAAGTCTAAATCTAAGAATAAAAGGACACCATTGAAGATGCTTAATCATGGATCGAATTCCACACCTTGGAATTAGAAAACAGTGAAGAGAGACTTGCTGGATAATAAGCATGGTATGCAGTCTAATCAGAAATCTATGAGACCTAAACTGCTGAAAGGTACAACAAATTATAATATCCTTCTTTAGAGAAGCTTAAAATGAAATCGTTGATAGACTCTAAGAACACATCAGTGAGAAATTATCAACCACCGCCCAATTCATCAGCAAAAGAAATTGATTTATTAAAATAAATAAATTATGAACAATAGTTCTTTATGCATTTTATGTTTTCAGCCATCTAATATAACTAATACAGATCTCCCTGTTTGTCAGTCCTGCTTAAAATAACAAGCCTAAAACTTGGAGTAATTTGAAGATGAAATTGACAAAATACATTAACAAGTATTTCCTCACAATTACACAAGGATCAAGTCAAACAAGATGACTCTTCTTCCATCAGTGAAATCATACCACAGAAATTGTATCTAGGAAACTACATCGCTGCAAAAAATAAAAATCTCTTGAAAAAATACTAGATAACTCATATCCTCATATGTGGAGATTTTCTCAAATAGAAATTCCCTGACGATTTCAAATATCATCAGATCATGATACAAGATTCCTTGAACCAATCTATCCTTGAATATCTTGATGAAACCTTCAACTTTATTGATTAAGCTACAAACGTTTTTGTTCATTGTGCAGCTGGAATAAACAGATCTCCAGCCATTGTCTGCGCATACTTAATGAAAAAAAATAAGTGGAATTATGATCAAGCATTCGATTTTGTAAAGGAAAGAAGACATGTTGTTAACAAACAAACTAATTTCGCGAAATAATTAAATTAATATGAATATTGATTAAGGTATCAAATAATTCATCGAAATAAGAGATAATTTAATTCATCTTCAATTACTTTCGATTTTCTCACTCTCCTTCCATCAATCTGAAATAGTTTAACTATATTTATCACATATTCAAACATATAAACGTAACTATAGAAATCAGAGAGTGAAAAAGATCAGTTAATAATACTCATCCATTTATAGTAATTGTCTAACTTAAATTCCAATAATGAAGACTTATGCTTTTTATATTGGATGTATTTAATTATATTTATATAAAATTCATTTTCCTTTACAATATGTGCAAATGAAGGATTCTATGTTTTAGACCTATTCTTCTGTCAATCCTTCACATTTAAGATGAATCCATTGATTACACATATCACAAAACACATATGGCAGATCAGGGTTTTGTGGTTTTTTACAATAGCAGACTTTTGGCCATTTACTTATCTCTGGCAGAAACTCTTCACTTTTCGTGTTATAGAATGCTCTAGTAAAATACACTGCGTCCTTGAATTCATATTGTTCATAATCCTCGTAACTTAACACCAGAACTTTAGATTGTATTGCATCCACTAAAATTGCATGTTCTTCTTCTGTCAAAAACAATTCTGACATTCCCATATACTCTTTTTGTTCTTAATATTGCGATGCAATTTTGTCTTTGTTACAATACAGATTGATTATGACTAAAGGTAGTTCTTGGTCATTTTTCTGAGATTTTATGCTAATTATTTTCTTTATTGTTGCTATAAATTCAAAATTTTTGACATTTATGAGAATTGACTCTCCAGTCTTGTAGATTTCATCATTAAATTTGAGTTTCTCGTAAGTCAATGTGTGTTGTGGTGCTCTTTCTGCTAATTTATACAATTTATCGAAGTTCTTAGCTATGGCCAATTATTCTAAAGCGTCCTAACTGAATTCTTTGAAAGTAAATTTCCTTCCATTGCCTGGTTCATAATCTGGATCATCTTGCCCTGACATTTTACTTATTTTAATTCATCAAAGTCTTAATGTAATCATAAATATATGAGAATAAAATCCTTTAAATTTTTGTGATCGCATAAATTTATCAGGCATTACATAATAACCAGTATAAAAAACCAGTGATTTATAATTTTTAGTTTTGAGGATCCAACCAATCGTCTAACATTTTAATGTGAGGATCAATAAGATTTGTTGAATGATTTATTTTAATATTAAATTCCTAACTTAATTATCTTAATTATTACCTACTAAATTTAATAAATATTCTCATTGATTATCATATAAATGAACTGGAAAATATAAATTTGATAACATAATTATTGGGATTCACTCAATAGAATATGATATCTGTTGAAATTGATATTGAATGTGATATGTATAGTTATAACGAAGATTATTGAAGACATTTTTATTTATAATGGCAAATTTGCATTTAAATTTAGATCAATAAAATTAAATATTCTCGATGTTTTGCTTTAATTAGTCAATGAGATGGATGATAAAATCTTAAAGTTGATTGGGAATGACAATTGGGCAAAACAGATTAGGAATGATTTATATGTAAAGATTGAATTTTAATTAATTTAATGAGTGATTTAGTACAATTCAAAGAGTCAAGACAACGGGGAATTGATGAGTTCCATACAAGTAAAGACATGGTCTACAATATAATTTCGAAGAAGTAAAACGTTTTGAATGTAAATGAGCAGATGGTTGGAAGAGTGGTTGGAGAGTGAGGAGAAAGGCCATCCATTAAGCAGCAACTATGGTGTGAATTCAGACTTACTTTTGTCTAAATCATCAACTATCTTTAAATATGACCCCATTCAAAGTCACATGTGGAATAAGATTATGCTTCCAAATCTTTAAGAAGGAGTTGATTATGAAATTTTAGATAAAGCAACTTGGGAAATCATAGCCAGAAAGTCATAATATTTTTGATTATGTAGGTTCCACATAACAGCCATTGAGCGAGATGCCACTATTATAAATGGAAAGAAACAAGTGAATGTCAATCTTGTGCCTTTAAATTTCGGAGCGGTGTTTCCTTCTTCACTTCGCAAATACAATGGAGGAAAATCAGTCTCACTCATTAAGGGGGACCAGTATGTATCTAGAACATGCAAATTATCATCATTTATTGAATTATTAGCAAGCACTTTGTAAACAGTGTACGTAATTATCATTCAATCATTAATAGTAGCGGCTATGAATTCGTAAAACGCGATGGAATCAGACTCTATAAATCCCCCATAGGCATGACTATTTAAGAAATTGAAAAGCATATCTCTGAAGAAGTTAAGACTCTTGGAACTTATGATGATGTAGTATTTGATTTCAAGGATGGCGAATATTTGGATCCAGTCAAATATGAAACTATTGAAGATTGTCAAATAGCACCAGGTTAAGTAATTCTTGGTGATTTCAAAGAAGTCTAAAAAAATTGGGCCATTAGACATCCCAATTTCCCTATGGAAGGAAAATGTGAAGGATGCTATAACTTCAAAGTACTTCAGTTTCCATGTGATTGCAAAAAAGTTAGTTATTGTACAGAAGAATGCAAAAAAAAAGATGAAGCATACCATTTGCCTAGATGTGAAAAGACAGATTCCGATGATGAGACTATGGATAAGCTATAAAGAATTGAAAAATCCATGGATGGCAAGGTTGGATTATAGAATCTAGGAAACACTTGTTTTATGAATTCAGGAATCCAATGTATCGGTAATACATTCCCAATAAGAGAATACTTGTTATCTAATCAATACAAATAAGACATCAATGAGTTCAACACTTTGGGTACTAAAGGAGAATTAGCATCAAAGTTTGCTCATCTCTTAAGAAGGATGTGGTATGCTGAAAGAACACCTATCCCTCCATTCTCACTTAAAAGAGCCATAGGAAAATTTTAACCCTAATTCTAAGGATTCCAATAGCACGATAGTTAAGAATTGATTACTTATTTGTTGGATGGATTGAATGAAGATTTATGTCGTATCAAATAAAAACCGTACGTGGAGAGAAAAGATTATGACGGCAGACCTGACTTCGAAGTTGCTAAGGAATCTTGGGAACAATTTAAGTTGAGGAATGATAGCATTATCGTTGACAATCTCTATGGACAATATAAGAGTACTTTAAGGTGTCCAAATTGCAATAAAATATCAATTACATTCGACCCATATTTGATGGTTAATGTTAGTATACCTTAAAATACAACCAAGAAGTTAGAAATCCAATTTATAGATCCAAATTTATTGTGGGATTGTTAGACTCTTATCTACAACTATGAAAAATCATAAGATCCCACACTTGGTTAAATTCTGGGATCTCCAGAGATTTAAGATAAAATCTAGCAAATTAATCCATCTGATTTGGTTTATATTTGTACATCTTCTTACTAACATGATGATACAGATGAAAATGATAAAATGTCAAGTTTGAGGAAGAAATTGAAATACAAAAAGTTATATATCAGGAAGGCTTTATAATCAGAACTCAATATTGAAAAAGAAAACAAAATTTGCATTATGATACACGAATCTTTCAAGCAAAATGCTTAATATCAATGGAAAAGAGAAATTACTCCTGCTTTCAACTTCTATTTTGATAAAACCAAAACTACACATGCTGATATACATAAATTTATCTTTGACATTCATGTTGGAGTCTTAGCCACATTTGAAGACCTCCCCAAATATTAAGGCAACAATTGGAGCGAATATTACGAAGAGAATATATTAGACAAGGTATATTATTTAGAATTCAAATCCAATCAAAATTGGCAAGTTGAATGTGCCTTTTGCAATGCGAAATCATGCAACGATTGTGTTTGTTCATATGTTTAAGACACTTTAATTGAAAAATATATATAAAAAGAACCTAAATTAGAAATTGAAGTATTTGTAGTTTGGAAAAGAGGGTTCAAAGCAGCTAGCTCTGTTGATGAGTTATTCAATGATTGGTTGAAACATCATCAAAGGAAATAAGCAGGTGTTGAAGAATTGCCAAAATAATTAACTGATCAAGAACTAACTTAAGAAGTTACTGATGATGCAAAATAATAAGAAAATATATCTGATGAATAATCTGCTTAGAAATAAAATTTCACTACATGTCTCGTACCTATTGGACCTGCAATACCGACAATCTAACCTACTAATGTTTAAAATGTAACTGAAAAATCAATGAAATTGACTGAATGTTTGAAATTCTCTGAACAACCTGAATAATTAGATGAAGAAAATACTTGGTATTGTAATCAATGCAAAGATCATGTGTATTTTATCCATTTTAATCTATTAGCCGTGCTTTTAAAGTTATGGAAATCTATAAAACACCTAAAATATTGATATTCCATTTAAAGAGGTTCAAGAACTCCACTAAATTTTTCAAAAGCAAACTTGAAACCTTAATAGATTTTCCAATTGAAAATTTTGATATTCGAGAATTTGTTCAAAATCATCATTTGCCATCTGATTTTGCTAATGAAGATCCTCAAAATTCAAGTATTAAATTTAATTGAACAATTAGAAATTAATGATCCAATCTATTATGATCTATACGCCATTTCTAACCATTTTGGAGGATTGGGAGGTGGACACTACACAGCCTTTGCTAAAAACTACTATGACAACACTTGGTATAATTTTGATGACAGTTCAGTGCATCCTATAAAGGAAGAATCTGTTAATTCAGCATTAATTACAAGCGCAGCTTATGTATTATTTTATCGCAGAAGAGAATGATATTCAAAAAGCAATATATAAATATAAATTTATATTAACCAAATAATCTGTCAATTTAGTAACCCTTAAAATAATGATATAGTTCAACTAGAAATAAACAGGCACTTCTATAAATAAACCTATTATAGTAGCTTTTTCCTATTAAACATCACTATTAAACTCTGAATACTACTACCTAAATTTGTAATTATCTGCGACTATTTTCTTTTTCTCAGATTCCCATTAATATTTATGAAACTCAAAATGTATCATTTGAATAATTAATTTGATCATCTCTTTTTCTTGGGTACTTTTTGGTATCTACATTATTGTCAAGTTTAGATTTTGACAAATATCAAGTAAATTTGAGAATATTTTTCATTCTAATTATTTATTCAATAGAACAATAGGAGAACAATTATTTAATAGTTATCAAATTATATCATATATATATGTTTATTATAAATCATCTGCTTTATTGGTATTAATCTATGATATATTAAATATACTAATACATTATCCGTAGACTGGTGCTTTATTTTGATAATTGAATTAGAAACTATCTAATTCAGCTTAGGATGTGTACAACTAAGGCTATTGATTCTACATCGGAGCTATGGGAATCTATTTTTTCTATTCTAATTCTTATTTCTCTTTTTTCAAATCAAGCATGCCTAATAAATCAGGTTAATTAGTATTTGTGCTTTTAGGTTGAGTGGCTGAGACAAATTCACCAAAAGCAAATTCATCTTACTATTATTTTGCTTAATTAGATTAATATGTTGGAACCTATGTTTTCACATAGTTTGGATTTTATTGCTACTATTATTAATTATTTATTTAATAATTTTAGTATAGATTAGGTTATTAATATGTCTGTTATTACTATTACTATTATATAGGATATAGATTTTATGGTACCTAATTTTATTAATATAATAATTATTAAGACTATTAATAAAATTGTTGTTAATTATTTTGTTAAGTAGTTATTTATTATCCGAAAAGTATAGCATCTTGTTATTATTTTTAAGAGGTTACTGGTGTAAAAATATCATTAGGTAATAAATTAGTCTATACTTTCTATTAAACTTAAGGTTATGGAATTGGATTACTAACAGGAGTAGCTGTTTAAAATTGGCCCCATTCATTATTTTGATTATTTTGCTATTGAGAGGGAGGTGGCTATAAAGGTGGAACATTTTAAGGTTATTATGGAGGTGTTTGTTAAGGAGCATCAAAAATATCTAATAGATTTTTTTATTGTTATTATTATGGTGGTTGTTATTATTATTATTACTATTGCTATGGCTGTTATTGCTATTATTACTGTTATGGCTTAGGTCCTGGAACATCCCACTTTTCTCCAGGTTTAGCTAATCTCATTACAGGTTCTGAAAATGGTGCTGCTGTTGTTTATTATGAAGGATTTGTCCATTATATTCCATTAAAGCTTATATTAGCATTAGGATTATTGTTTGTATTATTATTTGTGTTATTATTATTGGTATTATTATTATTTGTGTTATTATTAGCAGTATTATTATTATTACTTGTACCTCTGTATCTATCTAAGCCTCCTCCACTCTCTAAACTACCATTATTATTTTATGCTTTATAGAAATTGAATACTTACAATAATTTGTTGATTATGATGAATTGGATTCTTATCCATATTTTGGCTTATTGCCCTCATATGAACTACTTCCATAACCTTAATAAGACGTGTTACTTCCAATAGCTCCAACACCCCCAGCAGCTTATATTTTAAGTTTAATGATACCTGCCAATCGTTCTCGTATCTTTTTAGCACTCTCTCTTTCTTCTTCAATCAACTTTTCATTGCTTAACAAATCTACTAATTGTTTTGTCTTATCACGAACTAATCATTATACATTTAATTACTTGAGAGACCCTTGTCGGAACCTTGCTCAACTAGAAAGAAATCAGAGAAACTTCTGATTTTGTAGATATTGTCTCTGAATTCTCCTACACAACGAGGTGCCCCATTCTTTGTCAAATATTCTATCATATTGAGAGTCTAGTATTTTTTTAATGAAAGAATCATACTTTCAAAATCCTACGCCATTCTCTATTATCTGAATCAAGACGTTTCCAAATGAATTTCATAATTGTATCGCAAGATGTACTAAAATATTCAACAAAATATTCTTACTATCCATATGATGCCTCTGCTACTTCTTATAGCAATTTAGTAGGAGTATTCCAATTCTCATTAGATGTTGCTTCAGATAAAGTCTGCTCCAAAGGAGATTTGGTAAGCTTATCCTTGCTGGGATAAATTGAAATTTATACATCTATTGAGCTGCTTCCTTGATAGCCTGTAGGTTCATTTTAAATTAATTAATACAATTAATATCTGATTGTGCAATATAAATAAAAACAGATATATATTGACAAGTTTATTTTCTATCTACTTCGAGCTTGTAAATACCTCAAAACAAGGCCAAACTCAATATAGATTAACCTAAAATATTCTATTTTTGATTTGATAAAATTACTAAAAATAAAGAGGCTGCACAAAAAGCTTACTTGAAGTTAATTAAAATCAAATTGTATAAATGATAACAATATTTCTAAAGAATTTATTGGATTTGTGTACGTCATTGTTATTTTAGAATTATCAAATTTACTTTATATTATAAATTTTGCTAAGCAAATGAGAAAATAAATAATAGGATGGGTTTTATAGCTTTCTATTAAAAATGCTTCTTAACAAATGACAGCTATTTATCCTTATAATTCTTGTACTCAAGCTAATGTTATTTCAAGAAAGACTGAAAAAGCAGCCAATATTTCACAAAGCATAGTGATGAAAAAATTAAGAATATTACTTTCAGAATATTGATGGTTTCAAATATTCTGATAAGCATTTATACAATTCTGCAAAAATTGGATAGAAATTAACTCAGATACCTGATCTCTCTATGTTTTGGTGTAAGTTTTATTAATAAAATCTTTATTATACTTGAGTTTAAGTGAATCTTTATCATGAAAGGTTCAAAAAAATTAGCCTTAACTTTAACAAAGCCCCAATTAAACATATTTATATAATCATCAAAGAAAATGAATGATATAGAAGACATTAATTAATAAGATATATTTTTCAATAGGGTTAACTTAAGTTTATTGATACATAGAAAATTAGTAAAAATCTTTTAAATAGAGTTTTAGTTTATAACAGTTTTATGTAAATTCAATAATTGCTCAAAGGAAGATATTAAAAATCAAACTACTTAAAGATATTGTGGAAAAAAAGCCAAATTAGTTGTTTATTAGAAACTACCATTTTTTGTAATTGAATGATCCTATAATTTGATTTTACAAATTAAAATCAAAATATTTTAGATATTTTGTGGCTGCTCTAATTATAATCATGAAGGAGTTGTTCTTATTAAGTATTCTATTTGAATTTTGTCTATTACAATGAATTATCAAGTCATTTAATTATGAAAAACAAGGTATTATTAATTATATAATTTTAGAACCATTAGGAAATTGATAATCTAGGTTAGATCTCAGCAGATCAAGTTGAAAACAAAATATATTCGATTATTTAATGGGTAGTTAGATCATATTTGAAGGAGCGAATACAAAAATAAAATAATAATTTATATTATATATGAAAATAAATATTCGTTTTTCCATTTTTTAGCACAAATAAATCCTCAGACGTATGTCAATAATAATTACAATTAATGTTAAAACTAACTCTTTGTGTATTGTTAGTGCTTGGTGCAACAGCCATCAATGTCTAATCATCCATCTGGACAAATCGTGACTAAAAGGCTCTTGCTCAAATCCACTCATCTGGTTGGGGTAAGTTCATTTTGAACTATGCCGAACTTCATATGTAAACAGGAGGTATCCTTTCTGAACTCAACAGCGAAATTGAAAAACTCGTAACTATTTATTGTGACTAATTTCTAAGGTTGACGAATTAGAAGAGGAATTAGCTGGAGTCCATCACGAATTCAATAGAAGAACAGATGTTCACATCAGAGAAGTTGCTAGACTTGAATAAGAAATTCAAGACAAGGAAAGAGGTATAATAAAATATGATGGTTTTAGAACTCTTCAATGCTCATGATTTCTATGATAACGTCCTCATCCCATAAAGAGATAGATTTGCTGCCTAACTTGAATAATTATAAGAAAACATTGCCTAAAACAGAAGAACACTTGCAGATGCCGAAGTCAAAAGAGAAAATGATCATGAAACCTTCGAATCAGAAGTTGTTGAACACAATGATGCTATCAGTGCTATTGATGAATGCCTTTAATTGTTGAGCACATTGGAAGCACCATCTCTTGCTTAAATCAAAAAGGTTTAAAAGAACCTCAGCAAAATCCAAAGCTCCTTGAAAAAACACAACTAATTCCAAATCTTCGTCAAAGTCCTCTTGGAAATCACAGTTGAATCTAACTTTGCTGACTAAGGTGCTCTTAGAGATGTAATTCTAACAACTTAAATGATAGATTGTTGTTGCTTTCAATAATTTGAGAGTTGAATTGGTTGATTCACTCAACTAAATCACTGCTGACGAAGCTTAAGCTGTCACTGATTTCAACGCCTAAGTCGTCTAATTAAACCAAGAACATGCTGAATTCTAAAGAGCAGTTGTTGTTAAGAATGCCGAAATCGAAGCTAATGCCAGTACTATCTAAATTTCTATCCAATTTAGCCAAGATTGAATAAACTCTTGACCTCATCGATGAACTAGATGCTGACTTGGAAACCCTCAATGGATAATTGTAAGCTGAAAACGATGACTATGCCTTTGCCACTGATGTCTACAATGCCACCGTTGCAGAATACAACAAGGAAATCAACGCTGCCAACTAAGCCTTAGAATTGCTCAACTAACCAAGATTCTAAGATTACGTCAAATCATAACTCAAGGGAGCATGATCTATTAAAATAACATCAATCAAAAGTTATCACCATTCTATCAATCTTCTAATTTCTCATTTTTTTAGTTAATTTATTTTATTTCCTTTCAAATGAGTTAAACTCCACCATCTGAAGCCCAGATCTAAACTCTAAAAGAGGAAATTCGTCAACTACAATTAGAATTAAGCCAGTACTCCTATTTATTATCATAATCTATTAGATAAAAGTAAGATGCAGATGAAAAGGAAGAGTTTTACAACAGTGAAATCGAGGAAAGAGACCAAACCATTGCAAAACTCAAGGCCGGCTTCTCAGAATCTGAATCGATGAAGTAATTTCTATTTGCAATATCAACAAAGATTGATTAGCCAATTATAAGATTAATTGAAATAGTTGAATTACGATTATGATTAACTTCTGATGGAAAAAGGAAGCTAATAAAGTGAAATTAAAGAATCATAAAACTAAATAGCAGATGAGCTAATTTAAACAAAAGAGTAATATTTTTAATTGTAACAGAAATGAAATTATTACTCTCAAAACGTAGATACAAAATGAGAAAGAATTAACACTCAAATTACAACAACAAATAAGCACATTGTAAGCTGATATGGAAAATATGATAAATGAAAAATAAATGGAGCAAGTTGAAGATAACAAAGAAGAAATCTAATAATATTAAAAGTAATTCATTCTTCATAGTAAAAACAGATAAATAGACCTCTATAAGCATTAAATCAATACCTTGGAAACTGAAAACCAAAAGTTGAAAGCCATTTAAGCTGAAAGTTCAAATTATGCACATCAAATATTTAAATTAGAATAATAGATCTCTATTTAAGCTAATTAAATAACTCAATTTGAAAAATTAAAGTATGGAGATATCATTAAATCTTAGAAAGTAATATGAAGAATTGAAGGAGGAATCCTAAAATTAAGAAGAAACCGAGGAAAAAATAAAGGATTTAGAAGATCAAAAAGATTTACTCCAAAAAAAAACAAATTAATACTTAAATGAAATTAATGAACTAAAAGAAGAGATTTAAGCGTTAAAATTGAAACCTTCGACTATTCTCATAAACCAATCGGATACCGAAGAAATTTTAAGAGAAAATGATTAATTAAAGTAGATATTGAATTTATCAATCTCGTAGGTAATATATAAATGAGATCGTAGAACTTAATACATAATTGAAGCATGATAATTTCATCATCTCCGAAGAATATAAGTATTTATAATAGGTTAATTTTCTATAAGAAACCTTAAAGAATCTAACGATTAAATTGTTACTGAATCTGCTAAGCTACTTGATGAAAATCAGTAATATTGTTTTATATTTAGATATGAGATTGATTCATTGAAGGAATAACTAAAGGATCAATAATTTTTGGAAGATACGATAACAAATTATAAATAAGCTCAAGAAATTTACAAGTAAAAAATCTAGGTCATGGAAAAAGAGAAAAATGAATTGCAAGAAACATTAAATTAAGAAAAGTAAGTATGCAAATTAATATATCTTAGATAAAAATATGAAAATGCATTTAATTAAGTTAAAGAATTATTGTAAAAAAATGAATATGATCAATAAAAGTTAACTAAATGTGAATAAAACGAACAAGATTTGAGGGATTAAATTCAATAATTAACAATTCAATTAGAATAAATCCAATTCTAAAATTAAAAAACAACATTCAATGAAAATAATGCTTAATAATTACTTAATGAAAATAACTAATTGAAACAAGAAATCCACTAATTACAGTAATAATATGTATTATATCCAAAGGGTAGCAAGTCAAAGAGAGGCATTCTAGAAGAAGGATGAATTTGCTTAAATAAAAGAATAATTGTAAGAATGGGAGAACCTTACTTAACTTGTCTCTGGAAACCTAAATGCAATTAATTCAAAGGATGTTAAAGTTTAATAATTAAGTACAAAAAAATATCAATATATTAGTCAACTGTTTCTTGAATTATCAAGAGACAAATTTGTCCCATTAAAATCAAATTGAAATCTTGCACAATGATCTAAAACAACATAAATTAGAATTGAATAAATTAAACTCTGAAAAATTAAACCTAGAAGAATAGTTGGTTTTACAGAAAGCTTCGGAAGAATAATTAAAATAAAAAACTGTCAGAAAATCAATATACCACAATTAAATTCAGAGTAGCGATGATTTAAAGTAATTCAATATAAAAGTTAAGATAATAGTATGAAATCTTGCAGTCAAAGTATGATAGTTTGCTTCTGATGAAACAAAGATAAGAACAAAGCGAAAAAAAAAAAATATTAGAGAAAGAACAAATAATTTAATTGGAACTTGAAAATTCATCTCTTAAAGAACAAATATAGTAAATTACCACCTAAAAAGAAAAAATAAGAAGCAAAAGAGAATCTTTAGCATAAAACATTAAAAATGTTAATGATACTATTATAGAAGATTTCAATAAAAAAATTTAAGAGTAAAATTAACTTATTGAATAATATGAGTTAAAAATTAGGGATCTAGATCAATAATTAAAATAATAATAATTTATTCAGGTAGATTAATAGGAAGATTGTGAATAATTAGAAACAGTAGAAGAAGAAAATCATATTCCTCTAATTAGATAATTTGATGAATCTGAATACACTGAATAAATTTAGTTAAAAGAATAAAATGAATTGCTTTGGAAATAAATAAACGAATTAAAATAATCGCAAAGTATTTTTTTGTTTCATACTTAGACAATGATGAGCTAAAATAATTGCGTGCTTAAAATGCATTATTAAAATAGGAATTATAATAATACAAGTAAAATATTTAACAAATGTCTAATATTGAAGGTTAGTTTTAACAATATAGTCCATTGAATATTCTTAAAGTGCAGTCATTTTTAAAATAAAAAGAACATAAAAAGCCTAAAGATAAAATTAAAAAATAATAATTAGTTTTAGAGAATGAAAGCAATCCTGTTTCAAAAAAGAAAGAAATAATAATGTAAAAGTTAATTTAGGAATAAAATTAAAAGATTAATAAAATATAAGATAATTATGAATAATTAATGATATTATTAAAAAATATCATTTTAGACATTAAGCAAAAATAAAATCAATTAAAAATTGAAGAATTAACAAAAAAATCATAGGTCTTATAATATTTAAGCAAATTAAGGCAATCTACTGAAATAATACTCAACAAATTAGTATTAGTTTAAAATAAAAATGAAATCTACAAGTAGTAATACTAATAGTAGCAACAATAAATTTAAGATTCTGAAGATCTTATTTGATTATTTTTCATTTATTAATCATATTCATATTAAATCTCCTTCTATTATATCATGAATTTAAGAAGAATATTTAGATATTAGTTTGATGATTTATAGTCTATTTTTATTCCAAATAATCTCCATTTTTAATTTCAACTTAACCTTAAATTTATTTTCAAGATGTTTAATTATTGATATATTTTTATAATAAAACGTTTTATTTTGGTCTATATGTTGACAGAATTAAATTCTTTTTCATTTAATTGTATGAAAGGTTACATAATTATCGATATGAATACTATCATCTTTATGAATTAATTGGATATTCATTCACTCTAAGATTATTGAAATAACGTGAGATTTCATTTTTATGAATCTAGAAATTCAAACTTTCTTAATAAATTTTTTTGATTAATCTTGGGGAAGTTCTAGAAATATGTAGGGGATCAAAATGATAAAATTTAATTAATTTTTATTTAACGAATTATTATATGTAAATGCAAATTCCAAAGGACATAGTAAGGCTTCAATTTGATTATCAAAGTTTAATTAGCAGATATTAAGGATTAGAATAATTATGCAAAAAATAAGCAAACGAATTGGCCTAATTAAAAAAGATAAATGAAGAAGTGAAAAGTAATGCTGAAAATTAAGAATGTGGGAAATGTAAAAAATTGTAGCTGCAAATTGAATAATAAAAATAGCATATCAAAGAATCAGACTTAGAAATTGAATAATTATAAAACTCTTTGAATTTAAAGAAAATATAATTCGATGAATTTCGAGAATAAGTCTAAAATGAAATGGACAACAGGATAAAGTAATTTGAAAATTTAAATTAAGTAACTCTTGAACGGTTAGATAGAGTTTAGAAGGATAATACTCTTTTTGAAATTTTATTAAGAGAAAGAGACTTAAGAATTGAATAATTAAACTAAGTTATATATAATTAAGAATAACAACTACAATAAGAGAGTTAGGAGGATAATACTTGGAAAAAGAAGTTTATTAAAATAAATAAAGATTATCATAAACTTTTATCAGAATACAATTCTGTAAAAGCTGATTTGGATGCTATGTATGTAAGTTAATGTAAATGAGTTTTTTATTATATTCATGGAAATACTATACTATATTAATTTTATTCATATATTAGCAAACATACAATTGTTTAATATTGACTCTTTAGAACACTAAAATTATTCAAAATTCTCTGATTATTTTAACAAAGATGTTTCATATCAAGAAAATAAATAAATTTATCATCCTCCTTAACAACTTTGTCAATCATAATTTCTGAATTAATTAAATAATATACCAATTTGCTCAGTCTAAAATACAATGTCAGAAAAGTAAGTGAATTTAGCATCTGGATGATCAGATGTTATTTAAATAAGTTAGTTTAAAGGCTGCTTCTGTATTTATCCAAATCCCATAAATATTTTAATAAAAATATTAAATTATAAATGAATTAATTTGTTTAAATAATTGCTCTGGTGAGTGGGGCTGGTGCCTCGTCAGGGCTTCAAACCCTGAAGGTGCCGAGAGGCACAGCTGTTCGATTCGGCCTCTGGAGCGAATAATTTTTTTAATTTCAATTAATACTAAAAAATACTCATTTACACACAAATACTGATATACCACAATAAATGGTTATTTTACAGGTCTTACATTCAATTTGATTACATTCATCAAAGCACTATTTACAACATTATAAATGGTAGCAAGGTATAAAAATGAAGCTTGCAGGTCTACTTTTGCAATGTATACATCTAGTACCTTAATCACAATATGCAAAATTAAATTTTGATTTTATTTAATCCAATCCAGGATATTCTTTTTTAAGCATATATGGCTCAAGTTAATTCAATATATACTTTCCAACTTAATAGATAGTTAACAATCCAAAGATGGCCATAGAGACTTTTGTTAAATTGATTTTAGTTTTTAGTATTCTAAGTTTTGCCATTATGTTTGCTTCTAAAAAATATTTTAATCTAACAAAATCACTTGCAATTGCCTTTACATTTGTTACTCTAACTTCATCGTCAAGCATTATTGCAGTGCATTTCATGCATAATTAATTACCTTTGCTGACTGAAAAGGGAGTGGGATATTCCCAAGATATTTAATTTCCATCAAATAAAGTATTTGTACCTATAATTTTTTAGCTTAAATATTCAAAAATTAATAGTTTTTATTTGGGATATTTCCTTAACTCAGAAATTAGCCCTGAATATATTTAGTTTTCATCAAAATCTTTAAGAAAAGCAGATGAGATCATATTTGATTTTCTTATAAAATCAATATGAATATTTTCAGAAACAAATTAAGTTAATTTTGGAGTTAGTGCTTAAGATAAATCTGTTCTTTGAACTTTTTTTCTTATAATTTGATCTAAATTATTCGAATTAACACTAAAGTTTAGATTTCCTAATTGCATATTCGAATCCATTTATACATAAAGAAAAATATTTTTAAATACTGTCATTTTCCCATACTATTTATATTATGGTAGTAAATAAGTAAATTCATCATATTTTCCATCTCTCCAAGACTCATCTAACAGAATCAAAAGATTTTTATTTAAAGGAGATTATAACTTGATTTTATCCTATAATGTAGTAATTTTTTTTTGTTTTCTTTTAAATTTAAGATAACAACAAAAACTCAACAAAAGTCCAGCTGCACACGATATGATGCCAAATTTTGAACTCTTTTTAGTAGTTAAAACAACATTGATTGCTTATATTATAGGATTTCTCACAACATAATCTAAATCTGCATTTCTTCTCATATAAAATATTAATTAAAAAATAATTATATCGTTGAATATGTAAACTCTCTTTCTACAAATAACAATTAATTTATTAAAATGCTACTAGATTAAATATTCTGAATTTAACCTAATGAATAGCAACTTTGAAAGAGACATTATTTTTTTTACATTATTGAAAATTGATACAAATTATCATGTTCAAAGATTCACAACAAAATTAGTTAAAATGCAATGCTATTCATTAGATTTTGAAAAATCTAAATTTTTGCCTATTGTAAAAATAGTTTTAAAACAAATAGCAAATTTACTTTACGGTTAAAAGACTTAGAATTTTTCAATTTCATTTTTCAAAAAATATTTGGGATAGCATCATAAATTAATATCATTTTTATGCCAAATGATCAATACTCTAATTGTTATAATATTTTATTTGTAAAACCCAAAATAATTAAATTGTTGTATTTTAGTAAAAAACCATAAAAAACACTAAAAAAGCGGTGAGAATAGAATGAGAAGCAAATATTATATAGGAAGCTAAGGTTGGGATGTAAAATAATCATGTCCATAATATATTAATGAGAATGATTGTTTTAATTTTTAAATAAAAAAATAACAAAGATTTTAATTAATGAAGGGATAGGTTGAATAATAGAAGGGAGCAACAAAGACTGTCAAAAAGGTTAAAACAACAAATAAAAAAGCTCCAGTTAGGTAAAATTTAGCATTTAAATTAGATTATGGGTTAAGGCTGTATTTACAGGTTTTAGAAGATCGAAAGTTTAATAGAATGAAAACCAAGCATTACTCAAAATTGAACATGTCAATGATGTTGCTTCAAGTAGATTCTATTGGGGAAAAAGAGTTGCATACATTTACAAAGCCCATTCATTAAAGAATAACACCAAATTCAGAGTATTTATTAATTTCATTCAGGCAATTTGGGGACGAATTAGTAAATCACATGGAAGCAATGGAGTTGTTACTGCTCGTTTTGGTAGAAATCTTCCTCCAAGAGCTATTGGATCAACCCTTAGAGTGTTCCTTTATCCAAACAGAGCTTGAATTTACATATACAATATACAATAATACATTAATCAATTTTTAATTGGATTTAACCAATAGATACATAATTCTTAGCTTTGTTAATTTTCTCTTTATTTAATGAAATAAAATCAATTCTTTTTTTAGACATTAAAAATAAATAATAATAATTATATAAACATTTACAATTAAATAAAAATTTTTTGCTAGGTTCTTCTTCCATAATAGAAACAAATTTTGTCTCTAATATTTGCAACATTTTTTTTGAAAAAGAGCCAATATCGACAAATAAAATTGAATTTGAATTTAGAAGTGCAATAGTTGAATCCTTTCCTTATTATTTGTGTTATCAAGCAATATAAGCTAAGAGCAAAAAACGGAATTATTTTAAAACAGCTGATTATGAGTTTTTGCTTAATGAACTTGCTAGAAAAATAAATGAATTTTATTTTAGTTTTCTGATTTTTATAATAAATTTTGAAAGCATTAATTGAGAATATTTAAGAAATTATTAAAATGATGTGATCTAATTAAATAAATAAACCATTAATATGTCAAATTATTGATTTTTGTTATTTCAAATAAAGAAACCTTTCTAAAGATATTAATCCATTATATTTTCCAATTATTCATAAAAAGGTTATTGTGAAATGATGATTTATTTAAGTAAATTTTACCCTCAAGCTATGCTTAATTATCTCACTAAAATACTTTGAAATCTCTGTTGAATCTGATTCTTTATAATTAAAGGGCGAGAAATCAAATTGAATTAAAAATAAATATTCCATCTTTCAGTAAAAGTTAATTCAATGATATCAAAAATATTTAATTGTTTAATTTCAATCTTAATATTTTATGATAGACGATCAGTATTTGCTGATAAAATTTTCAAAATACTTTATTTTCTTTAAATAAGAATTTTCTATATAGACAATTGAAAATAATATATATAACAAATATAGTGAATTTCAATGATGATTGAATATAACTTAATCACAAATTGGCATCCTATTGTTTCTGAAGACAATGTATAAATTTAGCATATAAAATTTTTTATTTGTATTATTCATATAATATATTTATATAATTAATTTCTAATATTTTAAGTAACATTTTGGTGAATTAAGTCATTTAGAGAAAAGAGATCTTATTTGAAGGTAAAGAATGAAATGTTTGAAAATATATTAAAATAGAAATGATTTGAATAAGTAATAGAAAAATAATATTTGTAAAAATAAAATAGACATCTCACTAGTAATGACAGGGCACTTTGGATTATTAATAAGAACAGTTGATTTTAAATACATTATGAAATAATAGTACATACTATTGAAATTGAAGCAACAATAATTTTGATTAAAAATTATTTAATAATTATTAAGAAATAGAGTATTACATAGAGGAAAGGATATAAAAATTAATAAAGTTTAGATATAGTTTGATTGTAATATTATCAAATGATTTAATATACAACTGAAATAAAATTAATTTAATAGGGTAAATATATATATATATAAACTAAGTGGTGATTCATTAAAAATTTGAGATTCATAAATGAATAATTGGTTTAAAAATTGAAATAATTGTTGTTGAAGATGCAATAATAAAAAATGAATTAGTAAAATATAGATTCTTAAGAAGGGTAATAAGACTGTAAATGCACAGATAAATAATGTGTTGAACAATGTAAATGTAAGACAGGTGGATAATGTAAGTGTACAAATTGTAAGTGTAATGATTGCTAATGCACAGATACATAATGTGTTTAACAATGTAAATGCAAGACAGGTGGATAATGCAAGTGCACAAATTGTAAGTGCAGTAACTGTTAATGCACAGATACATAATGTGTTGAACAATGCAAATGCAAGACAGGTGGATAATGCAAGTGTACAAATTGTAAGTGTAATGATTGTTAATACACAGATAAATAATGTGTTGAACAATGTAAATGTAAGACAGGTGGATAATGCAAGTGCACAAATTGTAAGTGTAATGATTGTTAATGCACAGATAAATAATGTGTTGAACAATGTAAATGCAAGACAGGTGGATAATGCAAGTGTACAAATTGTAAGTGTAATGATTGTTAATGCACAGATAAATAATGTGTTGAACAATGTAAATGTAAGACAGGTGGATAATGCAAGTGTACAAATTGTAAGTGTAATGATTGTTAATGCACAGATAAATAATGTGTTGAACAATGTAAATGTAAGACAGGTGGATAATGCAAGTGTACAAATTGTAAGTGTAATGATTGTTAATGCACAGATAAATAATGTGTTGAACAATGTAAATGTAAGACAGGTGGATAATGCAAGTGTACAAATTGTAAGTGTAATGATTGTTAATGCACAGATAAATAATGTGTTGAACAATGTAAATGTAAGACAGGTGGATAATGCAAGTGTACAAATTGTAAGTGTAATGATTGTTAATGCACAGATAAATAATGTGTTGAACAATGTAAATGTAAGACAGGTGGATAATGCAAGTGTACAAATTGTAAGTGTAATGATTGTTAATGCACAGATAAATAATGTGTTGAACAATGTAAATGTAAGACAGGTGGATAATGCAAGTGTACAAATTGTAAGTGTAATGATTGTTAATGCACAGATAAATAATGTGTTGAACAATGTAAATGTAAGACAGGTGGATAATGCAAGTGTACAAATTGTAAGTGTAATGATTGTTAATGCACAGATAAATAATGTGTTGAACAATGTAAATGTAAGACAGGTGGATAATGCAAGTGTACAAATTGTAAGTGTAATGATTGTTAATGCACAGATAAATAATGTGTTGAACAATGTAAATGTAAGACAGGTGGATAATGCAAGTGTACAAATTGTAAGTGTAATGATTGTTAATGCACAGATAAATAATGTGTTGAACAATGTAAATGTAAGACAGGTGGATAATGCAAGTGTACAAATTGTAAGTGTAATGATTGTTAATGCACAGATAAATAATGTGTTGAACAATGTAAATGTAAGACAGGTGGATAATGCAAGTGTACAAATTGTAAGTGTAATGATTGTTAATGCACAGATAAATAATGTGTTGAACAATGTAAATGCAAGACAGGTGGATAATGCAAGTGTACAAATTGTAAGTGTAATGATTGTTAATGCACAGATAAATAATGTGTTGAACAATGTAAATGTAAGACAGGTGGATAATGCAAGTGTACAAATTGTAAGTGTAATGATTGTTAATGCACAGATAAATAATGTGTTGAACAATGTAAATGTAAGACTGGTGGAGAATGTAACTGCCAAAACTGTTCCTGCTAATTGCATTAAAAATAAGATATATAATGAGTTTATATATAATATTATGCATACCATTTATCCATTAATATTTTAAACACTATTTTTCTTTAAATAAAATCTATACAACAATATTTTTTAATTTATAAATCTATTTTTTGTTTCATTTTTAGATTCTAAACTTTGTTAATATTATAGATTTTTTATATTAATTGTAAATATATATCAATCTTCATTTAAGTTATGGAAATAATATTTATTTACCAGCTGCGTTGGGCGAATTAATATTTAAATTATCTCTCATTATTTCATCCTCATTTCCCCCAATTTTATTAGGTGTCTCTGTGCATCTATCCTCTGACATTGACTCATTTTATTTGTCATTTAATTCATCGTTGATATCTTCTGATTTTTATTTTTCTGCAATTTTAGCCTTAATGCCTTATTTTACTAGTATTTTATGTTCTTCCAATTTCGGAGTATCAGCTGGACTTAGTAGTTTATCTCTTTAACTATCAGAACTTGTTGGAAAATCGTAGAATAGCTATTTTATCCCCATTACATCAACATATTCAAATTTATCAAAGTGAGCGTACTTAAATAGCCATTCATGTACAGGCCTAACATCTTGAAACTAGGATTAAGTTAATTTGGTACTTGTGATATAAGCTTTAAAAAAGGAATCAAAAGCGTTAATTCCTAATCTGTTTTATCTTCAAAATAGTTTAAAATGTGCACAGCATTCATTGGTTAAAACATAAAAGAGTTAACCGAGTTCTAATTTCTAAAATTTATGATACATCTATTAAAATCACTGAATCTAGGTTTCTTTTTAACAAAGAAAGATCCTTAACAAGAATGTCTTTGTAAACTGTGCAATTTTCTCTAAACAATCTCAAATCGACTAAGCCATGAGGATCCAAAAAATCAATAACAGAATTTGCATATTCACTAATACTAGCTGTGAAAACGATTAGCTCAAAATATTTAGAGGCTTCTTCAATAAAATCATGAGCACCTGGTCTGATGTTAACATAAATTTTATATTTTTAATCGTTCATAGTAACCTGATTAGTTTTAAACTTACTTCTACAATTAAATCATTAATTTTCATTGGCTCAAAAGAACTGTGAACTAGTGTTTCATCCAAATCAATTACTAGAGTTTTTCTCCCCTTATCAAATAAAAACATTACTTTAGATCTTTCAGTTTATTGTGGGATTTCAATGGGATTCTTAATCTATTCATAATTTTAAGATTTAGTTTTTTAAAACTTGAGACACTTGCAAAGTAATTGAATTAAAGAACTAGTTTATTATCTCATTTTTTATTAAATATTTTGAAATATTTTTATCATTTTTCAGATAAAATGTTTATTCAAATAGTTCAATAGATCTCAAAATATTAATAGTTAGAATATTGCTTTATTATAATTAACATTTTGTAATTGTTTTATGTTTAATAAAATTTTCTTAAAAGAAATGTTTTAAAAAATGTTGAGATTCTAAATTTAGGAAAATTAATATTATATAATTTGTAATCATCAAATATTTTATTATTAACCGTCATTAAGTAAGCAAAAAATATAAAAATGTATCAATTCGCAGCGGAAAAATCTGACATAAAAATGCAATTGTTATTACAATTTACATTATGATGGTATCATTTGATAGATAGATAAAATATACCAAAATGTAGTTGCTCAGATTTTAAAGGGAATACCCATTTGATCTTAACTGAAATGAAGTTGAATTCAGGATTTAATTATTAAATGATTGCTTAAATTAACTATTAGATAGAAAAGAAATCATAAACCCAGTTATTTTGATAGACTTATTGATAATTTTTTACTCTAAATAACTAGGATAAATTCTTTCAATCAGTTTAAACATTAATCTATAAATATTATATAAAAAATTCCATCTTTTTTAAATTTTCTTAAGATTCTGAATTAGAAGTTAGGTGTTTTTATAGTTGACCGAATTTTAATAGAAATTAATTTAATTAAATTCATGACATCCTCTTAACCTTTAAAAGTCTTTTGTATTAAATTCAAAATACCAAAACTGGGGAAGTATAAATTTCCTTTCATCCTTTTTAACTCATAGACTTGCAGAGCCAAAAATTGATTTAGATCCTTAATTTGAGCAAGTATAACAAGCTGTCTAAAAGTGAATTGATCTTTTTTAAAAATATTCCATAAACTATTACTCAAAAATAAAAAAAAAGAAATTATAATTTATCTGTTATTAATTGCTATCATAATTAATTCAATTAGCAAGCAATTTTCTCTTAAGTTGTCCTAACTTTGAGGAGATTAGATCAACTGCAACTGCTACAACCCTCTTTTGTTTAATTCTAAAAGTTGTTTAATATTATACCTGTTGGCTGTGTCAGTATCATATTCATTTTTCTTAAGCCTGCAATCTGTTTCTCTATTATCCAATTCTCGAGTTTTGACAACAATCTTTGAATCAACTTCAAACTTTTCGTTTGATGCTTATTAAATTCTAGTTGATAATGATTCGACAAGTCCTACAGTAATATTTTTAAATAACCTTCCATATATGTTCTATCTTGGCTAGCTTAGACCAATTAATCAGACAATAGGGTTTAGAGTAATTCAAAATTGCCAGATCTGAGTGCTTCTGCTTAATCTTCTCTAATTCTTTCGGATTAAATATAATTCTCAATTTATTTTAAGATTGATAAGACTTTTCTAGTCAAAACTTCTGCTTAAGATGGTTCATCTTATGCTTTGGCAGCTAAACGACTCATCATTTCAAGCATAGCTCTGTATCCTTCTAAATGTACCTAGAATAAATTTTTAATTAACATGATGCTTCAATTTATTGACTTTAGCGGCTACTTAAGTGAATGATGTAAATTATTAGCCTTAATCCTCTGCGTCATCAACTTCAGATTAATCATATTTGAAGCTGTATGTTTCTTACAAGAATGAAGGTTCAGGTTTGTCAAATCTTTTTCTATTTTTGACAAGTACGTCTAAATAACTATTGAAATATCCTTTAACTTGATTAACACCAAACAATGCTTATTCCAAATTATCTAATATAACTTAATAAGTAATGGTTTCAGTCTCTCTTTTATGAGTTTAATAATTGAGCTCTGCTTTAAGATCATTAATTTCATTATTTTTTCTTTCTAGACTAGCTACTGCTGACACTTTTTAAGGATTCAAGCTGTCCAATTCACTCTTAAGGGTTAAAGAATTGACAGTATTCTAATTAATTTGATCTTTTAAAGTATTTATATCAATGTCACAATTTTATGTAATTCTAGCTATCCTTTTATCATCTCTTTCTTATTCATTCTCAAGGGTGGTTTCTAAACCTTAAACCATATCTATTAGATTAGAGACTACAGGATCGCCGGTTTGCAATTCCATCAAAATGGTTTGTAATATTGTTTAACCAAAGTTGGAGTTCTGTAACTCCTCTACCTACTAATCAAAATCAGCAGCTTAGCTCCCAAGAATTAGTAGGAATGTAAGTACAATAGAAAACTTCATTATGAATATAAAATATATAATAACAAATCCGTTTTTATTAGTTTTATATTATTCCAATATATTTGAATCAAAATAGAAGATGTTGAATGCGCCTATTAGTTTTCATATCAAACCTCATGTTAAAGTTAGCACTTCATTCAATTATACTATCGCATTATGTATATCAATTATTATTTTTATTATTCACTGTTTAACTTTGTTTACTAGGTATGAATTTCTCAGTATTTCAATAAGTTATATATTAAAGATAACCATTTATTTATAAATTCTATTTGATATAAATTGTAATTTATAATTTCTTACTACATCCTTATAGGATATATGATATTTTATTATAAGATTCTATTATCTTATACCTGCTGCCTTTAAATTAGCTTATCCAACCTGAAAATCTTCTTGAAAATTAATAAAAACACATATGTATAAATCCATTTCTTCATTTTATCTATCCGATCTAATAGTTGAAAATTGCATAAAGAAATCTCACTATAATTATTTCCACATTTCAAACTGCTTATTTATTCTCCTATTCCATAGGATAATAATACAGTTAGGAAAATAACATTTCCAATCCAAATTAATTTGTTATCCCTTAATTTCATTAAATAACTGTGAAGTAATTTGAAATGTTTAAAGATGAACTACCCTTACCTTATTTTAACACCTAATATCATTCTAGCCTTTATTCTTAATTCTAATTAAAATTTTTCGTTAATAAAGATAAAAACATGATCTACAGGTTTCAAGTTGTAACTTTTTTTTATTAAAATTATGTCTTTATTTGATATTATAAAATCTGCTCTTTACTGCTATTTGCTATTACCCATAGTATTCGGAAATACAGCTGTTATTTCAAAATCTCAAAATGTTCTCAATAAATCTTTACAAGGGAAGAGTTGCTCGGATAAGTGTAGAAATAATGATGATTATGATCGATGCTATAATGACTGTAAAACAGAGAAAGAAAAACCAATGATACAAATAAATAGCATAACCTGTATTGTTTTAGGATTGATGTTCATTTTATTCATAATTTGGAAACGAAGGCAGGTCATAAGATTATTTCGATGTGTTCGTAATAGAAGGACAATAATGATGGAATCATTCTTAAATAATGCCATTTTAATAAAAAACAGTGGCCTTTTGTTGAACCAATTAAGAAAAACGAGTAAAATACTAAGTTAATAGAAAAATGAGTTGATATTTACACAAAATGGAAAACTTCTAAAAGAAGAGAATGTATAAATAGTGTGTAAAATTAATGAGGAGAAACAATATATTTAGATTACTCTCATGGGAAACGATAAGTATGGAACTTGGAGTGGCAGTGGATTTGCCATCATAGATTTTAATTATTAAATTAAGATATGGTTTTTGAAGGATTATGAAGAACAACGAGAAGCAAGAATATCTGGATTGTGGGAGCATCTTCTTTATTAAGGGGAATACGATGAAGAAGTAAACATTTTTAGTGGATAATGGTATTATGATGGATTTGAAAATGATTTAACTTATAGTGGTACTTGGATTCTAAAACTCTTATGAATAAATAATCTTATAGTCGAATGCATTAATTATAATGGTTATTAATTAGAGTCATCAGCTCAGAATTAATAGTTATAAGTACAGTTTGGCAAAGTAGGTCCTAGAATAAATCAGATTGATATACTATTGTAATTAATGATAAATAAATCGTAAATAAATTTATTTTTACAAATATCATTAATCCCTATGCTCTTATCTACATCCAAGCTCACCACTTCAAAACTCTCCTCTTCTTAATTGTAAAGTCCCAAGAGATCTACAATTAATTATCTCAGTTAAGATTTGGATTCTCCAGCCAGATAGAGAATCAAATTACTTTCAGATAAATGGAATCACATTTAGAATGGAATAGACAAAGATAAACTTGAAAAGCGTGAAGTATTGGAGGAGAGAATTAAAATAATAGAGGATGTTTTAGCCTCTGAGAAGCCAAAAGATGAATAAAAATTTAAGGTCTTGAAGGATTAAGTCTTAAAATTGTAAGATCATGCACATAATCAAAAATCAGAAAGAGAAGTATGCATTAATATTAATTAGGCATTCGATGATAAAAAAGAGAAAGACTTTAGAACCCTTTCAGATAATGTAGCTCTATCTTTTGATTAAGAAAGAAATGCCAGAGGATAGGCTGAAACAAAGCTCTAAAAATAAATTGATGAAAGATTTGCTTAAATCACACTCACAATCACTAGAAACACTCATTAATACGAAGATAGAAGTCAAGCAAAAATTGCTGAAGTTCTTTAGTAAGTCTAATTAGTCAAAAATTAATTGGATTAAGAAAGAAGATCAAGGTACTGATTGATTTTATACAATCTTAGAGAAGAAGCAGCAGAATCTTTAACTGAATAAATCGATAGTGAAATTAATAAATTTTCAGACTAATTACTCGTTGAAAAGAAAGTCAGAGAAGAAACCTAAGGAAAAATATTTAGAATGATTGAGGATGTTCATGGAAAGCTATAATAAGACATCAGCTTTGAAAGAAGAGAAAGAGAAGCTACAACTGAAGCATTGCTGAAATTATTAGAAGACGCCTGTATTAAAATCGATAAAAATTTTAGATCATTCTGATTTATAAATCAATAAATATCAATTATCAAATTTTTTTGTATTTCATACTTTCATATCCTATAGGTATGCTAATAATAGATTATTTTGTTTTTCCATCTTTTAATTTGGGTTATAATAATCACCTCATAAATCACTTTTCAGTTAATAGTTAACTGAAAGATTTTGGTATTATAATATTATTTCCTCAATGTACTCCTTATCCTCACTTAGTCTTAAAATTATATGGAACTTATAAAAAAGTAGTAATAATAGAATTAGATAATTTTAAAATTATATAAAAATGATAGATTGCAAACAATATTTATTTAATAAATGAATTCTGATTAGATGATAAGTCTTATGCTTCCAGATAATAATACTTACAATTTCAGTGTTAAAAATAAAGAGGAAGTCTATTATAGACAAATTGCTAAAGGTAGAAACTAATATTAAATAATAGAAATTAAATTGGGAATCCCTGAAGAGTTCTTAGCAGTTTATGATTTGAAGTAAAACAAAGTCATTAGCAAATATTTTGATAAGTAATTCTATAATCTTACAAAAGATTAGACCCAAATTCAGTTTACAGAATTTTTCATTTATAAAAGGCAGCGAGCATAATCTAAAGTAAGGATTAGGAAATAACAAAGTACAAGGCTGAAATTTAGGAACTTAAGGAAAAATAAAAATCTTTTGAAATTGAAAATCAAAAAATCTAGCTTCAATCAGATGCAAAAGTAAACGAGCTTCAAGAAAAATTAATTGAAGCTGAAAAGCAGTTATAAGTGGGTAAGGATAAAATCTAAGCATAAAGAAAAGATATAGAGTCTTTGTAATATGATTTAAAAGTAAGCAATAGTCAATAAGATGTGGTTAAATAAGACATGATAAAAAAGTTGCAAGAAAAAGATGAAAAATGTGATACATATGCTCAATAATGTTAAAAATATATCAAGGATATCGAAAATTTACAGAATTAATAATAATTATCTAGGCAAAATCTATATTAAGTTTAAGAATAGTTCTAATTATATTAGTAATAGCTTTCATCCTCCTTATAATAGTGGCAATAATATTCACATTAATTGGAATCAGAAAAAAAAACTATTCTTTTAGAAAAGAACAAATCGGATACAGAAGTAAAGAGATTGATGAAGAAAATTGAACTATTAGAAGAGGATACTCAACATAAAATAACTGAAAACACTAGATTGAAAAGAGAAAAAGCTTCTTTATAAAAAGAATTAAATTCATTGCAAGAAGATATCACTGATGTAAATAAATAATAAGAAAAGTTAGAAGGATCATTAAGGAAATTATAATCAGATATTGCACTTAAAGAAGGAGAATTATCTTAAAAAAATAAAGAGATTAGTTAGCAAAAAGAAAATTTAGAAAATTTGAATCAAAAGCTTGCAAGCAAGGAAAGGGAGATTCAAGAATTATAGAACAGATAAAATTAATAAAATAAAAATGAAGACTCATAGCATATATTGATCTTATAGGAATAAGTGAAGCAATTAAATGAATAAAACAACCTTTATATGAAATCATTAGAATCAGTACAGAGCCAAACATACGAATTGTAGAGTAAACTAAATTAAGAATAATAATAAACTAATGAGTTGCAAGTTATAAAGGAAAATTTGGAAAAAAAATTGAAATCATTTTAAGAGGAATCAAAATATAAATTGGATAAAAAATAGTAGGAAATTGAATCATAACAATAAAATCTTTAAAATGAATTGAATATGATTTAACAGAATTTATAAGAGTAGATCCAAAAACATGAAGAAGATGCTAAGTAATGGAAAGAAAAGGAATAAAATTATGAAAGTGATATTTAAAAATTTAAAGAAACATTAGAGAAATTTAAAAATGAAAAAATTAAATTTGAAGAAGATACTAATAAGTAAAGATAAGATCTTCTCAACCGAATATATGAATGCGATGCTTAGTTGTATGAGAAGGATTCTGAGCTTGTGGCAATTTAAAATTCAGCCATAGTACCTGTTTACTAGTTTAGAATATAAAGATTAGTCGAATAAGTACCTAGAGAATATTTCAAAGATATAGAATTTGCAGTTGAAACTATGATGCTAAATAATGTAAATCCAGAAAAATTTCTATAAGATAATTAAGCCAAATGTTAAAAATTGACTTTTAATATGAGTCAAATTTAACTAAATAAGGCAAGGGCAGAGGTGACTCTATATAACATTAGTGACTAAGATTACAGAAGATGTGCTGATATCACTAATATTGGAAAAATAACTGGTATTTAATGTTTTGTTCAAGTCGAATCTGATAAATCGTCTTTGGATAGGTATTACTTTTTCAAATGTCTTGAATGCCCCAACAAGAAGTAATTTGAAGGTAAAATTTTCGGAATTAAATAATGCAAAAATCAAGACATAGAAGATTTGGAGACAAAAGAAACAGCCATTGATAATTGTTTGTCAACAATAATTGCTTAGGATGTTATGAATAAGTTTGTCAGTGAGCTAAAGGAAAAAAAAGCTGAAAATATTTTAGAGTACAAATTCAGAGAGTAATATATTATCGAAACTACAAAGGATTTTAAGCAAGTTTTATCAGAATAAATATAGGGCTAATAGCTAGTACTTTAAGATTAAGGTATTAAGAATTATGTTGAGTTTATTGAATCATTAACTGGCGAATAATCAAATGAATTTTATGATTTTACTAGGGAGTATTCAACCGATAGAAATTAACCTGCAGATGGAAACATAATTCAAGCATTTTTGCATATTTAAAATGATAAGAAACTTAAGGATATTTATGCTAAATTTAATCCAGATATTATCAAAAAGTAGCTTCACCATTTTATTGATTTTATTGGAGGAAATTTGAAAGAAATGCCCTAAAGACTTGTAAGATATTAATATAATAATTTAGTATTATTCCATTCAAGAAATCGAAATTAAACCAAATTTTTAAAAATATAATGGAGGACATTTGAAATTTGATTCAAGTCAGGAAGGAAAGTTCTTATCTGCATTTACATATTATTCAATCATTAAGAGTTAAAGATAGATGTGTATTTCTCACTTACAAGGAGTTGGAGATTAATTATATAATCCTTTAGTTTCGACTTATGATGGATTTTTAGATAAATTGGATTAGGGATTTAATGAAATAAGAACCATTGAATCAAAGTTTTTATCAGAATCCAATCTTAATAAAGGAATAGATTATATGAAAGCTCTTGGTATCAAATGGAATTGAATCATAATTTATAAGAATTAAAATTATTTTTTATATTTTTATACACTCAATTATATAATTAAGTGCAACTTAACAAATGAAGTATTATTTAATTAATGATAAGAATGTACTTAAAGGGAGGTCATTTGTAAAATTAGCAGTTGTTCTATTTCCACCCAAAAACTATTAATTTATAAAAGACTTTTTTTGAAACCTTCTGTGTAATTCTACCTTAATAAAAGAACCTAGCAAAATCTAAGACTTTATAGCATCTTTTGAGAATAAACTATTGTGGTATAATGATTCTATCCTAATTTATGAATGGTTAGTATCCAAAAAGAATAGATCATATTCTATTGAAAAATCATAATAATGAATAGAATTACTAAGAAAAATCAAGAGATTATTAAAACTAATTTAAGAAAAAACTTAGATGAAATACAGGAATTCTGTTATCTTTTTTTTTGATTTAAAAATACTAAGTAAAAAATGAATTGATTAGATAATTCTTAAATTAAAAATCGTTTTAAGTAATCCAAGCTAATCTACTCTCCATGAACAAAAAATTCATAAAGCTTAGCCAAATCTTCAGAATAAATAACTCTAGAAAGCTTAACTCAAATTTAAATGTAGATAGTGATTCCACTTTACTATATATAATTATTTTCGTTTATATGATTGTTGTAAATTTTATTTAACAATTTGTCAAAAAGAGATTAATTGTAAATAATAAACTTTGAATAATGAATATATAATAGCTGATATTAATAATTATTATATCATTTGCTGCTTGGCCCTGGAACGCAATTAAGAACATGAATTCTATCCCAAATACCGCATTACTCAGATTTCCAGCCTTTTTAGCATCTACCCTATCAGAATACTTTCATCATGATACTGATTTGCAACAAACTTATGTTTCATATCCGCAAACAACTCCTCCAGCACTTTAACATCTATTTGTGCAATCCAAACTCCATGGAGCAAACTAATAATCTTATCTAAGGTTATTCTATCCATTTAGTTAGTTACAAAGAACTAATCCTATTATGAGAATGAAAACGCAAACTTTCATTATAAGTTATTATAAATAATAAAAACGACATCAGAATTATATATGTATAAACAGATTAAATCTTGATATTAATTCTAAAGATCTCTTTCCAAATTAATCATGATAGAACTCTTACAATTTATTGCTTTTGCCATTTTCAGTGATTTTATAAATTAATCCTTTCCTTGATCAACTTTAGAAATTCAATAAATCTATTTATGCTATAAAATATAAATCTAGGTCTGAATGAATATCTTAAATATTATATTTTAAATTGACAAACTTTCATGTTTTAATGTACTTGAAGGAAGTGTGAGATTGTTTAATTCGTTAATTGAATTAAACCATTAATTAATAAATAAATTTAGTTTTCTTAAAATTGTGAATTTTTTTCTAGTATTAATAGTTATTCGATTGCGGTATCATTTACCTAGCTAATTTGCCTATTTTTTATTGTAATTCTACTATATTATTTTAATAACAATTATAAATTTGGAGTCTATGAAAAATCTTTTGTTTAATAATATATATGATAATAAAAAACAGATTATAAATCAGTTTTACTCAATTATTCGCAGCAATAATATCCCGAATCTATTGGGCTAAAAATAGCAATGGATTGAAAGACATTTCTTCCCTCTACTACCTAAGGTATTGTTTCATTTTTTCCAATTCGTGTTTGTCTGCCTGATCTTCATCTTCTTGATCCTCTCTTATTTCTCCTAATGATAAAAGAGTGTCTTTTTTTAGATCCTGAGATATTTGTTCCTCGGCTCCTCCTTGTTAAGCCTATTCATCCATTGGTAAAGGTGATTGAATTTCTTTTTAATCTTTGCCCATATATTTATGAAACTCTGATTGATTAATTCCCATTTCATCTAAATCAACTGATCCTTCTGAGGATTCATACTCTGATCCAAGCTCAGCTCTGAGTCTCTCTTTTTCAACTCTCTTCTACTCAATTTTATCAAATATTTTTATTTTCTTGAGTCTTTCTTAATGCTTTCTAACTTCATCTGATTTAACAACATGATCGATTAACTAATCTAATGATTATTATTACCTTCATTAATGCTGGTTATAATCCAGGATAGACATTTTGCTATAAGTATTCTATGGCAACTAAATCTCTTTTAGTGTTTGGAATCATTGAATTATATATTAATTATATTAAATTTAGTTAACTAACTCAAAAGAAAACACTTTATTTTATGAATAATTATATTTTTTCCTTCTAGATCCTTTAAGTGAATGTAATTAATATTTCAAATTGCTTATTCTTGTATTAATATTGAATAGGAACTTTATAATAAAATAATTTTCGAAACTTGGGAATTTAACTTCTCTATTATAAATTTCAATTTAAAAAGCAATTAAGTCTTTCTTTAGATGAAATCCCTTCATAAAATTCGAAAGAAGAGATCGCATCTATACAATTCAAAATAAAAAAGATTCAAATTATTCTTAAAATAGTGTTTTATAAATTTACTGATTAGGAAAGATTTTATTGTTTCAGGGTATAATCCAAACATTTTTGTTTTACAACTACTATTACAATATGTTTAGAAATATTTTCACCAACTTAATGATGCATATCATTTAGTAAAGAAATTCAAATAGAGTCCTATTTATGAGAAATGGCATCAGCAGATTTCTGATACAATAACAAAAAGATTGTACACAAAGAATTAACTCCCATAATAACATAATCATGTAAAATGAGGATTGTCTTAATAAAAAATTAATATTTCATGATTGTTCCTTTTAGATATTTTTTGAGAATTTACAAAAACTGTTATTTCAGGATAAAATAAATTATAATTAAATATTAAGATTTAAGTGTAAATAAATAATATGGAGATACAAAAATACACATTTTGATAAAGTCATTGTAAGCAGTTGTATAAAGAGGTGTCAATTTGACTTTGCTTAATACTTTTAATGCATATTATAAAATTTATATATTTTGCAGATTAAATTTAATATTTAATAACAAAAATTGTAATGCTCCAAAGGAAAATAATAGTGCCATCTAAAAGAAAATAATAGACAGATTCTCAACAATAGGACGATTTTTACTTTGAAAGTAACTTCGAAACCGTTGAGATGGAGGAGATAACTTCAATGTTAGCTAAGAGACTTAAGTTTGAAAATTGTGAGGAAGGATTGAATGAATCAAGATAATTTAAGAGATGTTGTTTCAGCGATGAGAAATTTGTAAGTTGTAGTCCGGGATTAGAAATACTAGCTTAATAATAAGAGATTTCATTAATGCCCAATGAAAAGCATTCTACCAAATAGGTTAATTAACTGAAAGGTGGAGAAAAGAGATCCGTTCAGTTGAAGAGCATTACAGAGTTTAAGCATATGAGAACTGGTGAAATCAATTATCTGGAATTTTTTGGATTCTCTGATGTTCAGAAAACATTGAATGTGAAAAAGAAAAAGGGTAACAATAAAATAACCAAGAAGATTCGCAAATATTGAATATAAATTGAAAATAGTTATCCATATTTCTAGATTTAGCTTACTATTTATAAACACTTTTAAATTAATTTACTAGAAATTAAATGGGATTTCTTATTCTATTTCTAAATATTTCTTATAAATCATGTAATTGATGGAGAATTTCACTTAATGGATTGAATTTTGCCAAAAAGAGAATAATAAATAATTATTTATTCAATTATTTTTATAATTAATATAATTAAGGATGAATTATAAACCAATATCAAATGATTAGCATTCCTTAGACATCGGAGAGGAGGATGGAGAATTGGATATTGTAGTCAGGAGATAGTAAAAGCCTAAGCCTAATTAAAAATCGCTTTTAATATGGATTGTCATAGTCACATTTCTTGGTGCTATTCTAATATATGTTGGCTAGAGTGATTGGACAACTAATGGCAAAAATAAAACAGATAAAAATAAAAATTTTAATTTCACAAAAGTGAATAAAACAAGTATTACATGTTTTAATTTAAAGTCATTCCTGATTAAAAGGAAGGATAAGCAGAGACCAAAGAACATTCAAATTAATTGAATAATACTGTTAAGGATGTTCCAATGAAGAATGTTACATAAGGCAATTCGGATAAAATCAATAAAACGTCTAGTGATATAAGTAGAGTAGAAGATAAGCAGGAGAACTAGGAGGAAGAGAAAAATATTGATTTTGAAGGTAAAATGAAATAACAACAAATTAGAATTATAAAAATAAACAGATTAATTAAATAAAGAAATATCAGAATATTTCAAACACAAGAATGAAACTGAGAATTAAGAGACAATAGATGTAGTTTCTAAAGATCCAAGATATAGTGAGGTTTTATGTGAAAGCGGTTATTATATGAATAGAGATGAGAAGAAATGCAAAAAGTGTGAAGATAGATGTGCTGAGTGTATGCATATCATTGGAACCTGTTATAAATGTTAAAGTGAAGTATCAATTATTGTTATTAAGAGTTTTACTTAAACAATTATGGTAAATGCATCTAAAAATGTGAAGGAAAACATGATTCAACTAATCTATTGTTGTCAGATGATAATAAAAATTAAAGCATTCCTATTTGTTTAGGCAATCAACATACATCTTCACTCTATATGTCAGTTTAAAAGTCTAAAAATACTCACTTTGTGTTGCCTTACTTGATCATCCATCCAGCCACCAGTGTTTCATTAATGTATCATAACAATTACCCTCTTGTTTATTATTTCAACAAAGACATATTCAATTTTGAAGATGGGATGAAATTGAATGAAATTATCACTCAAGCCCAAGAAAAATAATTGATCGTTATTATTATTGGAGCACATACTCTATACGATTTCTCTTTGTTTAACACTTTTTTATTCTAAGAGGCCTTGCAAAATATAGAACTTTTGGTGAAAGCAAAAAGTTCAACTTTCAGATCCTTTTTTGGTCAAGATTACAATGCATACGGAGTCATCAGAGAGTACTAATCGCAATACAAAAATAATTCAGTCGACTTAGTGATATCAGATGACCCTGTAGAAATCGATCAGTATGTTATTATTGATTAATATTATTAGCGAATACTTGGAATCCAATTTATTGGTTACTCATGAACAACATTACACTGACTACAATTTCGAATCTTTATAAGGAGCTTAATCATAAAAAACTACTGTGATTTTGTTATTCCACACTAAAAATGAATAAGATCAAAAGGATTATTGTTCAAGATTTGTTTATGTTTCTTTCTTGCAGTGTGCAGTAAGAGATATTCAAATAGATCACATTTAAAGAATGAGATAAGGGTTTGAATTAATTTCGTAATTTGTTGTATAACCAGATTTATGATGAATTTGATATTCCTCTTATTATGTATTATTAAATCAAGGGAACAATCTAACAGGGTCTCTTGGAAACATACATGCATTTCTGATATTCTTTAGATTGAAATATAAAAATGCAACTCTTTCCAAACCAAAGGCACATCCACCATGAGGATAAGCACCATATCTAAATTGATTAATTTCAACTTATATACCTGAATGAATCAATATAATCCTTCAATGGTTCAACTGCAATTCCTTTCTCTTTAATTTGTTTAACTAAGAGTTCTGGGTCATGCACTCTCTATGCTCCTGAAACGATTTCCTCTCCTCTCATGAAGAAGTCATAGGATAAAGTGTAGTTGGGATCATCATGACAAGGCATGGTGTAAAATGGTCTGGCCTTCTTTGGATATCTGTGGAGAATGTAAAAGTCAGTTCCATATTTTTCTCTGACCAACTTTCCAAGAGTCTTCTCATTAACAGTATCTAAATCATCATGGGGATCTTGATTAACACCTGCTTCGTGTAACATCTTGACACCTTCCTCGAAAGTGAGTTTGAGTACTGGTTCTGGTATTTTAAATGGTTCAAATGGGAATTATTGAGAAATGATTTCGATTTCCTTTTAGTATCTCTTTTCAATTCCCTTGAACATATATATACACAAGTCTCCCATTAAATCTAGTAATTCAGTAAAATGCTCCTTAATAACCATTTCAATATCCATACTAATGAATTCACATTAATGTCTATGTGTGTTTGAATTTTCGGCTCTAAAAACAGGAGCTACTTCGAAAACTCTGTCATAGTCTGCCATCAAGCACATTTATTTATATAATTAAGGAGATTATGCTAAACAGGCATCTTAGTTGAAATATTTTAACTTAAAGACGTTAGTACCACCTTCAGAAGTACCTCCAATTAATTTTGGTGTATGGATTTCAATGAATCCATTTTCCACCAAAAATTCTCTGAACAACAATCCAATACCTGATTAAACTCTGAAAATAGCTTATTTAGCAGGAGTTCTGAGATCAATAACTCTGTTGTCTAATCTAGTTTTCAACATGACTTATATCTATTATTTTTCATTTTTATCCTATTTTTATTAAACTTCTTCTTATTTTTATTAAGGTTCTTCTTATTTCTATTCTTAAATCCCATCTTCAAAGTCTGTGATTCTTCTTGAAGCATCTTCAATTTAAAATGGCAACATAGGTAAAGATCTGCTCACCACTCTGATTGATCTCACTTCCAATTCCACTTTTTAAGTGCAAGATAAGATCTCCTTAAATGGTTATTTAACAAGAGCTTCAATATCGACAACAGATTCAACTGGAATTCCTGACATGAACTTTAACATTTAAGCACTTGCAAACTCACCCTTTTCAGCCACGACTTAAATTGTATTATAATTCTCTCTTAAAACTAAGAAGGCCAATTTTCCCTTCACTCTTGAGTTGTGAATTCTGGCCCTTACCAAAATTACTTAATTCACTAAAGTTTAGTCAACATCACCAACTTTGGTCCATTTTCGATTTGTTCTCTCTTGAGATTAAATCAAATTCAAATCTCCATATCTGCCTACACAATTATCCTCCTCTTGAACTATTTATTCCTATTGCTTTTATTCTATTATTAGATCCATGTATGAATACCTTATTGGTGCTCTTTTTTTTTCTAAGCCTTTTCTGCTTCCTTTTTTTCTCTTTGTAATTATTTCTTTGACTTTTATTCTCCTTCTGCCACTTACTCTGGAGGTTGAACTGGCTAATCTGACATCTTAAAAAAATTATTCTTTTATTAAAAGATAAATCGAAATTAAATCGGCCTGATTAATGACTTAAATACTCTAAGTTGTCTAATAATCATATATAATAATAATTATTTATATATGTCATCTTAATGGACAATGATTCCCTTTTCTCTTATGACGCTGACCACAAATAAATTAGTAGCCAAATTCATTCTAATGACCAACTTGAACTGAATAGATTAATAATAACAACAAAATAATCTTTACAAAGATTTGAGTCTATATTTACTCTATTTATAATTTCTTAAAGATCTAAAAAATTTAATACTTACTTTATTTATCAATATGTTAAGAACAAAAAGTTCTTAATTTAGAGGATCAAAATAAGAAATATTTAGATTTTTCTAAAAATTGCATTTCAAATAAGGTTGTTATATTGCAAAATTAATCTATTTTTTCAAATAGATTATATTGGAATGTTATAATAATTAATATCGATAATTTTAATGCTCAATCAAGCTTAACTTTTTTAGCAACAGGATCGGCAATAAACGAATCCATACCAAAAATATTTTCAGCTTTTTCAAATTAAACAGGAACATTTCTTAAGTTGTTATTGCTAATGATATATTAGGATTAATACTTATTATCTTCTTCTCCTTGTTGAATTCCAGAATATAGGTTGGCTCTTGGTTTATCACTGAATAAGGGTTTGTCGAACGCTTCATATTCATCTTCATCTCCAAATCCATGATTCACTCCTTGAGTTTAATTGAATAACCTTTAATCATATAAAGTATTTTGAGTAGTAGGTTATGCTTGGCCCAAGGCTATTTTTTCACTGATGTCTCTGTCGTTATCTCTGTTAGTCTTACTCTTCTTTCCTTGATTTTCCTATCTTAACTATCTTTCAAGTTCCCTTTTTCTTAAGTATCTTAATTCTTCTCTGGCTTAAAGTTCCTATTATTATTAATTTTCAGAAGCATCCTCTTATTTTGTTGTTTACTCCAAAAGTAGGTTCTTTCTCTATCTAGCTTCCATAGCTTTTTGTCTGTTTTCTTCTTCTTTTTCTTAGTATTCTTTATATTGCATAGATTTCAATATCTTATTTCTTTCTTCAAGTTCTTTTCTGGATTGTCTTTCAGCAATATAGAGACCATCAGTTAATTAAGCGAATTTGGCATTTACTGTATGCTTTTAAAAATTAGAAATGATGAAATACATGTTAGAGTGTTCTGCCATCGGCAGACAATCTCATTTCTAATGGGATTGTGTAACCTTTGGCATTTTTCCAATTTGAAATACAAGGAGGAATTTTCCAATCTTGTTGATCTTTTAGAGTCAACTTTCTTGGTGGAGATCTCATTTGAATAGGTGGTGGTGATCCTGGACCTTTAGGAATTCTTTTATGTTTAAAACGAGGAGGTTCCATTGGATCCAATTACTGGGCTTGAACTCTTTAAAATAAATAAATGCTTCTACTTTACAATTCTCTCCTAGCCGGTTTGTTATTAATCACCTTGCTTCGGAGTGTATTTGATATACTATTGGGCAGCTCCATCCGAGGCTCTCAGTTATCCCATGGTTGCACATTACTTTGAAAACACTAATTGATCTAATTGCTTCTTGGTGTGAATTGCAATCTATTCACTCACTTCTTTAGAAGGCTTTTAAAGTTCTGCTTCTGAGAGATAGGTGTTCTTGAAATTGTGAGCATATTATGCTCCATCGGTTCCTCTAAATGGTTTAATCATATATTTATTATGAATATTTAAATATTGTTTATATATTATCACTATTTATGAATACTCAACTGTTATTACAAATTGGAAAGCGTAAATTCTGGCTTATATTCAACTGGGATTTCAATTGGTTTGTATTATTTAGCAGAAATTTTAAAGCCTTATTGTTTGATCTAGACCTCCACTTTCTCATCGCTTTTTTTCAATAACACAATTGGCTCAGGATTGCTCTTGGCCAATTCAGGAAACAATTCAGGATGATAACTGTAGGGCGGTGGAGGATAGTGAGTTCTATTGGGATTCTCTCTTGGAATCACATCAACATAAAATGTTTTCTTGAACTTATAAGGGTCCCTTCTGAAATGCACAATACCCTTTGTAATTAGTTATAAAATCACTATACTTCGACCCTAGAATGAATAGTGTGATCCTTTCCAACTGAAGTATTCTATCCAGGTTTCCATCTAAACCCTCTTTGTCTAATTAAAATGTCATTTGGAAACACTTCCTCTCCTCCAAATTTCTTTACTCCCAATCTCCTACCTGCAGAATCCTTAGTTTTTTGGGTTGAGCTGGCTTGCATCTTTGTTGCAAATCCGTAGCAAATGCTCTCCGATAAGGATTTGAAATAATTCTAAGCAAATGCCTTAATCATATTATTTATGTTAATTATTGAATACAAAAATGTTTAATAACTATCATCATTAATGAATAGATGTCTTCTATTTTTGATTGATATTCCTCTTGGTGCTACCGCTTCTGCTTCTTGGTTAAGTTTAAATACTTTCTATAAATCATTATTGAATTTTTACAGTGAATATTTTTCTGCAACATACTTGAATTTTAAGAATTGTTTTTTGATACAGTATAATTTCCAATGTGTGTTTTAATGTTTTTAATCGCATTGTGTTATAATATTAAATCATTGATTGAAGATATCGAATTATGCTTTATTTGATAGCTTTTTATTTGCTCCTATTATTAATTTATTGATTGTTATAATGATTGCAAATGATGATTCTATCCGTATTACAATATGTTGAAATAGTTCTGTTTCAAAGATCCTTAAGATTATGTTGGGTAGTCAGTGCTTTCCTAGAATTAACTACTTAATTTATGTTCTGAATAAGAATTAGTCTTATTCGTTTCTTTACTATTAGGCTTTCTCTAAACCAACCCTTTTATTTGTTACGTATTTTTGGTTATTTACTGAACCTCATAATCTACATGATCCAGCTCAATGGTTCTCTTCTATTGTTCAAACTCTAGTTATTAAATCTTATCCTTGAAAGATACTATTTCTGATTGCAAAGATTGATTTTCTTCATAATACTTTTGATTCTCTCTTTTCAAATTCTAACACAATACAATTAAACATACATTCATAATGTTTTTAGTAGTTTCCAGTAACTCATTTCTTGTTGCTTCGCTTTCGTCCAATTTTTATTAGATTGATTCTGCATATAATTTCAATTATTATTCCAACTAAGATTAAATCAAACTAAAATCTTACACGAATGTGATTCCTTATCTCGCTCTCATGTTTTATGACTGATTATTCTAATTTTTCATATTCATCCTCTGTCCGTATACTTTTTTATGTCATATTTGGATCTATACTATTTTCTAATTTCCTTTCATAATTGCGAAAGCTTACTGGATTTTTCTCTCAATCTTCAACATTAGATTAGTGAAGATAATTTTAATTATGTTTACTAATTGAGTCAAATTTTCATAATCTTTCAGTTCTTTCTCAACCTCATTCAAATCATTTTTGGTCTCAATATATTTCTCCAATTGCATCAATATTCGCTCTAGCAAATCCTTGAGGGATGACTCCATTTCTCTATCAGAATATGTTATCAAACTCGTTTCACTCATTAACAGTTAATTTATTTATTAAATATGTATTTTTAAAAACTTATTTCCTATTAATATTTTCTATCCTCCAATACCCATTTGTAAATAAACACAAAACAGATAAATTCAAACTCAAATCAATTTCTCATTCACAAAATAACTCCTCGTATTTCTCAAAAAATTATCATCAAACAATATTGCTGCCAAAGGTACCGAATATATGAACTTAGTCAAAAGCTTATAATTTCTCAATTACACTATCTAATCAAACTTAATCAAAAATAACCCATTTATTATAGAAATGCATAAACAAGCCACTGTAATTATCTAAAAATTAAAATAATATCTTACATTATAATCCACCTCAACTGCCTAATTATAATAAAATAAATCAGAATAAAACCTTTCAAGTATATACTGGAGACCGTAACTCAAAATCGTAATCCCTTCTAATTCTAAAATCGGAAAATTTGATCTATTTGTAAAATTAGTATATTCAAACTCAGTCTTTATCTGATTCTTTATATCTATCAAAGCAGTTGAAAATCCCTTCTGTAACACTCCACCAAGAGTAGTATTACAAATATTGTAAGATTTATCTAATGCCTAAGATTATTAAATTGAATTACAACTAAGTCGTCACATAAATTTCCATTACTGAAGCTATCCAAAAGATACGAAAATTCTGAATCAAAGAAATAATCATTAAGTTAAAATGTCCATGATTAATCAATGTACTATTCCAACCCTGTTAAGCTCTCTTATGCAATTTTGTAGTATTGATTTAGATCTGTTGAATTTAAAAATGGCAATGCCGTTTTATAATATAGAATTTCTCTTGTTTGATATATACTTAAAACATTAATGTTTAAATTGGCAAATACTTAGTATAACTTCCCAGTTTGTTTTATTTTTGTATATGTATGATAGATTTGTGTAGTTAAAATAATGAATGACACAGCTAATACTCCAAAGTGAGTTAATGTTAATAATATTGATTTAAGCTTGTAATACTAAGGTGACATTGTGTTTTTTTTTTATTGGTGTTTTGAATGATTAGTGCATTACGATTTAATAATTCCAAAATACTCATCTTTTTCTGAAAAATTCAGTTTGTAATTTTAAATTTATTAATAATTCTTCTCAATCAATTCTTACAATAATGTTAATCTTTGAATTTCTAAATTTAAGAAATTTTAATCTTAATTCAACAGTAAGATTTTCAATTTTTCCTTTTGTATCTAAAAGAATAAATCAGATACAGTTAATGTGAATTAGATCATTACGAAAAAGAAACTTAAAACAATAAACATGACTATTATTTTTTGCTAAGAATCGTCTAAGTGTTATTGTTAGGAATCAAAGGCAACTAAATTAGCCTCTGTAAAAGCATTCAATAAAGTATGCATATTCTTGTAAATATAATAAAAGTAAGGACTTCCATAATCAGCTGCTCCAGTCTAAATGTAAGCATTTTAAGTGTCGTATTAATAATTCAGTAAAGTAATTAAACTATTTCGAAGACTAAGAACATCTGTTTCACCAACATTTCCTTTTTACAAAAATTCCAGATTTAAATATTAATCTTGATAAAGAGAAAAAAAAATAGGTTCACTTAAGATACCTGAAATTCCATTCTTTAGTTTTTCGTAACTTCCTATTAATTTTGATTTTGGATAAACTAATAATTCCAAATATTACTATTATGTAATTAACTTAGCATAAACTTCGACATTATAATTTACTATTGACAACCGAATCAATTGAAAGGACAAAATAGGATAGAAGATATCATTTTTCATACCTAATAGTTTGAAATCCTTCTGAAAATGATGAAAAAGATCTATCTCATACAAATACTATGTCTATAATAGAAATAATTACCAAACTAAAACCAACTATTGATATTATAGTTAACAATATTCTGAAATATATCATTTTCTTAAAAATCTAAGGGATTTTTTTAGAGTTGGCAAGCTCATAAACCAGTGAAAATTATCGATAATATATTGATTTTTGCATAGCTGAAACTCCAGATTATTGAGAGGATATGCCTTCTGTTTAAAGCTTTTGATTCCAATTTTTTTTCTTCTGTGTATTCATATCTAATTACTCACTTACATGTTGCTCTTCTTCATTTTTCATTGCCACTAATTATTCATCCTATTAAATATCTGATTACATCAAGTTTTAACATGCTAATTCGGATTTTAAAATACATTATTGGTTATATAACTTTTCTTCATGAATGCTCTAATCCATTGCAAACGGTTTATCCACTATAATAGACTCATCTAAATGTGTAGTAGCAATTACATTTTCTGATTGTCTTAATTAATAAATATAAGTATCTCCATTATTATAAACACGTTTTGGATTTTTTATAATAAGTTCATAATAACTAGAGCCATATTCATTTCTCTATTAAGAAATTGATAAATCACATTAATAGCATATCAAAGTTTGCTGGTAATTCCATAATTATTGAATTTTCGCTTATGACGATTGTATAAAAATAGAAGCATTGATCCTATTTGGGTCTACGAAATAAAATGTCTATAAACTATAAAATTTATCCTCTATTAATTGATCTATATCTTTATAAATAGTGCACATGTCCAAACCAATAAAATATTAAGCAAAGACTCCATCAATATTGAATACATCACAAAACAACTCATCATCAATATTTAAGATTCTTTTAGTATCATCTAGAAAAATACTATATGAATGTTCCTTTTTCTTTTTGAAAAATACAATCATTTCAATAGAGGTTAAGTTTAATTAACTTAAATCCATTAGTAAATCAATTTTTTTACATAAACAAGGAGAGATTTGAATGTAAGATTCATTGAGTTATTAATAAAACTTATTTTGTCTGCCTGCTATAAAATTCTCTATTAATTTCATATGCGACACTTGAATAAAATTAGGTATCATATCTTAAAAGTTCAGTGTCTCTAATTTGTCGAATTTTTCTAATTGATTATATTTGTATTTGAGAATTTTGATACTTTGCTTATTGTTTATTTAAATTATCATATTGGAGAATTGATTTGACAAGAATGCGTTGCTGAATTTCAAATTAATATCATCATTGTAGTTAGATGATGATTTTTGATTTTAAGAGGAGATCATATCATTTAAAATTTCCATCTGATAAAACATCAAAATATTTTATTACTTCTAATCTATAAAATAAAAGATACTAAGTACCTAATGTTTTTTTAAAGTATGATTTCAATTATTTTAGTCCGTCTATCTAATTTTGTATGGATTTGTAAGCAAGTTTCTCTAATTTTTCTTTAGAGATATTTGAATTAATTTTTTCCAAATAGTTGATTTTCTATTATAATACCTAACTTATTATTTTTCTGATTTAAACACATTGCCCTTCAACATCGAGATAGGATTTAATGGCAAAATGAATTTTTTATGATTCATTCAACAATGTATTCTTTTGATTTGAAAACTGTTGAGCAATATCTAATCTCATTAACTCTTAAGCCACTTTTAACACTATTAATTTGTGCAGATAATTAATTTTGAAAACTTTTTTTTTCAACTTATAATGGTCTGTCATTAAAATTTAATTTTGAAATTTAGCTCTATCTGACTTTTGAAAAATTATTTAGAAGTATTAATAAATTTATAGGTATTACTTTTGAAAAAATAACAGTTGTAAGTAACCAAAAACTTGTTAGTCCTAGGTGCATTTGAAGGACATAGTTGAAATCAAACTTTCATATTGAGATAATAAGTCTTTAAAGTATATTTCATAGGAGATTTATTCAAAATTCTTCTATAAAGGACTTTGTTTGCAGATACAATCAATATCATAACATGCCTTAATGTGTTTTGACAGAAACATAAGATATACTATCTTTTGGTTATAGGTGTTTTTCTGTTTAGTGATATTGTAAATGATTTAGAAAAGCACAAAGTTGCAATTTTCTATGCTTGAATTTTAGAAATTGATAAAATGCTTTTACAAATCCATTTTGATTTAATTTTGGAAATAAAACTAGGGCAAAATTATTAGAAGTATCCAGATTTCTTTAAATTAATGTTATTGAAATAATTCATGCAACATATATTGCAAACAAATGCCAATAATTAACAGATTAATAGCCAAGATCACTCGATAGTAGTACCCATAGATGTATTGTTTTAGTTTTTGCATTTGATAAATTTAAATAATCGATGAAATAATCGGCAAGATTAATTGTGTGATCCTAAAAATTATATCATCGTAATTATATAACGAATAACTTAACTAAAGAAATTTGATTCCAATCCTGTAGTAGGTTAGAATGGATTCATTTATCATCAAGTGTTCCCTTTAAAAATCTAAGGCCCAATTATATGAGAACATATTCACAAAAAAGAGAATTAAAATAAAAATTCCTGCGATCGTAAAAAAACTTAAAAAGACTTTTACGTAATCATTCATATTTTATTAAATCGTCTAAAAACAAATGTCCATCATAATATATCCTAATGTTTGTTTGCTTACATTGATGGAAACATTTACAAATATAAATAATACTTTAATATAATAATTAGTGTTGAAGGCATTCTATAATTCAATCACCAAATTTTCTGATCTACTTTTCAGTATAAAAATAAAGCAAATGCAACTCAGGACAAGAATACATAAAAATCCCACTGAAATGTATGTTAATATAGCTGTATTTTCTATCAGTGTATTGGGTCTTGATAACATAGTTATTAAATCCAATTCTGAAGTAGTACTGAAAGCCTTGTAACTAGAAGATATATTAATGTAGGCTAGATTTTGCAATTCATTAATTACGCCTAAAGCGAATGATATCATCAAAGGCAAACTCCAAATAAATTGTTCCAAAATTAAAGCACCTTGAACAAAGAGAGAAATCTGGTTGACAATCAAGTCCATCAAGTCTTATATTAATTATTTATATTTTCAATTGAGCAATTGATCAAACAGATATAGTAATTTAAAAAAAAGGAATTATATATTTCAAATTTGTTTATTATTTTCTTAAAAAAATCTTGAGAACGAATATTTTTTCTAATATTCTTATCCTTTTTGGAGATGAGTGAGAATTAAAATCTAAACGTAAAATGATTGATTCAACCTTTACAAAAATCTTAAATTTAAATATGTTTAACATTAAACACATGTTATTTCAATTAATTCCCTAATCTTAAGGATTTTTGTAATTAAATTGGGCTATCAATATCGATTTATTAATAGATTGGCTTTACACATTTAATAATCAAACTGTATTATGTATTAATAAGTCTTTATACATATAATTAATGTTTTTAAATGTCTGTTAATATTTTCAATCCCATAGGTTCCAAATCCTGTCTTTTATTTAAAGATTTTAATAAATATTGTTTCATACCAAGCCTTTGAGATGATTGGTATGTCTTATAACCGTAAATCTAATAATAGTATGTTATATTCATGTAAATTAATTCCAACGATTTTCTAAGGTTATAAAATATTTTGGTAATTAAATATTAATTATTTGCATTGCAATAAGGTTTTTAGCTTAAAATTCAGAATTGTTGTCATATTTATCTTAATTTCTTAATTAAGGTTAATTGATTCCTCAACTATACTTATTTGGGTTTAGATTCACTAAAAAAATAGATTATATTAAATATCATTATAGGGAATCTTAAAATAATGCTATTTATTTTAGAAACTTAAAACAGATATATTGTTAGTTTTTAAGCATAAATGCTTCTGATCATTTTTAAGATCCCAAAACTTAGCATTTAGAATAAGTATTTAAACAGATATAATTTTTATACCAATAAATTAAAATAATAATCTCACTTAGTCATTTCTTATTGGATCTAATAATCTAGGAACTCTTCATAGGATAAACATATCTTTCCACTTTATTTTAATTTAGTATTGTGAAGATGCCAATCTGTCTTATAATGTTATCTGAATTCTTGATTTGTGTCAAAAGAGATCAAACATTAAGTACATTTAAATTACTTACCCAAATCATCCTTAGCATTAGCTTTTTTTTATTGCTATTAAATTTATTTGATTTGATTTTATTCTTCTTCCTCAACCTGTTTTTTCATTTATTACTGTTATTAAAGTTGCTACTTCTTTTATTACTTGTTTTTTTTGGGTCCTTTCTGTTTTGATTTCTAATTCTATTCTTCATCAGATTCCTCTGAATCTGAAATTTACAATTTTTCTAATCTCTATTCCAACTCAACTTAAGCTATGTTATCAATTCCATCAATCTATTATTTTATTGCTGCTTCTACGACTTCCAATGTACTTTTAAATTATTTGTCAGTAACTTTTGTTGATAAAGCTCTAAATAATTAAGGGTCGATAATAACAATAAATTTATTGTTCTATTGAACAATGTCTTTGAGTCCCAATTCTTCTAACATCTAATAAACTAGCTCCATTTGTTCATCGATAAAGGAGATGGATACTTTCATAGGAGCTCTTTTAATGAAAAAGCTCTCCTTCAGTTTTTTGATGCATTACAAAGCTTACAATTTAACAGGTTTATCAGTTTTCACCACAAATTATACTTTTGAAATTGCATACTCAATGGATTGTTGTGTAAGTTGCATACCTGATGTGGCATGGATGCATTTATCCTGTATGAATTTTACTATGTCTCTATAATAATGCTCTAATTAGGCTTCTCTTTCTTTATCTCCAACTTGCAAGTCTCCCTTTTCTAGAATAGTCTTAATGATTTAATCTTTGTCATTAGTTAAGAAGCAGTACAACAATTCTTTACCAGATGCCACGTCACCCTTTGTAGCATTTGTAAATATTTCATACACTTAAAGAACTTCACTAAAAATTTATTAAGGAATCATACTTTAGATCCTTCTCAACTCCATTTCTCCAGTTGATAGCCTTATTTTTATAGCAAGCTATTTCAAATTTTTGATTGTTGTTTGTACGATATTTGATAATGGCAATATTTGTCATTTATACAATACCAACAGGTTGTGTTACTCTCATTTATTAAAGAATATAATTTATTAAAATAATTTTAATTAATCCATATTCTCTAAATGCTATTAAAAATTATACACCTCATGAATTCTTCAATAATGACTTCACTCTTATATAAATATGATATGTATTTTGTTTGAGAGCATCACGAATAAGTTTCAAAATCAAATGAGATATATAAATATCCATCATTTATAGGATTTAAATATCACAACCCTTTATGTATTGGCTTATTCTCATACTAAACTTAATACAACTGATTTATCAAATATTTAAATAAATTTTTTGATCTCACTGTGTCGCGAAAACTCAATATATACCCATGTCAAAATAGATTTTTTCATTATATTTTAAAGAATACATTGTTCTTAATACAATAAGGCATTGTAACTATGCCAAAATTAAAGTGAGACTATTTCAATCCTTCATTAATATTTTATCAAGTCGTAATTAACGCTTTTGTAATGAAATTTATATTATTTATAAGTAGATATCAGGATCTGAATTACTTTTAATCTTCATTTATTATTATTAAATTATAATACATTTTGGTCCTATATTTTTAGCAATTCCATAAAGTCATAGGAAAGCATCATTTCTAATTTTGGTTAAATGACTCTAAGAAACAAGTGCTTATCTTTAAATAATTTGAATTTAAGATAAATAATTAATAATATCATAAATTTAAATTATTCTTCCTCCCACTTGTGAAGGATTGTTTCTTCATAAAATCTATTGAGAATGGAGCAATTCTAAGAAAAAGAGAGAATTTTGAAGATTTTTCATTGTCTTCATTTTGATAATATTACGATATAATTATATACATTAAAGATTTTAGTTAATGTGAGTTGGATTATTTTCTATATTATAAAATTACGTCATGAAGAAAATTCTTTTGATTAGCCTTGTCATTGTGCTGTCATACTAGACAGTAGAATATAATACATATGATGAATCATTAGCAAAACACTTGTTTTACTTGACATCAGCAAGTTATTGCAGTGAGTAGCACATTAAGAGTTGGAACTGTGGTAAGCCTTGCAAGGAACTTAAGCCAATAACTGATATAACATTTTTTATTAATGCCACAAATGAGAATGCAGGATATGGTGCATATCATCCAGAAACTGACGAAATCTACTTAGTTTTCAGAGGAACTTTACCATGGAGTCTCACTAATTGGATAGAAGATATTGACTTTATAAAGACAGATTATCCTTATTGTCCCAACAATTGTGAAGTTCATAGGTATTATAAAATTGTAATCATATCATTTAGAGGTTTCTATTACTCCTTCCTTGGAATTCAGGATTAAGTTTTGAATTGCTTGAAATCATTGACCAAGAAATACCCTTTGGCCAAGATAACAATTACTGGGCATAGTTTGGGAGGTGCTTTAGCCAACCATGCCCTTGTCTATTTGACAACAGTATTCATATATATGAATTGTAGAGAGGCTTTACTATTAGTAAATTTTATACTTTTGGATCACCAAGAGTAGGTGATAAGAACTTTTTCACTTATGTTAACCAACAATTGTTCCCTGGTCCTAAATTTAGAATCACTCATAACCACGACCCAGTTCCTCATCTCCCAGCCCTGGTCTAAGGATTTCATCATGTTAATCAAGAGGCTTACTATAAAGATTATTTATTGGTCATCCACAAGAAGTATTAACTTATAAGATTTTAGAGTTTAAATGTGCAATGATAATCTCAAAGAAGATGACAGTTGCTCTAATTCGAATATTGCTGATTTATCAGTTTCTGATCACACTAATTACATGGGATATGATATGGCAGTAGAATTACTCACATGTTAGTGATTTAATTTAAATTTTATAGAATAAATTAAAAATGCAGTAATCTGATCCCAATCAAAGCTAAAATTGGGGAGTAACATCTCTCGAGATCCCAGAAACGTAATAGTAATATCCTTAGCAGCAATTCATTCCAAATCAATAGCCCTATCCTTAGCAATATTAATAATATGGACAATAACCCTAGTAAGTCGCTTATGGATAGGTATGTTGCATTTCAATTATTTAAGCCCGTAGTTACTAATGCTTATCCTTAGGCTGTTTAAATTGGAACACCATATGTGTAGACGGTGATTGGAAAGTACTATTCATAATCATTAGTCATTTTAATGCTCCTCCATAATACAATGCTAATGGTTCCCCGTTTCCAATTTAAATCATATGTCCAGCGTGTAAAACTTAAGGAATTACAAATGTGACAACTGAGATAGGAGCAGGAACATATCTGGTTTCATGCCTATTATTTCTGTGCACCGGGTATGAGATGATTGCATACTCAATAGAATATTATGCTGTTGGGTTCCTTGTGTTATGCCTGATTGCTAGGATAAGATTCATCGATGTTCCTCATGCAAAACAGAGGTCGGGATAAAATAGTATGATATGTGTTGACACTTAATATAAATAAAATTACATAACTAAAATTAGTTTCCACTCAGAAATTCAGATTCCTAATAGTAGTTGAACAATTAAAAGTCAATAAGAGTAAAGAAGTTCTTTATAATTGTGATTTATAATAGTTCTATTAATAAATTTCAGAATTTTTGTGAAAAAGCAGAATGAACAAAGTTTGATATCTCCATTCTTGAATTCTCAGTATTAATCTTGGATAATTTGGCTGATTGTATTTGTTTGTTATCCCATTCCAATTTTCGATTGATTAATTATTCACTTACTTATATGTTTAAGTCTCTTTAATCAAATACTTCCTCTTATTATTTACAATTCTGTAATTATTCTATTAAACTTTATTCTACTTCTCTTAATTGCTAAACCTATTTGCTCAAATTGAATTCAATATTTTTGATTGATAACTCATGCTAGATAATAGTCTGTAGTCCAGAATTCAGTTTATCTATTTATTAATGATAATAATCTAAAAAATAAAATAATCTATTTACTCTCCTTTTAATTCACATTTTGTAATTGATATTTTAATTTATCAACATATTACTGAGCTTCTCTTAATTTTTAATCTATGATAAACTCCTTCTCCTGCAAACATTTCTCTCTAATCTTCAATTTATTTTTTTCTACCTCCAATGTGTTTTTCTAATCCTCTAATTGCTTCATGCTAATCTATAATTATTATTCCCTCTCCTTCATTTACTCCTCCTGCAATTAAACCTTCTCCCTGAAATTCTATTCCTATTCTCCTAAAGCATTGAGTTTCTCCTTTATTTGAGATGCCAAGGTGCGTATTTCCTTCTCCCCTTTGCTTAGTTTCTTAATATAAAATAAACATACATTCGCCCTTTCTTCTATTGATTTATGTTCTTCTTCCATAACTTACTTTGTTCTATCTAGCTCCTCGCATTTCCACTTGTATTTCTCCTTTATTCTAACCAATTCTAATTAATTTGGATCATTTGTCACTATATCAGGAATAGTCAATTAATATTAGGTTGCAAATCTAACACCTAATTTCTTTTCTTAAGTGAGATCTGGATTTGTTTGCCTTTGACTTAGAAAAGATGATTTCTGCAAACATTGACCTAGTGATTTTCTCATAATATTTAACAGATCAATAAATTAAAAAATTAATATTACTACATATCTGGAATTCTTATGATCTTATCATAAAAATAGAAAAAAGAATTGCGAAAATACTGAAACGAATTTTGAAATTTCAGTTGCATTTTTCATTTGAATATATTCTTTTTATTTCTGTTATTCTGCTTTAATCTTTTTTAGATTTCAGTTGAATAGATTTTTACACGCTTATATTGCCTATACTTTATTAATGCAATTGTGTTCTTGTCAATACAAGTGAAAACACTTTGAATTTAGAGATTTGATTATCCTCTATAATGAAGAATCTTTGTTTTGCCTCCGCCCAAGTTCCATTTCCCTAAAAACTTGATAAAATATTTATTCAATTAGATTATAACATAAACAGTACAAAAACATCGATGTTGGTGAGATGTATTAATAAATTGTTATATTTTGTTATTTTTACAATGCAATTTAATTGATTTCTTAAAGAATATAGTATCTGTAACTTACATCAAATAGGATGCATACAATCAATTTTTGAATTATATTCGTAAACAATCTACAAATATTAGAGTGTCTAGTAGGATGATACTGTAATATAGGCCTCCAACAAAAACCCTTGTTTCTTAATTATAAAATTCATTATTTTTCTTTTTAAGATTATGTCTTTAACCGAATTGGTTAATACTTATGATACAAGAGACTCTCATCATTAATCAAAAAAGCCAATACTTAAATCCTCTTAATAGAAAATATATTCAACGCTTCCAAGATTGGACTGGGCTGGGAATGAAATAATTAAAGGAGGATCGCATAAAATTGCTTTTATTAGTTAAGAAAACACTTCCAGAACCTTCTTGGACCTACTCTCCAACGAACTATCTAATCAGAGTGACGAGGTTGATGAAGATTATAATGAAATGTTAAACTGTTAAAATGTGAAGAACGTAAGTAAACTACAACCAGAACTAAGTGAATAGTCGAATTGTTGTTTTATTTATTGACTTTATTATTATATTGAGTTATTTTTATATCGATTTAAAATAGAAGTAAAGTAAGGTAAAAGTTGACTTGATACATAATTATATTCAATCTACATTCAATGCAATCCCTTTTAATTTATTCAATCCTTAAGCGTTATATTTGTTTTTTACAAAAATTCAATATATAGTTAGCAAATAAACTGAAATTTAATATAATATAAATGTTCCGAATTAATAAGTATCCTCATTATTAAACAACTTTTATAAATAATTTATATATTGATCTCATACCAGTCATTCTGAATCTATATATAATTGTGTAATGAGTAAGAAAGAGAAATTCAATAAATACGATACTTTCAATTTCAGTTCAATTATTTATATTTTCAATCTTATTATAATCTAATAAAAAAATAAATTATTAAATTCATCGTGTTATTTGATTCATTCATTTTTGATTCTAATTATGTTTAAATTTGACTGATATCATTAACTAAGCAACCCTGCTTATTTGAGCAACTCTATGAAAACTGTTTGATTAATTATTTTTAGGTTTTTTATTTATTAAATTTATATATATAAATAAAACAATTAAATAGAGTTATTCAAAAATAATGAAAAAATATTAAATACTCAATTTGGCTTATTTTATTTGTATATTTTTTAAAGCAAACTCGTAATTAAGTGCAGTCTTCTATTGACTGATTCGTTTTTAACTAAATCTTCGCCAAGAGTAATTTCTTCATTTTAATGTGTTCTAAAGTTTATTCTATTTATTTATTTGAAAGCAAATAGCTTTTAGGAATCAAATTGGAAAAATTATTATTAATTAAGAATTTTTGATTCATTTTAAGGAAGTTATTGTAATAATTCTTAAATTTTGCTGCTATCAGTTTCCTAAAATTTGAAATTATATTAGATTGACTCCATTTCTTAACAGAGATTACTTTTTCTTTAGGAGCTTTTTGTTTATAAGTCTTTTAATGCCATAAACTGACATGCTAAGGATGAAAATAAGTCAGCATTTTTTTTTGTTTATGTTTTAAAAGCCATTTTAAAGATTTCTGAATTTAAATTATTGCCCATTTTTATTACATGCTCATTTATCACCTTAATTAGTTCTAACAATGGCGATGATATACACCTTATCAGAGTGGCTGTTAAAAGAATCAAAAATGCACAGCAAGCCATCTATATCTATATTTACTGAAACAATTCTGCCTCCAAATTATTGATTAGTATATCGATCTCATCTGAGATTTCTTATTCATATGTTACATTTTTGAAGCTTAAAATATAATTATTTATTACACAATCATAGTTAAGTTCTCTTTATAAAATTGATATGTATAAACGAATACTGATCTTTAGTAGATTTTGTTCAATAAATAAAACGTGTTATTTTCATTTTCATTACTTTTAGAATTGTCTTAAATAGTTTACCAATCTGATTCATTAAATCCAGTGTATGTTGTATTTGTTATTCTAACTAATTCTGTGATTTAGTGGAATGTATCCATTGTACTTAAAATAACATCACCATTTTAGTGAACTAATAAGATATTTAATGGAACATTTTAGATATTAGTGTCTGATATCGGTAGCAGTTATAACACAATTCCAAACATTGAATTATTTCTAACTAGTGAATAAGTCAAAGCTGAATAGGGTAGGTTATTACGAGCAGATAGTAATATGGGTGAATAAAAATAGCTAGAATTTGGATGAATTTTTGATTAAGCCATATGATTGATATACCTATCAGGTTATTTAATTAATTACCAAGGTCTAGTGTTTAAATTAAAATTCTTATATTTGAATTAATTAGGGAAAGCAGCAAAGAATTAAGCCTTTGGTAAATCAAAAAATGACATTTTTGAGTCCTCGGAAGTAATAAATTATTAAGTAAATGGACTCATCAAAGTCAAAGTATCATTAAAATCTTGTTCTTCGTCTTGAGATGTTACAATTTCAAATCCTTGGCATATAATATCTGAATTATAGATTACTTTGTAATCTTTGATTTAACTTTATTCAATGCATTCTTAAAATTAACTATGAATCACCTTATATCGATTTTTCGACTGAATAACATATTAAAAGAAATCATTTGAATGCTATAAATTTGATAAAGCTATCTAAATTATTCAAAATACTTTGATAATTTTTGTGCTCTATATATTATCTAAGTTGTTCAGAGATTATTTAAACTAGATGTTACTCTTGTTTCTACGATAAAGTCTGAGAAAATGATTGAATAAAAGTGAAAAAGATTGCTGATTGAACCTAATATGTAGCTAATATCACTAGCACGGTGAAAGTGACAATACAAAAGTTAATAAGAGTGATCTAACTACTCATTCTAAGAGACTTGAAGTAATTTTTAACTTTTTTAAACATTCACAATTATTATTATATATCATGATTAAATAATTATGTTAAACACCAAAAAAAACATAGTTGAACAAATTAAATTTATATATCATTAATTATTAATCTTTCAATAATCCTCGGTTTGAGTTTAGGAAGGCTAAATTTATTGCTTAACCTAAACATTCTATTGTTACAGAAGAGTATTGTTTGTAGCTTCATTTGAAGAAGAAGCCTTATCAAGTTTTTTTAATCCTGATAACGAATTGTCTTCAATTAAATTAAAATTTACCTTCCTCCTTTTTTTAAATGAAAGACGACTCCTACGAGGGTTGTTATTAGTGTTATTAATGTAATTGCTATGATTATTAATTTTGTTGTTATTGCTCTAATTTTTTCCTTTTCTCTTGTTCTTTTAATTCTGCTAATTTAATTTTGTTGAAATTTTGTTTAGCTTATTTAAGAGCTGTTTTGTATTTATAAAATTTTTCAAAAAATTTATCAAAAGGAACTTTCGTTTCAGCATAATAATTAGCAAGATCCTCATATTGTGTTTCAAGCTATTTTAATAAAGTCTCAAAATTGGCTAGATCGGAAAGAATTTATTAATAAAAATTCTATAACTTCTCTTCAACCAAATCTTGGAAAGGAAGAGATACCTTTGATTTTATGGCCTTATCAACATTTTTTGAATTTTTTTTTAGCTCGCTCAAATCAGCATTCAACTAAGTCAAAGGGGTTTTAGCTATATATATCTTAATCAAATTACCAGCCAATTCAACTTCATCTAAATTCTCATCAACCAGTACTAATTCCTCTTTTAGATCTTCTTCCGCCTTTTAAATGATAAACATTAATAAGTTGCCTTTATTATCTGTAGTTTTAACATCAGCTAATTTCTCCATCATATCAAATTTAAATCCATATGCTCCACCTCTAGCTGATTAGCCATTCATGTAATTTCCTGCAGCTAATGCATATTCCATGAAAACCTTCGTATTCTAATCATTTTTTGTAATCTCCATTAAATTTTTGAAGATATTAATTTTGGTTTATAAATCTACTGCTAATTCTTTATAATTGTATTTGAATTTTAACGATAATAGCCTAATTGATATTTTAATTAATAACCTGTAATCATAGCCTTTTACTGAGCTAATATTTATACAAAATATATCTGGCAATGCTAAGTTTGATTAGTCTGAATCCTACCACATTACAACCTCCGTCTCACTTGGCATTGCAGTAATTAAAGATTCAACTATATTTGGTTTTAATACAGTTTCATCTAGTCTTACAATTTAGTTTAATATCATTACTGATAGAGACTTTCAACTATTAGTTAATTTGACATTTTAAGTTTGCCTAGCACAATCTCTAGATTTTTCATTCTCTCAGGTCCTAACATTGTAATTTTCCCTGGCTTATTGGTTCCGCCTTAAACATTAATATTGCTCGATGTTGGCTTTGCTGCAAATAAATTTTCAATAACAGTGTAATCTAATTTTAATTTGGTATCGTCAATTGATTCCCATATAGTATTTCTAATTTATTCCGGCTTTATAATAATCCAAGGAACCTATTTTAACTATACATTAGGTTTATGTTTTTATTTCCCACCAAATTAAGGATCTGGGCCACCAGGAGATCTTGGCCCAGGAGGAGGAGGAGGAGCTCCACCAGGTGGAGGTCCTGGTGGTTTTGGTCCTCCTGATGGTGGTGGAGGAGCTGGTGATGAAGTTCCAGTCTTAGCACCAGGTGGTGGTGGTGGAGGAGGAGGAGGAGGAAGGGCAGATACAGAAATTGTACCTGAAGGTGGAGGAGGTTGCGATATTTAAGGAGCAAGGGCATTTGTTTAATTTTAACCTTGTTATGGTGAAAATGTATTCTGTGCAGTAATTTGTTAATTATTCAATTTCTTTTCTAAATTTTCTTTTTCTTATTGTGCTTATTAAAGTTTATCTTGAAGAATTTATGCGTTGAGTAATTGTTCTATAGAATAAGAAATTTAGGATACTTTTGTTTTCATCATCGAATTTATGAATTCTATTTTCCAGTACGTATTAATTCTCACTCATTTCATCAAATTTTTAAGTGTATTTTTTTTATTATTCTAAGAGAATGTCCTATTCTTATATGATACCAAGTAATCTTGCCAGCTCATCTTAGTACTGCTCAATAGTTTTCAGTTCACTTTAAATTTTTTTTGCTTATATTTTTAAATTACTTGTAGAATTTACATTTTATATCAATTATTGCAATTCTAACTTTTTTGAATACTTTTTTATCAATTTTTCATTTCTTGCTTATAATTCTCTGCATTCTTTATTTTTTTCAGTTAATTAAATCTCCTTTGTAATTAGATTTTCACTGTATTCTTTTAATAATTTTTTAAATTCTATGATTGAGTATAGATATAATTACTTTTTATTTCATTTTCTTGATTGATGAATTTTTAATTTTAAGATTGCAACTCTGATTTCAGCTAATCTAATTCCTGTCTCTAATCATCAAGATAATCTGATTTGTATGACAATCGTTAAGGAGTAATCTCTTATTCCAATTTTTGAGCCTTCGCTAATTACATTATTGACAATTTTTCCTTTAATTGATTCACTTAATTTTCTAATTGCTGAATTGTCTTCTGTTATGATTCACATTCTTATTGAAGTGCTCTATAGTCTTTATTTTTCGCTGCCAATTATTCAGTTAACTGAGATAAAGTAAATTAATCTGATTTCAATTTTTGTTCCAAGTCTCCTATTTTCTTGTGCAATCCATCAACAAAGGCTTCATTTGTTATTTTTTTAGTATTCCGAGATTCAAATTATGAATTGTAATTGCTTTCAAATTATTGCTAATTTGGAAAATTATCTTAGTGCTTGGAAATACCTTCTACAAAATCAGTGACATTTTAATTCCCTCTAATTTTAGATTCACATTTAATAGTTGAATTTGCTTTTCCCTATTCATCTTAAATTAAATTTAAATATTGAGGTGTAAGAAAAGTAGGTTTTAGATGTTTTGCATGCTATTTCACTTCTTGTTTAATTGGATCTTACATTTGATGAGTAGGAATATCTTTGTTATTCTCTAAAAATGCCTCAATTTAATCTTCTATAATTTTAATCGAGTTTGAAAACTTTCCTATATCATAACACCTTCTAGATTCTCTTTGATACAACATTGGCAATGTAATTTCTTCAGTGTAATTTGGATCTGTTAGAAATTAGTGTTTTTACTTATTTAATTCAATGATCTACTATAAAACAACTTCAAATCTTAATTCATCAGCCTTATATTCAAATTCTTCTATGTTATTGGTGATTATTTTATAAACATCAACAATACCTGAAGTGATAAGTTATTAACGCATTCTTTTCTTCTCCACTTCTTATGTTGGAGATTCAGTTAAAGTTCTGACAAATGAACATATGGACGCAATCATAAAAACATTTTTGCATTTTTTCAAGATATTCAAAAAAAAGGTAAGTTCATTGTCTTGGCACAATTTATTCAGACTCTTTAGCACCAAATTGTATCCTTCATCAGTTTGCCTACATAAATTAGATGCAATTTCTAATATTATGGTTGTCAATTCAACATGAATTGGATTTAGGTTTTTCAATATAATATCTATCGAGTCTGGAATACGCAAAAGTTCCAATTAGTATTTTTCTATTTTCAAGAGCATTTCAAGTATATTTAAAATTTCAATTTAATATAAATAGCAAGGAGGGTTCTTTTTATCAATTAACTATTTAGTTTATTTGTAAAATCTAAATAAGTTTTCTAATAGTAAACTTATAACATTATTAAATTGTTCTAATTAATCCTATTAATCATAAATCTATAGAGTTATGAGATGCCTTCTTAATTATTCTAAATCTTAGAGAGTTGGGTTTGCCAATTTAGATTTAAAATGGCTTACATAATCTTTTGGTAAATTTTATAACAAATTCTTTCCTGTAATGTTTTTATACTCATTCAAAATTAAGCATTTCATATCTAATTATTTTATTTCATATTACTTTAAGGAGTACTTTAGAACTGCTAAAGTAGCTTTGGCTCCACTTTCAATTCTTTTATTAATTCAGATATTTAATGATCAAAATCGATTGGTATTGCATTTTTCTAAACGGCCATCAATTTCTTTTGATCCAAAATAAATCTTATTGTTAATTATGACTCTTTTATCTATGTATCAATGGATATTGGGGATATCAATTTTCCATTTTATATAGCATTCCCCATTAAATTTTAAAATTTAATTAATAATTCCAAATATTTGTTGTAAATATTATCAGTCTAAACTGAAAAATGATTCAAATTTGAAATCTATTGAAGAATAGTTTATCAACTTGTTTTCATCATAGTTCTAGAATTGGAAGCTATTAGATGATATGATATTAAATAATAAAAATTAGTTAATATTATTAAGAATAATTATAAAATGGGAATTTCCTTGAACAAAAAATTCAAAGATGATTACGAAAAATTATTCTCAGACCATCCTGAATCAAATAAAGCAATTCAATTGTATCCTGCTTTTTCGCATGTTAAAATGTATGTAAAATGAAGTAACAGAGTTCACAATGATTGGTATCGGTTAGCCAAAGCAGAGTTTAATGGTTTACCTCATGAAACTGAAGCCTTTCTGTAGAAATGGAGATCGAGAGAACAACATCCTCATCTATTCTTGATCCATAAAATTTTCACAAACGAGAGTAGTCGGGCTGTCATTTATTTGGATTTTCCAGAATCTGTAGTAACAGAACTTGATGAAGAAACCTTTCTACCCCTTTTGGATGCAGTGTTACAGATTATGTCAAGATGGTAAAAATAGAGTAAGACATATTCTTACTTTGGATGCGATTCCGTTTATAAAGTAAATCCCAATATGCCAATAAATAGGTGAGATCCTTCGATGGATAAACCTACTATAAAATATTGGATCCAATGCTTCATCCATATCTTATTAAGTTCTATAGAAAGTGTTGGTTATAAAAAAACACTAAATAATTGGAGCAATTATTAGCCAAGTTTTATTTGTCTCCCATCTAATTGGAAGCCTTAAGTAAGAAGGTAGAATACCCTATTCATAATTTCTATAAGTCAGATGTGTTTTGTTTGGGTTTATACATTTATAAATGCCTAACTTAAGACGATGATTTATATGATCTAATTAATTATAAAGTGAAATTGGATAAAATTAGAAGCACCATCCAGGGTCTGACATTCCAAAACTACGCAAAAATGATTTTATTAAATATGCTTGAAGAAAACGAAGAGGATAGACCAGACTTCATTTAGCTTGAACTTAAGTTTACCCATTTTGCACCTGAAATCAAATATAAAAGAGTATTTCACAATGTTAATTCAATGATTTTTGAAGAATCATTATTACAAATAACTTAATTAGTAACGGAATAAAACAATGAATAAGTTGTTCCTGAAGAAATATAGGGATTTAATTTTGATGATAGACTTGATTTTGAAAATCTGCACTTTTCGATCTCATCTGAAACCAATCCGACAGCTGAAATTCATAAAATGGTTGGAAAAGGGTTTCATTCATAGATGATATTGAATAATAATAGATAGCAAAACTTTTAATTAGACGAAGGAGTTATGAGAAAAACAAGAATAGATCTACCTTGCTTAGGATATGCTGATTTAAGTAACTGGAAAACTGCTGAAGGAATGTTTACAAAGGGAATGCTATAAGGGTATGGCCGATTGACCTTTGTGAATGGAGATAAATTCGAAGGTTTCTTTATTAATAACAGAGCCAATGGAAAAGGTACATATTCTTTTCATGACAATCAATACTATAAAAAAGAAGGGACCTGGAAGGATAACAAATTTATTATCACAATTTGATAATTCTTTGAAAATAAATAGTATTATAATGTTTATTATATATTTATTCTCAGTAGCACATGCTTACTTCTCCAAAAAGCTTGCGCATGATTTATATTTGTACACAAAAATAGCAGTTTGTGATACTCAATAAATAAAAGAATGGAATTGTGGATATTTTTGTGACCAACATCCTGATATGGATTCAATTAAAGTCATAGAAAGCGATAAACATGGTGTTCTATCTTATGTTGGAATCAACCAAGCTGAAAATAGAATTATAGTTACTTTTCGAAGTACGATTGTTAAAAACTTTAGGTACTTAAAATTTGCTTAATTTCATCAATGATTTGAAATTTATGAAATAAGATTACCCTTGCTATGATTGCAAAGTGCATTCAGGCTTTATGGAGAGTTATCTAGATATCAAAGAAGATTTATTAAAATAAGTGAATGAATTATCCATACTCAATCCGAAAGCACAATTAACAATAACGGGTCATTCATTGGGAGCTGCCTTGGCTACTTTGGCTGCAATTGATCTTACCAATATTGGACTATATATTCATACATTTTATATATTTGGGTATAGATTGTAATCCCATATTGTAGATCACCTAGAGTTGGAAACAAAGCGTTTGCAGAATATTTTAGTAAAAAAATAACTACGAAAGACAAAGCAAGAGTAACTCACTTTTCGGATTTGGTTCCTCATTTACCGCCACAATCATTAGATTATATACATGCAGTTCCAGAGTTTTGGTTTAACCAAGATTTTAAGGAATATTAACAGTGTGAATATTCATAGTTTGAAGACGATAAGTGCTCAAATTCTATGTGGAGTCATTCTATTAGAGATCATCGAGATTATTTTAATATTAAATATCGATGCAACGACAGTTTTTATCAAAAGAAAACCAAAGAATAAATTATACTCTGAATATTAAAATTTGTATTATATTAAATTAGCGATTTAAACAATAAATATGTTAGTTATTTGTGCATTTTCCATATAATATTCTAAACTCACAGAAACATTAAAATTGAACATAAATTTAAATATTAGACTGCAAAAATTCTATAATCAATTTCATTAGTCAACCTCATTTAACACAAAATCAATTTAATCAATTCTTTAGGCACTTTCATTTTGCAATTTTAAGATTAGTGATTCATCATTATCTTCATCTTATTGCTTTTACTAAGCAATATTTCCTGAAGAAATTGATTTAATCATTACTTAAGTTTTCATCTTTCTAGTCATTTTTCTTTTCTCAAGAAGTTCATCTTAAAAATTGAGAGATTCTGTAATTTATTTTTCAATATTTTATTGCACTTTATCGTATTCTTGGAGTAATTGATTCATATTGTGTGTTTGATTTATTTCATTGTTTTATAATTCTTATTAAATCTTCATTTCATTTGCCTAAGTTTTTTTATACACACTAAATCTCATCTTTTCTTAAATTTTGGAACCTTATTCAGGTAAGGTGAGTACCTTCTATTTCTTTAACAGCTATATAGTCTCAGGTCTGCTAATTAAAAATTAGATTTTCTCAAGGAAATACTCTCTCATAGCGCACTTCTAATTATCAAATATTTAAACAAAATCTTAGTAAATTTCTAACATTTTATTTACATGCTCTAAATTATAAAGTTTTTCATGAAATCTAGCTTCTAGTTATAATAAAAGTTTTAAAGTATTATTATCTATTACCATTTTAATTGTAAAATAATATTTTTATTATTTCTAATATTCAACATACTTAAATCAAATATAGATTGGATATTCAAGCTATAATTGTTTATATATTTATACGGCAATTACAGCAATAACAAAATCTACAGAATAGTGAAATCTACATACTTATTAGATATAGAATACTTGAAATTATAATAGTTCTCTTACTTTAATTTTTATTTAAATTTATTCCAAAACTCTTATGATTGTTCTATTGTCTCATTTACAACTACTAATTCTAATGTTATTTTGATGTGAATCTAAGTGAAGGCACAATTCAAATTTCCACTATTTTATTCAAATCGATGAATTAAATTGGTAGATGTAAATGAAGGATTTATATATTAAATACATAAAAATATCAACCAAAAACTTCTAAGTCAGAATAAGTGATGTATAAAAACCCATCTTCGGGATCTTTTTTCTTCTCGTATATATCTATTAATTTGACATCTAATTAAGCATTAAATTAATTATACCCTCAGGGAGAAGTTGATTACCAATATGAAAATATAAGGATTGCTTAGGAGATATTTACAAAGTGCTTTTTAAGGTATCTCTAAACTAAAGTATGCGAAAACCTTTTGTTACTAAATATCAATATGATAAAGATCTCACATACAATGATTTATTTAATTATGGCATTTTAGATTTAGGATGTTTCTCCAAAATGACAGGAATCATTTCAGGGTGTTGACTTAATTTTTATTTACATCTCGTTTGTCTCTCCTCCAGGCTATTCTGTTCCTTATACGATTTAAAATTGACTGATGCTTAAAACATAATTGTTCTTTTTAATAAATTAATTAATTTTCCAATAATAAAAAGAAATTTTATGAAATATACAATAATGAATAAATGTCATGAATTTATTTCTTCAATTACGTTAATTGATTTCAAATAATTAATTTGCTCCTAACTCAATTAGTATCTTTAACCATTTTAATCTAAGACATAAGAGCCATTTGAAATCAGAAAGCCATTGCTATCCAATTCATATTGTTGAATCTATTAATAATCACTCCTTGAATCATCAAGAGTCTTTTCTGATATGGCAGACATCTGGCATTTATCTTGGAAATAGTTTAATTTACTTACATTTATTATTAATTTGTTGTTTTATCGGACTCGCTGTGTTTATGGGAGCAAGTTCTGGTTTGATTTCTGCAACCATTTGCTCAACTATATTTATGTTACTAGGTGATATTGTTTAGCTGAGATAAGAGGAAACTTCCTCGTTAAACTATTAAAATCTCTTTATGTCTTAGCTTATACAATTTGATTAGGGTGGAGATATTTGAGATTTTTGTATGCTTTAAACCATTTCTGTAATTGCATCTAATTAACTCTATATTTTAATTTCTGTCTTATTCGTACTTTCGAGTATACTCTTTTTTAATTTCTCCATCATCTATTGTGTGTACACTTGTGTCTTCTATTCTTAATTGATTATTAATAACTATAATTCTCCCATCTTCACTTCTAATTGCTTAATTTTATCCTTAATTTGAACATCATTGTTTAGTTATCCAATTCCAGAATCATACAATTATTTTACGCTCTATTCATTACAACTCATTCTATCATTTAAGGATTTTATTTAAATTTGAAATTGTTCGTTTAAAGTGTTTTACTCATATTGCAATTAGAT